TTTTTTTTTTTTGTTCAAGTTCCATTACTGCCAGCAGACACGACGGGGGCGGGAACGGAACGGAGCTCCCTGTTTGCTACTGCTGATTTGATAGGACCTGGACCTAGTCGGCAGTGGCATTGGGTTCTATCAAGGAAAGGGTACGGAGTTTAGGAGTTCTAATGAATCTATACGATTGGGAAATAGAACCCGAGACAAGAGAGGAAACGCGCAAGCAAATGGAACAGACATGGCAGTGGTCGATTTATCATCATGTACTACTAGGTAGGTACATATAGTTAGTACATACAATGTTGTATATTGGTCCACCCAGTCGACGATTATACACCATATATATATATATATATATATATATACCTACTATACAATATATAAAGGTGTATATAACTACCTACCTACATTATCCATACCTAGGTGATAGTGATACCGGTGCGTTAGGATATTATAAATAGTATATATACATACATACTTCTTTTTTCTCAATTGCTCTGAAAGAAGATAAGACGAGGTATGGAACCCCGGGGCCACACACTGCAACTGGGTCCAAACCAAACCAAGTCGATGCCGGTTTGCCGTAACAGGCTTCGACTCAAATTTGGGTCAAGGGGATCGGACCAATCCGTGCTTCTCATGTAATAGATGCATGCTTTCGAGTTGGGTTGGCGGTTAGAGGACGAGAATGGATGGTGCAAGTGCAAGTGTTGGGTGGTGACGATGACGAGGGGTGCAACAGGAGGTATCCAAAGAACTGAATCGCAGGTGATAACCCCTCTAAACGGTGGGCTCGAGTCAGACAGGTTGCATGAAGACCCTTGAAAACGAGATCCCATTTTTGGTGGGTGGATCGGGGGTTCTGGTTGTCACCGGATTTGTCCTGCTCATGAGCGTATGCGGATGCCAGTTATCTGCAGCCTGGAAAGCCGAACGGTCGGGCCATAGTGATATATGTTGGCCAAAGGCGAAGGAGGGGCATTGCAATATATCTTGCCTCTTCCTTTCGGCGAGATTGAATAGACGTCCCTTTCACTCCCTCTGTTGCATTGCTAGAGCATGTAGGTACATCATGTCACCGTGTTGTTCGTAGCATGTCCATGTAGAGTCTGGCCAGGTCCCGATCGACAGGGATGGTTTCGCTCTTCGCGTTTCCATTCATGTCTCGCTTGGAGCCGGTCTCGCTGTGTGCCCCGGTCCGGCGGAACAATGCACGGCTGTTGACCATTTGAATGCCCGTTCCTTCCAACAAAGAGTCCAGAAGTCCTCGAATCAGTGTCTCGTCATCGTGACCCACGGCACTATTCATCTGGATGGAGGAGTCCGCGTCTGCTGTAGAATTCGTATGCTCTGGGCCAATGACAGAGGAACCGACAAAAGACACCTCGACAAGCATGCCGCGCAGGTTCGAGGATGTGGTAGATTGTTGGCCAGACCGGCTCGTAGGTGTTTTCAAGTCGCCAATACGCACGATCCATTCTCCGTGCTGTAGCGCCAGAGACGTCCCATTGTCCACGACGAGGGACTGGCGAAAGGCCCAGAGAGGCTGGAGTTTTGTTCCAATCAGTTGAGATATGGGATCTGTTTGTGTAGATTGGATGGTAATCAATGCTGTTTTTGCTGTTGTGTCTGAGGATGCTGCGGCCGCCTTGTCGGGTTCCCCTGGAGTGGTTTGGGTATTTGCCTTGGTCTTCTCTTTCGCAGGCGGAGGCGTCGTTCCAACATAGGTGGTCCCGGGACTTTGTGAGAGCGTTAGGATGCTCGTGTATTGGCGCCGAGAGGTGTCGGCGTTGGGAAGCAGGGAGGAAGTGTCGACGAAGAGACGGTGGTCGAGGTGGAAGGTAGGCAGCAATTCGGCCGGGTATGAGCGCGAGATGTGGGATATCAGCAGCGCCGATGGAGAAGGGTGGTTAGGAGGGATGGAGAGGAAGAAGAGTCCTGTCGATGCCATCTTGTAAACATGGTAGCAACAGCTGCAGTGGTCTCATAGGTCCTATCGCAACATGTTCGAGTTTACGACCACAAATGAAGATACAGCACATGCCAGTGCAGCACAGTGCAGCAGTAGATGTAATTATTGTAAGCGAATGCGGAGAAGAACCCGTCGAGGACTAATCACGGTTTGATGCTCGAGTCGCGCGACCGAGAAGGAGCCTCGCTGCAGATCGTCTTCAAACAATATAATTAGAAACACTGGCACCCCTAACTCAGTTCACCTTCACGTCCACTTCATTGTACAGATATGTCACCAGAATAGCCACTTCTAGCGTAGCTTGAATACAATATTCAATCTCTACAGATGCTGGCCGTCACTTATCCTACCCCGATTGATCGCTGTCCAGGCACACCCTTTCGCTCCCGCTCCAGTCTCGTCGACTGTACGGTACAGCCACCATGCGTCTGATCAGACGAGCCTGGCTGCTCCCAGCCTTGTTTTTAGCCTGCGTCATTTACTATCTGTTTCTGTCCCCCAGCGATAGCGTTCTATATCCTTCCTCCAAACGACCTTATTCCAATATCCATTGGACAAAACGACCTGAGCGGTACCCTGTCACCAACTACCGAGAGTTTCCAACGGGCCCACTCGCGCGGATTCCTCGAATTCAGTATGATTTCGAAGTCCACACCGAATCAGAAGATGCTCGGAGGACGCGTGAGTCAAGACAGGCCGCGGTCAAGGAGGCGTTCATGCATGCATGGGGCGGCTACAAAAAGTACGCTTGGGGCAAGGATGAAGTCGCACCTGTCAGCGGTCTCCCCAGGTCCAGCTTCGGCGGCTGGGGTGCGACACTGGTTGATACAATGGACACTTTGTGGATCATGGATCTGAAGAGTGAATTTGACGAGTGTGTCGAGGCGGTCAAGCAGATCGACTTCACCACAAACGACGAGCAGGTCTTGAATGTCTTCGAGACCACGATTCGGTATCTAGGGGGACTGCTCGCCGCATATGACTTGTCAGGAGGGCAGTACAAACCCCTCCTCGACAAGGCGCGGGACTTGGGCGAAATGCTCTACACAGCTTTCGACACCCCCAACCACATGCCCATGACACGTTGGGCCTGGACGCAATCCGCCATCGGCGGGCAGATTGAACCGAGCGCCTACACTCTTCTGGCAGAGTTGGGAAGTCTGACACTCGAGTTCACCAGGCTGAGCCAGCTAACAGGGGACATGAAATACTTCGACGCTGTACAGAGGATCGCCGAACTCATGGAAAGCAATCAGAACGCCACCAAGATTCCGGGGCTCTGGCCTACAATCGTCAATGCAAAGGATCTCAAATTTGAGTATAACCACTTCACATTTGGTGGCATGGCCGATTCCACTTACGAGTATCTCCCCAAGCAATACATGATACTTGGAGGCCGAGACCAGAAGTATCGCCGCATGTACGAAACGGCAATTGAAGCTGCCAAAAGATATCTGTTCTTCAGACCAATGGTGCCGGAGGGCGAAGATATCCTTTTCAGCGGAAACGCCGCCTTGAACACCTCGAGTCCGATTGGACTAACCATCATGGATCCGCAAGGGCAGCACCTTGGTTGTTTTGTCAGCGGTATGGTAGGCATTGGTGCGAAGATATTCGGCCGACCAGAAGAACTTCCGATCGCTCGAAGATTGATTGACGGTTGTGTCTGGGCTTACAATGCGATGCCATCTGGCTTGATGCCCGAGACATTTCACGTAGCGCCGTGCCAATTGGGAGTGGGTGAAGCGCCGCCTGGCCGATGCGATTGGAGCGACAGTAAGTGGTGTGAAGCGCTTGCTAGCAGGTTTGCCCCCACAGAAGAGACAAAGCACATGAGCGCGGCCGAGAGAGGGAATTATCTGGCTGAGAAACGTATGATCTTTCCTGGCTTCACCGAGCATGGCGACAATCGCTACATCCTCCGCCCGGAGGCCATCGAATCGGTTTTCATCATGTACCGCATCACAGGGGATGTGAAGCTGCAGGACATTGCGTGGAAGATGTTCCAGTCTATTGATGTTGCGACGAGGACGCCTATCGCTCATGCCGCCGTCCATGATGTCCGTTATGCAAAGCCAGAAAAGAGTGACCGCATGGAAAGTTTCTGGCTTGCCGAGACGCTCAAATATTTCTACCTCATCTTCAGTGAGCCGTCGCTCGTGAATTTGGATGATTGGGTCCTGAACACCGAGGCACATCCATTCAGGAGGCCAACGGGTTGAATGAAGAACAGCATCAAACAATAAGCAGTCTATCTGTTGTCCCCGAGGTCGCCGCAACCAGACTTGGGCCTTGCCGCACAACGAGCATCCCCTGCTTGAGCTGGTGGAATGTGCAGTTTCTTACCATCGCGCATTGGAGGATTGATTACTCTTTCAGCGAGCCTACCGGCCGCTGGGGGTGTTGATCGGGAAAGGGTCGATATGACGTGAACTGAAACGGGTCAAGTAGCAGAGTTGAAGAGCTTGATCCAGCGAAGAGCCATGGAGATGCTCATGGTCGTGTACATTTGGCAGATGCCATGGGAATTGTCGGGATGGCCACGGATTCGTGGCCTGACGATGGTTAATCGGGGCTGATAGCATGCAGTGGTACAGCACTTGCACATATCGGTGTAAAGAATACAATAGGGGGGTTTGCGAGTGACGAGGTAGAATACTACTTATGTACTAGTACGGTGCCACAATTACTAGCTGATGGATCCATCAAAGTGCACTAGATCAATTTGGGACTTTGCGGGTGTTCTCTGAGAGCTACTGTATTTCTTCTCTATTATTTGTTTCTATTCCTACCACCACTGCACCAACGCAACAGCCTGAGCTTTGCCCGTGACCCAAGTACCTACGACTAGTTCTGCGATTGCATTGCATTGCTACCGCCCAGTCCAACAACTTGTAGCATTCCACAGCAGGTTGTCCATCATTCAAACCATTTTACTACGATAAATCCCCAACATGTCAAGCACAACGACCCCAACCGTCCGCAGCCTCTACCGGCGCCTGTTGCGCGAACTCCCTCCTCTCCCCGTTCCACGCCACCGAGCACCCCGAACACCCATCCACAACTCGATCCGGAAACATTTTAGCGATCCTGCTCAGACTCAAACTCAAGCCGAGTCCGAGTTAGAGGCTGCCGCCCTGGCCAGACGGCAGGAAGTCGAACAGCTCGTGGCATATCTGCGCGCCCAGCGCATGTACGGCACCCTGTTGCAACGGTATAATCCGGGCATGGGCATGGATGAGGAAGAAAGAGTTCGGTTGACGGCGCGGAGGGTTGGGATGGAGATGCCGGTGGAGTGGAAGGCCAAGCAGTGAAATTACCAGCAAGAGCAACCAAACTTGCAGCAAGCGTGATTGTTTATGTTTTTGAGGCTCGTGGAAGCGAAACCATGACGAGAAACGGAAAACGGAAAACGAATAGCATGAGAATAGAATAGAACGGACGCCTGCCACCGTGGAAGCCAAAAGATGGTATTTTCACAAAAGGACGTGGGACAAGGCCAGAGTGCACGCAGTCGTGCCGTCCATGGCTAAGAGGAGAACTGTGCCTGGCTTTCTTTCAATTGCTGCAATTTGACGGGCCGTCATACAGATCTATGGGAGAAAATGCTGGGGCAGGACTGGATTCATGGTATCCTGAGATGGAAGAATGAGCAGATTCACGTGGTGAACGTGACGTGACTGGAACGTTTCTTCTGCCTCTCTTGGATGAGAGACGTGGGAAACCGACGAGGCCGCCAGGTACTTTTGGTTTATTGCTCACGCCTTGTGTCGGCGTGTCGAACGGAAAGCAGGTTCCGGGCGAAGATGAGCTGAGATGATGGAAACGGCCGAATTTACATTTCGATACCAGTCTCCCAGAGGATGTTCGAAAGCGACGACCGTTTTATCAACCCAAAACCCTGTCGGAGTAGAGTGAACTGGACAGCTCTCCTTTTCTCTCTCCCCTCTGGGCTCCCTGCCATGAAGAACGCAACCGACTACAGCCACGGACGAACACCCAAACGAGTCAAGTCACGCAGTGCCAATGCTGTGCATTAGGCACCTATGGATAGCCATCTCCTTCAAATCGAAGACATATGGTCGGTCTACGATAATACCTATCTGCTTCGAACACCGTCTACACGCTGTGGCAAGCGACATTCCTAATGCTGTCAGAGAGTATGTCTCTGGTCTCCATCACCACATTGAGATCAATCGGGTCCACGTTCCTTGCGCGACGGACGTGTCAGTTGGGCATGCTCAAAAAGCAGTGCGGTCAGTTGGTGGGTCGGGCACCGATGATACAAGGGCTACGCTAGACCAAAGTCATTCTGCTCCAAGGGTATACCTATCTATAGGTAGTCTAGGCTAAAAAGATATTTGGTGTTTGGATAAGAGTCGGGCAAGGTTCTGGTCCGTAGGTATTTTACCATTGTACCAAGGGATGTCATAGCAGCAAAAAAATCAAATTATACACTGGCACTCGATCAACCATTGAGTCAATTGCAGTGATAAATCATTCGGTCAACAAACAACATTATCAGCGCCGTCGCCATGATGGAGCATAACACGCCCGTCTTACCCAGGTTTGATAGGTGTGTAACAAACAAGAATGGGTATTCTCGTTCCTCCCACTCGAGAGCAAAAAGTGAAAAGGGGTATCTAGCATCTCTCATGTGCTTTTCCTTTGTGTGTCATGCCCGCCTGCCTCAATCAATCCAGTATGTTCATCAGTAAGTGGTCTTCAGACGGGTTCTCAGTCTCGGGTGCCAGTCGCTCTAAGTGAAATGACCAGCAATGCAATCAATAACCCTCTGAAAGATCCGAAAAGTCCGGCACTGTGGAATCACACTTGAAATCGGCACTGTAAGCCTTGTCCGGCAAGATACCAGCAGCAAGGCCCAACTTCCAACTCCACTGAACGGCGGCTTCCGTTTTCCAAGTCCAATAGAACCAACCCCAGGCCTGCTCGAAGCTATGCATCTGAGCCTCGGCATACATTTTGAGAAACTTCTTATAAGACGCAGTATATTTGCTCGGGTCGGCATTGGCCATGGTACACGAGCAAGGAGGCTCGGCACAAGTTTCGGTGAGCACAGAAGTGCTGGAATCTCCCGTGTTCAAGGTCCCCGCCCACCTAGATCCAACGCCGACATTGTTCAGATTGGGCGCACAGTCCGTGTCGGCCTGGGACCATTCACCATCAAGAATAGGTCCCCAGCCCGTATCTGGGTTATTGGCGGCGACCATGAGCCCCGTCCACCCCGAACAGGCGAGGTTGATTTTATCTTGATGTTTTAGTTTCAGCTGGCCCGTGTTGAAGATTTGGTATTGATGCGTGTCCATGACCAATTTGTCGTCGCCCGTGTCTTTGAACATGTCGTCCCAGTCGTCCAGACTCAGAAACCCGTCTCCAAACACCAGATACTTGTCCGTGATGCCGTTGGCTCGGATCAGTGCTATGACTTTCTTGTTCCACTCTAGCACGGAATCGTGTGGGATCACCAGCATTTTGGGCTCGTTGACAAGTCCGTAGATAGTGACGACGTTCTTGTATCGGTCTTGAGCGAAGAATCGGGATAGTTGGTCTTGAATGTCCAGTGACCGTTGGGCGTTGGTCGCTCCGTCCGTGCCTAAGATCCAGCCAATGTCGCCTTGGTGTCCGCTGTGCGCCCAGCCGTTTTGACTGCCGGGGACGGCGTGGAGGTCTAGGTTGACGCGCAGCCCGTTCTCTCGCGCATATTCGATCCCCCTGAGCAAATACCGCCAGCCGACTTGGGCTAGATAGGGATCTCCCGAGTAGGTCTTGACGACCCAGTAGGGAAATGGGATGCGTACGTGGTCGAGTCCTGCGTTGCGGATGTCGACAAAGTCTTGTTTCGTGATGAAGGTCGCGTAGTGCGACTCAAGCACCCGTTGGGCTGAGGAGCCGAGCTTTTGTGTCAATGTCCATTCGTCCACCACGTTTGCTGAGCTGGGATAGTTGAACAACGACGGTGTAATGAACGGTTCTAGAGACAGCCAGCCTCCAAGGTTGACGCCTCGGATGGGCACCTTGCCGTATTCCCATTCCTTGTTCAGTGGCGGTACGTTGTCGTTGGCCCGCACATTGTCGTCCCAGCTGGAATGCAGCCCCATTACTGACAACCCGCCCACGGTCTCGTTGGTGTATGTGCAGTTGAAATCCGTGGTGTCGAGCCACGTCGAGATGTCGGTGTATGTCCCCTTTGCACTTTCCGGGACCGAACTCGAGTCGCAGTCATTCTTGGGGTCGGAAGATGAAGAGGATGAAGACGACGTTGATGAGGTCGATGATGATGACGATGATGACTTTTTACTGTTGTTGTTGCTGACCACCACACCGACCGGTATAAAAATGGCCAGCAGTACCGCAATGATGATCAGAGTCCACCATAGCTTCTTCCTCGACCGTCCGTTGTGTGCAGCCGTCCGTTGGCGGTCTCCGTAGTTATAGTCGTCGTAGTCATCGTCTTTCTCGTCGAAGATGCCTCCGCCTCCACCTCCGCCACGTCCCCTTCCGTTCCCTCGCTTGTGGTGTTTCTCACGGGCTCTGCCTTCCTCGAGGATGGCGCCGCTCACATTGCGGTTCTTCTTCTGTTTCCGCCGATGCGATACCTCTGCAGCTTTAAGCTCCTTTTCTTGCTTCTTTTTCCGTTTCTGCTGCTCGTACTTCTCTTGGAATTCGACCTTTTCGTTGTGTGCATTGAGTTTGGCCAAAGCGCCACTGCTTAGTAGTTGGCTCGTGCTGTTGGTGGAGGTGCCGGAACTGTATTTGGCTCGATCTCGCTCTCTCTCCCGGTCTGTATTTCGTTGACGTTCCTGGTCTCGCGCTCGGTCTCGGTTTCGATCTCGTCGTCTTTCCCGGTCCCGCCGGTTGACGTCTCTGTCGCTTTCATATTGTCGGTCTGCCCGACTTGCGCTTCTGCGGCGACCGCTGGACCGACGGGCCTTTCTGTCCGGCGTTGAGTCTGGTGCCGGCGAGGACTTGGCCTTTTCTTTCGGTACTCGCTTCGGCGTTCGTAGGTCTGGGTCATCTTGCACGGGCGCGGGCGCTGGTGCAGGGGCCGCACGAGCCCCCGGCGGGCGGTTGAATGCTGGGCGTGTGTCGGCCCTCGCCGTGGATTCCCGACGAGGCTTCGACATGCAAGTTGGCTTGAGGGTAGAGATGCTTCATATCAGTGTTGTAAGGTTGATTATCAGCGATAGCTCAAGAACTCAGGCCTGTGTCGATATTCTTTGGCCAGTGGATGCCGAGCTATCGGTAGTCAGCCAGTGGCTCATCCATGGTCGCCGGTCGGTGAATCTTGGATCTCGTGTTTACGAGGCTGCGTTGACTGGGCAACACCACATCCAAGACATTCGTTTACTATTTATTACTTTGTAGTATTCTCCCATTTTTCATGCTCCGTTCCATCAGCCAGCGCTTCCACGTCGATGGATCGAATCATTCTACAGCAGGGCATGCCCAAGGCCTAGACGAGACTGAATCTCTTCTCCTTACATCGACTCGAAATGTGTCCATGTTTCCAGCAGCAATTCCATTGTTGCTCCGTTATGCTACCTATCACTAATGACCTCTCTGACAACCCTGGCCCTAACATTTGCATCCTCAAGGCTCTTTAACAGCTTCTAGGGCAGCTTCTCGGTTTGATTTATTCCTTTCCGACACAAACTGCTCGATATATGCTGGCAGCTGCTTGACTTTGTTGGTCGGAGCTGGTATGGGGTTCTCCAGCGCCTCGTACACCGGGATCACTCCGGTCCAGACCTTCTCGGTTATCTCGTCTCTGTTCAAATCCTTCGCTTCGTCGTGAGGTTCACCTGCACGAATCTTGCCACTGCCAGTCTCAACCTTGACTCGCAGGATCGTGGTCGAGGTCATCTCGACATTGTCCGGCGGCACGCGGGTATTCTCCCAGCGCCCATCGACGACCTTGTTGGTGATCAGTCGCATCGCGTACAATTTCTCTTCGTCGGTTTCCACAGGTTTGGCATATCCTTGAAGAACCGCCGAGCGATAATTGTAGCTATGTGAGTTTGGGGTCAGCGACAATACCAGGCCGTCTACTTTGGTGGCCGCGACGCAGACGGGAAGACCCTGTGGTGACTCTCGCGCCCGTCGCATGATTCTGGAACTGACGTAACCATGAAGATAGCAGTCGAGGGGCTCGTCAAGGCCAGAAGACGGATAGTCGAAGGAGCCCATGACGCCTATCATCGGCAGAATGGCTGGGAAGGGCTCATCGGGACTGGCGCCGAATGAGACATGGAGCACAGAAGTCGTATTGATAATGGAGTGAATGGAGCCCAAGTCGTAGGTTGCTACAGAATAACACAAGATAATATTAGTCTATCAGTTCGAGGATGACGGAACCGCGAGAATCACCTCTGCTGTTGTATCTGTTCACAGTATTCTGGGGTTTCTTGGGATACTCGAGATGGCGGACCATTGCTGCTATGTCTGCTCCTTGTGCACCTTGTAGGGTTCAGCCAAATACACCAGTAATAGCAGAAGTAAAACCACTGTCATCTCTCCTCTGTCTAGAGCCGATATATAGCCAAAGCATGCCGATGTTGTGAGTCAGTCCAATGCCGACAAGTCAGTATCCAATGCGCAGGGCGTGAGTGGACATGTTCGAATGAGGAAATTGTATGCGATTGACACATGAACCCACGGCGTCGTCCACCAACCGACAAAAGCATCGCAGGTCGAACAGCGTCTTGCTCCGAGTCCGAGTCTCTGGGGGGTCATTGTCCTACGAGCCATCCGCATACCATGTCATTGCGGAGGACGTTATGGCAGACACTCAGGTGTGCCGATGATGTCCTCCATACTCACGCCGTGCAGGCGACGAGAAGATGCAGAAGCAAAAGCACACTGTCACCTTCTGCCCGCCGCACCTACAACACCCTCACCGTGAATGCCGCCGATCTGTCCTTCGGCCAACCCGTGCATGAGACCCATCCACATATCCTCCAGCCTGGAGAGCTGACCCCGGGCATCACAGCACAAGAGTATGCCGACCGGCGGACGAGACTCGCGGCCAAACTGCCCGACCGAGCCATAGCCATAGTGGCAGCCTCCGACATACAGTTCCGCTCCGGAAGCGTGTTCTACGAGTTCCATCAAGACCCTGACTTTTTGTATTTGACGGGATTCAACGAGCCCGAAGCGCTGGCCGTGATCGGCAAGGACCCGACGGGCAAAGACCATACATTCCACCTATTCGTGCGCGAGAAAGACCCCAAGGCCGAGATCTGGGATGGAGCAAGGTCAGGCACACAGGCAGCAAGGGATATCTTCAACGCAGATGAGACAGGCGACATTACCAGGCTGAAAAAGATCCTGCCGCAGCTGGTGGGCGAGGCGTCCCAAGTCTACACGGACATCACGACCCCGGACCCTAACCAGTCTGCGTTGCGACGGTTTCTTTACGGACCGTCTCGCAAGAGCACCGAATTCTCCGATCTCATTGAATCCAGCAAAGTCCATCGACTCCGCCCGGTAATGAACGATCTTCGAGCCTTTAAAAGCCCTGCCGAGATCGAGGTCATGCGCAAAGCAGGAAAGGCCTCGGGCCGAGCACACACTGAAGCGATGAGGAAGGCGTGGACGCACGAAAAACAACTTGACGCATACATCCGCTACCGCTTTATCGCCAACGAATGCGACTCGATTGCCTTTGAGCCCGTGGTTGCAGGCGGCAAGAACGCCCTCAGCATCCACTACGTGCGCAACGACGACGTGTTGCAGGACGACGAGATGGTCCTGGTGGACGGCGCAGGGAAATACGGCGGTTATATCTCCGACATCACCCGCACCTGGCCTGTGGGCGGGAAGTTCACCGATGCCCAGCGCGACCTGTATCAGGCGGTTCTTACTGTTCAGAGGTCACTGATCTCGCTGTGTCGGGCCAGCGCCGACGTGTCGCTGGATAAATTGCACAGCATCGCCGAGGAGTCTCTGGCCAGGGAACTGAGACAAATCGGATTCGACGTGACTTCCAAGACGATCGAAGCTTTGTTTCCCCATCACTTGAGCCATTATATTGGCATGGACGTCCACGACACCGTCGGATATACCAGGAAAGCGGTGCTGCAAGAGGGTCATTGCATCACGATCGAGCCGGGGATCTATGTGCCGGATGACCAGCGATGGCCGAAGCACTTCCGGAACATGGGCGTGCGCATTGAAGATAGCATCAGTGTTCAGGAAGATAGTCCCTACGTCTTGACTACTGAGGCGGTCAAGGAGGTAGTCGATATCGAAGCCTTGAGGGATTGATGTCGGCTGACTAGGAACGTCCCGACCGTGTCAAAGTGGATTTCATCATGCTGCTTTCAGCCTCCGGATCAGCAGAAAAGAAAAGGTCATGCTATCTGCTCTTCACGCGCTTCGACCCTACCGAGGCGGGAGAGCGGCATAGCCTGTCCGTCTAATGTTGCTTTGTGTAGATTCTCCTGTCATATACATGTAACAATATATGGCCACGACGCCTAATTTGCTCTCTACCACGGCCTTGGGCTCTGTCCGCTTCACCAAACTAGTACAAAAAACCAGCTATTTTAAGGAGCTGTTGTAAGAAGATAATGTAAAGGGTAGTACAATTGTACGTTGATAGATTCGGCTAGGAAAGTAACTAGATACTACTAGCAGTGTATAAAATGATAAATCTGACTAACCAGGTAGGATGAAACAAAACTATCCAGTCTACCGCTCTTAGCATTTTCCTAATAGCGCCCCTCTGACGCCATACCACAATCGATGTTGGACGTAATTTACGAGCCTCGGAACAACCTTATCAATGTCGCAATAATGCACAGTACTTTCACATTCTTCGTCAGCTCTCCCAGCAGTGGCACCGCCCAAATCTGAAGGAAGGCCTCATTCTTAGACCCAAGGCACACAGGACAAGGTCGTACTAGAATGGCCATCACGATCAAACCCGACCCCTTGGAAACGAGTCCACTGCTAAGTCATCCGCAACATCAACGTCCTGACCACGACATCAATGGCCATGGCGACAGCAACGCGGGCTACAGGGTCGACCTGGAGAACAGTCAACCGCCCGAGCTCCCTTCAGCTGAAGAAGACAATGCGGTGACCGTCGACGAGCCGAGCACCAGGATGCTCGTGGCTATCATGACCGCAAGCTGGATCGGTGTCTTTTTCGCGGCATTGGGTATGTACAAGTCTTTCTCTTGGTTTTTTCTCCGTGACGCCCAGCTACTCTGCGAGATTATACCCAATGATATACTTATACCCATAACCCATGCCTCTCCTGGCAGCTTGTTGTGGGACTGCTCGTCTCCTGCTTGTGGTCATGATGTACTTATACTTAGTTACTACCTTTCATCCAAGACCTACTAACAACTTTTTCCGACAGATACAACCATCGTCGCGACGCTTACGGGTCCAATCTCATCCAGCTTCAACTCACTCAGCCTATTATCCTGGCTTGCAACAGGCTACCTAATAGCCAACTCGGCATGCCAACCACTATCCGGCAAACTGACAGACATATTCTCTCGACGAACAGGCCTTCTTTTCTCCAACATCTTTTTTGGTCTCGGGACATTAATGTGCGGCCTCGCGCCCAGCGCGGGCGTCATGATCGCCGGCCGCGTCGTCGCAGGCATCGGCGGCGGCGGACTGACATGTATCACTACATTCGTCACATCAGACTTGATCCCGTTGCGCCGGAGAGGTCTGTGGCAAGGCTACGGTAATCTGATATACGGTCTAGGCATGGGCTCAGGCGGTGTCGTGGGCGGCGCTCTGGCAGACGCACTGTCCTGGCGATGGGCGTTCTTGTTACAGCTGCCGTTTATTGTCGTTTCGACCGTCCTGGTCTGGATCCTGTTGGACCCTCACCTCCCTCGACGAGCGCCACTCCCAACTACTTCCAGCAACAACACCACTGAATCCACCACCAAATCGTCAGCTCTGCACCGAATCGACTTCACGGGTTCCGCACTGCTCGTCGTGTCTCTAGTTTTACTCCTTCTAGGCCTCAACAGCGGCGGCAACCAACTCCCCTGGTCACACCCACTGATCATCACCTCTCTGGTTCTGGCGGGCGTCACGCTCGTGGGGTTCATCTACTTTGAAGCACGGGCGGAGCTAGCCTTCGATAAGGGGGAGTCGTCCGACACAATCACCACCGTCAGCGAGGCCAACCCAATACCAACCCCAAACAACCAAAATGCAGACTCCTCCTCTCCACCACCCAAATTCAAACCAGAACCAATCATCCCCGTGGTCCTAATCGCACGAACACGAACAATCCTAGCAGCCTGTCTAGCCAACTGGTTCAGCACAATGTCCGCCTTCCTAGCCCTCTACTACATCCCATTATACCTTCAAGTCCGAGGCCTATCCTCAACAGCAGCCGGGTTACGAGTCATCCCCTTCGCAGCCGCCATGTCAGTCGGCAGTCTGGGGTCAGGATACCTAATGCGCAAGACAGGACGATACTGGGGCCAAATGGTGTTCGTGATGTTGTTGTTTGTCGCGGGCACAGCGCTGATCTGTACATTTCGCCTCGACTCCCCGGCCTGGCAGACATATGTCTACGTCACACCACTGGGCATGGCATATGGGTCCATGTTGACAATCACTTTGGTCGCTATGATTTCCGCCGCCGACCATGCTCACCAGGCTGTGATCACAGCCGCCAGCTATGCGTTTCGGTCGACGGGGTCGACTATTGGTATCACTGTTGCGAGCGCCGTCTTTCAAAATGTTTTGACGTCGGAACTACAGAGCCAGTTTGGTCAGATGCCCGGTTCTGACAGCGAGATCCGTCGCATCCGTGACAATCTAAAGGAACTTGATCGTCTGCCTCGGGGATGGGATAGAGGTGTCGTTCTTGATATCTATATGGATGCTTTGAGGGCCGCTTTCGTTGCTGGGTTGATACTGGCTGTCCTCGCTGCTGCTGCTGGGTTTGCTATGAAGGAACATGTGTTGCATAAGAACCTTGCTAGGAAGTGAGTGTCCTCACGTACTACATGTACAGGGGTACCGTACCCCCTTCAACTGCCTACCCAGGTAGACGCCGCAAGATTTAGATCATCTACCTCCATACCTATGCAGCGCCACCATGTTGCGTTGTTTACCTGATCGATCAAACTGACGACGTACTGTCTGACTGTTCTGTCTGTTGTCTCTTCCTTTGGCCGGATGGAGGATGCTTGAACCTTTTTGAGAGGAAGTAGACCCACGCCCCTGGTGTGATTCGATCTGGCGATAGAGCAGTTGGACAGATGGTATGATATCCAGGTCTGCCTAATTACAAGTATATGGGTAAATAGAGATTTGCGATAGATAAGATCTCTAGATATGCAGATCTGTAGATTGGATAGATGGATAGATGGATATATACTTTTCACATGTGGTATGATGTATGCCTTCTTGCCTAGTAACCAGGTCCTGACTTATTGTGACAGCCAGTACTAGTGGTAGTAGTTAACATTTCCCACGAGAAACAGAGAGACAAGAACATGAATGCAACAAATTCCAATCCCGCATCAGGTGGCTAATTGAGCTAAGTGGTTGTCTTTCACCCTTAACGTCTGCTGAACTGCCATGTCTGAATGGTGCCAAAATTATAACGGAGCTTTCACAGGCCGCTAGGGGCTTGATGGCAAATATGAATTTGGATGGATGTGCCAAGCTGCCATTGGGGCGGAGACAAGAGCAAGAAGAGGGATATCGAGGGAGATAGAGGTGAAAGGAATGAGCATCAAAGTTTTCGAAAGAGAGTATGTTCCCAGCTTGAGGTACCGTCAATAGAAAAGGAAAAGGGCTTCGACATTGGCCGGGTAGTCGGACGTGGTCTGTCAGGTCCAAGCAGGTTTATCAAGTCCGGAAGAATTGCTCTGGTGCACACCTATCCGAATATCCACAAATCATGGTTTTGGAAGATATGGGTACAACAATGGAACTTGGGTTAATTGTCTCATAGAATCGAAGATGCAAAATAAGGAGCAGGGCAAGAGATTGTGTGAGCAATACGAAAGGAATCCATTCATGACTTGAACTTGCTGAGCTTGGAAGACGCTGAATCCGGTGAACGGTCATCCAAACTTGACCGACTCCTGCCACCAGCTCGGACATGGGTTCGAGCACAGAGCCTCATTCCTTGAGAGAGCATGATCCTCATCATGACAGTCTCGAGCAGGTATGTTGCCATGATCTTTCTACTCAAAAACGGTGATAGATACCCTCTAGCTCCTGGCTCGGCCCGCACGACATGATTTCGATGATGATGTGGCAGAACGTGGTAGGCCTCGCCACCACATATCATCTGCCACGGCCGGACGGGAAGCCCACCACGACAGCAACGAGCACCAAGCGAAGACAGACCTCTTTGTCGCCCTGAGCCGTGCTAAAGTCTCACGTATGGGCGGGTCGTAGGGGTGACAGACACCCGACTCCGTTGCCATCCATGCAAGCGAGGACGCCGAGGAGGGCTCGGAATATGCAACATCCTGATGAAGTGGGTCTGGCCAGTTTCCGTACAAGGGGGGCAGAGCCGGGAGCAGAGTACGCTCGCTTGATTCTGCTTGGATTACCCCGGGCGAACCAAGGCCAGGAAACCAGTCGACAAACAGGCAATGCGAACAGCTTGCTTGGCGTCACGTTCATCACATTCATGTGTGAAGAGTGATTGAGTGGCTTGGCCTTCAGCAGACAATTAATTCTCCTGCCGATGGGCTGTGTTCAGCTTAGATCGGTCGGAATCAGAATATTTCAGCCCAACATTGGAGACGACTTCCAAAGGGCAGGGGGAGTCTGCCATAGTGCTCAGCCATCGCACAAGCTACTGTAAGCAGCTGCAAGCTCCTGGTTGAGGGGGTTGAGAAATGCAACCGAGTGGGCCGTGGGAGGCACCAATTTTGTTGCTTTGACAGAAGCATTCATACCCACGGACGGTCTGGGAAACATCGTAGGGGGGCCGGCAAGGATGTCGCCCATCCCAGGTCACAAAGGACCGGCAAGGCGAGGAAGATGGGCGTAGCTCGAGGAGGTGTGGTTGTACAGACGGGTAGCATGGGTATTGAAAGTTCCTGGGGCCGCCTTCCCGACGGCTCCACTCTGAATGAAAAACAAGACGGAGCTCTTGTCATTCATGCAGCCTGTCAATCAGAACGTCAACGGCAGTCAGCAAGGATCACGGCCTTGACAGGTGCTGCCCACCAATGTCCTGAGGACAGCTCACCACAAATGCGTTAGAGCAGGGTTTTCCGGGAGGGTGCGGGTCTCGAAATGATGTGCACAACAAGCCAGGCTGCTGCGATGCTGGTGTTGTGGTTCTGTACTGATGTGCTGTCTGATCGTCGAGGCTACCATTAAGGTGACCTTCTGGACTTGCACCTAGGGCAACCAGCCACCACCTGCGTTGATCTGATGTGGTTGCTCTAGTCAGAAGAGACAGGAGGATTGCTCCTCACTCACATGGTAGCCATTGCAACAGTCCGAATGCTGAATCATGGCTTGCCGGCGATGGACCTCATTCGAGCCACGTCTTCCAACGATGTCCATCTCACATGCCATCAGGGGACAAGTTCATCCCAGAAATCTCCGGCTGGGTACACCACGACAAGGGCGGACGTAGAACTCAATGTGGTCAGTCAACCCGCTCGTTGTTGTATCTGCCCTTTTCACACCAAGGTACCCTAAGAGGCCTTCGCCATTGCTTTGTTTCGCATCCCAGCTTGGTCACGGGCGGGTTTGGTGAATAGTGTCGGAAAACTTAATAGCAAGTCGTTTCCACGGCCGTAGGGCAGGCTCCGAGACCCATTTGCGACCTCATGGCCTTCAAAACATCCGAGGGGTTGCCGGCCACCAGGCTGTCCATCCCCGCCACCGATTGGTAGTAAATTAGCAGCTTCTAGGGGTGCGCCATAATTCGTTAATCCCAACAAGCTCATGCAGAAAAGGTGTAACATTTGCGAACGAGCAACATCCGTTGCATGCTTGAACCGTCACTGCCGCTGTTGGCGAGTTCACTGTGCCATGAGGTCCTCATTCTCATGGACCTTTTGGGCAAAGTCCCTCCTGCGGGTCCGGCGGTTCACGACTCAGAGCGTGACACCTTTCAAACACCCGTTGCTGCTCTCTGAAAGACGGTCGAACGGTCAGGGGCCATGGCGCTGCTCTGATCATTGAGGGGTCACAACCATGGAGCGCGCGCCCCTGGCTGCATGGTAAGGTGTTCAGGAGATTGAGCGGCATTCATACGTCTCGGTCCTTTTCGTCTTCGGTCAGCAAGGTCATTTGCATGGTCTTGCTAAAGGTGTTGCTAATTTGTGGTGGCAAGCGGCCGGGCCAGAGGATGACAAGATGCAAGATGAAGGCCGACAATGAGCCTAGATTATAGGATAGACCAAACCGAAACATTAGACCATTCTAATATTGGATACGATTGGTGGGTAGGTGGACACGTCTCATGTTGCATTGGAATAGAGGGGGTCGAGAACCGTCCACACCGAAAATGACTGGTGCGAGATCGAGTTTCTGAACGGAGATATAACAGCCCCAAGTGCCTCCCTCGTCTCTGGTATTCTCGACTCCAGCTTTAGTCGACCTCGAGAAAACACACTGAAACAAATCCATAAATAGCATCATACGCGCCCACGGTAAGGTTCTTGAAGAGACGAGAAAAAGTTGCACACCTGAACGCTCGGGTACCAGATCCTGATCGAGACGGCATCGCCTGGGACATAATTCTGGCCGCCTCGGGAGCTCTCAAGTGAGTAAGACGCTGACAAAAGCTTCAGTTGACTGTCGTTATGCTGACGCGTCCATTTTTGGTGAAGATAAGAAAAAGCCGTACAAGGTAGGCTAGCAGCTTCTCCGGCCAGCAATCTCCCGAGCTGAATAGCAGAAAAAGATGTGTTACTTTGCGCGAACTGATTATCGATGTGGAGACTGGAGATGGGGCAACATGAAAGTTCGATGCCAACGGCAGCCTCGCATTGGAGAGACGTGTGGTGCCAGGCTGGCGGACACGGACAATGTGACACAGGTGGATGAAGATTGTCGGCTCTGTCAGGAGATTGTCATCAAGCAAAGGCGGCTGCAGAAGGAGCGAGACAATATCAGGCGGTGGAGCCTCGAAGGGGACAGATTCCGGGCCAGCATCGAAAGAGCCCAACGTGAAGCTAAGCAGCTTGAACAAACCATTGAGGACATGCGCAGCAGGCGGATCTCCGTCGTCATGAGCCGGAAAACTGGCAGACCGATCAATCAAACGGCGTAGTTCAGACTAAACGCCGAGAATGAGGCTGGGGCACGGATGGGTGCCAACGGCTGTTGAGAAAGGTCAGTAAGCTGGGACAGAGCAAGACCAACTCCTAACGCAGGATGCTGACGTGCTCGGATGTTAAAGCGAGCCCATCTGTTCAATCACGCTCGACGATGATGAGGCCGGAGCGATGGCAAGAACATCTCTTCCCCTGGAGGGGCATCGCTTGGGCCGGCGCCACGACCGGATATATACATAGAACAAGAAGAACTGGCATTCTCAGGCACGAGGGACGGCATGATGCAGAATCCTTCCATCCCCAGCGTCAAAGGAGCTCCTGCAGGAGGAAGGACTAGGACTTGTAGGCGCCCGTGGTTGCATATGGCTGGCGCTGTTGATCCTTGATGTTCAAGTTGCTCGGCATGACCATTTTTGTCTATACTCCCTTAGCTGTTGATATGTCTGTTACAGCTCAACATGATGATAACGTCCAGACTTGCTCACGTCAGATGATTTTGCTTCTCACTGTTCACTAGCAGTTCGATGATGCCGCTCGAGTTCACCGACTCTCGACACACTGGCACCGTGACCTTCAAATGTCGAGCTCGAAGCAGGTTCGTATTGAGCCTCGTGCCAAGACGCTAGACCCAATATAAAGTTAGCTTGGGCGGCTGGATTATCTATTGTTCCGGGGCCGAAGAGGTTCCACTTTGACTCGCATCCGAGGTTGTAGATACACTACTTCCCCAATCCGGACTTCCTTCTCCTCATTGACTTTGCGATGTTATAACGCAGCTCCGGTTGATGGGTTAATGACCGAGGCAAGTCGTCAGAATTGACATCCAAGCGGGCGGGCTGGTCAGTCGTTTGCTACGTGAGTATCAGATGTGGTTTGAATATGAATGCATGAAGAGGCCAGTGCGATCTGTCGAACTTGCACTTTATCCACAGACCAGCTCCTGCCAGTGACTGTTTATTCAGCAGTAGCAGCATATTCATCACTATGGCTTCTGCGTCTTCCAAACCCACGTTCAAAAATTTAACGATCGAGTCTCCTTCTGACGCCCCAGGAGTCCATGTGATCGTGATGCAAAAGGCGCCGGAGAACCGGCTGAACGTGGAATATGCGCAAACGATCATCTCTGCTCTGCGGTACATTGAGACTCAACTGATGAAGCCGGATGCCCCAGGGGCAGTAGTGCTTTCATCATTCTCCGACAAGTTCTGGTGCACGGGACTAGAGCTGGACGAGAGCGACAACAACATCTACGCCAATGCCGACGGCTTCTATCCTCTCCTGGCAACACTGCTCGACTACCCTTATCCGACGATAGCCTTAATCACCGGCCACACGTTTGGTGGAGCTTGTCCATTCATGCTGTCGTGCGACTACCGGGTCATGAACAGCAAGCGTGGCTTCATCAGCATGCCTCCTGTGAACTTGGGCCTTCATTTTGACGGGATCGGTGCCCTGCCCCGGCTGAAATTGCGCCCTCAGATCGCACGAAAGATGTTGCTAGAGGCCCACAGATGGACAGGCCAGGAAGCTTTCAAGGACGGGATTGTCGATGAGATTGCTGCTCCGGAACAGATGAGGCAGCGTGCCGTGGAGCTGGCCAAGTCCGTTGCTCCGCGTGCCGCAATGGGCGTGTACGGTCTCTTGCGGGCTGAACTATGGGGTGAAGCACTGGACAAATTCAAGGCCATCAGCTATGTGCACAGAAAGCGTGTTGGAACGGCTCCCAAAGCGAAGATCTAGATTGCTCGAGCCATGTGGTCGTATTTGGCGACACATATAGCGCGCAGTTGGTATAACCGAAGTAGGACCGGTGATCTAGTCAAAAGATATCATTTGCAGGTGCATGATTTCTTTCTCCTTTGGAATTAAGGATAGATCCCCAGGTGGAAGCCATTTTTCTTTCTCAATACACGGCCCCTTACCGCTAATATTACACTACAACTTGGCCTTGACATCACCCTTTCCAGCCTGTTCGTGACCCTGCACGCCCAGGGCCAATTCCTCCAAGCGCCTCCTAGCATTCTCGGCGCCCTCGCCCATGACGACCTCCTCGTTCCTCCAATCCGGATTGAACGTGACGAGGTTCAAGGGGTTTTCCCAATGCGCCTTACGGAACAACCGATTATAGACATCACCATCGTAACTGCCCAACGCGCTCTCGAGCAAATAATCCGGGATGGACCAAGCATCGACCAGACGGACGGCATGAGGCCTGACGTCAGTCATGAGATTTTGTATTGTCGGCATGACAGCTTGCAATTGTTGCAGCGTGATTGCGCCGGACAACAAGAACTCGGACGCAGAGACATCGAGCGTGTACAGCGCGAACAGGCGGAACAGAGTCCTCATGACTCGCAACGTGGCATTGTCGAGCGGCGGATCGGGTCTTGAGGTCTGGAAAACCGCATGGTGGAAGTTGGACACGAGTAAGGTTTCAGAGTGGGCGCGGCTGAGACGATGCAGACTGATCATCATGCTTGTCCACGGTTGTTTCTGGACCACTCGGGCATGATAGGCTTGGTAGGCGAGATAGGATGCTCTATGCTCAAATGCGCCGACTATGCCTGAGGCATCGTCGGTACTGTTGAATAGATCGTACTCAGCGGGAGTTTTAGATTGTTTGTTCCTAGCCAAAAACTGCTGGAACTGCACATCGACCGTCTCCTTTGGCTCGGATTCGGGGTGTTTGACCACTTCAGTCATGCGCTTGATGAGATATGCCGCGGTCTGCTGGGTAATCATCCAGTTGTCGCCCTCGACGGTCGGTTTGGAGAGATACTCGTTGTTAAGGGCGATCATGCCGCTTCCGCCGCCGAACCCATGTCCGCCCATGGCGCGACGGCACGTCTCGATGCCATCCGCGGCGAGCGTGGTACACAGCGACTTGAGACCCGACGAGGCGGCATGCATTTCCGCTAGCCGCGAAAAGTCCCCACTCGTCTCGATTGCTTCGCGGGTCCCGTAGTATAGTTTGTACATTGCTTCGCCGGTATAGTGGAGAGCGAAGGTGGTTGCCAAAAGGGGCAGAATCCGGATCTGCACTGTAGGATAGTTGAGCACGGCCTGCTCGGGCCCGCCTTTCGAGTCCCGATCCGAGAATTGTCGACGAATAGAAAGGTATCGCACAGCGATGGTGACTGCTCGAGCAAGCACCAGACGGGCGTGCATGACGATCTGCGCCCGTACAAATGTCAAAGATCCGTACACCACCGCCGGGTTTTCTGGTTTGATGTACTTCCCGCTATCTGCGTCGACTCCAGAGTACCTGGCCAACAGGGCCGAGTGCGGGACTCGGAAGTGCTTGAACAGCATGTACCCGTTGTCCATGGCCGGGTAGCCGTATTTGGGGCCAATGTCTCCTATGACAATCCCGTCAAGAGGTTTGTTGGTTTTCATGTCGCGGATCTGCACGATGAACTGGTGCGGGCCGTATGATTTATACTTGTAGTTGTTGGCCGTGCCTGAGTTTGAGTTGGACTTTAATCCTGTTTTCTCCGGCAACAGCAGCTGCGCAACCACAATCGCATGGTTGGCCGTGCGGCCCAAAGCCCCATTCCACCATTTACTCGCCGTGATGGTCGGGCTGTGGATGATAAATTCCTTTGTTGCCGGGTCCCAGCGAGCTTCGCACTCGATGCCCTTGACGTTGCTGCCATGACCCAATTCCGTCTGGCCGTAGCAGCCTATGATTTCCCAGTTTTCCACTTTGGGCAACCAGTACGCTTTTTGTTGGTCGTTGCTCTGCTCGCGGATCGATGTTGCGAACATGGTCGCTTGTAGCGCGTACGGACCCATCTCGTCCATCAAGTAGTCGGCCATGATGTAGTCGTCGCGATCCCAGCCGTGCTTCAGCGACAGTCTCCGAAGCATCTTTGCACGCGCGAGTCCTAGATGGTATCGGTCAGGACGGGCCATGTTGAGTTGGTTCCTCTTGCAGAAGATCGGGATCCCCTCAAGGATGGCTAGGATCTTCTTCTGGCGCTGTAGAAAGTCATTTCGGGACAGGAGATGCGTCGCGAGTTGGTTGACGTTGACGTCGGACCCGGCTCTTTCTTGAGACAGGATCTCCGGCCCTTGGGGGTCGGCTGGTCGGAGGGTGTTGGTGAAGTCAGCCATGATGGATGGAACTTTGATATCTCCCAACAGTGTTGGTTGTTTTGGACCTCCGGCTGGCTGTGCGCGTGCGTACCCCTGGGGAGTTTGCTGCCCAATTGACCTTGGTATCTTCTTGACTGTCAATACTGTATACAACGCAGCATCAGCCCGCTGGAATTGGTGTTTGCATACTGCTGCTGTTGATATTAATTGGAACTCGCCATTGATATCACATCGAGCCCTCTCCCCTCACGAAGGGTGTCAGTGGAACGTACAACCGGAACGAGGCCGAGGTTATAGACACAACCACTCGTTGTGATTCGTGCAACCATACATGGATCCGCCAACGTTCCAACGGCGGAGGTTCAGCGTGGAGCCAGAGCCGCCAAACCAGCCCGAGGCTTCACTGAGGCTTCTTTGGTTGTTGGAGACGCCTCGAGCGGTATACGTTTGCTCAAATGGGGACTATACGTCTCCCTGAAGAAATGGTCTATTTGACCAGATCCCACACTAGCATCACACCACAGGTGGCGTGCACAACTTGAATACCATGAAGGAGGACGTTGGCGCGGAAGCCAAAGTCAGTTTCGACAGGACCGACTTCGTTCCCAGTCACACAGGGGACCATGTCCTTCCCGCGGATCCATTGTTCACACGGCTATTGACACTGGCGCATCGCCCTCAGCCGCGGCCAGCGATACGCGACATCAACGCGGGAGTCGAGAGGACGGCGGCACAGTTACTAGGCGACGTGCTCAGCCTGCGTCGCATTGTGAAATCACGCTTACAGCCGCAGACCCTCGACGACCTACGGCACGGCCGGGAGGTGTACATCAGCCTCCTGGCTCCAGGGGGCTATGAATTCGCCGTGGGCGTCCTGGCCATCATGGCTTTGGGGGCGGCCGCCAGCCCCTTCAGCAGCGCGCAGCCCGTCAAAGAGGCCGCGTACTATGTCAACAAGGCTCGGTCGGTGGCTGTCTTGACTGCCACCCAGGCGCTTGGTCTAGGTGAAGCCCTAGAGAAGGAAATCCGAGCTACGACAAACCTAGATTTTCTTTCTATCCCCATCAACGCGATTGAGCGAGAGCCTTTGATCCCCGTTGACGCCATCCAGATCTCGTCGAACAAATGGTACGATCCTAATGCGCCAGGGGTGGTGATTTTCACCTCTGGCACGACAGGCCCACCGAAAGGTGCTGTGCTGCGTCGTGCGGCAATGACAGAAGGATCTATGTCGTTTGCACAGCAGATCGGACTACAGGAGTCGGATGTTCTGCTTCACTTGTTGCCGGTGCATCATGCGACGGGGATCTGGGTTTCATTCTTCCCTTTCCTCCAAACAGGGGCCTGTATCGAGTTCCGCTCCGGCAGTTTCAGCCCGGAATGGACCTGGAACCGCTGGAGACAGGGCGGCTTGACCTTCTTCACGGGCGTGCCCACCATCTACATGCGAATGATGCGCTATTACCAGGAACACATTGCCAAGTTGTCTGCTGTCGAGTCGGAAGCGTACAGAGCGGCTGCTGCTGCGTTCAAAGTCTGTCTGTGTGGAAGCTCGGCGTTGCCCAGGCCCATCGCCGATTTCTGGCACGGTCTTATGAACGGTCGGCGGATCATTCAACGTTACGGGTCGACAGAAATGGGCGTCATTTTCAACATGTCCGTGGACCCTACCGAGGATATCCCTGACGGGTCTGTCGGCCATGTCACGTATGGTGTGGAAGCCAAGCTCTCAAACGGCGACGAGGGCGAAGTCCTCATCAAGTCGTACAACATGTTTTCAAAGTACCTGCACGACCCGGAAGCTACGGCAAACGCCCATGATGCTGACGGGTACTTCAAGTCCGGGGATGTGGCACGTCGGGAAGGCAAGTATTATTTCATCGTCGGCCGGGCTTCCGTCGACGTTATAAAATCCGGCGGATACAAGATCTCCGCTTTGGATATCGAAAGAGAGCTGCTAGCCCTGCCGTATATCGCTGAATCTATGGTCGTCGGGGTTCCTGACGACGAGTTCGGCCAGCGTGTGGGAGCCGTAGTGACGTTGCGAAACGATGAGATTGCCCAAGATTTCTATCGAAAGAGCAGGCGGAGTCCCGACCATCTCAAGCTCGATGACCTTCGGGAAGACGCTCGCAGTCGTCTCGCTGGCTACAAGTTGCCCACTCTCTTGAGGGTGGTCAAGGGAGAATTGCCCAAAAGTGGTACGGGGAAGGTGGTCAAAAAGGTCCTGGGGCCACAGTACTTCCCTCCCAATTATGTTGACGATGAGGCTGTCCAAGTGTGGAATAGTAGAAAGAAGGCTCGTGACACCAAACTCTAGGCGTTGAGCATTCGCAAGCACAATTCATGTGGTCATCAAGGCGTTCTGGTGAAAAGAAATGAGTGTAGGAGAAAGGAGCGTAGAAGCCAACTGTCAAAATCTAAGAAAATACCCATGCATACTTCCAACATAAGATCAAGTAACTATCAAAGTCTAGAGAAGATAGCCAAGCATACTTCCAACATAAAAGCAAGACGTGAATCAGGAGCCACGGACATTATCACGCGTTCCACAACGATCTTCCCTCTCGTGACATACCCAAAAACAATTGCATCCCTTCCTCCCTGTCCGGGCTTCTCTTCCTCCTTCAGCGCCCTTCTTCTCCCCTTGATTGCCACTGGCGAATACCCAAACTACCACCATCCAGCGCGGCTCATTGTCTTAACTGGGCTCAGAACTGCCTTCCTACCAGTTAATTCGTCCCCAATGACGGCCACCAGAACAATTAGTCGCAGTGGTTGTGACAGTAGCAGTTTCTGTGGTTGTGGTATAGCTGGTCCTGGTGCTTGTGGTGGTCGTGACGGTCCTGGTAGTTCTTGTTCTGGTAGAGGTTAATGTGGTGGTGCTGGAAACTGTCACAATCGTCACACTGGTTGGATTACCCGAGATGGTCACGGTTGAAGTCACAGTAATCGCTGCCGTTGCAGGGCAGCTGCTTGTCGTCGTACCGTTAGTCGTTGTGGTTGGCGCGAAACTGCTTGATGTGGAGGTCGAGTTGGCGTAGAAAGTGCTTGTGGTGACGGGAGAGACTACCCCTGTGGTCGACGAGTTGGACAAGGTGGTGGTGGTGTATGTCCAGTTCGAAAAGCTTGTGGAAGTTGGATTGAAGCTAGTAGTGCTGCTATTGGTGAACATGCCGCTCATGGTCGTGGTCTCCCCAGCGGAAGTGCTTGTGTAGGTGTTGTTGATGCCGCTTGACATAGACGTGGTCAGCGTACTAGTGTAGGTACCATTGGCAGTAGTTGTCGACTCTGTAGTGGCAGTAGTAGTGGTGCCGTTCAAGATGGTCGATGTTGGTCCCACAGTGATGTTGGCACTGGTCGACCAAGACGGCCGGGAGGTCCAGGTTCGGCTACCACGAGAATGGCTGCGAGAATGTGACGAGGTGCTCGATGTCAAGCTTCCCGAGTCGGTTGTGGTTGATGTGTCATTTGTCCCTTGGATGCTGCTGGTTGTGCTTGAGGATGTCGTCAAAGGAGCAGGGGTGATGGACGTAGTTGTAGATTCGGTCGTCAATGGCCCGGTCGACACAGTGGAAGCAGTAGTAGATGCTGAGCTGGTGGTGGAAGTCGCGTTGTTAACTTGGCCGCAGTTTGCATCAACAGAAATGAGGAGGGCAATATATTGGGCATTATCAATTGGACCTTGCGTATTGCGCAGGATCCTACAGTTCTCCACGTCGCTTTCGGTGTCAAAGACAATACCAACGCAAGTTCCTTCTCCCTGGTTTTGGTTCAGGGTGTCGCAACGACGAACGCAGAGTTCTGGGCTGCTTCTAGTTAGCACATTATTTCGGAAGCTGCTGTCACTGTAGGTACGGCCGCAGACGTAAGTATAACTGGCACAGGCATCGGTCTCACTTGGAAGAGTTTGACCTGGTGCGTAGGGGCACGTAGAGCTTGAGCTTGAACTGGAGGCACTGGACGACGTCGATGACACTGTCGTACTTGTGGTAGACTCAGATGTTGGGATCACCCGCATTGGTGAAGTGTAGGGAGACTCAGTGGTCGACTGTGTTGTGCTTGAGGTAGACTCTGAGGTCGAGCTACCATCCGTACTTGAAGTGGTTGCAGTGGATACAGCCGGTGTAGCCGTTGTACTAGAGGTTGTATCCAAGATTGGGCTCACCTCACCGGATGTAGTAGTCCACGTTAGGCCTGTAGTGGTAGAAGACTCAGTGGATGCGGACGAAGTCGTCGAAAGAATATTAGACGAAGTTGTAGTGGTATCCGAGGTTGTGGTCGCCGGAGCCTCGCTTACAGTCGAGGTAGCACTGGTTGTAGCAGGCTGTTCACTTGAAGAAGTGGAGCTGGTATCGAGGGTGGCGCTGGTCTCGCTTGTAGATGTAGTCCAGGTCCAAGAAAATTGTCCCGTCAGAGATGTAGTTGTGTCTGTTCCGGTCGTGGGAGCAGAAGAACTGGCTGTAGACGTAACACTGGACGATGTCGAAGTGGACGCGGATGCGCTGACATCGCTGACAATGACCGTGGACGAGGTCGAGGAAGAAGTCGAATAGCGCGCACCAGAGATAGTCCAGGACTTGCTGCTGCTGCTCGATCCACCTCCAGCACGGTGAGAGCGAAGCCAATCAGCCCAGATCGCAGCACCATAGCTCGCTGCATCGGTGGCAGCAGGGTTGGCATTTCCGACATCGGTGCTGGTATCCGCCGCGTTGGAGGGAAATGCCTGCTGAGCAGAGGTGACAGATAGCACCGACGTCAGGCCCAGCCACAGGGCAGGGGAGAGCAGTGTAGAATGCATAGCGATGGACTTTGAAGCAGAGCCTAAATTCAAAAGAGCGACAAGGCAAAAGAGTGACTGAATTGATCAACGAGATTTGAACGAATGGCTTGGTTGGGGAGAGTCATGGTCAATGGTGATGGACAGATGGAATATATACAATGACAACGATGCTGCAATACTCCCGCCCTTGGACCAATGATTCAGAGTAATCATTTCTTCATATCCTCACCTCCAAATGTCTTGCATGTCCTTGACAAGTCATGCAGTACGATAAATGACCAGCAATTGCGAAAGCCTCGTGAGCAATTGAGAGTGACTGAACAAACCCGGTTGGCAGGATAGTTTCGGACGCAAGGGCGGTAATCAACGGGAGCCAATAATGACAGTGGCAGCCCTGAAGATAGTACAGAGCCCATTCCAATAACGAGAGGGACGGCAAGGGCTGTTTCATCACAGGAGTGCCATCCTCCAATTCCCGACATCTTGTTCACATAGGGAGCAATATCACATTCTTCATGCTTGCGGCGGCATCGATGGGTCGTTCCAGTACCGAGTCCGGACAGCTTGAATCGGCCTTCGGTGACAACATAAAGACTGCTATATTAGTTCAATGGCCATGTATAGTAGAGGCAAGGGCTGCATAGCATAGAAGAATGGTAGCCGCTTCTTGCCAGCGCCGGCAGGCAAGGGAGCGAGTTGCTGGCCGGGTCAAGCTGGAGTGCCTCTCTGTGCATCATCGTCAGACATGAGGCTGGTGGACCGCATTCACAATACAGAATGAGAGAAAATCGATCCAACGAATACAGCAATGCCTCCAGGCAGGCCAACTGGAAGGAAAGGAAGTGCCAGTGGAAGAGAGGATGAAGACAACTAAAGGAACAAAATGACGCGACTCAGGTTGATGAGTGTGGTGTATAGCGCAGTGCAGTCCATGGGCCAGTAATGACGCATTTCGAGTGGCCTGCCAGTAGTGTACAGTGGCCAGGTCCCCTTTTATGCCAACATTGGCACTAAACCAGATTAGGCAGGTCGTGGACAGGCTTACAGTATCTTACAGCAAAGAGCGGCCGGCCGCTCTATAGATATACTCCCGATATACTAGCGGTTAATAGAGTAAACTACTCGTTAGATCTATCGTCTATTAATACCTATAAAGCGATAGTAGTAGAAGTCCTTCTAGTAGAGTAGTCGCTACCTATAGATTATGTTTTCGTATTTACTGACCGGAAAAGGTTTAGTCTGTAATTTATGGGGCCCGCTTTTTTGGCATAAAACGAGCCCTGGCCATAGTAGGTACAATAATGCATTGTCCTGTACGGTTTATTATTGCCTGCACTGCGGCTCTATCGCTCCGAGTCGCTCACTCACTGCTATCTCCATCCCTTCTCTTCGCATTCACAGTACCACCCTTCCATGTTCCCTACCATTCTTTGTTTATGCATACTATGAATTGTATTTCCCATGTAATATCACTCGCATGACATTCTTTCTCATGTAACAAAGTTCCTGCTTCTTGGTGCTGTGTGGTGCGGCGCGGCTCACAGCGCTGTTCTTTGCTCGATTCACTCTCAACCCTGTCGCTGTCGCTATCGGAATGGGGGTATGCCTTTCTTGTCTAGGCTTGCGCAAAGACAGCGGCGATCAAGTATGTTGACTATACACCAGTCCGATACCTCAATCCGCCAGTGGACGTTCTAACCTGTCCGTTCTACTCCAGGCTGATCGCACACGTCTTCTTTACGATGACTATCCCTCGTCCCACGGGTACGGGACCTGGGCCACCTCGAACATCCCGTCGCAGAATGTCATGAGCCAAGAGGAGGTGCAGCGCGAACAGGAAGCTCTGGACAACATCACAAGATGGGCAAGCGAGTATGTCGTCTTACCCTCCCTTTATACCCTGGTGTGATCATTGAGCATTGATCGCCAGTATATTCACTACGAAGGATCGACTACTAACCGGACCATTCCTATCTTTTAGTCAAATCGTCGAGATCTTCCCCCATCAGCATCGAAACCTTGCCATGTCAGCGGTTTCGTCCCAGTTTAATGGCAATGGGACGGCCGAACCCAGCACCACCACCACCACCAACACCACCACCACCGACGATGCCAATCCAACGACGGTCTCCACGCAATCTCACCAAGATATTCTTTTATCGGTCATCCCTGGCGACAAGTCTAAGCGCTCGATCCGAATATATCCTGCCTCGCGGCCCACGTCGAAGGACGCCCAGTCGCTACGGAGCAAGACTTCCTTTGCCGGAGGCTTGAGCGCCAACGGCACTACTCGCAGTACTGGTAGTACCAAAGATGCTCCGGTGCTTGTCACTCTAGATGTGAACATCTGATCCTTTTGAGAGTCACGGGCCGTACCGTATGTCGGTGATCTTTGGTGGAGGAATCATGATTGGAGACCACTACCACAGAAAATGCGCACGGGAGAGCAGATCCTGGGCGCAACTCTGTCCGAGGTGATTTGCAGCATCTACTACCGTAATGCTTCCCTCCTCGACTGTTCGAAGACATACGACAACAAGGTGGATTTCTGGCATGTTTCCCTGCTTCATACTCCACGGAGAAGGCTACTTGCTTTCTTCAATGCGACAGGACCACGGAAAGGCATTCTCGCGCGACACAAAATGAGCCTGGAAAAGAGGGAAATGTAACCCTCGGGCACAAAAGCATCCCTTTCAGGATGGGATGCAACTCAACCACTTTTTGAAACCTTCTTCTTTCCTTTCGCGCTTCAAGTCTCGACTTCGTGCCCGCATGAAGGCTCTGTTATCGGACCCACAGTACTGGTTCATCCCAAGCATAACCATTTGCTTCGATTGATACGGCAACGGAGGAGGCGGACTATTCTCGGCGGCATAACTATTCACACACTGGAAACAGGGCTGCCTTAGTGTTGGTCAGTAGATGGGATGCCATTTGTGCTTTCTTAGTCTGTTGCATTCTGGCTAGGAGGGCTCTTGAATGAGAGGGCTCTTGAATGAATGCCAATGCAGGGCTGGGAGTCGATCTCATTCGCGTGGGAAGGAGGTTATTCTATTCTGTTTTCTTGTGATTCTTTGCCTTTCTCTTTATAGCCCATCGTACTAGTATTGCCATCGGGCTCTTCGCACTGTTGCTTCTGACGGGGACAATTCTACAAGCCCCGAGGGGCTCGGTTTCCTTGACCGAAGAACGCCGTGATTTGCGTTTTGGTAGCAATCCCTGAGTTCTGGTCGCTGTAATAAGTCTACTATGTGGATTCAGTCGATGCATATTCTCCACTGTGTAAAGACAAATGTGATGTTGCATGCATGGATAAACAACAAAGGGACAAAAAAAGCCTTTGTGTTCATTGGGTATTTCTGATAATGAAGTATTCGTCCAGTCTGTGCTTTGCTTCGCTTTGCCGCAAGCACTCGGGGAAAAATGGGGTATCTCAACTAACTGTCGCTGACCGAACAGGAAAAAAGGGCAACTCAACGTCTGTCCCAGCAAAACCAGATGGCATTGAGTGGTTACACCACGTGCCGCTAAACCTGGAGAAGAAATAAGATGAAATTCATAGGCCTGAAGACCAATTTCGCTGTCTCGCCTTGACTGGGATACAAAGGACGTCTGGGGGCTGTTGATTGACTTGGCGGGAAGCGCCACAGACTGTGCGGTCCATCGCACGGCGTTCTCGATATATGAACTTCTTGAAGCAAAGGAGAAAAGGAGACTGTTGCGGCTGCGGGAGTGCTCATACCATCGGAGCAATGCCGTTTGGTCTCGCCATGATGTCGATGCACCGTAGTGAGGCAAGACTTTCCTAGCACAAACACGCCGCGGGTTCTTCTCGACCAACATCCAGTATGTTCCATTCTTACTTCGCAGGCTCGGTGACTGCGGCATGCGTAGAAGTAGGAGCAGGAGCAGCGGCTGGAGCAGCAGCAGGGGTATCAGCCGGAGCAGGCTCGGCAGCCTTATCGGCGCTGGCAGTAGGAGTCTCGACGGGCGCCGCGCCTGTTGGAGGTCAATTAGCAATTGATTCCCTGGATATCCACCCCACAGTCCTTCTCGAACGTGGTTCCCGTGCTCTTCCGCGTTAAGTACTCACCCGCAGGAGGAACAGTGGGATCGCTGTTCGACGGCGCCCCCGCCGTATCCGTGGACGTTGGCTGGGGCACTGCGGCAGGCGTTGCAGTTGCAGCTGTAGTTGCGGTCGGAGTGGACGTGGTAGTCGTCTTTGTAGGAGGAGTAGCGGTGCTCGCACCGGTACCAGCACCTGTGCCGGTGCCGGTACCCTTATCCTTTCTTCGCTTGAAGATGGCCTTGAGCTTATCCATTGCGTCTAGGGCTGTATAAAGACGAGATGAGATTGGGCTTGGACAAACAAAGAGAAAAGCAAGAAGTAATAAAGGGCGGAGACACGGCGAATCCGTCTATGAAAAGAGGAGGAACAGTCACAAGAGAGAAGACGTACGGATTCCAGGCATTTCGACTATATGCAAAGGCTCCGTGGATTCCGCGCGTGAGTGATAAGCAGCAGGCAAAGGAGTGCGTAACTCGGCTAGACTCGTGTGTATAATCAAAGTAGACGGTCTCTTGAGAAGTCCAATGGAGGCCTTAAGACGGCTAATCGGAATCGCTTCCTCAGGATTCAGTGAGGAACCACCACTTATATCCGCCGTTCGGTATGGCGCGAGAGCAGGCTAGGACAGTGAGGACATCCAGGTAGATAGGCAAGCAAAATGCAAACTGGATGGCTGCGCCCTTCGACGTCTTGTGACACTGCGGTGGTGGTGAGGGAAAGCGACGTAGGGCCCCAGGGAGCTTCACTGGCACTGGACGTGTCGGCCGTGGTTGGCAAGGATTAGGGAATTAAATAGCAGCAACTGCTCGAGTCAGAGATGATCAGATCCTGAAGTAGGACTTCGCTGATTGCAAGACCAACTTGAAGGCCAGGACGAAGGCGTGGCCTCCTTAGCCGTCGCCATTTGAGGTGTAGTACAGCACGCGAAACATTGACCCCGGTTTGTTTTGGCTGGCATCATTGCCAGTGCGGCGCGCCTCCTGAGCCCGAGGCGGCCTAGAGCCTCCCCCAGTGCGCTTGCTTCAACTGCGACTCGGATCGTCTGCCAGTGCCAGTGTTTCGTTTCACAGAAACAGATACATGTAGGAGTCGGCCCTCTGTGGCTCTACTCTGTACATCTCGGGTTCAGATTGCCATCTTTTAGAACAGCAGGAATAAGCTCAACACCAGCTGATTTGTTCGGGATTCTTCGTAGAGCCATCGCACAGTTTCCGCGGTTGGAGAGAGACAGGAGACTCGCTGGCATCATGGACCCAGAAATGAGGAATCTCCCCGCACTCGACCCCCGAGGCATTTTTATAAGAATCCAATGACCGCGGGACTGTCCAGGCAATAACAAGGCACCGCAGTACTATTGAAATTGTAAGTTATTCGGTATAGCTTTCCTTGGGCATCTCATTCTCCTTGGTGACCACCGGGAAGCATCTCACTCCTGGCATTTCAAGAATATAAAAATAATCCAGCCTCGCAACGATGCGTCTAAACTACGTCGACAACCCTCCCACCAACCTCTCTCCGGAGGATCAAGAGGTTCTGGAACGGGTCAAGGCACGACGAGGTGCTATGGGTTTGATCCCCTTGGACTTGACACTATTGCACGCGCCGAAAGTGGCAGATGGTGAGTGCGAGTGCGAGTCTGGGTTTCTCTTTCGTCTCTCCTGGTCGGGCTCCCCTAACGATGGGACACAGGCTGGAACGCCTTATTGGGCGCGATTCGGACAAAGAACTCCTTACCAGCCGACATCCGCGAGATTGCCATCTGTCGGCCCGCACTCATTAACCGCGCCTGGTTTGAATGGAACGCCCATGCCCCAATCCTCCTGCAGTCGCCTGGGTTCACCGAGGAGAAGTTGGAAGTCGTCAAGCAGCTGCACCCGACCTCAAAAGGAGCTCTCGATGACAGGCAATGGGCCGTCCTGAGATATGCGGATGCCATGACCCGAGAGGTGTCGGTGCCCCAGAGCCTGTTCGACGAAGTGAAGGCGGCTGGATTCAATGAACAGGAAATTGTTGAGATCACCGCCACGGTCGCAAGCTACAACATGGTTAGCAGATTCCTTGTCGCACTGGATGTCGGCGAGGCCAATGACAAGGCTCCCGAATGGGCCAAATAGGTCAGGACTTGAGGATGTTGACAGCGTCCTGAACTCTCTTATGGGTGCAGTATGGGGTACCGGCTTCAGGGCCAAGGCCTAGATATAGAGTCGACGCATCCTGCTTCGATATCAAATGGCTCCAGCGTGGTTCTCACGCCTGTCTCTCTTCATGTTGCTAGGACTCTAGTGTCAAGACCCCTTTCAGTAATGACCGGATTCCAGGGTCAGTAGTCACAAATTATTGGTCGGACTGTGCCAGTTCTTCGGCACAAAATCACGCATCTCCGGGCGCGGAGTTCAAGTTGACAGATTCAGATCTTGCCGTGGCTAGAGGACTCGTTGGGCACATCCAACAACCCTCCGGCGTTTGATCTTCTGCCCTGTGCAGACTGAGAAACCGCACGCCGGATGTCGTTCACAACAGGTAGCCTCAACTGGATTCGTCTCAGCAAGTTCGGAGATTCCCATGAGTCCTGAACCAGCACCATTCTACTGGTACAGTACGTGTATGCAGGCCTCGCTGCCGGTTCCCCGAAGAGGAAGGGTACCGACAGCCGAGAAGGTGGTGCCTTTTCAAGAGATACTGCCGTTGCTTACCATAGCGTAGTTGGGTAGAAATTTGCGGCCAAAATGACCTGGAGGACCTTGTTGTACTGCATCAAGAATACCTAGAAATTGTGCATAGCAGCACATAAGACGTACCTAGGTAATGAAGTGTAGGTCCCGTACTAGTTCGTGGGAGCGAGCATGCAGCTGTCAGAGTGCCCATTAGTACTGGTATCGCTCCTTTCTTCCAAGAAGGGCAGCTCATGTCGAGGTTGTGTGTCCATGACGATGCCAATAAGTCCCACCATCTCCGTCATCTCCTATCGATGTATTAGACGAAGTCACGGTAACTGTCCGATTATGTGAGGATAAAATGATAATTCCCCAAGTCGATTTTCTGACTTACCCGTGGTACACTCCGCCACCTGACTGTAAACAAAGTATTCTTCAGGATTTGATCTACCAAAAAACAGAGACGCGGCAATGGCACACACAGTTTCCGAAATCACAGACTTGCGAATCTACCCTATCAAGTCCTGTCGCGGAATCTCAGTTAAATCGGCCAAACTCACGCGAGAAGGGTTGGAGCTTGATAGAAGATGGATGGTGAGCCTTCCACTACCTTACCCGGCTCTAGTTTGTCGCCTGCAGTGCATACTGGAAGTTTGTCGCTTGCCGTTCATGGATGCTAAAGCAATCTTTCCGTTGTAGTTCATCGACAGTAGCCATAAATTCGTCACCATTCGGTCAAAGCCGCAAATGACCCTGATCAACACATCCATTGACCATGAAACGGACAGCCTAGTCATCCAAATCGGCCATAACCGCGACAAACAAGTCAAAGTCCCTATTCATCCAACCCAGCAATGGCTCGAGGCAAATACCAATTTGGTGTCCGTCGACATATGGGAGTACATCACCGACGCTTATGCCTATGCCAGTCCAGAAATTAAGGGTTTATTCTCCGATTTCTTTGGCGAACCAGTCGACTTGGTTGTGAAGGGCCCGGAGCCTAGAATTTGTCGCGGTAACGGCGATCCATCCATCTTGGGACGGGTAGAGAAAGTCAACTTCCCAGACATGCTCCCTGTGCAAATCGCGTCCGAATCCTCACTGAAGGAATTGAATGGAAGGTTGAAGGAATTGGGTAAGAAAGAAATCACAATCGAGCGCTTCCGGCCAAACATTATAATCAAGGGTGGTGAGCCATGGTCCGAGGACTCCTGGAAAACAGTCCGCATCAACGGCGATAATTCCCTGCTTACTTCAATCACTGGTGGGAACCGAAATGCCATCGACCTCGATGTAGCCGCCAGGTGTGCGCGATGTACAGTTCCGAACGTTGATCCAGATACCGCAGAGAAAGATCCGCACCAACCCTGGGATGTTTTGGTGAGCTATCGAAGGGTTGACCCAGGCATCAAATACAAGCCCTGTTTCGGTATGCTCTGTTGTCCTCGGAACGAAGGTAATATTGAGGTTGGTATGCGCTTCGAGGTAACGGACGTTACCTCGAACCATCGTTTCATCAAACCTTTCTGAGTTCTTAGGGTGCAGGACTTCTCAAGCTCGTCTTGGGCATTCTGTTAGTATCACCAGCTGCGGTGGCAACCGACGCTGCCACGTATATCATGATATGATGGGGAATGCAAAGCATTTTTCAAGCACCTGGGAGCCCAAAACAAGGAGCTAGGATTGACTCATGTCCGCGCTCAAGTTATTTCTCAAACTTGTGCAAGAGTCGAATTGAGGCACACCATGTGGGAAATCCTCTGAAATTGAATGGCAGCGCCAACAGCAACTGCACGGTATGCATAGTGTCAATCAGTGCCAGTGGTACATAGCAAGGCAGTCAATGCTCCGGGTAACGTTTGCGGCGAGCCGGCTGTTTTGACGGCGGCTATCAGGGAGCTCGGACGAAGCACGGGTCGTGTTGATCACGTCCCTGCCATGGGAAGCCGAGGGAGGCCCAGCACAGTGCAGCAGCCAGTTCTGAGAGGTAAATAATATGATGCAACTTCTCTATCTTCAAGTGTTTTTGTATCGCCGATCAAGCGTGCCGCTGCCCCATTTGAGGAGCTTTAGCTGGCTGGGGAGCATGATAGGTGGGTATCCAAGTGTCTACCTAGTAGATAGTAGGACGTTCGCTCAAACCTGAAGCTGTGTTGAGGGCTCGAGCTGACTAGAACCATGCTCTTATGCGTGATGATGTTTTTGCTGGTTGGGTTGACAGCTGGTGTGGGCCCAAGCTCCGAGCTTCCCACGGTTCAAGTAGCCTGAAGCGAGGAGGTCGGTACCATGGTAGATGCAGATTGGAGGACTTTTGGGATGGTTTCTATAACCGCACATGCCACTGGCGGGGAAAGCTCTTTACCTTTTGACCAAGCCTCTGTAGCTATCAATCGAGCTTGCCATTGGAAGGATGAAGGACGGCAGAAGCATGGACTGGGAGATCTTTTGAGGAGGACGCGGTGGAGCTTGGGAGGAGCTTGAAAGGGCACGATTGGCGCAGTACCTGAATCCCCGAGGGAAATGAAAATTGGCACCAGTGAGAAATCCGAAGGGTTCTTACGATTGTCATCATCGATCGCAGCTGCGCTGGCGCCAAGGTGGTGTGAGGTGGACTGCCAGAGTGTGCCAGAGTGCGCCAGGGCAAAACTTGCTTTCAGCCGGCGCTCGTGTTTGAGGGACCAAGTTGCATGTCCGAGATGAAAGATAGAAAGGAATGCAAGATAATAACCGATTGAAATGCTAGACATCTCGATTACATCCGGAGTCAATTATTATTGATGATTGCCATGGATCAACAGAGAGGTCGACATGGGGCACGATCATGTCAATAATGCAGACGGTAAAAGGCCGATAGGCAAGGCAGAGAGGTTCCGAGAGCTCCAGCTGTCGTGCCTGGGCGATTGGCTATAGGTGCATTAGTAGCTTCCTAGGCGGGAGCTCCAGGCTTTGGAGGCTGCTGATTGCTTGCGTTGTTTTGCCCAATGCCCGCTGCCATGCCCCTCAATGGCTTCCGGAGGCATCATCAGCACCCGCGCTTTCCACAATGCTCCAGCACGCAAAGGGCTGCGAGCCATCACCGCTGCGCCGAATAATAATAATAATTCTCTCCCCGTCGTCCTCCTTCTCCTCCACCATCCCGCCAGGCTGTACATTCGACTTTGTGGTTTTGTTTCGTGCGTTCTGTATAGCAACATAATCGACCCTGCGGCTTCACGTACCAAACCATGTGAAAGGGCCCCTACACCTGCCGGGATCTCCTTTCTCTTCGAAAACAGCCAAGCGTGAGAAGACTGTCCCGATCGATGCCGTCGACCTTCGTCATATCTCCCTAGTCTCCCTCCTGCGGTCAGCGCAGAAGGTCATGCCGCCCAAAGCCGCCCTTACCGGCTCTTTTCTCGTGTCGACAGATGCAGAAAATGAGGTTGTGTGTCCTCTCACAAATCAAGATGGCTCACTGTGCCGAAAGAGATGCATTGGAGTGCGTCCTTCCCCAACGTCATAAACATCGCGTCCACCCATGACTGACTTCAATGAACAGGAAAAGCGGTATAGGTCGATGCAAGAACACATTCGACGCGCCCATCCGGACTATTATATTCCAAAACTCCCGGCTACCGAGGAGAGTTTCCAGTTGATGATCAGTACACCACCATCTCAACGTCCACCACAACCCCAACAATCGTCGGTAGCCGCGCCTGCTCGAAAAGGCCCTTGTATGTTGGACCATTGCTTGATTTGACTTATATGCCCATACTAAGATCAAGCAGCGGATGTCAGTGGCCATGCCACTTTGTTGGACCAAACAGCAACACTTGCAGGGACTGGGCAGGCTCCCGGTTCAGCCAGTGCCGCTGTTGCTCTCGCACAACTACACAACTGGGACTCTGATTTTGTAAGTCTAGGCTGGTGCTGGTTACGGTCACAGTGAGGACTGTGCTCATCTACGGTCTCAGGATGTATTCCCGGATCCAGACTACAAGCGCGAGGTGACTGCAGGCTTGGAATTGCCGTCACTGCGTGCACAATTCCATGAAGATACCCTGCCACCATTCCAACCCTCGCGCACACGCGAACTTTTACCATCTATTCTGCAGTCACCCGGAAGTCGGTATTCTTCATTACCACCCATCCAGCGACAACGCGAAAAACTCCAACAACAACGGGAGCGCAAGCCTTCAATGGGACAGAATGCCCGCAAGGGTAAACACGAACGCGGAAAAACTAGGGAATTTTCCGCTAAGGACTTTTCCCGAAGGCTGAGCGTGGAGGGCCGAAAGGCCTTATCCGCCGAACCGCCGACGGCGGCTTGGGTGCAGGGCAAGAGATGGGAAGATCTGATCGAGGCTGCAACCACGGCGACGGATGCGGATGATGATCGTGATCTCACTCCCGTAAGTCAGACGACATTTTTCGATTGTCCTCTGTTTACTTGCTGCTGCCAAGAGATCGAGATTTTGTAGATGCACCCCAGAAGGAGAGAAACCCCAGAGGGAAGCGCTGTGTTGTACTACTTTATTGTCACCATTATTACCAAAACAACAAACGACGACGACTATTATGGCCTGGTATTGTCTTCCGCACGAAGGGGAGAATGGCAAGCGAGCATCGTTGTGTGGTCTCGGGCAAGGGGAGGTCGCTGGTTGGTCACGTTATAATCGAACGAGTCTCGCGGCCCCTTGTCACTATCATGGCTACCAGGTACCCTTGATAGTTTGGAGGACGGCTACCACGATATCTTCGTCGAGCCACGACGGCGGCCATCCGAGACTACCACTTGCCTGGGGTTGCGCAACTTGAATGGTGCGAGCAAGAGCCTTTACCCTTTCTTGCTTTTCATTTTGTTCGGGTCAGACCACACAGTGACGGTCGGACTTTCGAGATCTGGGGCGGTCGGACCACAGGCCGGGGGGGTTCTTTCTGTCAGGGAAAAGTTTATGCACCCTCAGCTAATTAATGTGTACACCAACCTCCTTATTTTTCCTCATCTTTTTCGCGTTAGACTGGCGGTAATCAACCTTGCTAACACGCCCTTGGCGGTCACCCACAGATGCCACAGTCGCCAAACTTTCCGCCCGCCGCGACCACGACTGGCACCGGGTCCAGCACCACTACTGGGCCTCCTACCACTGGCACTACCGCCGCTCGTAGGCTGTCCGCGGCGGACAGTGTCGCCAGCAGTGGAGGTGCATACAAACGATCATCCCTGCCACCCGGCTTCCGTCCTCTCGGACACCATCTCTACCATCAGCCAGGACAGTACCATGCCTCTCCGCTGCAGCGCACGCTGACGCCACCACCTCCAGACTCGCTGGGACCCAATGATCCCGAGCCATTTCCCTCGGTCGAGTCATTGGAGAGCGCGGGCTCCGGCCAGAATTTCCACATTTCTGGATCAGGGCTCCCCACGTCCGCCTCGTCGAACGAGAACACTAGTCCGCTGCAGCACTACTCACACCCGTACCAGCACTCCCAGTCGTCCTCGTTTGGCAGCAAATCGGATGTGCTGGAGATCCACTGTGCCTCGTGCGGTCGGCCATGGCTGCTCAAGAACGCCTTTGCCTGCACCGAGTGTATCTGTGGCGTCTGCAGCGACTGTGTTGGACAGATCATCAGCAGCCCAGTGGTCACCGTCCAACCAGGACTCGCCCCGATGCGCCGCGGCTGCCCCCGCTGCGGAGTCATGGGCGGGAAGTGGAAGCGATTCCAGCTCGATTTTCGATAATTAATGCTGAGCGCGGCATGGCGTCGCAGTAACAGTAGGAGACTAAAATCTCTAGGGGCCACGCTCCGTTGACGGGGGGTCGAGGTAGGCAGGGGACCGTTATCTTCAAGGCTTGCCTAGGTGCCCCTACCCTCGTTCCCTCCTGACTAGCCCGGCACCCGCCTTGACCAAAGATGAGCGGGCCAGGACTTCCGAGCCGAGCGTGACTGAGACATTATTCTCTGTCACTCCGTCCGTAAAATTACCGCACGGTTCTCCGCCCGCCGCCGAGCCAACCACGGACGCGGTGGGCATAAAGAAATGCCCGGTTACGCGGCGCAAGTCGGCAAGGGCTCGGGGAACAGCCAGAAAGTAGTGCTTTCGTGAAAAGCGTGGGCGGACGAAAGCTCGAAATACTAACCTGCAAGTCAGTAAACGCATGCGGGTGGCGAGCGCAACCCTGTAAGCCTCCAGAGCGCCATGGCGCTGGGTGGTGCTGCCCGCTTGCACCTGAAAATGGTAAAACTGCGGACATCCTGGCACATTCGGAAAGAGGGAGTGTGTGAGGGCCAATCGCTTCAACACGCTTCTTTTCGCGCAAAGATACAACGTGCGGAAGTAGGTGGCAGATCACAGCCAGATTGGACGGAATGAAAAATGGAGGGAAGAACCCCTCTTGCACCGTGGCAGAAGACATCCTTTTGCAATTTTGAGGCTTTCTCTTCCCTATCTGCAGTGGATGGTCAAGACCTGACTACTGGGCGGGCTATCGGGAGAAAGCCTGGAAAACAACCTCCACCCGCGCGCCACAATGCGGGTGCGACTGGGTCACTCTGACCTCATGAAGCAATGATTGCAACACTGATCAGGATTTCGAGGACCAGAGGATGCGCACTGTCGCACAGGCCCAGGGGGAAGGAACGCGTCAAGTATCGCAAACCAACCTCACTCGGGCTGACTGCAGCTCGAGGTCGCAACCGATGCCGCCTTGGCTCAGCAGAGAAGATGCGCGTAGAATGCAATGCACATTCAGGCAGCTGGACCGAGATAACAGCCTTGATTCAGGTTACCACTGGTTAGACTTGCAATGTAGACGGGATGTCCAAAGCAAATGCAAAAAGCATTGATGTGTGGCTGATAAGCATCCACGGATGACAAGGGTGTACGTAGGTACAACGATGCTATATGCACGCACTTTACGCGGTCAGTCAAATTATGTTGGAGACAAGCCAAATTGAAGGGTGTTTGCTCCATTTGCATTGTGCTACCACGGGTGATGTTACCTTGGCCGTGGTTCTGGCTCTCTGTGTATTTCCCCTTGTTATTGAGAAGACTCAGGAGTATTGCTATACTACTATAGTACAGTCCAAAGCGCATGGAGTCTCAAGGGTTGCTGTGCTATTCATTCATCTCCATGTTGAAAAAGCCGCCACATATAAATCCAAGTCCGCATGCAAGTAGTAAATAAACAACAGTAAAGGGGCACTCCAGGTCGGCCATGTAAGACATACCTCCGGGCTGTCTGATGCGGACTTCTGGTTCGCACAATTCCGCCGCGAAGACATCTCATCCTGGCCTCAGCCTGAAAGTGCCCTGAAATGTATACACAATTGAACTCGCACCCTTCGAGTTCTGAAGGTACTGCTACAGGGCTCTCTACATCAGATACCGTTATCTGAGTCTATACCTGATGCCATCGACTCATCTTGGGCTAGATCTGTTGGCCTTGTGGTGTTGCTGGAGTAGATCACCCTCTGCTGTAGCACTGTCGCAGAATCTGCTGGTACCAGCCACTCACAGGGAGTCATGGAGAGTCTTGGGAGGATGCTTCTTGTGTTGTGTCCCGGCCTTTTAGTCACAAGGGGAGGGGCTGAGGTGTGCCTTTGCAAGATAAGGTAATGCCAGAATGCGGGTCATAATCCATGTGAGCCTAGGGCATCTGTCTTCTCCAATATGACTATCACACTGGCACGAGATGACTACCATGAGACTACCATTATCCTGTTCTCATGGGTGGGAACACAGCAGGATCTGAACACAACGCATCAGTAGCGTCAATGTACCCCAGATTCACGTGATGGCAACGCCAAGAGCTTGGGGCAGAAACAGCGCTAAGCCTAATTGGGCTGCGGCGGATTTGAGTTTATCCGCGACCTGATCGAGTTCACTTGTAACGTATCGGGACTCCATCGCGACGTGTACTTCAACAACCCTCTGTCTTTCGGAACCACGGCCATTCCTTCAACTTGTAGTGGTGAAGCACAGCAAGCCATGTCGGAAAGCATGGATGGCCGCGACCAGCCTGACGATGGTCCGAAAGCCAACTATCCTGTGCCTGGGGCATCAAGCTCGCAGTACTCCCAACCCTCATACCCTTTCCCTATCGACGCAGAGTTGACAATGCCGCCACACTATCCCGTGCCACAGTATGCGCGACAACTTGAGGATGCTGTTCCGAATGGCAATGCTATTGACAATGGTTCAGTGTCTGATCCAAACCTCAATCACCAAGGTGCAGACTCCAAAGAGACAACCACCGACCCAGCACTGGGAATGCCCTATCCATCCAATCAGCCGCCTCCGTCATTCGCGCCTCCCCCTACACGTGCCAATATCGATGAGTCGCCAGGGCAGACACAAAGCCCGCAGGCGGGTGACAAGAGAAAGAGATCAAAGACCTCCCGGGCTTGCGATGAGTGTCGGAGAAAGAAGGTATGTCTAGCATAGCACAAGTGAACATCGCGGACAAGGCCGACTGAATTGTGACTAGGTGCGATGTGATGCTCCCACTGAAGCAGATGGCACTCCAAAGACTTGCACCAACTGCCAGAAAGCCGGTGCCGTTTGTGAATTTGAGCGGAAACCAATGAAGCGAGGGCCTTCCAGAGGGTATGTATGATTCGTAAGCTTGTCGCATCAAGTTCACTAAATAGTTCATCAGCTATATTCGCGAATTGTCTGAACGTGTCGAACAAGTTGAGCAAGCACAAAAGCAGGTATTGCGCCAGTCCATGGATGCTGGCATGGGTGTCGGCTTCGGGCCTTACCCCGACACAATACTACCAGACGCAGCCACTTCCACAGCAAAGCGCGCCTCCTCGTTGAATGGTCATCCTCCATTTGCGCATTCGGACTTTCAGCGCGATCGAATCCCAAGCTCTGGTGCCTGGGGTCTCCAATCCTCTACTGCCTCTGAATCTCGTTCCCGCGATCGTACCAGTCTTGCTGTTGCGCCGGACCAAGCTATTCCTTCAGACCAATCCCTTCCTTCGGAGCTGCCTGAGTCCGAAAAAGCTGCCAACTGCGAGATAGTGCCCTGTAGCTGGTCGCCCTCCGAAGACTCGCCGTCCACAACACGTCGACGACTGTCTGTCAACTACGAGCATCCATTCAAAATGAAGCCCTCCTTTTTGGACAGATACTACAAACAGATCGACCCCTTGTTCCCTCTCCTGCCCGACGCCGACACTGTCGTCAGCCTCGTTACATCGGTTCCGAAACTCTCGAATGCTTTCGCCACTGTCGTTGAGATCTTTCCCTATGCTGTTGACAAGCCCGACATGGCTGTCGACGGTGATCAAGCAAACGGCACTTCCAACCAAGGCTCTGGTATAGCTGCCACTCGCCCGAGACGCGCGATTTCTGGGTACGAATTCCCCTACTACCGTAAACTGAAGGTCTTCTTGCTTTCTGAGACGCGCGGAAACCCAAAGAATCGAGGGGAGGATGAAAACCTGGTGGGCCTTTGGACACTCCTGCTCTTTGCGCTAAGCGCGGAGAGAGACATTGGAATGTTGGTGAACGCCAACATGGATGACGACGTAAGCAAGACATATGTGCTTCGATATTGTCTGCGTATCCTCGCTCGTCTGCGTCGAGACGAAACAGACGAAACAGCGAAGAGTTCGATCAAGGATCGAGAGCAATTTATGAGGATTGTGACTCAAGCTTACAACTGCGCCTGCGTCTTGGTTAGGTATCATTGTCTAAGTATCGGCGTTTCGATTCGGGATCTATTCCCAGAAAATGACGGACTCATAGTCGACCTTGACCGAGCCATTCCAGGAGTGTCCCCAGAAGCATCGTTCATCATGGCCTCGGCAAAGCTCATCAGTTATGTTCATCCTCTTCTCCGATACGACCCCGACGTACGATACAACGAGGTTGCTGCCGGCGCCAGGAAGGAGATAATCGAACCCTTGATTCAGGAGGTTCTCTGGAGGTTCGCAGCCCAACTGGACAAGCAAAATCCCATCGTGCAGCAAGTTACCAACTTCGTACGTTCCTTGCTGGCCCGAGTCGGTAATACTACACAGGTTGAATGGCCGATCACCGAGACAAATGAAAAAATGTTGGCAGGTCTTACCGCCGAGGCGGCGGCCGCCCAGGCTAGTCATCGCTACAATCCTCTCGAGGCTCCGGTCACGTCGGTCCTGGTCCTCACACTCTGTGAGATCCTGCGCCTCTGCAGCGTGAAAGGCTTCGCGAATATTGCTCAAAAATTCCTCGACGAAATCAAGCCCGTCATTCAAAACAAGTCACGCCTGTTCCACGAAACCTATGGCTACGAATGGTACTTCGCCACATGTGATCCCCGCGACGAAGAGAAGGTCGAAAAATATCGCATGAACCACTGGACGGACTGTTTGCTAAGAATCATCGACGAGACAGAGATCATAGCCCCGACGGTTCCGAGGGATAATGACCTAGATCACATTCGTGTGCCGGCTTTTCGGGAGACTGCAGCTACGGGTTGGGCCAACATTTTGGCGAACTACTGTCGCACCGCCTGAGCCTTGCAAGCCAAGAGTGCGGAAGGCGCAGGAAAACAGGCGGTCAGGATCTCGGTACCGATGCATCGGCGCCGGACTGCTTGATCAATTGTGATTAACATGACGATTATGGACCGGGCAACTGGAGCTCACACCGTGCTGGAAATGGAGATGGCGACACGCTGGGCATATCGCCAATGAGCTATGAATGAGTATGATGCTTTCAGTTAATGAAATGAGGGTTTGGGCGAACAGGGACAGACGTGTCTGGTGCAGTTACGGCCAACCGCGTCTTCCATATTGCACCCACGTCCAATCACCCACCACGCTTATGGCACAGAACCACAGCGGAAGGATTCCCTCCAGTGGGGAAAGGAAACGAAAATTGTACGATTAGATGACTTTCATTTTTTCGCGGATCGCTGGATCGATGTTCCCGGGGGTGAAGAAAGACTTCTGCCCAGCTTGCGCATGGTCTACCAGGTTGACCTTCAAGGCACAAACGTCAAGCGATCTCAGGTAGTTAGTGTAACTACTGCTGAAAATGGGAATCGAGTCCACCTAAGCTGCTTCCCAGCTACGAGTGTGTTAATAAAGTTGAGAGGGAGCTTCAATTGCTCTTCTAATAATATCATTGCAAACATGAGGAAATGTCTTGATTGTGTTCGCTTCTAGTCTCACGACACATACAAGTATATCGTTGTCCACAATCCCCTCCTGCCATATTATAATACGACGTGCCTTGATTTGTGACATGAATCCGGAGCTGGCCATAATGCGTGAGGGATGATCATGTCATAACAGTAACAGACGCATGAACAGGATATCCCATCTGTCGAGATAAGGGGCAAGTGGCAGGGACAGGGGCAAGGCTGAGGCAGCGCAAGAAAACTGCAGGTGGACACTCCACCGTACCACGAGTATCATCTGTGCTACTGCGGAACACTGACACATGCTGGTGTGGGGTTCCGCGGTCCACTGTCCAGTCTGCGGTTGAGGCCCCGTTCGTTTCTCCAAGCCCGAAGGACCGACCAAAAAAATCGACGATTTACAAAATACACAACATCAGTTTCTGCACGGCCATCTGACCCTGCCTACATTTGTGCCATTCCATGTTTCAACCGTCGCGGTCATGGAATCTAGCAGTTCGACTCTCCCGGCGCCAGGCGCGCCAGCACCGCAAACAGCCAACACACCCAGTGCCGCCGCCGTCACCTCCGCGGAATCGAAGTCACAACCACCGAGACCCGGTCCAGAGGCCGGGGACGCCGCGCAGCGAGTTCCTGACGCCGGCGGACATCGCGCGGGAGAAAGAGGATCTCGTCCGAAGAATTTTTCACGCAGAGGCGCCCACGGCAGTCGAGGAGATCGTCCAGGCAAGAGGAAGGATTTGGGGAGGACTGAATGGGCGTAAGTCGATACTTTTCTGTCTCTGCACCACAAACCCCTCAGGAACGCTGCCATTGTGCCTACCGGATCGAAAGACTGACACACATTTTGCTAAAGTAAGAACAAAGTAGACAAGCGGCAACGCAACGAAGATGAACAGGCGGCCAAGAAACGACGACTTGACGAGGGAAAAGCCGAATTGCCCATCTACGCGACCAAATTCAGCGAGGAGGATTTGGCCGCCGAGGCGCGGAAACCGAAAAAGAAGGTCGCTGTGCTGATTGGATATGCTGGGACGGGGTATCATGGAATGCAATTGTGAGTGTGGAACATAACACCAACTGGAAGGATTTTTCGTGGCGGGTTTATTTTACTGACTTGTTGCAGGACACACGATAAAAAGACCATCGAGGGAGACCTGTTCAAGGCCTTTGTGGCAGCAGGAGCTATTTCCAAAGCCAATGCCGACGACCCGAAAAAGTCGTCTTTTGTACGATGTGCACGTACAGACAAGGGTGTCCATGCCGCCGGCAATGTCATTTCGCTGAAATTGATCATTGAGGATCCCGACATTGTCAAGAAAATCAACGAGAATCTAACTCCCCAGATTCGAGTGTGGGGCTTCGAGCGGACAAACAATAGTTTCAGCTCGTATCAGGCTGTCGACTCGAGGATTTACGAGTATTTGATCCCCTCGCATAGCTTTCTGCCGCCGCATCCTAGTAGTTTCCTGGGAAGGAAACTAGAGGAATGGGCGGAGAAGAAGGGTGATTTGGATGAGTACAGAAAAAGACAGCAGGAGGTTGCTGGGTGGTGGGAGAAAGTCGACGAGGAAGTGATTAAGCCCATTCTGGCGGAATATGATGAAGATGTCAGAGATATCTTGGAGAGGGCGCTGTGGTTCAGGGGTGGTGACCTCGATGCTGCTAATGATAATGCCGACGTCAAGGAGTTGACGGAGACGAAGAACGAGAGCGATGTTAAGGACTCGGAAAAAACAGTCGATGTCGCCGCGTCAAAGGCCGAGATACAGAAATCTGAAAGCCACACCGCAGAGGTCGAACAGAACACATCCAAGATCAACCCGGAAAAGACAGTCGAGCAAACGACCGAGGACAAGACTGAAGATGCCGAAAAGGATCACCAGGCAACAGAAACTCAAGGCGCCCCAACTCAGTCCAAACCAGGACGAGCAGCAATTCTCCAAGAAGCAAGCAAACGAATCCGTCAAGCGTACATCAACGCCAAACGGTCGTACCGCATTCCGCCGGAGCGTCTCGCTCGAATCCAAGAGGCGCTCAACTACTACGTCGGCACGAAAAATTACCACAACTTCACGATCCAAAAGACATACCGGGACCCATCCTCCAAACGAGTCATCAAATCATTCAAAGTCAACCCGGATCCCATCCTCATTAATGGGACTGAATGGCTATCGATGAAAGTCCACGGCCAGAGTTTCATGATGCACCAGATCCGCAAGATGGTCGGCATGATCGCCCTAGTGGTCCGCTGCGGCTGCGATCCCCACCGCATTTACGAGGCCCTGGGGCCCGAGAATATTTCGATCCCAAAGGCCCCCAGTTTGGGTCTGTTGTTGGAGCGGCCCGTGTTCGACTCGTACAACAAGCGCGCCAAGGGCGACTTGGGCAAGGAAACCATTGATTTTGATAAGTATCGGGACGAAATGGATCGGTTCAAACAGGAGCAGATTTATGAGCGTATGTATCGCGATGAAGAGAGGGAGAATGTTTTTGGCAATTTCTTTAATCATATCGATGCCTTTCCGAGCGAGACGTTTCTGTTTGTCACTTCGGGTGGTATTGAGGCTACGAAGATCCCTTTGAAGGCTGGTGAGGTGGCGGCAGCAGCAGGAGGAGAAGCCATCCAGGGTGGTGACAATAGCGAGAGTCAGCAAGCCGGTCAATCGCGGTTGATTGATGTTGAGGGTGGCGATAGTGATGCTGAGGACGATGTTAGGGATAATCACGGCGATGAGGGATGATGGGAGGATTATCGTGAGCGGTGCACATCGCGAACGGTTGGTGTATACAGCCCATTGAGTATATCTCTGCTCCTTCTACGGGCGAAGAAGCAGGTCATGCACCGGTGGGGCAAAATAAAATAACACAAAAGACTCGGCATGATCAAAAGTAATGTAGGTGGCCAGTATTATATTGTGGTCATGATATACGTCTCCAAAAAGACTTTTGGAAAAGATCCCATAGATTTCACAGGACAAGAAAATAATGAACGACGGCTCGGACAATACAGGATTCTAATACATTCAATCATTGATAACTTATCTACTACCTAACCTATACGCCATGCCGGACACTGACTGACTGACCTAACCAAGCTGCTCCTGCTCCTAGTCCTACTCCTGCACTTGATGATTGAATTGCACTTTTGAGTATCCCCAATCCCTTAGCCCTCGATCTGGAAAGTGGTCCTGACGCCCATGGCAGCGAGTTCGACATCTAGATACCTCAAAACACCAGGGACATTGACGACGGTAGTGTTATCACCGCCGACAAACTTGCGACCCGCGCCGTCCTCCCAGACCGACAATTTGGGATCATCAAAGGTGGCAGGACGGGCACAGGCACGACACCGGACCATGCCACTGGGATCGACACGTTGGGCGGCGCGGGGTTTGTTGCTGTTACCACCGGCGAGAGCAAACTGGTTGGGGACCATCATGGTGGACAAGAAAGAACCGCAGGAGCGACAGACCCAAGCACGTTGCTTGTCGGAGCAATCCATAAGACGGTCCTGCAGCAAATAAGCGCAGCCGTGGGCGATGAGGGAGTCGCGCTCCATTTCGCCGACACGGATACCACCGCCTTTGCTACGGCCCTTGATGGGCTGGCCGTGCAAGGCGTTGACGGGACCCGTGGTCCGGACCTGGAACTTGTCGCTGACCATATGTCGCAAACGCTGATAGTAGACGACGCCGATGTATATGTCGGCGGCGAATTCTTTGCCCGTAACCCCGCTGTACAGCGGCTCATTGCCGTAGAAATTGTAGCCTGCCTGCCGGAGCTGCTCGCCGAAGAAATCGCCCGCCGTGTGGTCCTCGTCAAAGGAAAAGGGCGTACAGTCCTGCGCGAGACCATGCAGGGCGCCCGATTTCCCGGCCAGCGACTCGACGAACATGCCGATTGTCATTCGGGAGGGAAATGCGTGCGGGTTGATGATGACGTCGGGCTGGATCCCGCTCTCGCTGAACGGCATGTCTTGACTGGGCCACAGCATCGAACATACACCCTTCTGCCCGTGTCGTGATGAAAACTTGTCGCCGATGATGGGTCGTCGCGGAATCCGGTATTTGATGCTGATTGCCTGGCAGGGCTGGTCTCCCGTCTCGGTTCCAATCAATCGGATCTGGTCGATGTATGCTTCTTCCGCGTCCTTGTACTTGAAGTACTTTGTGTTACCGTCCAGGTTTTTCAGTTTGCCTTCCGACGGGTCAAACATGACGCTGTGGTATGCTAGAACCACCGACCCTTCGCTGACTTTCGTCCCCACGGCAGGTAACCCGTCTGGATCGAGGGTTTGGAGTACGGTCTCGGAAATGTTGGGGTCTCCTTCGGCAAATCCGAAGAGTGACTTGATTTCAGTCTTGGAGCGGCTCGATCGTGACTTTTCGTTCAATTCGTACACTTTGGTCTTGTAGATGACTCCGTCGCCGAAGCCACGCTCGTGTGCTGATTTGTTGATGATCATGGCGTCGTCCATGTCGTACCCTGTGTATGAAATCACCGCCACGACCGCGTTCATCCCGTTGGGGAAATTGTCCAGTCCGTACTCATTGTACAGCGGTGGCCGCACCACGGGTGTCTGTCCTGTCTGCAGGAGATATGCTTTGTTGTCCGTCCGACACATCATGTTGCTGGACGGGGTGCCCATCGCTTGCTTGCTCATCTGGCACTGGTACATGTTTCGGGGGGATTGGTTGAAGTCGGAAAACGGCGTCATGTTGGCCAAGATGGATAGGATGTTGGTCGGCTTGTACTCGATATGTGTCGTCAGGTTCGGGATGATGTCGGCGTCCACGCAGGCAATATTCATGTATTGCTGTTCGAAGGGTCCAACGTAGTCGAGTTTGTCTGACGCAATATATTTCACTGGCCGGAGCATGCGAGATGGGTCCGTGAAGAGGTAAAGGCCAGGATAGAGGCCTCCGTTGGAGGTAGGAACAAAGCCGATTTCGAGCTCGGTAGGGATGCCGTGCTCGCCGTTGACCTTCCAATGCCGCAAAAGTTGCGAGATCTCTTGCGCCCGCTTCACCGGACAATAGCCGAGTATTCGACCGTCCAGTTGAACCGACAGGCTGTTCTTGACGTCCATAGCAGGCACGGGCGAAAGCCCAAATTGACTGATGGCCTTTTCGACGCCTGTGGTATCTATTCTTTTGATTTGAACCATACATTGATGCGCAAGATGATTCAAAAGCCCACACGGCGAACCATCCGGTGTGTGAACGGGGCAAAGAAAGCCCCAGCTTTCCGGTAACAACTTTCGCACCGTGGTCGTCTTGAGCTGTGCAAAGAATGTACCTCTATGGATGCATCTGAAATGACTGATGAATCGGTAAAAGTTGATCTTTTCGGCCACGATCGTAAAGCCGGATGTCTGCGAGAGATCGAGGCCAGTTTGACTGACCAGGTTTCCAGTCGACAAGAAATATTCGAGTCTACCAGCCAGGTTCTCATTCGTCCTCCGCACGACCTTGGGCAGAAAATCGGTATCAAAGCTCGGATCGGCGAACGTGGCACCGTTCTTCATCCTGATCCACTCTCGAGCAGCTCCTCCAATGCTCACAAGCCAGTCATATATGCTTTCTTTCAAGATCATTCCATAGAGGAAGCCTCCCAGCAAGATCTCCTGATTGGACACGGCATCAGGGTTGTCAAGAGTACAGTCACCGGCGGCCAAAGCATATAATTTCCTAATCATGTAGAGAATCAGCTGGAATTTGTCGTTATTTTGAGCGGGAGTCACGTCCACATTGCCGAGATGTGGCAGGACAATCTTCCGCAAGAAATCCTCGCCCACTTTCTCGTCCGGCATGGTGATCGGATTGCCTAGCACAGGCCGGAACTTGTCACCCAGATAAGCCAATGTCTGAGCCCTCGTCTTCAGGTTGTATGCTTTGTATGTTCGCAGAAGAAGTTCGGTCCGATCAGACACAAACGAGCTTGGTGTAGTGGAGCCGGATGCAGTGCCGATGATGCCTTCGGCGATCTCGCGGTCGTTGGTCTCGACCAATGCCTTGAGGATCATAACCACAGGCACGAGGTATTCGTTTTTCCGCCACGAGAATCGGAAAGTGACATTTCCATCGGTCAAATAATGAAGAACATTGGTCTGCGAAGTTTGATCGGGTCGGACCGAACGGATCTGAATGCCGAATTTCGAGAACGTCGGGCCTCGTGCGGTGAAAGCATTACGAGCAATGGCCATTGGATAGTTTCGCCGGGAAGCGATCAACATGCGTATGAGCTTTTCGTTTCCGTTCACGATGAAGTAGCCACCCAATTCCTCCGATTCCTCTTTATGCCGCACCATCTCTGCAGGCGAGAACTTTTCCAGATGACACCTGTTTGAACGCAGCATGATGGGCATCTGGCCAACATCCCGAACGGACTCCTTCCAGTCTCCATTATTGATTCTGTATTGTAGCCTGAGTCTTAGCTTCCCTCGATAAGTGGCGTGTCGTTCTCGGCACTCGGCCGGGTAGATGTTTCGGTCCTGAATGCTGAATTTGTTGGACGGCGGCAGCACGGCCTTGTCGAGCATGACCTCGGTCACTCTGAGATCGAGCTTGTTCCGGTGGATTGTCTTGCTTGGATTGCGCAGGTCTCCATCCACAATGGTGTAGATTCCAATGTCCTTCAATCCAGCGTCAAGCAGCTTTTCGTCCCATAGTGCGTTGAATGACTCAATATGCGGCTTGACTGCAGCCTGAAGGGCCGGGAAGGCGCTGCGGTCCTTGGGCGTGTTCCTGAAGAGTTTGTGCCGTCGGACCGTGTCGTATTCGACAGACCATTTCGTGCTGGTCTTCGTCGTCGTGGACGACATGGCGGCGGTCTGACAGGGCGCGTTCGCAGCTGCTATAGTATCAGGCGTCGCCCTGGCCTATGCTTGTCCTCCGTACTTGGACAACGCCGCGCTGCTCCTGTCGCTGAAAAGATTGAATGTCCACTGCGGGCGAAGGCATCTGCAAGAGACAACGAAAAAGTTTCTGGCTCTTATCGATAAGGGCAATGGCATGGGCTTGAAGTGGCTAGCTCAGAATCTGCCGTCGCCGCTTTTACACAACCGACTCCAAGAAACAACAACTCCGTTCAAGTTCCGCAAGACAACTTGCAATTGCTACAGTTCTTGTGGTTGATGCAGGATTAAACCCCTTTATTTAGCTATCATTTCCACATCAACTTCATTTCAAACCCTACAAAACGATCATTGACACCCCAGCCCTATTGTTCTCCGTCTCAACAGCTTAGGCACCACGGCATGTTCCGAGGCATCCATATCGATGAGCTCGTACGAGATATTCCCACGCCAATACAACATACGACAGAGCCTCAAGCTCTGGACCTGAGGAAACACCCTTGGTAAGGCTTCTCCGAGACTTCTCATTCTCGCACGTTCCTGGCGAAAGTTTCGGTACAGGATGGCCATTCCGGCCGCGGGGGTCGCAGTGGCGGCCGTCGTCGCGACAAGTCTGTTATGCGACGGTTTGGACAAGGGCGTCGTGAAATAAAATTCGACTTCATTTAGATTGGGCAATTCCGTGGCCCGGCCCACTCTCTCGATCAACAGATGCAAGTATCCTCGTGTGCCAAGTCAAACAGCTCGTACGACAGTTTTTGCGTCAACTGGTACCGAATCCGGGTAATGTTGTCGCTCAGGAGTGGATGCAGAAGCAGGGCTCGCAGGTCGCAAACGGCAGCTCCCGAAAGCGACGACATGTGCGGCACCGCGCGAGGAGGGATGGCGCAGAGCGTGAGCGAAATATCGCGCGCCTGCGGAAATATCGACAAAAGTCGAGACAGCAGCCGATCTGGAGCGAGGGGAAGATAGATCTTGGCTTTCAAGCGACGCTCAGGCGTGAGGCTGGATGTTGTCTGTTCTGCCATTGGGATGCCGATTTCGAGTCGGCGCACCAGCTTGCGGTGCGGCAGCCGTGATGGCCGTGTCAGGCATCCGGGCTGGGCATAGAGGACCACTTTGGCCCGCAGGTACATGAGTCGCACGGCTTCGGCGTGGATCTGTCGGCACACCAGCAGGATGGATGGACATGCCAGCGTCTTTGCTCGGTCTAGTTCGACCCAGGACTGTTTCGGACTCAGGTAGATGTACCGTTCTAGCGGTTGCAGCACATAGGTGAGGATCGTTTGCCGTACTTCCACAGGGAGGTCCAGAAAGCGACTGTGTGGGATTGCCTCGGGCTGTTTGTCTTTGATTTTCATCCTCTACCGCTGATATGCTGTAGAATGAATAAGCGAACTAAGTCATGCTGGAGGGAAGAAGACTCAGAGGCGACTTGTGCGGGCAACACGAGGAGTAGGCCAATAGTGTCCAAGCAGGAGTGTTACTACTGAGAGGACCGAATGCCTAAGGTAGATAGGCTGAAGGGTGGCTGTGTTGGGTAGGTCGGTGTTTATTCAAATGATGAAATCTAATATCCGTCGTAGGTGGCGTATCGCAGCCTCGCCGATTCAACGTCCAGTAGGGGTCCGGGTCCAGGCCAAGTCGCCCCCAGGACCCCGAGTAGACTGCGTTTTGTAAAGACCCTGGAAAAAGTGCCATAAGGTAGCGGGACAAACACCAAAGGGCGACAATCTGCCCTGTCAGACAGCTCGATCAGCCCCCACATCGTTAAAACGGGCAGCCCTGTCAAGCGCCACGCCGGCCTTCGAAGTTTCAGCTACGCAGAAGACCCTCGATTAGTCAGCTATCTTGAAGCCACGTGATCATATTTTTATCAACCAGTTGAAGGGACTCTGTTCCCGTTCCCATTTCTCAAAGTCCAACCTGCACCTGCCAGTGCCTGGCCGAATAGTAGTCTACTTGTTTATGACTGGAGCCCGGAAGAAGAAGACACTGTTACTATAACATTGTTTTTCACGCTGCAAACCTAAAAGCACTACCAAGAAAAGATGACTTATACACCGAATAACAAGACGCTTTCTGCTGTACTTCACAAGCCTGTCCGCCTGGTCCAAAAATAACCACCACCGTAATATCTCTGTCACGACTGTTCAAGCGCTAAGCACCGGTCAAATACTTGACCAGCTGTTCCCTCTCGCTGGTAGGAACAAGACTCAGGACCTCACGGACTCCCTTCAAGCCTCCCTCTTTGTTGCCCATCAACAGATCGGCAACCTTCTTACTGATTGACTCGCTCTTGACCGCATCGATCTTGGCGTACACTTCCTTTCTGTGACTCTCGTACCACTCAGCCACCTTGCGATCATCCTTCTCAAACTCGACATCCAGCAGGCCAGACCAGTGTTTGAGCAACGCCAGGTTAGTCTCTCTCGCGGCCATTCCGTTAGTTGGTGGAGAGGCACCGCCAGCTGCCTGACTGCTGCTGAGCTTCTTAAGCAACACTTCTTCAGACAACCTCCTGCGGAGACGCCAGTAGAAGAATCTTCTCGCGTTCTGCCATTTGAGTGGCATCCGGATGGCTCCTTTGGCTTGCATGCGTCCAGCACGATCGTGGAGATCGGCAAATTGAAGGGCAATCTGCTGGTAAACGGGCTCAAGAAGTTTTTCGCGCTCGGTCATCTTGGCCTTGATCTCGTTCATCTGGTCGGGAGTAAGGTCCTTGCGGAGCGACTGAGCTTTAAGCTCCCCATAGACCGGATCCAGTCGGGCCATGGTTTCAAGTTGCTTTTCGCGACGGTATTTGATACCCACAATACCTTCGGGCTCCAAGACGCCACCGCGAGATTCCTCGTCAGCGTACATCTCCATCTGTTCAGGATTGATGGTAGGATCGACCACGACCTAAACGCAAGTTAGTGTCTGCAATAATTCGAGTCAGGATGTTGACTTACCCATGATCCACCACGAAGTTCGCCGTACGGAGGGATGTAGACGAAGACTGGTTGCTCATACTTGACAAGGGCATCGACAATGTAGGATCCATATTTGAGCACCTCGTTGTACATGTCGCGTTGGCCACCGGAGAAACCACGCCAATTGGCGAGGATCATGACGGGAAGTTGTTCGCCATAGTTGAAGTCTTTGAGGGCTTGAGCAGTCTTGAAGGCGGAGTTGGGGAACCAGACACCTCCAGCTTCCTGGACAACCTGCTCCATGGAGTCGGCGTTGGCAGGGTCAGCGGGAGTAACGTTCTCCACAGTGCGAGTCTCGACTCCAATGACACCCATGGGGATGCCACCAAGACGAGCACGACCAATGACAACAGTTCGTGCCCAGCCGCCGAGGGCCTCCTGGAAAGAGTCCTTGTCGAACAAACCGGACACGAAGCCTTCCTCGTCTTCCTTGCCGGCGATGAGGTGTCGAACATCATAAGGCTGTCGTGGAGGAGGATAAAAGCCAATGTCACGATCCCAGGTATCAGCCGATGGGCTCACCGGTACTGGTTGACCCTTCTTGTCAGGGATGAATGACATCCATTCAACGATCTTCTCAACACCCTGGAAATCGTCACTGGCGGTCATGTGAGAGACACCATTCTTGTACATGATTTGAGTGCCACCGAGTTGCAAATTAGAGGTGTAGACCTCCTTGCCCAACACTTTGTTCAGGGCAGGGGCACCGGTGAGAATGATCGGTTGACCTTCGATCTGGATCGCACGCTGACCGAGACGAACTAGGTATGCACCAATACCCACAGAGCGACAAGTCACCAGGGTGATGGTGAAGATGTCCTCATAGGCCCTAGAGGTGGCGCCGGCAATGAGACCTGAGCCTCGCAAGCATTCCACTCCCAATCCGTCTTTGGCCCCGACGATCGTGGTGATCTTGTGCCGTTCCTCCCCGTCCTCGAAGACTTGTTCAGTGATGACTTCCTTGTTGCTGAGTTGCTTCCGCTTCTCGGGCGTCAGGTAGAGATACTTGAAACCTGCCTCGGGATGTGCTTCATCATTCCAGGCCACGGAGAAATGCGGGATGAGTTCATCAGCCATGCCAATCCGGGCACCAGAGTTGGCAGACAGATAAATGCGAGGGATACCAAGCTTCCTAGCAAATTCAGTGCACTTGAAGAAGAACTTGTCTTCCACAGGACCGAAAGATCCGATTTGGTAGGTGATGTCGTTGGCAATGATGACAAACCGTCTACCTCGGGGGTACTCAGGAGTTTTGGCTGTTAGCAGCCATGCAACCATACCGCAGGTGTTGGTACCGGGCTCGCGCGACACCTCGGTGACGTTGTCGTTGTCATCGAGGATGAGCTCGCTGTACTCAAGGCACATCCCAACCTCCGGTCTTGACTCGGCGAGAGGGGCATGCTTCGCAATGGCTTTGGCCCAGCTATTGGAAATGGCCTGTCTAAACAGTTCGGGGAAATCGTAGACATATTGCGTGCCCATCAAATGAGCCTTGTAACGCTTGGGCTGCAACCATTCCTTGGTCGGGTACGGGGTGGAAACTGGTCGGAGATGCATGGAGCCAACCTTAGTAGTACCGCCAATACTCTCGAAAACCCACTCGCCGGTGCGGGATTTTCTCTCGACATACGACTCGACTTGGACGACATATCCAGACGTATTCGTGATCATAACACGAAGAGGATATGGCAACCCAGTGTCGGGATCAGTGCACAAGATTCGGATTTCCGCGCCGGTGATACGAAGGCGTAGGAATCTCCGAGAGAACCGCTCCAGAAAGCCAGCAATTTGCTCCTCGACGTCTTTGGGTTGCAAATTGAATGTCGGGGTAAAGTTGATGAAGATATGGTTCAAATCGGAGTTGTTGTTACCGATGATTTCGAGAGCGTCACAGATGTCGTTGACGAGACGATCTGTCTCTGAGATCAGGTATTCAGCGGTGGGGATCTCGTCCTTCAATCGACCAGGACGGACAACGGCGCGTGTAAAGTAGCGCTTGTCAACAACCTTATCTCTTTCGTCGCCCTTGCCGATGGCCTCGTAAACATGGATATTCCTATTTTGTGTGAAAATAGGCTTGATCTTGAACCTCGACAATCTTCCCAGCTCCAGTTGGAACGCAAGGGCTGGTTCATTGTGTCTGATATCCATGTCTTCCTCGTAAGTCGGGCCACGGAAAGTAAAGTATCCCGGGTAAGTTCCCTCCTTGTGACCGCAAATGAAAGTGATACGGCGGACCTTGCGTGCCAGGAGCTCGGACTTGTATTCAGCGATCAGGCTGTGCAAACGTTTCAAGACCTCCGAATCATCCAGGCCTTCGATGTCGCGGATAGCGATATTGACGACATTGGTCAATTCGTCATCCGGCACCTCGGGCTTTTGTTGCTGCGGTCTTCTCTGACTATCCAGTGTCGGCAGGAGTTGTGGTTGGCTGGGGCGTTTGTCCTTAGACGCCTTGGGGAAGGCTTCCAGGGCACGCGCAAGAGTCTCATCGGCCTCGTCCAAGTAGTGGCAAGGTGCGATGACGCCCTTCCGAGTAGGCTCATCCTCCCCTCCTTGTACCTTGTTAAGGTACGACAAGTCACTCACAGAGGTGATGCGCTTGAATGGATTGCCCTGCTGTGAAGGAGTCGCTTGTCCAGACGGGAATGAGGACGCCAATGGCAAGCCAAACTCAGATTGTCCGACTTTGCGCAGAACGAAGTCCCACGAGATGAAGAAAGGAGGGTCCACATCATTGTGATACTCAATTGACTTGACAGTATAGGCACGATACGCGCGGCGGATGTACACTTCAAGGGCAGCGAGACCGACCCAAGGGTCGTGGTGCGCGAAGAATAGCGGGAGAACATCGAAGACCGTGTAACGTGAGTCGACCACTTCCTTCAAGACATCGAGGTCGGGGTCACGGTGCTCCCAGCCCGTCTCGCCATATTTCGATTCCACCACCGAAGACTTGAGAATGTGCTCCATCTGCGAAGCTCTCTCCTCTAGGGAGGGTAAAGCGCAAAGGATCAACAACTCGCGTGCCTTCAAGGCGACCTTAGCGGTAGCACGCGACTCGAGCTCGGTAAGCTTGCGAAGGTAAGGTCGGAAATACTTGCCCACGTTTCCGACATTGGGCTGGTTAGGTCGGTACATGTCGAGGATTGCAATGATAAGATTGTTCTTCGCTGAAACACGCGTATGGGACAGCACCGTGAACACGACAGAAGTGAGATCATCCTTGTGCTCATCTCGGAGTTTGAGAATGACGTCCTCATCGCGGTGACTACCGGAAGCAAAGAGCTTCTCGACTTGGTAGTATTGGTCGAGCAGGCCCGTAAAGACCGAGAATTCATGAACCTTCAGACCCTCCGCATATCGGTTGATAACTTCCTCGAGAGGTGCCAAAGTGGTGCGAAGGGTCGCCCCATCGGCAGGAGACATGTTTTCTTCAATGTAACGGTTGATGGCCTTTTGCAATTGCTTGGCAGGGAACTCAGCCTTGCGGGAATGAGCTCGTTCGACAATCTGGTCAAGTTGAGCATCAAGCTTTTGCGGCGTCCTAGAATGGAGGGCGGAAGCTCTTGCCGTCCATTCGCCATAAGGCAATTCTGGGTCTCTCAACACGGAAACCAATTCTTTCAGGGTGGACGCCATGATAACTTGATTATCGAAGCCCATCAAGATGTTCTGCAAGATGCCGAAAAGAAGCGCGAAACGCTGGTGGGGCTTGTTGCCGACGACTTGTGGAGGACCAAGATCCGGGAGCTGTCCAGTAAAAGTCTCTGCAGTCTTGACTCGGGACGGGTCATCGAGTGCTAGTATGCCCAGGATGTCACCAGCTTCGAGCGTGGCTCCTGGTTGTTTGATGAATTGTACAACACCGTCTTCCTGAGCAATAAGCGGCATGTACATCTTCATTACCTCAACTTCGGCAAAAGGCTGGCCAGCTTTCACGTGAGCGCCATTCTCCACAGTGTACTTGACCAATTTACCCGGCGACGGGGTCCGGAGCTGAGTTGGGTCGTTCTCCTGCTCAAGGAGGCAGGTCTTGCTATCAACGCTGAGGCGGATAGCGGTGGCTTCCTCCTTCCAGTAAATGCTGTGAGATCGGCCAGCCAAGAGCATCAACAAACCGCCGTCCGCAAGAGTTCGCACTCCAACCGAACATTTTGAGCCGTTGATGAAAATGTGGTAACTATCCAGACTTGCTCGGGTTGCGGTGAATTTGTACCTCTGGCCCTCGTAGATAAAATCGAGGGGAAAGACGGTTTTGAGCAAATCTTTTGGAGGCACTTGACCCTTCTCCAAACCCTTGCGGTACTCAGCAATGCAGGCCTCACTTGCAATGTGGGCTTTGGTAAGAGCTCCGGCGAGAACAGCAAGCATTGGGTCGGGGCGTTCGGCTGTCAGCTTCTTCGAAATCAACTCATCAAGCCAACCAGTGGTGATGGTATTTTCCTCAAAAGCCGGGGTCTCCAGCAGCTTGATCAAGTATTCAATGGTGGTTCTGAAATCACCTCGGATGCTCAATTCTTTTAGAGCAACGACCATATGCTTTCGGGAGGCAGATCGATTCTCGCCATATGCAAAGATATGACCAAACTGGCTGTCGGAGAAGCTGTGGATGCTGGAATTGGAAGACACGGAGAAATAACCCCAGACGTTGGAACTGGAGCGGAAGTTCAGGTCGTGCATGGTACCGCTTGAGGGCTTGAAGCCTTCACCGGGATCTTCAGACGTAATACGGCAGGCGGTAGTATGGCCCTTGGGCCGCGGCCGGCGCTGAGTCTTTAGACTGGCCTCGTTCTTGAAATGAAAGTCAATCTCGGTCGACGTGTGCGGGTCCACGCCATACAACAGACGAATGTCGCGAATCCGATGAAGTGGCAGGCCCATGGCAATCTGAAGCTGGGCAGCAGGCAGGTTGACACCGCTCACCATTTCCGTCGTCGGATGTTCCACCTGCAGACGGGGGTTCAGCTCAAGGAAGTAGAACTTGTCGTCCGCGTGCGAGTAGAGGTACTCAACCGTGCCAGCCGAAACATAGCCCACCAATTCTCCCAATCGGACGGCAGCTTGCTCCATCTGGTGGAAAGTCTCTGGCTTTGCGACTGTGACTGGAGCTTCTTCGATGATTTTTTGATGTCTGCGCTGCACGGAACAGTCTCGGCCGAAGAGGGAGATATTGTTACCGTACTGGTCCGCCAGAAGCTGCACCTCCAAATGACGGGCGTTCCCTGCAAGCTTCATGATGAAGATGGGAGAACCAGGGATTTCGTTGGCCGCCGCGTTGTACAAGGAGACAAAGTCCTCTTCATTCTCGACTTTTCGGATACCTTTACCACCTCCTCCTTCTGAAGCCTTGACCATCACGGGGAATCCAATCTTCCTCGCAGCCTCCAAGCCTTCTTCCGGCGAATGAACACAGCCTTTGTCGTAGACTTCGTCTTTGACAGTAACGATGCCGTCCTTGTCAATTTCCACCTCGTCAACACCTTCTCCAGACCAGGGAATACAGGGTACTTTAGCATGTTGCGCGACAATTGTGGAAGAGATTTTGTCACCCAGAGATCGCATCGCGGACCCTGGAGGGCCGATGAATATGATCTTCTTTGGCGACGCTGCCAACGACTCTGGTAGTTTAGGGTTTTCTGAGGCGTGACCCCAGCCGGCCCAAACAGCGTGGACGTTCATACGCTCAGCGATATCAACAATCAGCTCGACGTTTGCATAATTGTTGTTATTCGTGCCTCCTGGCACCTGTTATCCTGTGGTCAGCCCGAGATCTGATTTGCTTCTGGCGATTGCTCTTTTTTCCGTACCTCAACATATTGATCCGCCATACGAATGTAGTCTGCGTTCGCCTGCAAATCTTCTGGTGTAGCCATCACCGTGAATTGAATGGCACGCTCATCGCCGAATGTCTCGTATGCCCATTTTCGTACTGAGCGGATTTCTTTGACGGCTGCGATACCGTTGTTCGCGATCAAAACCTACGTTCAAAGTCAGCTGCGCCCATGGCACACGGCCTGTACTGTGGAAACTCACAGATGTAATCACTGAGTGCCCATCATGCTCCTGGACAAAGTCCTTGACTCTGCTGGGAGGGGCATTCTCTAGGCTGTTTCCCCCAATGAAGTGGGAAGCGATTTTGTGCTTCGCCTGCCAGGAGCTGGTCGTGCCATCGGTGCCGTTTGGCAGCGAAGACCTTGCAGCCCCGTTGACACCATTGACGGTGGGAGCCATGATAGTCAAGCAAGCTCTATCTCATAGAATTAAGTTCTCTCTGTCTGCAACAGCCTCGGACAACGGGACTCGACAGAATCGTGGGTTGCGAGGGGTCGAAGCGTCAAAAAAGAATGGGAGTCCGGGGATACTCCAATTAAAACCGATGTATGAGATCACCCACCCCGAACGGCTCTACTGAAGCTCAAGAGGAAAGTGATAAAGAACGACGGGGTCGGAGGAAGGCCGTCAGAGGGAGTCAAGAGTAGATGAGGACGAAAGAGGACAAGGGAGGAAATCAGGTCAGCGATATGAGACGGCAGCGAGGGACGAAGGCGCAGGGAAGGTAATAATATGTTCCCATACTACAGGTATTACAGACAAGTAGGGTAATAAAAACAAGGGCAGTGGTAGCTGCAACGCCGCGACTGTGACTTGTTGGATGGGCGGAGGAAACGGGTCTAGCGCAGCGCAAGGCGGGCCGCAGCCCAGCAGCGAGCGAGTCCAACTGTCATCAACATCACTGCGTGGTAGGGGGTTTACGAGCAAGATGCAGCGCTACGTAAACAGGGCCTTCTTGGGCGTCCCAAGGCCAAAGAGTGCCTCCGGGGGCGTCAGCCTCCAGGCAGCTTCGCGCAAAAACACTCGCCTGGGAGACCCTGTGTATTCGGGCGGCGGCCACAGGGGGGGTGGAGGCAAGACAGCATTTTTAGTTGGGGCTGCATCGCCGAAGAAGCCAACCGGGGAGGCGCCCGGCCTGATTGGATTGCACACCCTTTAGGCTTTCCTTAGGCGGTCGATCCGGTCGCTGATTAGGTGCAACAGCAACCAACGGGCCCACAGCAGCTCCTCTGTGCAGAGCCCAAATCCCAACCCCAACTCCAACAGTTTGCTCACAGACGCTACAGCAGACGTAAGTGTATTTTGCTTGCCGCCATCGTGGTTGTTGAGAGCCTGGTGCATGACGTCGGCTCCCCCATGGTGGGTATTGCTCGTCCCCAGTAACTGACTGTACCGCCATCAAAAATTCTTCCGATCGTCCCTTGTCACCAAAGGTTTAGAGGGCTAGCAATATATGGCCGTGGCTGCTAAGGGTATCACGGACGGATGGAACAGTCCTCAACCATGGCACCTCAGGGTAGGAGAGGAACGGGATGTTGGACGATACCTACGCAACAGCAACCACTAGACCTTCCTGCGTCGCACCGACGGAACGGTCGTAATTCGTACAACGGTATAGCTATACTACGATATTGATTGAGTGAAGGAGACATTCTTTTTCGTGCGGCCGTTGGGCTTTTCTCCTATCTCTCTTCAGCCTCAGGTGGGGATCCGCAGAAAAGGCTGGCTACGGGTTAAATTTCAGATCGATATTCGATGTGGCGTACGAGACGGAGTCCGCAGTGGTCCTGATGCCAATACACAATTTCGGAGTCCGTAGTTGGTTGCATCTCTTTTATTATGCCACTATCCACCAACAATGAAGAATATTCGTCATGTCCCGACACTGCCTTTATCTCGATCGTGCCGCTCTTTCTCTGCAAGGGCGGGTTTGCATGTAAGGAGTAGGGACGTCAGTATTTGTACGTCGACAAGAGGAGCCCGGGCCAAAGCCGCAGACGTCTGATGCGGACACCTGTTCCACGGCTGATGGACTGAAGAGAGGTTCTCGGTCGAAATGCCTGCAAAGATCTGGCGGTCCCGGCACAAGGGGGTCAGCCGAGTTTGGCCCCGATCCCCAAAATCTGATGGGCCTTTTTTTGGTGCCAGGTTGGACGAAGGTGAGACTGGCGCGGGATTCTAATTTTGGTTGTTGGGCGCCCCATCAATCTGGCAGCCCGCAAGTGCCTTCTTTGTATGGACGTCAATCGCAGTCGCTGTTCCACCGCTACTCGGCGTTCGTCCGGCTAGTGCAATACTCGATTCAAAGAGACAAAGTACTATCACAGCATGCAGTGGGTATCTGCATGAACAAATTCGTCAATAACTGTACAACTTCACGACTATGCGCCTCCTCTCCATATGACTTATGTCAGCCAAAGCAGAGTGTCACGTGCCGCTTAAACCTCGCCTCCGCCTCGCGGGTGAAGGAGGCAGCACCGTCGTCAGATTGGGATGGTCTCATAATCGTGTATCAACTGGTCCCAAAACAACCATTCTGAACCATCCGGAACGAGGCTATTGCCGAGAGTGAAGTCTGTGTCGTCAAAGTTGCCAAAAACCGCATCAGCCTCGTTGACAGGAGGACTTTTCCCGGACTCGTTCCTGTTGCCGACCCCAATTGCCTTCGATTCTGGACTTCTGGACAATTTGTTCCCGCACTGGGTGGAGCGGAGCGCAGTGATGAACGACGGCTCAGGCATGGAGTTCTTCGGCGGGTTAGCCATCCAGGCTTTCAACGTGACTGTTCCGACGGCAATATGAATGGCTCGTTTAGCCTGGAGAATCTCCGCGTGATTCGTATAGACCTCAGCCACCTTATCCCAGGCTGCTGCCAGTTCCTCACTGGAGAAGAATCCGACCTTGGCGATACTGGTCAAGATGCATATGATGGCATCCCCTAAGAAAAACCCCTTGAACGACCAGTGGTATCGCTTCATTTTTGGGTGGCTGTAGGCAGCGCTGTCGGCGTCAAGAACCTTGTGAGCGAGTGCACAGAGGTGTCTCCTTTCGTGATCGCCAATACTTTGATTCATCAATTGGGGCATCTTGCTGTGCAGACGCACGGCGTTGGCTGCAGACCTTACCACCCCTAACGTGAGGAAGTGTAATGGGTCAGTTATGTCGCAGTAGCGGAGATATTTTGTTTCCGCGATATTCTCGACCTCATCTACGATCCTTTCGAGCTCGACAGTCTCTTTCAGCTCCACGGCCCCACCAAGATCTTTCATTCTGACACCCGTTTGGGTGTAAAATCGAGTAAGTTCTGTTCTCGCAAGAACAAACATCATTTCAGTCGCGCCTTTCTGCTCCACGGGCTGCTGTGGCATACCAGGGTAAATCTGGCAATCGTTGATGTTGCTCGGCTGTTTGGTATCCCAGCTGGTAGGTGAGATCATGATACCAGTACCTGAAACTTGGCCAGCATAGCCATCCAGCGGGAGAAGTTGCCAAAAGAGTCGCCGCCGCATTTGGACCTCGAAAGGAGGCAGCCCAAGTTTTTCACCATCATGATGAAGTCCCATGCGCTGCGAGATGCGAACCGCCACACCAGACAGGATCCAAAAGGTGTGAGGATCAATCTGCGTACGCACAGCAATGAGGAACAGCACGAACGCCTGCATGACGAGCATGTCTGTTGTCTTCAACCAGGATGCATTGACAAGCGCTTGTCGAATGGCGTGTTGGTACTTTGCTAACAACGAAGCCTGTGCTTGCCCGAATTCCCGCATACAGTCTTCGTCAGTCATGGAGTAGACTGCAATATGGTAAATGGCAAAGAGCAGGCATTCCTGTGCCTTTGACGCCGCACTCGGCCGTTGGGACACAGCGTCGACCATCCTAGACATAGATGGCACATGCAGGACCTTGCACAGAGGCTCGACATTTGCCACATAGACTGCCCACAGCTTCATCGCATCGCTATGTTTGGGATGATAGTCGACTAGGTTGTGGGAGAGTCTGAGAAGTGCACTTGAGATCAGATCTTCGGTCGAGGGTGTGGTTTCCGCAGGAGTCCGTTTGTCGTCCTCCTCCTCGTGGGAGATTTGTGACATCTCCTCTTCTCCCAATTCGCGCCAGAGACTGCTGTTGACATATCGAGCTTTGCCCTCGCCTGCAACCAATTTGCCGCTTTTGCTCGATAGAGACTGACTGTCTGGCAACAAGCTGGAGTTTTGGATGCTTTGAGGCGTCTCCATGTAAGATGGCGACGCGACGCCCGTACTTCGGAGCAGCCCGTTGTCTTGTAACGTGCGCTCATACCGCGCAACCCGCTCGAAGACGGTCTCGTTGCGCTTTCGCTTGGGTCGCCGTGGTGGCGGCGCCTCGTAGAAGCATTCAATCTTGCCTTTGATACAGCTTGAGCACGTTGGGGCCACCTTGTCGCATTTGACCTTCCTCCGCGCGCATGGCTGACAAGTATAGGGCATCACGCGAGCTTGCGCCGCGTCTGCATTTCCACCGCCTTCTTTGACGACTGGTTGATCATACATCACGGTGATTGTAAAAGGTTCTTGAGATCATGAATGCGGTCCATCTTGCAACCCGGAGCGATGGAGGGAGGGCCCCATTGATGAAGCCCGTGCAAAGCACTCGGGTGAGTGCTCGGGAGCAACGGGCAGAGTACTTCGGGTGCAATCCATCGGGCCCGGGCCAAATCCTTGGCTCCGATTGGCCAGTTCCGCCCGACCCTCAGCCTCGCCTCAACGAATCTTCAAGGACAGCATTGATCTCGACGTATTCCCAGGGGAAGAAATTGCTCGTGGACAAATATAAATACCATGGCTGATCCGGGCAGGGTAGAAACAATGGCATTTCCTCTCTACACACAAAACGACCAAGAACACCTTGCATTTATTCAACAACAATTTCATCCTCCATGGCTTCTCCACCAAATCAGACAAGTGCCTCACCAGGACACACTGTCGAATATGAGAAGCAAATGGAACATGCCACGACCACAAAACAAGAACCAGACCTAGAGGCCGGGCTCACGTCTTCATCAGAGCCCAGCGCCACCACCACTTTAGAGGGAGCAGACGACAAAGAAGCAACAAAAGACCCCAACCTCGTCACCTGGGACGGGCCCGATGACCCCGAAAACCCCAAGAACTGGCCCAGCAAGACAAAATGGTCATTTACGGTTGCAGTGTCAGTTTTTACATTCATCTCGCCGGTTTCATCGGCAATGATTGCGCCTGCGCTGGCCAAGCTAGGTGAGGATCTCCACATGACCCGCGACATTGAGATAGAACTATCCCTCAGCATCTTCATCCTCGCATACGCCGTCGGGCCACTATTCTTCGGCCCGGCATCCGAACTCTGGGGACGCGTGCGTCTTCTACAACTCAGCAACCTATGGTACCTCGCATGGAACCTGGGATGCGGGTTCGCAACGAACAAGCCCGAGATATTCATCTTCCGCTTCCTCGCCGGCGCTGGCGGAAGTGCACCTCTTGCCATCGGTGGCGGATGCATCAGCGACGTCTGGACGGCCGAAGAACGCGGCAAGGCCATGGGAATCTACACTTTGGCTCCAATCCTCGGTCCCGTCGTGGGCCCCATCGCAGGTGGCTGGATTGCCGAAAAGACAACCTGGCGCTGGGTGTTCTGGTCATCCAGCGCACTGGCTCTGGGCATCCAAGTCGTCGGCTTGATTTGGCTCAAGGAGTCCCACCCACCCACGATCCTGCGCCGGAGACGGGATCGGCTGGTCAAGGAAACTGGCAATACCAATCTGAAGGTCTACATCCCGCAGCCCATCACTCCAGGTCAACCCGCTGCCTCTGGTCCAGACAACAACAGCAACAACAGCACTCCCAAGGTTCTTCTACAACCAGACAAGCCACCGAGTCTCCTCCACACCATCGGCAGCGCATTCATCCGACCTGGCAGGTTGATCGCCACCCAGCCCATCGTGCAAGTGATCGCACTCTACATGGCATATCTATTCGGCGTCATGTACTTGTTACTTGCAACATTTTCCAACATCTGGAGCGAAGTATACCACGAAAGTCGAGGCATCGGCGGATTCAACTACATCTCCATAGCGATCGGGTCATTTGTCGGCGTGTTCGCCAACTTCTACTACATCGACCGCATCTACAAACACCTGAAAGCAAAAAACGGCGGTGTCGGCCGACCCGAGTTCCGCATCCCATCCATGATTGTGGGATCTGCCACCGTCACGGTCGGCCTGTTCTGGTACGGATGGAGTGTGCAAGCTCGTATCCACTGGATCATGCCGAATTTGGGGGTCGCCATCTTCTCCGCGGGAACTATCGGCTGTTTGCAATCTATGCAGACCTATACTGTCGACAGCTACACCCGCTATGCGGCAAGTGCCTTGGCCGCCGTGGCCATCTTCCGCAGTCTGGCCGGGTTTGCGTTTCCTTTGTTCGCTCCTTATATGTATAAGGCGCTGGATTATGGTTGGGGAACAAGTGTTCTTGCTTTCATCAGTATTGGGATTGGATTTCCTGCCCCGTTCATCTTCTGGCTGTTTGGGCCCAAGTTGCGCGCCATGTCTAAGTACGCTGCTGGTTGAACTTTTGATTGAACCAGGAAGCACACGTTGTACTAATATGGCTGCTTGGTGTTTGTGAGGGGTGCGCGAAATGTGTATATCAGAGGTCTAAGCAGGGATTAATGTGGCGTGCGTTAGGGTCACAGACTAGGACAAGGGAAAATACCCTGAGGGGCGACAAAAGTATATACTCTTCTCAAGAAAAATAGTAATTGAGGACTCCCTATTTCAACTGTTGTACTGTCCAGCGTTTCCCCCGGCTCCATTGTGTCTCGCAGACAATTGAAATAGTATGTGGCATATGTCCAACTCTGTCCAGCTGATGTGAACCCAGTACACACCGCATCGGCATCATTACATTATCCAGTGGGCGACAAATGTATATCTGAACTAAACTAAGAAAATACACTTCACAAGGGATGGTAACATAGCTATAGAGCACGCCGCGACTATACCTACAGCTACAGTTTAAGGGCACAGCGTCCGCCGCGACTATATGTAAGCATATATCCAAAATATCCCGCGGCCACCTGGGCACCATAGACCTATAATCAAAAGCACGACACAAAGCCATACTGGGTACACATACGATGAAACACGAGGACCTCCCAGAGACATCAAACAGAGTCAAAATTCTCACAATCTAAAAACTAATCTAACAAAAAAGAAAACCCACTCTAACAATGGCCGGCCACACCACCACACCACACCACAAGCACAACCCCCAGAGGCCCCCGGATCTACACCTGGCGGAGAGAGGCCACCATCCTCTCCTCCATGGTGGCCCGCGCCGCGAGGTGGTACACATGTACCTCCTTTTGCTGGCGCGGGCGCCGGGACCGGCCGACCGCCTGCTCCATGGTGGCGTCTCTCTCCTCTCGAGACGACACCAGAAGCGGCGACAAGAACAACACATGGTTGGCCATGTGGAGGTTCCAGCCGGCGGCGTCGGCGCTGTCTGTCTTGAGGATCAGGAGCCACGCACCCGGCTCCTGACCCCGAGACAGCGCCTCGGCCGCCCGCTGGAACTTCCCCACGCCATTCTGCGTGTACTTGAAGCCATCGATGCTGGCCAGGCCTGCACGCTGGCAGGCCCGGACCAGAGCATCTTTGACCTCTGGGAATTGCACAAACACCAATCCAAGCTCGCGCTTGGCCTTAAATCCTTGGATGATCGCCATCGCCTTCATCATTCTCGAGCCCTCACCGACTCGGACAACATCATCACTGGTCACACTCACCGCCTTGGCCTTTCCTTTTCCCTTTCCCTTTGGCTCCATCACTTCGGCCACAAAGTGACTTGCCGGCTTGATCTGGTCGGGCGAAAAGCACACACAGCACGGAGTTTCAGTATATGTTCCCATTTCAGAACATTGCTCACACGCCACAATGTGGCCGCACGACGTCGAGATCTGGATGCTCTGGCCATCGGGTGTGGCATTTCCGCAGCCCAAACACTTTGGAAGTAGCATACCGTCTTTGTCCACCAACGCAGAGACCAACTCCAACAGGCGGAGACGACAAAACCCACGCGCCAAATCTCTGATCAGGACATGAACTCTGTCAATTCGGAGGTTCATTTCGTTTTCCAGGTCCTTCTTTGTCTGGGCAGCTTGGGCAGCCTTGTCCTGGAGCTTGGCCTTCTTTGGTTCTGGTTCTGGTTTTGGTGGCCTGGAGGGCCTTAGCTTGCGCGCAGGCTTCTTTGGGTCCTGTTTGGCGTTCCAAAAGAGCTGGGTGATGATGGGCAAGACGTCTCGGTCAGGCAATGCCCCGTTCTTGACATCGTACATGAAATCGTAAAATGCCGGTGTGCACACGGCTCGCTGCCCAGGGCTTCCAAGGGCTATGTACCATACCTCCTGGAACCATTGCAGAAGAAGTTCGGATCTGGCAACGAGAAGCTCCTTATGTGATTCGGCAAGATGCTGTAGAATTTGTCCTTCACTTCCGATCTTATTTTCTGGGATGCCTTCTAGTGATTGGGCGAGGATTGGTGCGGCACACATGCGTGCATAGTCAGGACTGGGCTTCTGCTCCACTGCTGTCTTCAAGCGGTCCACAAACGTCACCATCTGGTCATTACCCGCGTCGTCATCCTCAGCAGCGTCAGCTGGTTCTCCGTCACCGCCGTTGTTGTCATCAGGCTTCTGATTTCCATTTCCTTTGGCCGCCGCATTCGGCTTGGGGGGCTTCTTGTTGAACACCGTGTCTTGTTCCTCGACCAGCTGATCGACTTCCATGTACGTGATCATTTCGGACGGACTGAGGTCGAAATACTCAAAGTGCTCGTGTCTTGGTTTGAGGACCACGGCCGCTTGGTTCTTGCGGATGAACAGCTCAGAGAAAAGCGAGGTTCGCCGATACACAGTGTTGGTGTATGCTGACGAACGCAGTGTATGGTATGACTGGAATTCCTGGGCATCTGATCGGTCTCTTGTCATCTTGGATCCATCCTTGCCGAATGCAAACTTGCCGCTGCCCTCATCGTAAGTGGAGATGCGCGTGCCCAACAGCTTAGCCATGGTATTGACACTGTCATAAGAGTGAATTGGAGGAGTGCCTGACAGCAGCCATCTTGAATCGGACTGAAGCTTGAGAAGTGCAAGCAATGTCTTCCCGGGGATGTATGTGAACTCGTCAACGATGATTCTTCTGAATGAGAACATATGAAGGAGAGCGGGAATGGTCTCCATATTTTGGAAATCATCCAGCTCTTTTTCCCATCCGTCGTCTTGCGGTGGGGCTGTGTCTGCCTTTGTCTGGTCTGGCGCAATTGTAGGCCCGGCATCAGCTGGTGCGGGTTCGTTGGCCTTTGAAACAGGGGTTTGACTGGGCTTGTGGTCGCCGTCAGAATCAGATTGTTCAACCTCGTCCAGCTTCCTCTTATCCGCAGCAGCTGCTTCTGCTGCCGCCTTTTCCTTTTCAGCCTTTCTCTGCGCGGCCATCTCTGTTTTCTTGCTTGCTCGAGTCATGAACCCTTCAAAGCGGTCATAGCCCGACTGTTTCGCTCTCAGGCCCTTCCAGAACTTCCAGAATCCGGCCTCATTGTCCAGTAATGCCTGATTCGCATCTCCAAGAGAGTTTAGACTGGACTCCAGCCATTCGGCAAAAGCGCGGCCTGGATCATTCGGGACATTGGCTGCACAAGTTAGCTTGCGAAGTTGATTCCAATAATAAGGCTCTTCAAACATGTCCCACGGCGCCAGAATGAGAGAGGAGTCTTGGATATTTTGTCGCGAGTGCTTGGATAGATCTTTGACGTTTTGGATGAGCAGGTAATAGGGCTGGGGATTCCTGGCCTTTTTCGGATCAAATTTCTTCCAACCCAAGCACTCGATGCCTTCAGCCTCCCATTGTTTGATGATGTTTTTTGGCATGAGAATCAGGGTCGCATGGGTATCCATGTACGTATCCTGGGGCTGGGTGGTAAATGAAGAATAACTGGACAGTTGGTCCAAAGCCACCAGACCGAGGGCCGTAGTAGTCTTCCCGGCCCCAACATCATCGGCAATGATCCCGCCTCGCACTTGCACTTGGAGTCTTGCTCGAGCTTCGAGCCGCCATCCGACAGCAGGCAAACAAGACTCGACAAGGGCAAGTTCCTTCCAGCTCGGTGGATTTTGCTCCTGCTTCTGCATCCACGCTATTATCTTGCGCTGTGAGATCCAGAGTTTGCGCTGACGAATATCTGTGGTGGACACAGGTTGCTCCGATTCATTGTCCCGTAGTTGAAGCGAAGTAAAGACTGGGCGTGCTGCAAATGGATCGTGGCGCGTCAATCGCCAGCTGGAGTCGAGGAGCTGGGTCAGTGAACCGGAACTTGAGGCGAACTTGCCATTTGCACGGTGTATGAGGGTGGAGACGTTGAGCTGGATTTCCAAGAATGCTTGATCGCCATGGCAATGTATCAAGGCAACCGTTGGCTTTGGGCGACGCTTGAGAGCGTCTTCAAAAACTGCTGCTTCTTCGGCATTCTCGATCGGCTTGACAATATCTCTCTTGCCTACCTGTTGCATGACCCATCTGAGCTCTGGTGCTCGGGGAGAACATGCAAGGCAAACCGCAGTTTGGGCATCATCGACAGACTGCCATCCAGCATTTAAATGAGGCACGTCGGATGCGTGTGATATGATCCAACCAAATCCGCGTAAAACGTCGGGCTTGTTCTCCAGCTCGATAGTGATGACACGGCCTGGAGGGAATCTCTTTTGTTGGTCAGGATTCAGTCTCAATTGAACAACGAAAAGAGTCGACGCAGAGTTTCGACACTGAACATTCGCACCAACGTTGAACTCAGCTGGCTGATACCACTTGCGTATCTGCCGCCCTTCAGCTGGCACAGCCAGTTCCAAACCGGCGCCCTGAGCCTCCGACCATTGTGCTACAAGTTCGCAATCAAGTGTTTGACCCTCCGGCCACTTTGTCAACACTGCAGGTCTCCATGGCGCCGGAAGTCTTGCCAGAATGTACCGTTCGTCCGTTGAGACGCCGCGGGGAGGTTGGGTGGCGAATACTACCCGGTCCGAAAATGCTTCTCGCACGGGATGGGGATCCAAGAACATAAACACAGGACTGTCATCGTGCTGGGATTCAGAGACTTTTCGGTGCAATGTGCCACTGGCTGCAGGACATTGTTGCAAAAGACGGTATTTCCCAATGATCCGCTGCAGTGCCAAAGGAACTTCTCCATTGGCGTCAAGAGCAGGTTTGACCTCAATCTCGGAGAACACTTCCATTGTGTTGAATGGAGCTCCTTTAAGCCCTAGGTTTTGCTCCCAAGAAGGCTGTTTAGTTCCTGTGCCGAAGATGTTGACCTTGTGAGACTTATCCAGTCCCTTCCACAACTCCCACTCTCCTGACATCAAGGTTCGTGATGGGCGCATTCTAGCTACCGGATGCAGCAAAAGATCTCTTAGCTTGCTTTCAGCAGGTTCTGTGCTCGGCGGCTTGACGAAAAGTAGCCACGTCGGCTGTATGGAGAGCTTCGCTAATGCATTCGATACATTTGGCAACGCACGCTTCGTGTTCGGTGGTGGTTGAGTGAAAACAGGCACGAAGCTGAGTTGAAGTGTTGCATAGCCGGATTCGTAAGTTGCTTTCCAGGAGCCGTCGAACCTAACTCCCTGGAAGTACAGGTTTTCTTCGAAAGCTTTCTTGATCGACGATTTGTGGTGCAAGAAGAAGCCTTTGCTAGTAAGCTGGTCTAGCGCAGAAGTATATTGGCCCTGCAAGGCTAGGACTGGAGGCAGCGAACGAATCAGTTGTTGGACAAAGCTTCTTGCTGATTGACGAGAAACACCTAGTGACTCTGTCTGCAGTTCCTGCAAACCATCATGAGCATCTCGGCTGCAGGACCCACAGGTCGTGAAGAAGCACCCTAGGCAGATTAGAAGTTCGGTGGCATGGCGCTCAATACCTTCGCAACGGCACAGTGGCTGAGAGGCCTTTGCTCTGATTATCATGTCACCCAAGGGGATTGCATCCTTGATAGAGAATGAGTCATGGTCGCTCTGAAGCGGGAACTCTTTTGACCTCGCAACGAGCTCTGTTTCAGACAAGAGGGGCTGAGCCAAGGAACCTGCTTCGGTCGCTGTCACATCATCGCCTCCATGTTCATCTGTGTACTGTTGGAAGATAGTCGTTTGTTCAATCGTGCCAGGCTGCTGCTTGGTCGCCTTGTGACATGCGATCAGGGCACTGAGTATTGCAGCGCCGATAACAGTTGTAGTCATAGCGTTTCCAGCAAGGTCTTGGAGGTCCCGCGAAGAATCCTTGCTCAAGTTCAGATCACCAATGGGCATGCCCTGCAAGGCGAAAACTTCCAGACCAGTCAAAGGTCCACCTCTAGCTGTATGGAAGAGGCCACCTCTCGGTGTTATGCAACCTACCACCCCAAACTGCCGGCTGTCATTGTCCCGGTCGACGTTCTGAGAGACGTTGAAGTTTCTGTGCTTGGTGCGCATATCAAAGTCCCGCTCGACGACGTAGCGTAAATAGTTGATGTCAAGAGTGTCTCTTACTCTTTCCGTCTGTGCAAGTGCCCAATGTTGCCAGGCATGATCTTCCAACTTGCATTGTGAGTTGTTCTGCCGTCGGGTGTATGGATTTGACATGCCCAACTGTAGGCTCACGCGCACATCCAAATGACGCTTTCGACAGGCGGCCCAATTAACCAGCCTCTCACGTGTATCGAAATCTCCCGGATTCTCCTTCGCCAACTTGAGTCGTAGATCATCTTCATCCAGAAGGAAGTCCTTGTAGGGCGAGGATGCTCGACGCTGAAAGCGTGCCATGGAGCGAACAAACTCCATTCCGGCCAGTTCAAGATCGAGACCTACACGTCTGGCGTGTTCGATGTTGATCAGAAGACAGTAGCCTCGAATTCGTGTCTGCGGGACATAGTAGTTGATGGAGTTCACCTTCACTGGGACGACGAAGTAGCTCAAGCCGTAATTGGTCAAGTTGCCTGCTAATTGGTCCCACAGAGCGTTGGCGACGTTTTCCAAGATAATGATGTTTGGTTGATGAGCCCGTGCATAGGCAAATATACCCCATAAGGTCTGAGCGGATTCGCCGTCACTTTGCTTCTTGTGTGAGTTCAGCGACGAATAGTCCACACAGGATGAGCCTGCAATAAGAATGTGAACACCTTCGGGCGGGTCTGCACGTCTGCCATAGGCGCTGAACGGCCGAATTGATTTGTAGTCCTCTTGCTTTGCTTTTGCGTCCGCGTAAGGAATGAACTCGGTAACATCGCGGAAGATGACAGGAGGGCGAAAGTTTCGTTCGATAAACGCCTGCTTCTGTGGCTCTATTTCGGCGCTTCCGAGGTGTTGATAGCTGAACTTGTCAAAGCCAGAGAGACTCAATGCCTTCCGAAGGAGGTCCAGAGCAATGATGGGACTTTCAGTGCCTGAACACATGGTAAAGATTCGCGCGCCTTTACTAGCAAACGGCATGATGGATTCAAGCAGGCCGAGTCTCTTGCCAGTATCAGCTAGACAACCGAAAATTTCGTCGATATCCGATAGAGGAGGTGCCGTCAGATCAAGGCCTTGGTGTGAAAAGTAACCAGTGCCTAGGTCGGTGATTTCATCGTCTTCGTCATCTTCATAGTCATCTTCATCAGATGAAAGGCGTGGCTTGCTCGTCGAACTCTTTTCTTCGGGCAGCGGCAAACACTCTTGGTCGACCGGCTTACGGCGCAGCAACTCGTCCAGTGTCTGAATCTTTGTGTTGTCCAATGCTTTACAGATGCCTAGAAGGGTCTGGAAACACTCTGATTCTGGTGCACTTGCCGTCATCTTGGTTGTGTCATTGGGCGTGCTCATGACGCTCGCATCAGAGCTATTGGAGAGTGTTTGGTAAACTCGTCTTCCCTCCCTAGGTCGTGCTGTAGCTTTGTTTTTGCCAGTGTCCTTGAAGCGTACACCAATCCCGGTCATGCATCCGGCCTTCTTCGTGGGGTTGACGAATTTCAACTCGTCATCGAAATATTCTCTATCCCAATCGTCTGGCTGCGAAGGCCATGCTTTACTCTCGCCCTTGCTAATTTTCCACTCTTTAGGAGCAGCAGTCTTCGAAGACGAAGGGGCTTCCTCCGTCTTGCTAGACGATTTTTGCTGTTGCGTAGGAGTAGAGGTACCCGGCTTGGTCACTTGATCGCCCGTGGATGCAACGCGTGCTTTCTTTCTCGCCATTTCAACTCCCGTTAGACACTGTCGTTGAGATAGATGTGCGATGGGACAGATATAGGCTGTGTGTCGTGGATGTGTTAGCTCAACCCAAATATTGTTGGACCTGGAGACTTACGACTGTGCAGTCGCCTTTGGCGTATCAGGTTCTCGCTTGAGGAGAGCTGAGCAAACCCGTGTATCCAACTCGCTTCCAAAAAGAATTTGAAGAAGCCTGCTTTTGAGACTGCGCAAGTCAAGTGGTCTGAGATCTGCAGCCTGTAGCCGAGAGGACGTACTGGAGCGGTCGTTGAAACGTACCCAGACGGCGGTATCAGTGGATGTCAAAAAGGGAAGGGAATAGGCGTGGGAGCGGGAGGGTCACTCCAAGATCTCACTCTCTAGAGGGCTTCTGAGAATGGATCAAGAAGAAAAGAGAAGTTTGCACAAGCCGCAAGCTTCCAAGATGATCCTAGCAGCATGCATAGCTTGACAAAGAGTCCAAGAACCGTGATACCAAGCAACCAAGGCCAAAAGAGGGGTTGGTTGTTGCTTGTAGGTGATGCTGCAGAGGATGAAAATGAGAATGATGAAGAAGAAGGGGAAGAGGAAGCTGGCAGTGACCAGAAGAGGTGATGAAAGGGGTGCGAGCCTCGTGGCTGGTTATGCTGGATGGATCATTCCGGAATGCGGCTCAGCCGCCATGAAGCAGCCGCACGCCTCGCGATATCCAGAAGTGATAAGTCAACGCCAGGTTCCATTGTTGAACGCCAGATTCAGGTGACAATGTTGTGTTAGTGGTACCTAGTTGATTTGGCTCTGATTAATGCCATCTGTCCTTTCCTGTTCTCGCCCTGAACTGCATCTCTCAGAGAGTTATCCACCCTCACAATCGTTCAGCAATTTCATGCTGCAAAGACTCCTCCAATGTCTCTGAGACACAAAGGACAATGACAGAGACCCCTGGGCCCTCTCACCAGTATCATCCACATCCACATGCATTCCACAGACCCATCTGTCCCCAGTAGCATCTTCCGCCGCAGAGGGTGCTAAGGAGAGGCCAACCTCGACTGCCGCCAGTTACTACGGGGTTGGCAACCACAGCGTCGATTTTCAAGTGCTATTCCGAGGCGCACTTATGGCATCCCTGGATAAACTGCAGTGCAAGAGTTGGGCAGTATTGTGGTTTGTCATTTCAAGAAGAGACCGAGATGCTTCCTTCGAGGCCATAAGCAGCAGAGCCAAGGACGGAGTGCATCACAAGATAGCTCGCTCCAGCCTGGAAGTAACAGCCATTGGCAGTGGCCGCACGGGCTCCCCAGGAGCACCCTTCGCAGCCGCCGTACCGGTGCCTTGATGGGAATCCATGGCAGATGCTTGGTAAGGGGAAAGCCATCGCGCCCGAAAACGACAAGGGGACGTGGGAGGATACTTCCCTGAAATGCACATCTTTGCAAGACACGGAGGATAGGCTTCCGGCACGAAGCGTTTTCGAGCCCACCAGCGAGTACCGCATCTGGCCTTCGGCTTTACTGACAACAAACCTGTTGTGGCCCGGCTCTGGCCCTCCCGCTATCGGCACAGATGCTTTTGAGTGTATGAGCCCTGTGTCGCCGCAAGTGGAGCCTGCATGAGCCATCCTGATGCTGCAGCGCTACACGGGGAGCAAAGCGATAGGACTCATCCATGATCCTGTCGTGATTTTCTGAATGGGTCCAGTGTCTCAATGCCAGGTACACGAGATGCAGGTAGGATGGTCCGTGTTTAATACGTTCAAGGTTGTTGTTGTTCACATTCCAGGACAGTCTCATGCTTCAAGTGATTGGCCACATTCACTAGTGGGGCTGCTTGGCGGAGCTTAAGCAGACTTCTTCAGCCTCGTCGGCCTCGTCAGCCTCGTCAGCCTGATGGCCCTTGTCGCTGTCCTTCATCCTGAAGTTGGCCAGGCAGATGTCATGCTGCCCTCAAACTCTCCCAAAGAAGTGCTGGGGATGTGGTAACTCACTCACGGTGGGATGCCTCAAGCAATGCTGATACTATATTGGGGACTATGCCAGTAGCTGCAATGTTTCAGCGATTTGAGATATATGCATGACTTTACCTGCATTGTTATTGAACTAATGTGTTCAAGTGATGTAAGTCTGAAGCACAATCCCAGCACAGACGTTGTCCATGATCTTGAAAACTGGCGCCTCGCTGCACACTGCCGCTGACAGTACTGTGAGTACAAGCATGGTCGAACCTTTAGCCATCGGCCATAGATAGCCACGGATCATTTTGCAAAGGGAAATCGCCAGGAGAATGAAGGTCAGCCAAAGCCTTCTTGTCAGCGAGCAAGTGCATGCGCGGTTTGTCGAGGGTGGTGGGAGGGTTATATGAGGAAGATAGTCTTTGGTGCGGCAGAGGGCGAAGTCTGACTTTCGGAGGGTTTGTACTGCTATTGGTTGTCAGCAACCGTCCTCTAGAAGATTTGAAACGCTGAGCCACCTACAGGATAGATTGGATGCCTCACATATGCTCCCCTTCTTGATGGGACGGTGTTTAGGACAACCGAGAAAGTTTATCTCATCATGCACAGTTCAACGCTCAGTGGAACCTCTGACATCTCTACCGTCGCGACCAGAAACTGACGCAAACGGTAATTGGACCGCGGGACTGAGGCGGGGTGCACGAACAAAGATAAGGGCTTTTAAAAGGCTGTAAGGCAGGACACAACCTTACTGTGGGTAGGGGTGAAAGGAACAAAGAAGCTTTTACCCCGGACACTGGCATACCTCAGTTCAAGTTCAACCACCAGGTATCTTTTCCATCCCGCAAACCAGCAGGAGCGAAGCTTCCTGATTGCAACCTTGCCATTATCCCATCTGCCCAATTTGAACAGAAACAGCAGGCAGAGAGGAAAACAAGTAGCATAACTCAGCAACACGACGCTAGTATGAGTTCTGGGCGTAGTGTGAGGTCCGACTCTGTACGGTCTCTTGCAACTGGCTCTCATAGCTCAGACAATGTCTTATATCTTCCCGCAGTGCTGAACCATATCCCCGGGGCACTCCTCTGGAGGGCTACTGTTACATAGTCAAGACTAGCGGCCCTAAACCGGCTGTGCCCTGTCATTGTTAAACCGAGGCCGAGAAAGAGGCAGATGTACCTCGCACCGCTGTGGATGCTCTAAGAATAACTTTCTTTTAGAAAGTGCAGCAAAACGATGTGAGTAGTACAAGGGTAGCAGATATGCCTTTTGGCGCGCAAGGATGACAAGGCAAAGTCGAATGAAGACGCAGGGGATCCGAGTGAAGAATGTTACATTTTGACCACTGATCGCTAATGGATATTACCAACAAACGAGCCATGAGACCATGTGCAGCCAGATTACACGAAGTCCTGCACCATCATACCCCCTATTTCTTAGCTGAATCTTCGCCGGCGTTGACATTAAGCCCGAGACCTTGAGCATCGAGGTATAATTTGTTCTTGCCGCCAGACTCCTGCAAAATGGCAGCAATGTTTCGAGCATTCTCGATTTGCCTGAGTTCAACATAACTTCGACTCTTCTTGATCGCATCACCAATCAGTTCGGCAGAGCGGGCTTCACCCTGAGCGCGGACCATGGTCGCCTGCTTTTCTTGTCTTGCTTTGTCGACCAGGAAGGCCGCTCTCTGCGCTTCCTGCTGAGCAACCTGCTTAGCCTCAACCGCGGCAGTGAATTCGGGCGAGAACGAGAGATGTGTCAAAGACACGTCATCAAGCAAGATGTTGAACCGAGCGGCTCTTCTGGTGAGATTGTCTCTGACTAATCTTGCCACGTTCTCTCGCTGCGTGATGAGCTGGCTTGCATTGAATTGCGCCACGACGCTTTTGAGGACTTCGTTCACAATCGATGGCAGAACACGTTCATCGTAATCGGTGCCCAAAGTGCGATATATTTGAGGCAACGCATCGATTCGAGGCTTGGACAGGACACGGCATGTTATGTTGACCATCTGGAGATCTTTGGTGCCCGTCAAAGATGCCACATTTCGCGGCTTCGCTCGCACATCGTAGTCGATTGGTGTCTCGAACCAAGGTATACGCAGATGGGTCCCTTGTAGAAGTTAGAATATACTTCCACTGTTGCACTTATTACACATACCTTCGTTGTAGATCTCCTTCGACACTCCGCCTATTCTGGTATACTTGATGGCGCGATGACCACCGTCAACTAGCCCCGCGTCAGTAATCACCCACACACCTGACATGGACCGCGCATACCATTGAATATGGAATTTGAGATGACCACTCCAGCGACACCGACTCCGATCAATGCGAGAAGACCTCTTCCTGCGGCACCGCCGCCTCCCGGCACACCTTGGAAGCCTCGCCCGCTCCGCTGCTGCAGCGTCCGCTGGATCTGCTGGAAATGCTCCCGTGGATCGTACGACATGATTGAGGACTGTTAACCCTTGGGGAGGAAGGGCTGGGATGTGAGAGGCCAAGTGCGGCTGGCAGGCTGACAACCGAGTTGATGATCGTGACGACTTGCTAAGCTTCCGAGTGAACCACTCGACTTTACTGCCCTGCATGCGTTCGACATGATCCGCGGAGAAAAACTGGCTTGGCGTTATGATTCGCCGTTCTCACACGCAGTACACTTTGCTCCTCCGTAGCTCCTCATGTACTCTGAATCTGGAATCTGAGTCTCCCGCTTCCGGCCAAAAATACAACCCAACACTGGCATCTCTTTACCACCATCTGTGTCCCTCTCCTAAGATACTACTTACCACAATCTCCTTATACCCTCTCCAACCATTTTCGCCTAGGCTAACATTTACCAACATGGCGCCCGGCTCGAGCCGCAGCGTCTTCGTGGGCAACATTCCCTTCAGTAAGACGCACGCGCTTTGTACTCTCCCACTCTAACTAACAACCTACAGATTTGAGCGAGGAGAACATCGTCAAGATTCTGAGCTATGCGGGAACGGTCGTCAAGTTCAGGCTTATGACGAACCCAGAAACCGGCAAATCGAAAGGCTTCGGCTTCGCAGATTTCCAAGACGCAGATTCCGCCGCAAATGCGGTTCGCAACCTGAACGACTTTGAGATCGATGGACGCAAGATCCGAGTTGACTGGCCTCACAATAACGAGAAAGACGCTCCTCCCACGAACTACGATCAGACGAACGCCCCTGGCGGCGACAGCATGCAAGGCTCAGGCGCTGGCGCTCTTCCTCCCATGCCCGCCGGTGTTGATCTGCCTCCGAATCTCAGATGCACAGATGCCATTTCACAAACGCTCTCGACTGTCCCACCACCGCAACTTCTCGATGTCCTTACACAAATGAAAGCATTAGCCATCTCCGACCCGGCGAAAGCGACCTCCCTCCTCAAAGCCGCACCACAACTGTCCTTTGCCATATTCCAAGCTCTCATCCTGATGAATCTGGTCGATCCTAAAGTTTTGGCACAAGTGGTAGAACAAGCCGCCGCGAGACCGCCCCAGCCAGCAGCACCTCTTCCTCCTCCACAACCTACTCCGCAACAATACCCCGGCTATCCTGTTGTCCCTGGACAAATGCCTCCTAGACCGGCTCAACCTTACACACCTACTCCAGTACAACAACCGCAGCCTCCGGCGCCACAGCCTGTTTTGACACAACAAGAGATGATTCAGCAAGTGTTGGCCATGGATCAAAGAACGATAGACTCGTTTTCGCCCGCTGAGAGGGCTCAAATCATGCAGATCAGAGCGCAGATGGGTGTGAGATGAGAGGAAAGAAGCTGGATCACATAACTTACTCTACACGCCGAGTTCTCCCGCCGAGTGAAAAGATGATCCTGTCGCGCAGCGACACTACAGCGCATTATTCAGCTGGCCGACACGTCCATCCCAGATATCCGCTACACATAGCCTGCAGCTGTGCAAAGGCTGAATGAAACTAGTTCACCCACCTGCTGCGTGAGCGTAAGGTTGCGCCTTGCTATGCCTCCTCACATATCATGAAAGTCAGCCAAGCCGACTAAAAGATTGTGGCATGAGGAGTCACGTAGTGTCACTCTTGGTGTTCCTTGCGTGTGCGCGTCAGGTTGTTGAGAATGGAACCAACAGAAAGCGCGGCGACAAAGGCAGAGCCAGATTGGAGGCATGAAGCGGTTGGCACGACCCACGACAATATCGGCAGACTTTAGATGAAAGTAGGTCATAGTATCAGGTGACGAAATGAATAAGAATTGAATCTTTGCGTGCGATGATGCCGCGAAGAAAATCTATTTGCACAGTGCAAACCAATCAAGGGTATCAAAGTCTTGTGACTGATCGTAACTCGTCCTCACGCCTCCCTAATTTCCATTTCCCCTTTGGATCTTCTCCAGAAGCATGTGCCATTGTTCTTCTCCTGTCCAACCCTCCTGCCCTCATGCCTTGTCTATTCCACTACTAGCAGGACTCGTACCGATTCCTTCGTCCGTATGCGCAGTCTGCGGTCTCAACGGGCTGCCCTTCCTACCATCTTCCCTCTTCAGCCAAGACGCCCGACTCCCACGACTACGTTCGCGTGGTGGCATAGACGGCAGCGGTGACCCTCTAGGGGAGAGTGACGCTCTGGGCGACGGCGATGGCGCTTGAAAATCCGAGACACCCGTGATTGACCGCATATGCGCATCTCGGGGATTCCAAGGCGACGACGCGGGTCCAGTCAAGCCTTGGACCTGAGCATCTCGGTGCGGTGCAGGACTCGATCTCGGACTCGGACTGTAGTACTGGTACTCCTCGCCACGCTTTTTCATGGGGCTTTCGTCGTAGGGGTCCCAGCCGACACGCCGCCTGGCCTCTGCCCGCAGGGCTTGTCTGTAGTGTTCATCGCCGCCTGCGCCGGTGGAAGCACTCTCCTCGAGGAAGAAGTTGAGTAGCTCGTCGGTGATGGAGAGATGGGACTGCTGCTGGAATTGTTGCAGAGAAGTCAGTCGCAGGAGGAGCTCCAACAACGACAGGGATGTTTTGATACCGTTGACCCATGGAGGCGACTGGCTGGTGCGGAATGCCTGGTTCTGGTTCGCTTGAGACGGAGATGGAGAGCTGGTACTTGCGGTACTAAGATGCATATCGGACATGCAGTTGGCAAGTTGTGAAGCAGCGGCATCATCATCAGCATGGTAATTGTCACCGAAGTCTGTGCGAGAAGTGTCCTCCTCGTCTTGTTCTTTCTCTCCCGCTTCGGTCTCGGCGTCGGATTCTTCCGAGTCGGACTCGGAGTAGACTTCGAATGCAATCCATTCGGGATCCAAGGACGGCGGAAACCGCCATGGGTCCTGATGTCTTTGGCGAAGTTCATCATCGTAATGCTGTTCGGGCTGCTGATTCTGTGGTGAAGTAATGCCCTCTTCATCCTCCTCGCTGAGTTCTTCTTTTCGCATCATCCTCCTTGGAGGTATGGCATTGACATCTCGTTTCAGTAGTAGAACGGGATGGTTGCTTTCTGCGTCAGATCCAATGTTCAGGACTTTGCTGGTGTCTGCGTAGAAAATTTTGGATATTTGGTGAATTGGGATCATTTCGCGGATACCTGCAAGTGCCACATCGTCAAAGGGACCGGGGCGGGGTTGATCTTCTTCGAAGTCATGCACGCGGTCATCGTCAAAATCTTCAATGATCATCATCTGGTAGGCATATTCGTCTGCCCGTGCATCAGCAGGGAAGATGCCGTTGACGTCTGACACTGGGCCGGGAGACGAGATTTCGGCAGAAGGTGTAGCATCCGAACCAGAGCCCGTACCGGTCACCAGATCGAGAGGCACGCGTCGCAGCTTGACTCTGGCTTTATGAATGACTTCTTTCCAAGTCGTCTCGCGGATGTCTTCCTCATCCTGTGGGCGGTCATGGCCGGCAAAGAGCATGTACACTGTCAGAGTGAAGGTGGGTCCGATTTGCACAGCGCTCTGTGGAGATAATGCATATTGGGTGTCGCCTGCGGTCAGAAATGTGCTCGCTTGCAATAGTCTCGACGGAGAGACAGTGTGTGGTAGTGAGGTAGACAGGCTTGCCCCCGAAGTAGTGATTGCAAGGTTAATGAGAGGCACAGCATCTTCGATGCGTTCCAGCAGACGATTAATGTCCCGGACCATCCATTTCAACTCCAGCTCCGTCTGTTGATCGAGGTGCTTGACATTTTTGCCGTTTTTAGAGGCTTTCTTCTCCATGTGCTCTGCCGCTTTAGCCAGGCGTTGACCTAAGGATTGGATCTGGAGGCGCAGCTCTTTGGTCAGTGCCACGGCGGACTCAAGAGAAGTGTTGCCTCGCGCCGCGATCAACTCGATCATATCGATTGCCGGGGAGACGATTCGAATCTTGTTTTGAAGGCGTTGCTGGGCACGGTAGAGTTCATCCCGGGCATCGCTCTTGGGGGCGCTATTGAGCAGTTTTGTGGACTGTTTGATGGCGTACGAGGCCGTCAATGTGACACCAGACCGAATGGCATAGTTCATAGCCTGCTGGGTCACCTTGGACAGAAAGACGTCCATTCTGAGGAGTCACGGTACAGAGAGCCTCAATCGTTACCTAGGTATGATCTCGCGGAAAGAAAAACAGAAGTGTGGGAAAGAAGATTGATGGACTAAAGAGGTACATCTGTTTTGAGGTGCATTGCAGGCAAACATGTTCCGTGTCGATCACTTCACCTTCAGTTAGCACGAGCATTCACAAGCCCATAGTCACATGTCGCGATAGACGAGTGAATGCAAGTGAGGTACTAGTAATTTGTTCTTCTATTGAGTATGTTACTACAGCGCCTGGCCACCTTATGATGTCGCCGACACTGGATCCCGCCGTGTTTTATATGCGAAGCAAACAAAGCAAACAATCTGCGCTGTCATTCGACGTCATTCCAAATCCATGCCAAGCAACTCCCCGATCAGGTTTAGTGCCTGCGCCAAAATGGACCCCAACTCGAAGTCGAAGTCGAATGTGAAGTGGCAGTGAAATATCAGAACTCGAATCCCGCACCCCTCCACCGCCTGCAAAGTCCAACGCCTCAACTGCTGCTTTGCTGCGCTCGATATTATATCACCCGAAGTCTTGCAGTCAGTTCTATCACACATAAACCTCCTCCACCCAGCTTAGACCTTCGCAATGTCCGGCAATTTCGATTCCTGGGAAGATGCGGCGGCGCAGGATGAAGACCTTTCAAGGCAGACACAACAAAACCTCAACATAAATGCCAACTCTTTCAGGCCTGGAGTCGCATCTTTCCAGCCTGGTGCCACTTCTTTTCAGCCAGGCCAGCCATATCAGCAGAACGGCTATCAGAATTATGGTTATGGTCAGCAACAGGGCTACAATCAATACGCTCAATATGGCCAAGGCTACAACCAATACCCGCAATATCAGCAGCAACCACAGCAGCCACAACAGCAGCAGCCAAGACAGGGCTACAACCAAGGTTACAACAGCGGTCAATTTGCGGCCTACAACCAAACCCCCGGAGGCTTTCAACCAAGACAAGGTGCTCCCATAAGCATTGCCAAAAAGTCTGATGCCCAATCCTCGTCTGCCCAGGCGCCAAAGCCGGCAGCACAAGCCCCAGCTCCCGCTGCCGCCCCAGCGCCCAAAGCACAGGCAGCTGCGGCGCCTCCCAAAGCCAAAGTACTGTCAATCGGAATTCCAAGCTCCGCCTCGGCCTCGCCCAAGAAACCCGCGTCTCCAACAACGAAAGAGCCGCCCAAGAGTGAAACAAAGGCTGAGACAAAGGCTGAGGCGAAGGCTGATGCAAAAGTGGATGCGGGATCCAAGGTTACTGCGGCTAAGGCTGTAGAGAAAACGGGAGAGAAGGTTTCGGGGAAGACTTCCCCGGCACCGTCTTCTGGAAAATCCTCCCCTGTGCCAGGAGAGACAAAGAAGGGCCGGACTGCAGAGGAGGTCGCCCAGGAACAGAGCGCCGATGTCGACGCCTCAGTGCTGGCGGAAATGTATGGAAAAGAACATGTCAACATCATCTTTATCGGACACGTTGATGCTGGAAAATCGACTTTGGGTGGTCAAGTCCTTATCCAGACCGGTATGGTGGACGAACGTACCTTGGAGAAGTACAAACGAGAAGCCAAGGATGCCGGCCGAGAGACCTGGTATATTTCGTGGGTTTTGGATTTGAACAAAGAAGAACGAGCCAAGGGAAAGACAGTGGAGGTCGGCCGAGGCTTCTTCGAGACCGAGAAGCGGAGATACACCATTCTCGACGCTCCTGGCCATAAAACATACGTCCCCAACATGTTGAGCGGTGCAGCTCAAGCGGACGTTGCCATTTTAGTCATTTCGGCAAGAAAGGGTGAATTCGAGACCGGTTTCGAGAAAGGTGGTCAGACACAAGAGCATGCTATGTTGATCAAGACCACCGGCGCCAAGGAGTTAGTCGTCGTGGTCAACAAGATGGACGATGTCACTGTAGAGTGGTCGAAAGAACGCTACGACGAGATTGTGGGCAAACTGAAGCCGTACCTCAAGAAGCGAATTGGGCTGGAATCGACCTTCATGCCTCTTTCGGCACAGACTGGGCTCGGTGTGAAGGATCGTATTCCCGCCGATGTTGCTAGTTGGTACAATGGCCCGTCGCTGCTCGAATTCCTGGACAACCTGCCCAAGATTCAACGAAACATCAATGCTCCGTTCATGATGCCTGTGGGTGCCAAATACCGAGACATGGGCACCATGATCGAAGGTCGGATCGAAGCCGGCGTGGTGCAAAAGAACTCGAACTACATCATGATGCCCAACCGGGAGGAAGTCGGCATTGCCGCACTGTATGGCGAGACGGAAGAAGAGATCCCTTATGCGACTTCGGGCGAGCAGGTCCGCATGCGTTTGCGAGGCATTGAAGAGGAAGATATCATGCCTGGATTCGTGCTGTGTTCGCCCAAGCGTCTCGTGCACTGTGTCAACCAGTTCGAAGCACAGATCAGCATTGTCGAGCTCAAGTCCATTCTGTCGGCTGGCTTCAACTGTGTCATTCACGTCCACGCCGCGACCGAGGAAGTCACCTTCGCCGCGCTCCTCCACAAGCTTGAGCCCAAGACCGGCCGCAAGAGCAAGAAGCCGCCCCCATTTGCGTCCAAGGGTCAGAACATTATTGCCCGCCTTCAGGTTACTAGCGGCGCAGGCAAGATCTGTGTTGAGCGCTTTGAAGATTATCCCCAGCTTGGTCGATTCACGCTTCGAGACCAGGGCCAGACCATCGCAGTCGGCAAGATCACCAAGTTGATTCTCGAGGAGTAGACGCGCAACCTGTTCCTTCGCATTTTCACATCCGTTTGGGATTCCTTTCTGATTCAGACACGGAACAGACCTCGAGGGTACGAACGAACGCATTACATGACTAAACTGCCAAATAAAACGGGGGCTGACCCCACACCATGACATGACTGGACAGCAGGGATGGGGGAATCTTGAAGAGCAGATAGACGAGCTCCAAGTGTCCACGGGCCGGGATTTGGATGGGATCCTCCGGACTGTGGTGGTTTATACTACAGCTGCTAGTGTAGAGGCAAGGAACGATTGCCATATTTCAAGTTCGAGCCTTCAGTCCGCTAGCCATCTTTCTAAGGTCATCTGACTGCTCCCTGTACGGAACTGGAGGGTTCATCAATCACACATTTCCTACCGTTATGCCTTTCTTGTTTTCTTTTCTCACCGCCAACTCTAATCCGGAGCCAGTGGTGGCTTTTTTTTCTTTCCAAAGGAACTTTACTTTACCCTAGGCAAGCCACAGTCCTGTTGAACGGTCCTGGACTGTCTAGATATACAGTGGTGGATGTGGTTACTTGGTACCACCAGTAGAGACACAAATACTGGCCAAGGTCATTGTTACCCCACGCGGTGGTCAGCGCAAGCTTCAGCGTTGGCGACGGTCTATCCCGTATCTTGTTAAAGGTTCAGCCGTACATTCATGACCTAAATCCATGAAAAGACTTTCGAGCCGAGCTTGAATAGCAAGAGGGATATGAAACAAATTGTACGTGGTTCCCTAGTACAGTAGGTATGTAGGGAGGATCAAGTTTCATGATTTAACTGATCTTCGAAACACAAGGAAGGCTGGAACATGGGTGTTTATTTAGGAGGCGTTCTCCCTTTCTACCTCATTGCAGCTTGACTTGAAGCCCTTTGATCAGGTTTATTCGGGGTCTACAGCGCCATAAGTGCGCGCAGACTACTAAATAGAGCAACTGAAACGAGCACGGCCGCCCCGTTTGCGAAAAGGGAACGAGAGTCCAAGACCAGGATCCCGCATCCCGGATCCCATGCCGTCTTGTTCCAAGCAATGACGACCTGACCGCAATGAAAGGCGAAGGGTGGAAAATAGTTGCCCTCGAAAATGCCGTCGTGCACATTGGACCACCAGCGCCAACATGGTTGTTCTCAAGCCGGGAAAATAGAGATGCTCCGCGATGGCGCAGCGTTAAGTGCTGTTGGAAAAGCCCTGCAGCGCAGCGACGCATGTAACCGTAATACAATCGTCCTCATCGGTTGTCTGCCTGTCGGGTTTCGTTCGGTCTCTCGAGAATCCATGATATGATGCACACCCGGAGAATCCGATTCCAGCAGAGAAATCCTGAACCATCCCGAGCGCAGTGAAAGCCATCAACACTGTCTTTTTGTCTGGTTGATTCCACAGCATAAAGCAAATGCAAATGTTTTTGCCCTTTCTTCCTGTCTCCATACGCCCCTCGAGCCCTACCTTTTCCCATATCGTATTCACCACCGAATTGTTTTGTGTCTGCAGTTTCAACTTCTTGATCCGGAGATGCGTGCACATCCACGGCATAGCACCACAGCCTTGGCCAATACCCTCACGTAACATAAGGTAGTCTCTGCCTCTGCCCTCGTGCGCAATCACCGTCACGTAACAGTTGATCGGTTTAAAACCCTCTCCCTCTCCCCCTGCCGCGACCACCACCTCTACCACGACCACGACCCATTCCCCTTCCACGACCACGAGCAGCACCATCGCCTTCCTTTCTCGCCTTGTTCTTCGGCTTAGGCTGGTCGTCGATCAACAGCGTGTCCAGCGGTAACGAGTCCGGCAAGATGAAATATCTAATCGTCGAGCCGCGGATGTTGATCGTGTCGAGGGAAATGGTTTCGCCTGGTGCTGAGGGGCTCGATCGGTTTTTGGTCGTCATCTTGACGGCGCGCAGGGCCGTGTTCATCTGTGGCGAGACGGATGTGATGGTACCGTGGACGATGGTGCCGTTTTTGAGTTCAATGGTGACCGTTTCGTTGGCGCATTTCATGAGGAATCTGTAGGACATGGTAGTGTTAGCTGGAACGACTCTCTGAGCTCTACTAAACAATCAAAAAGGGGACAACGGACCTGACGAGCTTCATTTTGAAAGAGACCTATTGGTGGTCAACCTGGACACGCGCCGCTTGACGAAGTGGTTCTGAAGTTTGAGGTGCAACTCGTGGAGGACAATGTCGTCCTGGTCTTGCAATAACAGCAGTCGATGGGATTCGCTTGTGATAGTATAGGGAGGAATTGGTCGGTCGGTCACTTTAGATGTGTAGGCAGTTTGTTGTTGCCGTTGATAAGTATTAAACACACCGCGGACTGGCACTGCATTCAAGTTGCGCACCGCAGCATGAACTTGAACTTTGCGGGCACAGCCTTGCGCATTAAGGCACTAGTGCAAATTAGTACTAGCTTGTGCTGGCTGCTCAAGCTTGGCAGGTTTGTTTCGACTTCAAGTTCAGCCTTGCGAAAGTCGGGCACCCATGTAATGAACCACCTCATCCTCCCAATGAACCACCCTCCGGGCCACCGCTCAACGCGTCGAACTCGTTCTTAGTCTCTCTTCAAGCCATATCCAATTACTCTGAAACTTATTCAGTATGTCCTCCGAGACCTAGCAAGCTATTCAGGCCATCGATTCACCGTCCTTTCCGCTGTTCCCATTTGTAGCTGAACTGATGACATGGTATAAAAATTGAAGTCCCTTCCCAAGGCTATGATTAGATACCACACTATCATCTTCAAGGAAAAAAGAGTGCCACAACGAGAGTCTGGCACGACCTTGGTAGATTAAACCACAACCTACTTTGCTTCGCTCCGCAGGATTACAAAGTTCCAACCACCCCATCTTCCTCTTACTCAATTATTAGCCATTGCACTTGCAGCTGAAACGAAACACCAGTATCCCTAGGTAGTCTAGCAGCATCACGCATCCTTCCTCTTCTTAATCACCAAGATCACCACGGCACTACCACCTTCAGCCCAATCTCTCCCCTTCCCCTCCGGCACCTCTTCCATGATCTCCTTTGTACGCCTGACCAATTGATCAACACAGTCCTCAATTTCCCCCGCGGCAAGCTTATCCTTATGCGCCTCCCGCCAGCGCGTGACGGGACTAACTGTCCCCAAGCCCATCTTGATCTGATCGAAAGTGAGTCGTCGGCCCACAAGGAACTTCTCGCCCGGCGGGACATGGCCGTCCTTATTGAATTCGAGACGTTGAAACTCGTCCTTTGGAAAGACTCGTCCCAGGTTTCCGTTTCCTTTTCCTTTACCATCTCCTCCTTGGCCATCCTCCACATCATCCCACGGCAACTTCAGCCCAACATACAGTTGCCTCGTCAATCTGTTCCCCGGCTCCTCAAAGTCTCTGAGGACCTCGTCTTCAAACTCTGCAAACAACTTATGTAGTTTCTCCACATTCGGCGTGTCCGGGTTACAGTAGCCGCCCTTTGTGCACCAGAAGATAATACTCCCTCCAGGCTTGAGAATTTTTGCTGCTTCGGCATAGAACTTGGGCAGATCGAACCAATGTGCCGCCGTGGCCGCGGTGATGAGATCGACGGACGGGCCATCTTGACCTGTCACCTCCCGCAAAACAGGCGCCAACTGACTCAACTTTTCGGCCTCGCACACCTCAAATCTGATCGGTTCGCCGGACTTGGTGTTGACATTGGCCGTGCCCTTGCGCGCCACTTCGATCATGCTTTGACCTGGGTCCGCACCCAATGCGTGCTTGAACCGGGGAGCAAGGGACCGCGTGGCTGTTCCGGGTCCACATCCAACATCCAACAGGACGTCCAGCTTTCCGCCCGTGGAGACATGTTTGTCGACGATGATGTCGATTAGACGGTCCGGATATGGTTCTCGGTACCGCGCGTACGCGGCGGCCGAGGACGTGTCGTAGTTGCGGAAAGTCTTTTCTTTTGGAGTCTGGGATGGAGGATCTGCTGTTGCGGAAGAGCTAGTTAAGGATGCCATCTTGTGCGTTTTCACAGGAAAATTGCTAGTGGCACTTGTTGCGCTGACGCTGGATGATCTGCCTAGATGTCCTGAGTAATAGCCTCGAGGCAGTGGTCAAGCCGGAGGAATAAACCAGATCGAAGGAACAGGAACAAATGCTGCGGCGGGATGAGCGGAAAGTCGCCGGTACGGACGTATCGATCGATAAGACCGATGGCCGAGAAGATATATCTCGGGTACAAGACAGATCCGACAACGAAACGTAACGTTCCACCACAAGTATAAGAAACAAACTTGTTGGAGTCGACCACCTCTGCCTCTGATCGATTCTTGTCGCAACTTTGCCGTGGACTGATCAGTTGAAGAACAACTCGTCGACACTACTAGGAATTGAGTTGAGGTCTTGATGTTTACTGTAAAATGTAGGTCGGAGAGGAGAGTGACTCATTGATGCCTGGCACTAGGGCGAAATATAAGCGAAATGAGGCACAGCGGTAGAGAGACCAAACAGATACGAGGTACTATATACAGAACGGCTCCAGAGCTGAACTAGGGGCGTATATATGCAGGAGTACCTACGTATAAAACATTTATGTGCAAGACACCACTATGGACACCCACATCAATGCATGATTAGTAATCGCCCACCGCGCAGCCCAAGAGGTTCAACTTCAAGTCGGCTAATCCTATACTTGCCCTGCATTGTACCTACACCACGACATGATTTCTTCAAAAGGGCAAAAAAACAGGTCTCACAAGCCCAGTCGTGTAGAGGTGTATGAGTGACTGAAAACCCCCGGTGTTTTATGCCATCAGGGTTTTTTGACCGAACAATTATGGTCGAGAGTATTTTATGGTCGAGAAACTTATTTTATAGCCGGCCCAGTTTGTTGAAACTCGAGAACTAGACACAATCCCAAATCAACCTACCCACCTAGGCCATAGGACCCGATGGTGGTGAAGTGGCGATTGTTGGGGATAATTGCGCGACAGATAGATATAAAGGTTTAAAAAAGAGCGCGGACGGTGAAGCATGTGACGCGGTCATACCAAGACCAAGTCCGTATCGGGAGCTGACATGCTCTTACAATATGCACGTCGCCTGCCAGTTGGCAGCACTGATTTGATTAAGCTATCTGAGATAATGATGGACGACTGTTGACGAAGTCAGGAAGAGAGGGCCGGATGAACTCGAAAGCCCCCAAGCAAAGAGCAGCAAAACACGCTTGTACGCTGGCAACAAGAACAATTCACACTCGGGCTCAATTTGCACGCACGCACGCACGCTTGCCTTTCCTTTCCATCGCTTCAAAATCACGGTGGAAACGCACAAAACGAAAAAGCTAAACGCTTCTCAGACCGGCTGGGAAGTGCTCACTTTGAAAAGCTCAAGACATTCTCGACCCCAACGAACTTTGTCTGCCACTGCCTACCGGAACAGGTAGTAACGACATACGTTTCCCCTTTCCATTGGCCATCGCTAGAACACTGCTTGGCCGAGTGATAGTTCGCTTCGATAGTGGACTCGAATTCGGTTCTGTAACCTGATCATCCTCTTCGTTGTCGTGGTCACTCAATCGATCAAGTTCATCAGAGTATATCTCTCTCTGGCCTAACCTCGACATGGTTCTAGGATTGTGGGTGATTGAACGTAAGGGTAGACCAGGAGAGGTGCCATAGCTTCTGCTCAGAGACGATGCTGGCCTAGGGACTGTAGCCCCGCCCATGGTGGGCTTATTCTGGCTATGAACTGCAAGAGAAGATGGTGATCGGATGGTTCGAGCTGCAGGGACACTAGAGTTGCGAGCTCGATGATAGGGAACAGGATCCATGAGTCGACTCGTCCGGCCCGGAGGCGAAGGATCGGCGACTCGCTCCGCAAATGATCGGAATCGCTCGGTCTCTTTCTTTGGAGGCGTAGGCAGCATTGTTGTGGGTGAAGAAGTGGCCTCCCGGCTCAGCGGACTTCTCAGCGGCAGCGCTGTGCTTGATGATATTGACCGCGGGGTATATTTTCGTGCGGTGCCTGGTTTAGGAGCGGACGACGAACGATACGTTGGTGCCAAGGTAGTGTCGGAAGGTTTCACTACCGCGGACCATCTTGGTTTGTTCGACAGCGGCGTTGGGCCTGGTCGAGATGGGGCAGGGATTACTGGAGGTGAGTAGACTCCCTGACGATAGACCGATGGCTTGCCTGACATTGGTGACACTCCACGTCTAATGCTGCTGCTACTAGCCTGAGACATTGGCGTGGTAGGGCGCCTACTTTGGGAGAGTATTGACGCTCGTCTGTTGGCGGAAGTTGGAGGTGGCGGACGAGTGGAAGATGAGGTCCGATGCTTAGTATAACCGTTGAGTCCATATTTGGGTGTGGACTGTTCTGATCGTTGCGGTGGCAGATCAACCGACGAAGGAGGTGAAGAGCCAGGAGTCCCGGCAAATGTGGTGCTCGTGAATGAACGATCTGCAGAGACGATGCTTGAGATCGACTCACGGAGTCTGGAATTCTGTTGTGTCGTGTACGGCTCAAGGAGGGATTCAAGATCCTCCATTGTGTCGGTCAAATCTCTCATTCTGGACGACAACTCTTTGTTCAGGCGAAGAATTTCTCCGTTGACCGTCAAGCGATCCTTGAGGCCTTTCTGGATGATGGCAAGAACGCGGCTGATGGCCGGCCCATAATGCATCCTTTTCGCCTCAAAGCTTTCAATCCTTCTGGCCAAGGCAGCAGGGTTGACCACTTGGTAGTTTTCGTTGATGGCCTCCTTGACCTTCAGGATACTCCGCTCCACAGACTCACACATCTTCTGTGCCTGTCGACCAGCGTTCCGAAAGACGATCACCCATCGGTCTTCACTCAGCTCGCGACGAAGATTGTCCGCCTCTTTTGACAGCTCTATCCAGTTTCTTTCCAAGCGCTCCCGTTTGTCGTCGAGCTCGCGGCAAGCCATGGGAAACATCTTTTCTGCCCGCGACTGGAACATCGAAAGGCGCATTGGAAGGAAATCTAGAGATGCCCGAAGCGGTTGCATGCGTGCGAAAAGAGCCAGGAGGTTCGAGTCATCCTGAGGATTCTCAATGATCGGAGAGCCCAGAGGGGACTGTTCAAAAGGCGGCAAACTGAAGCGAGCATTAGGGGTGGTCCTCCTGTTGGACGGTTCGTCAATAAAGCTTTCCAACTCGTTCAGGTCGATGGCCTGGCTTGGACCCGTCTCGGTCTTCTGTTCCTGGTATGCCATGTGCCTTTTCTCTTCCATCTCAAACACCAATTGACTGAGACTGTCCATCTCTGCTCCCACATCTCCGAGGACTTTGGCCCATAGCTCTTCCCATTCCATGGCCAGTTCCACCTGTTCATGGACCTTCTTTAGGTTTTTGCGAACATTACCCCATCCCTCGAGAGTGACTTCCATTTGCTCGACGACCGCCTGCAACTCTTCCGGTTTGACATCGCCAATGTCCCGGCGTCCTTGTAGCTCTTCAATCGCGATGACATATACATTGATCAAGGTTTCGAATTGCCGGATGGTCTTGTCGGTTTCCTCTAGTCCCAACCTTCCAGCCGCGGCTGCCCATTCGACATCATCATCGGCGTCCAAGTTCTCCAGTACTTTCAGAGCCTTCTTGTTCCATGATTGTATCTGTTCAGCGGCGCTTGTGATGGCTTTGATCGCTTTGCGGGCAGTCGGTAGGGTGGTGACTGTGGCAGCGAGGGATTCAGCCTGGGGTATGTTAATCCCCGTCAAGCTGGCAATCTGGCTGCTGAACGAGGCTCTCGAGAAGGAATAGACCGAATTGCTCCTAGATAGATTCTCTGGAATCACAAACGACGCTGCATCACTGCCTGGTCCGGAAGAAGAGGAGGAGGAGCGCCGCGGAGGCGCCTGATTCGAAGGGGTTGGGACGAGTAGCTGATGGAGGTCGACATCGCTTTCAATTTCCACCATTGATGGACGGCGAGGAGCAGAGGTCATACCAGCCAGCTGGGCGAACCCTGCTGTTCCTCGGGGCTCAAATCTCAGTACAGATCGGATGTGGTGTGAGTCGAGGACTTAGGCTGCGCTGTCCTAGACGGGCGTGCATCGACAGACTGAACACGCGAGTTTGTGGTCCGGCCGGATGCAGGAGCGGATAACATAGGAGGAGGGAGATTGATCTGTGAAAGGGGCCGAAGGCGTGGAAATACTGTGGAGGGTAATGTGGATGGTGATACTAGTACACGTGGATGGATCGGTGCAGGAGTTGACAACAGTAGTAGTTGTAGCAGATAAGTGAAGTGCTATGATGGAGTAGTAAATCACAGCAATTGAAGTTGAAGTCCGCCAGCCCAGCGGCCCAATTCAAGTTCTGGCGTGAGATTCGTTTAATTGTTAGGCTGTCTACTTAAAGTGAAGAGCACCTTATTAATTGATAGGAGTCCGACTCGGTCGATAGCAATCCATAGCAAACCAGGATCTGGCGTTGGCAAGAAACGCGCCTCGCATTCAGATATGGACACCCGGCTCCATTCCTCAGCCACTCGGCGGACAGATTCAGGCGTTGCGGATGCGAGCTGACATCAGTCCTCGATCCAACACGCGTGCCCCGATAAACACTGCAACAATCATCAACAAACCGAAGCCTGAAGGAGCAGCTGCCGGCGCCACCTCTACAAACAACACTTTTTAACTTCTATTTGTTTATACCGGGTCGGCTTCTTCTTGTTTCTAGCTCTGAAATGGAGAATTGTTTGCTCGGCCACCGACAGGCGTCGATGCACAGAACTGACACATGAGCGCCGATGGCCTCTACCAAAACCATAATCACAACCTCTGCTGCAGTGGCTGCATCCAGCCGGATTGCATACAAGGCTGCAGACAAACGCGACCTAACTGTGGCAACGCGACTCGTCTCCCATGAATCAAGTGCTCCGTTGCGTCGTCCCATGGCTCATTGCCGAGCCACCCAGTTAATCCTCTTTACAGTATATTATTGTACAGGAATATCAGCGTCGGCTGTTGTCTCACCTCAGATGACCTCTTCTCTTTCCCAGCCCGTGGACTTGATGTGTTCGAGCCCTTTGCCGGGATGAGGCTTGGCTGGGTCCTTGTACACCGAGACGAAAGGGTTCGGATCTTGGGTGGGATCAAGGTTGCCCAAGGTGTGGTGGATTTCGCGGTGTTTGGCCTCGTCGGCTCTGATATAGTAGAGGAGGTCCTTCATGGTGCGGTGGCCCTCCGGCATTTTCCAGTAACTCACTGCGATGTCGGGGGCTTCGAGATTCTGCCACGCCGGCAGCTTGCCGTTCTCCAAGTCCTCGATGGCATAAGTGTATGTCTTGGTCGCTTCTTCCTCCAAATAGCCGACAAACCGGTGGCAGATCTTTGGAGAAACAAGGTAGGCCAGGAAAAAGCCGTTGGCGAAGACACCCTGCGCTCCCATGATCATGAGCTTCATGAACCAGCCTGGTTCAGCCATCTTGAGGAAGGTCAGGAGATGCATCCGCTCGTTGTACGCATCTTCCAGCAACGTCTCGATCCTGTGCGATGTCTGTCAGTAAGTGACTTTCACACAGTTGCTCACTCAGGTACGTACCATCCATTGTCTCTCTTCATTCTCCGCAAGCTGCGGAAGTGTCTCAACATGCCTCCCACCATGCCGGGCACCCCAGCGACCGTCTCGAGGAAAATGAACCGGACCAGCCATTTCCTCTCGTTCATAATGTAGGGCTTATTGGGGTCGTGACGGTATCCCGTCGCAAGGTCTGTTCCCCAACGCAGGAACCTCACCATGTTGTACGCGATTTTGTCGGAAAGCGTGCGGGTTTCACGATGAGCTATCTCGATCTTCTTGAGTTGGTCCTCGGTCGCCTCTTCGTGCGGCCATGATGCAGGTCTGTCAAAAGGTAAGTTCGGAGAAGTCTGAAGATAAGGTTGAGAAAAACTTACGTTACTCTGATGTTTGGGGCGTTTTTCGGTGGAGGAAAGAATTCCAGTTGTGTTCTGCTGGAGACCGAGAAGTTCCGTCGTGAGGGTTGATTTAACGGTCGAAGGGCAGCATAGCTTGCTCGAAAAGCTGATCCCCTGGCAGCTGTGGTCAAGGCTGAGGTAGCGAGGCCTCGACTCGCTGTTCTTGAGATATTGTTCGTGAGGGTGGGTATGAAGAGTACTTTGGTTGTTGAATTCATAGTGGTAACTATCGTCAACAAGAGTCAATCATGAATAGTGTGTCAAGTAATACAAGTCATGTATGGTCAGCAAGCATAGATGCAAGGGCAGTATTCGACATATGGGCATTTTATATAAATCGTCCGAGAACAAATGGTGCCATCCATGGGATCGGGCTCTAGGAGGGCGAATGGCCACTGCGGCGTTGTCATGCAGGCAAGATGCGACATATTTTGTCGCTATGCGCCTCGTGTATCATCTATCACAGTTGAGAGAGGAGCCACGCCGTGAACAGTAGTGACTCGGAGTGGATGCGGGCGCTTGATCCTCGTGTCCTCTTGAAGTCTAGGCTGACGGGGACACGGCAACAGGATATGTTGTAAGTTGTACGTAGGTACAGTGTACACGCATCAGCCCGCACTCATGGTCTCCCTGACATTGCTATCTTCGGGCACTACCAGCGGTACAACCTAGTACTGTAGCAGCGCCTTGTCGCACGCTCCCGATGCACGCTATTTTCTCATCGCCGTCCAGTTTCTCCACGGCCTACGCTGACACACCTTCCGTACTAGTAGATCTTAACTTTTTTTCTACTACCCCAAACTCCGAGCATGTACCTTTTATTTTGAATTCGGATATATTCCACTCAAGAAAGTGCAACATTCCAAACAGACATACATTGTCCGCCGCGGAAGTGTTCGCTCACGGCTACATTTTGCGTAAAACCCTGAGACTTTTCACCTGGACAAACACATGCATTCTTATTAGTAATCCTGATAATGGGCCGGTGAGCAACTGGGGTCCCACTCGGCGATCTGGCTTTGACACTGGCACCTAGTATGGCTGCAAAAAAGATTACAAAAATAGTCTAGTTTCCGCATGAGTCGAAAAAGATGCAAAAGCCAGATGAACCAGATGACTTGGGGCTGGGCGGGAGAGACCGGAGGGCAGAGGCTGAGACAAAACCAGGAGGCCCTCACATTCGGGGACTGCCAGCGGGTGAGCACGATATCGGGGAGATTCGGAACATCATGTGCCAGATTGCCTCAAGGCTGAGGACTGCCCATGTTCATGATATCGAGTTCCAGCTTATTGGAATTGCATTCAAACTTGACTGTGTCTGCTGACTGCTGCCAGTTCTCACTATTGGTACATTTATTCTCTCATGCTGCACTTCGTCTCAGCCTTACGACTCGGAGACCGATCTCCGTCCCACCACGGCATTCGGGTTCCGCCTCTATCATTACATAGTACTGGAGATGAGGAATCCATGCACTGCATGCAGCCCTATTCCACCCGTTGAGGCATGACGTTTCGAGCAATCACCGAGCCCGCAATCGTCAAGATTCCTTTGTCTTGGCTGGCACTCGTTGAACTCATAGACGGGCGGCATCGGCCGCATGGTCATTGTTGTACAAATATGCGTTACTTGGTTGAAATCTTTTTCTAGGCCTCAAACGAGCGTTCGCCCTCTTTGGGCTGCAGCTCTTTGGTCTCAACTTTGACAACATGAGCTGATCTCGGGCCAGAGTTCAAGTCTGCTGTGAGTTTCTTCAACGAATCCGGGTCGCCTTGAGCTTCTCCAGCCACCTCGAATGCCGTCAGCCAAAGTGGCGAATGAGTAAGATGAGGAAGAACAGGTACCTACCTTGCCGTCTGAGGTGTTCTTGACATACCCTGTGATGCCGTAGTGAGAGGCTTTCCGCTGGACAAAGGCACTACTCAACGGTCAGGAATGCACCACAATTTGGTCGCGTGCCCTCCAGGCTGGAAAAAGACGTACCGGAAGCCAACACCTTGGACCGTGCCATGGACGGTAAATGCAATCCGCTTCAGATTTGACATGTTGGGCAGAAGTGAACTACTCGTTGACGATTGTAAAGTGTTTCAGCAGCGAAAAAGGGTGGACAGAAGAGACCTCTTGGAAGCGTTCCATACTACTATCAAACAGTCCCTCGACTCGACATGGTTTCTCGAAAATGCGATGCATTCTGAACCAAACAGCGGGAATGCGGGGCAGATTGGCCGGTGATGACGCCAGAAGGACGTTTCAGCCAGCGTTAATTCGGGATAAGGTACCTTGCTTAGACCCTTTCCGGTTAAGAGCCAGACGGCGTAGTCAACGCTAGAACCCTTTCGTCTGTTAGTTCAAATCTTGGCTTAGTCAGGCCTCTTGTGCCAGAAAGCCAATCATGGATTAGGCTGTGCGGTGCCTGCGGACTGTGGAGAGCGGAAACGCGTCGCAGCCTGGCCAATAATCGGACAACTGGCACGATGTAGGATCCATCTCCAATTATTGTGACAGACAGTGTGAGGTGTCGGCTCCGCGTAATGTCAACAATGCTTTTGGACACAGGCAGGACGACAAGGGAAGCATTGCCTTCCCAGTTTACGCGTACTTGAGAAATCTACCACAGTGGACGTAGATAGTATCTCAGATATGGGCTAAGATACAGTGCTCGATGACTGTAGCAGTCGTCCTGGAATACGGGAGAGGTGACAGCCGGCGTTGGCCATGACCTGCCTGCGATCTTCCCCTTTCACTTCATCTCCCACTAGCGCCGTCCATCCAATTTCACAACGCCTCGGGCTCTCCATTTCCATCGGCTAGAGCGTTGTCCTGTGCTTCGTGTCTGTCTTGTTACAACCGGGCGTTGTTTTTGCATCTGAATCCTGCTTCTTGCTTTCTTGGTTCTTCGCAGAAAGCACAAAGCGTTAGAACATATCTCAGCCCTTTTACTCTGTCCTTCGCTCTTCGAACCAAGCCACCCCCAAGTTCACACAATACTCAGACCGTCTGCCAGCCATGAGCAATGATTCAGAAGTTGCCTTGACCAACGTTCCCTTCCAGGCACATTCGCCGGGACCTTCGCCTTCACCTTCTCCGAACCTTCTCCCGACCCCTGACACCGCCAGCCTTTCATCAAACCGATCCTGCTCCGGGGTGTCTTCCGTATCGACTTCTTCCGCGTCATCCAATGCTTCGTCGGTTTCTCGAACGAGTGTCACCGCTCGTCGCCGTGGATATGTTCGCCCACAAGGAGTATCGTTTGCCGAATCGGCCAAGAACAGAGAAAGTGTCATGTGTCTGGGCAGCATAGCCCATTTGCAATATTATTTCGCCCGGACGGGTCTGTTGGACGGGAAAGGGGGTCAGATGGCAAAGAAGAAGCAGAATGGAGAATATGATATTCCTCGGATGTCTCTGTCAGCAAATCAGGACATTGTCGAATCGCCGATTGATGATGAAGCCCAAGCTCTATGGGAGGCCGCACAAGAAGAAGGGGCTGAGGTCATGCTACCGCCAACCGTGTCAACCTACAGTCACCGGTCTCCTAACGTGCCTCCGCCGCCGGACCAGAAAACCATGAAAAGGGAATTGGTCGAAGCCCTGGAAAATGCCTTGCAGGCTGTGGAATCATGTGAGAAACTGCCGGCCGAGGGCGGCGAAGAACAAACCGAAGGTTTCTATCAGATCCAAGGGCTACACGTCCTCGACACCACCACACAAGCAATCCGTGCGGCTAGATTGTATTACACGCTACATCCAAACCCGCAAAGGCTGAACTCAATACGATCGGATCAAGAGTTGCGGAAAGACCTCTATTCTGTTTTGGATGTGCTCAAGAAATGTGCCGGTCGTAACTTTGCTGGCGGTCTTAGGGAAGACGAAAGATTGGCTGTCTTGGTCTGGGTCAGCGATGTGGGGATGATGATTGATCAAGAAGCCAAACTCGAAGAGGCCGACAAGCACCAGCGGAAAGACTGGCATTGGATGACGGATTCCAAGTGGATCGATCGCGAAAGAGAACGCGACATCAACTTTCTCGACTTTTTGTTGAAAGGCCAATGTCAATCTCCCCACGATCAGCAGGATGTGGACCCAGAATACTTCAAGAGTCTTGCTGATGGTAGAGACCTTGTCCGGATGCACAATGCGGCTGTGGACCGATCCAAAAAGCGGTTTGACTTTATCAAAAGCTTCCACGAGGATGTGACCAAGCCGTACCGACGGGCCGACAATATTCGTTTTTGGCTCAAGGCGGCAGAGCTGAGGTGGGAGCTCAGGCTACAGCTAGACGTAATGGCTGTCGCCAATCCCGTGGACAATAGTACTACGTGGTCATCTTTCGAAAATGCTGTTCGAGAGTGGAGTCGAGGCGTTCGCGCGGAATTGGCCAAAGACTGGAATGGAGAGGAAGAACGGTCACTCCACGCTAGGGCGCGTAGTCTGGCCATGGCTAGCCCCATGTCCAGTCCATCAAGAAAGGCAGATCAAGCACCTCCTCTCCCCAGTCCCGCCAGGAGAATGGCAGTCGCACCTAGTCCACTTGCACTAGGCAGTCCGACAAAGACGGTTGCCGGCTCTGAAACACAAACACCCGACAGTCCAACTCCGAATGGCGCACTCAGCAGCTGCGAGGAAGAGTCATAGGATAAGGTTCAAGTTGCCCTGAGCTGGATCATCATGGGGGGCACTTTTTCCTTCATTGAGGAGGATTTCTTTTTCCACCCAAAGCATTACGATACCCACGCAAAACGTTAAGCAGCAAGCGCTAATCATACAGAGATATTTGGAGAGATTCATGGTTGTCCTGGCCCTTTTAATGTTACATACGTTGTACTTCATATGGCATGAAGCCTGCACCCTTAACGTGTCGAGAGCATATTATTGTTTCTTGCAGTCTGTGCTGGTGTCTCAGACCGATAGGTAGCAGAGTCTACATATGTCATAAAGACGCTTGATATACTTTGTCCATTGTACACAATAGGCTAGTGATACCTCTGCTTCCCAAACTTAGCAGACCAGGTCCATAATGGTCTTACTGTGCCTTAAAGTACTGTTACTTAGTACTACTAGGAACGTGATTATTCTTTTTAGGTACTGTACATGTCCATCGACCGGCACAAGGAGCAAACAATGCCACACGTGATACCCACAACCGGAATCTTGTCTTCTGACTTTCATCCACTTGAAATTCGGTCAGCGATATAAATTCCTGATACTGGTCTGCTCTAGTAACTAGATAGATGTTTACATACTGTAGCTGGTCCCTCCCTCCCACCTTCGTTATGTATAAGACAGACCACCGTAGAGCCTGGTCCTTCTTTGTGAGTACATAGATCTAGGTGGGATCTGAGGCTGGGATCTGGGGGATCCGAGACCGCTTGCTGGCTATGGCTGGCTACTACATGGCCTCCTTCTGAGCCGCCCCATCAACACTTGCAACCCACTTCACCCGCTCCGGCGCAAATAGCTCGACGCCCGGTTTGTTGGAATTGATGACCCCCACGTCGTCCAGGATCCCGGCTTTGATGATTCGCATCCCGTCCTTGCCGCCGAACGAGTCGCCGTATCGATAGAGTGTTGTTCCTGTAGAAATGATAAGGAAAACGTTTAGTGTGACGATACGGCTTTTCTTTCGACATTTGTGGAAAGTTTGGAGTCTTACCACATTCGGGACAGAACCCATTGATAATCGTCTTGCCCGAGTCGGCGGTCTTGGAAATCTCCTTGGGCGTGCCGTCGGAGACTGTAAAGTTGGAGCTGGGCACCACAATGTTGTAGCTGTATAGGCCGCCGGAGATCTTGCGGCAGTCGGCACAGTGGCATAGGGCCTTTGGAGAGAGGGGGCTAGTTAGTTTTGAGGCTGTCTGTCTGTCTCTTGCAGCCAGTGGTAGGTGGTCTCGGGGAAGAAGATTTTGTTTCAAGGACCCCGAGTCTTTATGGAGAGTTGCTGCGAGGAGGGGGTTGTTTGTGTCTTTTGGAAAAGATGGCCTGTAAATTGGAAAGGGGATCGGATGAAATGCAACGCCAGTGCAATGTAGTAGTGCTTAAGGTACTTACCGTCATGGCTGGGTCGCCGGTATATTCGACCTTGATGTTTCCGCAGAAGCAGCTTCCGGAAGGCATGGCTGGATGAAGTCTGAACTGTTGGTTGGTTTCGTCGGATTGGGCAGGATAGTAAGTGACGCGATGGATGTCTGGTGGATGTCAGAGAACTGTAATCGGACACAGGAAGGAGTCGGGCTTTTGTTTTATACTGTATGCTCTACTACGACTTACCCAGTATCAAGCCGGGCGGGGTCACCGCTCTCCTTTCTGGACGCCGAGAGACTGGCTTCCCGTGGTCGTAACGTAGCTGGTAGACAACATGTTTCGGTTCCCCTACACGCTCACGCCGTCGTCATCACCAGCTGACTTACTTTGCCGGGCGCGTTTGCCGGGTCCGCTGGACCGCCGGCCGCGGGGGTCCCGGGGTTCGGGCTCCATCTTGACATTCAAATGCTCGGCAAGCTGAGGTCGAAGGAGTCTGTGGCTCCTGCTGCTACCAGCCATGGGACGGGTTGACCCGCTTACCGAGGCAGCGCGTCGATACAGGACAGATCGGGCAAGTCGATGATATGGATGAAGCTTTGCAGACTGACGGGAGTGGGTGGGCGTGCGGTTGTGGCGCCCAATCGCATCCTTGGTTGCCAAGCGGCGGGTTTTGAGGGTAAAGCAGCGGAGGGGTTGTCCCTTTTCCACTGTTCGGTCCTTGTAACACACGCCTCTGCCACCTAGATACCAACTACACTTTCACTCTTCATCTTGTTGATGAAGCCGGCTTGACATTCCCAGTAGCGGTTCGGAAGGGAAGACCCCGTAAGCCCGAGGAATGAGTATGGGATACATTCCTATCATTGAGCACCAGACCTCTCCATTGAAGCATCAATCTTTGTTCTACTACAGTAAATGCTGGCAGGTGACTACCTAAGGTGGGTACAGTCAAGGCCTTCATATACACAGCAAGATATCACTACTGTCATGAAGACGAGCTCAAAGCAACATGGTACCGAATTGCAAACACGTCCGTAGCATTGCATACCAATCCCCCGTCATCCACCTCGTTATGCATCAGTTTTAAATACCCGTTGTGCATCTTTACTTCAAAAACGACCCATTCGTCTTAGCAAGCTGCTCGTCATAATACCCCTGAAACGCCAGCCAGCCCTTCTCATCCGTCCCGACCTGGGAGTACGAGAACTCAGCCTCTTCATCGGAGATCAAGATCTTTTTATGTCCCGAGCCAGCACTGGCTGCATCGGCCAACAACTGCGCATGACACGTCTTATCGAGACTGATGAACCAGAACGCCGCGGCGTCCACCGTCTTCGCGCACGTCAGCAGTCCATGGTTCTGAAGGATAACGGCCTTGCCGTTGCCCAGCGCCTTGGCGATTCGTTTGCCTTCCTCACGATCCAGAACCACCCCTCCAAAATTGTCATAGACCGCATGCGACTTGTAGAAGCGCAGCGCATCCTGCGTCATCATGTCGAGTTCGCGACCAAAGACTGAAAATGCCTTGCCGTACACGCTGTGGGCGTGACAGGCGGCGTCGACGTCAGGTCGAGCTTTGTGGATTTCCGAGTGGATCGCAAACGCTGCGGCGTTGATCGGTTCGTCGCCGATCACGACATCGCCGTCCTCGTTGACCAGGATCAAGTCCGATACGCAGATTTGCGAAAAGTGCATGGAAAGTGGGTTGAGCCCTGAAGAAAGACAGTTAGAACGGATGTGACCGAAGAAACATGTCATCAATGTCGGATGGTAAGAACTGTAAGACACAAGTACAGAACGAAAGATGACGTCGCATTCTCCCCTTCTCCAGTCTCCTCTCCTCATTGTGTCAAGAAACCACCAACTCAATGACCCTATGCATACCACAACCCATCCACTTCTATTTCGCCTCGCTTGTAGACCGAATGGAACCAATCTGGTGTCTCCAAAGACAACCCACACAAGAAGAAAGAGACAAAACAAAACCACCAACCATTCATATCATGTGGGGAAAGTGTGTGCTAGTACTTACAGAAATGATCTCTCAAAATCGGATCCCGCACACTAATATGTCCCGCGACCCCCTCATCGAACCCCCTGTCAGCAAAGACACGAAACGCGGCCGCCAGATGCTGTTTGCGATACAACCGCTCTTCCTCCAGCGACTCGAATTTCGGGTACGATCGAATCCGGAGTTTCTTGCCGGACACGGTTTTGCCGAGCGCTCCGACGGCGCGGTTTTCTTGGGACGAGGCGTCGTAGACGTCGAGGGCTGGGGCCATGGTTGAGAATAGAAATCTTCAGAATAGATCTGGATTTCGGAGACTGTTTGCACCACAAGATGGAATGTCGACCTCGGTCGGTAATAGACCAGACCAGTTCAAAGACGTATGTCTTTAGCAATACCTAGGTAGGTAGGTACTGTACAGCAAAGGTTCAAGCGGTATGAAGAGAATATATTATATTAGAGTGGGAAGAGCGATAAGGGCTTTTGACAAAAGGTTCCACCACGAGACGAGAGCATTGGCGCTCTTTAAAAGTGCATAACCGGGGATCCCCTCTCGCCTCGCAATGCTCCCGTGCAGTGTCAAGGTGGCGCTTGGGTGGTTGATTGTGGGGGGACAGACGCGCTCTTCGGTACGGATCCCGGCACGGCTGGGGAGGTGATACAGTGCGGGGTGTGGCATGTACAGTAGGAGATCACAGCAATAGGGACCTCATTGAACAGTACCTACCTAGGTGATTAATAGGTGGCCCGAAGGACCATCTTCCGACGGAAAGAATTGGTAAGCTCCAAGTGGTGACTCGGCGTGGTTCGCCATCTCATCAATGGTCTCAATCAATCACCGCCATTGCCACTGCAGTGATATTGCACTATTCCTCGGCCGTGGTGGACGGAGTAGTCCGTTAACCATGGACTAGCACTACTACCTACTATCAAATGGCGTATATTGTAGATCGCGTCAGGATGGGGGATCCTTCAAACAAAAAGCCCTATCGTGGATGTGTATGGGGTGGCATATGGCCTCATAGGAGTAGCGGTATATAAGTGCCTAGCTGTGTACCTGGATATCCACCTTCCAAATAGATGCGTCGTATATATGTACCCTACCAGCGATTGATGATTCGAGATCGTCGGAACGACCGTCGCAGTATCACCGAGAAATCCTTCGATGTGATTGCACACGGCCGGGTCAAGCAAGGCCAGTGCGATCCATGACATATACAATAAGTCTATTCCTTCGACCTGCCATCAGAATCGATTGATTTTTGTTCAATGTCCACGTCTATCATATGTCACACAGTGCTGAGGCGAGACGGTCCAGAAAAACTCCCAAAAAGCCTTGCGATATGCTCTACCGCGTGCCCATGCATGAGAAAAGGGTGTCCGGATAAATACCACCCATACTGTTACAACGCATTAAACACCATGCGCCACTCCAGCTCAAAGAAACCCAGCCAAACACACAAATTAGCCGCTCCAACAGCCCTGGTTTGACCTCAGTCCTCTTGCTGTTCACGTCCTTTCTTCTCGTTAATCTTTTTCGCCCACTTCTTGCCCACTTCATAACTGCTGATCATGATGGCACACGCAGGCGCTACCTTGAGACATCGTGCCGCCCACCCCTTGAAGAGACCTCGCATTCCTTCTTCTTTCAGGATATGGTACAAGAACCGGGGCATCGAGAGTTCTTCGGGAATGTGCTTGCCTTGTTTGGCGATTTCGCGTGCGGCTGCTCGCGAGGATGCGTCGTCACCGGCGTGGTGGTGGACTTGCTGACGAGTTTTGCCGACATCAAATGGTGTCGTGACAAATGCAGCCACTGCGCCGGAACCTGCTCCTGCAATGAAACTGTCGATGAATGTCGTCGTGTGGTTTTCGTGGTCCTGGGCTGCTCGTCCTCCGGTCATGGAACGGTCCGGATTGAGCTTGTGTCCTCGCACGGCTTCCCGGGCATCGGTCAATTCGTTCCGGATGGCTTCATATCCCCACCAATAAATAGCCGAAAAAGGAACGTCGCGCCACATGGTCAAAGTCAGCCCGCGCCACAAAGAAGTGTAGCCATGGGTCTGCGTCATGCGGTGCAGTCCAAGCATTGTGTCCTTGAACACGCCCGTCGCACTCCCATGAGTCGCTTGCATTCGAGTCCGGAACATCTCAATTGGTGAAACCGCCACTGCCGCTGCTATCCGAGCAATCGAGCCTGCCACCAAGGGCGCATACGTGTCGTTGGAGACCTTCCTGATCGGACTCGCGTGGTGGTAGCGGAGCCAGTCGTAACCGGTGAAGTAGATGACATTGGCCGGAATGGCCATTACCAACGTCGGTGATAGGCCGCGCCATAGAGTCAGATAGCCCTCGTTCCTCGCAATCTTCCTCAGTCCGTCCAGGGTGGAATTGAAAGTTCTCTTCTGCGTTTCTTCGACAGCACAGTCCGCCGCAGCGGCGGATGAGCTTTGGGCGCCCGATCCTCCTCCAGCTATACAGTATTCGCCATTATGTCCCAACCAGAAGACCTCCCGACAACATGAATTGACTCCAAGGTCGGGTGGCAGTTGCTTGAATGATGTAGAGTATGCAGGAAATTTAGAAAGGTTCATAGGTTTGGGGATATGTTGGGATTGTAGTCGGACACGGACGACATCGAGAGGAGTTACTGTAGAATGGTTAGCTATGTAAATTGCACATTGGCGATAGTCGTAGCATACCAAGTAAGGAGGTCAATAGACTGCCCCAGGTGGCCGAAATCATACGCTGCCAGGTGGTGATCTCGACACTGTCGGAGTTCGACATGGTGCCCTTATCCTGTTCCTGGAACTGTATTCTGTCATGCCGTTGTCCTTGTCGCTGCAACTGTGCATCATGACCGAGCCCGTGGTGCGGATGGGAGTGCTCGTCCAGCGACTGCGCAGGTTCGGAGGTGAACGAGTAGGACATTCAAGCCCGCCAAATACAACACACCCGAACAGATCCTAGCTACCGGTACCTTATCCAGCTGACCAGGACGATGAAAGCAGTGTCAAATCCGCTGGTGTGGTGGTGGAGGTGAGAAATATGAGGACATGGACAGGGAGGCAATTAATTATGACGGTACCAACATGTCAGTCGAGGTCCTCTCTGCAGTTGCAGTATGCGAGGAAAAAGTTCCCCGGCCCGTTATCGGCTGCGCCCTCCAGCAAATCAGTTGTGACAAAAGGGGAAATCTTGCCGAGTGGCTCGCTGATAGCGGAGATAGAGCGGCATCTTGATAAGATAACCTTAATTTAAGCCCGTCATCGTTCAATCCGGGTACATCAGAACAGGCAAGTATGTGCTACCACACTGCAGTGTATCGGTTGTTCAGGACCACGACAGTGGTAATGTGGCGATTGGATCTAAACTAATTCAACGCCATCTCTTCAAGAGAGTCTGCAGTCCATTTTCAGAGTCTTCCGTTCTTGAAATTTCATGTCTAAATCGGCCATTCGTCTAGATTGTCGCCACTTGTGATCAGGGATCCGAGTTATTCACCATGGATGAATCCGCCACAGCCCTAGAAGCGTTCCGTCAACAATGGAAGGAAGAGGTCAATGCGCGCTCAAGGAGGGCCGACAGAAGACTTTCCGAATCAAAAGCCCATGAGAAACCAAGAAGAACAAGCGACGTTCGTCCCGAGAGGCCTATTCACAAACCGCCTACTCGCCACCCGGCGGCAGATATCAAAGATGAATCCGATCAGCATAGTGATGCGGAACCTGCGAAGGACAACACGTCAAATGTCATTCAACGCATTGAGGGCCTCAGTATTCGGCACGTCGATGATGATGATTTCACGGCAAAGGGCTCGTCCAGTGAGCCCAAAAGCGCCCTGGAACATTACGAACGCGCCGTGGAGAAGGAAAGCCAAGGGAACCTCGGAGATAGTCTTTCCCACTACAGAAAGGCATACCGACTCGATGCCAAAGTCGACCAATCATACAGAAACAAACACTTTCCAGCAAAGTCCAAACCGGCCAATCCTAACCCGTCCAATGCCGCTGTTACAGTCCCGTCAACTGCCCACCACTCATCGAAGGAACCCACGGAGGCCTTGACATTTGAACAGCTCCTTGATAGTTTTGCTGGCTCACAAATTGAAGGTGTTCCTCCGATAATCGAGGGAGACCGACCTCCTCCGTGTGGGATCAAGAAACTGCCCACCGAAGTTCTGCTCGTACTTCTCCGCCACGTGGCCATCCGCGACCCAGCCATATTCGTTCGCTTGTCACTGGTGTGCAAGAAGCTCGCATATCATGTTCTGACGGACAACGAGATCTGGAAGCGAGTTGCCCTAGGCCCGGAGTTTGGGCTTGCCAGTCAACGATACGATTTCGCCACTGACATTCAAGGCCGTGAATCCATCGACCGCCGGTTAGGCGTGGGTGTGGACGACGAGGATGATGAAGGAGAGAATCCCCGGTATTCTATCGTCACAGAGTCTTCCTTCCCAAAGGACACTGTCTGGCGAGACGTCTTCCACAATTACCCACGAATCCGGTTTAGTGGTGTATATATATCCACTGTCAACTATACCCGACCAGGTGGCGCCTCGGCCACGGCAAACACATGGACGAATCCGATCCACATTGTCACATACTATCGATATCTCAGGTTCTTCCGGGATGGGACATGTATATCCCTCCTCACGACCAATGAGCCCATCGAGGTTGTGCACCATTTGACTCCAGAGAACCTCAACTATGTCCGTAGTAATGGGAAACATCAACATCAGCAGTCAGGACATCCTCTCAATTTCACCTCCTCTGCTCCGGCTCTGTTCAAAGATGGCGGAACATCCTCATCGACATCTGGAACAACTACAGGTGGGGCAGCACCACCACCGTCCGCGCAACAGATTATGAAACATGCCCTCCGCGGCCGCTGGCGGCTTTGCCATCCTAGCCTCGAGCCTGCCGAGGCGATGAACACGACAAACATGCCCGGTTCTGATACCGTGCATGCCCCTAGACCAATATACCCAGGTGATCTGCATATTGAGACAGAAGGCGCTGGTCCACGATACATGTACACGCTGCACCTGGCTTTGAAGTCGGCTGGATCAGCACGGTCCAAGCACACCACCAAGAACAATAAACTGCAATGGAAGGGCTTTTGGAGCTATAACCTTCTCACCAATGATTGGGCCGAATTCACGTTGAGAAACGATAAACCGTTCTATTTCTCGAGGGTTAAAGGGTATGGTTTGGGGTATTGAAGTATATTGTGGCGGTGGAGGCGTTTGGACATGAGCTGAAAAGAGTGTTCGTGCTGTATGACCAGACGAATTGTTGCCCTCTTGTCAAGCGAGTGGGTGGGCTGATATGGAGACAATACACGCAATTTCATCGAGTTGATGAAAGTGCCTCGCTTGACAGTTGCATGTTGGTAAAGTCCCATTCATCGGAGAAAACGTCCTTGCCCTGCCGGGGTTGTTAGACCAGTTCTGTAATCCTTTTCTCGTATGCAGCCCATTTCAGGCCATTTCAGACGCTCATTCAGAGCATCGCATGCCCTCCGGCCTGCCTCATCCTTTTCATGTCGTTTCGCTGAGTCTCAACTCGTTCGTTCGCTCGGCTCTGCCAGAGTAGCGTGGATGAAGCAATGGGGACGGAACACTGCAATATGGATGTGCGGTTACGTCCCCTCTTTTCGATTTTGTCGTCCATCTCGTTGTATTAATCCAATTTCATTCTCTGCATATCCGCACAATTTCCAACTTTTCCCATCCAGCCGTCTTCCCACTCGATCCAACAGTCTCAGCCGTCCAGCGGCGGCGGCCATCATCACTCCCGCTGTTGTCGCTTCCATCATCATTCCAACTTCGAATCCAACTCTTGACCTCTTCAGGCTTATTACCCCGACAGAACAGAATATACGCGACACCCCGCGGACTCAAAATGAGCGGAATCTGGCGGAGCAGTCGCATCGTGACCTGCATGCCGTCGATGCCACCTGCATACGATAGTGCGAGCAGATGTGAGGACTCTTCAAAAGTCAACGAAGACGAGTAGGAGGAGACCTTTGTGTCGAGTTTGGGATTTGATTGAGTGTCGTTGGCGTCGGCACCGACACTTGTCACAGGGACTGTGTGTATTTGCTGATTTTGATTTTGATTTCGAAGCGCTTCAAAGTCCGGCACAGAATCGGTCGGCACATAGGGCGGGTTGAATATGAGTACGTCGACTTCGCCTGGTCGAAGGGGTGTGGTGAGGTCGCCCGTCAGAGAAGCTAGGTATATGCTGTTGTTAATGGTGCTGTTGGACTCAGGCGCTGTCCTCGTTTCGTAGAGTGCCTTCTCCACGGTCGTGCGGGTGGCCAGGCATGCATGCGGGTTCACGTCCACGCCGAGGCTGAGGACGGGTTGGCCGAAAATGGTGTGGGCGTGGGCTGTGAGGAAGGCGATTATGACGCCGGATCCGGGCCCGAGTTCGACGACTAGTGGAGGGGTGGTTATCGGTGTCGGTGCTCGTCCGGTTCGATGTGGTGATGTTGTAGTTGTTGAGGGTAAACTGGAGGCGGAAGTCTGATCGAAAGAAGGCTTAAAGCGCGCTTGTAGCCATTCCGTCTCCGATGCGGATGACAGTGTGTCGAGATATAGATACGAGTCTTCTGCTGGTTCGTAGATCCTGTCGTACGACACGTGTGATGTTGACGGTGTTGGTAGCATGTTGTCTACCTAGGTAGCTCTTAGGCGGGGCTGGAAACCTCTTGAGGTCGGCACCGAGTTTTCCAGTGGGAGATCGAAGGACCAGATGTTCACTCGAGGGCATATGGTTTCGCCGGGACTGTTTGAGCAACAGAATCAAGTCGAAGCAGAGTCTCTGATGCGGAAGCTGATTTGCCCTTCTGACTTTCTTTTCCGTCGGTGGAGATTCTTCAAGTAAACGACAACCCGTCACTGAAGCGGTAGATTCAAGAGGTGATCCCGGTCACCGAGAATGTCCACAATCCTTTGCGGGACAAGCTCCTGGAAAATGTCGACCAGGATATCAGGAACAATCTCTTACGCAAATCTCTCTTCAATCGTAGACTCGGAGTGGTCGACAAGTCCTGTAATCTGGAATTTGTGGTGGTAAAATATCAGTCCGTTCCTTGATGCCTCGGAAATTGATCGCCGCCCTCCTAGCCGCGCCCACTTGGCTCTATGAATGTCCAAAAAATGACATTGTAGACAGAGTGTATACCGACTTTCCTCTTCGAAGCACGAGAAATGAATTCTTGTTAGTATTGGATATGGAATCTTCTTATTGTACTTCATTCAAGTCGAATTGCGTTGAAGCGGGAAAACCTCGGGCCAATAATAAATAATCATGCCGCAAACTTGAAGGCGGATTTATCGGTCAACTACAGTGTTGCAGTATTCATCTACCGACGAATGTTCACGAGGAGATATATTATTGCGCTTGATATGATCTCAAGTTGACGGCCATGACACCGTAAGACTACATCATTGAGAAACAAGCTGGATATTATGCGACAATCCCATGACGGCCAGGCGAACGGATAAATGGCACCGTTTTAGGATCAATAAGCGGCGTTCGTCGACTTCTTCCCTCTTGCAGTGTCCGGAGTAGTCCTAGGTAGGGAACAAGACACAGGTCACCTTGGTAGTTGACAGGGAACACCTCACTGGTAGTCACCGTCGAGTCGACCCACACCCGTTGACTGACAGTATGCTCTCGCAGCAGAATCGCAGCTGAGGTTGTCCTTCGCGAGGTAAAATTGTCGATACTGGTGTTCCATACAGTAGATTAAACGAAGGTAGAACAGAGTCATTCGCAGTGTTAGAATCATCCTGGAGGGCTCGGTTGGTTCAACGTTCTGAGGCAGTCTCGTCCGCAGCCGGGCCGAGAGAGATGCCCGCCGAAGTGCAACAACAACAACAGCCCTATGAGTGAATGCACGAGGGTGTCAATCACACAAACCCACTCGTGTTCTGCACAAGGAAAAAGAAGACATGCCCCAAACTTCTTGAAGCTCTTGCTGCCTCGGCACCATCATACTAAGGAGCAGCAAAAAACTTTTTCCTCCAAAGCATCCACATTCTTTTGCGGTGTGTTGGAGGGAAGTGAAACCTCCTTCGCGGGCGGTTCTTCTCGAAGCTGGCGGTCACAATCGAACCTGGGCCATCGCCGGAGGGTAGCGGTGCTGGTAACCGCTACACCATTCGGTCATCGACCGGATGGCCCTGGTTGATTGTTGGACATAATCACTGGACCCTTGTATATTAGGATGTATTATTCGCCAGTGAAGACATCACTTCCCTAAGGTGACACAGGCGGTGAAGTGATGGCGGAAGTGAAGAAAAGAAAGTCAAGGGAGAAAACTTGAACTTGAATGTAAACAAAGGGGCCCTGCACAAGCCTGCGCGGCGCGATCTTATCTAATCTCCGGGCAGTTGAACGCGTCTGATTCGCGGTAAATCGACCTCCAGGACAATCAACACTGCAAGTTCTTGTCCGTCTCCAGTTCATCATCCAACCCGTTATAAGATGGCTCAATCAGACTTACTTGCATGATGTCGAAGGTGCAGACCATGCCATCGGCTCCTCTGCCGGGCGGCACGTTTGGTTCTGTATTCTCGGCTAATTGGGTGAAACCACCCCAACATTGGCAGCGTTTCACCCCAGCGGCAACGTCTACAATTCCAGACATCAAGGCATCACTGCGCAGTCACCTCAGGCCTCTACTCGGGATTGGCCACGAAGATTTTGTCTATGGTCAGAATCGATGGATTGCGAATTTAGGCGGGCCTTTTCGCAGCCATTTCGAATCCTCCCCGCCGGCCGAGCAGATTCGTCAGCCAACAACTGCCGATAAATCGGCACAAGATGCAGAGGAGGCTCAGTCGACGTTATGGAGGGAACTTCCGCAGTGGAAGGCTGTTGTCGGATCCGAGAAAATGAAGAAACTACTCGCGGGTGTGCTCAATGACCTTATGACGGAATTTGTAAACTGGTCCTATGCGAGAGTCTACCGGCCAAACCTTCATCTTCACTTGGAATTCTGGGTCGAGCACCTGTTTGCGCGCATAACACAGAAAGCATTATCGGCGCTTGACGGCAACTCGGCCACCACGCAGCTTCCCGAGACTGAATTGAAGAAGTGGAAAGATATGGCCACTGCACGTCTGGGCGCACTACGTGTCGACGAGCTGTTCGACATCATAGTAGACTGGGATGCCACTGCTCCGGCGATTGATGACTTACGACGCTTCACGACCAACCCTGCTACGAGGAGCTATTTGACTCACAACTTTTCGAAGGTGCTTCAGATGCGTCTTCTGCATCCTGGCGCTTCAACAATCAACATCCTCCAAATCTACATCTCTATCATCCGGTCTTTTCGAATCCTCGACCCCAAAGGTGTCTTACTCGATCGCGTCGCCAGAAAGATTCGCCGCTACCTGCGCGACCGGGACGATACCGTCCGAGTGATCGTGGCCGGGCTTTTGAGTGATCCCGTGACCGAAAACGGAGAGCCTCCATCACCAGACCCTGAAGTACTTACAGAACTGGCCGTTGAGTTGACCCAGAACACCGGACAAAAAGGGGGTTCTGACGATAGCGAATTTGACTGGAACGACATGAATTGGGTTCCTGACCCTGTTGACGCAGCGCCGGATTACATGAAATCCAAGAATACCGACGTCATCGGCAGTCTGATCACCCTGTTTGACACCAAGGACGTCTTTGTCAAAGAGCTTCAAAATATACTGGCAGAACGACTGCTAAAGAAAAAGGCCGACTATAACCAAGAGATCGGCGTGCTGGAGCACTTGAAGATCAGACTCGGTGATGCCGCATTACAAGGTTGCGAAGTGATGCTGCGAGATGTGTTGGACTCACGAAAGGTCGATACCGTGATTCGAAGAGATCAAGGCATGCAGGATGATGCCGGCCAACCACGCCAGGAGAATGACGTGCAGCTTCATGCGAAGATCTTGTCACGTCTTTTCTGGCCGGCCATGCCGGAACAAGCATTCAACGTACCGAAAGTGGTGTTGGAGCAGCAACAGACTTACGAAAAAGGGTTTGAGGCCCTGAAACAGTCACGAAAGCTCACTTGGGTGAATGCCATTGGACAGGTTGAGGTCGAACTCGAGTTGGAGGATCGCACTTATCAGGAAGAAGTATTGCCATGGCAAGCGGCCGTGATCTATGCCTTCCAAGACGAGGCGACTGTGGCGGAAGGGATCAATGGCCCCGTGCAGAAAACCATATCTTCCCTAGCATCGGAGTTGGGCATGTCTCCAACTCTGGTCCGATCCGCATGCATCTTCTGGTTGTCGAAACGGATTCTGGTCGAAGTCGGCCGCGACACTTTCACAGTATTGGAGAGGTTGCCCGACGACTCCGGCAACGATACTGTTATGAGCGACAACGACCAGCACCCGGGCGGCAAACGACAGGATGATTCGTCTGCTGCTGCTGCTGCCGCGGCCGCGGCGGTGGCTGCCCAAGCGGCAGCAGCCCAAGCAGCCAAGGAGGCTGAAGAAGCTGAACGCCAACAGAAAATGGCAATGTACCACCAGTTTATCGTTAGTATGTTGACCAATCAAGGAGCCATGCCGTTGCCGCGCATTGCTATGATGCTAGGCATTGTGGTGCCTGGAGGATTTCCGTTCAGTAATGAGGAATTGAAGGAGTTTTTGGCCGGTATGATCAAAGATGGCGTCCTTGAGGTTGGCCATGGTGGGGCGTACAGGGTTACCTCGTGAACACAATTTGATACAGGCCTTCACGACACAGTGCTCAAAGACGGTTGGATTCTAGCGCAGCATACAATGATGGAAGTCGACTCTCGCCAGGAGAGATTGCCTGTGGGATAGGTGGCAGGTCACGGCTCTCTCGGGGATCAAGACGAGGATTCAGGTCGTGTCTACATAACGAGCTCACGTCAGGCTGACATGCGCACGAATTATGCGTATCAGAAACGGCATGGTATGGCATCACGGCAGAATCCCGTGTAGGTGCCCGGGAGTTACGCCGATGGTGATGGTACAACATCACGTCTCTAGCGTCCACGTTGCTGGGTCACTTGCTACTATCAGTTACTACCGACGCTCCGGATCACGCTCCGTGCACCTACTACCTTTTCCGATCAGATGAGGGCTGTATATTTATCCGACAACGGCCTGGTGGAGGCATGTTGCACCGTCAACAGTACGTTGTACACATCAAGCTACCATGACATGGTATTGCATACCCGCATCACCGCCAATCGCGACATTCGCTACATGCTTCCCGGGCCCACACGATTCTTATAGAACACATACCAATTAAGCGAGCGAATTCGGCCTATAGAGGGGTGTTTGGGCCCTATCTACCAGAAGCGAGGGGAAGCGCAGTATCATACCTCGGTAGGCGACACCGAGTGCTTTAGGGGAGCTCCCCGCTATCGCCGTCGGAAGGTCAATGTCAGCGACATCTAAGGAGCAACACAAGCTTCATGCTGAACGGTAGCGTGCAATCGCCCCGTGTCTATTTTCTCCTGGGCCGTCAAGAAGTGTTGAGGATAGCATCATAAACACCGGCCGTTCGGAAACATTCCGCCGAGCTGCGTTCGGTGCATTATGCCCCGCATCCCATCAACAACTTCTCCTCGTTCAATGCTGGCCCCCATGGAGTCTGGACTCCACCTCGAACGATTGAGGACCATTCAATGGGCAATCCATTGAAATGTGGTTCAGAGCGCAGAAGAACTCCGGGTGTCCGGAGGGGCACAGCCTCGGGTTTCCCGACCAGCATTGGGTCAAGAGGGGCAGTATATAAAGGTGTGGTACACGCCGAGGGCTGCTCTCCTGAAATACCGACCGACCAGCCCAAATCAAAAAGACCGAGTTCCTGGGTCTGCAATCTGACGAGACGAACTTGCCTGCAATATAGCCCACAAAATAGACCAGAGAGCAAACATGGTTAAGCGAACAGCTATCGTCACTGGCTCCAGCCGGGGCATGTAAGGCTTCCTCTTATCCTTTGTTGGCATTTCCAGTCCATACTAACGTTCAGTCCAGTGGTGAAGCGATTGCGCGCCGGCTGGCGAAGGAAGGATACGCAGTCACCATCAACGACATCTCAGCCAACCAAGCCGGAATCGACAAGTTGGTGGACGAACTGAACAAGACGTATGGGTCCGGAACCGCGATTGGCGTTGCTGCCGACGTGACCAAGTCTTCAGATGTGCAGCGATTGATTCAAGAGTCGGTGGACAAGCTCGGCCCGTTGACGGTGATGGTGGCCAATGCCGGCATCGCCCAGGTGGCGCCAGCATTGGAGATCTCAGACGAGGACGTGCAGCGGATGTTCAACGTCAACTTTATGGGTGTTTGGCTATGCTACACGCACGCGGCGCGCCAGATGATCAAGCAGGGTCCCGTGCCCGAGGGTAGCAGCTCGTACAAGCTCCTTGGAGCTGCCAGCATTGTCGCCTTCAAGCCATTCCCCTTGCTCTCCCACTACAGTGCCTCCAAGTGGGCGGTGCGCGGCCTGTCGCAGGTCATGGCTATGGAGTTGGCCAGACACGGAATCCGCGTCAACGCCTATGCTCCTGGCATCGTCGGCACGGCCATGTGGGACTTGATTGATGAGAAGTTGGGCGAGATCGAGGGTCGTCCCAGAGGCGAGACGGTCAAGAAGTACTCTACTGACTTGACTGCCCTTGGTCGGGTCAGTGTGCCTGAGGATGTTGGTGATGTCGTCGGTGGATTCTTGGCGTCCAAGGACTCGGACTTTGTTACTGGACAGACGATTGTCGTTGATGGTGGAATCGTCTTTACTTAAACGAAAAAAAGGGGAGAATGAATCGATAGATACTGAATTTATCGGATATGCCAACCGTCAACCTTTGTTCTGTTTGACAAGCTTTCCTCTCTCTTCGAGTTAGGAACATCGGTGATGCTGAGCTCATCCAATATAGTTGCCGCCTACTCCCACGAGCTCTTCAGCACTTCCTCCACTGCAGCATTCGGTTCCCCTTCTCCCAAACAAGAGATACTCCCGCCCTCGCTTCTGGATTGTACAGTCCTGTCCATCAACAACATCCTTCCCACCCGCGGCGCCTGGAATCATACCATCATGCACCCCTCTGCTCTCAATTCAAACCCATCTTGATCCACACATCACACTTTGCACTGCACACTCCTCAATCCAAGCTCCGTCTTGCTCACTGCTCACTCCACGCTCAAGATTCTCACTTCTCACTCCACACTCCTCGCTCAAGACACGACACCTGCTACAAACTCCAGACTACACACCGCACACTCTTCACTCCTCGCTCAAGACACGATACAACACCTGACCGACTGCCAACCAACCAACCAACACTAACACCACCAACCATCACCGACACCAACACCAACACCAACAATGCTAACCCTCACACTAATACACGATCATCGCCCTTCCCGTTACACCGTTCTCATCACTCCAACCATGTCACCAATCGATCGATCAATCAATAATCACGGATCAGTCGACAACCTCTTTGGGTTGTGTCGCCTCAGGAATCCGATTTCACCCCATCCCCCTGTTTCGGCGGATACTGTTTCCCGCCCACCTCGACCCTCGGCGTACACGTACACCATTCACCTTCGGGCACCGAGTCTAGGACGGACGGGATGTGGCGGCCGCATCCCCACCATGTTGCTTTTTCTGACGACCGAAATAGATTAGTTTTTGCGTGCATCAATTGGTTAGGAATATTTCGTTTCAACCGGAGGAATTGGGGGGAAGGAGGAGAAGGTTTGCGGTGGTTTTTGTTCCGATTGAACACATCACATATCAGACCTCAACGCATGCGACAAGAGGGAAAGACTTGGAGAAGGTTGGGTCGGTTGGGTTGGATCGTTGAAATCCCAGACTGCAGTGGATGGGGGTTGGAATGGACGGAAGGAATTGTGGTGATGCACTTACGACAATTGGGACAAGTCTTCCTCATACACATTGTCACGGAAGTTGGCGATGGAGCGTGCGCTGCTAGGTATGCTCTAGTACTGTAAGGTAGGTAGGTAGGTAGGTAGATGATGTATCTTCTGCTCTGCTCTCCGTTTGTTCTGATTCGCTTTGATCGGATTGTTCCCTTTCTGACCAGCAACGATGCGTGTGTGGACAGCCGTTTTATTCAAGCTCAAGTTGTGCTTTACCTTTTAATTGAACATTATATCTCTGATAAAGCTCAGGTTCCTTTTCCTGGTCATGCGAACTTCTAGAACTTCAACGTCAGTTCGTGCCCCGCATCGGGAATCGGGGATTCGGGGACGATCGATAAGCGGACTCGCATCCTGCCACTGCCAGTGCATTTCTGACCCGGTTGCCGACAATAGCAAGTTGTACAACACAACCTAGGTAGTATTTTTCCATGGCTACCTAGGTACGGAAAGAATGGTCATGCGATCACAGTACATGTCCAAGGCACCGGTATCCATCTCGGGGATTAAGAAGCGTCATCATCAACTATTGTGATTCTCGTCAACTCAACCCCATCTATCAAGCCCTCTGCTGATCAAGCCGCTAGGCACAAGTACTGGTGGTAGGTCTAGGTATTTGAAAGTACAGACACAAACAGCCACGTCGCCACCACTGTTGCCGTCACCATCTTCGCCAAAGTCGTCATCGTCATTGTTATCGTTGAAGCCGCATTATTCTCACTTCGATTCGCCGAAGCATAAACACAAGCCCAGCCCGATTTCGTTCCCTCGCCCTCGCCACCACTGCCCGTGCCAGCCACACTTCCACACGAGACAGGCTGCAGAGGCGGCTCGGAGGCTCCATCGTTCCCACATTCATCGCCAGTCGTGCCCGCCGGACAGCATCTCTGAGTCGACCATTCGCCCGAGTTGAGCCAGAGATAGTATCCTGCAGGACAGCATGTTCCCCAGGTTGCGGTGCCGGTATCTTGAGACAAAAAGCAGTAGCCTGATGCGCATAGATTGTTGGATGAAGGGTTAGGACATGAGATTTGTCGTGGATTTAATTTGGCGAGGGCTTTCTGTGTATCAGAATTCTGGTATACTTGTAGTTTGTCGCTGCTGCTGCTGCTGATAGGCGCATCGGATATTGTCGGACTAACGCTGGCAGTGACTCTATCCACTGTGCTCTGGACGCCGACTGCGTGGATAGCCACGGCCACTGCCAGTGCGCAGAGACATCGGATGATGAGGATGCATGGCGGCTTCATGGGGCCAGCGCGACGTACATTTGCGAAGATTATGGTGTAGCGGAGAGATTGACTCTCAACATTATTGTAGCAGTTCCTTTTGTTCTTCTCAGGTCTAGGGAGATAGCAAGTCGAAGGATAAGGTACAGTATATCCAGGACTTCTCCGGACATGCCGGATGTGGATGTGGGATGATGAGTAAGAAAGCCGTTGAATCGTGTAAAGCTGTCATTGGTGCGCCAGTCATGCTCAACGCAAACCATACGCCCCAAAAGATGTGATACGAAGACGGGGTTTGCTCTAATTGAGCCTCGTTTGTATGCTTCGCACTTCAGGTGACACGGCCTCTGCGGATTTCAAACTAAGTACAGCCGCGTCTTGAGCCACGGGTACCACCTCTTCAAGCAGCCGACCGTTTGCAAGACCTGCAACAATGACGCCTAGCATTGTGTCACCGATCCCATTGACCGAGACGATCTCTGCCTGATCGACTTCCACGGAGGGAGGCATTAGTCGCATATATACGCCTCCAACTTGCGACTCGTGAGACAGAGTTCGCGAGATTATGTAAGGCGCGTAGTCGGGGCTTGATAGTCTCGGGTCTCCCCGTCGAAGCAAGTTCGCCAGCAAGCAACCCTTGCGCCCGAGTTTGACCACTAGGTTGGGGACGAAGGGCAGCAGCTGAATACATTGCTGAGGGATCCCCTCCTGGACAAGGTCACGGCCAGCCACCGCCATCAACCGATCGCGCGAACTGGAGCCGGAAAGGCCCAAGCTGTCGATAACACCCCACCATTGCTCCGATTCAAACATCATTTCGTTTCTGGCTGCGTTGTAAATCGCCGTTAACTCAAGGCTGTTTGGAGAAGCGAGGCTGACGACATGATTGGGCACGACCATAGAATCTGTATCTGTCTTTGTCCATACGGACTTGTGGAACAGCCGGGTAGCCTTGGCCGTTGACACGGGCTCGAAAGCTAGCATGGCTTGATGGGTTTTGGCGGCGGTAAATATGGATGAAAGAACAGCTGGAGACCAGTTGGCGTCTACGACAACCCATTTTGGTTTGCGCCGCTCCATCTTTTCTGTCCAGTATTCCTGCTTTTCCAATTCTGGATGAGCAAAAATTGACATATCTGCCATCGCAACGACCAGATCTTTATTCCGGTCGTTGACGGCCACGTACTGTGCGGTTCTGGCACCATCCGCCGCAGCAAGCTGGAGGATATCCGCGGTTGAGAGGCCGGTGTTTTTGACTGATTCGAGGAGCGAAGAACCAGCAATATCATCCGCTACCACGCTGGCCAGAGCTACGCTCGCACCAGCAAAGTGGGCGGCTGTTGCCACGTTGTGTCCAACTCCGCCAGCGGACTGAGAGATGCTGGAAGGGTTGGAAGTATGCATGACTGGCGAGATCGGGGAGGAAGTGTCCTGGAAAGGTTGGTAGTCGCAGATCGTGTCGCTGGCGAGTGATCCAGCGACCAGTATCTCCGCCGATTGAGCTGACTTTTCGGTCCGGGAGCTGCTGCTGCTTTCAATGGTTTCCGTAGAATTTGTTTGCCGTGCTGGTGTAGCAATAGTTGTAGCGTTCGCAGAGCTTCTGATACCTGTTAATGGCCGCCTCGATCAGGACACCAGAATGCTACACGCTCACCGCTTGGGAGCTGCTCCGTCACGTCGTTCCAGCTTGGCCAATTCCACCGCAACCTTTGTTCCACGTACAACATTGTCTGCAATCAAAGCTCTGTTCGCCTTGACGCTGGCACCGTTGCTCAACTCGCGGATTCGTTTCAAGACGTAAGGAGTATTGGCGCTTCCACGAATTCCCTTTTCCTCAGCCTCCGCTACAGCCTGGGCGATGATTGCATCAATCTCATGCTTGGGCATGGCCGAGTGTTCGGGAACAGGGTTGGCAAGGAGCAATCCGGAATGCATCGGGAATTGCGATTGAGCGTAGATAACGGCCGCAGCATCAACTTCATCCAGAACAACTCTGGGACTTCGGACACCACTATCTCGTGAGAAGAAAGCAGGAAAGTCCACATCGCCCGTCCTGCCATCGGCAAAAGTCCCAACACCAACGCCCTGTGTTTCCAGGTATTCTAGAGTACGAGGGATGTCGAGGAAGCTCTTACATCCTGAGCTGACGACAGTGACGGGGGTACGCCCTAGTTCAGTCAAGTCTGCAGAAATGTCCATTGAGTCCTCTCCTCCCCTGTGGACGCCTCCAAGGCCACCGGTCGCGAATATTTTGATCCCCGCCAAATGAGCAAGAAGCATGGTTCCAGCAACCGTTGTTCCGCCATTGAGTTTTTGGCCTCTCAATCCCAGGCCGGCGATGAAGCCCAAATCTCGTCTTGACACTTTCCAAGTGTCATCTTTGCCCGCCGTGGAAACAAGCTGTATGATCTCTTCCGGCTCCAAGCCCACAATCGCTCTGCCATTCAGAATGCCAATCGTTGCAGGAACACCGCCATGGGTACGGACCAGTGACTCTAGATAACTAGCCAAAGCGACGTTGTCGGGATATGGGAAGCCTGGTATACCATCAGCGTCAAGAAGGCACAGGAGGTTCTCAGCCAGGATCACCGTGGGTGTAGATTGTTGTCTCTAGAGCCACAACTGGCTTCCCGGTCGCCAGAGCATCTTGCACTTCCTCGGAGACGCGAAATAGCCTGTCCCGGCCGGAAAGATATCGCCGACCGGGTAGGACCGCCTTTAAGCAGCCTCGGGTTGTTGACGGGCGCAACAACCTTCTAGGCAGCAGTGTCATGGTAGTGGTCCACGAATTCTAGGTACATCCGCATGTCCATTGATCGGTCTTTGAGAGTATCATTTTGCGCTTGGAAAGTTATGGCTCCAGAGTAGGATATTACGGGGGAGTATATGCAAGTGCCAAGGGCTGCGAAGCCCGGATCCACTGCATGTGGCTTCGCCGCCTCCAGAACTTTTTTCTAAGATCAAGATCAATGCATCTTTTCGCTCACTTACGCTTACAGTCTCAAATAAAACGGGATGTCGAAGACTGTGAAGAGAAAAGTGGTCGCAAGTGGCCAGCATTCACGCAAAAAGCAAAAGTCGTCCGACTCCACGGCGAACCTGGAAAATGGCCAAGCGGGATTTCGTCCTGATTCGTTAAGATGGAAACCCGTCCCATTGCCAGCCCGGCTGGAAGATGCCGAAGGGTTCTACGGGCTAGAAGAAATCGAAGATGTCGAAGTGGTTCGGGATGAAACAGGCCATCAAGTGACATTTCGGCCTCGATCAGCCGCAGCTCTGCTCGATGAACCTAACGAGGAGGACGCTGGCGAAGAATGGCAAGGGTTTGAGGACGAAGTTGTGAAAGGCGATTCGCGCCCCGTGCCGGAGAGCAAAAGCGCTGCACCTAAAGCCTCGAAGCAGCCAGAGCAGGCGCTGGCTAGCGTCTCGAAGAAGTCAAAGTCTCAGCAGGAGGACGATATCGATGCTGATCTGGGTTTCGATGTGCTACCAGACTCAACCGACGATGGCAAGGCCGATGTTTCGGCTTGGAAGGATCTGGGGCTATCGCCGATAACACTGTCTCAACTTTCTCGTCTAGGCTTCTCAAATCCTACGCCGATTCAAAAAGCTGCGGTGCCGGTGATTTTGCAGGGCCACGACGTGATAGGGAAAGCGGTCACAGGGTCTGGCAAAACGTTGGCTTTCGGTATCCCCATTTTCGAGGCTTGGCTCGCGACGGAGAATGCGGGATTCAAGGGTCCGGCCAAGACCAAGGATTCCCTCCTCGCCCTTATCCTAGCACCGACAAGAGAACTTGCACTTCAGTTGAACAGACATCTGAACGAACTGTGTATTGGTTTGGAGAACGCTCCGAGAGTTTGTGCCGTGACTGGAGGATTGTCGGTTTACAAGCAGCAGCGACAACTGTCGACTGCCGACATTGTGGTTGCAACCCCGGGCCGATTATGGGAAGTCATGAATGATTCAGCTACAAATTACGATACCGACGCCCTTGCGGAAAGGCTCAAGAAAATTCAGTTCCTCGTTGTGGACGAAGCAGATCGTCTGCTCAGCGAGGGACACTTCAAGGAAGTGGAAAGCATTTTGGACGCATTGGATAGGGAGGTGATTGACGAAGATGCCCCAGAAGCCCCCTCCAAGGAGTCAACAAAGTCCCATCGACAAACTTTGGTTTTCTCCGCCACCTTTCACAAGGGACTGCAGAAGAAACTCACCAGCAAGAACAAATCAGGGTGGCGGCAGTCCACCGAACTGCTCGATAATCAGCAATCGATGGAATATCTGCTCCGCAAGCTGTCGTTCCGCGAAGAGAAACCTACATTTGTGGATGTCAACCCAGCTTCGCAGATGGCCTCGGCGTTGTCGGAATCTATTGTGGAGTGTCCTGCCAAGAAGAAGGATCTCTACCTTTACGCTCTGCTGCTGCAGAATACCACGGCGAAGACATTGGTCTTCACCAACAGCATATCTGCCGTCAGGAGATTGACCTCCCTCTTGCAGACTTTGAAACAGCCAGCAGTAGGGTTGCACTCTACGATGCCCCAGAAATCGCGATTACGTTCATTGGAAAAGTTTGCTTCCCAGAGGACCGTGATGGTCGCCACAGACGTGGCTGCCCGAGGTCTCGATATCAAAGGTATCGACCTAGTCATTCACTATCATGTTCCGAGAACCGCAGACATGTACGTCCACCGATCTGGAAGAACTGCTCGAGCCGAAAGCTCCGGACGGTCTATCATGCTCTGTTCGCCCGAGGAGGTGGCCGGTGTTACCAGGTTGATCATTGAGGTGCACAAGTCAGCTAAAGCGCCGGAAACGATGGAGATAGATGGACGACTGTTGAAGCGGCTCGAAGATCGAGTAGTGTTGGCCCAGAAGATTACGGATGCGACGCAGGCCAAAGAGAAGGCAGCTAGCAAGGACGAGTGGTTGAAGTCAGCAGCCGAGGAGCTTGGCGTGGATTATGACAGCGAAGAGTTTGAGAGTCTGGGTCAGAAAAACAAACGAGGTAGAGGGGGTGGGAAGGCAGCGAAAGAGAAGGAAAAGACTGCCATCGGGAAAGAACAGATTGCTGAGTGGAGAGCTGAACTGTCGAGCCTGTTGAATAAACGGATCAATCTCGGAGTGAGTGAAAGATATCTGGCTGGGGGCGCGGTCGACATGGAGGCATTGCTGAACGGTAAGATGGACGGGGCGTTTCTCGAGGGTCGGTGAGACTAGCTAGCAGCATGTGCTTCTCGAGATTTTGGTGGCAAGATCAGGGCTGGCGGTAGAATCTCGTCATGGACAGCAGTGTTCATCAGGATACAATGACAGAATTGCTGCACAACAGATGTCGTACGGTGTGTGCCGTTTACTCACCGGATGCCGTGTTCATGTTTGCCTGCTGCCTGCCCCCATCTCGGCCCTGCCCCTTCCCGCCTCAAGAAGCGCAAATCCATCCAGCCAACCCTTTGACTTGAAGCATCATCCTTATCTCGAAAATGATTCGCGTCAGCGGCCACGAAAGTCCCAGGCTGAGCTTGCTGCAAGGATTCGAATCAACCTTTACAGCCTGCAACAAGTCCTCTGACCAGAATATGTGCCACAATAAGACCTTTCCTGTTGTTGCGGACGCCCGGGGCTCTTCACACCTCGTTTACAAGCCCTACATTGTCCTCAACCGTTCCTGCTGAGATCTCGTGCCTGCCTTCCGGCTGATCAACCGGTCCTCGACTACATCCCAAGTCTACGCGTGCGGTCATCGATACCCAGCTACTCCACCAAAAGGAGTAACCTTGGCCCTGTCCAAGCATCAAAAGCATCGCCACAGACGTACTGTTATTAGAGATCCATGGGAGACTCAGGCCGAAATGTCCGGTACGATGCCCTCGTCGGTGGGCGATCGCCAGAGAACGGAGCCGTTTAGTGATGGGGATGCCCCCGTGACACCTGGACAGTCTCAGCCCCAGCAGACTGAATCCGAGTTCTACAACCTTTTGTCTCTCGATGGCGGTGGAGTCAAAGGCATTTCCAGCATGATTATAGTAAGGAAGATCATGAACAGGGTTCGGGACATTGAGAATGAAAGAGCCAATATGGAGGGCAGGCCCATCGACCCAGAAGAAAGAAGACCTGTGGACTATTTCCACCTAGCCGCAGGCACCAGTACTGGCGGCCTCATTGCACTCATGCTGTTCCGACTGAACATGAAATGCAGCGAAGTCGTTTCTCAATACCATGTCCTGGCCAAACAGGTCTTCAGTCCCCGTATTGGTCCGATCTCTCTGTATCGGCTCGGTCATTTCGGCAAGCTTGTCGGGGATCTCTGGATCAAGTTCAAGATGTTGACAGGCCAGTCGCAATTTTCCCACAAGCCTTTAGAGATGGCCATCGACACTGTCGTGGGAGCATTCCCTCTGGACGAGGATGACAAGGCGAAGAAAGGAGACGCGGTGCTGGTCAAAGAAAACCAAGGTCAAATGTAAGAACTATAAGGCCGTGGAGGATTGGCTGTCCAGAACTGACCTGATCCGAGGTTCATGTGTGCCACGTTAGCGGACAAAGGAGAGAGTATTCTCTTGCGCAATTACGATCCTCCCTTCGCACCTCTCCCGGTCTCAGCTGGGGCTAAGGACCTCAACTTCAACGCCATCACCATCAAGCAAGCCGCGCGGGCAACTTCGGCCGCACCGACATATCTGAAGCAAGTCAACATCCAGGGACTGAATTTCTGGGACGGCGGCCTCCTCAACAACAATCCGATTGACCAAGTATGGGACAACAGATATGATCTGGTTTCCCGCGAACGTCAATCACCATGGATCAAATGTATTGTGAGCTTGGGAACCACGCATCCGGATTACGATCCTGACAAGGAACCTGCTGGCCGATGTATCTCTGGATTCTTCAATACCGTGTCCAAGACGGTCGCCTTTGTGACCAATACCGAGGCCAAGCATCGTGACTTTGAACGGAATATGCGCCAGCGCAACCGTCGACGGCCTGACCGACCTACCGGCTACTTCCGCTTCAATGCCACCACGGGCAAGGAACAGATTGAGTTGAGCGATTACTTGAAAATGCCTCGCTTGGTTGAATATACCGAAAAGTATCTGAAGAATCCTGATGTGGACGTCATGATTGGTGAGTGCGCGGCTTTGCTGGCGAAGAGGACTTGAGCTGGCCGAAGCAGGACAGGTTTCAGACTGGACTGAGAGTTTGTGTCGCAGTTGCCGCTGGGATTGCTTGTTTCAAATACCTAGTTAGATATATCTGGCACGGGGAAAAGGCGGCGAACGCAAGGCGTTTGAAGAGTCGACCATGTTGCGATTTTCTGCTGTGTACAATTGTAGACGCTGACGGGCTACTAGTAAGGAGATTACATTGTAGCACCCTATCTGTACAGTATACGCCGTCCCATATTGTTTCACCGATAGAAGTATTGGTTTGTCGAACGGAAAAACCAAGTCCTCACATGCCAATCAATCACGCAACCGCTACAACGACAGTACTACTTGCAGCCTCGGCGCAGACGCCATCACCACCACCACCACCATCATGATTGTGCCTGGGCCATGGAACATACATCTTGGCTACATAGGTAGATCTATCTACCAATTGAAGGACCCAAGGTACATTAAGGTTTGATAGTGGTGTGACTTGACGTGACCGACCAGTTGTAGATGCAGTGCTCAGGACAAAAGGATAATAATAATAACCAGAGGCTCATCCCCAAAACATCGTCATTGACTTTCTTGTTTTCTAGTTCCCATCGTTAAAATCCCGCATTCTCGCCTCAAGAGAACTACCTAGATTTAACAAGAGAAGATTGATCCCGGGACTCGACACTCATTAATACTCGTCCACGCGCCCAGTACGAAGGTAGTTCTGCTACAAGTACGAGGACTCGAGAGACCAAACAGAACATACAAATCAAAGTCATCCAATAAATACAAACCAGTACAGTAATCCGACATAACTTCCTTCTTGCTTTCACTCTGTATATCTCTCTCGGAAGAATCAGAATCAACGAAGCAGAAAAGAGAAAAGAGAAAAGAGAAAAGAGAACACAGAACACAGAACACAGAACACCAACAAAATGGCATCCGCAACATCCGCAGAATCCGCACCACCACCATCCGCCACAACAGCAACAGCAACAGCAACGCCGTCATCGACATCGACACCCATACCATCAACCATGCGCGCCTGGCAATACACCCACACCCACGGCGGAATCGAAAAGAACCTAACACTAAACCCGTCTGCATCGTTACCTCCCCACGACGCCAAGTCCCTGGGCCACAATAAAGTCCTGGTCCAGGTTCTAGCGGCCGCACTCAACCCGGTCGACTATAAACTGGCCGAGGCGCCGGTGTTGTCACGGCTGGCGATTAAGAAACCTGCCTCGCCGGGGTTGGATTTTGCGGGACGGGTGGTGGCGGTAGGTACAGGCGAGGGTTCTGCTCACCATCATCATCAGAAACACCAAGATCAACACACCGCGTTGACACCGTCAACTCTGGTCTTTGGCCGCATCAATCCCCCAACCCCATATGGTACATTGGCAGAATATACTATAGCCCATACGGATGCGGTGGCCGTTCTTCCTGAGGGAGTGGATCCTCGAGATGCAGCGGGCGTGGGTACCGCGGGCCTGACGGCGTATCAGTCTATCGTTCCTTATGTGCGCAAAGAGACGAAAGACCAGCAGCAACAGCGTACTCCTCGGGTGTTTATCAACGGTGGCAGTGGCGGCACAGGCACTTGGGGCATTCAGATTGCCAAAACGCTGGGCTGTTACGTGGTCACGAGCTGTTCGGGCCGTAACGTCGAGTTGTGTAAGTCGTTGGGGGCGGACGAGGTGGTTGATTACACTACCGAAAATGTGGTGGAGGCGTTGAAGAAGAAAGCGACTGTAAAGCCCGCTGCTACTACTACTGGAGAGTCAGGGTCAGAAGATGGCAGATTCGATCTTGTCGTTGACAATGTCGGTTCCCCGGCCGCCTTGTACTGGCGAAGTCATGAGTTTACTACCCCAAAAGCCAAGTTCGTGCATGTCGGCGCGGATATGTCGTTGCACTCGGGCCTCGAGATCACGAAAAGGTTGCTGTGGCCGGGGTTCCTGGGCGGTGGAAAGCGGGCTTATCACTTTATTGCCACTCGCAACGACGTCGCGCAGCTAGACGAGATTGGGAAGTGGTTGAAGGAAGGGAAAATCCGTGCGGTCAATGATGAGGTCTTTCCCATGGAAGACGTGCCGAAGGCATTTGAAAGGCTCAAGACTAAGCATGCGAAGGGTAAGATTGTTGTTTCTGTCAGGAATGAATGATGGACTGTCATGAGAGCCTACGTGGTGGCCTGGGAAGGGAGCATGTTGCATGTCTCCTGTGAACCCGTGTTGCCAGTGATGCAGGACACCAGGGCAGAACAGGGCTAGAATGACGGTGGTGCAAAGGCTTAACTCAGCTGGACAGGGCACGGCAAGGCAGTGCCGTTTCACGGATTTCGGGGGTATGGATGCTTTGAGATGGAAGGGAGAATGCGGCAACGTCCTACCGGGATCAGGGCGTGGGATGGAGGGAGCCTTTGCATGCCGTGGCCGTCTGCCTACCTCCCTGCGGTACCTAGGTAGGCAGCAGTGGGTTCTGGATGTAGTTGGGATCGTCAATAGTGTATGCACAGGTTGAGAAGCCGTTCCTGGAAAGCTGGGAGTATATTATGTCAGCCCCAGCGTTCAAAGAAGGGTGTTCACCCGTCGTGGATGCCTGTATACCTAGGTGGCATGACAACTACCATCAGGCGTTTTGAGTGAGTAACTGGATTCGGCGTCTTTCAGCACAAGTGGTACAACAGATTGGATCAAGGCTTTGGGGAGACATTGTGCCGGAGATGGAAGACAGCAGATCCGCAGGTAGGCAAACGAGTCTGTTTGTCCAGTCGTAGTCGTATAGCCGGGCGCTGCGTGACGCAGGAAACGAGCTGCCAGTCATAATAGTAGTACCTGCAAACCATCATTGAGGCTCGGCCGTAGCAGCCGAGTCTGTAGGGCTAGGTACGTACGCACGACTCGGATGAGTTGCCATTGCGATTGCCAATGCCATTCCCAGGGTCATGGTCTGGCGGTCGGGAGGTGGAACCCGATCGTTGAGTACCACCAAGTAGGCTTCCAGAGCTGCAAGTCGCATTAGGCCAATCGGGCGTAAAGGACGGCAGAGAGAGGGCGGTCGAGGTGACATCGCCTAGGAGCACAAGATGCATAAGCAAAAGTAGAGTACGAGGAAAATCAAGAGAAAAGAGAGGACACACGAACGTAGACTCGGAATTCAACACGAGGGTGGTTGAGGATGAGGAATTGGGACGCAGTCTCCCTCATCAGATGATGTGCTACGTCGTTGGCTTGGTGTTGGTGTTTACTGTTTGCGGAAGAGAGACGGTTGAGATACGGACAGGCACAGGTGATGAATAATCCCAATATTGAGATAGGCTGGGGGGCTGTAAGATAGAATACTCTGAAGTACAGGCAGAGTGGAAGATGACAAGCGTCGCCACCATGGTGCATCCCACAGAAACAGCCCGTGACGGCGCAGTTCCAGTAACAAAATGCAAACATGACTGTAGGGTCCTGGTAACAAGGCTAATTCATACCGTTCAGTACGTGCCCCTTGAAGTGGTAAGGCGTCCTGGAGGCAGGTACCTGTTCATCCTGGTAGGTTCGTGCTAGTCGACCGGTGGAATATCTGCCAATGAGAAGGCATCGTGTCCTGTTCAGCTCCCGTATAAGCCAACCCCGGCCAACCAGGCCTCGACGATACAGCCCCTAGACTGTGGCTAGACAACCACTAAAGCCCTTCGATTGGGGCGCAGTTTGGGTGAGTTTGGTCACTGCCGCCCTCGACGTCTGAGCGTGAAGCGGTGCCTGGAGCTGCCCCCCACCAATTCACCATTCCACCATCACCGCGTGCTTCTCTACAAACTTTCCACTGTTCTGTTTCCATCATCACCACCACCACCTCTACACATCTCTCTTTCAGCCCCATTCTCGTTTTCTCGTCTTCTCGTCGCTCGTTTCTCATCCGCGACATCACTACACGCCGGCCACATGGACATGGCCATGGCCCAGACCCCGGTGCCCGTCATCGGCGCCCACTCCCGACGGAGCAACCTGGGCGCCGATGCAGCACTGCCTGTGCCTGTTGGAACCATTTCCACTTCGTCTATCTTTCTGACTCACGCGGGCCCGTTTCCAGTCACTCGCACCCTCTCTATCTTTTCCGCCCAGGCTTCCTCCGTTTGATGGCTCAATGGCAGCCTGGCGATTTGGTCCCATCGCCGTCATCGCTTCCTGTTCTGTTCCAGTATCACTGGCATTAGTAGGTCTGTCCCTGGTCCAGGCATCCAACCAAATTCCCCTCCGCCCTTGATGTCCCTCCATCCCTCCATTGAGAAGTGAATGCACCTTGGTGTCTTCTTCTCAATTGGCTTCCTCCCACCTCGAGGCTATAACTCGTCGCAAAACCCCCTCCTTTGTCCATTGATCCTTCTTCCTCTTCATCCAAAACTACAACCCATTACAATCATCCAAAGTGTTCGCCCAGTCACTCTCATACACTGTCTCGTTGCCCAACCACCAACAGCACCACAGTCCATCCGGGCTGCCTTCCAACCCCAGCCCAGTCTTGAACAAAGTCGTCACGGTGTCGTATCCACGCTCCGTCACCTACTACTACTATACCACAAGGTCTCGTGCTTCTGACCCATTGGAGCCTGCCTACGAGTACATCACCGTCGCTCGGTCGCCCAGGACCAGGACCCCTTCCCATCCGTCACCACCTCCCTTGGTCCATTCCCAAACATCCACACCCATCACAAGTACTCCGTCTACTCCTGTTGAGGCCATGGCGAGAGGTGCCACGACTCAACGCGTCGTTGGCTTCGCCACGGAGGTCAAGTCCATCCGACCTCCTGGTGATGCCGAGCAGTCTGTCATGGACCACTTTGCCAGACATGCCGCCAGGTGTGAAGTCTGCAAGGACCCGGAGCACTCTTACAAACACGACATCCCCCTCTGTGACCGGGGAAATACCCTGGCCGTGGATGTTGCCAAATACGTCTATTCAAAGGGCGGCAAACCCTTTTCGGTGGTTGATCGATTGCAAGGAAAACGCGTCCAGCTTGAAATCCCACCCGGCTGCCAGGTCATCAACAGTCTGGTCCGGGCCTTTGACCGGGGAATGATCCCCAGAGCCCGCAATCCTGTTGTCGTCACCCAGGTGGCGCCTACACCAGCCCATCCAACCCAACCGTCAACTCCAAGGGTGCAGCAGAGGACCGAGCGTCCAGCCTCATCTTACTCCCCGCGCACGGAGCGGAGGAGAGAATATCCTGTGGAGGAGCATCAGTATCCTCGAGAGACCCGTTATCGCTCGGGTGATGTTCAGATGGTCGAAATTGTACCGTCCTCCGCACGCCGGGAAAGACGGGAACCAGTTTACCGTGACCGGCTGGATGAACGATATCGACAGCCGGAACGACAGCCGGAACGTCGAACCAGGCCTGTCAGCTACATTGAAAGGAGGGGAAGCTTATACCACAGAGACGAGCAAGAAAACAAGCAACGACAACGATACGAAGAACAACCGATTGTCATTGTCGCGGAACCTAGGCGGAGATATGCTACTGTGCGGCTGTGAGCCACAAATGTCACTTCGGGAATGTTTACTGTATGGGCGTTACGACTATGGGAATAGAACATGTATTATCAACAATATTACACAACACGGCAGGAACTTGAAATTCGAGGAGGTCAACAGCACATGGCATCAATTACATACGGCGTCTAGCAAAGGGGGATGGATGCTAGACTCAACCACAACAAGCCGTTTCTGAGCGACATTACAATCACATGCACTGGATGGTCCGGCAATGACCCGATACAAAAGGGGAGCCCGACTCGCAGCAGTCCAGCCGAGCTCAGGCTACAGACGGCCCGAAAACATGGCCTGTTAGGATATGATGGCGGTGGTCGAAACTGGAAGGATGCCTGATGGAGCAGATGGAAGCTACCGCAACTGGTTACTGTACCTTGCTTGAAGCAATTCTGCCGTTCTTGCAATTGGCCCGGTCTGGATTGGGTCTGGATGAAAATCCGCGAATTCAAAAACAGGTAGGAACATGGAGAGCATCGAATCGAGTCGCTTTGGCAGGTTAGCAATCGATCATGTATCATGACTGGGATTAGGACAGCACCTAGATGGATCATCGCGAAGTGGAATGGAACGGGAGGTACTCCTCCTCCTCTTACTGGGTGCTAGGTAGCTGGTGCTTTGCCATAGCAGAGTAACAATACAAGACCAATAATGGAACACCACAAAACTTGGAGTGCAGAACATGAATCATCACGTGCGTGATCTTATTTAATTATGAGATGTACTGTACATACGACTACGCAGCGGCCTAGTATGGTACACTGGTTTGTGGCGCATAGTAGTACCCAGAGGGGAAATGGAGACGGAGGTAGAAAGACAATGGAATCGAGGGCCCAGCAGAGATTGACTCTCTGAGGTAAATGTGTTTTTCCACTCAGTCGTTCCTGGGTAGGTATGCACGCTTGGAAATCAGACCATGGCGAACTGTCTTCAACTACCTAGAACTACAAGCTACAGTAGATAGTTAACGAAATCAAAGCATTGCATGACAGAACGCCTGAATCCTGATCCCCAAGAGAGAGGAGCCGAGGCTGAGCACTGCAAGCAGTTGCGCAACGATCATGAAATGGTGTTCAGTAGGTGCGTATAGTCCGTACGATTGGATTGCTAAGCAAGCGGATGTATGTAGCGGCCGTAAGGTACATACCGTACGTTGTAGATAGGCAAAGAATAGAAACATGATGTGAGAGCCAGGGGGTGAGCAATGAAGCAAACCAGTAGTGTAATGCAGGGTGTAAGGCTGACCACAAGGCTGAACATCCCCGGAAGTGTCGCACTAGCGCTGTCGCTGGCGTTGAGAAGTGGTGGCTGACCGTGGCTGTGCACCATCATCAGTTGGATTACACTGGCGTGCAGTGGTTGAACTGAGGGGGGGAGTGGGACTGGGGTATAACATACTACTACAGTACTAGGTACCTACCTACCTGGTAGGTACAGTACCTGCTTGACCTCATAGTACTACAATGTGAGCAGTACCGCCCTGGGTATACCCTACCTATTATACAGCAGTCTAGTATACAGTATAGTTGCGAGTACATGGATCCTGACGTAAGAGTCCTTCGGCGAACAGGTTCTGGATCCGGGCATTGCTGGACAGAGAACCGAAGAGCAGAGAATGCATCAATCGAGACCCGAATCAAACACGAAGCAAACACGGAGCCACAGGGAGAACCAGACCCGGCGTCAGGCCAGCCATTGACAAGGAAAGGTGAGCAAGCATTAAACAACCTAGCAACCAAGCTCGCTCGCGGAAGCCGGAAGAAATGGGGGAGAAGAACAGACACAGGCAATATTGACGACCAAGGTCGTAGAGACCCGAAAGTCTTTTTGTGATTCAAACAACCTGGATTCTTCTCGTCCAGCTTTTCAAGTTGTTACATCCGTAACGCCGGTGCTATGCCTTGCCTTGCCATCGGTCTTGTCTGTCTGCCTCAATGGAAACCCGGAAAACCAACAGTGCATGGCTCCATGCCCGCGCTTTCAGTTTCGTCTCTCACTGCATGGCCGTACACGACACCCAAGGCTGTAAAACTCATCCTCCTTCCCGACCGGTCAAGCCATCCTCGAGCTCAACAGTGAGCCCAAGCAGGTCTGCTTTAACCGGTCTCGGGTTCTTCTTCCTTGGCGAGTCCATGCTCTTTGAGCAGTGTCATAATCTCGTCCCCGGACCATAGATGATGGTAGATCTTGCCGTCTTTCGTCTTGCCGACGGTCGCAAACTCGACTGTTTTGGTCATATTAGCTTTCTTTCTATTCTCTCTTCATAAAAACCCTGCCATAATCTCAGGGAAATCGGACAACAAAACTCACTTTTCTCACTGCTCAACTTTGTCGAATCCATCGTCTTGCTCAACACCTTGACCGCCATGCCGCATGCCTCCTTAAGGTCACAGTCCTCTTTATAATCCTGCTTCAGCAGACTCTGGGCACTAGCGTTGTTGGCGCCAACGCTCGTAGCCTTCCAGCCCCCGTAGTTACCGGACGGATTGCTCTGGTATAATTGGAACTGACGCTGAGGATCCCAGCCGGCATAGATGAAGGAAACGCCAAAGGGCCGCAGACCACCGTGCTGCGTGTAGCCCTGCTTGAGGTCACATAGCCGCCGCACCAACTGTTCGCAGGGGATGTCTTCGTTGTATGTGAGGAGGTACCGTTGCGCCGCTTGTCGAGCGTAGTTGATCAGAATGTTCGCATCGGCCGTCATGCCTGCGACGGCACAGATCATGTTACTGTGTCGAAAGTCAGTCAAGATTGCTCTGCCTCTCGTTTTCGACACCCGTTTGTTGTGCCACCACATTGCAGGGCCCATCCAAGGAGCTTGAATATACGTACTCGTTCAAGATGTAGAGCTTCTCGGCCGATGTGTCTTGTTCCAGCAGTTTGCTCGTGACTTTTCGCTCGGCCGCCAGCACAATGCCGTCTTGTGCTAGAATTCCCAATGCCGTGCCGGCGTGCGAGATGGCTTCCAGCGCATATTCGACTTGATATAACCGACCTTCGGGGGAGAAGATGGTTGTCTAGGCCCGGGAGGACAGGTTAGCACTGCAATGCATCATCATCTTCAAGCATTCAGCTTGCGGGAACGTACTCTGGAATCGTATCTTCGAGACATTGCTGCTGTTTCTGTTTACTAGACTTCAAAGTAAATCCCTGGCGTCAAGTAGACAGGAAGGGAGAGGGGACAAGCAAACAATTTAGAAGAGACCCGGTCCTGAAGCTGGAGTGGTGGAAGTGATCGCTGTTCTGCGCTGCACTGTGCATGTCGAGATGAATCCAGGCACGGCGCTTCACGCGTCTCCCGGCCTGCTCGGCCAATCAGAATCATGCTCTTCAAGTCACTACCAAAGTACAACTTGAACGTATTTCTCCAAGGATTCGGCTCTGGCAACACAGAGAATGGCGATGAGACAACCAACAATAATGCACTTCTAGATCGCCACTATCTGGTAGACATTGCAATTCCTCACACGGCCGTGGACACAATGTTGAAGTCAACCCATCGGCTCTACGCGCCGTCGACAGCGCAGCAGCCTCCCCTACCACCGGGGTGGACCGAACACAAAGCCCCGACAGGCCATACATACTACTACAACGCAGAGACGAAGCAGTCGACCTACACGCGGCCTACTGCTGCCCCCGCAGACGAACCTTTACAAATCGACTATGGCGCAACAGAACCGGACCATGTGGTCCGCGCATCAATGCAGGCGATGGAAGCATTCCACAAAAACAATCAGCATCCAGGAGCACCGGGCCATTTCACCGGCGGAAGAAGCTACCAGGACCATTCACGCAGGCGAGGAAACCAAGGCGACCGACCGAAGTCAAAGGCACCCATCCCGAACTGTGCGCCATGGGTATTGGTCAAGACGAAACTTGGAAGAAGATTCGTGCATAACACCGAGACCAAACAGAGTCTATGGAAGTTCCCCCAGGATGTCATGATGGCCGTGATCGAGATGGACAGATTGGAATGGGAGGCCAATAAGCGGGCCGAAGAGAGCCAGCAGTCTCGCGACAGTCCAAGCCTGCCTGGGCAGGGCGAAACCACCGACTTGCGTCCCCGAGATGATGAAGCCGGAGCAAAAGCGGAGTCGACGACACCAGCAGATTCAAGCCGAGTTGGACACACCCACAACGAGAATGACTACGACAGCGACTCCTACGAGGAAGTCGAAGTAACAGACGACGAGGACGAAGAAGGTGCCGGCCAGCCCAAACGGCCTCGTCTTTCAGGAGAAACACCTCCGCCCGGCACCGCCCCCGACGGTCCCGTCGAATTGACCGAAGACGACATAGCATACCAACTCGCCATGCTGGAAGAAGATTACGCGGACGACGATGGAGCCGCGCTCGAAGCAGCCCAAGCTCGAGAACTCGAAGGCGAAGCAGAAGGAGATGATGAAGGCCTCCCACTAACAGACACCGACAATATAGCTCTCTTCCGCTCCCTACTAGACGAATCCGGGATATCACCATATTCCACATTCGAAAGACTGATTGAAGATCTTTCCATTGTCGAAGACCCACGATGGGTGTCATTGCCCAACACGACGCGGCGCAAAGAGGCCTTTGTGGCATGGTCCAAGGACCGCATTGCCGAGCTACAGGCGCGCAAGGAGGCCGAACGGCGATCTCGCGACCCTAGGGTCGAATATCTGCGGTTTTTGCAGCGGCATGCGACGCCCAAATTGTACTGGCCTGAGTTCAAGCGCAAGTTCAAGAAAGAACCCGAACTGCGCGATGTGGCTATGCAGGATAAGGAAAGAGAGAAGCTGTATCGTGAGTTCGTCGCAAAGTTGAAGCTGAGCGATACAGAGAGGAGGAAAGAATTGGTTTCTTTGCTCAAGAGCGTGGACAAGGGTTCGTTGCATAGGGATATGGATCTGCGTGATCTGCCGAATACTGTCCTAAGGGATTTGAGGTTCTATGTCCTTGATGCAGGGAGGAGGGATGACTTGGTCAAGACGTTCTTGGAGACACAGCAGTGACATTGGCACTGAGACTGGTCTAATGTTGCTTATATACTAGTGTGAACCTGGGGGGTTCCATACCATAGCAGTTGAATCCAAGAAACAAAGAGACAAACATTCATTAACATTACGAACCATTGAACGAGACTGATTGTTATTTGTGGTTTTCCCTTTGATACAGTATTTCCCACGAGGAACTTCCGGGGAGAATTATCCAGCTCTGCCAGTCGGCGAGACCTGGATTGCTCTTCAACCTCAACATCAACTACTAAATCAAACACCTTTGTCCCAGGTATCTGGGAATGTGGGACGAATGCGCCCACTCTCCAGCTACTACTAACAAACCAGCCAGTGCGCTTCGAATGTTACCGCACGCCACCAGCAACCATCGACAGTTTCAACAAGAACGTGAGCTCCCATCGCTCATTCCATCATCTGTCGTCGTAACGAATGTGAACAACCACAGCCAGCCATCCCCAGCCCGAGCCCGACTCCCTGACTGATCATTTTGCTGTCTAACAGTCCTCCGAGCCCATCATTTCCACGAAGGGGATGGATAGAACAAGGGGGCTGGGTTTTTTGGCCTGTTTGTTCTCTTCACTCATCTCGGTCGTTCTGTCCGAATATTTTTGCCTTATCGAGGAAATACTCTGTACATCAACTTTGAATCTTCACACAGTGAAACTCCTCGATCCCCTTTCAATCGACTATCCGTCCACCGTAGCATCCGAGCCCATACCGGGGATCTTTACACTGACATTGAAAAGGCAGAAGCAAGCGAAAGGGCAGGGAAAGAGTGGAACCCGATATCCAACCCCGTGTCGAGGTCTGGAGTATTAACAGGGCTCCATTCGACCGGCATTGTTGAGGATAGTATCCCTTTTTCCCTTTTCGAGCCATGTGCCTTGCGTTGCCCGCTCAATCCATTATCAAACCGGGCCACTACTGACAGTACTGCTGCCAGTATCAGCAGCTGTACTGACACTTCGGCCGCCAGGTTTAACAGCTGTATTGGCATTACTGCTGCTAGTATCAGTAGTCGCGGTGGCGGAGCTAGGACCCGTGAAATGCTGCAACATCGCCGTCAAAGCCTCTAGACTCTTTCCAGCTTCTGGATTCTTCTCCAGACACTCTTTGATGACTTTAAATTCGTTTTCGCCCGCTGTAGGGACTTGCCAGCATAGATGGACTACAGCTGGAGTGGAAGCCAAAGGTCCCAAAACCTTTTGTGCGTTCGCCATGGAAACTGGTGGGGGAGGTGGAGGCTGAGATTGCTGCTGCGGCTGATACGACTGTGGAGTGGCGTACTGTAGGCTGCCAGAAGCAGCGGAGGCCCCAGTCGGCGTCGGAAACGTTTGAGGATGTGGTGTGACGGGATGAGGATACGGATGGGCTTGCCCCGGCGGCGGTACCATGTGTGCTGGTGTGCCATTAGCGGAACCACCCGATGGAGCCCCAGACATTGGCGCCTGTTGTCCGTATGCATTGTGGTATGTTTGCTGTCCCGATTGATCAAAAGTAGCTTCGTGCGGTGTAATCGGGGTTTGTGCGACCAAAGATCCTTGTACAGACGGGCTCTGATTCGAACCGTCCGCCATCGACGCGGCCATGTTATGAGGCAACTCGCTATTCTTGATAACGATTGGGATCAAAAACATCCGCTCGCGCGCCGGGTCGGGAAAGTCGGTTTCGAGCTTCTTGACCCAAGTAGGCAGTTCCTGACCTGCCTCGAGTGGGATCAGATAGATGTCTTTGATCGCCGGATTCTGATGCTGAATGCCCACACCGAAGCGGTCTTTGGTTCTGAAGTACCGAAACAACCTGTCGAATTGTTCTTGATCGTGCGAGTTCTGCGGCTCCGGCATCCAGACAATAACGAGATCTGAGCTGCTGCTGTACTCCAGCCCACAAAGGTATTCGTCTGCTCGCGCGGGTTGGATTCGACCTCCGATGGATATCTCAGCTGGTATCAATTGGCTGTAGGTCATGCGTAAAGTATCACAGTCAGGCGTCGCGCCAGCTGCGTATCTGGCGGTCGCATGAAACCGACCGAGACTGTTGCCGTTAACGACGCCTCTCCAAACAACACCGTCCGCGGCCGATGTATCTGCCTTTGGCGAGTATGGCGGAGATTCGGCATCTTCATCCTTGAGGAGCTCGTCAATGTCGGCGTCCGCTTTTGCACCAGGTCCCACAGGCTCTCGAATGGCCACTCCTGGGGATTGCTGGGGCAATTCGCCGAATCGTTGCTGGCCTTCGCCATCCGGAGATCCCTGGACATTGGACCAGACCTTGTTAATGTCGAAATTAGAGGCCGACTGCTTACGAGCGCTGTCAGTGGCGGTCGAGGGTCTTGACTGAGATATCGACCCTCTACCAGGATCGCCTGATGTCGCTTCACTGGGTGTCTTGACAACAGGGCTCTTGGGCTCGATCTCTTGGTCGGCAACGCTTGGTTTCCGTACAGGTGCATTTGAAGTCTCCGACTCTGCCGCAACCTGTCTGGATTCGTCCACGTACTCTTCTCCCTTGTGTGTGCGTCTGATGCGGGGCCCCTCTTCCTCGACGATGGTATGTTGTTTCTCCAGCTCTTTGATGACAGCCGCATCCTTTCTCTTCTGCTCTTCACTGGCCATGTCCTTCGGATCCATCGCCGCAAGCATACGAGGAGTAAGCTCCCCCTTTAGTAGGCGCAGTCCTAATGCATGATTCTTCTTCACGTTGAAGGTTATCGATCGCAGTTGGGCTTTGTAAGCTTCGTTCGGGTCACCGTTGCCGCCGACTTGGACTTGATACAGCGCGTGTTCAAGACCCAAGCCAAGGTCGTTTGCGATATCGCTCGCATTCGAGCCCGCAGGAACGGCATATTCGCCTTGTTTTACAGCGTCTTTGATTTGTTGTTCTATGAGCTTGACCAAAGTTGATGCCGCTTGCTTTCTCGCAGCATTCGCAAGTTCCTTCACATCTGATACAACAGCAGAAACCGACTCTGATCTCGACGCATGCCTGGAGGGAGTCTCGGAATGACTGGGTTTGTGGGCAGGAGTGGCTGCTTTGGAACCATTGGCCTCCGCAGCAGGTGTCCCCCGGACCTTCTTGTTCTGTTGCAAAAGAAAGGGTCAGTCTGCTGTCTCGATGGCATCGGGTTAGAATACATACCTTTAGTTCTGGCATACTTGGAGAGTCTTCAAGCTTGCGCTTTTGTCCGGTGGCAGGTGCCTGCGGTGTCGTGTCTTCCGCTTCCGGGGAAGCATGAGAAGTCACTTCACTGGCACGGGGTCCTCCTGACTTGCGACCGCCTTTCCGTCCGCCTTTTTTCCTCGCTTTCTCTGCTTCTCTCTGTCTGGTCGCTTCTTCCCAGGGCTTTTCTCCTCTGGCAATGGCTTGCAAAAGAGGCTTGTGATTCTCCGGTTTACACTGTTCGCAAAAGTAGGTGTCGACCTCGTAATCTTCGGGAAGACCCATGCAACTGTTGTGTTGCCATGCCGAGCAGCGGTCGCAGCATATCATGGCACGAGGGACATCTTCCTCCTCCTCGTATGTCCCGCAGACACAACGGATGATTTCGCCCTGTTCTTCTGGCTCCGCAGCTTTGGCTTTGGATCCCTTCGCCCTGCCTCCCCTCTTTTTCGCAGGCGTGTCTTCGGCAACATCACGATCTTTCGTGTGTTGGCCCTTGGTTGCGCGACCAGACCGTCGCGGTTCATCTGTGGCGAAATCAGCATCACTTCTAGCATCGTAGTACATAGCACCGTCATATCCACGGCGCCATCGCGGACCACATGCTTACCAGCCATATTGGTTTGCCAAATAGGCGCGTACTACTACAGGACACGTAGAGCGTAGGTGCTTGTCACAAATCACGTTTATGGTCGCAATCTACAACAAGTGACGGAAGAAAGCGTGTTTGTTCACGAGACCAGTGATTGCGCTCCGAAGCGCGCCCCCTTCAAAGATTGAACACTGGATAGTACTAAATCCCGACGGTCCGCTGCAATAGACGGAGTGTGGCTGGATCAAAGCAAGCGCCTTCAAGGAAATGAAAATAATGAGGTGTAATAATGGCGAGCGCAGTTCAAGTCAGGATGCGGGAGAGGAGGTCGACTTCACCTTCGCTCATAGCTGGACACGCCAAGCCCAATAAAGCGGAGGTTTCTGGCCCTGACATGGCAGGTAGCGCGAGATCCGCCTCGGACGCCGAACAGCTCTACTAGTAATCATGGTAAGGTAGTTTCATGTCCAATCCGCCAGTTTAACAGTACTATGATCACTAGCGTGGCGCCGCATCGTCATTGCAAACAGGCTGTCCACGTGACTAAAACTTTCCTCGCCGGGCTACTGGTGTGCCTGCGTTTCATCGTAGCGCAGCACAGAAGCCTTGTGTTTTGGGAGTACTCGACTCGCAACTCCTTTCCGCTGTCAACCACCCTAGGTGACAGGCGTTCAGCTGAGCCTGAGGATCAGACATGGCGGACATTCGAGCCTTGCTCGCAGCCGAGCGCCAGTCACGCCGCATCAGTCATCCTCATCTGGCCTACACAAAGTCTGGGCTGATATGTACACTATGTAATCTCAACATCAAATCCGAGACGCTCTGGGACGGACACTTGAGGAGCGCGAATCACCGGAAAAACGCGCTTGCAAACCAAGATAACATGGCCAAAGGCACCAAGCGGAAAATTGACGACGTCGACGCCGACAACGAGCCGCAAGAGGAGAAGCAGGATGAAGGAGTGTCAGTGGATATGGATTCGAGAAAGAAGCCAAAGTCAAGGCCGGAGAGTATCGTGTCGACACAACAACAGCCTCGAGAAGCACAAGCACAAGCACAAGCACAAGATCAGGCAGGCCCACAGCAGCAACCGGCTACTCTGAATAGCCCAAATCAGCGGGACGAAGATGTTCCGCACGAAACAATACCCACGAACAAGCAGCCATCGGAGCAGGAGAAGGATGGAACACAAAATAATGGACAACCCACTGCCACCACCAACTCGAATCACGCCGGTCAGGCTGTGGATGAAGCAGAGTGGGCTGCGTTTGAGGCAGAGGTTGCCCCGCTGGCGGCGGCTGCACCGGCCCAACAACCGGACTACTCTTCTGCTACGATAGTCGCTGCACCGGTCACCACGGCACAGATGGATGCGCAGGCGGCGGAAGACAAGTGGAGGAATTTAGAGGCTGAGGCCGAGGCTGAGAAGGAAGATGAGGGGAGAAGACTAGAAGACGAAATCGAGGTCATGGAGGAGATGGAAGAACGTGTCCGAAGACTGCGGGAAAAGAGAGAGGCCCTGAAACATGCCGCGGTCGCCGGAAATGACACGGGACAAGGCCACCCTGAGGCGGCCAGCGACAAAGCCAGTGTAGACGTTCCTCCGCAAACTGCCAGCGCACAGGTTGAAGAAGAGGAAGACGAGGACGAAGTTGAAGACGACGATTGGTATGCGTGATATTCATTCAATGAATGGGGACGTCATTTTATCGTCCGCTTTTGGAAGGCTCGTAGCCAGCCACGGCCTCCTGCTCGCTCAACCTATTCACACGACCCAAGAGAAATAAAGCCGCCAATGCCTACAAATCAAAAGAAATCGTCGCCCATCACCTCCTCAATCTCCACAACGCCGGTAACCTCGTTCCGGTCAACGATACCGAGCAAGGTCCCGCGCCGAAGGAATTCCTTGCCTCGGCCGGTACCTTCTTCTCGCATTTGACGAATCCAATTTTTGCACTCGTCAACAGTCGTGGTGCTGAGCACGGAAATCCAATCCGTTCTCTCGATCTGTACCTTGCCAAGTTCGTCCTCGAAATCCGAAACTGGTAGTTCCGGATCCCGTAGATTTTGGGTCCGTCGAGGGCCAACGATATGATTAGGCGACGTCCGCACAAACCCACGAGGTGACCGCACAGCAGCCACAAGCACATCCAAGCACATCAGCTGCTGCCCCGGTCGAGGGGTTGCGATAGGTACTTCGGAGACAATGGTGGCCAAGTCTGACATTCGTGGTATCGTCTGGGCAGGAGAGGGCTTCAGTGCAGCGCCAATGGCACCTCCAGGGTGATTGGCTGCAAAAATGGCAGGGGTCTGAAGTCCAGCAGCAGAATGCAGTTCGTCTGCAACGGCGAGCGCTAAGCTGTCGCCCAATGCCAAAGTTATAGTTGTAGATGTAGTTGGTGCAGACACACCAAATGACGTGGTTTCGGATTCGGGAATCATGGTCGGCAACAAGACATTGCACGATCGAGACCGCGCCGGATGCGAGAAAAGGGGACATGTGCTGGGATTCAGATGCGCAGTCATCGCGATCAAGGGTATATCGGGGTTTATATGAGGGAGGAGTGACAAAAGTTCGGGCGTCTTCCCCGAGAATGTGACCATTACAATCGTGTCATTCGGTCGGATGACACCCAGATCACCATGGAGAGCCTCAATGGGATGCAAGAACTGTGCGTGGATGCCCAGTGAAACAAAGGTTGCAACGAGCTTTTTGGCGATGTGGCCCGACTTTCCCACTCCCGTGAAAACGGTCTTGCCGTGTCGAGATTCAGAATGAATGATGTGACTGATGGCCCTTAGAAGTGAGTCCTGAATATCCGGCGAATTGTTGTAGAGGTCTTCCAGATGCGATAATGCCATTCGCTCTGTTGCGAGGACATGCAATGCCTTTCTGATGGCCCGACTGTCGGGTTTGAAGTATTTGTCGCCAAAACAATCCGAGATGTCGGGCGGTGTGATCGGCAGTGACTCGATCTGTTCGGGGATCGGGCCAGGCAGTGGCATTGAAGGTGTAAGAGGTGTTGGAAAAGAACGATGGCGCGTGAAGGCCATTGTAGGCTGTTGCTGAGAAGCCATGCCCATAGCGAATATATCGGAGCGAATGCTCGGCTAAGCAGCGACGGGAAGGTGCAAACTTTGCTGAGCTGACAATGACCTCGAACAATTGATGTTTACACAAAGTTCAAATGTTCAATAATCAGTCATGGGAGGGTTGAAGTGTAAGTTTATCGATCGATCAACAGGGGTGAAGTCGCCACCACGGACCAGCTCCCAATATTAACGACATGACGCCATAGACTTGTTATAACCGGCACGAGTGTGATATTGCTTATGACTCGCGGGAAGGATCCTTGTGGTGTGAAAGTCAAGTAGAGTCCAAGTAACGAGAGGAGAAAACGAGTATGAATAATATGCCCCGATCATAGAGTCGGTGTCGGAGACGGGATAGAAAATCTGACAGGGGGGCGTAGGGCTCGGGATGGGCTAGAATTCAGAGCAGACCGGGGACTTCGTCGGCATACCGCCAATCCGGTGCATATCAGCCAAGGGGGGTCGACCACGAAGAAGCAGCGCCCAGCGGGCGGAATTGTGGGTTTGACAGGGACGCGATTCGTTTAGCTTGGCCTGTAGTTGAAATGAGGTGAGATAAGGTTGTGCATGAGGACACTGCAGGACCCTGCACAAATGAGAGAACTTGCTCCAGACCAGACCGTTGGATAAGAGACCAGTCTGCCACCCTGTGAGGCTTATCCATCAATTGTCTAAAGGTAACGATTGCCACTTCTATCTTCTTACCATGCAGAAGCTGGACGAGCCGGACGCGAGGTGTTTCGGGAGGCTCTAGACGGCAAGGCTAGCACCCTCGGCAGGCGGCTTGTTGGAAAGTGGACGCACTCGTTCTGATGAGTTGGGGCGGTGGCGGATGGTGCAATTAGATGCTAATCAGTCGAGATGTCCACGGCAGTGGAACGCCGCTGTCAATCAGGGCCCTCGCGGATTGTGGTACATGGCTAGTACCGAGAAGCACCTAGGTATCCGGTCACTTTAGGTACTGATCGGAGGACCAGATGGGCGAGGGATTGGCGGGAAGTCTCGTCGATGGCCATTCCGTCTGCCTGTCCCGCACAGGGTCGATCGTCGGGGAGAGTCGTGGAAGGGCAGTGCGTAGGGACTATCAAAGTACTAGAGTTGTAGTAGTATAGGGCGGTGGAGGCCATGAAGGAGGACACGGATGGAAGCCCTGTCCAATACAGTCGTACTGTAGTAGCCTGCGCATACGCAAGTCACATGTTCGGCTCTTCTGCCCTGCGCTTCGCAGCGGTACAACTTTCCAAGGTACCTATGAGCCATCACTTCGCCAGCCGACAGGTCTCAACGCGCTCCGACAACTACAAACAATAGAGGTTCGACCGCTACAGCTGCTACAGGCGTTGAAGAGGAGCCGCTCATCATCGAGTCCTCCTTCATACGCGAACGTACCCGCAACACACCGCCAAGTCGCTGGCACATGTTCTCCCTCGAGTTTCCGCCCCTTGCATCCACCTAGTGTGTCCGCACATCGGAGCACTTTCTGCGAACGGCGTATGCACCTCCGTCTGTCACCTCTGATGACATGGCATCATCAGATTCTACATCTCCTCTCGAGGCACTGCTGTAGTGAACAGGAGAATGTGGTCCGGAAAGCAAACTCCCATGTGAACGCGATGGCAGTCAACTGGTGGCGTGCAATGAGAGTCGTTGGGAAGCGGTCAACCCCCTGCATACTGCACGTTGATGCTAGGATGCGTTGCCCTGAGCCTTTTGACTGTACAGTTCTCTTTATGTCGTGTAACCCTGTCTGACACCCTTCCAAATCGCTGCAGTTCCGGGTTTGAGCGCGGATTGATGAAGGTGAGTGCATCCAGAAATGTTCTTCGGCTTGCCGTAGCAGTCAACTAGTCGTGTCCAGGTACGCTTTGTTCCCACTACTTTCATGGCTGAACACTCTGATTCCGCTATTGACTGGCAGGGGATTTATTTGAGTAGGTCTACACTCTCTTCCATGTCGATCGACAGCCGAGTTTTACCTACAGCGCACCCGGATATGCTTGGTGGTCCTGGCCGGGCCTTTCTACCAGCCCATGATTGAATGCAGAAAGAAGGCATGTGGTGATGCAAGACGAAAGCAAGAAGCACATGATATGAGGTGGCATCTTCATTGGGCGACTGTCTTCATTCGGACCTTGTGCAACCAACAGACTGACATTCAGGGATGTCATCCTCAGTCGCCGTTATTTCTGACTTCCTCCTCTGCAATGTACTTCCCATATCTTCTATGACCAGAGGCATTGATCAGCAATTGTGATATCAATGGGGAAAACACCGTCCCAGCATGCTTCGGGTGCGTCGTACGGAAGGTTGGATTGATACAGTGGAGTCACGGTATTGGGTCGATAATGCCAGTTACACAGCATGCGGTACTGAGCTGACTGATACTGCGACCTCCTCAGGGGTTCAACATCTGTGCATGGCGCAATCTTGGCTTGATATGACCGCACGACGGGCAATGCTGCCTGCACAACGGCCCTGTCTCCGGCCCCCGGTGAGAGGGGTGGCTCCATCGGTGCCGTCGAGCGGATGGTCTGGCTGACACACTGGTTGCAACTCGCAGATGTCTTGCAACAAAAGCCACAGGGGCACGATTTTGAGGATTCTGAATCTGTTTGTAGGTGTACCCGCACCTGTGGGTTGTCGCTGTCTTGACGTTTCGAGGTTATGGCATCGGGATTACAGAGTACGTATGACATCCTTATGTGCTCAAGGCTAGGTGTTATGAGACGACCTGTTTTGTGTTGAGGATGTTATATGTCACCACGATCTCTTCTGAGGCGCCGCGCCCCTTGGGCATCCAAAGTATAGCCTGGTGCTTGGGCAAGTTGCGGACCTCACTAAGTTCTACGGGGACTGAAAATATATTGTAACCGTAGAATGCTGGAAAGACGATCAGAAGCACCCTTTCAGAATACTACAATGACTTGTACCATTGCGGCCAGGTCAGCCTTGTTGATTCGTCTTCCAAGTCGGTCGTGCACATACTACATTGTAAACGAATGTCACGTGCCGGGCGTCCAATCCCGCCGCCTGCGCTGCATGATGCCAATCGTGATGATGTGGGTATCGACTTCAAGTTCATCCGCAGTTGCAACCCCAAGCAGCGTTCCTTGTCCGGTTCCCAACATCTTCACTTTGCAGTCAAAGTAACCTCAGCTGGCTCTGCTGTGCTGCAAATTCCCATTCAAGGACAGAATCATGTCTGACTCTGGTCAACAATAATCACATTTCCGCGCCCTCCCATCAACCTCGAACAGAATGCCTTCCGCGTCCCCCTCTCCGGTTAAAAGGCCGTCGCTCAATGAGCGAACGTCCTCGACGCATTCGCTGTCATCGTCCGGCAGACAGGCCACGGGTCACAAGGCTCATCGTCCTCATGTTGTAAACCGCCATGCGAGAAATGTGTCGCATGGAAAGGGACTCGTGAAATTGGGCAAAGTTCATTCGACGGCCAATATTACCACGGACCTTCACCATCAGAGAAAGAGGTCAGGAGGCACTACACCACCACACAGTCCACGAGCATCCATAGTGAAACGGAACAGCTCTCACGTTGTGCTACCCAAAGACACGTCATTTGGGAATTTGCGCAAGAATAAATCGGCCAACGCGCTGGCTCGAAATCTGTCGCATCCCGCATTGAAGAAAGTCGGGCTTGCGCCGGCCCCGAAGCCAAAACACAAACACAAGAAAGACGGTGTCTTTCAGCTAGGCGACCATTCGTCGGATGAGGAAGAAGAGGAAGAATGGGAGGACTCGACGACTCAATCTCCAGAGCTCACACGCAACAATTCCAAGACTTCAACGCCTAATAGGGCTTCTACACCCAACGGTGAAGAATTGCCAAATCATCGCGCAGAGTCGGACATTGGTCGCCCTGATAAGATGCCATCTCCGCCTTCACCGTATCTTACGACTAATAACCGATCGGCCCCTGATCTCAGAAGAGGATCCGGTATATCGCCGTCCCAAGTTCCCTCTGAGCCCCCTCTTCTTCACCAAAACCATCGTGCTTCTCGCGCTCCTCCGGCCATGTCCACGGTATCTGCACATGTTGATCCGACTCAAATGATGAGAAGCGAGTCATCAAGGTCGTTTACTCATATTTCGCATGCCGATGCGGCCTCAGCGAATGCTACTCCATCCACCCCTGCTCCAGCACCTGTCCCAGGAGCTTCGTCGGTTGATGCCGGCGGGGTGTCGCACTTTCTTCCTACAGATACGCCTGGCACATCTCTACGCCACAACGCTGTGGATGGATCGGACGAGGACCCCCCGTCGGATTTCCTCTCCCACTACAAGCCACAGCCGTCCGAATCGCCGGAGAGGACAAAAACCATCCACAAGGCCCGCTTGCCACAAAATGCGTCCCGAACACAACAAAGGCTGGAGCTGCAACGGAGGGAGATGATGCGCGCTGGTGCCGCCACGCCCACCACTCACCCGCCTACTGGCATGGGTCTTCCTTATGGTTCCACTACGTCGTTGCACGGCCGGCAGGCCTCAAGGAATAGGAACCGAGCCTTGGCCGGCGAGGTCAACACTGTCAAGCAGGATTACGAAACTGCGATCAAGCATTTGCTGGTTGTGCGCAGATTTAGAAGTCCTATTGTGGAGAGCCTGACTCGACTCAAGGAGAATAACATCCTGCCAGCAGAGATTGGCGGGGCCACAGCCTCACCTTGGTCGGCTACTAAAGGCAGGCCCCAGAGTCGACGTGAGCCTAGTTCGGCAACGGTGAACGGGCTTGCAAAGTCTGTCCTAAGCCGCAGCCTCGACGACCACAAGTCATCGCCTCCAGCGCCTTCTACCAGTACGAAAACTCGAGGTGGGCGAGTTCATTTCCAGCGTCGGAACAGTCATGACGATATCGAAGTAACGCCCTCTCAGGGAAGTCCAGATGAACATCATATTGACGACCACGAAGGGCTTTCGCCCGAGGAGGAATTGATACGACGGATATGGGACAGCCGGCATGTTTTTGAGTCCTGAGTCCATGTCTTGACTGGATGAATCGGGCCGAATCCGAGCCTTCGGCCGTCTGAGGATGGATGATGATTTCAGCTGCATTTGACGTGCGGTTTTCTGTGCTGCGTTTGAGCGGAATGACACATTTCACGTGAAAGGGCGATGAGGGCAGGTTACATCATGTTATCATCCACAACGATGGTGGGAGGTTAATCGTGTATCATCGGCAAGCATTAATGGACACCATTGTTGTGTCCGGAGAATACCTACCTAAAGCATGACAGTCTTTCGTGTCCTAAATGTTGCAATCAGGCGGCCAGCCTTGACTATTGTCCCGCCCCAGCTGCGTCACAAGCAGTAAGCGGCCTGCCGAGCTTCACCGGACTGCTCTTGTAAAGTTGTTGCCTGGAAAACTGCCTGCGGGTTCGGGCACTCCATTCAATGCAATATTCTCAGGTAATTTCGAGTCTCATACGCCATTAACAATAATCCATCGGTGCGTGTTCCGTTTTATGGGGTTTCAGGTTGTGCTGCCAGACCAACCAATCCTCTTATTAACTGCCTTCTCTTTGAAGCCACACTTTCTGCAGTAGGTGCTACACCCAACTCTTGTATGAGGGCATCCAATTCGGGCCCCTCCATCTGAGCAATTTATCTTGAAGTCGCGGGGAAACCGGGAATTTGAGCAGCAGTCAAATTATTGACCAGTGGCGTGAGAGGAGACAATTGGGTAGCAGCGTATGAATTCTGAATCCGAGCCATATTGTTGATTTCGCTATAGAATTAGCTAAATAAGACCAGGATAATATTGGGAAAATCAATAGCAATACATACCTTGCCTGCAACTGGGACCGAAGTTGTTGACTGAAGATCTGGAATTGATTGTTAAGGTTCTGGAATTGTTGGCTGAGGTTCTGAAATTGGTTCTGGATTTGTTGGCTGAGGTCTTAAATCGCAGCTACAATTGCATCGCCATCTCTGGGAGGCAGGAAGATTTTGAAGCTTCTCAGCTTCATCTCTAACAGTTCGAAGACCCTGACAGAGATTCACTAAATTCGGCTTGCGGACCGAGTGGGTTTGGATTGTCACCATAGCAATGAGACGAGGGGTGTGCGTTTGTTTATAAGAGAAGAGGGTGATGTCGAGTTGGTAATGTCGAGGTAATGGTCTCCTTGGGTGACGTAAATACCTTGGCAAGGAAAGAGCTAGATTACCCCCCAAAGCAGCGGCAGCAACCGCCCATTTCGGCGGGAAATTTCCCTGCAACCTGCGTCGTTTGACCCGTATTATTAATGCTACTCGACCAGTACCTACAATGGCCGGATTCGAAATTAACGTCCGTGGGGCTACTACTAGAAGTAAACTAGCAGTGCCTATTTTACAGCCTTTACAGCCTATCTCACGTATTTTACACTACTTGGGGCAAAGACAACCAATAGTCATTGGGCTAGGTGTGCCACTTATACTACCGTATTGTAGTGTGGCTAGTGTTCAATTAGTCACCGGAAAGGCCAATCAGACGTCTTCAAAACCCCCACCGACGTTAATTTCGAATCCGGCCGTTGTACCTAGTAGTAGGCACTTAGGTAGGTACCTAAAGGTAAGGTACACCGAGGTCCATAAGCTGATGAGGAGCCACAACTACCTCTATTTTGACAGGGCTACACCTTTTGAGGGGGCCAGTCGGTGGTGTGTGTTGTGTGACTACCCCTACTAAAGCTGAAACGAGTCTGTCTGTGTAGTGACCCCGTGCTACCCGATCCTTGATATTCAACCTAAACTACTATCTTGGTTTCTCCTTCTGGGCGAGTCCTGGCCGTGAGTGCTTCTCGGTCATAGAGGTCGACCATCACCGCATGCATGCCTCCGGCGTGATACAAACTGAAATCCTTGTGCGCCCACCCACCTAGTGAGTGGACCCTTTCTTTTTCCCTCTCGTCTCCCTTTCGAATCGGGTGAAAAACAAGTCGAGGCCGATGAACGGCCTGAAATCCAACGAAGTCACCGACCTGAACCAGTATGTCGACAAGCAGAACGTCTACATTGGGGAAACGACTCTTCTCCACCATTATCTGATCCGGGAAATGGAACACCAGATGATCAATCTGACGATACTGCTGGTATGAATCCCGTCGATGATATGGAACGAAGCTTTTCCTTTTCCACCGTCATCGAACACGACCACGCCACAATCAACAAATACGCAGTCCTCCTCCAAAAGGCACGCACCCGCGACGCTCAAATTCGTTTGTTGGGCGAAGTCACATGGCGCTTGGTGCGGCATGACATCTCGGAAGAACTGGTGATGCGTCCGGCGTTCATTGAGCACTTGGGGCCCCATGAAGGTCAAAGTATGGCCGAACATGATCGGTTGGACCATGAGCGAGCGAAAGAGAAGTTGTTGGCTTTGTTTGAGAGGGTAAGGGTAAGAACTGCTTCTGCTTCGTCGGATAAGCGGGAGGAGACCTTGTCATCGGCCTCACGAGGTGATGGTCGCGAAGTCGAAGGTCTGGGTTTGAAAACCAAATCCGACTTCAACTTCAATTTCTCTACGACGATAGATGCCCTTTTCGCCGAGTTGCTGCAACACATGATAATCGAGTCGGGCGAACAGATCCCGGTGCTGGAACGAATGCTCGACCCGTGCGAGAGCCAGCGACTGGGTCGGGAGTATATGAGGACGCAGGTGCTGACTCCCGACTTAGAGCTTATAGACCAAAGCGAAGGAAATGGGAATGATGCAGGAGGGACAAGTACGACGTCAACCACAAAAACAACAAAACAGACCAAAGCGCGACGGGTATGGCGCGATATTGAGGATTATGTGCGCACCGACCGGACGCGGTTCGGGGAGATATATACTCGGATCAAAAATGGTGCCAGTGAGGTACAGGTATTGGTCCATGGAGGCGGCGGGGGTTCTGGACAACTTGAAACTGAGCATGCGGCGGGCAAAGATAAGACAGTGAAGTTGTGATTGGAAGGTACATTCTTCTCACCATTTTAAAGCGTTAAATTAGGGGTTTATCACTACTTCAGTCCTCCTCTTCCCAATCTGGAATCAACTGATTACTCGGAGCGCTATCTTCATCCAAAACCTTCCTGGCCGCCTGCCTTCCGCACACGGGTAGTCTCTCGACCTCGTCTTCTCTACCCTCTTCGGCTGTCTTGAATGTCCTGGGGATATACTTTGGGTCGAGGAGACCAATCTGGACCAAAACGGAAGCCTGGTCCCAATGGACATGCTCATGATACAGTTTCCCGCCGCGAAAGGCGACGACACTAACAATAACAACCTCGACCTTTTTATCGGTGGGCGGCACGCCAGGTAACATCCAGGGAACTTCGGTGGTATGTGTGAACTTGACGTACATTTCGTCGACGATGCGGTCAACCCCAATAGTGCGGCTGAGCAAGCGGATATTCAAATCGCTCGGGTGTCCCGGACAGAAGAAGTCGCGATAAAACCGACGCAGCTCGTGTCGTCCAATACCACCCGTCATGGTCGGCACATGATTGACGTAGGGATGGCGCGCCATCGTGTTCATGGTCCGATCGGCGTCCTTGTCGCCAAACTCTAGCCGTAAATGCTTCTCCCAGGCCGCTTCAATGTCGAACGGTTCGACGTCAAATGCCGTCCGGAGGACGGACAGAGTGCGTGACCAGGCTAGCGACGCGCCGATCTTGTCGTACTCGTCGAGATCGTGCTCTGCGAACCCGGGTTGAGTGCCTGGGTAGCGGTACGATGGGTGTCGCGTGCCGAACTTCTGGGTGCCCGCCAGGTGGATCAGTACGTTCAGCGTCGGTGGGAAATTCGTCGTTGACTTGGGCATGTATGGTGGATAGTAGGCCACCACAGCAATCAGCTTCGGCATCGGTTTCATGCATGCTTCGAGAACTAGGGCTGCGGCGTCACCGTAGGCTGCGAGGTTTGGTTAGATGGAGTTGGTTACCGGATGTTGACGTATACAGCATGCGTTTTCGAAGTGACCACAGATTGATGATGGCAGTGGTGCGGGTGACCTTGCTGGGGAATTGTTGGAACAAGGCAACGGTTTGCTACCTTCTTCGACCGCCCGTAGATGGCCATGACATTGGTCGTCACAACAAACACAGTGACCTTGCACCGTCCGCCAGAGGTGGGAGTTTCATCATGTCCACAAGAACTCGTGGTCGCTTTAACGGATATACAGACATGCATACTTACTTACCTACAATTGCGTACCTCTCGCCCAATTCAAGTGGATCCTGCAAGTGTTGTAGTCTGTTCAAATAGTCGGACCGGTTGCCCGAGTAGACGAGATAACTGAGCTGGAAGCCTTCCTCCTGAAAATGCGAAATTATGGTGGGATCGAAGTCGTCCGTGTCGCTGGTCAACACGAGTCGCGGCTTGTGGGTGTCCCAACTCAGATGGACCGCTCGACCACCGCCACCCTTCATGCGTCGTCGGATGTCTCGTTTCATTTCCCCAATGTTGACCTCGCTGGGGTGGCTCGTGTCGATGTTGACCGTGGGGAGGCCACCCAAATCGATCTTGACCATGGTGGGCTAATAGGTCGTAGGATCGAAGCGAAGTATGTCTTAGGTCCTTGGTTCTTAAAATCCCGGTAGCCTCAATGGTCGGGGTTTGGTCAATGATATCGGCGTATGGAACTCTGATACTTTCTGTCAGGTATAGTAATGGTTGTGGGCATATAGAGTGAAGATGAGAAAGGGATAGATGATGAAGTCTTGTCAGGGAAGACAGGACACATTAAGAAAAGTCCCGGACAAGGGTCAGTCGACGCAAGATGTCTGAAGGAATCGAGATCCGGTACCTGGGATCCAGGGTATAGGCCACTCAATTGGTGTACTTGGGTGCGACTGGCCTTGTAACTTGGAATAAGTGACCTTGTAGTATGGCAATATGGGGCTGAAGCAATCGAGTCCAAGGCTTCGGCTTGCAGGGGTGTTGTGAACAGTGACGTAAACCGGCATTTGCCGGTGCGAGCTAATGATACGGTACGGTGAAGCGTCTGCAGTGTCGATGAAACTGCGGAGTAGCTTGCTCGGAGTTGTGGTTCGCCCTACTAGTAGTATGAAGAGCGAACTGTAAGAGCGGCGAGGGATCTTGCCAACTTCAGCCAGTGGTACAACTTGAAGCCAGCCTTTGGAACGAACGATACTACCAGGGTATAATCGGAAGGTAATAGTACGTCTTTCTGCAACATACTGCTGCACCAGAGGAAGAAGACAGCTCAGGATTATCAGGTTTCAGGTGCGATACGCAGTCCGCCGTGCCAGTGAGTCCAGAACCCATCACTGCAAGGCTTGGCACCTCCTCCGGTTCCCCAGCCGGGATCGCCCGCAAATAGTAAACTTTGTAGCATACAAAAATTTGTTATATACCTCTACGAAGCATTGGCTAAACGGGACCAGATCATCTTTTGCTTAACTTGTTCAAACTCATTGAAGGGTACATTGTTTTATTGACATCTTGCTGCCAATATGTCGTACGACTCATGGCAGAGCCCATTAGGGGCCCGATATGCCAGCAAAGAAATGCTCACCCTGTTTTCGCCGCGCACGCGGTCGGAAAACTGGCGCCAACTATGGATCTGGCTGGCGGAAGGGGAGAAGGAGCTCGGTCTTGACATCTCCGACGAAGCAATCAGCCAGATGAAAGCGGCCAAGACCATGACGGACGAGGATTTCCAAGTTGCAGCGGTGGAGGAAAAACGACGCCGTCACGATGTCATGGCACACGTCCACGCATTTGGTCTACGAGCGCCCGCGGCGGCCGGAATCATCCACCTGGGCGCTACCTCGTGCTACGTGACGGACAATGGTGACTTGCTGTCGTTGCGTGAGGGCCTGTCTCTGCTCTTGCCCAAACTCGCCAAATGCATCAAGAAGCTCTCCGACTTTGCTGTGGAATACAAGGCTCTTCCCTGCCTGGGATTCACCCATGGCCAACCGGCCCAGCCTATCACGGTCGGAAGACGAGCTATCCAGTGGATTGAATCTCTGCTGATGGATTTGAGAAACCTCGAGCGAGCCCGGTCCGACATTCGCTTTAGAGGAGTCAAAGGAACAACAGGCACGCAGGCATCATTCCTCGAATTGTTCCATGGAGACCACGAAAAGGTTAAGAAGCTCGACGAGCTGGTTACCAAGAAGGCAGGCTTCAGCAAGAGATCTATCGTCTCGGTACAAACCTATAACCGCAAGCTCGACTTCGACATTGCCAATGCTCTGGCGTCATTCGGTACAACCTGCGAACACATCGGTACCGACATCCGTCATCTGGCAATGCTGAAAGAACTCGAAGAGCCGTTCGAAAAGGACCAGATCGGGTCTTCTGCCATGGCCTACAAGCGGAATCCCATGCGATCAGAACGCATGTGCTCGCTCGGCCGAAAGTTGGCTTTCCTCCCTCTCGGGTTCGGAGCCACCTACGCCCATCAATGGTTCGAAAGATCCTTGGACGATTCGGCCATTCGACGAATAGACATTCCGGAAATGTTTTTGATCGCCGATGCATTGTGCATCCTCCTCGAAAACGTGTCTTCAGGATTGGTCGTTTATCCTGCGGTTATCAACAGCCGTCTGCAGCAAGAATTGCCGTTCATGGCCACTGAAACCATGATTATGCGTATGTGCGAGAAGGGCGCGAGCCGACAAGAAACCCATGAGCAGATCCGGGTTTTGTCCCATCAAGCAGGCGCTGTGGTGAAAAAGGAAGGCAAGCCCAATGATTTGGTAGAGCGGGTTCGCAAGGAGAAATTCTTCGAGCCGATTTGGAGCGAACTGACAGAGGACGATCTGTTGAACCCTGCCAAGTTCATTGGCCGTTCCCCCGAACAAGTGGACGAGTTCGTCCAAGAGGAGGTCGCACCAGCGCTGGATCCTTACAAGGACCAAATCCAGAGTGTGGCGGCCGCGGAGATTCATGTGTAAATAAACAGCAAAAAATCAGTCCCTCCTTGGACGTATCGGCATGATTTTGAGATTCAGAACTGCTGTAGTTTCGTCTCTAGGAGAAGCGTGGCACTTCTCGGCTCGTACCTTGCTGCCGCCGGGCCGTAGGATGTCTGCCTTCATCGTCCGAACCAAATGGTACGCTTCAATCCGTCATGTCGTGAATCATTTTCCACAACTTGATTTGCTCCTCCATTTTCGCGTCGTCTGAAGCATGCCCAGCTGAAGCACCATCCGCCGGTATAGAACCATCCACACCGTTGGCAGTCTTCACTTCACCCACATTGCGTAAAAACTGCTCCACTCGCTCTTTGAGTCTGTCGCACTCGTCTATTTCCCGCTGGCCCTCTTCGAGAATTTCCTCAAGCATATCTTTGACACTCTCTCGCGCTTGATGCGGCCGGTACATATTGATGACCACATGGATATTGAGCACCAACTGTCTAATGTCTTCCATCTTTTCCGCATATTTTGTGGGATCGAGCGACAAGATACTCGTCAATTCAAGAAAGTTGAGCAGTAAGGATTTGGTGAGGCGGTCAAGGAGCACAGCATGGTTGAGGTCAGGACTGTCGGGGTCGAAGAGAAGTTGATCTCTGGGTAAGGACGACGGTTTCGTAGGGTCGATGACCTGCTTCTGTCCGAAAGTTGTGTAGTATTCCGCTGTCGCAGGCGGGGGCGGAGGGGGAGTCAGGTACGCCAGAGGGAGAGGCAACTTCTTGGTCTCGGAACCGTCGTTTCCTTGGGCCTTCAGTTTTCTCAACTGCTCTTCGTTGGCAACGGTGAAATGTTTCCAGAAGGGCGGTGGTGCTGGAAAAGGCGCCTCGGGAAGTTGTTGCGGTTGTTCTTGGTCCGCCATGGCGATTTAAACGGACAGTGCTTCTTGAGGCAATTACTTGCAACCTAGACCATTTTTTGCATGAGTTGTGAAAGTTGATGATGCATGTGTAACCGACAATCGTTGTGATGGTAGCGTGATGCTCGGGTCAATGGTTCCAAAGGCGCGTGTTGTCGTGAGGACCAATGACGAACCAGCATTTGCGGAATCGTCTCAGAGGCGCCTCATTATTAGAACCTCATCATATCTGACACTGCCTCCCATGACATGCTTCTCTTCATCCTCTTCATGGTCCATCGACACGACTGCAAACTCAGTCAGACCTTGTGAAGCACCTCAGCAGCCCCAGATGTGGCGTCCGACTAACGATGCCGGGGCCGTCGCAGGCTCAGTAAGGCGGTTCTGGCGACGGTCGTACGCTTCCGATTATGTTGGACTTGCGCTCCTTTTCGCTGCGTACCTCGGGGTGAGTTATATCGGCACTCTCTACGTGGTTCCCCTACTCATAAATGCAACAGGCACAATTCTTCGTCGAGCCATTTCATCGCATGTTCACCCTTGACGACCACGCAAAGCAATATCCCCATGCGCTTGTTCAACGGGTATCGAACCTGGAAAACATCATATACGCAGGAGTAGGACCGTTGGTATTCATCATCATGTGGTCCTTGGTATTCCGACCAGGTTTGCACAAGACACATGTCACGATCTTTGGCCTCCTCGTCAGCCTCTTCCTGAGCTCGCTGCTCACGGACATTATCAAGAATGCCGTTGGCCGGCCTCGTCCCGACTTGATCGCGCGATGCAAACCACAGCCAGGAACGCCCGAGCATGAACTGGTTACGATATCTGTCTGTACGGAGACAAACCATCATAGACTACATGATGGCTGGCGCAGTTTTCCGAGCGGCCACAGCAGCTGGGCATTCTCTGGACTAGGATATCTAGCTTTGTTCCTGGCTGGCCAACTTCGGATTTTTCGACCACATGCAGACCTGAGCAGGGTATTGATGGTCATGGCCCCGCTGGTCGGAGCATCGCTCATTGCCATGTCACGGTTGGCCGACTACCGGCATGATGTCTTCGATGTTACCTGCGGAAGTCTTTTGGGCATGTTGGTTGCATATTTCTCTTATAGGCGCTATTACCGCCCGCTCAACCACCCCAAGTGTGATGTACCATATCCGAGCCCGGCAGAGTCCGAAGCAGCCAAAATAGCGAAGAGCCGGGACGTGGAGGATCAAGTCCACCCGGATTTCGACTTGGATGATATGTCGGATGACGAGGTGCAGACATACCCTCTCACGCATGCGAGATCACCAGAGACTGGTGGGCGATCGGAACCACCGTAAGGTAGTTTTGTTGCTTAACAATAATGTATTATGAGTTTCACTACCTACAATCCTTTCCCAGAAGTCAATCGTGCCGTCGTAACCAATGCAGATGTGCTGTGCTTCAAGCTCGATCAGGACCCAAGGTGCTCTATTCAAGCATACTGCGAGGGTTTTGCTCCAATGACCGCCACTTGCGGTGATGTTGCATTTCCAGAACTGCAGTGGCCCAATGCTGTACCCGATCGCCATGTTCCTAGGTGTTGAGCAGCACATGTATCCCATCCCCATTCGCATCGCGAAGAACATTAGGTAGAAGCCATATTGGCTGGTTGCTTGTTACATGACCGTGCACGGGATGATGCAGCAGTCGCACTCGTAGTCGCCGCAATCGCAAGGAATGCAGGGTTTCGTGGGGCCCTTGACACCCTTTGTGATGCTCGAGGTTGAGGAGATGGAAGATGGAGGCATGATTGTTAGGCTATTAGGTTGAACGAGCGCCGGTAATAGTCGGACAGGCAAAGTATTTGTATCTGCAGTGGGCTAGATGTCAGGAGTGGGCGCCGTCGAGTCTGGGGAATATAGGTATGCGGTATGCTTACAGGTCCGAAGGATAAATGCGTTCTTTCAGTTGGATATCAAGGTGTAGTTGTAAGGACAGGAATTCGAGAGTGATGCTTCGTTTGTAACTGGAATTGTCACAGGTGAAACTTGAGTGGAATGGTACCGGTGTGAATCCGAGAACCAAGATCTGGGAGGTTGACGTATGCGGTGTACGTGCTCTCGGGGGGCAAAACATGAAACATGTGGTGCAGTGGGCGGCAGCTTCCCTGCTAACGCGTAACAACCCACCTTCCAAGATCGCACTTGGTACAGTCGTTTCTTCCGTCAATATGAGCCACGTATTCTGCGACAGGCTGTGCAATTTGCATGCTGGTCATGTTTTAGGCTACATATACAATATTGTAGACTCCTGTCTGGCATGATCGATTCAATTCCTCGTATAGAGAGACTGCGAACTGCCCATGGTGACCACCAAGCCCTGCAGGCACTTCCGGAGGCTTAAGGCTTTCGACGGGAGAGCAATCCCCCCGCAATTCCATACCAGGAGCTGCTGTCGACCAGGTCAGACGTCCATGCTCTCATTGATGAAGGCCGGCCTACGTTGTACATTGCTCTCACTACTAGTAGGCAGGAAGTGTGAGATGCAAGCCGTTGACCACCTCATGGCCCTCGACTGGTAGCAGAATAAGACCACTGTTCGCCTGGTCCGACAACTAAATGCCTGTAGTGTTGCCATGCATGTTGTTTCGTGTCAGCCTCGTCGTCGCTTGCAAATTCGAAGCGGCACGATCTGGTGCCTGATTGTCCGACTTTCACATGCTTTTCGTGCGGGAGAGACCGTTGTGGGCCCTGACGCTGACTTCTGGAAACCGGCCCCGGAGCAGTTTCCAAACTTCGGCATCCAACGTGAATTTCGGTGTTGGAACATCCGCTATGACGTTTGGACTGTATGATTCTCTGTCGGTACCTTGTTGATTGCCTGAAGTACCTTACTACGAGTTCTACATTGTGGTAATACTATGTATAGGCGACATTTGCTCCTCCTTGAAAGTCCCCTTCACCGTCTGATATATTGATTGTATTCCCTGTCCTGCGGCGTCCAGCTCCTTCGGCCACCTCCGGAATAACATCGTGGCCATGTCTTTCAGTCCTGTGTTCTGGTTCTATACCATCCTACAATGGATCCTCGATAAAATCTTCTCGCCCAGACCACCTCCCCCGGGAGCACGATTGCGCCGGCCAAAGATTGCTGTCATCGGTGCCGGCCTCACGGGTGTGTCTGCAGCTGCCCACTGCGTTGGACACGGCTTCGATGTGACGATCTTTGAAGCGGCGGACGAAAAACATCTCGGTGGAATATGGAGCCACGTAAACACCACCTCAGGCCTGCAAATCCACAGTGTCATGTATCGGTTCCATCCCTCAATCAAATGGGACGAGGGTTATCCCAAGCAGAACCAAATTGTTGGTCAGATCCGACAGCTATGGCACCGTTATCATCTGGAAGAAAAAACAAAGTTCAATACCAGGGTCGAGAAGATATACAAGGACAAGCTGGGCCGGTGGATCCTCAACGATGTCTCCAATGGCAGATTTGACGGCATCATCCCCGCCATTGGGACCTGCGGTGACCCTAAGATGCCTCATCTTCCGGGCCAGGAAAAGTTCAAGGGCGAGATCTATCATTCCTCCGAACTGGACAAGAAAGATGCTGAAGGCAAAAGGGTCCTCATCGTGGGCGGAGGTGCGAGCGCGGTCGAGGCTCTTGAGTGGGCGGTGAACACGGGAGCGGCCGACATCAAGGTGCTGGCAAGATCCGACAAATGGATCATCCCACGAAATGCATTTGTGGATGCTCTTCTTGCCTTCAACATTTTCGGTCAAGAAACATTTCTGTCATGGATCCCCGAGAATCTCCTACGCCTCTTTTTCTACCGCGATCTTAGAGATATTGCTCCTGCCGACCAAGGCCTGTTCACCGAGACCCCCATGGTGAACAGTGAGATATTCCACTGGATACGGGCCGGCAAAGCAGCATGGTTGCGTGGAGACATTGAGGAGGTCCAAGAGAATGGCATTTTCTTTAACCACCGAGCGAAGCGTGTCCCCAAGGGCGGTCCTGGACATCAAAAGTTGGTTGAAGGGGACATCATCATCATGGCGACTGGCTACAAGCGTCCCAGTCTCGCATTTCTACCCGATGAATGTTTTGATGATGGCTACGTTCCCCCTCGGTGGTTTATCCAATGTTTTCCTCCGGCAACTCCATCGATATGCGCTATTAACTCGACATATGTCTCGGCAATTGGGTAAGTTTGCCAGATCCTCATTCTCCTATCTCATGCTGACAATCATACTCTAGCACGGTTGGAAACTACCACATCGGCATTTATACCCGCATGCTGTTGATGTTTTTAGTCGATCCTCTCACCACGCCTCGAACCTGGTGGATGAAGCGCTGGATTGATTTCACAAGTGCAATCAAGGCACTGGCCCCAACCAAAGCATTCGACTTCTTTACTTACTCAGAACTACTCTACTGGTTTTTCTTCATCACATTGATCAACCCTTTTAGGTGGAAGTGGGCACTTTTCGTCTTCTTCGGAATCGGAAAGGATCTGCCGGCAAAAGTCGTGGAGCAAGAAGACAGGCTGCGAAATGGGCTGGGTTACAAGAAGAGCATCTATACTGAGGAAAAGGAAAAGTGATTGGGCAGTATATGTGGTCTTTTTAGGATATTAATGGCTATAGCTCTCCTGCGTAGCTGTACGACTTGAATGTGGTTGTAGAGTGGCTGTGGACTCTTTTGTTTCACATGCCAAACTTGCAACGAACTACCTACCAGCTGAGGTACCTAGGTAGAAAACAATGACGTCAATCCAATACCCACAAGGCTGGGACTTCAAACATTTCATTGAGCCTCATCCCCGTCCACACATTTCACACAAAACTGGCACTGCATAACCACACCACAAGATTAACGCCTTTCATTCTGTTGTTGATATTACAGTCTATAGTCCTTATAATCGGGCCTCCCCCTCCTGAGTCACTTGTGAGCTGTTGGAGAAAGAGCCGTCATACATCACACCTGTCGTCCTAAGCCAGCACTTCCTCCTCCATGCGTTCCTGGTGACATCCCTGCATGCAGCCCGAAGAACTTGAACAATAAGAGCACAGGCAGTATCGGTCCTCCTCCACTAAGCCAGAGTCCAAGTCTAGCTACTTTATCTTTATATACTCGTGGACGATGGATGACCCAGGTAAGCATCCAATACACGGTTGGCAACGTACCGAAAGGGGGTCTCTTGATCTTGTCTAACCACCGTATACCTTATGCAGTCGCCGAAATCCCGCGGATCATCCGAACACTATGCACCGCTCCTCCGGCGCTTCAACGAGCAACAATAGAAACCTACTTCACCCCTTCGGCATCATTCACCCACCCATTCTGCCGGACCGGAAGCTTCGCGGGCTCAATATGGTTGATCATCATGATTTATCGATGGTACAAGATCCTAAGTCCACATATTGATGTTTGGGTGGACAGTGTTGGTAAGTACCGCTGTACCAACCTTAGTCTACTAGTACGTAGGCGAGAGAGAGAGAGAGAGAGTCAGACGGTCAAGACTGACTTGAATCAAAGCATTCGACAGAGACAACCTCCTTCTCTACGTCTCGATCCGGCAGAACTTCAAGCTGTGGATCGTGCCCTTTTACAATGCACCCGTGAAGCTGGTTACTGTTTTGCAGTTGACTACCGATCCTGAACAGCCACCGCCACCACTACCTGGTCCTCTGGAGTTGGTTCTTCGAAAGGTAAGAGGAGAGAGCGACGGAAATGTGAGGAACAGACGGGCGTCAAGGAATGGAATCAACGGCGGTTCTTCTTCGAATTCTTCAACAACGACACAGGATGGCCGTCAGCAGCAGTATTATTACATTCAGTCGCAGAATGATCTGTACCAGACGAGTGAGTGGATCAAGTTTCTTGTCCCGTGGGGGATAGGTGTTTTCCTCGTTGTTGTCTGGCAGTTCAGTGCTACTATTGCCTGTGTGGTGGGAACCAAGGTCTTTGATTTTTTGACCTGGGTGCCGAAAAGGCTTTACCGTGCTCACTTTGAGGTGTTTGATAACGATAAGCGAGTGTTTGGTGCGGATTAAGTTTTCGAACACTGCTTTGGCGGGTACCTTGGTCACCGGAGAGGATGGGCATGGACTTCTAATTTGGTGTGGGAGGTACAGTATGACAGTACATTCATCGAAACCACTAAATGACATGTCGTTGGGGGAAAAGGACCTGCCTGATACCCACTATCAATTCTGAGGTTCGCATTTTGCACAATGGATATTATGTTATTGTATACACTTGTAGCCTAGACTCGAATACAACCTCATTATCCTACACTGGCATTGCATTTCCTCCGTCGGTTGCTAAGACCACCCCGGAGCAGCACCTGTCTAAATAAGCAGCGTCCTCATTAAGTACACACCCGGTACGCAACCAGGAAAAACCTACCCACCCACTCCCCCGGCACAAAATCAAGATAGCAGAGGTTTCATTAGCCCAGTCGTACAGGGGCTAACAATTTACTAAACACCTTTGCTAAGAAGGTTCTGGATGACTGCATCCATTCCCGCTATTGCTCTGCAGCCATGTTCACCGTTGCGTGGCTTGGCGCATTGATGTATGCCATTCCAAGTTTGACGGCATTCTGGACGAGATAGGTATCCATTGCGAGAACTGCAATAAACAAACCCGGCCGCAGAGAAATTGTCAATTCTTTGAGGGTTGGACGCAAGAAACCTACCGACGGACTGTGATTGCTTCTTCTGAGTCATTGTCACTCATTGTTGCGAGGTCGAGGTCAATCATTTGTTTTCACGGCAGCAAGCAATGACTGCAACCTGGCGCGGACCGGGTCGAGACAACGACGAGACCAACCCACGGAATCCGCAGTGCATATGCCAGTGGAAAGGTGTAAAGAAAATCCGTCTGCTATGCTAGGTGAAGCCGAGACATGGGTGATGAATAGATCTAAATCCGGTGACCAGAATCAGGAGGCACAGGAGCAAGAAAGGTGACTTGCAGATTGGAGCATTAAGGAGGGCACAGTGCAGAAATGGTGACAATGCTGGAAGCAAATTAGGACTTGGCCATAGATGGTAGATAGACCCTTAGAGCTGAAATCCTATGAACCATGTAGCATAGATGCGAGTTGCTCAAGCATACGGCTCTAGGCTGCTGGATCGCTAGACAAGTCCATCATCATCACGGTATGCCAGCGGAGAAGTTGCGGACTGACGACGAGACGACGTTTTTGGAGCGACCAGCGCCGAGATCAGACAGGACCCACGGTTTTGATCAGCAGGAACAGACCTGCGGAGCGCATATTTCATGGCCTTTGCGGTCGCTTTTAGCTTCAGTCGGGGTTTTTGTTGTTCGGTTGCGCCTCTTCCGCGTTGGTGTGGTGGAGTGATCCACGCCGGCCTAGCGAGACGACAACAAGTCGCCAGGCTCCCTGGCCTACGGGTGTACAACATCGTATATAGAGTATTCTGCTCGATGATTAGCTGGAAATCAACGACATCGCTGGCTTCATTGGTCGAGTCATTTGAGTTTTGATACCCCTCAAAAGACTGGTCTGCGCGGTTAAAATGACTTGCCTGACGAGGAGGGTTTTCCTGTATTTCAGAGCTGTAATGTGGCGACACTCCAGTGCCTCTTCGAGCCTGAGATGGATGTTTGCTTCTTCATGAAAGACTTACTCTTTGTACCAGACGTGACTGGTTCTAATAACCTATTTCATTGAGTGCTCGGGAACAATCTGTATGCTTTTTTTGGTGGTTTGGCATCTCTTGTTGTCCTTGCAAACAGCCAAAATCATCCTAATCACAAGCTTTTGTGAGCCTCACAATTCTCTTCAGGATAGGTATCATTGCAGGAGCGAAAGGATTGGATCGGCAGCATTGTATCCGTATCTCTGGCATTTTTGCAGAGGACGAGGAGTGCGTGTTGGGAACTGGTGGGACATTGCTGTGTTTTTATGCCAACTTCGTCCTTGATGATATCCAGGCGGTGATGTTTTCCCGTCATTGTTCTCGCCATTTCAGACTCTATTCTTCTTCCGCCGAGAGTTGAGCTCAGTGCTTCACGTCTTTGCTTTCCATCCGTGCGCGATCCAGTCAAGGAGATGAGGCTCATGGTGGGAGTCAAAGCGAGCGAGGCATGATAATAAGGCTGCCGGAGATAGGACCAATGGTGGGAGGTCATGCGGTCGGCTGGTCTCACTGAGAGACGGTCCTAGGACGTGAAAGCCGTCTCAACTTGTTGAGAAAAAGGTGGAACCTATACTTGTGAGCCTGGAGGTAGCAACGTACAGGTTACACAGGCTCTTCAGGCCGCGAGGGGCGACTGCAACTTGAATTGGCCATAGGAAGAACAAGCTCCTGAGTTGTGAAAAGACAGAGGAGATTGCAGAAATGGGAGAAGAACATGATGAACAGTGAAGGATCTGACTATAAGGTCTTTTCCTGGCAACTAGTGACCCAAAGCAGCCGGAGATTGACTGGATGGACTCGACACTCGCACCGGAAGTCACTTCCTCACCCAGATTGCCGCTTCTGATTGGACCACAGGAGAAGCCTCAAGTCGTGAGCCCGGGACTTTGCTTATAGTAGTATCCTATTAGTGTTCCAAACACAACACCTTGTGCTGGTGGAAAATGGATCACTCGTGAGGCGTTCTTATTCTGTTCTGTCCTGCGTTTTCTGTTGCTTTTTCAGCAAAATTTGGGAAGTCCCAAAGTGCATTCGGTGTCAGTACCCGATTGCCGTGGAATCAGGTATTTCTCATGACAGCTAATTTGCTCTATTTTGGCCTGGTATCTCAAAGCTTCTACCCTTCATTGGCTTCCTGAGCGTCATCTGGAGTCTGTGTGATGGGAACCCACGCGGGTAGTCGAAAATTGCACCGCTATGGCATTTCTTCAGAGCCCAAGTTGCGTCTCCTATGACCGTGTTGAGCATCGTCTGAGAATGCTGTGCTCTATAACAAGCAGCCCTGGCAGTGAATGGGCTTTTTAACAACTTTCGGGTTTGTATTTTCCGCTTGCCAGAGTGGGACGCTCTCTGATGTTCATTGACGCAGGTCGTGGCAGTCTGATTTCCGATTCCTCACAGCCCTCTGACTCTATTAGCGATGCTGCAGGTCCTCCTGAGTCTCTCGACGGTATCGTGCGCGCTATACCACGGTCCCAATATGGACAGTCATTTCTCTGTTCGGCTGTCTATCAATGAGACACCAAGTCCTTGCTTCGTTGGGAAGACGATTTTGAGAAAGCAAGCTGATCTGAACGTGCAGGCAGTGAGCATGGCGGTGCACAGGATAACAAGCTAGCTTCTCGCATTCCTCCATACGATATTCCCCCACGATTTCGACAAGACTGTATACAGAGTGGTCGTCGGTCGAACCCCGTTCTAGACCAAACACACGTCTGAGGAACAGCGCAAGGACCCCGACGAATTCTCACAATGCGCCATGGTACAGATGAGCCTTTTCCTGACCAGGGCAAAAAGAAAGACACAAAACATAGTCAGCGCTGCTTTCCTACCCGCTCTTTTTGCACTCAACCCCACCGGTCTCGTATACACCGAAGTTTGGAAGTGAGTACCACACCCTTGCCACTGAGGATAGGTGGCCGGGGCATGTATTGCTTTCACATGAGCGATCCGAACAATATCTAGGAAGATGAGATTTGTCCCGGACGCTTACCTAGGCCATGTCAGCCTGGCCGTCATGTTCCCGTTTTCTGCCCTGGGAAACTCTCGGGGCATGATTGTCCCGACCTCGAATCCCGGCGGCAGGACTAGGTGTGTGGGAAATGTCGTCACGACTTGTTGTAAGGCGCAGGCAGAATCAAAGTATCAGTGAAGCAGGTAGGTACCTAAAGACATGTTCCAATTTAAGCCTGCCGATGAGATTGATTTTCGCTGGTGCCTTTGTCCCTTATTGTCCCTATTGCCAACACGATGGCCGCGGTCGTTGACTCCAATGTTGTTGGCGCACTTTTGTTTTATCTGTACATGGTTGCAGCCATCCTCTTGACAGGGCTGATAGCACTTGACTTGCTAAGGGCATATCGACAGCTTCAGCACGCCACGCTTGTTGGGCGTGGACAATCTCGGAACTCCACAATTCTTGTGTTGATGGGGTTGGCCGTACTGAGCTTTTGCAGCCTTTCTTACCACATGCTGGATTTTCTTATTCAATCGTATCGAAGCTGGGCTCTGTCGCATATTGTCGTCTCGAGGCGAGATCAGCCAGTCCGGTACGCAACCCCTAAAGACTGGGCAGATATGATGGCCCTGCGCGTGTGGAATTGGTCGGTGGAGTCAAACCTGTTCCAGGACTTCGGCGAGGCGATCTGTAACGGCCCACAGCGGTTTTGGTGGACAGAGTTGGCCTTGCTGTATTCGTATGGCTGGAATCTTTACACTTGAGCGACCAAGGTACTGTACATGACATTGCATTGGTCACCATTTCGGACTTTTCCTTTTCATGGTTGCACCCGAAACTCACCGTCTGTGGTACAGGTGTTCGCCATCGGATTCCACGGCTTTGGGCATTTTTTGTGCTGGACCAGATTCTCCCAGTTTCGTTCGCGCAAAATCTGTTTCTTCTCTCGGTCCTGCTTCGGGCTGGGAAACATTCCGACCAGTCGCCGCGGAATTTGAGGCCGACAGGTCCGTGGATTTGCATCACATTGACAGTGGCGTACCGTGGGATCTTCAGCCTTGCCCCCAAGACTGTCGGTACCGGATATTTCTGGCTTGTGCTGCTGGGCACCCGAATCATTCTTTTTGCCCCTTATCTAATTCGACCACCTGCATCCTTGCAGAGTACCACCGTGTCAGCCCGGACGACCCACCCTGCACTTGGGTCTGACTCCGGTGTTGGTCTCTACACGGTGCCATACATATCCCTCACCTTGAGCTGGCTAGCCATGCAGGTGGTGGCGTTTTGCGGTCGAGAGTTGCCAGTCCGGGAGATTTTGGCGGCCGTGAACTCAAACCCGGCAATAAGCGCCCTTGGCTGGGACGTCATAATCGGAATTGTCAGCCTCGTCATCTACCACAGACTATGACCAGTATCGACCAAGGCTGTATCTTCCGGACTCTGCGCAGAATGACACAGGTCATCTACCCCTAGCAGTAGCAGAAGCAAGAGCCCATCACTACATTAGCTTTTGTTTGCTGGCGGCTAGCAGCGGTTTTTAAATTCCGGTGCATCTGAGCGAATGGCTTGTTGTTCTCAAAGGGTCTCCTTTTAACCTCGCCACCATGGGGGTTGGACCCGGGAGCTGTTTCCGCCTGAGGTGTTTTCCTTTTTCTTTTTGTTTTTCTTTCGGTTATGTCTGCCGCGGCGCCCGAAGGCGCTGGAAATAATTACCGGGCGGCCTTGGTTGGAGGAAAAATATTGTTTTGAATTAGAATAACAATAATATCAACAATCAAAGCAGCCACTGCAGTACGCCTGATGGTTGTGATGGGCGCCTGTCCCTGTCTCCATACTAGTAGTACTAGAAGGGCATGTTTGTCCACTTATGTACCAGGTGCCTACCTAGGTAAGGCATACAGCAAAGAACGTATGTAGATCTCGGGACTTTTCTCCTCCCCTGTACAACTAGTGCATCTGCAGGAAACTCAACGTCGGCGCCACAGTCCTTCTACTACTACCTACTGGGTACCGCACCCAGCAACTTGAACTAATTAGTACTTGCCCTTGGACAATCCACGCTACTACTACACTGGCATCCGAACGCCCAAACCTTGAGAGGCATCAGGCGACACAACCTTGCAATTACCTAGGTACCTGCGCTGCACAGTGGCTGCCGGCGTGCTAAGAAAGGTGTCAGCCACTGTTCCTGCAAGGTAGGTATGCTTCCCGGGCAAAAGTAAGCGGCTCATATGTCCGTCATCAACGGTTTGCCCTGCAGCGGCAGCCATGCCAATATGTTACTAGTGATCGGATGTTTCCGATGTTTGCTTGTTGGCAGAAATCATTCTACTTTTTTTTTTCTCCTCCACAACCTGCCACTGCCTGTACCCTGGAAGCTTGCATAGATCAGAGTCAGCAGACACTGCGGTAGGTGCAGTAATAGTAATGAATGAGACAGCACACCGCGGAGAAAGAGGCCGGAGCCTGACTGTTATGTACACTACGAGCTGGAAAAGGACCCCTCTCCACACCATGACATTGATAGCCAGCCTGAGAAAGGGAACCTCGTCCGAGTCGTCCAATGAGCACACAGCTACTGAAGAAAATATTACAGTACTAGTAGTTAGGTAGGAATGAACGGCTAAGATTGAAATTCAATGCATCACAGCAGCCCGGACGGCGGATGCCTGGTCCAGGTTTGTCCAGATTTCAGAACTTTGAATGCAGTGCAGGATACACTTTCCGCCGTCCAGCAAGGCAGTGTAGATGAGGTTGAAAAACCATGTGCCACTGAACAGTCATGAGGAATATGAATTCCGATAATTATATGATACCTACTAGGTACCTAAGGTAGGAATAAGTACTAGTAATGAATTTTCGGCAAGGCTAGGGGCTGCATCATCCTCTGCCGAAGAGACAAGGGGATCGGGGTATAATATACGGTACCTTATTATTGCATTGTACTAGTAATTTGTACGTCATCTTGTCAGTGACCCAAGGCAGGGGCCAGTCCATCCGCAAGTTGAAGGGATCGAATCGGAAAACAGAGGCGTCTGGCACTGTTGATGAGTTGTCTAGCTCACCGAGTTGGAAGAAGACCTCTTGAGAACTCATGAGTCCCGTTCTGGCTTTATTACTTTGGCCCAAGTTACCGTACTACCGAGACAGTGTTTGCCTTGGGGCAAGGTACCTTATCAATTACGAGATGCAGTGAGAACCTGGTAACCTATCCAGGTACCTACCAGGTAGGTAGCAGCACTGTTATGCGCGCCCACTCACAAGTCGGCTTATCAGAGAAACCGAAATCCTTTGAATAGGCAGGCAAACAAACAAGCCACAAATTTGGACCCTGGGTTGGCCAACACGCAGAAATCGTTGAGGGTATGGTACCTACCTAGTAGCAGGTACCTTACAAATTCAGCCGTTGACAAGAAGGGAGACCGTAATTGGTGTACTAGTACTTGTAGCACTGCATTCTTAGGACTTCTTGAAATGCCAGTGGTTTCAAGCTCGAGCATCGATGATCCCTAGCATAAAACACCCATAAAAACCCAACCCTTCCAGCAAGAAAGGTAGGGTAGTACTTCTCGCCGTTTTGATGGATCATGTCGATTAGCTACTAGTGGCGCACCTGGGCAGTAGTGTGGCACCGTGGCTGCAACTTGAATGGAAATTTTCCAGTTCAAAGCTCGTTGTAAGGCCGGAAGCTGTAGCCGAGACAAGAGTCAGTCGACTGCCCCGGGTTGTCGCCAACATCTGGGGGCGAGGTCTTGCCTGAAATGAAGACGTTACTAGTTGTCGTGCCAGGAGAGGATCACGCTTGATTCTTGACAGACCTGCTCTGTTCAGGCTCGCATCGTGAGCAAAAGTTTGAGAATAAACTAGGGTCCAGAGATGCCGGTGACCTTATCATCCATGATGCACTGGTAAGTCGTCCAATGGATAGATCCGGCTCCGCGACTGATCTTGCAGCACACGATAAATGACCAGGGGAGTGTACATGTTGGTGGGTACTGGGTAGATAGATATGTATATACCCTAGGCACCTCTTCGGCACTGCAGCATTTGCCGTAATTAGGTGTTTATCGATGGGATTTGATGGGAATTCGGGCGTCTAATAGACGGCCACCTTTGCCGGTGGCGCAGTTTCTTTATGGAGCAATCTGCTGCTGTACCTAAACAGCCTTCACCCGCGGAGATATCGTACTCTTCTTCGTGTTTCGGTCATGGCACTCGCGGGGCCTAGGGAAGGACGATCCCATGCACAGTGATGTTCCCCTGGGTGAATACAAAATCGTTGGGCTGGTGGAGGCGGGGGAAGGCCATGCCGGAGTCGCGGATTGGAGCAATTGTGAGCTCTGTCTTTTGAATCAGTTGCTTTTGTAATGTCCCATACTGATATATTCTTTCGTCAATACTAAGTGCCTTCCTTGGATCCTGCAGGCGGGTAGTCTCAGCAATAGAAATATAGACAAACGAGCCCAATTAGAGGAATGTAAGTTTGTGTCTACTGTCGCCAGTCCGCGCACGAAGAGGTGCGATTGGAGGTGCACTACCTTGTCCGTCCCGAGGTCGCTGGTAAAGGTGAGCTTGCTCGACTGTGATGCCATGGCGCATGCCGATAGTACTCGATCTCCACAACCACGGACGAAACTTTCAAATCGTCTTGCAGTTCCAGCATGCATCCTTCCATCCTACAGTAACTGACGAGGAGAGGAGCCACAGATGTCACACCAATGGAATTGCCTCCGGATATTGACGTCGGGTGCTTTTGGCCGAGCTTCGGGGGGCCGTCCGTACCGATTAAAGGGGCATTCGAGGCACTCTGCTCATGGGTTTTCAAGCATTTGAAGATCGCTCAGCTGAATCGAAGATGGAGCTGCCCCCGCTTTCCCAGGTCCAATAATAGATGGCGTCTTCGAATTCGAGGTTCTGCGTCGAGTCTCGACTAGAGTTATTCTATTGGTTCGCTCGTTGCTTTGCCATGGGCTGTACAAGATTGCCCCAAGCTAACACCGGCCAGTAAGGTTATCGGTGGGTGCGCGGCTCCATCAACTCCGCTTGAGAGCCGAGGGTCTTTCTCCCAGAGCCATGGCCGTCTTGCTCCGGCATTTGATCTAAGCTCATGCCCTCCTCGCAAAAATGGTGGAATGGAGGACAAGAAGGCATTATAAACATCAACGAACAGCCTTGCAGAGATCGTCTTTCTGTACACATTCGACTGACCTCCAAACGTGCTTGACGAAACCATGTCTGCAAGTTCGGCATCTGCGGTCTTCAATCTGAATCGAGCCGTGAGTTTAGGACCACCGGCCGGCTCTTCATTCTGCAAAGCCCGATCCTGGAAAGAAGCCTTCTCACATGGCTCGACCGACTGTCTCGGCCAGCGCTGGATGTCATAAACTTCACGGATAGAGTCGTTGCGATGAGCGGGCTTTCCTTCTCAGGCCAACCCAGCTGACCATATATATATCGACCCGTCTACCGTAAATGGCCAAGCCTCTGCTCTGAGCTCCGACAATTGCCTCTGTCTCTGCCTGTGTCGTGCTCCGCTCCTCACAATCGGAAAACTTCAAGCTGCATGGCGTGTCAACCTTGATTTCTGCCAATGTCGCTGCTTGATTCCGACGTGAGGGAAGCAGTGAGCTTGAGTTCTCCTCCGGGTGCCATCCCACCAAGTACTTGGGTTGGAGATGGTAATTCTCGAGGCCCGTCAATGTTGAAATCGATCTGGTCGTACACCTGTTGAATGGCAATGTTTGATCGGCATTCGTTGCGTACATGTGCCGCCAGCTGCGACAGGTCAACGCCAGAGCGTATTACGCGAATCAGATCCTCGTTGGCGGTATTGTCGCCCGCCCTGATGGTCGCAATGATGCCGCCCAGCAGCTGCTTATGTCTCTCGAGTTGGAGGAGGGCGTCTGCTAGTTCTTGGACGTTGCGTTGGTTGGCAATCTTCCGCCGTTGATCAGAAGTGGCATCGTAGACACACGGGGTCCTTCTCGTGGCACATGCACTACAGGGTGTACCGCCACTGCACTACACGTGGAATCAGTTATACAGTCAGAAGAGGTGCCGCGACATCTTACTTTGGTTTTCCTCTGCTTGCAAGCCCCACAAGCAGTCGATATCTTTCGAGGACGCCGTGAATGTGCCAACCCCTCCGGAGAGTCTGGCCCTTGGCTGGGACGAGGCGCCAAAGGTTGAGACATGGAGGCGGGCGGGGTGATAATAAAGTGCATGGATTCGGCTCACTATCTTACTGCTTGCTGGTCTGTCGGTGGATATTCTCACCACGTTACCCGAGCCGACGCAGAGTTGACGACATGAATGAGGCGACCGTCAGCCGTAAACAAAGATGCTAAAGAAGACGACGATCTGAGAGAGGATGGTATTGTTATGTAGGTAGGCACGATATTGGGTGCCACAACTTGAACAGGCTCAACACGACTGCCACTGCCAGTGCAGTGTACCGTGTCAATGTGGGCCAAACAAGGGCAACGATGATGTGGAAGAAGTAGCCGGAGAACTCAGCCGGGCGAGTGATGGGGACGGGACTGGGGGCGATCCACGCCTAAGGGTGCCATTTATACCGACCACTGCACTGCACCGCACGGCAGCAGTGCCAGCCCCGGTGCCTGTGCTGTGCCAGTTCTTCACCAATGCAGGTGCTTTTATTGATTAATTCCTTCCTTACCTTAAGCGACATGAAAATGCAGCCACCTAAAGTTGGCGCAGTCCCGTACAGGCCTGCCGCTGCCACAGCCACTGCCACAGCAACTCGGACCTCCTCCGCTCCAGTTGAGTTCGGTTCTGGCAGCGACAGCCTGAAAAGGCCTCCCTCAAGTTTCGGGCAAAGGGCCATGCTCACATACAATGTTAATCCAGGACCTCCTACCAAGCTAGCCACAGTGGAGAATGTTTCCAAGGAGGAACCGTCAGTTCATGGCATAAAATGATCTGAACGGTGGCGGTAGTGCTAGGAGACAGACAATTGATGATTGGGCTAAAATAATTGTGAGAGCGGACGCCCCCGACGTTTGTGGCGGTGAAAGCGTGCCACGTCTATCCAACTTTTGGGAGTAGACATGCACTACTAGTACCGAATATAATAAGTAGAAGCAGTGAGTGCCTAAGGTAGTATCTAAAGGAGAAAATTCGGCAACATCTCAATTGATGTTAGCCGTCTACTTCAGACACCGCGGTACACACTTCCTGCAGTGCGTGAACGGCCTGCTGTGGCGGGCGTTCAATAATGCGTAATCCCCATTCCTTACAAGGTCCAAAAGGGTGAGTGACAGGGACCGCCAGGCCTGAATTTGCGTGGCCGTGGTTAGTACAGTAGTCCATCACGTGAATGACAGTTAGTGCTGGTGCTAGCTGTGCTAGGTAGTGCTATAGTGGCTAGGAGCGAGGCTAGAGGCACCTTTCGCAGCTTTAGTAGTCCCGTTGTAGACATACCATTATTTGCTCTCCGACCAAAATAATTTTTTTGTTTTCTTGACCGATTTGTGAATTGGGATAAATTTCTTTTATCCTTCCTCTTACCTGGGTTTTTTCCATACAGCACGCACTCCCAAGTGCTGAGGCTTAGAGTGTCCTTGTCTTTTGCTGTTAGCCTGCGCCTCTACCTTTGTTCCTTCCTGCGTTCGCCTTCTACCGATAGAGGCCGGTCGTCACCGGTCGCAGTGCGTTGGCACCATGGACCAGCAAAAGTTCCTTCAGCAACTTGCCATCGTCCTTGATCCCAAAAAGGGCGACGTCAAAGCTGCTACCAATGTCCTCCAGAACGAGTTCTACAAGAACCCTCAGTCTCTGCTTTTCCTCATCCAACTTGTCATCTCCCACGACAGTCCCGACCTGAAACAACTCGCCGCGACCCAAGCGCGGCCTTTGGTCTCGAAGCACTGGACCAAGATCCCCAATGACCAACGTCAACATGCCAGAAGCCAACTCTTCCAGGCTACCCTATCCGAACCTGCCTCTCTCGTGCGACACTCGGCGTCCCGCTTGATCAGCTCCATCGCAAAGATTGACCTTGAGGATGGCGAATGGGCAGAGCTGCCAGGGATGCTGCAACAAGCAGCCACTAGTACCAGAGCGGCCGAACGTGCTGTCGGGGTCTACGTGCTCTACAGCATTCTGGAAACAATGGGCGACGGCTTCAGCTCCAAATTCAAGGAGTTGTTCGCACTGTTCAGCAAGACAATCAAAGATCCAGAGAGCCTTGAGGTCCGTGTCAATACCATGTTGGCCATATCCAAGATGGCACTGGTGCTAGACGGGGAAGAGGATCAAGCGTCCGTCAGAGCGTTCCAAGACATATTTCCCTCCATGGTTGCTGTCCTGAAAGACACAATCGATGCCGGGCAGGATGACCAAATCATGTTGACCTTTGAGGTCTTCAACACCCTTCTTACTGCGGAGTATCAACTCATGTCGAAGCACTTCCAAGAATTGGTGGTTTTTATGAACGATATCGCAACCAACACCAACATGTCTGACGAGGTCAGAACCCAAGCCATCAGCTTCCTGATGCAGTGTGTGGTGTACAGAAGACTTCGGGTGCAAGGTGCCAAGATGGGCGAGCCTCTGACCAAGAGCATGCTACAAATTGTTGCAGAGATGGATGATGACGACGACGATGAGGATGATATCACCCCCCCTCGGTCCGCTCTGGGATTGATTGATACTATGGCTCAGTCGCTGCCGGCTAGCCAGGTTGTGGTCCCGCTTCTAGATGCATTGCCGCAGTACTCAAAGAACCCTGATCCCAGATTTCGCCGCGCAGGCATTCTGGCCCTGGGTATGGCCGTTGAAGGTGCTCCCGACTTTTTGAGCACCCAGCTGTCGTCGGTGCTACCCATATTGTTTACGCTTCTGGAAGATCCCGAAGTTTCCGTGCGACGGGCCGCCCTGCAGACCACCGCTAGGCTTGCCGATGACATGCCTGAAGACGTGACCAAGCAGCATGAGAAATTGATGCCTTTGCTGGTGAAAAACCTGACTGCAGCCATGAGTGCCTACAAGGGCGAAGAAGATGGACCTGCCGTTGACATCATGAAGTCAGGAGCCAGCGCCATCGACGCAGTCGTCGACGGCATGGATGCGCAAGATGCTGTGCAATACCTGGACAAATTGGCTCCTCTTTTGCAGCGACTGTTCAAACATCCAGACTTCAAAATCAAGGCGTTGGCGGCTGGCGCGCTCGGGTCGCTAGCTTCGACGGTTGAAGCACCCTTCCTACCGTACCTCAAGGACTCTATGGAGGCCATGCAAGAGTACATCATGAAAAAGGAGAGCGAGGAAGAACTCGACTTGCGGGCTAGCTGCACAGATGCTATCGGTGAGATGGCTGTCGCTGTTGGTGCCGCCGAGTTCAAAAACTATGTGCAGCCACTCATGCAAGCAAGCGAAGAGGCCCTCCATCTTGATCACTCCAGACTCAAGGAAAGTACCTACATCTTGTGGGGATCTCTGGCCAAAGTTTATGAGGACGACTTCGCTCCTTTCCTTGGTGGTGTCGTGCAAGGACTTTTCGCATGTATCGACCAGGAGGAAGCGGACTTGGAGGTCTCCCTTGGAGACAGTGCAAAGGATTTGCTCGGAAAAGAGGTTACTATTGCCGGCCAAAAAGTCAAGGTCGCAGCCGCAGATAGCGATGATGAAGCTGAGGACGGGACCATCGAAGACGTGGACATCGATGGGGACGATGACAGTGATTGGGGTGACCTTGCGACCGTAACGCCAATCGCTCTGGAAAAAGAGATTGCCATCGAAGTCATCGGCGATCTTGTCTCCAACACAAAGACGGCCTATCTGCCGTACTTCGAGAAGACGATCGAGAAGCTTTTGCCATTGACTGAGCACAGCTATGAGAACGTGCGCAAGGCAACCGTTGGCACTTTACACCGGGCATACGCTGCATTGTACGACCTCTCAGAGGAATCCGGCCAAATCCAGAAATGGAAGCCTGGTCTTCCTCTCCAGGTCGAACCGACACAGGAGCTGAAGAAATTCGGCGAGGTCTTGATGAGCGCGACTCTGAACGTATGGACGGAAGAAGAAGACGCGTAAGTTGATGTCCCGATCCCTTTTCCAAGCATGACTCTCTTATTATGATGACATATCTTCGTTAATCCCAGCTCACTCCGACACGAAAATCGTGAATGAAGCGAAAGCGATCTTCAACCCTCTGAATCTTATTATCCAATTCAATGCCTGTTGCAGATGCATGTGCGACATTGAGTGCTAACTTGAAGAAATAGTGCTACGGTCACGGAGATCTCGAGATCTCTGTCGGAGAACCTCAAAATGACCGGACCTTCCCTGCTCTCCTATCCGGACGTCCTGACCAAGATTGTCCAGACTGTCGGGGACCTGATCACGAAGAAACATCCTTGCCAAATCGACATGGCCGACGAGGCGTTGGATGAGGAAGACATGGAATCCACTGAACTGGAATGGTTGGTTGTTGACAGTGCCATGGATGTCATCTCGGGCCTTGCAGCGGCACTGGGTCCCAGCTTTGGCGAACTCTGGAAGATCTTCGAGAAACAAGTCCTGCGGTACGCCAGTGGTGGCGAGGCTCTAGGCCGCGCCTCGGCTTGCGGCGTCCTAGCGGAGGTTATTACGGGCATGGAGGCCGCAGTCACCCCTTACACGTCACAGATGATGAACGTCTTGCTCAAGCGCCTGGGCGATGAGGACGCGCAGACCAAGTCCAACGCAGCTTACGCTATCGGCCGCCTAGTGGAAAAGTCCGCCGACGACGCCACGATCCTGAAGGCGTACCCTCAAATCCTCCAGAAGCTCGAATCCCTATTCCACATCCGGGAAGCTAGGTGCACTGACAACGCGTCTGGTTGTGTGGCGCGCATGATCTTGAAACACAAGGACAAGGTCTCCGTGGCGCAGGTCTTGCCTGCTCTCGTCGAAGGCGGAATTCTACCCCTGAAGGACGACTACCAGGAAAACGAACCTGTCTGGAAGATGATTGTCCAGTTGTACCGCGACCAAGACCCAACCGTCCAACAGCTCACTCCTAAGCTTGCCCCTATCATGATGAGCGTTCTGGGTGAGCCTGAGGACCAGTTGACAGATGAGGTGCGGGAGCAAGTCCAGGCCCTTGTCGAACACTTGAAGAGCATCCATTAGACACCCATGCATCCGGCCGCAAGGGCAGCGGGACCTTTGCTCGCTTTTTTTTTTTTGCAAACGCAATGAAATACAGCTCAAAGCGACATTAGATGAGATGATATCACGATTGACGAGGTCTACGTTGGTGAAGTCGCCCCCACAATGCGGGAACAGAATGATTCTGGAGATGTGTGAATAAAGAAGATAATAATCCACCATGGCGGCCTCGACGGCTGCTCAAAGTCCACGCCCTGCTTTCCTGTGTACTACTACCAAGATTTCGGCGCTGTTGAATACCCCAATTTCATAGACTCGAAACACAAGCACTGAGCTTTTTACAAGGGAACGCTCTTCTCGTCGTCTTTTCAGTCATCTGTCGCAATTGCTTTAAACTACAGTAAGCTGACCCGGGCTGACTCAGGATGGCCTGTACCTTGCAAGTTGTAGGCAGGACAAGGTAGGCTGAAGTTTTGGCAGCTGACTCTTCCACCACTGGCACTGGCAATAACACCTACTGTACCAGGTATGTACGTACAGTACGTTCGTACTGGAGTCTGGGAGAATTTCAGACCTGCCCGTATTTTTCCATCCTACTACATACGAGTGAAGTGTCGTCATCGATTCAGCAATTATAATGATATAGGTACTGTACCTAGGTAGGCCCAACAAACTTCAGCCTCGTATCGAGGACGAGCCACGCGAATGCAAATGCAAATGGCAGGCAAATACGGTCGCTGGACGTGTTTGCTTATTTCTACCACCGGAAGTAGGAGTGAAGTGTCGGTAGAAGTAGAAGTGCCAGTGGGAGTGGGAGTGGATGGGTGGGCGCCTGGAAGAACGATCCCCCTCTCATGATTTCATTGGTTCATATAGTTCAAGCTGACAGGCAGCCGTGGCATGCTATCACGGACGCAGCGGGGGAGGAGAGTTGTGCAAGTGGCTCGAGTCAAGGAAGGACGGGTTGCAGTGTGCAGTGTCAGAAAATATGAAGCTGCACTTTGCATACCTAGAGAAAGGAGCCGAGGGGGGCAGGGTTGGTTCAGAGTCTCCGCGGTCCGAGTCGTAGTCGTTCCAACTGCAGTAGGTAGGTAGGTAGGTAGGTAGTAGTGCACGCTGTAGCTGTACGTTGTGACTTGGAGCATTATTATCTGAGGTAAGTAGTACCAGGTTCTAGCAAAAAGTGGTGGCCCATCCTGTGCAGTAGTGCAATTCAAGAAATGCAATGGTATTGGTAGTTACTGTATCCTCTGCCGTCCCCCTTCACCGGTTTCATGTTGGGGGCTGACAATCCCCCAAGGGTCATCGGTATCAGCCAATCCAAATGTAGCACTCACCCGGTCTGATGTCCGCGGCTCGACCACTGGCAGCCCGTTTTGCCTCCGTGACCGATTCTGAGGCCCAAAGTGTGTCAATCCAGGTTGCCCACTCCTCACTGCGGCAGTGCATCGTTCCATCTTGCGCTTGAAGTCTGTCCCCTTCGTTCTGCCTGCTTGGTGAGAAGCATGAGGTATTAGGCAGAACTGTTTTGTGGTAGTGCAGCGCAAGAGGACCAGACGACGACTGACAGATAGTATCATCGCAACGAGATACCAGGCAGGAACCGGCCAGCCTGGCTCTCTGTCGTAACGCTGACTACTAGGTAATGTGCAACAACAGCGAGATCACTTGGCCTCGGGCGCCTACATGCGTGGTACTTGATGATCTGGACTGATGGAAAAGGCAAGGAAAAGGTAAGATAGGGGTAATTCGACCCTGGTCCTCGCCTATCATAAGTGGCTTCCGCACCCGTCACAGGGGCGCAATGTTCTTAGGTGAGTCCATCCATCCGCTGGCTCCCGTGAGCAACTGATATGCGGCCTGAGACAGCATGGCATCCGAGGTGGGACAACAATGTTTGGGGCGGCCCGGGTGGCGGGCGCTCAGCCTGTTCTGATAAAAGAAAGACCTTGCATGACAGGTGCTGTGGTATATATCTATATCCGACCGCTTCCTCCCTTTCACTCCTTTTCAGGACATCATGCACAGCAAGTTCCTCTCCACATTCCGCCGGATCACATGGTTTCCGCCCTTTCCACCCATGACCCTGAGGATATTGGGAGACTTCTGATCCCCCACAGCTAGCTCTTTCCGGGAAGTCTTGTCAGATTGAGCTCAACATTCTGCTTCATGGCCGATGAATGGTTGAGGTAGAGATCGCTCAGAGCTCACCCCAAGAACATAGCATCAATGACCAATTGAAACAGTCAGAGTCTGATTGGCTGCTGTTGGTTTTGTTGGACACTGTCGAGCGCCGTCTGCCCAGGATCGCAACATGGTTGCCTTTTCAGTTGCCTTCTTCCCCTCGGTCAAACAATTGGGTCGCACATGCATGTGCAATACGCTGCCACTGCAGTGCGGAGATTTTTCCTGCTGCCTAAGTCGGAACGGAACATCTTTGTTCCAGTACGTACCACAGTCGTAGTGGTATGTTGTATGTGCTGTGGTATGCAGCAGCAGCAGCAGCAACAGTCGTGTCCAAGGCAAAACGCAAAACGCGAAATGGGGATGATCCAGGTGCGAGCCTCCATTCCGTGGTCGCTGTCCGCCGTATCTGGCCTGTATGCGCACTGCTGAACGCTCACTGGGGAAGGGAGTGCAAGTGTGTACCCTTTGCCAACCGAAACAAAGGAAATTCGTGCAAACGAGGGTATCAGTCTGTCATCCTCAGTGAACTTTTCGTTGCCGAGCTTGTCTATGTTATACTGACCTCAAAAGAAAGGAGTTCCTTCGCCCAACTCTTCCCACAACCCTACTTCCTGTGCGGCTCATTGGCCATTGAGGCGTCGTGCAGTTGTGCGAGTATAACATCAACTTTACTGTTCAACTGTTTGCTCCTCTCTTCTGGCAGGACCTGTCCCGCATGATACGGTCGGTCGAGTTTTGGTTCCTTGAGTCTGCGTTTCAGCATAACCATCTCGTGGTTATTACGACCGGTGGATGAGGAAGAGGAGATTGACGGCGGCGAGGTGGATACATCGGGGCGGGTGGAAGCCGACTTGCTTGTCATCGAGGCACTGCCCCATGTGGCCGCGACGGAACTGTCGAAGATCAGGGTCAGCGTGCTGTCAAAAGCCTACATGTGGCATCACCTTGACGACGATTTCTCGTGGCTGGCAACAAGAGGTCGCTGTAAGGTCTTCCCGGGACCCATCCACCTGGTACTGTGCAAGTTGTCTGCAAAATAGATGGTCTACGGGGCTTTCTTTCCGTGTTCAGTCTAGTTGCATGACTCGAAGCCCGGCGGTGGGAGGCGACAGGCGGCCGGCGACTGTCTGCTTTCGTAATGGGCTCTATTGCTTCCACCTTGGTGCTTGGGCACGCCATCCAGCTGTTATGAGATGAAGAAACGATGCACAGACCTCATCGCGGCTGCTGAAGCGGATGGTGACCAGAAACGGCAGTGCCGCTTAAGCGGTGGTGGTGGGTGTGGTGGTGCAGCCCGTCTGGTACTAGGCAATCACTGCAGGGATCAATATGAGGGCACGAACGGTAGGTAGGAGTAGGTGCGAGTCAAAGGTTCGCTTGCAAGTGCAGGTAGGAATGAGAATGACAATGCAAATCAGATGGTTCAGCAATTCTTCGCAGTTCGCTTGTCTCCAACATAGACTGAATGCCAAAACGTAGTCGTGTCTTCAGGTGGTGAAGACGGTTGAAGCGACGGTGCGGGCCAGGACGCTGCGGATGATAGGGCTGCCCACCGCAGGCTACCTGGGTACAGATAGACTCGACTGGCGCGATAGCCCCTTCGAGTATGGAGCAGCCTATATGAGTCGCAGACCCTGGAATGACCAGCCTGAGGGGCGCAGCTTGTCATGCCTTTTTTTTCTCTCTCTTTGCCCTTGCTACTATCCGCTCACCTTCAGAGTGTCATCTGCGGTTTGCCTTCAACTCAAACACGATACCGTCCACTGTCAGCGCAGTTTCGGCGGTGGTGCCAGACCGGTGGCCGCCAACACCCCGTGGTTAGCCTCCTGTTTCCGTGCGCGTTCTGGCGTGGGCCGCGATTGACATGACAACCGCAGCTTGAAGGTTCCGAGCCATTCGGGCGGGGATAGGGCGTGAAAAATGGGCGATGGGCGAAGCAGCCCAATCACTACTACCCCTTGAGTTGAGCCTCAACCCGGATTTTGTAGGCTGGATGACGCGGACTCGTATGTTGGACTTTTGCAACGCAGCCGTCCGTCCTGTGCGCATCTGTTTATGCAGGCCCGCTAGATGGGCAATATTACTGGACTAACTACGCCAGTGTCACGATCTGCTAGACACTCGCAAGGAGAATAGACGTTGAAGGCCCCGGCGGCGGGCTGATGAGGTTGCAGGTCGTTTGCTCCACTCGCGCCGGCTGTGAGCTCCAACCTGGTTGATCGAGGTCGTCGTCCAATGCACAGACGCGAGGTGCCAATCCTCGTGGCGGCTGCACAGACCAAACCTTGAAAGGACTTGAAGTCTTGAAGATTCAATCGCAGGTTTGGACAGGTGTCCGTCCCCCACCTAAAGTGCAGATCATGTGGATTCGAGCGAGGACCCGGGCACTATAGGGAGCCTAAGTGCTCCCGAGCGTTAAGTTCCGGGGCACTTTGGGGGGGCAAGACACCTAACACAGAGTCGCTAAAAGCTCCGGGGGCTCCACAAGCTCTACACATTAGGCTTTACAAGGTAAACCTCTGCCCTACTTCAGGGTTGCTGACCCACCATCTCCCATCGCTTGCGGACCTTGGGTATTCCTTAAACTAACCTCACTTGTGCCTCAAGCATCTACTATGACTGTCAGCTATATTCTGTCTGGTTTCCAAACTACCAGGACTTTCTTATCTGAATACGAGGGTTGTTCAAAGAAAAAGACTACACAGGCTTCTCAGCTGCCCTGGAGTTACAGACTTGGTTTAACGACTAGGATGGCCGCTGCGGACCCAATACGTCTACTCATACCCAACACCACGAGAAGGTGCCTGTCTCTGATGGGCGCCCTCCCTTCCTGGATGCTCAATCATGAGAGAATAGTCCTGTTCCTGACTTTCCTCATCCTGGCTCTCCTTGAGATTCCCCCCGGCATACCCTCCCTTCGTATTGCCTCCCCAATTCTCCCGCTGCTTTCTCCCTGCCTTCCTTCTCTGGCTGTGCTGGGACTCTTACCAGAACCGATCTGAGCTCTCTTCATTTTATCGGGCGGTTCCGGCGTCCGCTTCCTCTGCACGGGGTCCCCGAACCTCCCAGGACTAGCTGCCGCTGATGGTTCCAGCAGCTACTCTGGACAATGACCTTTAGGCCGGGCGCTATTTGTCGGCAGTGGACTCCCCTGCCCCGAATATCCTTGGGTAGAGTCCCCTTGTGTGTATTTGTGGGAGATGCATCCGTGCTGCCACCGTCACCATCAAAGACTCCGTAAGGTACCGGAATCCTCTCTGCACCGGGGTTTCCCTTTCATCTGAAGTCACAGTAACCATTTTGTGGATGCTGGTGCTGACTTTGCTGTAAGTGTTCTTGTTTCGGTCTGAGGGAGGCTGCTATTTGTGAATGTTGCTTGTTAATTTCGTGGACCGCTTGATGCTTAATCATTGATGTATGATGCTGCTGTGTGCTGAGATATAGGTTGTAGTTGTCCTGTGCTCAAGATTACGTGCTGATGATATGTCATGGTGTTCTGAGCCGTTTCACTCTCCATTTTGACATCAGTGAAAAAATATCCAGGATCCGCATGGTAACTGCCTCCTGGTTCGAGTGAACCATTGATTTTGTTCCGCTGGAGGAGCGAGTTGGCCTTTGTGAAGCCATTCTTTCATCTTCAAAGGGCGATACTAGACCTTTGGCTCTTCTGACTAAAAACCAGCTCATGACTGCAGTGGCTGCATTCGTGCTGTCGAGGATACTGTTCCAAGTGTCCCGGATTGCATGTCGACAGAAGTCCATTTCAGATGACTATGCAGTGCTGATCGACAGAAGGGAAGGCGGGTCTGGTTAACCTTCGTCCTTGACGATTCACCCCAAACATACGCCTGCCATTGCTATGGATTGCACAGCTCATGACTCAATTCTGCCGTGACACGACATTTGTGCGAGGCAAGCTGACTCCTCCACTCCGCTCATCGGACTCTGGGGGCCTTCAAGACACCTACACTGCGAATCCGCGTTCCTGCGGGCTGCAGGAAGTGCATGCTGCGTGTCCCTCCAAAGCGTGTCCACCAACGACTATACAACACTCCTAGACGGCTAGAGGAGAGGCAGGAACACGCAGAACGAGAAGACCTTCTTTTGACCAAGTAAATATCTGCGTGTGTCAGCAAGAGGTAGTAATTCGGACCGACCGAGCATGATACAGATCCATTGAACTGCCCGCCAAATGAGACCCCTTCCCATTGTTCCCCTTCAAGGCCAACCTACCTATCCGGGTAAAGCTTCGGGATGGTAGTATGTTCTAACACTCCCCACCGAAGCCAGGCCGATTTTTTCCAGGCTGGCCGGACGTGATGGTCCTCGAAGGGATTGGCAAAATGGGTCGTGTCGTCCATACCCGACAGCCGTAGCTGAGAACCGACGGGATCTTTTGTGTAACAGACAGTATGGCGATACGAGAGGTTGATTCTGGTGTGCTGCAAGAGAAATGGATACATAGCAAAATGACAGGAGATAGACGACGATACTGAGCTACTAGTAGGGGGTAGAATCGTGCTTTCTGTGTACCTACCTACAATGTAAACAGTCGATGATGGAAAAGATAATTATTGGTGCAGCCTCGCGTCTCCTTCACCCCGGACTTGGCAACATTTGCCCATTTCGGCGGGACGAGCATGACTGCCAGATAGATGCAACGTACATATAGCTACTGTATGTTCTACTAAAAAGTGACCCAACGTCCAAGCGTTCAGGAGCCGACTTTCCCCTTGCGGCTCCCAAGGAGCTTCGCTTTCCGTGGACAGCATGTCTGCCAGCGCCGACCAAAGGTAGCAGGATTGAACTCCATGTCCATGCCGCGGCGGCACCTCCAGCATGTCCCTGAGACCACCAGCAGCGCCGCTCGCACCGCATGCCGGTACCGGCGAGGAAGATGAGAACGAGCCCGACCTCGAGTTGACAATAAGGTTTTCGGCCTCCCTTCCCGACCTTGTCCTCACGATCCCCGGGTCCGAGTCATTGAACGCCAACACCGCGACGCTCAAACAGTTGATCCGCTCACACGTCCCGCAAGAATATGCCAACAGACGCATCCGGCTAATTCACGCCGGGAAAGCTCTCGTCGACGAAGTCCCGCTCAGTGCATCCCTCAAACGCAATGTGAGCAGACCGCCGTCACGCATAAGCACGCCCGGACCATACGACGACAACGACCAGTCGAGTAATGGCAACGGAAGCGCTAGGAGCTCAAGCAAGAAGACGGCTGCGGCGACATCGAGACCACCACCGCTGCAATGGAGTACTACCGCTAACAGTGGTGGTAGCGATACTGCCAAAGGCAAACTGGCCGTGCGGGATCAGCCGCGCATCTACATCCACTGCTCGATCGGAGACATTGTGCTTTCGCCGGGAGAACTGGCTGCAGAAGCAGCGGGCGCGGCCGCCGCTGCGTCAAGACATGACGACGGCGAAAGAGACGGTGATGGGAAGACTACATCTGCTGCTGGTGCTGCTGCTTCTGGTGAAGCGGGCACTCAGGCTTCTAGATCGTCGCAAATATCCAACACCACGACCCCGGCGCCGCGAGGGTTCGATCGCTTGTTGAACGCCGGCTTCACGCCTGCCGAGGTCCAGTCGCTGCGGCTCCAGTTCCTTGCTATCCAGGCGCACACGCACACCCCGGACACGATGCCGTCGCCGAATACCCTTCGGGATATGGAGGATCGCTGGCTCGACAATTCGAGCGCGGGAGGAGATCTAGGCGGCGGTGGAATCGGTGGTGCGGCCCTCGGAGGTGCCGGGGGTGCAGCTGGAGGAGGTGAGGATGACTTGCAAGTCGGCGCGTTAGATGATATGATTTGGGGCACGGCCATGGGCTTCTTCTGGCCCATCGGATGTCTCATGTGGGGAGTGCGCGAAGAAGGCATCTGGAGCCAGCGCCGCAAAATGGCCGTCGTGGTAGGCTTCATGTTGAATGTAGGTTTGGGTATCATTCGATACACGGGGTGAATGGAATGGACGAGTTGTACTGTATGTCCACCATTGTTTTTGCGCGAAGATTCTTCTTAAGTGACAGTCACCGTCACAGTCACTATGGGCTGTCGACTTCACTGCCTGAAATTCAGCCAGTTGAACTACCTACACTACTGCCTTTATATTATACATCAACCAAATTATCCCCAACAATCGCCACTTCACCACCATCGGGTCCTATGGCCTAGGTGGGTAGGGGATTTGGGATTGGTGCCTAGTCCGAGTCAACAACTAGGTCGGCTATAAAATACTCTCAACCATAATTGTTCGGTCAAAAAACCCTGATGGCATAAAACACCGGGGGTTTTCAGTCACTCATACACCTCTATACGACTGGGCTTGTGAGACCTGTTTTTTTGGGCCTTGTGCAACTCCGTCAAACTGAACAAGATGGGCCAATAACCCTTTACTTGACGCTCTGCTCCTCCATATGCTATGATTTCTGTTCCATGAATGGCGGGTCAAAAATGATATTACAGTCCGAGCAGACATGTCCTTGATATGTACGCATGGGTATAGTTCTTGTTACAAGAGACATGCTCCCGACAACTACCTTTGGCATGGTCGGTTATGCCAGACTAAAGTGAATTAATGCATTGGGATTTTCAATGTACGCCATGGAACGCCTGTCTCCCAGTTTCCCATTGATCCCGATAACAAAAAAAGACTTGTTGTATACAGCCAGCCAGTCAAGGACTTCATCTGAACTTGCTGTATATCACGCCGATAATGAGAAGCACCAGCACCGTGATAATCGCGATGGTGATTATCCGATTGGTAGCCATCCTGGAAGTCATTCATCCGTGTTAGCACATCTGAACATGCAAAGTCGGATCCGGCACACGTGCTGTACCCGTCAGGGCCGCAAGTCGTTGGCTGAACCTAGGCAGAAAGACAAGAAAGATATGAGGAAATGGTTCTCACCTACGCGCCATCCCCCTCAGCGTCTTGACACTCCTGTCCACGTAGCCCTCACTTTGCAGTAGATTCCTATGCGTATGCTCAATGACATTCCGTTGCTGGTGTAGGTCCGCCAAGGTCGATGCACCAATCTGCTCCGTCTCAAGCGCAATCCGCTGCGACTCCCTTAGTCTGTCACTACTGCGACCCAACCGTTCTGTGCCCGACAACAGCTGCTGGCGCTGCTCGAGGTGCGGGTCTCGAGGTCCGGCCTCCGGGTCGTCCGTGTACCGGTCGCCGAAAAGCTGTTTGCGGTCCGAGTCGGCCAGCGACTTTAATTTGCGTTTCAAGCCATCGACGTCGGTTTGGTGGTTGCGGAATCGTGAGTTGACCGTGGACCGCGCCGAGGTCGGTATGTTTGATTTCTCGAGGTTCATTTGATCAAGCTGCGGAATACGTTAGTCTCAACGCTGTGCATGGACGGTAGGCACAGATAAAAGGAGAGAAAAACGCTGATTTGGGTCGACGTACCAACTCCTTGGCTTCATCAAGCGCCCGCTCCGCACCGCGGATCGCTGATTTGCGTTCTTCGCCCGTCAGCTCGGGGATCTGGTCGAGTTTCTGGTTGATGTCGGCCTCGACTAGTTTGAGTTCCGCCTCGTATGTGCTGAAGAGTTCCGAGCCTGCGTCGGTGTCTAGCGGGTTCGCCATTGTGTTCAGGCCTGGTCTCTGACGGGCGGTGGACGGTGCAGTGGCGCCTAACGGACGGACTCCTGAATGATTTGGGAGTGATCGCGCAGAGGATAAAGGAAGGCAGGTGACGTTGGGTGACGTATTGAGCTGGCGGCTTTGTTATGGACAATCTAGGTATCTAAGTTGCGCTGAATGAGGATGGGATATGGAAGTTCAATCTACACAACGGATGGAGGAGACTGGATGTGGATGCGCGGTCTATCTCATGTCTCATGCAATGCGGAGGGAACATGTTGGAACATGCCGCAGCCTGGTTCCCCGATCATCCGTTTTGGTACGTCAGTGCTGCCTCTTTAGCGCCCCAGCCACCCACATCGCTTACAATCGACACAACCGGCTAGTGGAACTATGATATCAGCTGCCGCTTTGCAGTGCTGAATTCGCGACTCACAGCCTTGGACCTGCATGAATCCGATGTTGACCTACGACGTCGGGACAAGCACATGTTAAGTTCAAATTGGGTTATCGTCTTCAGACAACCCATGTATACAAACTTCCTCGATTTGCTGAAGAGCTAGTTACCCCTTTAAAAAGGCCGACATGACTTTCAACGGCTGATATAACTTTCAGCATAGCCGGAATTCCTGCATGAATACTCCATTCCAGTGACCACTATTCCCTTCTGTGAAAGTTACGTCAAACGATTGTTAGTTCTCTGATGTCACTGTCGTACGCTGCATGTACAGCGGCGGTACTTCAGAGGCAATGGCGAGGCGGAAAGACAGCGTCACAATTGTCAGTCGATCAAGCCAACGCGTCTGGACGGACTCCGGGAAAGAAGACTTCCATTTAGTGCCGGGTCACTGCATTAGAGTCCACAGAGACAGGTGGCGTAGGACGAACAGCCAGCGGGCAGGACCCAGAAATCGATCTTGGTATCGGCCACTCATGAAAATGACATTCTGGCATCCAGTGTCATGCAAGAGATTAATATTCTGAGTGAGCCCCATAGCACCAGTATTGTTGCGACCTTTACTGGGATGCCTCCTTGATTTCCAAGGCGGATCAAGCGGGGGCATGGAACCCTGTCAGAGGACTCCCTTCCCTCCGAGGTAGACCACGGGCATAGCCAAAGTTTGTATGGCCTCCTGGGGGCACATGCTTCAGTATTTTCCTGGTGAGGAATATAGTACAGCTCTTTTGACGCTGGATTCCATCACAGTGTCAGATTTCCATCACAGTGTCAGATACCGGACTGACTCGTGCCATCTGAAGCATGTATCTTGGCAGTACAGCGCCGCCACAATCAGAAACAACGGCTGTTGCTGAAATGCGAGAAATATCAATTCCTGCGGCGAACGTACTGAAGTACACTCTTCAGGAGGACGATCCGGCAACGGGTTATGCTTTGCCATCTACCACTTAGGCGCCAAAGTGCCCTTGGGGTTGACTTTGCATGCCCAGTGAGGTTACAGCCAATAGCGACCATCCAGAAATATCTGAACAGGAGGCGAATCCTCGTTGTCTGGATAATTGTATTGCTGCCAAAATTATTTGGCGTAGATTACCCATTGCCCATGGGAGACATAATTTGTTGTAAAGAGACCGCATAAGGAGCGCCTAGCCAGCAGAGATGGTGATGCTAGCAACTTGCCTCATCAAAGTCGTGCTTCCTTCTTCGTCTTCAATCCCAACTTCGATTGATGTTTGTGGCCGACTCTTGTTGAGGCCTTCTAATAGTGAACAAGCTTTGCAGACCTTTTGACTCGACAGATAGCCGCATCTCTCGCACTGACCCATGACTTGTTTGACGACTTTCCCTTTGCGGCGGCCACGGTGTTTCTTGTCGTGTATAGACACCGTGTTCGGCTGCGATGTTGGCATGGGTTCAACACTTTTGGATGGCAACTTGATCTCAGTCTCTCGGTCGATCGCTGCTTCATTGGCCGCCAGTTGTTTCTCCATTTGATCCATCGAGGTCACGTTGGAGTTCCCTCCGCCACAGCCGTTGACTTCCTCGCCACCGTCGCCCGCACACGATGTTGACCCGCTTACTTCGGGAGGCACAAGTGCTGCCATATCCTCCCCGCTCTTGACAATGTCCAGGATACTACTGGGTCGTATTTTTTCAAGATCCTTTATCAGTGTTCTTGCGCTTCCTCGAAATGCTTCGGGTGAGTAGATGCATTCAGTGCTAAAATAGTCGAGTTTCTTGTGATGAGCGTACAACACGATTTCCTTCTCATAGGCGTACTTGAGAGGCTTGCTTCGCTTGATCTCACTGGCCGCACTGGATGTCATGATTGACGTAGCCCGAGCCAGCCTGGGCAGATCGCCGCGGAGGAGGTTCATCATGACAGTTTCCGCAACGTCGTCAGCATTGTGGCCCGTCACCACATGCTTGATTCCCAACTTTGCCGCGCCTCGATCCAGTGCTTGTCGACGGAAAACTCCACAATAGGTACAGTTCCCCTTCTTCCCGACTTGCGCCACTACCTGGTCCATTGTCCAGCCATAGAGTTGGTCATATCCGACAATTTCCAAGGGCATCTCATACTGGACAGCATTTCGTTTGACGGTCTCGAGACTGTCGTCACGATACCCTTTGATCCCTTCATCGATGGAGAGCAGAACCAAGTTCAAGCCATAATCATGGCGCTCATTCAATGTTTTTAAGACCGAAGCAAGGACTGTGGAATCCTTTCCGCCGGAAGCGCCTATGGCCACTCGTTCTCCGCGGTGGAATAGTTTGTTACTCACGATTGTTTGGTGGATCTCATCCTCGAACACCGCCAGAAAACATTGCTTGCAGATTTTTTGCGAGTTCTTGGGTCTGATCACTTGCGCCCGAGCGTCTTTGCATACCTCACAAATTGACGGAGGCATTGTTCTTGTCTTCAGGCCCGAGATGAAGAATTCTCTAGGAAGGAAAATATGCCGTAAAGCGGCAAATCCAGATGAGTGATACATACGGTGGAGTGGTGACCGCACCGCAGCGAACTGTGACCAGCCACGGCGGAGCATAACACTATAGACGTCGTTTTTGTAATCGCCCTTGAAATGATTCTGTGATAATAAATGTCCAAGTTGAGAAAAGTCAGCGTCTGCTCACCGCACTCCCTGGCTTCCTGTCGCTCGCTCGAATGCATTCTACTTTACAGGCGGAACTGAGGTTCAGCCAGATCCTTAAGTCCACCTGTCGCCAGTGCGCCCGACAACAGTCCAACAGACCACGTTCATTCCATAACGCTCGTCGATTTCGCGCTCCTCAAGAGCCTACCAGTAATGCAGGCTCGACAAACGGACGAGATGCCGGAGATGAGGCGAACAATATACAGGCTCGGGCGGAGATAGCGAGAGAAAAGGCCAGACTCGAAGAAGTCAAATCGCAGGTTATCCAACAGCGGCCAACACCTACCGATCCCCCTTCCGACAATGTTGATCAACCACAAACACAGAGCTTCTATGGCTCCTCTGCAAAGAGGCGACTCCGAAGTCGAATGCTCAAGGATGTGGAACCGGACCAGAAGACTCCAGAATGGCTTCTAGCAAACAATATTTCTTTGTACGGCGAAGGGACTCTAGCGGTAGGAGCACCTTCAAGGATCCAAGTGGTGCCCGCCGATTTGGTTACTGGAGAGCCTTTGGAGCACAGCACTGCTTCGGGCCCGAATGGCGATCCCCGCGATCCGAATAAGGAAGATCAAGAGTCGGAAGCAAAACGGCAATTGCCTGTGGAAGACGAAGAGTCGTTAACCTCGGACGCGGGAAGGTCGTTTTCTCCGAATGCAGGAACGCCTTCTTCGGTTGAAAAGAGATATTATGTCATTGCCGGGCAGTACGAAGAGGTCGAAAGGACGGCGAGGGGGCTTATGCAGATACCACAAGTCAAGGACACTCTGGGTGAGACAGATTTCATGAAAAGCCACCTACTCGTTCAGTATGCCGGCAAGGATGGTGATCTACTGCTTGAGCACGTTGTTGAAGATCTGGCCCGCAATCTCGGTGCCGATCTCATGGTGTTGGACGCCCAGGATATTGCCGACCTTATCTTTCGCTCCAATCAACAGTCGCGCACTGCTAAAGCCGGACGTATGTTGAGCTATGATGTCTTTACAAGTGCATATCCCACATCTCCTGAATTCAGTCAAACACAGGCACCCAGGGAAGAGGATGAAGATGACGACGACATGATGGACGACTTTGAGAGTCCGCCAAATTCTTCTCAGATGGGCATGCCTGTGATAATTGGGAAGCCGATATCCATCGATCTGAAGACGATGTTCTCGCCTGGTGGAAGAACAACAAGGTCAGACATACCTGTATCGCCTATGAAGCTGGTGTCTGACATGTTGAATATGAACAGTGGCTCGTCATCCCAAGACACAACACGCCCGTTTGTTGGTGTAGTCGACAGTCTATTGAACAGCTTCTTAGAGAAACGTCTGAAGCCCACCGAGAGAGCCACGAGCAACCCTTTAGCTAGGAGTCTGAAACTTGAGGAATTACGCGAGTACACATCAAAGCAAACGGGCGTACCGAAAGATGCAGCTATTTTACATGTCAAGGACTTGGAAGCGATCCAAGAAACCAGTATCGGTAATCAGTTCCTTCAGGAGCTGTATCGACAAGTGGCCAAGAGAAGAAGGTCAGGGACACCCCTTCTCCTCGTAGGCACAGACTCGGCACGCGAAGACCAGGAACCTTTCACGACGCAACGGATCACTGACACCCAGACCGGAGAGCGTGATGAGATCTCCCACAACATCATTTTGACCCCGGTCTTACCCAACACCACCTCCAAACTCGCCCTTCTTCATGACCGGAAGCAGCGCATTGCCACGATCAACATGCGACATTTATGGGAGATGATGAGATATCGCAAACCATCTGTGTTCGCTCATCTTGAACCCGGATTCTGGCGGCGGGACTTCTTCAACCACGTCACTAAGAGTGATAGGACCTGTCTGGAAGCACAGGTCTGGAGCCATTCGTATGTGCAACGCCTGGCCACGTACATTGCTGGAGCCGCACCGCCAATCAGCAATATTCCCGGTATCACAGACAAGAAAGAACTTCAAGATTCTCTGGCCGCTGTTCAAGGCTTCTCGGAGCCCGTCATCTCTGCGGCGACGGCTCACTTGCATCATAGCGACAAGACCAAGACACGGTGGGCGGAAAAGCAAGAAAAAGAGATGAAGGTGGAGACGCCCGAACGACAGAAGCCCAAAGAAGATGCACGACTCGCCGCAATCCGGGCTTCGGCTTCGAAGTACGAAAAGCGCTTGATGGGCGGCATAATCGAAGCAAAGAACATCAACACAACATTCAACGACGTTCACATGCCTGTGGAAACCATCGACACCCTCCAGACCTTGACGACGCTCTCGCTTATCCGGCCTGATGCTTTCAAGTACGGCGTTCTTGCGTCGGACAAGATTCCAGGTCTATTGCTCTATGGCCCCCCAGGCACGGGCAAGACTCTAGCTGCAAAGGCTGTCGCCAAGGAGTCCGGCGCGACCATGCTAGAGGTCAGTGCGGCCGACATCAATGACATGTACGTGGGCGAAGGCGAGAAGAACGTAAAAGCACTCTTCAGTCTGGCCAAGAAGCTGTCACCATGTGTGATTTTCCTCGACGAGGCGGATGCCATGTTCAGCGCGCGGAGCAACCAAGGCCGACGTGTCAGCCATCGCGAACTGCTCAATCAGTTCCTCAAGGAGTGGGACGGCATGAGCAACGATTCCGGCAGTGCGTTTATCATGGTCGCGACCAACCGACCTATGGACTTGGATGATGCCGTACTACGTCGTCTTCCCAGGCGTTTGTTGGTTGATCTGCCCACGGAGCCCGATCGATTGGCGATTCTGAAGATCCATCTGCGGCATGAGACCCTTGCCGACGATGTCGACTTGGCCCTCCTGGCGAAGAGGACGCCTTTCTACTCGGGCTCTGATCTGAAGAACGTCTCCGTGGCGGCTGCCCTCAACGCTGTTCGTGAAGAGAATGAACTCGCAAAGAACCACACAGGCGAGGAGCCCTACCAACATCCCGAGCGTCGGACCTTGAGCTGGAAACACTTTGAGAAGGCGCTCGAGGACATCTCCGCTAGTATTTCTGAGGACATGAGCTCGTTGAGAGAGATCAAAAAGTTCGACGAGCAGTTTGGCGACAAGCGCGGCAAGAAGAAGAAGACTCCTCGTTTGGGGTTTCCAACTCAGGAAGAGGAGAAGGCGCGTGACACGGTAAAAGTGCGAGAGTAAGGCTTCTCGAGCAGTCATGGACTTTGGTAATAAACGCTCGGATACAGAACAGGGTTGGATGTCCTAAAATGCCTAGGTAGCGGCTAGTAGATGTTAATTAAGAAGATACACCATCTCTTGCGAAACCATTCTATATTGACTCTTGATGTTTCCCATCCAGGTCATTCTATCCGTCTATGATATGATCACGCATTTACTGAAGATAATCATATCTATGTACGCCACGATATCCACCGTTCTTTATACGGTTCACCCATGCAGTGGTTCTTGATTCATCAAGCCGTGACCAATCAACTGATCTATAGTCTTTGTGCCATTCTTTCTCTCTCGCTCAGTCCAGATGAGATGAAGCGATGGATTGGATGCCTGTGCCTTCAACCCATTCATCATCCTGCCTCTTCCGTCAAGGTCCCATCCATCACACCGTCTGCTCTGCTCTGCTCTGATCACCCCAGCTCACCTCCTAGTCCCAAGAGCTGTTTCTCAACGCAATTTTTCAACCACCGTCTCCTCAACCTTCTCGACAGCCCAGTCCAAGACCTCTCTTAACCTCCAACGTCCCTGTCCAGGACACACATCAATTTGATGTTCCTTACATTTGTTGTCAGCAAAGACGCACGCATCAGCGTCTCCATTCACAAACATCCAGCTGTGGTCTCTCGCATAATTCGGCCAAACGACATCTTTGACATAGCCCGGCGGATCGACCCAGAACCCTTCGAGAGTGACGTAGCCCATTCGCGCGAGACGGCGTTGAAGCATTTGGTCGCGTGTCACGGGGAGGAATAGGCGGCGGTCCAGGAGGGTTCGGGAAATGGTGTGGAGATGGGCGAGAAGGGAGACCGAGGAGGCGGAGGCGCTGCCGGAGCCGGTGGATTCTACCTCTGATCCAGGAGGTTCAGAGTATAATAGAAACCCGTCGAGGACACAGATGCGGATTTCCTTTTCGTACGGGTCCGACTGGAACGTGTCCACCTTGCCGGCGCACTCAAGAGAAGCAGAAGCAGTGATGGATCTGATAGTCCGTTCGAACCACCCCTTCACTTCCCTCTTGATGCGCTCGACTTCCTCGTCGCGGATGTCGATGGGTCCAATGGCGTTTTGGTCTTCTTTGCTCAATGTGTCGGGTGGTAAAGTGCCGTGGTTGCGGACGTGGCGGAGTGTATTTTCCAAAAGGGGCAGGTCCAGAGATTCGACGCAGTCCCAATCTAGGAGGTCGCGGGTGCCGTATTCGGGTGAACTTACTGTGGCGACGGGGACACTGGTAGGAAAAGTCAACAATGTCAGTCTTTGGAACTTGACTGTGGTGGAAGGAAGGATGGAAAGAAGGAAGAGAGCCAGACAGGCGAGGCAGGTATGGGATGATATATCTGAAAGTGAGAAGAGGGAATAGATGCATGCGGCCACTGTCCTCGACCTTTGCCTCACAGAATGGAATAGGGATAGTAGGTAGGGCAAATGACAGGTCTGGCGTCTTCAAGAGACCTCTGACGGCCTGCTTGGTGTTCGTTCGCGAGAAGTAGGGGAAGTGGACAATGCATAGTAGCCACTGGAGACAGCAGAGCATACTAACCCCATGGGCATGCCTTCCACATCTCTCGAGAGGAATCATGAGCAATGAGAGTGCATTCGCTCCATCGTACCCAATGACAGTCATCCAACAAGAACAAGAAAGGGGAAAGCATGACTTGGATGAGGAGGCAAAACTAGAAACCAAAAGCCGAACCCAAACACAAAACCAATCTGATCTGAATCAACTTACTCTTTATCCGTCTTGTAGAAATCATCCTCGTGCAACACAAACAGCGTCACTTTCCACCGACACGACCTGCCTTCCTCCTGCATCTGGCCACCATCAGCACCAGAGGTCAGCGACGGCTGCTGCTGCTGATGCTGTGTTCCTTCACCATGACCAGCTTCAGCTTCAGCTTTCCCAGCCTTTATCGACGGAACACCAACTGGAACAGTGATTTCGAAATCAAAAATCGTTCTCAAAAGCCTCGCGAGTGTGGTTTTCCCACTCGATGACGGGCCAGACAATCCGATCAGAATTGTTTGGAGTGCAGCATTGCTTCTGCTCCGGCTTGGGCTGGTATCTGTATCTTTATCCTGGTTTTGCGGATTCCTCGGTTGGTCTTTGTTCTCGTCTTCCGTGGCTGCTACTATGGACTGTGGCACGGTGGTCATTCTGACAGTGCCTAGCTCCCTAGCTCATGAGGTTCTATCGATGGGTTGTGGATAGAGTAAAAATAAATGGCTGCGGCAGAGGACGGATCGGCCGATTTATCTTTTTCAAAGTGGTTGACTTCCTAGTCACATAGCTTTTGCGCCAGAATTGAGGAAGTATATAGTGCGGTAGAACATAAAGGGACTCAATTGTTAGTACTTAGTACCGGGATCTGTGAAAGGCACAGCTGAACTGCACGAGAAGTATACGATTATAATGCTCACAGTATATCATATCATTGCCGAAGAATGATTACTTGATTGGGGCCAATGTAGTCAATCTGGCCAATAGGAAACTGTTACCAGGGTTCATGACATAGACCGGGGGCTTCGTAAGGCTGAGAGCTTCGTGAAACCGACCTTACCGGACCACCTTGCAGCATTACATCGAGCCCTACAGGTATTGGTACTATTAGGTGAAAGCCAGGACAACATAAGGTGGGAAGGCCGAGATCACATTTCCGAGAAGGAAAAAGGAAGCAGTCGAATCTGCCCACGTAGTCATACCACGAACATCGTTAGAGCCCGTTCTATCAGACACCAGGCTGGAATGACCAACAATCTCCTATCTCCTAATCCTATCTCCTAGGTACCTTACTAGAAACCGCAAAATCCAGATCTGAATTCGGATCCGTATCGGACGGAATGCCCATTTGCCATTTCTTCACGGCTCGTCACCCATCCCCATCGTCCATCTTTCACTGCGTGCGTACATCCTTCCAACTCCATTTCACCTGATAATACTCCTCCAACGCAGCGCATGTTCTGATCTTCCCAGTCCTCTCTGCACAGAGACCAAGTAGACAAAAAGACACAGACAGGCAGATAGACAAACAATAACCAGCCGCCCAGAAATCTCGGAAGCTTGAGCAACGGGGCGTGACGTTGCTCCATGAAGTAGCTCCATCACCGCAGGGATACCAAAAGCTCGCTTCCAGGTCCAGAGTCGGATTACCCAAAAACCAAACGCTGATAAACAATATGATACAAGTTTTGTTGGTGTGTCGAGATTGAGCCGCGAACTTGCGGCATGTCCACCTCGCTGGTTGAGGGTCAGGAAAAGCCGTACGGTGGCCTGCGGTGGAAATGATCATCTCCAATCATCGGTGAGCGATTCATTGCCGGGGATGCAAAGAATGGCAGTCAAATTAAGACTCTTTTGCCGTCTTTTGGGATAGACTTCAAGGACCATAACCGGGAGGCAGACACCAACGCTACGTTGAACAACGATCTCACACACAATGCGGACGGCCCCGCGGCGTCGTCGGCAGGCGTCCAGCTCCCCCAACAGGTCAAGGAAACCAATTTTTAGACATCCTTGGCCTGCTTTCGGCGGCGCGAGCATTTGGTGGTGCCATTCTATGATGCAACACCTGCAGCGCCTTTCTGTCTTTTGCCCCCTATCTTGGGACTGGGCTTGACCTTGTTCGCTCCACCCGAGTCTCCCCCTGGATTTTCTTCTTCGAGCTTGACGGCACTGGCTCGTCGCCGTTTGTTCGAAACATTCGGGCTAGTGTTCGTGCTTGGGCCCTGGCTTCCACTGAGGTTTGAGCCTTGAGCACTCATCTGATGCATCATCGCAACCCCACCCGCTGAAGGGTTCTGATTCTGTGCGGGACTCGGGGTATGCACAGGGCCTCCTCCTCCTCCCATGAGAGGTGACCCTTGGGCTTGAGGAACTCCCAGATGTCCCATTCCCGGTGAGTTCATCATCGTCGGACCATTCATGCCGGGGTTCATGGCATTAGCATATGAAACTTGGGCATTGGCGGCTCGGGCAATTTGATTCTGCATGCGCACATTATTGGCCTGAGCCATAGCCTGGGCGTTTTCTTGAGTAACCCGGAACAATGTGTCCTTAATGCCAATCCCCGGGTGGGTGTGGAAATACTCCATAAGAGGTCCCATGGCGGTCATGACCTCCGCGATCTAGAGTAAAGAATTAGTCCCACCTCACTAAATCAAAGTCAGAAGTGGTGCTCACCTCCAAAAACTGGAAGATGTGATTTGGCACTCCCCATTCGCCGACTCCCGAGCTGGGAATAGTGGGCACTGAGTTCGCCCCGCCGGCTTTTCCTTGGGCTCGCTTGACATTTTTGTTGATTTTGGGGCTCTGCTTGGTTTCCGGGGAGGGTGGCTGTAGAAGAGCATTCCTAGGGATATATTCTTGCCATCCGGATGTGCTGATGTTGAGGTGTTCAATCTTGGCCATTTCGTCGAAAATGACGCGCAACTGTCCCGTCGTCGTGACACGGATATCATTGTTGAAGACATATGTCAGACTGGCATTGCCGCTGAAGATTTGGACACCGCCGTTGGGTAGCTTGCTCTGGTTGTGATCGTACGACTGCAACAAGACCTTTTTCACGCCACTCGCAAAGTGGGTGTGATAGTAGCGAGCCAAACAGGGATACTGGAGCATAAAGGTTTTGTCGACACCATTCTTGTTGCTGAACAGTTGCTGCCTTATCGAACCAAACTGCGAGAAGTACCTTGCAATAATCCCATCCCAATAGTCCAAGTCATTAGGCCGTTCGGGGGCTGCAAGTGTGTCCTGGTACATGATCAGTTGCAGGATACACTGGCCTCCCATCATCACGTCCTGCTTGTGGATGTCAGGAGGCATAAGCATGGTGCTGGGCACATCATGTTGTTGCTTTACGGTTGGTTCTTCTTCGGGTTCGGTGGCCTTCGCCGGTTGGTTGGCAGCTTGGTTTTGCTGCTGGTTGCCACCTGCCTGTGCTTGTGGCTGCTGAGGCTTAGGATGAGGCGGTTGTGGGACAGGCTGCGAGGTCGGCACAGGCTGCTGAGGTGCCTGCGTTTGAGGGACTGGAGTAGGCTGTGAGACAGGGGTTTGATTTTGTTGTTCTTGTGACCGCGACATCTGCATTTGGTGCGCGGCAGCTCTCTGACTCTGGGCGGCTATTTGAGCTGCATGTTGTGCCTGGGCGTGCTGCTGCATCAAACGCTGCTGATGTTGTTGCTGCTGGAAATTCTGAACCTGAGCGGCGTTGTTGGGATTCATCTGCATCTGCGGATGCATCCCCATACCCATCTTCATCTGTGCCAGTTGCGCTTGATTGAACGGCGCTCCGTTTGGCATGCCCATCGGAATACCCTGTTGCTGCTGTGCCTGCATTTGCTGCATCATGCGCTGTCGAGCGATCATCTGTTGCTGCTGTTGCGGGGTCATGGGCATTTGACCAAAATTCATTTGCGGGTGTTGCTGCTGAAACATTTGCTGGGGCCCAAGATGTGCCATGGCCATGGTACCGTTGTGCATAGGACCAGGCGCAGGTGTGCCGGCACCTGGAGGCATGCCTGTTACCAAAGGTCCTTGTGTAACCTGAGGCCCTGAGACGCCTGGATGCATGCCCTGCATCATACCAGGCCCGGGTTGTCCCCCCATGTGGCCAGCTCCTGGATGTTGCATTCCCGCCATAGGATGTCCATGAGGCATACCTGGATGCCCAGGAGCCATACCCGCATGGGGTGCGAAGTTCTGGGCAATCATCTTTGGCGACGCTTCCTTTGAGTCGAGTCACCAACGAACGACCTAAAAAGGAACGTCGTGCGCACGTGTCGAGGCGTCCGACGTCCTGATAACAACCTCCGCGACTTTCGAGTCTAATTTAGCTGACCCGTCTCTTGTGTCCGTCTTGAAGTCTTCAGGCCCCACTTTTACCGGAAGGTATGTGTGGTGTTCGCGACAAGGTAATCCGTGGTTACATGGGCACTCAACCAGCCGACGCGGTCGATGCGATCCGGATCTTCGCGAGGTTGGGAGTTTTGCAGTTGTGGAAGACGCGCAGAGGAGAGGTGGTTGAGACGGTGCCAACGTCCCCGGACCGTGCGATGAGGGTGTAGTCAGCAAAACGATAAAGAACACGGAAGGTTCATTGGCGGCAGATCGTGTGGAATACGGTGCGCATCAGCTTCATGTTCGAATGAGCTTCATCAGGTGGATGTTGGCAGAATATCAGGTGAGCCGTTGTTTAGGTTCGTGTACGGGCGTCGTTATCGGGCGACTCGTGATCCGAGAGCGAGAACGGAGCGACAAGTCGGGGCATCCACGTTGCGCGACCTGGGCACAGGAATAACGAGGGCGCAGAAACGAGCGAACAACGATAAAGAGGCCGAGAAGAGGTGATGTGTGTCGCAAGCGATACCCAGGACTCGATGGGATCACGATGTGCAGTGGGTTGTGGGCACGGGGCGACAAAGTCGAGGCAAAGGTTGAGTTGAGGGTGCGTTCGTAGGATCGACGAGAGAGTCGGGCTGCAGCGGCAGTGGCAGTGGCAGAGGCAGTTTAGTTGCTGGCTGGGGAGGCGGAAGGCGGAAGGCGGACTGATCAGTGAGACAAAAGCAGAGGGTGCAGTTCGCTCTCCGGGGGGCCTGCAGCATCACTGCTACAGTACTACCGTTGTAGGTAGTTGTACTGTGGACTACGACGACCTGACGTGCTGGCGCCATAGGTAGGTACTATTGGTTGATCAGTGGTTAATTGCCAAGCTCCGGCCCCGAGAAGTCGTTCTAACCACATCAGAGCTAGCGGGAGTTGCTGTTTTCCCACCTGCCCTGCGTCAGCCAACAAATAAAGATTTTCTGATTCCTATATATTTCCATTCAGTCTTCTGCTTCAAGTTCTACTCTTCCTCTCACTGAACCTGACCAGAACCTTGGTTTGGACACTCCGGTGCCTGGCTCCCTCTCTTCTCATGATGTTTTGCTGCCTGTATTGCCGTTGAGCTGCTCACACTCTTGTCAGTACAGCGCTGTTACTATGGTATGTTTCTCCGCGTCTCTTGCACTCAAGCTTGCTGCACCCTCTACTTCAAAGATGACATCTTAATCTACTTCTTCACAATACTCTGAGTCGCCCTTGAAGAAACATTCGGATCGTCATCGCTGGACGGTCTGTTACTAGCCAGTATTTCATGTCTGATTCTGTTATCCAACGCATTGGTTGTCGATTGAACTTTTGCCGAATCATGGCTAACAACTCTGAAGATGAATTCTAGGGTCCCCGTGTGCATGATCTAGCCAACGACCGCCATCTCTTTGTCTATCAATGTACGTATCCTCCCTCCTTCACGTTCGTCCAACCCCCTTCTATGATGAAAACCTTTTCCACATTCGCAGTTTCCACGCTAGCCCTGGCATGAACCCAGTAAGTCCAGGTGTCGATGAGCGCGCAATCTTCCTTGGATGTCTGACTGGAATTTACCCTACATCTGTCTGCAAGAGTTCGCTTGGAAACACGACGGCTGACATTTCTGCTCAACAGGTAGTTTTTGTGTCATCGTACTCGCCGCAGAGAATGGAGAACAAAGTTGGAGTAGACTTGCATTTGCAAGGAACACATTAAGGACATAGGAGTACGTGGTATTGTTGGTACTTGGGCAGTAAAATTGTGCTCAGAATGTGTGTGCAACTTCTGGTTGAACATTTTCTGGCGCCCCAGTTACTAGTAGGACTGTTACAATGCAAAACTTCTGTGGACCTAAACTTTCGCTCGCTGGTAACATCCCCTTTGTCACGTAAAAATCTCACGCCTCTAGCTCATGGCTGAGAGAGGCACCACACAGTCACCTGCTCCGATAGTACACTACTAGTAGTATCGTAGACTGCTCGTTCTGAGTGTGTTGCACAATGATGGCTTTCACTGTCGCAACAACTTGTTGCTGATCCCCCACGGGACTTGATATTTGCACTCTGCAGCACTGGCATTCCAAAAGTTCACCGTGCAGACCAGATCGAGCTTGCAGCATGCTGTATTATTGTTGGCTTTCCTCCCATTTGGACAGCTCAACTTATGAACGCCCCCTCAGCTGCCTCCACCACTTTGGCGCTCCGCCGGGCGTCAATAAAGAGGTCTTCACACTCAGCCACGTCCTCGGGGGAGATCTCCTGTCTTCCATTGACCTTGGCCAAGATGCTGCTGGGCGTTAGCAGCTGCAGCGCGTAGCGTAACGACACGTTCGTGCCATGCTGCGAAAGCTTCTCCACAGCTGCGTCCGTAATGGACAGGCCCTCGGTCTTTGCGCGTAGCCGAATGATGGTCTGCACTTCAGAGGCATTGTATGGATGTGTGGGGATGATAAGCAGGCGGGCTAATAGATCCGGCGGGACGCCATGAGCGCCTTTGATGTCCTGGGTGCCGCGGATGACGGTGTTACCCCGATTCGAAGCCAAAATAACTATCGGCGAGATGGGCGATTCGAGAGCGCGGTTGAGGTATGTAAAGCATTCGATGTCGAGCATGTGGACCTAAAAGCCGCCCAGGTTGTCAGCATTGCTAGAACACAATAGTCGGTGAGAAAACATGCTGGTAATAACGTACCTCGTCAATGAAGAGAACACCGGGCACCAACTCTGCAACGCCCTGATCGATATAACGACTGACCACCTTGTTGATCTCTGCTCTCAACTTGTCCGTGATCTCGGTCTTTTTCGGCTTCATCAGTTGACCCATCATGCTCATAACATCCTGGCCACCCTGGGGTCGTGCGTTGGCAATGTCCAGATCATGGAGCGTGACATCTTGCACGACTTCTTTCTTCTTGTGCACCTCTCCCTTAGGCACAGGCACATATTCCTCGGCTTCCAAATCGAACTCTGTGGCGTACGCGTCTGACCGCCCGACTCTCTTGCAGGCGCCGGTGTTGGCTTCGATGTAAACGACATCGCCGACCGTGACTCTTTCTTTCTGAATGGCCTCGTAGATGCTAGGATCTAGCCTTAATTTCTTTGTGCCTTTTGCCGACTTGAGTGTGATGATGAGGTGGGAGATGGTTCGGCCGAATCCGCCCAAAGGGTTCTCTGACTCTTCGGGAATGAGTTCGGTGACTTCGCCTTCGTAGACTTCTTTCGTTTCGCGCACTCGGAGCCCTGGTCGCGATTTCTGTCAGTCGAACAGAACATGCGCATTCCACGCGCCGGTCGGTCTCACCTATTGCTCTTCGGAAGTTTTCCATCAGCGCCTCTGTCTTCTTGACCTCTGTAGAGTACACTTCGCTGCCCACAATTGGACAGAACGGCACCTTGGTCCCTAGTTCTTGCGACACTGCCAACGCCAACGCTGTTTTGCCTGTGCCGGGGCCGCCTGCTAGTAACACCGCCCTCCCAGACATCTTTTTGGCCTTGATGAGGTCGACAACCACGCCGCATGCCTATTTCATGTTAGAATCGTGACAAAACAGTGTTGGTTGCGAGGGGCGCATCGTACCTCGCGGGCAGCGGTTTGGCCAACGAAACCATTCCCAGAGATCTCGGCCGTGCCGTCAGGCCGTAGACCCAAGCCTTTGATATGTGTATGCGCCGCGGTTCTGTTTTCGCGCGAAGAGCCCTTGACTTCGCTGATGTTGACCATCCTGCAGCGACAGCCTCAAAAGGCTATCTCTTGTTTCTGAACAGTGTGCGATGTAGGCAGAATATCGCGCAAGGTGATCGAGAGCAGGGGATATGGATTATAGACGCGAGTTATGCGGAATAACTGGGGGAGGGATTGTAGCCAAAATGATGGAAATGATGGCCTGGGCCCGCGATGTTTCCAAAACCGCGCTAAAAAGTTGGAAGCTCGACTTTCACTCAAAGTCAGTGTCCGCAAACTCTCCCTTTGCAGTGTCACACAACCGGACGACGACCCCGTGCGCGCCTTGTCCTCTACGCCGTCGACGTCCCAGAAACTCGATATTTAGTTGCACTGTAGGTCTGCTGCAGTTGCTGCGGCCTAACGTGCAAAAATGTCGACGTCGGCCATCACCAAGTTACCGCCCGTTGTGCGCAGCCCGACAACGCTTCAGTACCTCGAATACCTGGGCAACCGATCACACGACCCATACTTCAAACCGAGATTTACATTCCGCAGCGAAGACCGGAAGCACACCTTTGGCTTGCCAGAAATCCGAAATACAGACCCTTTGATGCCGCCGTATCCCTACGGCAAGAACCCGCACTTTAAAGAAGCCAACTTCGGTCTCTACGGCGGCGCCACGCTCCAGTCCGGCAACAAAATATCCAAAGGCCGGAACAAGGGCAAAACACTACGGAAATGGTTTCCCAACGTCAGAATCGAGACGCTACGGAGTGAGGCCCTGGACAAAGAGCTCAAGATCCCAGTCACGGCTCGTGTGCGGAGGACGATTGAGAAATGCGGTGGACTCGACCAATATGTCACGGGCACGAAACCCGCACGGATAAAGGAGCTGGGTCTGTTGGGATGGAAACTCCGATGGCTAGTGATGACGTCCCCTAGATGGCAGGAGAGATTTGCGAAGCAACGGACCGAGCACCAGTTGCCGGAAGAGTTTTCATTGACGAGTACCTTTGAGGCTGCTTGGAACAATGAAAGCATCAGAGCCAAGTTCATCAAACAGCAAGAGGAGGCGTGGAATGATCTCCGTGAAGCAGCCGTGAGGTTCGAGAGGCATGTGCAGAAACACTGGATCGAGAATGGAGAGAAGGAACCATATGAGATTCCTAAGCTGGAGACGTTGCAAAGACGCACTCCTAGTACGTTGGATCTGCCGGAGCGACTTGCAAGAGAACAGACACGTGAGAAGCGTGCGGCTGCTAAGAAGGCAAATGCCGAAGTGCAAAGCAACATCGAGAAAGAGAAAGAGAAAACGGCAGCCGATGCAGAGTAGGTCGCATTGAACAAATTGTCTAGCCATTTCCATGGAGCGGTTGTCTCAAGAAGGGAGACAGAGCGGAAGCCCGGAATGAGCTCTTTTTCAAACGCGGGAAGCCTTGTTTGATTGGAGAGTCAACCATTTCTTGGAGCATGCACCAAGATGGCGTTCCCACACGCGCGGTCGCCATGTCGATGGGATATCTGCCTCGAAACTTGATGTCAGTCCATGACCTATTTACTGGCCCTAGGCGCGGCATGTATACTACGGATTTTAGAAGGGACTGATTGAAATGCCATGTCACGGCAAAGACTGGCCCTGTACGTCTGGCATAAGAGATAGGGGCATTACTTCTTCTCTGTCTGAATAGAGCGTCATATTGTGCCATAGTACCTAATTCAGCGCAAGGGACACATGAATCCTCCTTCACTCAGAACCTTTCTTTCCCTAAAGCTCCACCCGATCAACCTTTCTGGAACCCAAATCATGACCATTATCATTCACAAACAACCATTCCCACTCGGCGCCTTCGTGTCCGAACTATGTTCCTTCCCCTTTGCCTCCAACTCCTTCCAGCGCTGAAACAACTTAAGGAAAGCCGCAGGCTCCTGAGCACCACTGACTTCCCAGCGCTCATTAATATCGTAATGTGGCACGCCACTGATGCCTTTCATCCTAGCCTCCTCGGCAAGGTGGTCGACTTGTTCGCCATCCTTTCCGCTCTCCAAGTACTCCTTGATTTCGTCTCTCGTGCCGAGCCCAGCCTCGAGGCCGACCTCAATCAACGTGTCCAGGGTGGTGATGTCGACCTCCTGTTCAAAGTAACGTCTCCAAAGGCCCAACATGACTTTGTTCTGTGCTTCCTCGCCCCCACGGTTTTGGGCCCAGTAGACCAGTCGATGGCCGTTACGGCTGGGGCCGGTCATGCCGCCGAACTTGAAGTTCAATCCTTCCTCGGCCGCGACCTTGGTCAGCATGCCTTCGATTTGCTTGGCTCGTTCAGGGCCGAATTTGGCCGCGTACATCTCCCTCCGTGGGCGGGATTGTACGGGGAACGGTGGTGGCACTGGTCCCTTCCCCGCCACCAGCTGAGGCGGGGGATTGAGGTAGAATGGTATGTATACGAGACGGAACTTGTCTTCTGGATGTGTCTTTTTATGTTGGGCGATGGCCTTGGAGAGTCTGGTATGGCCTATGTAGCACCATGGACATACAATGTCGCTGGTGATGGTGATGTTGTAGTTCGTCATTGCGGCTGCAAAGAGGTGTCGGGTTGGGCGGAAGAGCATCAAATACCAAGAGGTAGAGACAATGAAGTGGGATGTTTCTCCTTGAAAGAGCACAGTTATAGTGGCTGCGTTGGGCTTGGATCCTTTCATCTGCTTTATAAACTCATCAACATTGTAGGTTAGTGAAGATGTGCAAAGTGAAGATGTGATGCGGTTACAGACCGTGCTGTTGATGAGTTGCTCTGTATTTGTCAGCCACCGTTGGGTCCGTTCTGGGATTTCGCGAAGCTTCGGCTTCCCCAGATCTGCCGGGCAGTCTTCATGAGACCCCCAACCGTGTGCATCGGGTATATGAGGACCAGAAGTCTCTCTTGTACGCAATCACCCGCATCGATGAGCACACGAATGGACACTACTACGTTGTACATTGGTGTACAGTCATAATGGGACGTAGACCTACCTACCATATAGGCACAGTAGTCAGTCATGAGGCGCGTACCTTTGATAGCTTGATTTTTCTCCTAGTTCGTAGTACATTGAAGTGCCACGCTTCAATGGCCGTCATAACACGGCGGACACAGGTTAGTATGTACTGGGAAAACAAATAAAGAACAAATTCCACCGAGGTGAAGGACAAGGCTGAAGAGCCAGGCAAGGGAGCAGAATAAACGGTCTGACGTATCATGTTCGGCCGACGATTGTGCGTGGTGACCTGTCTATTTGTGGAAATATGTTCTTGTCAGACGAACCTTATCTGGATATCAGACTCGTCTCGAGTTTCGCCTCCCTCTCCAACCTCGTAATGCTCCGGACTCCTTACAATCTCGGGTCAGCGTTTCTGGCTTTTTGTCTCATAGACGTTCACTATGTCGGCCAGTGGTCAGATTGTAGCACAATGTGACCGCGATGGTGACTCTTTCGATGTCAACGACTTCTTCATCGGTCCAGCGACTATCGAGAGTCGGTCTACAGTCGAAACTCCGGCTATGGGATTGAATCCTGCAGTCACTCCAGAGGTAGGATCCCTCAAGTGTCCCATCTGAGCTTTCTTGACCCTGTCAGCCTCACGCGTCTCATGCCCCCGAGGTCCGGTCATCCATAGAGGATATGAAGCCCGAGGAGGACCACCAGTCATCACAATCTCCCATGGATGATTATCTTGCTCTAGGGGCTATCCGCCTCACCAAAGCCCCTGGCTGCGAAGAGCAGAGCTGGCTCATGAATGGGCCTGACCAGCAACTTCCACACCCACATCCGCTGCTATCTCTTGGTGAAAAGCGTCTATGGATCCGTACCAAGTTGCTCCACGACAGCAGCTGCCCGGATCGAGCGTCCCTGCGAATCTATGTCCTGCCGGAAGATGTCAATCGGGGTACGAGAGGCTCGCTCAAGGATTTTAGGAAGATCCTCAAACTTCTCTTATCGTTCATCGATATTGCCTCTCAAACATGGGAGGGATTGTATGACCCAGATTCTCCCGTACGCACATACCTTGCTCCTGCAAAAGCACAGGAAGAATCATTGTTCTACATCTTCAACACCCTCGCATCACCTCAGCCCTCGCTGGGCAGTGCTGGACCAGGTCTATACGATCAGCAAGCAATGTCCGCCATCTTTGAGGACGACATACCCGGGCTCAAAACCACGCTATACCAGTATCAGAAGCGATCAGCCGCTGCCATGTTGCAGAGAGAGGCCAATCCTGGTAAATCACTGGACCCAAGAAAGCCACGTTATAAAGACATACACGGGAAAGAATTCTATCTCGACGTGCTTGAAGGCGTGCTGCTTTCTCATCCATACTTGTATAGTGAGCCACGCGGCGGGATACTTGCGGAGACCATGGGCTACGGAAAGACCTTGATATGCATAGCGCTCATTCTAGCCACGAGAGGACACTATCCCGCGATACCCGAAGGCAGGCTTGACGCATTTTCAGATCGCCAGAACCGTCGAACACCAAGTCTGCTCGAACTGGCGGCCAAGACACTCAAGCGGACAGCCGTGCCGTGGAAGGGACACTTCTCCTGTCTTGAAAACGAGGGGTATGGTTTCGAGCATTGTCTTGAGGTCATCGACAAATATGATGCTGAGTATGCCGAACCCATCTACAGCCCCACGACACCAAGTCGCGCAGGTAAGAAACGGGAAGAGTTCAGGATTATGCGCCTATGTTATGCGACCCTACTCATAGTTCCCCCGAATCTTCTCGTGCAATGGCAACACGAGTTCGAGAAGCATACAGAACCCGGAGCACTCGACATCCTCGTGCTCGAGTCCTCGACGAAAGAAATCCCAGATTATCGGGAACTGATGAAATATGACGTCGTCCTCATCACAAAGTCTCGCTTTGAACAAGAGTATCGCGATGATGATCAAAACCTAGGCCGGCGGATGCCGGGACAAGGCAAATTCGAATCTCAGTTGACCCAGGTCCGTTGGTTGCGGGTGATCTGCGACGAAGGGCATGGCTTTGCGGGATCAAGTTATCGCACCAACGCGATGGCGATGCTTGATAAAATGTCCATCGAGAGACGCTGGGTGGTATCAGGGACGCCGTCCCACAGCCTCCACGGCGTCGAGGTGAATCTGGCCATCAACGACGCAAGCCGAACCGGCGACTCCTCCCGTGCTGATTCTATTAAAGACGCGTTGATGCGCCGCAAGCACAAAGACTCAACCATTGAGGAGATCAAGGACATGGAACGGCTGCGCGTCATGGTAGTCAAGTTTTTGAAATTACAACCGTGGGCAAACCAGAAAGGAGCCGACCACGCCGACTGGAAGCGATACCTGGCGCCCTTTGATCGCTCAGGCAATCGACGCTTTGCACCAGCGCTGCGGGCTATTATGCAATCTCTCATTGTGCGGCACCGCATCGAGGATATCGACAACGATCTCTGTCTTCCTCCGCTGCACAATACCGCTGTTTACTTGGAGCCGAGCTACTACGACAAACTCAACATGAACCTGTTTCGGTTGAAGCTGACCTCTAATGCCGTCACTTCTGAGCGCGTGGACGAGGATTACATGTTCCACCCGCGGAACCGCAAATACCTGGACGAGCTCATCGGCAATCTGCGAAGAGCCAGTTTTCACTGGGTGGGTTTCACTCAAGAGGACGTCTCGCAGACTTTGCGTGTGAGCAATACTTATATGGATGAGAACCTCGATAAGTTGTCCGATGACGATGGCCGGGCTCTGACCGAGGCGATCATGAACGGCGAGCGTGCTCTCAACGATGCCGGGTGGCGTGCTTTCTCGACCTTGCACGAAATAGGCGTGTACATCGAGGGCTTTCCAGACCACGCGGCACAGGCTTGGGCATTGCACGGAGAGCCTTCAAACCCTTTACTTTTGGGGACGGTGCAGGCTCGAGAAGCGCAGCAACATATTTGGAAGCAACTGGACAGCCACGAGCCGGACTCGGATCCTGCAGCGGGACTGACAGGCGCTGGTCTTCGGGCCATGCAAGCCGCAAGAGCTCGAGCCGCCGAGGAACAAAAGACCCGAAGCAAAGACACATTTGACACTACGAGCGGCACTGGCAAGAGTGCCGGCGACGAGCCCAAAGTCAAGAGCCAATCGACTTCTTCGACAGCTTTGAGACCCCAAAAGCCTACTTCAATTCCAAATTCCACTACGTCAGAGAAAACAAATACCAACACTCTTCCACCGAAACGACCTTTACCACCACGAACAACCTCCCTACCAGCAAACTTGGCAAGCACAAAAATCATAGGCTTCACATCCTCCAAACTCAACTACCTCTGCTCCCGCATTTTGGATCTCCAAGCAACCGAAAAAATCATCGTCTTCTACGACTCCAACAACATCGCCTTCTGGATCGCCGAAGCCTTAGAGTTACTTTCTGTCCAGTTCCTCATCTACGCAAATACCCTATCAGTCAATCGGAGGGCAGCATACCTCGCGACATTCAACACATCAGAAACCTTCCGCGTGTTGCTGATGGATCTAAAACAGGCCTCTCACGGTCTCCACGTCGCATGCGCCAGTCGCGTGTTTATCGTCTCGCCTATCTGGCAGCCGGGCGTTGAGTCGCAGGCCATCAAGCGTGCTCACCGGATCGGTCAGACTCGTCCTGTGTATGTTGAGACTTTGGTCCTACGGGGGACACTGGAGGATAAAATTCTCAATCGTCGTCAACAGATGAGTAATGCTGAGCTTGTCAGGGCTGAAAAGAGTCTGTTGGATGATGGGATCATGAATGAAATTATTCGCGGTGATGGGTTTTTGGAGATTGGCGAGGATGACGACAACCACGACGGCGGCAGCGGAGGTCGCCGTGAGGGTCCAGGCGTCGACGACAAACACGGTTTCAAAGGTGGGAAATTAGACCACCCTGTCCCGTTGTTCGACAGAGCAACCCCGGCAGGTGAGATCTGGCGTTCGGGTGCTGAAGTCCACGACATGGGTGAGGACTGCGAGTCGCATGTCTCTAAGAGGCGCAAGCTGGAGACCTCTCGCAACACAACTCCTACCGCGGCTGGAGCGACCAAATCGGTAGGCTTTGTCCTTGCAGATTCGGTTGAGGGATACTCTTCGCCTTCAGACTCTCCTTCTACAACAGACCCGCCACCGTCCGCACCAACGACAGAGGCTACTATTGCTGAAGTACCGTCCGCGGTGATCGATGGACGAGGCCCGCACGGTGTCGAGGATACGAATACAAGGAGAGCAAAGAAGAGCGTGAGACTCATGTTGCCGGTGAATGGATGAGGGTTCTTGAGGTTCCAGAAAACTCGCGACTGCTGTTCCACAAACGTTTACTGTGGTTCGAGCGAGGAGTTACATAACCTTGTTGTAATACAAAAATTGGATTCCCTTTCCCGATTTCAGCAATGGAGTGATATGACGTGCGTTTCATTTTACAACAAAGACTTTGGTTATGGCCACAACCAGTAACTGCAGCTATAAAACATACGTCCATACATAACATTCTTCTTTCATCAGAAAGACCGTTCAAACTATTCGACACGGTTACCCAGTACCCACCAGTAAGCACATCACAGACAGTTGGCCCGTCCTTGGGCCTCATACTTGGACGACCAATGAACAGATGTTGGTTGGATGATCCGATCAACGGTATCAGATAACGTCCTAATCCTGGACAGATCAGATCGAAATAAAGAAACTCTTCTCCCCGTCTCTCGGCTCCACGAGACAACGTTTGAGGATAGGATCAGCGCACGAAACCCGGATACGCTCCGGAGTGGCGGGACTTCGGAGATTCAGGACCGCCTCCTCGCCATGCTCGGCACGGGCGGCCTTCAAGGCATCGCGAATGGCGAAGAAGACGGCGCTGCCCATGAAGAGAGGCGGCTCGCCTACACCCCTGCTGCGCTGGATGGTGCGCAAGTTCTTCCACTCGACGTCCTTGAGGAGCGAGATGTTCATGACCTGCGGGATGTCACGGAACCCGGGGATCTTGTACGCTCCAGGCCCACGGGTGAAGATCTGACCGGACGCGCGATGCCAGAGTGATTCCTCAGTCGTGAACAAGCCCTGACCCTGGACATAGGCGCCCTCAATCTGGCCGTAGTCGATTGCCGGGTTGATGCTACGACCTACATCCATTTTGATGTCGGTGCGCAAACACGTCCAGTCGCCAGTCAGGGTATCGATGAGCACTTCGGACGCCGCCACGCCCTGGGTGAAATAGAAGAACATCTTGCCTGTGTTCTCGAGAGACGGGTCGTCTGGGTTGGGACCCCAGATGTACCCGATTTCGGGAGTGCGGTAGAACCCGTTGGCGCTCAGGTTGACTCGGTCAAAGTAGGCGGCGTGCGCCAGTTCTTTCATGGTCGCGTTCGGGCCCAACTTCGCCCGGTATGGGGCAAGACGTTCGTTGATCTGCATGCATGCGTTGTAAGCGGCATAGCCGTTGAGGTCGGAAGACGCGGACGCAGCTGTGCTTGACGTGTTCGCCACCGTGTTGGTAGCTGTCTCTGAGATGTATACGTCCGACAACGGCACCTGAAGTGCTTCAGCGACAATCATACAGATCTTTGTGTGTAAGCCTTGGCCCATTTCAGTGCCACCGTGAGCCACGAGGACCGAGCCGTCATGGTATATGTGTACCAGGGCGCCTGCTTGGTTGAGGAACAATGCTGTGAACGAAATGCCGAACTTGGTCGGGATCAATGCGAGGCCCTTCTTCTGCCACTTGTGAGTGGCGTTGAAGTCGTCAACGGCCTTACGGCGAGTCTCATAGTCGGCTGACTCCTTGACTTGTTTCCACATAAGAGGCACGTGCCAGTCTTCGAGCTCTTGGTTGAAGTGTGTTTGATCCCCTTCCTTGTAAAGGTTGATCTCACGCAGCTTTTCAACCGGCATCTTCAGGTGGTCGGCCACCTCCTCCATGAACGTCTCGCAAATGAACATGCCCTGCGGCCCTCCAAAGCCGCGAAACGCGCTGTTTGAAACCGTGTTGGTCTTACAGATGCGCCCATCAACATCTATGTTTGGAATGTTGTAGCATCCGTCGATATGGGACAGAGACCGGTCGACTACTGCGGCGGACAGATCTTGCGACCAACCGCCGTTATTGAACACATTGGCTCGAAGAGCCTGGATCTTGCCGTCCTTGTTCACACCAACCTTCCAAATAGCAAAGAAAGGGTGTCTCTGACCAGACGTCACAATGTCTTCGTCGCGGTTGAGCATACACCGAACCGGGCGCCTGACCTTGTTGGCGGCGACAGCGCATATTGTTGACAGTTGAATTGACCGAGTCTCTTTCCCACCAAACCCACCACCGAGGCGCTTGACTTTAGCCACAACCTTGTTGGATTGTACACCAAGCGCTTTGGAAGCATACGCCTGTGTCTCTGATGGATTCTGAGTGCTGCACCAGATCTCCATCTCGCCATCTTCCGGTTTGGGAATGGCAAGGCATGCCTGCGTCTCCAAGTAGAAGTGTTCTTGTCCTCCCATCCTCGCCGTCCCCTCAAAAACGTAGTCACATTCTTGGAAAGCCTTGTCCACGTCGCCCCGCCGGATGTACCGGTAGTGCTCGAAGAAGCTCTGCTTTTCGATAGCTTCTTCAATGGTGAAAATCGCCGGGAGCTCCTCGTACTCAACGACGACAGCCCGGGCTCCGGCGGAGGCCTGGTGCGCGGTCTTTGCTAAAACCATGCCGATGGGTTGGCCAGCTGTGAAAACCTCATCCTCGGCAAAGAAGACTTCATCACAAACAGGCGCGCCCCACCAGTTGGCTTTTGGGTCGACAACATCGTGCCGATCGATCCAGGCCACCACACCTGGGAGATCTAATGCAGGGCTGGGATCTACCTTCAATAGCTTTGCATGTGCTTTGGTCGACAGCACCAGGCAACCAATGAGTTCGTTCTTCTGAACGGGGATATCGTCAGTATATTGCGCTTCGCCAGTGCACTGTTTCAACGCTGCGAGGTGAGGATTCGATTTGCCCAGAACCTTCTGTGAGTATGCAGCCGCGGCTTCATGGTCCTTTTGGCCACGAGATATCTCTCTTTCTATTTCGGCAATAGCTTCCTTGTCGACCTCCTGACTGATACCCTCTATACTGGCAAGGACATCCTGGTAGAACCGATAAAAGAAGCCTAGAGCAAGCGATTTCCTGTAGGTCGCCATGCCGCCGGGGACGCCGAAAGGAAGATTGAAATCTTTCTCCAAAGCATTCATCACGCCCTCAAGGGTCTGGGGATCGGGAAACCTTTTTCCAACAATGTATTCAGAAGCAGTTTTTGCTTGAATTGTGACGGGAGCCATGCCACCGTACACCAGATTCGCTCTTTTGACCGTGTGGGACTGATCCAGCACCAACCGTAGACAAGCATTAACGATAGCAATATCGTCATCTTTCCTTTTGGACTGCTTGTACGTTCTTATGTATTCTCCTTGCTCGGCAGCGACGGGAATTCTCATTGCTGCTATGATGGCATCCTCTGGTAAGGCGGTAACCCTGTAACCCTTGAAAAAGCCCGCCATTGGGATTTCCGTAGTTTTGTTTAACGACTTTGCAATCAAGATCGAGTCAGTGGCCACAAACACGGGATTTAGGTCTGATATAGGGGAAGCGGTTGCTATATTACCCGCCGGTGTACCGACGTTCCGAATTTGACGACCAGCGAAATATTTGATGGCCTTCTTGACCGCACGGAAGGGTTGAGACTTGGCTGGGCCATAATGCTTAACGGCTTCGTCGCATATGCTCTCAAGGTCGGTCAAGGCCACGTTGCCGCCAATTTCAAGATAGTCGTCGTGGAAGGAGTATTTTCGCAACTCTGCTATGTCACCCACGTAGACTGAAGTGGAATATTGCATGGCCTTGAACTTGACCTCGATCTGTGTTTCCGTGCTACCACCAATCAACTTGGCGCCTGGATATGTGTTCTTTATCTGCAGCAACTGCTCCAGAGTGACTGGTCTATACCACTTCTTTCTTTTGTTACCGAGAGCGAGCGGCTTGAAGATATGCTTCTTAAGAGCAGGGGGATAAATCAATTCTGTCGATTTGTCATAGGGGATGAAGGATGGGGGTGTGAATCTCTTTTCCGCCGCTTCACCTAGGCCATTGGCGGCGGCGTTGTTGCATGGACCGTCTTTTTCCATACAGCAGCCAGAACCTCCGTTCGAAATAGATTTGCCACATCCCCTGTTGAAGCTTTGAGCGGCGTCCAAAATAGGTCTGTAACCGGTGCACCGACACAGATTCCCGTCGAACGCTTCTTCGACTTCCTTTTCGGAGGGCTCAGGACCATGGTTTCTGAGGAGCGCGTACAAGCTCATTACGATTCCTGGAGTGCAGAAACCGCATTGACTTCCGCTAGCCATAGCGATCCGCTGCTGAGCAGCATGCGGGCTCTTCGAACTCCCAATCCCCTCGACTGTAATGACATGCTTCCCGTCGACGCTGACCAAAGGTGCTAAGCATGCGTTGACCGAAGCATGGTATATCTTGCCCGTGGTCGGGTTCAACTGTGACACAACCACAGTACAGGCACCGCATCCACCTTCTGCACAGCCGAGTTTTGTCCCCGTCAGACCAATGCCTCTTAGATATTCAAGCAGTGTGATTTCGGGGTCAATGGCATCTAGTTCGACTTTTGTGCCGTTGAGATAGAAGCGGATTGTGTCGTCGTAGCTCTCAGTCAAGGAGACCAGACTGACCACTTTATCGGCCGTCATGGGCGGCTCCAGGAGGCCAGGGGCCATAGTGAGGGAACGAGGGGGGCTGTTTCTCGTAGAAAGGGAGGAATGAGGGAGGCGAACTACGGTATCAGCATTTCAGGGCTGCTTCACATCCGATAAAGAACGGTAGGGAAGCAGTATCAGAAACCACATGAGCGAACAGATATCAAACAGATGGAGGAAAACAAGCTGCAAGCAAAACACGATACTTATCAATGCCTTGATCTCACATCAACCCCGGTTGCACATGGAACTGATAGGGCTACTACTATCCGCACTGGAGGCGGGAGCGCACGAATCAGGGAGGGGTCATTGCAGGCGTAGTTGCACGAGGCGAAGGATGAAGTGGGATGCCAGATGCGCGATGGACGAGAGACGAGGAATGACAGTGAGGGACGATTTGATTGATTGACAGGCCTAAAACCGCGGTTTAATCAGTGCCGCGAATCAAATCGCCCGAAATGCAGAGATGCCGCTTATCGCAGTCACGTGGCCATCGGAGTCCCCCGAAATGCCCACAACTTGAACTTCCAACTTCATTGAAACTTCAGCCCAACCCCTGGAAGCGATGCAACAGCCCGGTCTGTTCCAAGCCATTAATATCGCCGCCCAACTCCTGCAGTGGCACCCCATCGAACACCATGTCGTCCATGGGCGTCCCAAGTGATTGATACCCTGGACTGTGCCTCCGAGCCTTCCTCCGCCCCGTTACCGGCCCAAAGCTATCAGGAGCTTTTGCCCAGCTTCAGCCTCGACGGTTCACCCAAATTGGATTGTCAAAAGACGAGCTGGTAGCCAGAGGGTTGCATGTCACTCCGTTGGCAACATTGGGAGAAGACCGCGCTCCTGCCACATCCTGTTGACCTCCTGCACATTGTAGAACTGCTCCGGAACCTTGAAGCCACCCCATTCTCCGGCCACTTGCATGCACAGATACGTCAATATCTCTTCTGTCCAGTGACCAGATATGATCAATGTCTCTCGAATCAACTGAAACGCCATCATGCAGCTGGCGTGGGCCAAGGGGTCTCCGAACATCAAACACTGCAGGATGTGATGTTCGAACAACCGTCTTCTCGACTGGGGGGTCAAGTCGTCCGGTAACACCAATTGCAAAACCACTTGACCGGTTCCACGCACTGCATTCCACTGCTCCTTGGTCGGTTGGTCAATGACAGGGTCGACCATGTCGATATCGTTGAAGATGAAGTAGTCGCTCTCCGACATGGCCCGGTAGACAGCTTGTCGGTGTCGTTCAACCAGATTATGGCGTTGATTGCGGGTGTACGCTCGATGTGGCGTCTGGCTGCTACGAACCGTGTTGTGATCAATTGGTCCAGGTATCCGGGCTTTTTCACAGTCCATCACCCAGTGGCGTTGAATATCCTCGAAGAGATGTTCCTTGGTACAATAGCGGACATAGCTATCTGGTCCACACGCAGGACATATGACAGTCGCAGGGTCTGAAGAGCATCAGTGGGTCAACAGCCGGTACTCGGGATCTTTCTGGCAGAACTTACCCCAGCAACTAGTCATTCGCCGACAATCCGGCAGATCGCATCTGAGTCGTGGATCCATGCTATCGAACTTGAACGGTGCAACAGTGGAGGCATTAGGCGCAGTGGCAGCGGTAGGTGTTGTCGCATTCTGGAAAGTTTGTCAGCCTTTGGGACTCAACATATAATTTCAGTACCTACCACTCCAGTGTCGTCAGAGTCCTCAAACCGGACACTTCGTAAGGCTTTCGATGCTTCGTTCACGTCGTCAACGCCCGGACTGCTGGCTGTCTGCTTCTCTTCATCGCCCTCTTGAGCTTCGTATCGACCGTCTTTCTTGGCTTGACCTTCAACAGCAGGTTTCGCGACCGACGGCTTCTCTTTGCTAGAGGGTGCAACCTCCTGGGCCGTTGCGTTTTGTGTATCTCCGAGATCGATGTTTCGAGCCGGGACACCGACCTCGGGACTTGCTTCCGCCTGGATCTTTCCGCCCTCTTCACTGTTAGAGGCTAGGTCTGGTGCAATATTTCCCAGCTCCGGCCCACGTTCAAGGAGTGGAGTAGGTACAGGGTCAGATGAAGCTTCTAGGAGCCTGTCAGTATGTTTGGTAACCGCAATCATCTTCGTAAGTCCCACACACCTTGTGGATGCTGGAGAGGCTGCGAACAACCTTTGTTTTGGGCATTATCACTTGTTCGGTCTGTCTTCTTTCCCTTCTTGCCCTTCTTGCCCCTTTTTGTTTTCTTTGGCTGGCGAGCCTTGTCACCGGCGTGTCCTCCCATTTCTTCGTTATCTGTTTGTCCCGGAGAAGGTGGCAAGGTCGCAGAATCTGAATGTGTAGGAGAGGATCTGCTGGCTGAGGGAGTGCAGGCGCTGAGATCAGGAGTGGACGCTTCCGCCGAGCCATTCTTTTTGCGCAACAATGCCTCAAGTGATTGCACCGCGTGCTCAGTGCGACTTTCCTTGATGAGGGATTTGTTGTAGAACTCGGTACGCTTGATGTTTTCTATCAGGACAGCCGCTTCATGTCGATTCGCCCTCCACTTTTGGTGCTCCCGTGCAGCAGCAAACATTCTAATCGCCATCATTGTTATCACAGCCATATCTCGCTAGGAATGGTCAGCATGTATCAGTTCGCAGCCGAGGTTTGGACGCTCACATATGGGTCTTTCTTCACGAATTCTCTCTTGAAGGCGGGACTCTCAACGTTCACAAACATTTGAAAGGCAACTAGCTCCCAGGGAAGCTCGGTTTTGAATACGTGGAACTGGTACTTGACCAGGCCGCGGTCCTTCAGCATTGACCGATCGATGACACTGAGGAACGGTACGTAGAAGCTCATCCAAAGCAACTCATTGCCCTTGTCGTCAAAGTGCTTTTCGTGAACCACCTGACTGCCTTCCTCTAATACTCGCTTCTTCAAGGCTCGACGCAAGGCGAAGAGCTCATCGTTTTGCTTTTTCCAGTCAAGCTCTTGGATCCCCTGGATGCCGAACGGTAGATTCATACAGGAGAAGGCTCTGGTGCCGTCATATGCCTTGAAGAGGTGATGTGTCAAGGCGGAGGCAAGCAGCAGTGTCGGGCGGGTGGTTGTGATGCCCAGCAGTATCCTCTGACAGAAACCAGCAAGGACATCTTCTGCGTCCAGCGCCCCGAAGCCCTGGCCCAGGGTCCGTGTTTCCCACTGCCAGAGATCATTCTCCACAGATATCGTGGTTATGTCAGATCCATTGGCGGCAACGACCAGGATGATCGAATCCTCCAGAGACGAACTTCTGTGGACAAAATACGCCCGCCGCTGGTTCAGTTCAGAGTCCATGAGCCTGCTGGACGAGGCTTCCGATGGGACTGCTGCTTGGACAGGATCATTGGGTTGAGTATCTCTTTTACAGGTTAGCAGGATCCTTTGACGAATTCTGCGACTCTCTCACATGGCCGACATGCTGGTAGTAAGGTGTCTATGGGAGCCTTTTGTGGTCGAAACAGATTTGCATGCGCCATTACAAAAGATCACTGTGAGAATCACTCTGGCGACTTGACACCGCATCCGCCACGGTCACAATAAAACAATCTGCACGTGATGGTCATATTCATTTGAAGCCGGTGTCCTCCCAATACAAATGTTCCTGGGCTACTTGATATCATTCACATATTACTTAGCACAGCACAGAGACGTTTGTCCATGCGCAGAGGTTTGCTATGCTGGCGGACTGGCGACACATGACTAGGACAATTGCAAACACCATCTACTAAGGATGCAGCAGCAGTCGCCTGTAGGAGAACAGTCGACAATGCGTCTATATCGGCTTTATGGATTTCACGCGCAAGGCCTCACATACTGTAGCACGACGTCGCCCTTGAAACGAAAAAGGAGGGCAGCCTTATGCTAATGACACGCTAGGCCTATTAAGATTAGATCCTTTCACACACCACGTGATTAGTCTGATTATCACGTGAAGCCTTATCTCTCGAGTCATGAGTGCAAACCCCGCTAGTCAGAACTACTAGTAGCTGCGCCGCGCTTCAGTGAGTGTCGGGGAAAGATTGGCACAGCGTTATTCATTTCCTGTCTCAGTCTGCTTGTTCCTCTGCCATTCTCGACTAAGTGTCCGCTCGATAGGATTCATTCCTCTGCTCCTATCGCACCTCTGCCATGGCGGATCTGAGCAACATCCTCGCTGCTCTGGCATCCCAGAGACAAGGCGCCACGCCCTCGCAACCTCCACCGCCGCCTTTGCCTGGAGCGCCCTACCCTCCGCCTCAGTATGCCGCCCCTCCCGGCAGCGCGCCGCCATATGGTCTTCCTCCGCCAGTTAGTTCAGGCAGTGTGGACTTGGGAGCTATCAAACCAGTCAGTTCCGGCTCAGTGAGCATTGCCGACGCAGTTGCGAAAGCTCGGGGTTTCGCGGCCGAAAAAGGTCTTTCATATGATCCTAGCAGACGTACGGCCAGCCTCCCATCTATCGATTATGGCTAATAATTATTGATAGCTCCCATCAATTCCGATCCTCGTGCCAGTGGCCGAGGCTACCGACGCTCGCGGTCGCCCTCACGCTCTCCACATCGCTCAAGCAGAGACGGCCTGCGGGATTCATACAACCCATATCGCGATGAAAGGCGTAGCCATGACGCGGGTTACAACAGGGATCGTTCGTTCTCACCGAGGGGTGGACGTTACTCTCCGCCCAGGTACCGTGACGACCGTTCCCAAGGGGGCGATCGAGGGGCCGAAGGGGATTCTGAAGTTCTTCCCTTGGATAAGAGTGTTGTCGGCCTGATCATCGGTCGTGCTGGTGAGAACCTCCGACGTGTTGAGAATACAACTGGCGCTCGTGTGCAATTCTTGGATGGGCCCGAAGTAGCAGGTACTCAGAGACATTGCAGAATCTCGGGAAGTCGGTCTTCACGCGCCGCGGCCAAGGCGGAGATCTTCAAGGTCATCGAGGACCATGAACTGGCCAAGAGAGGACAAGACAAACCCCGCGAGGTACGCAGCCAGAGCAAGTCAACCGTCGTCACTACCACGGAAGGCGACAGTTTGCAGATGATGGTTCCTGACCGCACCGTTGGCCTGATCATCGGCAGGGGTGGCGAGACGATTCGAGATCTACAGGACCGGAGTGGCTGTCACATCAATATCGTGGGGGAGAACAAGAGTGTCAACGGGATGCGACCGGTGAATTTGATCGGCAGTCAGTCCGCTCAGCAGTATGCCAGAGATCTCATTCTCGAAATTGTGGAGAGCGATCAGAAGGGCATCAGCATCAAAGATCTTCATCGTGAACGGGAAGAGCCTCAGGGGAAGCTGAACGATAGCATTGTTGTGCCTGGTGAGGCCGTGGGCATGATCATTGGCAAAAGTAGGTTTCTGCAAACACCTTGTGGGAAGTGAGTTACTAATTTCGGCAGAGGGTGAGTCCATTCGCGATATGCAGAATCAAACAGGATGCAAGATAAATGTCTCGCCGGACAATGGCCGGGGCGTTGAACGTGAGATTGGTCTGGTCGGCACTCGGCAGGCGGTCGAGGCTGCCAAACGTGCTATCATGGAAAAGGTTGATGCGGTGGTAAGTTTATCCTTGATCGACCATTCCTCGGTTATGCTGACGACGGTTAGCGTGCTCGCATACAGGGTCGTGAAGGTCGCGACGGTCGCGACGACTACGCAGATCGATACTCGACACAGCCCGCTACCTATCCTCCCACTGGTGTTCCCGCAGGACCGCCGGCTAGCTATCCTCCCGTTGGTATGCCAGCAGGACCACCGGCCCAACCCCCTCCGGCAGGCGCGCCACCCCCGGTAGCCGGTGCAGCAGATCCTTATGCTGCCTACGGTGGATACCAAAACTATCTTCAGATGTGGTACTCGGCACTGGCTGCAAACCAACAGCAAGGTGGTCCAGGCCAAGGTGAGCAACGATAAGGTACCACGAGTGGATTGTGATCTGGCTTCGTGACCGTGGATTGTGCGCCTCTACTGGGTGAACTCGACTATCTCGACGCTTGACTCGCATTGTCGATGCTATACTGGATCGTTCAACGTCCGTCACTACCGCCTTGCCCGCCGTGATTGTTATGAGTCCAACTCGAGTCTTGGACACCTTCTTTCGCCTCCGAGATCCTTGACCGATAAGCGAGGATCGATTGGTGTGATCTTACCCGTCCTGCTGATATCTGTCGCGTGCCTTCGACCACCGCAAACTATGCAATCGCTGATTAGAATCATCGCGCCACGCCGGCCACGTGCAACCTGTGTTGCAAGTCTCGCCGCCACCGGTCGAGTTCGAACTCTTGCTCTTGGGTTTCTTTCGAGATCCTACATGTGTCGCAACTGTTGCATGCGTTCACCGTCTGCAGGCATGCGTTATGAGAATATTGGCTTTGACACGTCACCGCTCTTCTGCAGAGGACCGGTTTGCCGCACCCCATAGACATATGATGGTAATTGAGCGCTGTTTCGGTAAACCAAGTAACAGCGCACGACGTTTGCAGGATAGCCGCGTGAATTTACTACCGTTGGTATGCCACCATCAGTAAGAGTCGAACAAGTAGGACGCATAGTGGTGTACAATAGTACAACTTGAATGTACTGTAGTTGTACCTTGAATAACTCATCCAGCCTGTAGCACGTTAGACTAGAAATAGTTAGCGTTAGCTTCCAAAACAGGGATGAAAACAAGGAATGAGATCATTCCCAGCCAACCTTATTACTTTATTTTAATGTCGGGTCGACGCCACCGAGACGCCACAATCGGTGCAGTGGCTGATTTCTTTGTTTAAAAGGCTGCCCTGTGCGCCGCATCGTGGTTCTCGACTGCAGGCACAATTTGGGGACGTCGAGTCGCTCCGTTGTGCCTCGATTCCAACAAAGGTTGATACTCGTTTGTGTATTGTGACGCGGTTGGCCAAGACGTTTCAAAATCTGCTACGCATATTCGCGCCGCGTCACGTTACGCTCAACGAGTGTCAACCAAGCTGGAAAGATGGCGGAGCGACCTGAAGAATACCCGTGCAGCCATCTCTTCCGCTGTGTCAAAGAGTTTCAAACTCCGAATCTACACGTGGAAGCGCGTGTCTCGCGTGGGATGGGTTTGGAGGAGATGGTTGGCGGGCGCTTCTTCAGCACGGTAGCGCTGTTTTTAGGATAGGCGCCTACCTGCCTCGAAACAGTGTTACCGGTCGACGTCCTCCCACCACAACTTTGCACCGGTCTTCTGAGACACCTTGGATTCCGACTCGATCTCAGAAGATCTGTCCATCATGTTGATGGTGGACCTCGCGGACGTGGAAGAAAGATTGGCGAGAAAAGCGGTATGTGTTGCAGAAATTCCTATTCTTGACTTTCAGTGATCCTATTGTCCCCCGTTTTCAATGGACCCTTTGTCCACCGACTCTATTTCCTTCACTCGCTATTGTTACAGACTCAATGCATTGTTCACAAGACTGCCTTTGTTTGCTCTCAGAATAATTAATTATCCTTGACGAGTCTTGATGACTCTCTTTGTCACTCGAACCGCCTTGACACTTGTCGCTCGATCGACTGCGAATCCCAACCTGCGTCTTTTACCATTTTCAGCTCTCTACTTGCATCTGCATCACAACCTTACCCACAAGGATATCAACAAAATACTTACTTCGAATTTCTGCTTCAGATAATTTCCCGTTGATATTGATTCCATGTCTGCCCCGTCAGCCTTTGCGGCTGGCGTTCCTCCATCCATGCCTGCCGGCAGTCATGAGATACGAGACTACTACTCCAACCAAGACCCACCTCGGTCGTTGGCACACACTGCACCATCCATCACACCCTACCTTGGCCTCCGGGCCCGTCTATCGCAAATATGGCTCAATCGATGGACCATACTCCTCCTACTTGTTCTGGCTCGCACCCTTATCGCCGTCTCTGGCATCAACAACGATCTGAGTTCGGCGCGACGCGAAGCCTTGTCTGCATGTTCGGACGTTGAATCGATGGGTTCCGCCATGGCATCTATGCCTCATTACATGTCTCAAGGCGTGAATGAGTTGGCCGCCACTGGCGTAGAGAAGTCGGTCAACGGCCTGATGCAGATGACAACTTTGAGCGTTGCGGCCGTGGAGGAAATTGTCGTGTTTGTCATCGGCATGATGACCAACACGTATCTATGCCTCATCACTTTCGCAGTCAGCGGAAGTCTTCATTCGGTCATCGGAGCTCTGGAATCTGCACAGACTGGGCTCAACACCCTGACCAGGAATCTTGGAAACGATATGTCTGGCACGGTGTCGGACTTCGAATCTGCCTACAACAAATTCGTGGATGCGCTCAAAGGCATCACAGCTTTTGGGCTTTCGGTTCCTCAGCCTCCGCCGCTCAACCTGACACAGCAAGTTAAGACTCTGCAAGGACTCAAATTACCGTCAAATCTGGACGCCGATTTGCAGAAACTCAACAGTTCAATTCCCACCTTCGATGAAGTCAAAAACTTTACCGAAGGTATTATCAGGCTCCCGTTCGAAGAGGTCAAGCAGCTCATCAATGGTTCGCTCGGCAACTATACGTTCAACCGGTCGACGTTCCCGGTGCCGCAGAAGCAGGAACTAACCTTCTGCAGCGACAATGACGGGATCAACGATTTTTTCGACAACTTGGTCGACCTAGCTGCCATTGCACGCAAGGTATTCATTGGCGTCCTGCTGACCCTGGCAATCCTGGTCATGATCCCAATGGCGTACCGCGAGATCCGTCGCTGGCGCAAGATGCAAGACCGTAGCCAGCTTGTCAAGTCAGACGCGCGTGATCCCATGGACGTGGTGTATCTGGTCAGTCGGCCTTACACTTCGTCTGCCGGACTGAAGGTTTCGCACTCGTTCGAATCTCAACGGAAGAAGGCCTTGATTCGGTGGGTCATTGCGTACGCCACGTCGGATGCAGCTTTGTTCGTCCTTGCGCTCGCCTTGGCCGGTTTGTTTTCGTGCGCGTGTCAAGCCATTCTGCTCCGGTCCTTGGAGAAGGAAGTCCCCAACCTGTCCAACCAAGTGGGTGCATTTTCCGACAAGGTTGTGGCCCAGCTCAACAACGCATCCCAGCAATGGGCCACCGGCACCAATGCAGCCATTGCATCCACTAGCCATGACATCAATCAAAACATGTTAGGTTGGGTGAATACCACGACGACCGCTATCAACGACACTCTCAATGCTTTTGTGGACAAGACAACAGACGTGCTCAACGCAACTTTTGGCGGCACGCCTCTCTACGACCCGATACTTGAGGTCCTCAACTGTCTTGTCCTTATGAAAATCGCAGGCATTGAGAAAGGTCTGACATGGATTCATGACAACGCGCACGTCGACTTCCCGACTCTCCCAAATGACACGTTCAGCTTGGGTGCCGTGTCCAGTCTCGCTTCAACCAGCTCACCGGGAGATTCGTTTCTCGCGAGCCCAGGTGACGCAGCGAGCGACAAGATCTCAAGCGCTGTTGCCCGGTTCATCGATACGGTATCATCTGCCATTCGAACCGAGGCCATCATCTCAACTGTCATTCTTCTCGTCTGGGTGGCTGTAGTGCTCATTGGAGTCATCCGTGCACTCACGCTTTGGGCTGGGCGGGACAAGATCAGAGGTGAAGGGGGTGCTCCGGTGTTCCCTCCATCCTCCGGGTCCAATCACGATCGGTATGGTGGATTCGCGGATGTTCCACTGTCGGCCATGAACACTGTCAGGCCTTCGTCACCTGCACCCAGGTATACGCCATCCAACGAGGTTGAAGTGCGGGAAGTTGACTACCAGGATTCCAAGCTCGGTTTGGCTGGGCGACAAGGACACAAGCCAACACCGTTGACTGGGATTGACAGCAAACGAGAGAGCATATGGCACGGGGATTGAACAGATCCGATTTCAGCAACAGGTTGATACACCGAAGGCAAGGGACTATCGTCACAAATTCGAAGTCCCGGTTCACCAGTTTGTGCAGGATCACAACAGAGCTCTACAGCTCAATTTTAGCGTTGGGCTGACTCGTTGCCAGAGCGGCATACAGCGGAGAGCCGCAACATTTGTGGAGGAATTTACATGGGACCTCGATTGAGTCGAGGAGTACGGTAGACGAGATGCACCGGGTGGCATTGAGTCTTGCGTGTGTGATGTTGAATGATGACATGCTTTGTGAAGGATCTTTTTCTTTTTTGTCAGGACAGCAAGACCGGATCCGTTTGTTTCGAAACCCGAAATACAAACAAACGCGTCAACCAACCTTACCGGTCTTGCTTTTCGACAAAGCAACGGAGATTCCCACGCCAACGCCGAGGGACTAGAGTTCCTTCCCTGCCCCTTCTCCGGTGGCGCGGACAAGTCTCTCTTCCTCCGGTTGAGAGACTTTTGCTCTTTTCTCCATCGACCTTTCGATGGCCCTCTATCCCCACAGCGGCCATCGCGCCTCTATGTTACTAGAGGTGTGAAGCAAGGTTGATGTTTTGAGATGAGTGGCACCGCGCCTATTATCGCAGCCGGAGTCGCGTGATGGAGTGGAACGATAAGTCCTATCGATCTTATATACCCCGCCATTGATTTTTGTCCAAAGACATCAATGGGTGTGTGGTATCCTCGGGGATGAAGCAGGTCTTGTTTTTGAATGTTTGGACCCACGTCGGCTTAGAGCCCCCTTCGTTTCCCTTGCGGGAACGATGCTGCGTAGGCTCTTCCGACCCAAACAGATTTTTTGTTGTTGAGCTATGGTCTCGGGGGATATCTTATGGCTGCCGTTGATGTGCGCGTGGATGTTGAGGCCCCTCGTCCGTGTCGGTGTTTGGGGTCTTTTTTCGTGACGTTTCCTCCGAGAAGCGTTTCGAAGCCAGGGTCATTTGTCTCTTCACTGATCTTCGGAGAAAGTCGAAAGCAATGATTCCTGGTTAAAAGGAAATTCCCAATACTGACGCGGACGAGGGTTCACCTTCGGAACGAACTTTGCCGGATTGGGTTTTCTCAGTTTCGACTTCTTTTCCGCCAAATATTTACGCTCCAATCTGTCGACCATTGCATGCTTTTCAACCCAGCACAGATTGAGAGTCGAAACTGGCAGAAGACAAGTCTGGTGATGGGTTCGCTTCGGAGAAGGTCTTCTGGTCTATATGCTTCTGGTGGCACGGCTCCCAGCATGCAGGATCCGACCGTCACCGGCATGCAGGAGTGTATGGACCAGAAGGCGGACTTCTGTAGCTTTTGCTCCGAGTCCACATTCCCTCTATCCGCATGGGTAGCCCCTTTTTCAAAAAGAAAATAAAACCGCCGTGGGCTGGATCGACAAGAAGCAAAGTCACTGCTTGTTCTGGACAGATACTGCCCTCGCCGTTGGGATTACTGGACGCGAGGCAGGCCATGCAGTGGCTTAGATAGATGGATACCTACCTACCAATACCAAGATCTAGCCTGACAATCCTCGAGAACTTGAAGGGTCCCAGTAGTATCTTTGTGGTACCTTATGTAGTGTTCCAAGCCATGAATGCGTATGTTAGAATGAGAGGCCCGGGCCGTACAGGGACGGTTCTGTACAGTGTGTTGGCCCTGGGATCACGTGTCTGGGCTCCAACCACAACCCACTGGCAATCAAAGGGAAAGCAACGTCCGAGTCCTGCCACTTGGAAATCTGCCTTATAGAACGACTCGCAGCTTCCCCTGCAGCCACCACTCTCAATTGGCCCCTCTACGACAGTCTTCGAGGCAATGTTGTCCTCGTGTTGGGCCGTTGCACAAATGTGCGAGCAGCGCGGTTTCATACCTCACGGTCTTTGTTCTGGAACCCTTCTGAGCGGCTGCAGCATCGCCTGCTATTGGACGAGATCATGACCAAGGGGGAACACGGCTTAGAGCGCTAAGCAAGGGGGATTGCTGCCTGCTTTGTTGACTTACAGCACATCAGCGCTTAGCTTTCGACCGGCGCAAGGCAGCCAGTGCCCAAGACAGCTCCCATGGACGCCAGAAAAGGCAGCCGATCATACTGGTTGGCAAGATGCTGGGTGTATCACCCTGCTACGGTCAGCCGCCTCCCTCCCCTCAGTCTCAGCCGCATTCGATGACCTGTTGAAACCCCGCGGCGTGATAACCTGAGCAGGGCGAAAAGTTGGTGTTCTTTGTACCAGGCACTTCCAATATCGTCACTGTGGACATTGAGGCGACGCCGTCGCTTCTCAACGTCGCTCCCTCTTGCTTTGCTAAAGGCATTCTAGTCACATGGGTTCTTCTCGGTAACCTCTGTCTCTGCCCTCGGTCCTTTACAGCTTCCTGGCAACGAACCTTGCCCCCTTTCCAAAATGGAAGCCCTCGTCGCGTTGGGTTTGGTCTCTAACATTGTCCAGCTTGTGGACGCTTCGTGGACGCTATTTGAGGCTTACAGACAGTTCCGCGATCGAGGAACAACCACGGAGCTAGAGGCCACGAACTTCAAAAGCCAACAAATAACAGGATGCATTATCGAACTGAAAAACTCGCTGGCAAATGCCGCAAACGGCTCCAGCCTTCCACATAGTGACGTGAATCTCATAACGCTTGGCACTGACTGTGCCGGAGTCGCCGAGCAACTTCGAAAGGAACTCGTCGACTTCGAGATTCCACCAGGATCAGGTGGATGGACCGCGTTCAAGACCTCTGTGCGACTGAAGGAAAAATGGAGCAGGATCAAACAGTTGAAGTACAAGCTTGACCAATACGTCAGCGTTCTAGACTCAATAGTTCTTGTCAATATGAGGTATAGAAACACGAGCCACGCCTGCAGGAGGACTGCCATATGGGCTAACGTTATTGCAGCCGAAATGTGCGCAACATTGACAAGCATATAATTGACCGCCTCAGCCAGTCGGAACAAGTAATTGTGGAACGACTCGTCAATGGCAATACAAGTATTGGGGCCATGGTTAAGTCCCTGCATGAGGAGACTAGGAAACACATTACCAAAGCCCTTGCTGTCACAGCTGGGCACATCGAAAGAAAAGTCGATCAATTGCGTGACGACCAAAACCAACGCGAGGAATTCAAAAACTTTCTCAAAAGTCTGCACTTTGAGGAGATCCACCTTCGCCAAAACAACATCGAGCCAGCGCATAAAGCTACTTTTGAATGGATTCTCAGGGAAAATGTTGATCATGTGAAGCGGTGGAGCAGTTTCCTTGAATGGACTCGCAACGACAGCCCAATCTACTGGGTCCTCGGGAAACCCGGTTCTGGAAAATCCACTTTGATGAACTTCCTTGTACAGGATCCGAGAACAAAAGCTGCACTTACGCCGGCCTCCTCGAACCTCCCGCCGCTGTTTCTTACTTTTTTCTTTTGGGAAGCGGGTGTTGACCTCCAAAAGAACGAGATTGGACTTTTACGTTCACTGATTTGGCACATATTAACGTTGCTGGAGTCGGCTGCCTCTCTTCAGATATGGGAAGATGTTGTCAGGCCACACATGACCTTGATTAACCCTGGTGCCTGGACGAAAAAACAACTTCTGCCGCTTCTTCGGCTAGTGATCACCAAGTTACCCAACCGAATTTGTCTCTTTCTCGACGGCTTGGATGAGTTTCCAGGTTTGCAAGACCAGTTTGAGCCGCTCGAAGACGTTCTCGATGTCTTCCGCGAGCAATGTGGCGTCAAGATATGCATTTCCAGCCGGCCTTCCACGGCCCTTGAGCCCCTGTACGGCGATGAAGACTGTCCTAAGCTTCATCTGCAGTATTTAACCAGAGATGATATCGAACGGTACGTCCAGGACAATCTGACGCGCCATCCAAGAATAGCCGTTCTCTCCGGCTCATCTTCGGGAGCCTCCTCCGCCCGATTGGTGAAGGAGGTGGCAGACCGAGCCGAAGGCGTCTTTCTCTGGGTTCGGCTGGCTATACATTCTTTACTTCGAGGGCTCCGAAACGATGATGATCACGAAGCATTGTTCCGCCGTCTGGAGGAGGTCCCCAAAGAAATTTTCGATGTCTATACTCACTTGTGGAAGAGGATGCCCGATTATGACCTTTACGCCAAGGAGATCGCACTTTATCTTCATTTGGCACAACACGATGACGGACTGAGCCTAGTCGAATATGCTATCACCAGTGACGAAAAGCTGCAGGACGAATACTTGGACGCTTCAATGCCCCTCAACCTAGAGCAATGGGGAAGAAACATTGACCCTAAGAGATCGCAAAAAAGGTTAGTCGCTTGCTGTTCCGGATTTTTGGAGGTTCGCGACCGCGAGCCATATGTCGGTAAGGGCTTCGGGATACGCGGGAGTTGGCAATGGGATCTTGAAAAGAGTGTCATTGGCCAGTATCCAACTACAGTCGACAGGTTGCTCGACCTTCGCTGGAGCCACCAAACTCTCAGAGTTTCGTTCATGCATCGGACGGCAAAAGAGTATCTCAAAACACCTTCAGGTCAACAGCTGCTCAACGCTAGACCAATGTCAGAGAAAGAACTCGCAGAACTGAGATTTAGGTGCGACTTGGTGTGGGCATTGTGCCTTGTCAGGATCCCCACGCCTGAAGACGCAAGATACATCTGCCGCAGATTCTTTAAGTCCAGGCCGGACTGCGATTCCGAGCGTCATGATAGATTCAGAACACTGTTGAGCTTGGAGAAGACATGTGACAGATTGGTAGCATTAGGATTTGCTGAAAGATTCGAGGACATGTTGTGGCCCACCCTTGTTGGAGACATCGATTATGTCAAAGCCTTTCTGGAACTGGATTGCTTGGAATACACAAGACACAAACTCGAGACCTCGGGATTGAAACATGACTCGGACTACTTGACCGACCTACTTCGGTTTGCCGTCAATCACGATGCCGCGTATTCGCTGTGCAAAATGCAATCGTTCTTGATTGGGCTTGGTGCGGATGTTAACAGTATGCTGACTTCGAAACGGTACACCGACTGCAAGCCCTTCACAATATGGCAAAAAATTCTAGGTAGGTACAAATTTGTATCACCTGAGGTGCTGGATCTTTTGGACGTCTGTTTGGAAGCCGGCGCAAACCTCTGCATCAACAGCCCCGTTTACTTTGCTTGCTGCGGTGGATCAGGTAACCGCATATATACTGCGTCAAATCCCGACAGCTGGAAGAGACCACACTTGGTGGATTTCATTCTCATCGGAGCGGATGCCTTACAGGTCCTGACTGCCTTTGGATGCTACAAGGCTCTTCAAACCATCCAGTGTGTCGAGGCTAGAACACGACGTGGCAGCTTGAGACACGTTGTTCTATGCTGTCAGCCCAATTGGCGAGTGGTACCCGCCCGGTTTTGTGAACGGCTGATAAACGTGGGCTTATCAGAAAGACGGATCGAAGAGGCGGAGCTGAGCCGCGCCTTTTCCCGTCCAGATACGGAGTGTTTCGAAAATGGGCGCGATGCTCTCCATGCCGCTGGCTGGAATGACGAAGAGATCAAAGATTACGGCCTGCTGCTTGAGAAACAGCTAGCCGCAGCGGCAAAGGCACAGAAACGGAGGCAGAAGGCAGAGCAGCGATCTAGGACGCGGAGTGACAAGACTTCGGCGACAATCCCTTCCTAGTCGATCCACCTACAATTGCAAGCTTTAACAGCATGCTGCGGCTCAAACATGCATGCTTAAAAGTTAAGGATGCCCGGCGGGCTCGATTGTTGGCGTGTCTCCTGCCGCCAGCTTCGAACAAGAGTGTCGACGGGTTTCATCTGGTGTTCTTATGTGCGACGACATAATATGGAGTTTGGGGGAGGATCAAAAACTGGGGTTGGGGGAAATTTTTCTTTTCCTTTTGTTCTGGACGAGAAGTTCGGCGGATGTAGAGAGGATCCACTCACAAATTTACTGTACTGTGTAGAATCATGTTCATGATTCTGATACTCCAAGTGCCTCAGTTCCTCAAATGTAGTACTACCATAGCTAGGTAGTACCTTGGGTAATTAGGCATTGTTCAATTCAGTGGATCAACTTCTCAGCTACGTTCTCAATAATAACCCAAACGGCGGTGGCAGGCCGGGCAACGATGGCCGGCATCGTCCGCGGTCATTTCGCATTGTATTGCGGCAGTCAATGGTCCAATTTGACCATAAGCAGGGCCATACTATCCAATGCTATGCATAGTTTTGGTTCCATTTCATTTTAACGCTCACTTTCACTCTCATTCTCTCTATTCGTCCCTCCCACCTTCTCCTGCTCCTGCTCCTGCAGGACCAAATCCGGATCAACCATATCCCCAAAATCACCATCCTCAAAGAACTTTCGACCTTTCAGGGCATCAGGGAGATACTCCTGAACGACCTTCCCACCACGATAGTTCGGATTATATTTATACTCCCTCCCATACCCAATCTCCTTCATAAGTCTGGTGGGTGCATTCCTAAGATGAAACGGGATAGGCAGACCCGCGACACCAGGCTCTTCATTGATCGCACGCATTGCATTCCCCAGACTCCGGTAGACACGCGTAGATTTAGGAGCCAGACACAGCGACACAGCGACATGAGCGAGATTGATTCGAGCCTCAGGCATCCCGATCTTCTCGGCGGCCGTGTACGCGGCCGTAGCGAGAGGGAGTAGACTCGGATCGGCCAATCCGACGTCTTCAGAAGCAATGACGATCATCCGGCGCGCAATGTATAGTGGATCTTCGCCGGATTGAAGCATCCTCGCTAAGTAATAAAGGGCGGCGTCGGGATCGGATCCCCGAACGGCTTTGTGGAAGGCTGAAATGGTGTCGTAGTGCTGGTCCCCCGCGCGGTCGTAGACGAGTGTTTTTGTCAAGGATTGTTTGAGAGACGACAAATCCATTCCCGGGCGGGATGAGAGGCCCATTGCGAGTTCGAGAAGATTTAATGCCGTGCGTGCGTCGCCGTCGGAAAATGATGCTAGGTATTTGATTAATTCGTCATTGAGAAGGGATGCCGAGGGCGGAGGAGTGTATTTGTCTCTTTCGGATTCAAGTGCTCGAGTTAGAATCGCACAGATATGCTCGTCTGTGAGTTTTTGGAGCGTGAATGTTCGACAGCGCGATAAGAGGGCATTCTGGACTTTGAACGATGGGTTTTCGGTCGTTGCTCCGATCAATGTGATGTGGCCGGCTTCCACGGGACCGAGAAAGACGTCCTGTTGTGATTTCGAGAAGCGGTGGATCTCGTCGCAGAATATGATTGTTTTGCGACCTGTTAGAGATAATTCGTTGCGTGCTTCGGTGAAGAGTTTCTTGCATTCGGCGACGCCACTGCTGGTGCTGTTGATCTCGACGAACCGGCTGCCGACCATGCTTGCTATTACGCGTGCGATTGTCGTTTTGCCGGTTCCTGCGCCGCCCCAGAGGATCATGCTGGGGACTCGGTCTTGTTCGATCAACCCGCGGAGTAGGCCGTCAGGTCCGACGAGGTCTTGGCCACATACCTCGTCGAGGGTCTTGGGGCGCATGCGTTCGGCTAGGGGGGCGGCTTTTTCATATGCGTTGGGTGGTTTGTTCGGTTTGACTTTCTTGTTGGGGGGTTGTGCTGCCCCTGCTGTTGAAGGTGGTGGTGGTGGTGGTGGTGGTTTTGGTTCTGATTCAGCACCAACGACTCCATCATCACCATCACCAGATTCGTTTCCGTTTTCTAGGCCATCCTTGCCCACCACCTCAGTCTTGGCCTTATGTTGCGTTCCCGTCAACGAATCCAATCTTCCATATACTGTCGCACAACTCGAGACAGGCTGCGTGGATGAGAACTCAAAAGGTCGCTTTGTGGTAGAGCCATTCGTGTGCACAGAGGAGGCATGGACATGCTGATCAAACGACCGTTTGAGCGACGTCGGCCGAGAGTCAGTAGTCGACTGCGCCGACACAGGTTGAGACGAAGAGAAAAAGGACACAAACGACGCAGACGACTCGCGCTTCACACTGCTGTTTGAGCCGGCGGGGGTTTTGAACAGCGATGCGACGATGGGAGAAGATGCAGTTGCGGTTGCGGCGCCACCACCACCCACATTCTGGTCGGCGTTGAGGTTGGTGTTCTTGTCGATTTCAACTTCAACATCTTCCACACAGTCCGAGTCGAGATGGTTGTTGATTCGGGCTGCGTTCACCGACTTGCCGCAGATAGGACAACTGACCATCTTGGGCGATCCATGCTAATAAAAGTGAGACTCTGATTTTGAGCGGACGAGGAGAAAAGCCCAGGGCTTGTGTGATCGTTTTGACCTACTGGTGAGGCATGGAGAGGGTGAGAGAGTCGATGAAGTGGGTGTTTGCTGCGTGAGTCGACTTGTTTGTTACATGCATGCGGCGAAACGGACACACACGATCTCGCCATCGCGCCACGACACGCTTCGCGTCCACGTTGCGCCCACCCCACGCATTAGTAAGCTGATGCTTAATTGATTTCGTGACGAGGCTGAAGAGCCCCTTTCTTGTGGAAGATACCTAAGTACTGTACTTGCAGTACGTGTTGACTGACTGGTCTACCGCCGTCAAGAGGTACACGATGCACACAGTTGCTGGGTTCATATAGTCTTGACAAATGCATCAACATTTGCAAGGGATATGTATGTAGTCCAGTCATTCGCCGTTCGTGATTCAGCAATATTCAATCAACAAACTTCCGAATTATTAGGTCAACATCCACCCATCATTACTACCAACCCGCCCAGCCCAAACAGTAGCAGTTCCAATCTATCGCTGCACCTCGCTCAAGCTGATTCTTTATGAGTTGCACCACCCGTCCCGACAGTCAGACCCTGCGCCCGTCGAATCTTATCCTGCCTAAGCTGCTCCTGACGCAAAGCCTCGACATCCACCACAGTCCCCTTCCTGCCCTTGTACGTACTCTCCGGCAGGGCATTGAGAGCATCTTCTCGTCTATCCAAGTCCCTGAACAGGAACCAGACCAGAATCATAGCGACAAAGCTGAGACACGCAATGATAGTATAAAGCCAAGTGAACAAGGGATCCTTGGCCAGCGGGACGAACGCCTGACCCAGGGCACTGGAAAAGGCATTTGTGAAGAACCACAAGCCCGTCACAAACGAGCGCATATTTTTAGGTGCTTTTGTAAACGCATACTCTAGCCCCGTGATCGAAGTAAAGATCTCCGCAAAGGCAATCAACACGTAAGCTGGAGTTTGGATCCAGACCGTCATATCGGGGGGTCCGAGGTCGGCAATGCATTCGGCGTCGGTGGCATGTTTACCACAGGGGGCATACACGTAGATATAGTGCTGGATCAAGGCTGCCACGACCATGGACAAAGATCCCAGTCCGAACCCCGCGGTGAGCTTCTTGATCGGAGTAAATCGGATTCCGGCTCTAGCGAGGGCAGGGTAGATGAGTTTGTCGCAGATCGGGATGAAGATCAGCAGCGCGATTGGGTCGAGATTCTGGACGAGGTCGTTGGGCAGTCCGTTGAGTTTCATTGTCCCGGCTTGTGTTACTAGGTTGTTGGTCATTTGGGAGTATGATAGCCAGTAGATGGGGATGAAGGTGAAGACTGCACATGCCGAGATCCCCCTTCGGACCTCGTCCACCCATGCATCGTCGAATGTCATCCACTTGGGCTTCGAGGCCACGTTGCTGGGCTTGACGCTGTTCCAGAATTCGTCGGTGCCCATTCGCGCGATCATTTTCTTCGGGTTGGCTGTCCAGTTGCGTTTCATGGCGAATCCGACGAGTCGTGCACTCTTGGACAGGACTGAGCCTGTGGGTGGTCGTTTGACGTACTTGTTTCGGCACCAGATCATGACGAATGGGGTGATGAGAAACAAAACGGTCGGTAGGAGATATGCGAGCCAGAAGCCGACGTATTTTTCCTGATTGAGATAGATCGGTTAGTGACGTTCTCTCTTGTGTTGCAATATCCTTAGTGGAACGATTCTGTTCTTGAAGGATGACAACGAAGGAGGGATCCACATACTGCATACACCATGCCTAGAGGAAGGGTTAGTAGTTTGTACAGCGATCAACAGGTAAAAGAGACATACTGATCTGCCCGGCCAACGCTCCGACATTGATAAAGAAGTAGAACCGTACGTAGATGCGGGAGATTGTCATGACAGGGTCGTGGATGACCTGGATCGATTCCGTTAGTTACGACAAACAGTCTTGACAGCAAACCACTACTCATCCTTCAATTTGCATTGAGAAGACAGAATCGACTCACCTTCTCGCCGCTTTTCTCGGTAAACACAACCGGCCTCGGGTGCGCAGATTCATACTGTTCCGCAATCAAGGGCGAAACATTACACTTGAAGAAACCGACACCGATGCCGAAAAAGATCAATCCGAGACTGAAGACGCCTATCGCGACGTCCGAATGTTCAATAACCCCCGGGACAGACGAAATCAAAATGATGATATGTCCCAGCGTGGCCACTCCAATGGCCACATTGATGGTTTTATAGCGTCCCCAGTACGTATCGGCCATGTAGCCACCAACCAGAGGCATGACATAGCTCCAAAATTGTGAAAACAGCGTCAACCCCGTAGCTGCTTGCGATCCGTAGCCCAGAGCGCCGGCCTGGCCATGAGTACCGGCTCTCCCGGTCTTGGAGCCCGGAGGAAGCGGCCAGTTGATGTAGTTGGTGACTGGTGTGCGTTGTCAGCGGGTACAATACCCTAGACCAAGTGTGGTGAACCACTCACAGACGATAATGGTGCCGTAGTAGGCGAACCTCTCGCACAGCTCAACAAAGGCGATGGTATAGATGATCCATGGTACGTGGCCTTGGGTGCGCCTTAGTGTTCTCAGCTCTTCGTCGGTCGGATATCGCTCTCCATTGGGTCCAACCAGGACATCACTGATGATTTCCGAGTCGGACGATTGTAGAGTCCCATGCTTATTGAAATCCTGGAGCCCCTTCTCGTCGTCGATGGGAGGAGCGTGGGCACTGGCGATTTCCGCCGATTCCAGAGTGGCAGCGCCGGCAGACATGATGACGGTGGTAACAGGACGGATTTGGGTTGAGACAACCTGCAAAGGCAGAGGAAAGAAGCAGAAAGACGACACGCCGCCGCCAGTTAAGTAGTTCACATGGTTTCGGGCGGACCTGGGGGTACAAGTATGTGCACGGGGGTAGCAGCGGCCTCACCTTGGGCGCTATCATGAATGTAACGCTGTACCAATGTACAGCCAGCTCTGCTCGAATCACTCACCTACCTTTCAACATTGCGCCATGGGGGATGATGCGATCTGTCCCTGGTAAAAGCGTCTTGGCCAGGTAGGTTGGACATAGCTGGTGATACGGAGGGTTTCCCCGTCTAGAGCATTGAAGGAAGACGGGTTTGACGATCGAGATGAAAGCTGTTTGGTGCTACTACCCAAGGCCTTGTCGTGGGTATCTGGCCAATCGTGTTCTCGTGCGGGCGGAACGGACCAAGTGCCGCCAAGTTTCTCGACAACACTTGCATACCATCCCTCCGCAGCTAATAAAGCCAATGGTCACTACCTGAGTCCAAAGAACGTCCATGTATAGCTCTCGTACTAGACCTTGACGATTGGAAGTTGATCAATGTCTATTGGCCGACTGGAGCCCTCCGCTGGACATCGCGCAACTCCCCCTTGAAACCATGCAAGACTGGGGCGGCCAGTGTGGTGTGTTTATCATGCCAACACTGGCTTATTGATAAGGCTTTCCTTGCAGGATTTGTGCCTGGCCATTCACACCGGCACCTTTTTCCAATCTGTGATGCACAGTGGTAGAGGAGATACTATCCTGTCACGGAGCGAGTGGACCGGATGGGGATGGAAATCATTCGAACCAAGTTTGTGTCGAGTAGGTCTTTCTTCATGATCATGGATAGATAAGGTGCCTAGCTAAGGTACAATTCTGATCACGCGGTCTCTCCCTTGCATTGTCCTCTGCAGGAGCCCTGTGCCCAATCTGCCGCCATAGCACATCTTAGGTCGAAAACCTGCAGTGACTACTAGTAGTTGTATGGCATTCTAGACGAGTTATGGAAGCGCGGTTCAAGTCCCAAGATGCAGTTTGACCAACCAAATCCGAGCTTACTTCCACCATCTTCGACTGGGCTATCTCGAGCATCTGAACTCGCGCTGCCATCGTACAACAACATACACTGGCAGGCGATCTCTCTCCCCATTTCGTCGGGCTATGGCGATATCTCATGGACATGTCATTTTCAATCACGACATCAGACAGAGATAGCCCTTTGGGATTGATCCCAGCTTCTACCTAGTACACCACTCCATGCATGTGACTGATTTTCCTTGTAGCTATACATCCTTGCCGCCTTTTTCAACCTCTTTGTGGGTCCGGTTGTATACTTCCTATCTATATCTAGACCATGTACTTCTTCAACCCCCTCAGCCTAGTCTTTGCATCCTCCAACACATCATCATTCTTACACACCGCAAACCGCAACCAATCCTCGGCCATGTGAGCGCGCTCGTCCGTGTAGAACTCCGTCGGCGGGATAGCCGCGACGCCGAGCTCAACAATCAAGAACCAAGCCATTTTGAAATCCCGCGGACGGTCCTTGACATGTTCAGGAAAATCATAGCCATCAGGCAACTTGACTTTCGACAAATTCGCAAGAACAAAATAACCACCTTCGGGGATGGAATAAGGGATATTGAGTTCATCAAAAACCTGACAAAATCGATCCATTTTGCCCTTCATTTCTCTGACAGCTTGATCCCAGAATCCAACCTGGTCGGCCTGTTCGAAGCCTATGGCAGCCGCTTCCTGCAGCGGCGACACACTGGAGTAGCATATCCGGGTATGGGCAGCGGCCACATATTTGATCAGATGCGGCGGACCGATCAAGTACCCGACCCGCCAACCAGTCGCGTAGAAGTTCTTACCCGCCGACCCCACGGTCAGAGTGATATTGGCGAGTTGCGGCGACAGCGTGGCTATGCGCGTGAATGGGACATAGTATAATCGGTCGTAGACCTCGTCCGACAGAATAAGGACTTTATATTTGAGACATAAATCCCCTATCCGCGTCAGTTCTTCTTTGCTGAATACCTTGCCCACCGGGTTGTGCGGCGAGTTGAGCACAATCATTTTGGTCTTGTCGTTGAACGACTTCTCCAATATGTCCCAGTCGATGCTCCAATTGGCCGCCGAGGAGGTTCTCTCCGCGCCATCGGCCGGAGGGTGCATGGGTACGTATCGGATGGTTCCACCGGGCATTTCGATGTTGCTGAGGTATTGGTCGAAGAAAGGCTCGAACACAATCACCTCGTCGCCCGGTTCGATGAAGCCCATGAATGCGCTTAGCATACCTGCAAGTTCGTCAGCGTCCAAATTTGCCCATCTTCTCCTGCCGTTTCTTGCCACCCACCTTCATTGGCGCCCGTCGTGATAGTTACTTCAGTCTCCGGGTCCAGCTTCCTCCCAAAGAACGGAGTATATGCGTCGGCAATGGCCTTCTTCAACCTCGGTCTGCCCTTGGTGGGCGAGTACTGATTGCATTCCACACGGTCGAGCGCACCCTTTGCAGCGTCGATGATGAACTGAGGAGGGTTGTATCCGCTGATCTCGCCATATTAGATTATGAACTAACTTCTTTATCCGGATGGAGGATCGGCCAAGCCAATGCTTCCATACTCACAAAAACCCTTGCCCCATGTTCACGATCGGCTGCACTGGAGAAGCCGCAGCAGCCTCGTTGATGATGGACCACACATCCTGTTTCTGGTTCGCCACCCGCTTCGCGGGAGCGAATTTGGCGGACATTCTGACGGACGAGGAGAGGGTGCGTCGATGGATCGCGGCTCGGTTCAACCAGGGTGGGCTGGAGGCGGGCGTGAGTTCGGCTCGCGGGAGTTGACGAGACGCAGATCGGACTGCTGCTGTGCTTGTTGAAAAGCCCAGGTTCATGAGGGCCGACACCAACAGAACACACAAGACCACTTGCCAGAGCTGACTGCAATGAGAGAATGTGTGTGTTCGTCTCCTGTACCTGCTAGCTGTCTCGCGACTTGCAGTGTGACTCGATTGACCAGTCAGAGACATTGGAATGATTGCGAAATCGGATCCCGCAAATGATGGCATCGGCCGGAGATTTGCCGAGGTGCAAACACCACAAGGCTGAGGAGTCGGTTTCCCTTTTCGCCAGGGCTGCGGACATGGGCGTCGGGAGTAATACTGTACAATATCAATGGCTACCATCCATAGTATTAGTAGTCAACGAAGATGCGGATTTGGTTTCAAAGCTGGCTTCCACTGTCTTGTGTGGTGCACCTAGGTATCTCGCTCGCACAGCGACAGAGAAGAGTTACAATGAGTCCTTTCAGTGCTTCTAAATCATAGCCATGGGCTCATCAATTGGTCGTTATCAAGCATCCAGCCTAGACATGCAACTCCAATCCCCAGAAAGCATATCCCCCCGACACTGTAGAGGTAGCGTCTTGCATGTACATGTATTATACCGCTTCCTTTTTCCCAAGGCCTGTCCTCGTATGCAAACGGCTGCTTTCTCTCTATGCGTACCTAACACTGCTGCTCTGCTGGGCATTGTAACCCTCTCCCCATCCGCCATATGCTGGCGGTGGCTGATTCGGATACCAGCCATTTTGAGCAGGCTGCGTCTGCGTCGGGACAGGGGGGGACTGGTAGCCACCTCCATAGCCACGATCCCTCATCTGAGGAGGGATCTGTGGTCCATCCCAACCGGACGACGGGTTTCCGCGGCCGCCTCTTCTCCTCGGGCGAGCACCGGTCGCAGCCACGCCGTTGAATCTCTTCCCTCTTGGTCGTCGACAGGCTCGGACAATACAACCAAGGATGGCAAAAAGAAGCAAGCCGCCAATGGCGCTCGCGAGCCCAATCACAAGAGGCTTATGGTCATCAATCCAAGACTTCACTTGCCCGCCCACTGTACTACCACGACATATACCATTTTTACATTTTCCGTCTCCGCCACAGGGGGTACCATCCAAAAAGTTTTGTTGCATACTGTAGCAAACGCTGGGTCCAAAGTCGGGGCTGGCACAGCTCAAGACGCACGCGTCACTGCTGCAAGCATAAGTATCGTTGCTGGAGGTGTAGCTGCCCATGATGGTCTTGCACTGAAGATCCCGACTGGTGCATTGACCGCTGGCACATTTGAGTCCGTTGCCGCAGCTGGTGCCATCAGGGGCGGTAGTATCAGTCGGGCAGGTGGCATTGGTGCCCGAGCACGTCTCCGCAGGGTCACATTGGCCGGTACTAGCCCGACAGACGGTTCCTGCGCTGGAAAATTGGCACGTTGAGGTGCAGCACTCTTCATTGCTTGGATCACACACGGCGCCATCTTTGAACTTGCAAGTGCTCGGATTGCAACATGTGTTCCCACCGCAGCCTTCGTCCCCACCACAGTCACAATCTTCGCCGTCTTCGACTATGCCGTTGCCGCATTGGTGCCCGGTGATTGTCACCACACCTTTATTATCACTGAGGCAGCTCGACCGCACCGAATTGCGGCCTATAGCGCTGCAGATATTGCCAATAGAGCAAGGCGAGAAAGTGCTGATGTCCGAGGATGCATAAGGGTTCATCATGTACTGAGCATTGGCATCGCACGTCGAGGAAGAGAGCGGGCAGCATTGGCCCGAGTTGACGGTGTTGGAGTCGGCGCAAGTGGTCGAATCGCAATCATGGACAGCACCAAAGGTATGGCCCGTTTCGTGTGCGAACACCTGCCACTCGGTCGATGTCTTCGCAATCACGTTGGCGCCTGTAACACTTTGAGTGCTTCCGCTGGTATCTGTCTGATCCGTTGCTCCGGTGTTGCACAACTGCCCGAGCCACGCGAGCCCGACCTCGGCGCCGGTGTTACAAGTGGTGAAAAGTGACCAGTAGGCATTGTTGTCGCCCCGCTGGCCACGCCATTGAGAGAAAAGATTCAGACGCTGGGTCATAGTTGTGTTGTCGTTGCATGCCACGTTCCACGGGGTCACGGAATTGGCTGTACCAGGACACTCGGGGTCCAAGACGGTCATGTTCTTCAGGCCCAAGGTGATGTTGAAGGTGGATTGATACAAATCGGATGCCGTGTTGACCTGCGTGATGACATTTTGTCTCATGCTATCGGTCGAATTGAAGCTGGCCCTATACGTGCAATCGGTGGCAACGCCCAGCAGGGCAACTTTCCGAGTGGTCGGGCAGCCGGCAGTGCTGCCAATGGTCGATCTGAGATTGACGCCTGCCGAATTGCCATTTCCGGCACCTCCACCATCGATGCTCTGTCGTTTGCCAAACATATTGGCATAGGACATCGCGCCCCAGTAACCCGTGTCACGCTTGACCATCAGATCGCGGAAGATAGGGTGGTTTAGATCCGAATTGAACCCGAGTTTATCGGCAGCACAGGTCATGCCTAGACTGCGCTTCAACTCGCGATGTCCCGTCTCGCGACTCACGTCGGTGTCCCGCCAAACGGTCATGTACTCGTCATCATCCGGCTCCAATTCCGGGTCCATGACATGCTTGGTGGCCATGTAGGTGGATTTCATCTGGATGTGATGATGGTTGCCGTTGATCGTGAATGCCCCCTCGAACAAAGGATGTACACCGTCTCTTCTTACAACGATCCGCGCCCAACCCCCGTATGTGGAAACACCATCCTCGACCACAAAAGCCTTGCCCTGATAGACCTTGTGGTCCTCGCGCTGCATCTTTTCCACATGCTTGACGTTGCCATCCTTGTCGAGATACTCAACATAGGAGTCCTCGTGAATGATATCGTGGTTCGGCTCTAGGCTCAGCCTGATGTGTTCTGATTTTTGATGAAGATCGAAGGTGAGATCAAAACTTGAATAGGCATGAACTCTTTGTGAGGGCGTGCGTATCCGGGGATTTTCTATGAGTGAGAGATAGTTTAACGGGTTCCTGGACCTCGAACTGGCATCTGCTGTCGAGAGGAGGAGGAACGATGCAGCCAACGCAGCAAGTTGCTGGAAGAGGCGCATCACGCCTGTCAGCCTGAGCGGTTACAACTGGCGATCACGGGCGGCGCATAAGAGTGAATCTGGTTAGAAGATGTAAAGATAGTGCTTGGAATGATTGTATTGTCGGGGTCGTTTTTCTATTCCAAAGAACGCTGACAATATCTGTGTTCAACTTGAACAGAAGGGCGAGGAAGGGAGATGGAGCGGTAGCGTGAGTTTGAGTTTGAGAGCCTGCGGCAAAGACGGATTGGATTGGTAAAAGAGGACGATGAGGTCTGATTGATAGTAATGGAGGAGAGCGAAAGGCCGTCAAATTCCCCGACGGGAGGTATATTGAACTGGGTTCGTACAGCCCGAATGAAGGCGTCGTTGATTATGAGGATAATGGTGGCAGTGTGACTGCTGATGATGGGAGTAGTAGTAGTGGATGTGGTGGTGGTAATGGTAGGCGATGGGGATGAAGGGCCCTTCTCTTCGCTTGCTGGACGAAGTTGTTTGGGGGTCAAAAAACTGGATGGCGCAGCTGGAACTCCGGCGCCAAAGGATCACCGCATCCCCCGCCTGACGGAGCCCTGCACTTCAAGTTCTGCACTTCTGCCGCTGGCCAACTCCAATCGCAGGCGCTGAACGCCGAGAAGCGGCTGACGAAGCCGCCAAGTACCGCCCCCATGATTCCTCCCGTAGTATTACACTAGTACCATAGAGGACACATTAAGTGCTAGTTCACATTATAACAACTGTCTTGAGAGCCAAATACTGAGACATCATTTAGACTAGCATGCTAGCACCCTGTTAGCGAATGACCATTCCTGGCACCACTGCACTAGTACTGCACTGGCAGTATCATCAACATACAGGTATCATTCAAGTTGTCAATAATGCGCCCGGCAACCGCCTCGAGGTTGAGCATAAAAGAAACTGTATTTTTCACTCTGTGCTACGAAGACATCCGCAGGATTCGGTCCTATTGATCATCAAATTGTCAGTCGGTTCATTAAGCAGCCTTACCAGAAAACGAAAGGCCCCTGATCTCAAAGCATACCTGTATACCAGTAGGTGTGGATATAGAACCCCAATTTGAAGCACAAACCAGGAGACCAACTTCTTGCACAGCCTCGCCCCCGTTTTCCGTCCCACAAGGCAAGTCCAATCCTTCTACTATTTAGCACGTTGTACTCTAGCAGGAGGAGTACCTCTTGTCCATGCTGTGAAGTGTCACCTTGGGACTAGCACCTAGTATGCAATGATGATGCATAATGTGCCAGCTTCCGAGCTCCGGTCTCAGCTCCTTCGCCCACGACTCCGAGTCCTCCAGTATGCCCTTACAGACCTGAAACGAACAGAGGCTACAAATGTCCCTTTCTTTACATCCCTCTCTGGTTTCATACCCTCCTGTCCCAGACTTGAACCTTCAGCGGCCGCAAGCGCCCTTGTCATAAGAACCACTTTTGAAGCTCAGTCGCGACTACTTTCATTGCCATTGTCAAGCAATTAACCATACAATGTTGTAGTCTTCAAGTGATAGTCTCGGAATGAGATTGCGGATAAATGACTCGGTATTAGCTATACTGGAATAATACAATTCGATTACATGGCCAGGGTCTTCTTGGGAAAGCCAGCTGGTTTGGCTGCTGCTGCATCTGTCGCGCTTATTGTTAGGCTTCAGTCTCGACGCCGGGCTCTCGTCCACCCAAACCTCCAGTAAATCTTTTCTTGATCTTGCTCATGCCGATCTTCGCTTCGTCCTTTGCAAACTTGACATTCCGCGAGGGCGTCCATTGTGACAGTCCCCGGTGTTTACGCTCCTCGGCTCGCTTGCCTGCCTTTTTCTCGAACTTGGAATCCCTCTTCTGGACGGGCAGTACCGAATTGGTCGATCCTTCGGTCATGGTCGTGTAATTGGTGTCGTTCGTCAATGTCGTATCCGCGCTGGGTCGACCGGCATACTGTTGGTCATCCTGATCCCCGTTAGGGTGAGTGGTAAGTGCGTGAGCAGTCGTGCCAGCGGTCAATTGTCCGTCCGGAGCGTTGCTGGCATCGGTAATGCCCAGGTCGGAATCAGAACTGCTTTCGTCGTCGTAATCGTCATCGTCGTCATCAGACGGATTGTAAGGATCATGGGGAGGGTCATCCACGCCTGGCTCAGCAATCTTCTCGTGATTCTTGTCGGTGTACGCTCTGGGATCATGACTGAATGCGCCCGACCAGTCTTCTCCACTCTTGCTCAGCCATTTACGCCGCTCTTCTTCCGAGACTTCTTGCTTTAGGACATCTCGACCTTCGGTCAACGAAGCCTCGTGCAACTGTTGAATGTTCTCCGGCACTTCGGCTTCGACGACCCGGTCCCGGACACCTTCGGTCAGACACGCCTCCCACGTCTCGAACGTCTCACGTGTGTCGTTGTCAACGATGAAGTCCCGGTGCGATTCATCCATACCAGCCTTGAACCGGCCACGGAATTGCAGGCGACCCACTTCCTCCAGGTCTTCTAGGCCCGTCTCCTTGAAGGCATGAGCATTATCTTCGGTGATGTAATTCTGCACCAGTCGCTGGCCATTCTTCGTCTTCCAAATGGGTATGTCGATAGGTGTCTCCTCGTTGTCCACCAGGTTCTGCAGCCACAGAGATGCGTAAGCAGCCGCACCGCGTTTGCCCGTGACATGGAATTCGAAGATGACAGGTGATCGGTATCGGTATCTAACCGGCAATCGCACGTGGTGGTTGTTCTGCGGGGACACGTCCCAGTAGACGCCATCATCACCACTGTGACACTGAGTCCGGGGTATCTTGCCAGTGCTGCCACCCGTGCGGAGCTTGAGCTTCGTGTTATCCTTCCAGCCCTTGGCCACGATCTGGTCTGAGATGAATTCAAAGGTACCCACGTCCCAGCCAAGCATGTTGGGTGGGAGCTTGAGCTCTACACTTCGGAAGAGGACAGAGATTCTGATGCGTCCAAAGCCGATACCACCGTCAAGCGGGTACCATCTGGTCACTTGAGAACTGGTGGTGAGGAGTTCGGACAATCGCAGAGGAACCACACCCAAGATGGGATCGTGCTCGCGGTTTCGCTGGTCACGGACAGTGACTGTGACAATGCCCGACCTCCAGTCACGCATGAACCGCTCTGTTCCGGCATTGAAGATTGGCTTGCTGCTGACCGCCTTGGCGCGAGTGCGGTAGACCAACACATCGTTGAAAAGGATGGTGCAGTACGAAGTGGGCAGTCCTGGCACAGGTTAGCGGGGGGGTTGCAGCCTGTTTGAAACCTTGCAGATGTTACTTACTGATAGATTCCTCTTCGGTTGCCTCGCCATATGGCTTGGCTGGCTCAAACTCCTTGCCCTTTCTGTTGCCCTCGCTGCCTTTGATGTTCTCCAGTTCCAAGCTAACGATCTGATGTACGATAACGCTGCAGATGCCACTGGGCCACAGCGGATCAGGGGGCGTGTGTGCGACGGCGTCGGCGTCGTCGCTGTCGAGTGTACCCTTTTCATCTTGGAACTGAGGATCATTTTGTAGTTTGGCAGGCAGATTCTTGTCCTTGCCATCGGTGCGCAAGGCAGGACGGAACTTGGGCTTGCCGAAATAGCCCACCTCCCAATGAAGTTCACCCGGCATGTCGGTGCCCTGTTGCACCCCAGCCAACTTGGAGATTTGCGGGTACATTTTGCCTGGGTGCTGGATCATTTTCTGCATCGACAATTCCACTTTGCCTACCATGTCATCGGCAGAATTGCGATCCGAGTCCCACAGCTCCACACTGAGCTGCTCGTCAGCTTTGACCAACTCAGGTGTGACCAAAAGTGCCGCAGTCTCTTCAAAGACGGGGTTGAGGTCATCGCAGATAACGCGAGTACAGTACATCGGTTTGCCATATTTCGAAAACGACAGGTTGATGTACGGGTCGCTGCCGCCATGTTTACTGCCACGGCGGTCCTGTTTGCTGAGACCAACCGCGCGATGAATCCGAATCCACATGACACCAATGGCCTGGGTATCCTTGGTGATGTCGTCTCCTTGCAGCATAGACTTGAGGTCGAGTTGCATCGATTTCGGAGCGACATACATGCTGGCTGCTGCCCCAATCGCGTAGTTAACGAAATTGGAGATCAATGGCAAATTGAGTATATTAACCCCGTGTCTGACCATCGGAATACAGCCTGCCTGAACATGAGGAACACCCATCAGGGTAAAGGTGAGACTCTTTGCGAAAGGCGGCTCTGGTGTCATCTGGAGGCGCAGGCGCACGGTGCCCACAAGTTCTTGCAGTTCAACGAAAATAGGCAACGGTACGCCGATCAAGCCTTTGACGCCCAGATAGAAGACGAGATTCATGTGCATGTTCCTCGCTTTGGAGGATGCGCTTGCCCCAGCAGGTTTGGCATGGTAGGCAAAGGCGACTTCGAGATTGTAGTAGTCGCCGCCTTCCTCGTCTGCCGCCGCTTCTTGTGGATCCTTGGTTTTCTTATTCTCATCATGGATACTCTGCTTCAGCTCGCCGACTCGGGAGTCGGGTAGAGCACGTAAGCTGAGGATTCGGATAGGGTTGTTTCCCTGATCGATTTCTGCGACTCTAACGTTGTTGATGACCCCGGGAACAGAGGCTTGCATGACATCTTCCAGCGTGTCTGCGACTCCAGCAAACATGTCCGGGTTTATCAAGCCCCAGACAACCCCGAGGAAAGTGTTCATCCATTCGACCGATTCAGGCAGGAGATTGGCCACCGCCTACAAAAGTCAGCATAATATGAACCAAGAAATTAACCCCACCAGGGACGTACAGTTTCACCTCGAGTCTGCTCACTATGCCACTCGACCTCTCGTCCGCTTCTCACAACCTCCTTCATCCACAGCCAAACGCCGGATGCAAGACACAGGCCCAACGGGATCAGACCTTTGAGAGCTCCACCGAACATCTTGCCAATGATCACAACAGACACGAAGATAGCAATGCAGAGGCCGCCTGCGCGCTTTTCCAGTATCGAAAACATTGGCTCGTAGCTGACGGAAGGTGTCGGGTGGAACAGAATGTTGGTCTTCTCTCCATGGATAGGGACATCGGACGTGCTTCCCTCGACGATCGGATCCGGAGGCGCCGTTATGTCTTGTTTCTCTTTGTACTCGGGGTTTCGCTGAGAAGGGTCTGTCTTGACCGGCGTAGGCTTGCCTAGATTTGCGTTTGGAACCGACAGCTGCCGGCAAGTTAATGGCCACTCTTTGGAACGGTCTATCCAGGGAAACTCGGTCTCACCTGTGGGTTGTCGGCCCTTTGCATATATTCTTTGCCCACGTCCGCGATGACCACTTCATTGCCAGTGACTGGATCGGTGACAGTTTTCCCATGTTCCTGTCGCTTTTCGTTTTGATGAGGAGTTGCTTCATTAGAGCCACCGAGCTGTTGGTTCTGTAGACGGGCGTCGATATTCTTGTCTCTATCTGCCTTGTCCTTGTCGAGCCGTGCCACAAATTCCTTAATGTTTGGGATCTTGTTCGTGCCACTCCAAGGCTTCCCGCTTTTCTGCTGTTGAGCCTCCATGGTGAAGAATACAGATGGGAGGACGCCAGGATGGTATCAAGGGGTGTGTCTCCAATTGTTACCGAGAGAAGCGCATGCCACGCTCCAGTACGGCAAGCTGCGACAAAACGAGCAGGGCAGCAGGCGATAAGCGAAGGACGACGGCTTGTGAAGAATAGAGGAAATGTATGTAGGATCAGGAGGAGGCTCGCGAGAACCTTCAAGGTATATCAGAAAACCTTGGACAGCAGGGAGGGAGTTGACCAGGGTGTCAGTGTGTTTGGCTGCCAGTGCGTGCCAGGGCAAGAAGCGCGAGTTGCGGGTGTGACGTAAGTGTCTGTCCCACGACGCCAGCTTTCAAATGCCACTGCGTCAACTGCGGCGCCCAGATCAGCAGCTGCTCACTTTCAGCCTGCGGTGGCTGGAACTTGTTTGACCGGGTGCCACACCGTTACTGTGGGCACTGTAAATCCCACAGCTAACAACCTCTAACAGCTGCTACTACGCGTTGATGTCGAGCAAATTCTCCGCCGTCTTGTTGGATTTGGGGTGCTCGAGTTGATCACACAATGCTGGTGACGCCAGTGCCAACCAGCAGCCGAATGGAATCGTGGAACTGGGCTTCCGGCTAACTGCAACCAGACGGCGGACACCCACATCGAGCCACGACTCGACACGAACGGGCGACGTTTATCAAGCCGCCGTCTCTAATTGCTGCTCCACCCTATATACACGCACCAATCGGTGGGCGTCAATAATGCTTCCTCGCTCGATCCAAGATCAAGATGATCTTCGGCTCCAAACCAAGAGCTCGGTCTCGTCGGTCTCGCTTGGAGGCAGAAGATGGACGTTGCAGCGATAGTGTGATAGTAGACACCTGCACTTTATGAACCTCCTGCAGCTACAATGGCAAAGTCAGCCCTTCGCTCCGGCTCGAGCCTCCTTTCCTGCTGTCGCTCATCATACTTGCCATGTCTGGGGATCAAGTTGAACGCGACCACACTCTGCACACATCCAACCAGCGCACAAGGACTGTCCATCAGGGTATCTCTATTTCGACAGCTACTCCGTGTCCTGGTATGAGAACCAATTCCTGTATTTCAGCATCTCAAAGTGCTGGCTTGAATAGCTTACAAGAACCGCGTGTAGTAATAAAGCCGCACGTGCCGTGTTCCAATAATTTATAAAAAATGATAGTAAATAATAATTTGGTTCGAAAAAAACTCAGGAAGCGAGACCACCAAGAGAACACCTGCACAGGCCATATGCCCTTTGCATATCTTAACGTGTAAGGATATACATGGATGAGACGTTCTTGTAATCATATATATCATTTCAATCATGACTGACGGTGCCATGGCCCTACAACTGGCTTACAACAGGGTCAGGAGGATATAGGCAGACGACATGCGCATCTTCAGTTGCCTGTGAGCCCGTCATAGTCTCATCGCCTATGAAAGCCTCAAACTCGGTCTGAGCTGGTGCGCCATCGATGAACGGGGTCAGATCTGCACTCCATTCCCATCTTCTCTTCTTCCGCCTCATCTTACGAGCAGCCCTGCCTTTTGACCTGTCGCCTTTCCTTGCGGTCCAATCTTGCCCCGCAAGAGCAGCAGGACACGTCAAGGACTTTCTTTTCCTCCCCGACGGGGAAGATGATCCACCAATATGAGTTGGGAACCTCCGTCCATCCGGTTTGTTCTTCCTGTCTTGGACGAAGTGGATGTGCATCTCCTCGGACTCAGAAGACGAGATACAAGCGTCATCATCATCGTCAGACGAGCTCAGATCCGCATGGCATCTCACGTAATCCTTTGTGACGATCTCCTCCTCCAAGATCGTTCGGAATGTCACCTTCTTTGCAGCCGGGAAGAAAACCCGCCTCCCGGTGCCCCATGGGGATGGGCTGGCGGAGCAGCCTGGGACTCGACGGATGTCTTTTGGAAGAGGGCCATTCTTTAAGATTGAACGCACACCAAAGGGTAGATTCAGGGTGTAGGGTTGATCTTCCGAGGTTGTAGTAGATGATGGCTGTTGACAGCTTGTTCTTTGTTGTGGGTATACTGCAGGTGAAGAGACAGCGGAGGCTGGTGACGGACGAAGGGCAAGTTCAAAGGTATTGGCAAAAGTGTTTGAAGTGGTAGGCGTAGTACTAGATTTGGCGGTGGAAGAGCCGTAATGGCTGACGGACGCAGTGCATGTGGGCGTGAGTCCCGAAGTCTGGAGAGACAACTTGGGCCTCTTTTCCGTCATTGAGAACTTCAGCGTTTCCAGACTCTCTCGGGAACTGCCAGAAAACGTGATATCAAGGTCGATTTGAGGCAGGAGGAAAGGCGCCGAGCTGGGGAGTGTTGATATGCTAAGCATGTTGACGGCAACGTTCATAGACCGTCCCGGCACACAGTGATTGTTCACTTTCTTAGCGTCATCACATTGACTGCTTCACTCCTCAACACCTGCGTGCGTCGTGTTGCGGCTCGAAATACGCCCAACTGGAGTATGATGCTCGGGGGATGTAGACGACACAGCCGGGTGTTAGCCTAGAGTTGGCATAAGCACCCAAGAAAAAGGCTGTGCCTGGTTCGAGTAAGCTGAGACTTTGATCGATAATGCTCTCGTGACTCGATGAACACTACTCGGTCGTCATGCCTCGTCGAGTTCACAACAGACCAAGAACAAAAGGAAGGGACGAAGGCGGATATAACAGACAGATACTTCCTTTCGAGACTTTGATGGGCACGGGGGGATAAATGATGTGTTCAATAGTCGACCAACCAGCCCGTTCTGGGGATGCCACGAGGATATGTCTCTTACCGCCGCCATCTATAATGGGAATACTCAGTATATTCATTTCTTAGTTTGGGAACAGCGGAGTTCCCTTTGGCGACGCCGCGGGCCAGTTATGACCTGGGCCCAGGGAGGATGCGGCACCATTTGCCCATGTTTGCGGATGTCAAATTGAAAGAACTGGGGTAACCGAAGACACTAACGGACGAAGGAGCTTTCTTTGGCGAGCAGCAACATCTCGAGCCGGCGGTCGGCTCAAGGCACAAAGGAGGTGTGCTCAGATGTGACTTCTGGATCGCAGGCCGTAACCGCCGAGGTTCTATTTTCAGCACCGATGTTCCGGGATAGGGACACGTAGTGGGACTCGAAAGGGGATGGCGGCAGGAGTAGTGGGGGGAGGGCGGGTGTTTGAGAAGCCTGTCGAGGCGAGACCAGCAGCTGAGCCCGACTGATTAGGGCGAGAATGCTGCTAGCAGTAGCGGATCTAATAGTCGATGTTATAAATGTGTACCTGATGGCAATGCTAGTGGTGGTAGTGCCCATGGTGGTTATTGTAATGGAAAACAATAATAGAGACTGGAGCAGCGCAGTTGAAGCCAGGCACCGAGAATGGCGCTGACTGCACCTTGCTACCGCTTGCCACGGGCCGGTACTCTCTACTCTCCCCCAGCATGGAAAAACGTCCTTCCGACGCCAAGGCGGAGATCTATATTGGGAGGTCCCAGTATAGTACACGGATGCTCTCTAGTAGCGAGCGTAGTAAGTAAAAGGGGCCGTCCCCTGAAAATGTACGTGCTGTTGCCAGCTGAACCATGAGTGCTATGTGGTTCTATTGGGCATGGTATACTTTTCTGATGCAAACGCGTAGGGATCCTATTGCGTGTCGAGCTGAATGAGCCGCTCTCAGTCACCTAGCTGGTGATATCTCTGGTGCGCGGCCATTGCAAATACTGGAATGTCCTGGTGACAGAATCCACAGAGCTCGGCCTGATGGCTGTCGTCTGGCTCCGAGTCCCAGGCATCCGTGGTAGGCGGGTCAGCAATTAGGCCTTTCACACGTGTTTCGGGCGCCTGCACCGCAGGGTGCAAATCCTCAGGTGGCTCCGATACAGGCCGGATTCTGAAATCTTTGAGCACTTCGTCCTGTCGACGAAACATTCTACCAATGTCTCTTCCTTCGCTGTCCTTGCTTTCCCCTGCAGTTTCGGCCATGTTGGTCACGGCGACGTTGATGAGGTTGATATGCCAGCCTGCCTTCTCGTGATGCAGTTTGCGGAACATGGGCACCAGCACCTCTTCCACCAAACGGTCAGCAAGGATGGTAGGGTCTTCGACCAGGCTGAACGCGAAACTTGGCAGTGGCGCGGATCGGGAAATGCGATTAGACATTCTTGGACGCGCACCATCTGGCCCGGACACAGGGCGAGTCCTGGTGGACAACCGCAGAGTTCGTGGATGAGCCAACCAGTACCGCCCTGGACGATCAGTTGGGCTTTCTTCGTCGAGTAGATCCATTTGCATCCGGCGAATCAATCTTTCCGCCAGAATGTGTAGCTGTTTCTTGACCAGTTCAAAAGTTTGCAAGTGTTTCATATACGAGTCCTCCTGGCTGATCTGTGACGGAACACGCTTCACTCTACCAACCTCGCTGTCGTCGATGCCGTGGATAAGCTCCCATATTTTACCGCCAATGCCCCTTACCGAGCCTGGGCCTGCAAGTATCTCCTCAAGCAAGTCGGGCTCCATGCCGGGATGGCTTCGAACGGCGAGAACAGTCAGCGGTTCTTTCCTGCCTCCGTTGGCATAGTCAATAAAGAAGTCCGGAGCCCTGCCCAGGACGTAAGCTCTGATCTTTTCAGCACTCTTAAACCCAATACCGGGGATCTTGCCAATATCATGGCCGTCGAGAAAGTCGGTGACGGTGGCCCCTGACAGGCCGACAGGCTGGTAAGGCGGTAAGAGCGTGGTCTGGCTCATCGGCTTGTTCACGTTGCCGACGAGTTTCGATAAGAGCTTATTCGTAGCGATCCCCACAGTGGCAGTGTAACCTTTATGGTATTCCAACTCATGCCGAAGATGCTTCGCCAGATGCGAGCCGAGTACTAATCTCAAACGCAAATGACGCTCCTCTTCCTCACTTAACTCGGGGTTTGGAGGGTTCGCAGGATACGTCGGCCCAAAGGCGACAGACGCATCATAATGGAATCCAATGGTAGGATCTTCTCTATTGAGACAGAAAAAGGAGTGCGCGAGGTCATTCGGGTTCAACAGACCTATGTTGTAGTGGACCATGTCTGTACAGTCAAGCCTGGTGAAGCGATCCGTTAGGAAGCACACCACAACACCACCGACGGCCATCGACTTACCACACCTCGTCGAACCCAAGGCGCTCTGCCCGGCCACTCCATATTGACCGTTGAAGAAAGCTGTACAGCTCTTTGGATGCGTTGCGGAAACGAGTCAAGTCCTCACCAAGAACAATGACTGCCTCAGGACAGATCCTTTTGGCTTCGCTGATGAGCTGCAGTTTGTGCAGGCCTCGCCGCCGAGCCTCATAATTACATGTCACCACAATCTGTTTCTGCTGGATTGCAAGCGGCACAGCCTTGAGGGCAGGATTCTCATGTTCGACAACGGAAGCGTAGAAGCAATCGTAGTCGAAGTGTATGACTATACGGCTGTCATCTCGCCGGAAGTTCCGGGCTCGTTGCATACTCGTCGCATACTCGTTGCAAGATCATGTTGGTCAGGGAGAGAGGCGAAGTCGCTCGATGACCAGGCGCATGTAACGAACGAGCTGCCGTGTCGGACGATGCAGTGATACACAAAAGTCATGAGTCGATCGCTTGCGGCCGACTTGAACCCCAACTTGGCTGCCAGCGCAGTGGCAGAAGCGGAGTTCAAGTTCCAATGGGGACGCGTGCGGCGCGACCACGCGCTTTGGCTGCAACCAAGTAAACATTTCCCAAAGTGGTCTACAACATACATTCTTCGTGAACACACCACACCAACATAAATGCATTCACAAGCTCTGTCGAGCTGACAGCCGGCGCGTCTGCGCCTTCTACATAATCACCAATGTCTCAAGCGAACCCTCCATTTCCCGGCCGAAATGTGTACGCCTCGTCGAGTAAACTTCCCGATCGCACAGGACTGAAATCAGGACCACAGTCGACCTTCGGCCGGCGCCCGGAACAGGCGTTTCAGTTTGGACAGTCCACTGCGACCCAACAACAGCATGGCGCACTGGGAGGCAGGCAGAGCATGGAAAAGGAATCGAATAATGCGCTGAGCGAGCTCAGCGAGGAACAAAGGGATGAGATCAATGAAGCCGTATGCGCCAGATGTTCTTCCTGCGGCTTTGCGCCTACTAACGCGTTGATAATCAGTTTTCCCTGTTCGATCTCGATCGAGATCGCCATCTAGACTACCACGAGCTGCGTGTCGCCATGCGATCCTTGGGGTTCTCCCTCCCCAAAGCTGAGGTAGCGCAGATAATGCAGACACACGGTGTTCCGAAACCTCAATTCAAACGTGGTCCACCAGGCCGAGGACAGCAGACTTATCATTCAAGCCAACTACTCTTGCCTCAGATCGCGTTCCAACGCGTGGCAGCACAGAAAGTATTCGAGCGCGATCCGACAGACGAAGTGGAGCGCGCCCTCCTGCTGTTTGACCCAGACCAAAGGGGTTACATAGAAGCAGAGGACATTCGGAGGGTCTCTCGCGAGCTCGGAGAGACCGGGCTCGAAGACGATGAGATACAAGCCATGGTCGAAGAGTTCGATTATGATGGCACCGGGACCGTCGCCAAAGAAGCTTTTTATGCTATCTGTTTACAATAACCCGCCCGGAGGGATTCAAACACCGCCTGATGAGATGATGATTTGCAGCTATGCAGCCAGCACAATTGGAAATATGCTGGACAACTGGTCTATTAATGATGTTGATCTTCTGAGTGGATGGCTCTCTGTGTTGGACAACAGGACACGGGTCGCAAAAACAGGCTCGCTATTACCATGGCAGCTGGACGGGTCCTTCTTTTGCGGTCTCTTTGCCCATCACGACGTCCCAGTTGCCAATGTCCCGGGTCCCTCTAGGAGCCCAATATGTGCCAGTTTTGTCCAGTGTAAGTTCGTTTTCGACCCAGTCAGCCAGTATTCGGGCAGCATCCGCCGGATCGAGCGCACCCCCGGCATCCCAGAACTGGTCGAATCCAACTCCCTTGGTCATTTCAGTCCTCATGAAACTATAACAGTCAGCGATGTCAGATGTCAAAAATCCTGTATGTCTCACTGTGGGACCTGCATACCTAGGATGGACTGAGACGACCGTAATGCCTCGGTCTTTGAGGTCAAACGACAACTGTTTGGTCACCATGTTCAAAGCAGCTTTGGAGCCATGGTGCCCATAGTTACCGCCACCCTCCTGCTCATGTCTCAAGGTGATCGACCCGGACTCGGACGACACGAGCACGACTTTGCTCCCGTGCGCCAAGACGGAAGCCTTGACTAATTCTTGCACCACAAAGACCGGCGCAATTGAGGAGAGTGTGTACATTTTGACCTGCTCGTTCCATTTGGCCTCACCAAAGTCCTCAGTCACGAAATAACCAGCGGTAATGATAACGGTGTCAACTCGTTTGCCTTTGAGAGCTGCCGCCAGGTCATGTCCGCAACTGGATTTGGAAAGGTCGATATTGGTGATCCAAGAGACATTCTCACCCTGTAGGTCAGATGGAGCATTCGAGGACCGTGAGGTGGCGTACACCGTGTATGAAAGGTGGTTGGCATAGTACGAGACCAAGGCCTTACCAAGGCCACGAGTGGCTCCTACAATCAGGACGGAGGGCATCGTGTAAGCCGGCGGAGCAGAGAAGACTATTGTATGGGCAAAGAGAGATACAGAAGGGGACTCTCAGGAAGTCGCCATTTAAGAATTGATGAGTTGGATTACGCAGGATCACGCCATACTGCCTACTTGTGTAGCATTCTGTATAAATGTGCTAAATGAGTCTTACTGCTCTGCCTGCTTTGCTCCATCAACAGTCTCTGCACAGCACACTCGGGCTGCATGTGAGTTGGAGTGGTCAACAAATGACGTCAGAACCTGTACCTGCGGCTTGGGCTGCATCGTGGAACTACCTAGGTATGTTACTATGCTGGAACTTCAGGTCCTTGTCGGAATTGTGCTTGCCGCAAAGTGGACAGATCGCGACGCCAAAGCTGACAATAAAGTTGAACGCATCTTCGTCCTACTGTTATTATCGCATCGTAGAAACCTGACTTGACCGGTGATCGGACAACGGTGATTCTCGCTGCATTTACGGCGGTTCTCATACCGCGGCCCTCAAAATAATAATTTCCATCTCCTTCAACGAGTGAAGCGCATACACCTCACCAGGGCTCCTCCATTAACGCAACCAACATACCGCGCGTCGAAGGCTGTTGCCACCCTAGCCCACGCATACGGTCTACCTGTCTTGCTGCCATTGTTTTTCGACCGGTCGCCGCCCCAACTCCAAGATGGCGGATACGGAAGAGACTCCTGCCCAGCGACAGGCGAGGATTCGGAGGCAGAAGCGAGAAGCAAAAATTACAGGTTCGGCAACCGAAAGGCTCGACAAGATTACAAGGCTGAGTGGGAGGACACCGGAGAGCAGTAAGTCCCCTGCTATACAAAGATCCTGAATACTTGTTTGAACAGCTAGAATGTCTTGTGGAGTGTGGCAAAGTGTGACAGACAGTACGCCATGCTACGATTGTGCTGACATCCGTGTCCCATAGTGAGAAGCGAATCTCCTTCATCGACACCGGCACGCGTGTCTACGCCTCCTCAAGTGCCTTCATCACCAAATGCGGGACCGGAAACCAGGCCAACTCCAGAACAAGTGAAAGCGCAGGAGGAGTATTTGAGAGCGTTACTGAGACAGCCTGTACCCCAGGATGGAGGAGCTCAGCCGGAACAAGAAGAAGACCCTATGGTCAAGATGCTACAGGCCATGATGGGAGGAATGAATGTTCCAAGCGACCCGGCTGCTCCTGGAGCTCCAGGTGCAACTCCCGGATTATCTCCGGACGACATATCAAAGGCTACAGGGCTGCCGCCGTTTGTAACCAACATGATGATGGGAGGACAGAAGGCTCCACCGACGGAAGCGGAGATACAAGCGACGAGGTTGTGGAAAGTCCTGCATGTCATTTTTGCCATCATGGCAGGACTGTACCTGGTGTTCAGAATCAACACGTCGATCGAAGCATTTGGCGAGAATCCCCCGGCGCCAGCAACCTTCCAGAACCCTTTTCTAGTGTTCGCGACTGGCGAGTTGCTTATGCAAACTACCAGGGTGGCCACCCTAGGGCGTTCGGGCAAAAGCGGATTTGGGTTGTGGAGTCAGATGTTTAGGGAATTTATCGGGGATGGTGCGATCCTGGTGTTTATGCTAGGTATAGCGTCGTGGTGGAAAGGAAGTGTATAGACGACAACGGCACTCCTAGCGAAACGGATCCGCGGCAATGTCCCCGACGCAGCCGCTGGCCTCTGTGGTCTACTGTAATGCTTTTCAACTTTCCTTTCATTTCAAGCTCAGCGGCAAGCCTCGTCTAGGAATAATAAGACACTACAAGCCTACCTTAGGGAAGAGTGTATGATTATGGCGGATGCGTTGTGTGTCACACCACTACTGGCCAGTCCCTAGCCTGGGAGTCGCGTGGGCAAGTGTGTGTCCAGACTGGTTGACGATCGAGTTCGCGGGGATGTGGCCGGACTACAGGCACCGGGCCTTGCGTCCAGCCCCTTTCGGAAAGGTGGAGGCTACTGGGATAGCACATCTTCCGGAGGTTGTGTGGACGTGCTCCGGAAGGCTTCACCTAGTCTGCGGCTCGCCGAGGGTGCTGCTTTCGGATGGTTGCTTGACAGTCGAAGCAATGCGCAAGGGTTTAACAAACGGCATTCCGAGATTGGGATGATCGATTCCCTGCCGGTGCCCTGATCATGGGGAAATAACAACGGACGATCAAGACAGCTCAATGTCAATCTTTGGAGGATTCAGCATAGTACCTAGGTATCGTCAAGCATTTGTTGGAGGAGTCGTGCAGTAGTAGCCTTGGAAGCAGGATGGGCAATCATTTTCTTGTCCTCTAAAATGCCGGCCACCTATAGGTACAGTATCATTGGTACAGGTATCCCCAAGCCAGTTCTGCCGCGCGATCCTCGATCCATGGCGACGACGTATCGCTACCGTACCTCGTAGGTGAGCACCAGGTAGGTGCGTGGTGTGTCTGGTGATTCATCTTGGCCGGCGTCCCAAGACGACCGTGTTACTGGCCAGAGACTAGCACGATCGCAGCCTGGGGAACTATTTGAGGCACGGATAAAAGGATGGTGGGATGGATGTGATGGAGGGGCAGCTGCCGCCGGGGGCCATTTGATTATCGTTGGACGACGCTCGCTTGGTCGCGGGCTTCAGAGTTGTTGACGCGAGCTCCAGGCTTCCCCGCAGCGTCCGGCCGGCCAAATCAACTGGGTCTTTTCTTCCCTGACCAGCGTGATCCCTGCAAATCCTCTGCTCGTTTCCTCTCCTGGTCACTGGATCAATCCGGCCTCCCTCGCCCCAGGTCACTTCCTCTGGTACAAGTACAGCCTCCGGGGCCTCGTTGACTCCCAATCGTCATCCAGCTATTTCTCCTATATTAGCCCACTTGGACACCCGCCTCGGTCCCGGTTTCATTTCTGCGAAAACACCTCAAGCGTCCCCTCGTGCATTGGTGAATATAAACAGCTATACCTACCCACCTTTTGCTGTCCGAGGGTCCTTCGCTGTCTCCGTACCTGGTCCTTGAGCGTGTTCTGTGAGATACCCGTACCAGCATGTCTGAAGGCGACGTCCAACCGCCTAAGGCGCCCGTGGTGGTAAGTAAAATCCAGCAAGCTATGCAAGAGAGTCCTTCGCTGACCCCTCCACCCCAGGCCGAAGCCCATGAAGTGGACACTTTCCAGTATGTCCCCGAGCCCCTCCTCTCCCCTTGACCGCCCAAGTTGACGCAGTAACAGTGTCCCCAAGGCCTTCTGGACGAAAGGATCGGGCAAGACCCATCTAAAGGATCTGGATGAGTACTATGCCATGTACAAGGAGTCCATTGAGCAGCCAGACAAGTTCTGGGGCAGATTAGCACGAGAACTCCTTAGCTGGGATAAAGACTTCCAAACAGTCCACAGTGGAAGCCTGGCGAACGGCGACAATGCTTGGTTTCTGGAAGGCCGCCTGAACGCTTGCTACAACTGTGTGGACCGTCACGCCATCAAGAACCCAGACAAGCCGGCAATCATCTATGAGGCTGATGAACCCGGCGAGGGCCGCGTGCTCACGTACGGCGAGCTCCTCCGTGAAGTATCCCGCGTCGCGTACACCCTGAAGCAGATGGGCGTCAAGAAGGGCGACACGGTGGCACTCTACCTACCCATGATTCCAGAGGCCGTCATCTCCTTCCTCGCCGTCACCCGAATCGGCGCCATCCACTCGGTCGTCTTTGCCGGTTTCTCGTCAGGATCTCTGGCTGACCGCATCCTCGACGCCAACTCCAAAGTCGTCATCACCACAGACGAGGGCAAGCGCGGTGGCAAGGTTATTGGAACCAAGAAGATCGTCGACGAAGCATTGAAGAAATGCCCGGATGTGACACGCGTCTTGGTCTACAAGAGGACAGGTGCTGATGTCCCCTGGACGAAAGGCCGAGATTTTTGGTGGCATGAAGAGGTCGAAAAATACCCCAACTACATCGCTCCGGAGTCCATGGCGTCGGAGGATCCTCTCTTCCTGCTCTACACCTCCGGCTCCACGGGTAAACCAAAGGGCGTCATGCATTCTACGGCAGGCTACCTTTTGGGCGCTGCGTCAACCGGCAAGTACGTGTTTGACATCCATGACGACGACGTGTTCTTCTGCGGCGGCGACGTGGGTTGGATTACTGGTCACACCTATGTGGTGTACGCTCCTCTTCTGCTGGGCGTGGCCACCGTCGTCTTCGAAGGTACCCCGGCCTACCCCAATTTCTCCCGATACTGGGACGTCATCGACAAGCACAATGTCACCCAGTTCTACGTCGCACCTACCGCCTTGCGTCTCTTGAAGAGAGCTGGCGACGAGCACATCCATCACCAGTTGAGCAAACTGCGAGTCCTTGGCTCGGTCGGTGAGCCCATCGCTGCAGAGGTCTGGAAGTGGTATTTTGAGGTGGTAGGCAAAGAGGAGGCGCATATCGTTGACACATACTGGCAAACCGAAACTGGGTCCCACGTGATCACCCCGTTGGCTGGCGTCACGCCCACCAAGCCCGGCAGTGCATCCTTACCTTTCTTCGGCATTGAGCCGGCCATCATCGATCCAGTCTCTGGCGAAGAGATTGAGGGCAATGATGTCGAAGGCGTGCTGGCGTTCAAGCAGGCGTGGCCCAGCATGGCAAGGACGGTTTGGGGCGCACACAAGCGGTACATGGACACCTATTTGAACGTCTACAAGGGCTACTACGTGAGTACATGGCGAGACTTTTCATTGTAAGCACAGTTTCACTGACCTCGGCAACAGTTCACTGGAGACGGTGCCGGTCGCGACCACGAGGGTTATTACTGGATTAGAGGCCGTGTGGACGATGTTGTCAACGTTTCTGGCCATCGGCTGTCCACCGCCGAGATCGAGGCCGCATTGATCGAACACGACGGCGTTGCTGAGGCTGCAGTCGTCGGCATCAACGACGAGCTCACCGGCCAGGCCGTCAACGCGTTCGTCTCGCTGAAAGATGGAGCTGACAACAGCGAAGCGATGCGCAAAGACCTGATTCTGCAAGTTCGGAAGTCTATCGGACCTTTCGCGGCACCCAAGGCCATCTACATTGTGGATGACCTTCCCAAGACTCGGTCTGGCAAGATTATGAGAAGAATTTTGCGGAAGATTCTCAGCGGTGAGGAGGACAGCTTGGGAGACATCTCAACGCTCAGTGACCCGAGTGTTGTCACCAAGATCATTGAGACGGTCAAGGCGTCAAAGAAGAAGTGATCAACTCATGACTGCATACTAGTAAAGAGAGTGTGGCAATATTTTGTATACCCTCGGATCCAAGTTTTGGTCGATTTGAGCCCTGCTTGGAAACGTACACCATTTCATAGCCAATAAAAATTCGATTTATTCACGTACAGGTACAACATTGTACTGACTGACACGTCTGCCTACTGTCGTTGCAGCCCGCTGGACTGGATTGGGTGAGAGGACAGGCAACAGGCGCGTGTATCTTAACTCTTCATATTTAAAATGCCCGCTGGTTCTCCCTCCGTGTGTTTGCCCAACATTGCAGCATGGTGTTCGTACAGTGAATTTGCATAATTGGTAGAGCTGCAGATTAGGCCTCTTCTACATCGTACAGGTTAAGTGCTAAAATACTGCTTGATTAGGTTAGTGCGCTTGCTGCTGAGTCATCTTTGGCTAGCGCCTCCAGCGGCCTCCACGCTTGGCGGAGACTAAATTCAAAGCGCAGTTCGGTTCGTGAGCAGGTCAGTTACGGTAGCTGGCATCTCCCTCACATAAATCGAGGCGCGTCCATCCTCCAGACAGTTTCGCCAACATTTCAATATTTTATGACGACGAGAGAGTCATTCGCATCCTGGCGTTGACTCTGAGAGGTCTCGGTCGACGATTTCCTTGCCGCAGACTGCTGCCTGCGATCTGCGCTTTGTCCGACTCGGTTGCTCTGCGTCCGGCGCGTCACGAATTTCATTTAGCATCTTTGTGTTGTATTCCTCCTTCTTTCCCTCTTTGAGACATATCGAGGTTCGACGCTGCGCTGCGACGCGCTCCAGTCTTACAGCATGTCGTTCGGCAGTGGCAGTGGTTTCAACTTTGGCTCCAACAGCAACACCCAGAATACCGGATTCGGAGGATTTGGGAGCACCACCAATACCAACACAGGTGAGCCCAAACATGTGTGTACTTATGTCTTGACTTACATCTGATGGTCGACTTCGTCCAGGTTTCGGTTCAACAACGAACACAGGTTTCGGTTCGAGCACAGCTGCTGCGTCTCCCTTTGGTGGTAGCACTTTTGGGTCCAACACTGGAGGTGCGTATTGACCTGTCGCGTTGTGCTGCCTTGACTGCTTCACTGGATCTTGAACATTTCATTTATATATCTGAGCCGGCGCTGTAATCTTACTGTCATCATGCGTGCTCGCTATGGCTTCTCATCAAGATTCACGTCTCCGCCGTTATCTTCCCACACGCTCGCGGTTGTCAGATCGACGGGCTCTATCTACGCGCTCGGCACTTCCTACGACCGTCGAGGAACCCACTGAGCTAATCAATCCATCAACAGGTTTCGGTGCTGCCGCCAACACTTCTGGCTCCCTTTTTGGCAGCAAGCCTGCGTCGAATCCCTTCGGCTCGAGTACTACAAACACAGGAGGTGGACTGTTCGGTGGTTCCACCAACGCGAATACAGGTTTTGGAAGCTCAACTGGTGGTTTCGGCAGCACTAACAATGCTTTTGGAGGCACCAATACAGGAGGTTCGTCGTTCAGCTTCGGCAGTGCGAACAAGCCTGCGTTCGGTTCCAGCACCAGCACCACTCCCCTCTTCGGTCAAGGAGGTTCAGGAACAACAGGTACCTTCGGAGCCTCGACCGCGTTTGGCGCCACTGGCTCCGGCACCGCCCTAAGCAGTCAACCCGTTCCCCCTCCAGACGGCACAGCTTCCACGCCGTTCGCTCCCACCGTGGAAAAGGATGCAGCTGGTGTTACGAGCAATTACCAGAGCATAACCTTTATGCAGCCCTATCAGAAGTATTCTTTCGAAGAACTGCGCCTGGCCGACTACAATGCTGGTCGTCGCTTTGGAAACGCTACCGGGCAAGCTGGTGGCTTCGGTTCCAGCACTTTTGGCGGCTTCGGTGCGACTAACACTCCTGCCTTTGGTAATAACACTACCAGCACCACCCCTTTTGGGGCCGCAACGACATCTTCAACTGGTTTCGGTTCCACTTCGTCCACTGCCGGGTTCGGCGGCGGCGGTCTGTTCGGGAACAAACCTGCCACAGGAGGTTTGTTTGGCCAGCAATCCTCTGGTACCACTTCCGGGGGGCTGTTTGGGACGGCCGGCAATACCACCAGCGCTTTTGGAGGCGGTAGCACTGGGTTTGGATCGACCGGAACCACCGGCGGTGGTCTGTTCGGCAATAACAATGCCACACAGAATAAACCAAGCCCGTTCGGAGGCAGCACCGGCACCCCTTCATTCTCCTTTGGTAATACCAACACGGCCAACACGGGCGCAGCCACGGGCACGGGAACAGGTACGGGCTTGTTCGGTGGCGGCGCCACAAATACCACTACCAATGCCTTTGGCGGGACCAACCAACAATCTGGCGGCCTTTTTGGAAACCAGCAGCAAAAACCGCTTTTCGGCGGGAACACCACAGGAGGTTTCGGTACACCCGCAACGCAGGGTCAACAATCAGGTGGATTATTTGGCGGCACTACCAACACTGCGACCCAGCCTACAGGTGGTGGCCTCTTCGGAAGCGCCAACACGTCTGCCAACACGAACACTGGTGGTGGATTGTTCTCTTCCAACAACGCCACAGGCGGAGGGTCCCTTTTCGGAAACAATAACAATAACAATGCCCAGAAACCTGGTGGTTTGTTCGGAGGAAGCACCTTTGGGAACACCAATACTGGAAACACCGGTGGCGGGCTTTTCGGAAGTACTGGCACGAACAACCAACAGACTGGTGGACTATTCGGCAACACCAACACTGGCGGGGGCTTCTCATTCGGAAATACCCCGAACAAGCCCGCCACAACATCCCTCTTCGCGAATACGAACAACAACCAACAAGGAGGTCTGTCTGGGTCAACTGGGAACTTTGGTGGTGGTCTCTTTGGCACATCTCAAACAGCTCAACCAGGCAATCAACAGCAACAGGATATCAAGCATGCATCTCTGAATGACCCCAATCCTTATGGTCAGACCTCCATCTGGACCGGCTTGCCCGTCCCCACTCCGGATACGGCCAAACCGATCTTCACACCATTGGCGGCCACCCAGAAGATGAAGGAGAGCCAGGCAAAACCTCCACCCAGCCTGCGACTTAATCAATCCCGCTACATGACGCCTCCCCGCCGTTCCGGCTTTGGCTTCTCCTACTCCACGTATGGCACCCCTAACAGCGCTGCTAGTACGCCGGGTGGAAACAGCTTGACAAGTAGCATGTACGGTAGCCGAAGTTTCAACGGTGGCAGTTTTGGAAGTTTGGGCAGCTTTGGTCGTTCCTTTGGCAAGAGTGCCTCGGCCAGCAACCTGAGGTCCCAGTTCAATGGTGACAATGAGAGCGTTCTGAGCCCCCATGCCTTCACAGCCACCACCACGCGGTGGTCTAACAGCAACATGCGTCGCCTCACGATCGACCGCAACATCAGAAATGACCTCTTTAGCCGGCCCTCTCTGCCTGCTCTACCGTCAAGCTCTTCCGATCGGCCGGCTTCCAATGGTAGCAACGAACTGGTGACCACCAATGGAGAACCATCGAGCGAGCCCTCGAGCAAGCTCAAAAAGCGCGTGAGCTTCGACAAAGGAATCACAGGCGGTCAGAGTGGCAACCTGAACGGTGAGACCGGGGCGCTAGTGAGGACCGAGACAGATGACGGAGATTCAGACTCTGGCACGCGTCGCGGGACACCAAATGGAAGCGTCACTCCGGAAGCAGATGCGGGTGCGCGAGGCAACGAGCTTGCAGTCGTTCCTGAGGATCGTGAGTCGGATAATGTCGTCTCCAAGACGCCATCCACCGTACAGGCGAAGCCCGACCCTCAGCCAGGAGACTATTGGATGAAACCATCCCGTGCAGAGCTTTCCAAGCTGCCGCGCGAGAAGCTACAGAACTTTGTTGGATTTGAGGTCGGCCGCAAGGGCTGCGGTAAGGTTGTCTTCAATGGCCCCGTCGATCTGACGGCCATTCCGTTGGACGACCTGTTTGAAAAGATTGTTGAGATCCGTCTCCGATCGGTCACAGTGTATCCCGATGCGAGCACCAAGCCCCCGGTTGGCAAAGGTCTCAACGTGCCCTCCACTATTTCCATCGAAAACTCATGGCCTCGTTCACGCGGCCAGCCTTCTTCCGCCACGAGTGGACCTGTATTTGAGAAGCACGTCAACCGGCTCAAGAAGATGCATGGCACTGAGTTCATTAACTACGAACCGTCCACAGGCGTCTGGACCTTTAGAGTGCCCCACTATACCCGCTACGGGTTGGACTATGACGAGGATGATGAGGAACTCGGTCAAAGCCAGCTGTCTCTCCCACCCAACTCGGCCAATTCGGCGATGGAGGTTGACAGTGATGACCAAGGCGGGTCTGAAGACGACACGTTTGCCTTCAAGCAAAAGACTGTACCAGGTGGTTTTGGACGGCGTTCGGCCATTGATTACGACGACAATGTTCCCTCCGCCCAGATGATCGACGACGTGGAAGAAGAAGCCCGATCTGTCGAACACTCCGAGGAAGAGACTTCCGACAATGAAGTCAGTATGGCTGGGTCGTTCCCACCACCTGGAGGAGCGCCAGCTTTCGGTTTCCAAAGCCCAAACAAGTCTATCCTCAAGCCTGGCCGTCTGGGCACCCCCAGCAAGCCGCTCATTTCCCTCGAGGGTGACTGGGCGGAACAGTTGCAACGGACTATTAGCCCACGTAAGCAGAACCGGGATGCGTTGCGAGAAGTACAGAACAGAGTCTTGCTCGACCACACATATGAGCCGATCAAACCTACTACCTCCAACAAGAATGAATTCCGCACCAGCATCGATATCATGAATTCGTTGTTCAGCAAACATGAGGAGAGAATGGCGAAAGGAAGAAAGGCACAGGCAGGGCCGGACCTTGAGGTTTGAATTTCCCTTCCCCCTTTTGTGCTTCCTTTGGATACGTGAACCATGGACGACTTTGGATGTGTGAGAAGAGTGTGTACGCGCGATGGTATCCCCAGGTGGTCATGGTCCCAGGATTCAAAAATTTGTTACGATAGTATGCAGGTAGTAGTTTACTGAATGCAACACATTGCTAAGACGTTTCTGTTCTTCTAGTTCCCTTATGCAAAGCGCACCAAGACATTCGACGATGACGAGCTGCCGGAGACTGATAAACGTTGGCATTCATCATTCAAGCCTCGTTTCACACAAACCAACGAACTTATCTACCGATCGAATGGCCGCGACGCAGCCGATGCCGGCTGGACTAGGACTTTGCTGTTGGAAGGCCCGAACGGGGATGTGGCTCTCACTTCACTGGATGGAAAGGTTGGTCTTTTCCCTTACATGAGTTCAGGAGGATCATTTTGACTAACCTTGTGGCTTCAGGGTACACTCGACCGCGAATCCCTGCTTGTCGATACGCAGATCACTATCAAGGACCAGGCTCCCTTTGCCACGCATACTGCGGTTCCGTTTTCGCGAATCAAAGACCAGTTGGTGAGACAGCGCGGCTCCGAGGCAGAGCTTGACATTTACGAGGTGGCTCATGTCTTGTTCGACGACTACGAAGACGAGTTTACTGCCGGGCTTGGTCGTCAACAGCAGCAAGAATTCATGGGTCGCATTCGCAAAGCTCGTTTGTCCAAGTATCTGTCATCGCTGGTTTGGAGCAGACACGCCGAGCAAATCAAGTCCGCGGAGACTCAAGGCGGGGCTACCGCGGCGATTCTGCATCTTACGGCGAAGAATGTGAAAGCGGCATGCGACGCGTTGTTGCAGGAGAAGGACTTCCACCTCATGATGCTTGTATCTCAAATTGAGCAAGCCGACGATACCTTCCAAGACGACATGGCCAACCAACTCATGGCTTGGCGTAAGCAGGGGATTCTCTCTGAAATGACCGAGGAGAATCGTGCGCTGTATGAAGTCCTATCCGGCAACACCTCCTTTTCGCAGGGCGTCCCCGATGGACCAGTCGAGAGTCGTGCCACGACCTTTGCGATTTCGGAAAAGTTCGACCTCGATTGGATTCAAGCGTTCTGTCTGTGCTTGTGGTACGGTCGATGGAAGAACGGCGATATTCGGGACGCCGTCAGGGAGTTCCAGAAGAAGTTGGACACGGGCGAAGAAGCAGCCAGCCCCGAGGCCGCCAATGGGGATGAAGATCCGCTTTGGGTTTTACTCAAGCTGTACGCCTGCACAGCGCAGTTCAACAACGCCAGGACTCGAACTGGCATCGAAGTACCCGTGTTCCCCGAAGCCTTCTCCTCGCTGTCCGGACCATGGGATTGCTACAAGACGTTCCGTCTGCACCATGCTCTAGCGGCCGCCATCCCTGATATTGTCACAATCGACCAGGCCAAAGCGGACGAGCTGACAACCTCGCTGGCCTTTGAGCGATCCGCACGCGGTGACGTCCTTGGAGCTGTTTGGGCGCTGTTGCATATTACGGACTCGACGACGCGTCACTCGTTCATCATTGACTTGCTCGCTCGTCACGCGGCCGTCCTGCCAGACCCGCCATCATCCAGCGATGCTACTGAGCAGCAGCAATCCCCTAACTCTCTCTGGAGGGGCCTTGTCTCGTCGCTGAAAGTCCCCGGCTCCTGGATCTGCCGTGCCAAAGCTCTCTACGCCCGCTCGTCCAACATGTCACTGGAAGAACTCAATCTCTTGATTGCAGCCGAAGACTTCGCCGAAGCCCATGAATGTCTGCTTCGCCGAGTCGCTCCTCGCCTTGTCATCGATGAGGACTGGGAAACATTGCGCAACGTCCTGGCCAAGTTTGGCGAAGATCCCGAGGCCAAAATTGATAGCGCGGAATGGCAGGCCGGCGGTGCAGTCTACGCAGACTTTGTGTCGCTGATGGGTGTTATGGGATCTGGTAGCACTGGCAACACTGTCAACCGCAAGAATCTCCTGCAACGTTTGCCAACGGCGCTAACGGGATTAAAAAATGCATCCAATACAAATGGGTCTTTGTCGGCGGCCCAGAATCGTGAGAAATTGGAGGAAAGAGTCGCCCTTTGCGAAATGGCCAGGGTAGTGGCGCGCGCATTGGAGATGGATCTTGATGAGGACAGAAGAAGCAGTGTCGGTGACAAGGTATGTTTTTTGTCTGAAGGCCCAGATTTACAGCGGTGACTGACTGTTTTTGATTGCAGAAATCGATACTTGATCTCCCTCTTACCGCCGATGCACGTCTAAGTCACGCTATAGCTCTGGGAGTCGACTACTACCGCGGGGTTATGGCGATGGCTCGTTGAGATCCAATCCTATCTCACCCTTGACGGCTGGGTAGGTGCCTGTGCAGGGAGGGGCACGGTGTGTCAAGTTTCACGATGGCCAAGAAACGGTTGGCGGCAATACCCAAGAATGGAAAGACCAAAAGGAGCAAGAAAAGGCAACCTGTGCCAGTGGGTGGGAAATGAGCCGGCCTGCCCTTCCTGTTGTTTGCAGTGTCTTTGGTTGCGACTTGGAGCTGAAAAACATTTCATTTCCAAGCCCAGGAGTTCATTTGACGCCGCTGCAGCATTGGAGAAGGGAAGTGGGTGCGGCACGCTCGTTCGCTCGCTCGCTGTGATGACAAGAACACTGCAGGGGCTCGGATACCGTTGTTGCAGTAGGTGGATGCCGTGGTGGAAGATGGTTGAACCGGAAATTTGTATGGCAATGGCATAGCACCGCACCGCACTGCAGTGCCAATGTAAGAATAGCTAGGTTGGCGCTCGCGTTTGTTTCTTGAACCAGCCTCTTCCTGGCAACTTGAAGGAGAAAGTTGGTGAGTGGAGAGGTGTTTGAGTCGTGAACCACTGGCAGAGCTGAGAGAACCCTTGAAACTTTTGACGATGCGACGCTGCAAGGGGAACTACCTAGTAGGTAGATGTCAGAACTCAGAGATCAAAAAGCTCCAGACAAGTCATCCCATCCCATCCCGGCATCCCATGTTCCCTGCTCCAATTAATGGTCTGGTCTGTCTTCTTTGTTTGTGTAGATATCTGCATTTGACTTGGTTGACTGTGCCACTATTCATGGTTAGTATTTAGGCCCGAGGGCCGGTTTCGTTGGGTGGTTCAATCAACTTGGTTGCTACGTTAGGTAGGTATGGATGAACCTGAAGTAGGCGTCGCCTCTGCACTGCACGTCACAATTGTGATTTCGCGGGAACTGAAGGTCCCAGCTCGGTTATTGCCCAGGGAGTGAGTGCATGGGGCCAAATTGAACTGATTGAAGTGGACGGGAGTTGAGTGGAGGAGAGCCGGCGGAGGACAACGGAGAGCGAGAGAGAGAGAGGAAAGTCTAACTGTTAAGCTTGCCAGACTTGAACTACTATGCACTCACTACCTCAGCCACCCCCGTGGGTATGTGGTTAGGGTAGTATACCTAGAGGTCTAGGTAGGTAGGTACTGTAAGTAGTGCCGGTATTCAGTTCACTCAATGCCTGAGGGCTGGCTAAGGTAGGTACCTACCTAGGTAAGGTATGTGAGACAGGCCGCGGCGGCTGGGCCGAGTTCTGGGTAGTTGGGGGCAGTTGGTAACACTGGGCAGTTCAAGTTTGGAGCTGGACACCAAAGCCAAGGAGGTGGCTTGCCCTTTGTTCCATTCAAGTTCAGGTGCCTTCCGGCCATGTCCACAGTGCTGAGTGCGTCCAACGGAACCATGACGCTCCGGGAGCAGTGTTCACTGATGGCCGGGGTTCGGAATGGGTCGTCGGTCGACTGCGTACCACACAGGCCCGGGTACCGGCTGACTTGATTGATGACTGGCGCCTGCTACCTACCTATCTAGATAGATATACGGGAGTACCTACCTACCTCAGGTACCTTGGGTACGTACTAGGCGGAAAGAATGATGGGGTGGCGAGTTGTTGGATAGACGGGTTCAAGTTTGGTACTCCGAGTCGCAGTGCCATTCATATACCTACTAGGTAGTGAGTTCAAGGTTCTGGTAAGCTGACCGTTTCGATCCATGGGTGGAGGCTTATCCTTGTAGCAGGCTACTAGTACCAAACCAAACCTCAGAGTACCGAAAAAGCTAACGTATACATCTGCGAAAAAGGCCCAGAAGACACGGCTGCGTTGCTGGCGCGAGCTTAAGTTGTTGTAACACGGTCGGATCATCAATCTCTACCTGATGTACTTCTGGGTGAGGGGAGTTAGCGAGGCAAAGGGGCCAGCCAAACTCGGTTCAAAGTTCGTGGAGTAGCGGCGCACCTCGAACCAATAGTGAAGTAAGATAAAATGGAGAAACGTCGTGAGTGGGTACCTTGGCTGCTGACTCATCCTCAGCCTTGTCTGGTTCAAGGGGTTTGTGGTCCGTCACATGATCTCCGCTGCTGGTCCATGTTGGAGCGGAGATAGAGTATAGAAATGCTGTGGACAATGGGGCAGGGGGAACATCATCTGGTCTCCGAGCGGTTGTAACAGACCATGTTGACGGTTCGGACAGGTTATGGTAGGCAATGGATACTCTTCCCAGATGTGTGACAGGAGGTTCTGTTGGTCGTTGTTGAAGACTGGAGATTCGGTCAGCTTTGGGTTGATCATAGTGTTGCTCGTACTGCGCAATAACAGCTTCCCGGGGGAGGCGTGTCATATCAATGTGGTAAGATGGAAAGTCTTCCGTGTATCTCGGTGTTGGACACTGCAGGGAGCACAATCCTGCCTGCGCCCTGAGATTGGAGGAGATGGTCTCCTTGTTGGCCGTCGGCGTAGGTAGTAGGGACTTCATGTTGTGTGTTGGTACGCACGTATGGCCAATTGGTCTGTAGCACAAGTATCATTCTGTTGGCTTTCTTGTAGCCCCACTGTCTTCTGCTCAACTAGAATCGAGGAGGTCAGCTTGCTGGAACGATGGCTCGAAGGGCACCTTGTGTTTGCGTGGCAGATTGGCCAAATTCTCTTGATGATTAACTCATTCTGTTTTGTCTGTCAGCTTCAATGCTAGTTTAAACTTTTCCTGTCCTCAACTGACATATCCACAACCAGGTGTGTCTTTCTCAGGATGTGTGTTCCATTCATGAGCTCTTTGATGATCGGCCATCTTCGATACACTCCAGCTCAGTCCAGCGGATGTGTCAAGTCCTTGAAGCGTATGTGTTTCAATTCTCTCTATGTGTGTATAGGAGGACATTTGGCCCATGTACCATGGACCTTGTTCAGTTCCAGCCTTTTCCCCGTGCCGAGGACGAGCCACGTCTCATAGAGAATAAACACTGCAAGACTGTCATCTCAAACATTTTTCGTCGGCTCTGGTGCCAGGATTCAAGGTCTGAACTAGCTGTTCAACCACTTGATCATGTTTTTTGCACAGATTCGACAGCGTGTGGCGACCTCTGCGTCCTTAGAGGTGGCTCAGAGGTTGACTTCACGATGAAAACCAGGCGGAACGGAGCATCGACGGAAGTCTTCTGGTTTGTTTCGTTTCAATCTGTCTCTCTTCACGTTGAATGCGTTTCAGAGGCAGAAAGAGTATATTTTGGATTGTCAAAGACTGGAAGATACTCTCTGATGAGATTCTCTTGCTGCTCACGGAGAATCCAGGATACACTGAAGGCCAGTGTTACGAGCAGCAGTGAGGACCACTCTCACAAGCAGTGCTGTCTAAGGATCAGGAAAGAGACAAAAAGCATCCTCAGAGAATGGAAGGAAGACAGAAAACTGCAAAGGCTCCAGAGGCACAGCTTGGCCATCAAGAGCAAGCCCCCCAAACCCACCCCGGAGCTGAAATACTGGCTCCGACACATCCTCTAGGCAGCTACGGGTGAGATATCTAAGTTTTCTAGGCTCTCCGCCCCGGCTACCGACTTCACATCAGTGGGGTTTCTTCCCCAGCATGATCGGAGACAACTACTAATGAGGGTAGGATATCTACATTGTCTTTTGGTTCTGCCATTTAGCTTTACAACGTTCAGAGGATCTCCCAGTAAGCGCAAACTCTGGCGGAAAGCAACGTGATATCAAATCTTCCTCCTACACGCCGGAACCGCACAACGTGTGTCCTCTGAATACGCGTCCAGTCGGTACTTGTGTACTTGCTAGAACCTTCTACGCAAGAATTGAACGAGATTGACATTCAAATTAGTATGTGGAAGCAAAAGATCTCTCTTCTTTAGCCAGTCTGTCAACTCAAGTCAGCCACTCTGTAACCACGGCATGCTTGACATGTTCTCTTCTGCGGTTGAACCAATCCAATCGTACAGACCAAGGGGATGTATGCATACTGCAACTGACACGACACACCCTTAAGCCACCGTCACTGCCATGAACCATGCATCATGAGACAACAAAAAACAACAGACAGGCGCCACTGGCACAGCGGCACATGTTTTTGTATGCATTTGCAGGGCTCTGGGGTCTTGTCCCAATGCAACCGACGCTGACCATTGACCCGCCGCGGTCATCTGTTCCGCATTGGGCAAGAAGTGAAGCTCAGCTTCCAGTGGCAGAGTGGCGTCGTCGGCAGTTACAACCCTTTCTGAGAGCTTTTTGCGAACCATACGTAGCAGGTAGGGTTCAAGGATCTTTTTCTCTTTCTCTCTTTAGAGCCGTATCATCCCAGCTGAACACCATTCGAACGCGGCGACGGCGTGTGAACGTAGATACCTAGGTACTACCTTGGTATATCATCCAAACCACCAACGACGACCAGTGACCACAAGCGTCTCGGAGATTGAGCAACGTAGTTAGTTGAGCTCGAAGTAATGTAATTCAAATCAAGAACCACGCTCAAAGCCTTGGTAGAGCGGACCGGAGCACAGTCAGCACACACCAAGCCCCAGCCTCGCGTCAATTTGCGGTTCACCCACACGATCCGCAAGGCTAAACCATAAGATAAGCTTGGAACGAACATTAGTTATTTCGTGGCGGAGTCTGCGGCTATCTTAGCTCTGATATCAGCCTTTCCTCCGATCCTGCTCTGCTCAGGCTGAGACTGTGTTGACGAGGCCAGGCCAGACCAAGTCGGACGCGACGAGGCCGGACTAGACTTTAAACCGTTCGAACCCTCACGTCTCAACCATATCGTTTCATCTGGTTCTCAGCCCCTGTATGAGCGGAAACAGCTGAGGAGGCAATTCAGGCACACTGCAATTGTCAATCTTCGGACCACTCGGAGACTGTCGAGGTTACCTACCTAGTACCTACAACTAGTAAAGTCAGTGGATCGAGGATTTGGTCCCACGCCCGTCTCGAGCTGGATCTGATACACCGCCATCCACCGACCTTGTCCTGGTTCACAGGCTCTAGAGGGTGGGACGTTCGCACAGCTCAAGTTACCTTGCCCCATGTCTTTACCGTACCTGGTAGGTCGTAATCGATCGTCCCTATCCCGGGCCTTGACCTTATCCTCCCGCTTTGCTTTGCCACTGCTGATCGTTGAGAACACTTCACCCCTCACAGTAATGACAAACACTGGTCTCCTACCAGCGATTCGGGTCCTTCTGGCCATCATACTGCATCCACATTCGTCCACCCAACGCTGTTCTATCTGTTCTTCTCTCGGTTCCAATGTCCTTTTGCAGTCTCTATTGTGGTAAACACGTCACGGAAGCGGACTTCCTTTTTGACCCAAGCTAAACTTGAACCCAATTCGATCTGTCAAAAGAAAAAACTCTGAACCCTTACAGTATGTCCCTTGCCTCGTTGCCTCATTCCCAATCGTTGACTTTGTCCCATGCTTCTTCGTGCGGAGTTTGCGCTGGATCCATGCATGTCAAGCTCAGCTACCTACAGGTACTAGCTATGATGTGGCGGGCAAGATGATCAACCCCGAGTCGTTGAACCTCATCATCCATGCAGTTCAGTGAGTCAACCTGAGGACTGCTGGATGTCTATATAAGCCCTTGCTCTCCTCTACGTGAACATTTCTGTCTTGCTCTTCATTCAACACGTTTGTTGAGGCCGTCGATTCAACATCCGGCTCTGAGCATCGAGCACTCCAACTACTAGCTACGTTTCATAGGCGGGATCCGAGGCAGCTTACGAGTCTTCTCCTTTCCAATATGCCCTCAGTGGCTCGTTTAGCCTGCTTTACAGGTCATGTCTCAGAAATGGACTCAAAATCACTGCGTTCAAGTCGCAGGTATGGATGCAGTGGGGTGTGGACGAGTTACAATCAGCAATGTTGAATGTGGAGGAGTGTTGAAACAAAAACAAAATCATCATACGTGATATGGATCGCTTGTATCCCGCCCGTTTTCCATCTTTTCCAACCGTCTGACGCCCCCATCCCCTCATGCCGGCGGTACAATACATGCAGAAAAACAATAACCGATATCCCAAACGTTTCAGAAACTTCCTCTATCCTCCTTCTTTTGCTGCAACCATGTTGAAGGTGCACTTCTTGCTCATACCGACAAACTCGGATGCTTGGAAAGCGACATTCAGTGGCACGGTCTATGATCCCCATCATCTCGAGCACTGAAATCACCATCATACCGTCCGATAGTGGCTTTGCACGCCCTTCAAAGGTTCCGTACGCTGCCCGGCCAAGAAGCGTTTGTCCCATCTGGATTCATGGGAAACATATTCGAGGGAAAAGAAGGCTGTTGTTGTTGTTGTTGAACATGTTGTTGAACTTGTTCTTGGACTTGTTGGACTTGTTGGACTTGTTGTTCAATTTGGTCTTGATATGACCAGAAATTGAAAGTCATGTGGGCTTCGGGTGCCACGGAAGGAGCTTGCATCGAGTATGAAGTTGTTGGCATGGTAGTAGGAGCTTGCATCGAGTATGAACTTGATGGCATGGTGGTAGGAGCTTGCACCGAGTATGAAGTTGGCGGCATGGTAGTAGACCAGTTCTGGACTTGTGGAAGTGGCAGACTCATCGGCATCGGGAGGCTCGTGGGGCATGGAAGGCTCGTTGGACAAGGGTAGTCGGGTACTGAGATGGAATTGATTTGCCCGAATTGCGCCCTGTTCAAGTGGTCTCTAATCCCCAAGGGGCCTGATCCTTGGTATCTGAGTCGGTGCGCGATGATTTCGCTATTTGGGGCAAAGCCAGGATGTGCGTAATGGCCGCCCCGGGCGTGAGCCATTATGGCGTCCTCTGATACGACAAGACCGTTGGGAAGAAGGAGTCCGGAAAATTGGTGATCAGTCGTCCAGTCCATACCCTGCGACCTGCGTCTTCTGCGTAACTGTCAGCTCTCGAGGGCAGACGACGGGGGGCAGGCAAAAATCTTACGATGGCTCTTTTCGGATCCTCAGCTTGACCCCGGCGTCAGCTAGCGCTTTCGACAACGCTGTGGATTCCCGAAGAGGGGAGGGAACTCTGGACGCGCGAACTAAGATCATGTCAATATCTTCCGTCACTGGCTTTGCGGCACTACTTACTTTCAAAGGGTTCGGAAATCGACGAAGCGAGCTTGGCTGAGAACATGCTCTCACCACTACTCTCTTGTCAGCAGTGTCAAGGTAGAATTAGCCAAGATATCTCTGAGACTTACCGCTGACGCATCTCAAAGAGAGTAATTCTGAGTTTGAAAACACCGGCGAACTTGATGTGGAGGTCTCCATAGACGAAGACACCATGGTCTGTGGAGCTGTCAGCGCGGCTCTAGAGCCTAGTAGGATATAGCTCTTACCTCTGCTGTCCTGCATCTTGACCCTGTGGAGCGACGACGTCAAAGTTCCGAAAAGAGTGTCAGGTGTCACTGGTTCGCCGTTGACTGCTTCGATGGTGACAAGGCAAAACCAGTAGGGGCTAGTGAGGTAGGCCTTGGAGGTATCGTTGTTGTTGACCTTGAACTCTACAACAAGAGGAGGGTCGAGGGGCCATTTGACAGCGCTTCTAGCTGTATCCGTGTCAGCGTGCGAACGTGAAAGTTTCTGTTGACCTTGCATACCATTACGCTTGTGGGGTGAGGACGGTACATGGCCATCCCGAGGTTGTTGGATGACATTCAACTCATAAGCACTACTGTGATGTGTAAATCCGGTCAGTTCTGTAGATCGTAGATGGGGCAAGTAGTATGGCATCTCAGTAATAGACGGCACAAGCACCGACCTATCGAGAGTGAGATTACTCTGGACCACAGCATTGAGCATGTCGTCGTAGTCCTGCATGGCGACCCGTGGTGATTTTGAAGCCTCGTAAAGAACCATTTCCTTGAATCAGACTGTTTGATGTCAAAAGCAGTCGATGTGTAGACTGAGTAGATTGCTTGTTGTGCGCACAATTTGACCCTTGCAGAGAGAGGCACAAAGAATGGTACGTAGTATGAAATGAGCCAAAGGATATAGATGTAGCTTGAAGAACCCGTGGTATTTTATGGGAAAGCCGAACAAAAGGACAAGTGAGCTTCTGGGACGGAGAGGAGGACCTATAAGGTGAAAACTACTGCTGGCGGCGCGCTGCCTGAGTAGTCCCGGGTGGCGGGCGAGGAGGGTGCAGAGGCCGTAGTGCGAGTACGGATGCTGAATGTCCGACGAATGAGGTGTTTGTTGAGGATGGAGAGCGCTCTCGTCTTGGATTTCGAACAATCAAATGCTTCTACCAGGCGCTCATGAGCCCGAGGGTACGGTTCGCGATATCGCGCCTCAGCCATCCAAGACAGGAGTTCCTCTGAAAAAGAGAGCCTAGAAGGAATAACCGCCCGCTAAAGAGTCTGTAGTGCGTTGCAAGTCTTTTTTCTGCCGCTTCAGCAAGAAAAAAGTAGTCGTCTTCTGACTCCTCAAAGGCTCAAGTAGTATAATCGATGGCTGATCCGTCGAGCATTGCCAACAAGTCGTCGTGTGAGCAGGAAGAGGAACACTCTCATTTGGCCAGAGAAATGTATGTGGAGTCTTGACTTTGTCAAATGCTCCTTTTAGCATCGCGAAAAGCAGATCCTCGACGACCCTGAGCTGGATATGCTTTGGGCCGTGATCAGAGAGTGCAGATCAATCAAAAGATCACCAGCTGAGCTCGAAACTCCATATGGTGTCTCCTCACGTTGGATACGCGGCTCTCGCTATGAAAATATCGAAAATTAATATGAGTCAACTGATATGTTGTCGCTGGTAGCTGTTTGTAAAGCGATGGAGGCACCAGTAGGGCGATGGTTGTCACTGAGAAAAGTCCCTCCTCTATGCGCAGTCCACCACGTGGTTTCCGCATCAACCAGGCAGTTGGACGTAGCGGTTGAGCGAGGGCGGCCAACTGGAAATGGGCAGTTGTGGCCCGGTGCAGTCGACACTCGACAGCGGTGGAAGGAGCCTTGCTCGAACCCGAGGACAGTTGGCCGTAGATTTGTACCTCAGTCAACCGTCTAAAGCACGCTCGTCTTTGTGATAGAGAAGAGGAACGTCGAGGTCGTGCTGATTGCCGGCAACTCATAACTCTTCAGCAGCCGTCTTTTCCACAAGGGCTGTTGCTTGATCACCCCAGGATTATTCGTCGTCCACGCCAATTTATAAATATGAAATGCTTTGCTGTTGGCGTCCCCTGCCCCTCTATCCTGCGCTGAAGGCCACGGCCGCAGTGTCGAGCAAGCTTCACTCGTCCTCTGACCCAACCCGGACGTCCCAACGAGTATCTTGACGCAAACTAGATCCTTGTTTGTCATAGGCCGGGCAAGCTCACTGAGGCATCGTCTATTCAGCCAGCCGAGTCCGTCATGGCTGGTCATACAAGCAGCAGATGTATTGGACGAGACGCTTCGTCAGAGCCAGCTGTACTGAGATGCCTTCTACGGGTCTGGGAAAGATGCAGGATTTAGATTTTCACCACAAACATCCAGCCCAAGACAGTAGGATAAGATCCCCTCCGACGGCAAGAGATATGATAGACCAGGCGCCACCTGATTTGCGGATGGCCGGCCGACGAGCAACAGCTCGTCGTCTGCGCAATGCCGTTTGTCATGGCGTCTTCACAATGCCAGACACTCGACATGGGCAGGTGTCTAATGCCGATCTTTGGTGGTTGCAGAATCTACCACAAGCCACAACCTCGTGTTGGCGACATTCGTCCACATTTCTTCCCAACCACGGCCCACAGTTGAAAGGAAACACATCGTGCAACGGCCGTGCCCGAACCGGCCGCAGCCGTTGCACAGAGACCGGTCGAATAAGAATCCCACCGGCCGTTCACGCCCAGCTGGGAATACTCATGGGACTTTGGACACCCGGTGGAGAGCGACAAATATCGGAAGAGGTTAGCCAGGGACTGTGAGGTTGCACCGCAGTAGGTGTCTGCCAGAACGGGGTACCCTCAGATACCTCAGGGCAATCATAGTCCTGATCCAGTCGTACAGGCTTCGTGATACCCTTGCTGATACCTTGGTATGAGGGATTGGCTGGCAGGCAGTTAAGGTTGCATGGTCAGAGCCTAGGGTGTCTGATGAACTCGAGGTCTGTGACAATCACTCGTGCTAAGATCCAGCGGGCGGCAATTGGGGGTCTCCAAGGCCACCATGGGGATGTCGGCACCCTGTTGACATACAATGAAGCTGTCATTATCGCAGTCTCTACCTTCAAAATATCACACTGCTTCATGGGCATCTCTGGCATAGAGGTTTGTTGACATTCGGCAAGAAATCACAGGGCATTTCAGACCTCCCTGTTTAGGGACATCGCCCAGTCTGGGGTATCCCTGAACCAAGCCACGGAACTGTAGCGGAGGTTGTGGCTGGTAAAAAACCAGCCGGAGCTAGCAGCTTGTTTGCTTTGACTGGTCATATGCCGCTGGCGCCTTTCTCAGATGCAAGCCAGCCGCCAGGCTGAAGTCGGGAGGCTATTGTCACTGCCAGCATCTGTTGGCGTCTTGCCGACATACTTTGGCGTATGCCAGCAGCTAAAGTGTTCGAAAGAGCTGACATGGGCCGGCGACAAAGATGTCCAGCCCTTCTAAGCCTGGCGCGTCAAATGCCCACGTGTTCAAGACGTAAGACCGTCTAAAGTGGTCATCAAGGTCAAGGAATTTCTGGCGGATTGAATGGACCCGGCGACACTGACTAGAACGCATACTTTGAACGACAGCCCCATGTTCCGCGCGAGCAATCGTAACGGAATCGCATCGTGGCATGCACTGGAACACTTGCCGATTACTGTAGATGAGCCAGCTGCCCAACTGGCAGTGAAGACTGGGTTGTTCCCATCGACAAGGCGCAAGAGCCAGGGAGCAAGGATTTTCGTGTTTCGGCGGCCACAACAGAATCGGAGCTGTCGCTGTCAGCCTAAACATCCTTGTCAGGAACAAAGGCCCAACACGCGATCTTCCCCACTGCATCTTCTTCTTAGGCCTCCGAGTTTGCATTGAACACCCATCGATGCCGAGCATGACCACTGGGGCCCACGTTGTCGTGGTTTGGCAGGCCGGAGAAGTTGTGGAGCTCTACAGGGCAACGCAGTATCCGAGTCTGTCGTTACAGGGTGCGTTGATATGCAGTCAGTGATGCTCGCAATATCGATCCGCGTATGCATTCCACCCTGCCATGGCTCGCCTGAGGCTGCAGCAATTGGTCATGTTGTCAACATCGACTGCAGTATTATCCCTTTACGCGACGGTCGGTAAGCTTGCCTTCCACCTGAATTGAGCAAACTCCGTGCATTAAATCCGTCTGCCCTCCAAGGCAACGAACCAAAACGACAGGTCATCAATCACAGGTTGGTTGCACGCATCTAGAGTAGCGCTTCTTCTTAGGCTATCCCGCGGCCATCGCACGTTGCGAAGCCTGTTTTGATGACACGCAGAGAGAATGGTGGACATCTTCGTGCTCTGCCGATTGTGGCTTGTCAACCTGGTCGGTCCAGGCCCGAGTCTCTGGTACAAGACACAACCACCGGCCGCTCCAGACCACGAAGGCCATCCCAATCCTCCGGTTTGCCATGCATGCGGCTCCCTGTCACCTGAAGCGGTTGTGCAACCATCGGTGCCCAATAACACGAGACTTGCCGGATCCTTGTGCCTCCCTGTCAATGCAAACCCTTCCTTAAGCGGTGCATGCTTTTGAAGAAGCTCATCCAGATCGGACAACAGATAGAGATCTATCGAGAACCCCTGGCCTGCGATCTGCTCACCATCCGCGCCGAGGGCAGATTGGGGCTAACTCCTGATCAAGGAAAAAAAAATTCGGTACGGTGAACGCGCATGGCTGTCAGGGGTGGTTCCACGTGTGCTCCTGTCCACCGTCAAGATGCACCGTTCTTCAGCCTGATACAGCCCTCGGCACCATTTCCCTGCTCGCATCCAATCTTAAAGATATGGATGTTAGGCTGGTGAACACGATACACAGTCTTGTCGTCCGTCCTGCATGGATACACCAACACTACCATACTACGCGTTAGGATCTCGACCAATGGCGATTCTTTCTGGATACCCTCTCCGAGTGGAGGGCAATCTCATCCACGGCATAAGATATGGGAGAATTGGCAGCTCATAATGGACCGAAAGAGGAGCTTGCCACGTGCATGCGAGGCGTTTTCTCTTCCATATAGTTAGCTGCTGTCCTTGGACCGGGCTGATGTGCAGAATTCTTCCAACCTGGCCGTCTATGGAGAGGCTGTTGAAACTTGGATATCTTACTGCATCTCGCCAGGAAAGGTCAATGGTGTAGATGGCAGATGTCTATCTTGTCATCGACGAGCCTAGAACCCACCCCGTACAGGTGTCACGACATTCTCCAGGAGATCTGGACTCATCGAATCTTGCCGAGGGAATTGGCACAAGCCATCCTCCTCAATGGGACTCCGTCGAGCTGCAGACCATGGCCTCACTTTGGTAGTGCTGTTGTTCCGCTCGGTTGGCAAGTCCGGCCACTAGAGATAGCGATCCTGCATGTCCCTTTGGGAGCATGGGTTTCCGAACCGATCTCTCTTCTTTCGAACGGTCAAGACACCATGGCTTCCGGCAATTTTGACTGCTCGTATACAATCTGTAGATCGGGCAATCCTCGATCGAAAAAGAAGCGGTGCGGCAACCCGGAGAGTCATCATGCTGGCAGCAGATCAAAGGCGTGCCAGCCTGGTCGTCTGCCGGCTCGATTCGTTGATGTGGATAAGGCAAACAGTACCTTGCCGGAAAAAGTGTGCAAGGCCATCATGATCTCATGTTCCTTTCCCACAGCGATTACGTTCGAAAAGTCGGGTTTGACACAGATCTTGCTGAGAAACAGCGGACGCAGTACGCTCTTCAACGGATGTTGCCATCAAAGGTCAACCTTTGACGCTGTCAGCTAGTTCTCACATAATGATGCACGTTGTAGACGCAAGCTAGGTGAGAGCCTGTCACTACTGAAGATGAATCGATCGTGACCATTTCCTCATCGTAACGAAGGTACCTAAGGGAGGTACTACTAATTACACCATGAGGCGAAGCAAGTATGTGCGCACGTGACATGGTGACCGAACGAGAGGGAAAAAAAGGACGCCTGCCTTAATGCGGCACTGCATAATTTTCCCAAAACACATCAAGGCGAAGTGCAACAATGCAGCATGAGGTTCGAAAAGACTTTTTGTTCAAAGACTTTCGCAAAAAGGCAAAAAAGAAATTGACAACTGTGGGACTTGAACCCACGCGGGATTACTCCCATCAGGAAACGTCTATCCGATCGGATGATCAGATACTTGAGTGCTAAGACTTAAGTGCCTTAACCTGACGCCATAACCAGCTCGGCCAAGTTGCCATGGAACTCACCTTCAGATGTCCTGAAGACTTGTTGACGAAAATTTGGAGACTTTAAAATATAATCCACATCAACTTTGCAATGGGGCTGGTGGCTGACGTGTGTGGATACCACTACACCTTGATTGCACTAGCGCCAATAAGCTTGACAAACCAAATTCACACTGGTGAGCTTCAAGTTCAAGTTGGCCATCTCAGGAGCAGCCGACTGCAGTGCCGATACCGTAGGTACCTGCAACAGCGAAGCAGGGAAAAGCAGAAAAGGTGCATATGTTGTACGCACCTACACCATGTCTTATGCCTGAATGATACAACCATGGTGTCCATCCTGTCCCCTAAGGCAATCCGGGATCATCCTCCCGTTGCACTCACTACTCTGTTTCTTGGCTGGAAACTGTGCATTGTTGTGATCGCTCTAGCTAGCCCAGGCATTGGCTATGACTCGTCTACATCACTGCTCTCTAGCAAGGGTTCTCCTCATCAAATTTTGTTGGAAACCCCGACCTCTTTGACGAGTCCGTGGTTCAAATTCGTCAGATGGGACGCGATATATTTCACGCACATATCACAGCAAGGACATGTATACGAGCAGGAATGGGCTTTCGGGATGGGCATCTCGACGGTGTTGTCATGGATTGCAGCATGTAGGGAATCATCCCAAGGTAGACCGGACAATTGACTGAGCAGAACAGTGATTGCGAACGCCTTCCACTTTGGCGACAGCCAGGCGGCCACACTCACAGCTGGCCTCGTTTTGTCTAATTTGACACACTGGCTGTCGGTCATCCAGCTGTTTGCCCTTGCAACAGCCCTCAATAACGGAGAACGGCATTCGAAGTCCACGATCCCGTTTTGTGCTGCAGCATTTCACATCTTCTCACCGGCAGGGATCTTTCTCTCGGCCCCTTACACCGAAAGTTTGTTTGCGTTTCTCTCCATGTCCGGATTCCTGGGCTATGTCAAGGCCGTACAGTATTTCGAGCGTGGACGGGGGCTTTCCGGGTGTGGCAGCATGATTTTGTCAGGGGCCACCTTTGGCGCCGCCACTTTCGTGAGGAGTAATGGCATACTGGCGGGAACGCCATTCCTCCTCGAGGCGATCCTGACTCTCCTCGCAATCGGCCGACGCGGTCTATCGTTTTCGAGAATCAGCCGTCTTCTGACTGCCGTTCTTGCCGGGCTCCTGGTAGCGATGGGAATGGTGATCCCACAATTTGTCGCATTCCGCGAGTACTGCAGCGGACGAAGTCCTGGAGACAGTCGACCCTGGTGTAATCTGGTGATTCCATCGATCTTTACCTGGGTCCAGTCTCACTATTGGTATGTCACAAGGTGTCTTGTTTGTCAAAATACTGATTGCAGCTCCAGGAATGTCGGTCCCTTCCGGTATTGGACACTTTCTAATCTTCCACTGTTTCTCCTGGCAGCACCCACCCTGTGGCTGCTCACATATTCGGCAGTGGAAGCCGTCCGAAACCCAGGAGATCTTCCGTGGTGCAGGCCATCCATGTCACCCGGCACAGCCTCCAGGTGCCGGAAGAGAGTCGTTATGAGCCTAGCACTGCCTCAACTGGCACTTGCGGTCCTTGCGTTGACAAGCTATCATGTGCAGATTATCACGAGATTATCTTCCGGGTATCCCTTGTGGTATATTTGGTTAGCAGCCAAGACTCATGATGCGCCGAAGCGCACGGCGCCCATCTTACGGTGGATGGTCATATATGCTATGGTTCAGGCCGGCTTGTATGCGTCGTTCTTACCCCCAGCTTAGGATGGAATCAATCACATCTCTTTGATCTTCGTGTGTCAATGATGCATTACGAGGACGATCCGCCTAGAAAAATTGCTCTTTGCCACACATAAGCTGCCGGTCGAATCGTAGTACGGAGGGATCATTAGCCTAGGGAGAGTTTTCTCCTCCAGCGGCGTGCAGCTGAACAGCCCAGGTCCCCGTGGGTAGTGGTCACCACCTATTGAGCGACCTCGAGTAGGGTTGAAGTGAGGTTGGTTCGGCAGTCAAAGTGACCGGACCCGACGCAATCAGTTGAAAATGAAGAAGACTAGTACTTAACTTTAGGATGTTTTCTTCGTTGTTGGAAGAGAGAATCCTCAGCAAAGTAGAGCACGCATCAGGAAGTATGTAGAAGAATGTTGAGACGGACCGAAGCATTGACCGAGCGGTGGAATTATATTCTCCCCGCAGTACCGCACATGTATATATTTATGGTATATTTATATTCAGCTGCGCTCTTCGCAGGTTCTACTAGTATATTCCGACAGATGCTTTTGACATCGTGAAGTCAGTCACAGAGTTTGAACGAGTTAAGATACCACGGTGAACTTCTAGAGGAACTCGAGCGCCTGATTAAAGTCTGCCAGCATTCGATAATCAGGGTACCTGGTATATCAGCCCAAAGCGGCGGTGCATCCAATGAGGTCTATCGGATATCTCAGACCTTGCCAGTGAGCGCCTACAAGGCGGGCGTCAGCCTGCGAAAAGGCAGCGACAATGGCTCGACGATATTCAATCTTGAAGATGGACCTGAACTGGAAGAGATGTCGATGGGTATAACCCTTCGAGCTACCTTTCGGTATCGTCGCCGAACACGATGGTGTTCAAAAGTTACAGAAATACGGTTCCAACAACATGAGCCACCAACCCTCTCATCACCACCAGCACCACTCTACTATCATGGTGTTGCAGAATCCTTCAACCAATACCGCAATCGAAGGAAATCCCAGCACCCCAACAGAAATTACAATGATGCAAGAACAGAGACTTGATTCTATCCTAGAGCAGTTCGGCTTGTCTATGACTGGAGGAAGGGCGGCCAAAGAGAAACGCTTGAGACAGTATATTGGTCTTCCACCAGTTGCTGGTTCATGGATCTCTAAGTGGAGGTGGAAGTGGAAGCGAAGTCAAGAATAACCTGGCCGACAAGCTGTATCATTCGAGCCGTGTAATGAGGGTGAGCCCAGAGCAGTTCTTATTACAACGTACACTGGCAGTTGTACATTGCTTTAGCTGCCAAGCTTCTCTGAGGACTGCGAGACTCCGAGTCGGGTTTCCGTGTCGCGTGTAATAGAGAAGCAAACAATAAGCAAACAGAACAGGTGCACAACACCTACTATCCCTTAACATTGATCATCCCAGTCCCGAACGCCTCCTCAATATCGCTGCAGTCCATCCCAACCTCCTCGCGTCGTTATAATCCCTCGGGCTCGTCGAGCGCAGGCATAAACGTGACGTAGCAAGGCTGCACTGCAGCTTGCTAAGCGCCTCAACATTGATTACACCCACGTCGACTGCCTGGCCACTTTGGCTGTCTGCCTCTGTACAACGAACGGCACGAGCATAAAACATTCAGGACTGCCTTTTGTTCTCGATCGCTCTGGAGGCATGCACCTGTTTGGCTGTCCCGCCTTCATTCACCAACCTCGATGAGTCCACGACTGTCACTGCCGTACAATGGAAGACCATAGAGAGCACAGCGGGGAGACTGGCCAAAATGGGCGGGAGACATCAAGAGCGACGTCTCCGACGGGGACTGTGGCCATGGAACAGTTGAAGATAACGGACATCGAACACCAGTCTAAGCGCAACCGTCCGCGGACGTTTCCATACTTCAGCACCCTGCCTTACCCGGTGGAAGATGAAGCACGAAGACAAAAAGACCTCTTGGAGATCCTCAAACACCTTTACATAGCCATACAGGCAAGTGATTTTACACCGGGGGCGGTACACTGGACCAGAGAACTCCGCAGCTGGCTGTCCCTCAAGTTCGATCCAACCAAGGAACAACGGGTGAAGTTGGTCAAACTGTACTATGAACTGGCACTGGCGCCTGGCATTGACCCAGGGGTGAGCGAACGCTTTGCTAGCATGTTCATGCTCCTGACAAAGTAGGTCCTACAAAGTCCCCGGAACGACCTCTGTCAAGGTTACTGACAAACAAATAGGCGAAAGCACTACCTACGCCCTCTCCAAGACCTGACGCTCGACTGGCGACCACTGTATAGGGAACTCAAAGTCTTCGTGTTACCGAGCGAGTCGGGGCTCATGCAGACAACCAGTTTGAGGAGGAACATCAAGACATTGACCAAGATCGCATCCTTTGCGCAGCTGTACTTCGACCCTGAGGATATTCCTGCTATGCTGGAGGAGTTCCTGCCCCATTTCACCATGTCGTCTGCAGAGGGAGCCTTCGTCGTAGTAGGACTACTCAACATACTTCTGCCGACAAGCCCGCCTCCCCCCAACCGCTCCGACTTGGCTCCTCAGCAATTCCTCCCGACTCTATTCCACCTGTGGTCGCTGGTCAATCGATCTCGGACGGTGGATGTGGCGTGTCTTGATTTATTTTCCCGACTCGCTCGCGATTCCCTGTCCAGTCCACACGTAAAGTTCACCGAGTTTGGTATTTTTACTTCGGAACAGTCGACCTTGATCACCACCGCCATTTTGCGCCTGTTGGAGATTCCAGTCGGCCAGTCAACTTCACCCTACAGTACGCTGGTAGACCTATCGGCCGGCATGGGCATCTTGCTTGAGAGGGACTCGCGAAAGCATCCTGTGTCACATCACGTGGCTCGTTGGTTTGTCATGTCCCTCTCGCCGGCCTGTCTGACACAGTCAACCTCCGTGCTGTCCCTCTTGGAGACGTTGATCCAGGCAGTGGAGACGTTCTTCCACCCTTCCAATTCGGGCTCGTGGACACGGACTTTGGCGCAGCTCGTATTCTACCTCGCGGATTTCTTTGTTATGCGCTGGAACCGAGAACGGAATGGCGAGATGGATGTGCCAGAGGAGCGTAAACTCAATGAGCCTCTCCGCAAGCGGTTCGTGTTGTGTCTCCGAGAAGTCATTTTTATGGGCATCTATGCAAAGAGCGGCACCGCAATGAGCTATTCACTATCCACGCTCCAGGCTCTCGCCTTTCTCGAGCCGGACTTGATCCTGCCGGGGGCGCTGCAGCGTATCTATCCGTCCATGCAGGGACTGGTTGAAGTGCATCGTACTATCTCGTCCTTGCGATCTCTGCAGATCCTCGCGAGGACCATGATCAGAACCAAAGGCTACCGTTGTCACGTCACTGCTCTGCTGGGTCTGGCACTTCCGGGCATTGACGCCAACGATTTGGAGAAGACCCTGTATACCTTGTCATTTTTCGCCAACGTCTGTTACAACATTCCTTTCGAAGACCTCTCCAAAGGTCGGGAAGACATACAAGGTAACATGCTGGCAATGGATTGGATCACCGGGGAGATGGAGCGCATGGAGCAGGAAGGCGCCAGTGTAGAACTGAACTATGCCTCGTTGAATGACAAGGACGAAGAGATGATTCTCGCTTCATCCACGGCGGGTCTCAGCGAGTTTGTCTCCTCGTTTTTGGGCAGGGTCTTTACGCTCCTGGAAAATCTACCGGATGCGGCCAGGGTCCGGAGTGGCTCGCCCGAAGAGAACATCGTCAACACCCTACCCGCAGCCTTCATGCCATTGCTGGCTTCGCTGTCGCCTGGGCTGTACGACCTGGCCTTGAACAAGGTCGTCGACTTCGTCGCGAACCACGTGATACATCAGTCTCGGGATGCCATGGCGTTCATCTGCAACTGTCTCTGCAAAGTCAATCCCGAGAAAGCCTTAGCCAGGTTTATTCCCGTTCTGATCGGGTCCATTCGCACGGAAATCGACGAGAATGGTGCTGGCTCCACTCGCAATGCAGCCTCGGATGTCCTCCCACGAGACAGAGGCTTGGTCTGGAACATCAGCATGCTGAGCATGTGTGTGGTGCACGTTGGCTCCGCCGTCCTCAAATACAAGCAGGAGCTGTTTGATATAGCCGTGTACATGCAACAAAAATGCAAAGGCATGCCCACCGTGCACGTCTCGAATTACGTACATCATCTGCTCCTCAACCTGACCGTCACCTACACCACCGACTATGCGCTTTATGAACCAGACAGAGTCGCCAACGGCGTAACTGCGGATTTGTGGGGTCTTTCAGAGCCACCGTCGGCGATCAAGCCCAAATGGCACGTTCCTTGCCCAGAGGAAATCGACTTTGCTGTGGAACTTTTCCAGAACCAAGCAGAAAGCGCGCTAAAGCATCTCACGGGTCTCATCAGAGGTACGTCAAGCATCAAGCGGGATGGAAGCGGTAAAGAATGGTCTGATGAGGTTTCGAGAAACCTCGTGTTGCTGCGCCTCTTGCTCGCCGGAGTATCGGTGCTTTTCGACGCCAAAGGTGTCAATGAGGGACTCGCCACAACCGCAACCGGCCTTGACGCCAACGCTTCTATGTCCCAGGCAAATGGGCATGTGCCGGAAGATGGAGATGATTCTGCTGAAGCAGATGCTTCTCTCGATGGTACCGACGAGACCTCGATCCGACCATCTTTCCAGTACCCTGCGGGCGAAGTCCTACAACCCGGAGATGAGAAATACAAATTGGTCCACCGGCTCCGTCAAGATATAGGCCGCGTTCTGCATGAGGTGCACGAATTCCTGACACGTGAGGGTGAAGATGATGTGTCCTCGTTCGCGCCGTTATACACTGCGTACCGATCCTGGTTTGTCGACGTGGGGATTGAACGGTCAGCGCATGTGCTTGACAGGGTTACGCGCCTCCTGCATGCGGACGAGCAGCCTTACAAAGTGAGTGGGGTGAGGAAAGACTACCCTCGCTCCATCCTCGTGAGGCGGGCCAATGTCTATCATACCCAACGGCTGCGCCATAACGCGGCACCTCGGCCACGCTCCGAGCTCGATGAGCGACTTCTTTTGGATCTCACGGAGTCGTCGGTGTCATTGTACACTGAAGTCCGTCGCAACGCTCAGAGTGCTGGGGAGTCAGCTCTGAAGGTTGTCTTTGGTGCTCGTCTCTTTGTGATCCCTCCGCTCCTGGCTTCGTTCCAAAAGGCTGTGGAGAAGCACGATTTCCCCCGGATCAAAGGCAGTCTGTTCGCGCTTTTGTTCGGCAGTCTAGCGAAGACAGTGGGTAGACATTGGAAATACACCCCGACGGTGATCAGAACCTTCATCGAAGCCAGCACGGCTGATAAACCATCAATCCAAAAACTCTGTAATGGTGGTCTGTTTCAAATCATGGACTACGGGCGGCCTGGTGATCGCATGGCAATCATAGACAAAACGGTCGTCGATCCTTTCGCGCCGGACGAGGACGTGAATGGCACGGTGGCGAAGAAGAAGGCCTTCGTGTTGAGCAAACGCGCCAATATCGAACGGAAGAAGATAGAGTTGGCGGAAGAGCTTATCGAAGTGGCACGAGTCTCACATTGGAAGAAAGCTACGCGCGTCGCTAGCCTCGTGATGTCCTTGGGGATGCGGTTCGACCATATTTGTTCAGACAACATGATCGATCTGATTACCCGTGGAACTGTGGATCCCCACCCAGGGCTGCGAGGCTTGTACTCGCAAGGCTTGGTGGCTTTGTTCACTATGACCGATGTCCGAGCTGTCTGCAACCATGACTACGCAAACTACATTCAGGCACGGCAGGAATTCCCGGCAAAGGTGAAAGTGCCTGTTCGTGCAGAGGAGGAGGGCTGGACGGAGAATTACCTGAACTCGTTTGCGCAGCCAGAAACTGAAGTGTACATTGACCATGATTACCCGGGATGGCTGGTGTGGTCAAAGTTTATGCCTGGCTACAAGGCGAACGTGCAGAACGATATCCTGTACGATGAGCTCGAATGGAAAAAACGGACAGTCATTGGCAAGCTCCTCGATCGAGATTGGTTCGTCAAGTTCTTCAAATACCTCAAGCAAGAGCCTCGAGATCAATCTGCCGACAAGTTCCGCATGGCCAGTGCCGCAATGCTGACATATGCGTTTGAGCTCATCATCCGTGACAGTCTGGCTGTTGCAACTTTTGAAGAGATCAAGGAAGAAACCCTGGCCGTGTTCGAGGATGGCAGTGACAAACACCAACACCGTGCGACCGCGGAGATCCTCGCGGGCTTGGTGACGTCGGTCATGGACAACTCGATTGACCGGAGGACAATGGTATGGGAGTTCGCCTTCCCTATTATTCAACGAGTCTTCTCTGATGGCCTCACACCAGAGAACTCGGGGTACTGGACCACCTTCCTTCACATGATCCTGCAGGCTAGGGACCCGCGTCGAGCATGGCCACTCGTGGAATGGCTCTCGAATTTCCGCTTGGACATGGGCTCCAATGCTGCTTTCAAGGAAAGCTCAAAAATCCATCTCCTCCACCAGGTGATCATGGATGCAGGATGGCACTTCCGGTTGGAAAAGCCGATCACCGAGGACTTCATTCGTCACATCGATCACCCGTACAAAGGAGTGCGCGAGGCGATGGCGCACACGCTCGCCACCATCACTCGCACCCGGTATCATGAATCATTCAAGAACGTCGAAGAGCTCATGGCGGTGCAGAAGGCTGCTGGCCCTATTGGCATGCAACCTTATCTACCCACAAAAGAGTTCGATGAAATGATGCATGACATCTTCGACCGGATCGAAAAGTGGCGGCACGAACGTACACCGGGTCAGCAAACTCCCTCAGCCTATACCTCCGGATCCAAGACCGTGCTGTTGTGGCTCGATTCAATGCTTTCGTCGTATGAGTGCACGCAGCTTCTCACCTATTTCCCTGACCTCTTTACGGAACAGTTCTTACACATGATGGATGTCAAGGAGGATCCTGAGCTGCAGTCGTTGGCATATCATGTGTTCCGGCATCTGCCAAACATCCCTCACCGCATTGGAGAGGATCGGCGACTGATCGAGTCGCTGATCCGGATAGGTAGGACATCTTCCTCGTGGCATCAGCGGCTTCGAGTGATGATCAACATCCAGATCATATTCTTCCGCCGTTTGTTCCTTTTGGCCGAAGACAGCAAACAGAAGCTGTTCGACTGCGTTGCGGAGATGCTGGAGGATTCACAGCACGAGGTTCGTGCCGGTGCGGCTACAACCCTGTCGGGAATGATTCGTTGCTCGCCGGTGGCCCTTCGAGAGAAGATGATCGTCAAACTGCGCGATCGTTTCACACAAATGCTCATCGATAATCCATTGCCCAAGAAGCCCAAGCGTCATCTGGGCGGCGTGGCAGCGGAGCTGTCTTCTGCGCGGACTTCGGGGACTAATACACCCACGCCTGAGGCACAACGGCTGGTCATAACCCGCCATGCAGCCGTTCTCGGCCTAGGAGCTCTTATCCAAGCGTTCCCCTACTCGAGCCCGCCGCCGCCGTGGATGCCCGATGTCCTCGTGACATTGAGTACTAAAGCCGCGAATGACCCAGCGACCGTGGGGAACAGCGTCAAGAGCATCATCAGTGATTTCAAAAAGACAAGACAAGACACTTGGCATATTGATGTAAAGGTATGATTGGAGCCACCGAGTATGATACTGTGGGCGTCGATAAGCTAACCATTGACAGGCCTTCAAACCAGAGCAAATCGAGGATCTTTCTGGGGTGTTATGGAAGAGCTATTTCGCCTAGAAGCAGGGTTGTACGGAGCAAGAGAACGACAGGATAAAGATGATTTGTTCAAGCGACTGAGCATAGCATTGGCGTTTCGCGCTCGGTGCTTGGTGTCTTTGCCTGTGCTTGCCCGTATCTGAAGCGGCACGGCAGACTTGACACGTGTATTATCAAGCTTCAAGAAATGTTAGGAACTTGAAGTAAGGAAGAGTCTTCACTCTGTAAAGAGGGTGCTCGCCTCTGCTCAAAGATTGGTCCAGGGACAGTGGAGTGGATGGCGCTTCAGTTGACTCGCTCTGGAAGTTCCATCTGAGAGCACAATGGACCCGAGGGCGTAAATAGACCCGTCCTGTGTACTGTGTAAGACTGACATAGTCTCCCATCCAGCTGGTTGACAAGGAAAATGAATTATGGCGACAGTTCTGCAATACCATCAAGTCCGGATCCTGGTCAGAATCCATCTTTACGTCGCTAGGGGCTCAAAGGACAGTGCGTCCACTCTGACCTCAATGCTTCACCGTACTTCTGCTTCAATACTCCACCGTGGTTGGCTTGCCAAGCTGGACCGTAGCTCAGGCTGTACCGTGTAATCATCGAAGCCGCCTCCTTCAGGTGCAAGAGCAGCAGGCCTCAGTCTCTGCCAACATCCATCCTTCCACTGTAAAGAGAGCTGCTGAAGCTACGTGCTCTCGTCTATACCTCTGTTCCTATTGTCTGGCCTGGGCGGCCCCGTGGTTTCCTCATACAACCGCCCAGCATGGCCCATAAGGACACCCTTTTCCGGTCTGCGGACATGTCCCTGACACAGCTCTACATTTCCAACGAGATCGGACGCGAAGTGGTGTCCGCCCTCGGTGAACTTGGTGTCGTGCAGTTCCGGGACCTAAATGCAGATACCAACGCCTTCCAACGTACTTTCACCAAGGAGATTCGACGGTTGGACAACGTCGAGCGGCAACTGCGCTACTTCAAGTCCCAAATGGAGAAGTCGAACATCGAGATGCGTAGTCACTGGGACTTCGCCGAAGACATGCTCGCAGCTCCGCAGGCCAGTGAGATTGATGAACTTGCCGACCGCGCAGAGACCCTGGAACACCGCATCAGCAGCCTGAATGAGAGTTATGAGACACTCAAGAAGAGAGAGGTCGAACTGACTGAATGGCGATGGGTTCTTAAGGAGGCCGGTGGCTTTTTCGACCGTGCACATGGCCAGACCGATGACATCCGAGCCAGTGTCGACGAAGACGACGCGCCTCTCCTCCGCAACACCGAGGCTGAGGAGGGTAGAGCCAACGGCAGTGTTGGCCAGCAGCAGAGCTTTGCGGTAATGAACATCGGCTTTGTGGCCGGTGTTATTCCCCGCGAGCGGTTGGCGGCCTTCGAACGTATTCTGTGGAGGACTCTGCGTGGCAACCTTTACATGAACCAGTCCGAGATTCCAGAGCCGATTGTCAACCCGGAGACGAACGAAGAAGTCCGGAAGAATGTTTTCGTCATCTTCGCTCACGGCAAGGAGATCATTGCCAAGATTCGAAAGATCTCGGAGTCTCTTGGTGCCGACCTCTACAATGTGGACGAAAACAGCGACGTTCGGCGGGATCAGATCCACGAAGTCAACACTCGGTTGAGCGATCTTGCCAGTGTCCTTCGAAACACCAAGACAACCTTGGACGCTGAACTGAACGCCATAGCTCGGTCGCTTGCCGCATGGCTCATCGTGATCAAGAAAGAGAAGGCCGTTTACAATGCATTGAACATGTGCTCCTACGATCAAGCGAGAAAGACACTGATTGCGGAAGCCTGGTGCCCCACGAATTCCTTGCCCCAGATTCGAGCGACACTTCAGGATGTCAATGATCGTGCTGGGCTGTCGGTTCCTACCATTGTCAACCAAATCAAGACCAACAAGACACCACCAACCTACAACAAGACCAACAAGTTCACCGAGGGCTTCCAGACCATCATCGATGCCTACGGTACCGCAAAATACCAGGAAGTCAACCCGGGTCTCTACACCATCGTGACATTCCCTTTCCTGTTCGCGGTCATGTTCGGTGACTTCGGGCACGGATCGTTGATGACCATGGCAGCAGCTGCTATGATTTACTGGGAGAAGCCGCTGCAAAGATCCAAACAAGATGAGCTGTTTGCCATGGCATTCTATGGTCGTTACATCATGTTGATGATGGGTATATTCTCCATGTATACCGGCTTGATCTACAACGACGTTTTTTCGAAAGGCTTCACACCGTTTCCTTCTGCTTGGGAATTTCCGGAAGAAGGACGCCCGGAGGTAACGGCTCACCTCAAGGGGGGCTATCGGTACCCCTTTGGCATAGATTGGGCGTGGCATGGGTCCGAGAACGACTTGCTCTTCAGCAACAGTCTGAAAATGAAATTGTCTATCCTCATGGGTTGGGCGCACATGACGTACGCCTTGTGTTTCTCGTACATCAACGCGAGGCATTTCAAGACCCCCATTGACATCTGGGGCAACTTCGTTCCGGGCATGGTCTTCTTTCAGAGCATCTTTGGGTATCTCAGTTTCTGCATCGTCTACAAATGGTCCATCGATTGGCAGGCCATAGGTAGGAACCCACCTTCTTTGCTCAACATGTTAATCCAGATGTTCCTTTCACCGGGCAATGTCGAAGAAGGCGAACAGCTCTACAGCGGTCAGGCGGGGGTACAAGTCGTTCTGGTTCTGATCGCCGTCATCAACGTTCCTATCTTGCTGCTGCTGAAGCCTCTGTATTTACGCTGGCAGCACCAAAAGACCGCGGCGCAGGGCTATCGTGGCATTGGCGACACCAGCCGAGTTGCACATGCCACAGATCTTGATGACGACGAGAATAACAACTCTCGGCGGATGAATGGACGACCAAGTGAGGAAGAGGAAGAAGAGGGTGCCATGATCACCGAAAACATCGGAGCTGATGAGGAGCATGAAGAGTTTGAATTTTCAGAGGTCATGATCCATCAGACAATTCGTAAGTTATGCCTTGCTGTTCTGGTCTCGCGCGTGAATGATCTTCTAACTTGGCTTTCTTTTCTAGACACCATCGAGTTCTGCCTCAACTGCGTCTCTCATACCGCCTCTTATCTCCGTCTTTGGGCGCTCTCGTTGGCTCATCAGCAACTTTCGGTTGTGTTGTGGAACATGACTCTGGGCAACGCCTTTGGCATGACGGGCGGCTTGCAGGTCGTCATGATTATTGTTACATTCGCCTTCTGGTTCGTCTTGACCATTGCGGTACTGTGTGTGATGGAGGGCACGTCTGCCATGTTGCACAGTCTGCGTCTGCATTGGGTCGAGGCCATGAGTAAACATTTCGTCGGGGAGGGTGTTCCATTTGAGCCGTTCAGCTTCAAGCTGCTACTCGAGGAAGATCCTGTAGACTGATTGACAGGAAGCTGGTGCTCCATTATAGAATAGTCAACTATGTTAGCTCATACATGAACAATCTACCAGTGTATTTCTAGGGAAAGCCGTCTGCTATTCTAGTATAACGCTATAGTGATTACAGACAATTTCGATGATGGACACTTCAAACACTGTCACACTGGCGGTGATTGCTGGCGCCAGCCTGAAGCGGTTACCACAAGTTGTGACTTTACAATGTTGTATGACTTAATTGCTTACATAAGGTGAGGCCGCCACATCTCGCTTCACCTGCCCTCCGAACGTCGGGCTACTCATGCTACCCACGTGACAGGCAAGTCTTGGCTCCGGGTTCCGCACACTGCACCTTCGCAAAACTCATCTCGACCGCCCCCCATCCTGTTACTTGAACCTCGTCATCGAAGACAACGAAGTATCCCAGTGACCAGAAGATCTTGTCAAGAGTAAGTGAAGGATCTCTTGGAGAAGCTAATGTTGAATGTGCTAACTCTGCTACAGTGCAGATGTAAGTTTTCCGACTCGATTCGATTCAACAGTTCTCCTTCCTGCGACGCCGCCACACATCGGTCTTTCGGGGGCGGAAGGATATACGACTGCGAGAAATCGGTTCTATTTGGGAGAAATGGAGTGACTGACAATTATGATGGAACTACAGCTTCGTCAAGACCCTCACGGGCAAGACCATCACCCTTGAGGTCGAGTCGTCCGACACGATCGACAATGTCAAGTCCAAGATCCAGGACAAGGAAGGCATCCCTCCGGACCAACAGCGCTTGATCTTCGCCGGCAAGCAGCTTGAGGATGGCCGCACTTTGAGCGACTACAATATCCAAAAGGTACAATACGACCACACCATACCATACCATACCAGGCGTTTCACAGAGTGGCGAAGGTGGAATGTGGAATTGCGATCTCCACGAAGTCGCAACAGAAACGCCCCGTATTTGTGTATCTTTTCATTCATCTGACATTATTTGTCCTACAGGAATCCACCCTCCACTTGGTCCTCCGTCTCCGTGGTGGTATCATCGAACCCTCCCTCAAGGCCCTGGCGTCCAAATACAACTGCGAGAAGATGATCTGCCGAAAGTGCTACGCCCGTCTGCCGCCGCGAGCCACCAACTGCCGCAAGAAGAAGTGCGGCCACTCGAACCAGCTCCGACCAAAGAAGAAGATCAAGTAAACGAAACGCTTACGCTGCGCGTCGGTCGGGGGTGTTTTGTTGTGTGGTTGTGTGTTGCATCTGCAAAGGGAGGGGAGTGGGCGGCGTGGGAAAAAAGAGCAGAAGACTACTGGCCCCCAGGGAACCGTCAACCTTTTTTTCCCCCTCTTTTTAAACGGCGAAGCAAACTCGGCAGAAGTGTCCAGCAGCTTTGTGGTGGGATAGAGAGGGAGAGACACAATCGAAAACCTCAGTACTTTCGACAAAATTGCATTCCCGCGGTGATTCCAATGGGCAGTGTTTTTAGCTGCTTAGGCTAGATCAAAGTCTACTGTTTTTTTTTTATGACACTGCATGTTCCGACTTTCAAGTTGTTTTGTCCATTTCATTTCGTTTGGACAGCCTCGATTGCTACTGCGCCTATTTTCTCCACCTTGCCGTGGCTCCCCATTGATATTAGTATCCCTGAGGATCAAATAACGGAGCAACTTAACTGCCATGTTATGAAGAGATCCATGCACATGATGCACGCAATACTAAATGTCTGTTACAAAGGACGCTGCTTAAAGTCTTGCCTGGTATTTTCTGTACTCTGCTAGTGGAAACCGCGTGACACCATGGGCACTTCAATGGGTGACGGTGACATGAACAGATACAAATGCTCCAGGCCATCCCAAGAGCCACGAAACAAACCCCGCCGACCGATCTTTTTAAGATCATTCAAGACATGCCCTCGCATCACAACTCGATTAGCCAGCTGCTTTTTTGTTGGTTCTTGTTACATGCTCATCAATCTCGTTCCTCCAGCGGCATCAATTAGTCATCCTTCGCAGGACTTCCATGACTGAAGAACAAGATCTTGATAGCAATAGCCAACCCCGCATGGGCCAGCACGACAGCAAGCAAAAGAAGCTGGCTGACTTTCTTCTCCGTGGCCGAAATGACAGGAAACAGGTTCTTCACAAGGAAAAACACACTGACGGCATACCCCAATCCGACAAGAGCATAATTCAACCCGTTCAACGGTGACCACGACACCAGCGCCACGGCGATCCAGAACAAATTGCTATAGCCGTACAAGGCCCAACACTCGACCAGTTCGAGACTTTGGGCGCCGAACCAGCGTAAGGCCGCCCACAGCGCCAGCGGCACAAACATCGTGTATCCGTAAACCAAGCCCGCGGCACCGCTTAACAGTCGAAAATCGTATTCGAAATGTTTCCGCCCTTCCGTGGCTAGCTTGTGGCTAATTGTGCCTGTTAAGAACAAAATGACTACGACTGTTGTGGCGATCCAGAAGGGGCCGTAGAGGTCCGGATTGCCGTCCATGGTGTCGAGAAAGGGTGGTGTGTTGGGTAGAAACGGTAAAATTGCTGTTCGGCATCGGTGGAGGACGGTTGATGTGTCCACGTCGAAAAATTGTGCGTAGAAGCCCAATGACCAGAGGACGTATTTGGGGGGGACGGCTGATGGATCGTTGGGGAGGTGGGCTGGGTTGGTTGCGCTGTTGGCGAGAAAGCCGGTTGATGAGGTTGTTGTGGTTGTGTCGGGTTGGATCTTGCGGTTGGTGTTTTCGAAGTCTGGAAGGAGGTGTTAGAGGTTGTACATGTCTTGTCTTTGATGTTTTGTGGTTTTGAGGGTGTTTTGTAATTGCGGATTGGATTGTAGATGGGATGGAGAGAAGGGGAGCTTGAGGCAGCAAGCCTGAGGCCATTTTCGATCCCGGCGCACTGCAGAGCAGCGTGGTGTGGGATAAAGTGACTTGTAGAGAGGGGGATAGAACAGGACAGGACAGAAAGTGTGCTGTCAATATCATCTTGTCCTTCTCTTTTCTCATAGGAACAGGAGAGAGGCATTGCAGTGAGGCAGATCGAGGGACAGGAAGTCAAGATTTGCTGGTGCTGCTGTTGGTACTGGTATTGCTTACTGGAGGAATGGAATTCGAGGTCGTCATCTTGTAGGTCGGTGTGGCCCAGATCGCCCTAGTTGTTAAAAGCACCATCGGTCAGTATGGTATACTGGTAACATTCTCTCGCGGAGCGCGAGTGACTTGTAGAGAGCAGCGCAGATGATGGCGGGAGCGAGGCACGGTGAGAGCAAAACGCACTTCTGTGTCGACGTCCACAACGACGTCGTATCCTCTGTTGGCCATGCTGGTGCAGTTCTTTGGGCGTGTCGCAAGCGCGGACACCTAAGGATAAATTCGCGAGACTGTCGTTTCCTTATGTTGGCTCGTAGGATGAAGTCGTGGTGGTCATAGAGAAATAAACGAGAGTCGACCTTGGATGTCAGGGTCGGGCAGGCATTGGAAAACGCGCAGACAGGTGAGGTGGCTTGTCTGTCTGCAGGTGTCTACTCCGAATCTGATATTTGACGTGCCCCAAGCAGCCAACCGGCCGTTGGAGCGCGGCGCGTTGTACATACATGTAATGACTTTGTTACAAGCAGAATTAGAGATGGCTTCTGGTTGTAATTACGCGTTTTCGTTGCTGAACAACGTCCTCGGTTTGTAGCAGACGCGTCCAGTTCAGCTCAGCCTCAGGCACAGGCACGCAAGTTTGGAACGTGTCTAAAGGTACTGGACCTAGTAGTAGGAGATACTAATAAGTACAGTACGTCGTCATGTCGTTGAGTTAGAGCAGAAATCACGGAGTCTACCAGAGAGCGATGTTGTTGTTTCCAGCGATTGTATTCTAAACACTCTCTAACGTTCTTTTGTCCACATCCTTATGCATGGGACTTATTGAATTTTGTAGACCATAGCACCAACAGCAGCTGCATGCTGCAGGGTGTTTCGGTTGGCATAGCCGGCGAATCGACCGTCGATACTGATTGCGAAGTCGGCACCGGCACTGCCGTACACCGCTCTCATCAAGGCTGCCTGTATCCTTCGATTTCGTCGGACGCCTCAAGAACACTAGTAGCCCCTGATGGATGCATTTCGTGGACAAAGTGGTTAGCGCTGACAGAGCAGAGGCTTTCACAACTGGTGGGTTTTCCGGCGATCAATGTAGCATAAGCCGGAGTGGGAGGTGAGGCTGCCGGTCAAGCTATTTCCTTGCACGGGCACTGCTTCGATGTCGAGCCTGGATTGCAATAACTAGCAGTGTCAAGCCAACACCTTGCTATTGTGCTCGGTGGAATGCCGCCTCTTCGGGTGGACATTTTGGCTATTGATTCGGACATTGGTCGGGAGAGAAAGATGAACGTTCATGGGGCCTCAAAAGGGACGAAGGGTTCCGAGGTGAGACTAGTTGCCACACAATGTGGTGGAAGCTGACTCTGAGACCTTTGTTGAATGATCTGAAATGGTTGTTGTGAGGGTAGAGTGATCGAGATGTCATGCGCAGCATCGCGACTCAGACTAAATGTTGTTCAACCTGCTCCCTCTCTGTGGGTTTGGAGAACTGGGGCTGCCTGTCGTGAGCCCTGTATTAGACTTTCATTGACCGCTCATGGACGGAAAAGGATCCCACTTTCCAAGCCACCGGGATCCTGCTGTTGTCCTACTGCCCTTTCGAGAACAAATGTGACGCAGAAGATATCAAAGTCCAAAAGAACCTATCCTGCCCGCTCTTCCTGAGCCAGAGAGACAGAGCCCCCACCAGAAGTGCGGCCGACAAGGACAAGATGGGTCTTTGGTGGCGCAAAAGCGCTGCTGCGGTCCTCTTCATTCTTTCGTCCCTCCGTAATTGAGCAATCTGCTTCTTGCAAAGGAGCTCGGCTTCTTCGAGACTGTGAGGGCTATTGATTTGCCGCGAGGTCTTGAGGACACTGTACTGCGAGAGCCGCCACCAAATGAACCCCTCGAGCTTTTCCGGGGGCTGCTGTCGGAATAATGCCAACGTATCCAGGGCGAGGGCATCGATATTGAGGGTCTGCGGCAGCTTCGAAATCATGAAGGTGAGTATATCAGACTGGTCCGCGGGCATCTCAAGCAACTCGGCGCGTCGTGATATCGTAACTGCAGCAAACAAATAGATGCTCATCACGGGCTCGTGTGCCAGGAGGAAATCATACAGCCGAGCAATGTCACCATAGTCCTGGATGTCGTGGGCAAATAGTGAATGGGTGGCTGATAGAGCAAAACTATTCTCCGCTTCGGCGATGTGGGCAGCCAGTTCGGGATCGGCAGCCTTCACAATAGCTGAGACCAGCTCAAAGTGTTTTCGTGCGGGTGAGATGGTGGGCAGCATGTAGTCGCGAAGCCGAAGGAGCGATATGCGTGGAACCGCGGCGGCGGCGTGTTCGTCTCCAAGAACAAGAAGCAACACCTGTACCACGTCGTGATAGCTCTGAAAGTAGGAGAGTACCGGGTGCTTTCTCAACGTCGAGACAATCAGGTCAGACAGTTGCCTCTTCTTGATCTCGAGCGACTGCTCGGACTCGTCTAGTTGCAGTTTAGACCAGTGATACCGGGGGCTGAGAAACAAGAGGGCGAACCTTTAGGGTAGTATACAAAGGCACGGTCGACGTCGAGTCGGACCTGGTCCTCGTCGGCATGCCGGGGAAGCTCTCTCCATGATCGATTGGCTTCTTTGCGCTCTCTTCCATCATCGCCAACATCGCAGCCCAATAAAATCGGCCCTTCCCAGTTGGTTCATCAGTTAGGTTTCACCACGAATCAACGGCGAAGGGAAGGAGACCTACAAGCTTGTCGGCGTAGCTCATCGGTCAGAAGGCCGCCAGTTGAGGTTGCTAGCTCGACCAGGGTTGCAAAGTCGCGTCGCCCACAGGCCTCTTGAATGGCCTTGCGCTTCTCCTGGTCTTGCTCAGAGAGGTGCCCACTGTGCTCTTTCGAGCCCGCTAGCGGTGTGTCGCTCAAATCAGACTCCATCAAGGCGTCTGCACTGATCCTGCTCACTGGCAACGCGCCGTGGACATGGTCTTTCGAATCAAAACGAACCCCAGGACCAAGGAGAGACAGGCCTGAGGCACCGTACGTCAGGCCGCTCGCCGCCCTTTGAGTCGGGATTGAAACAGAGCCAAGCCAGAGAACGGGCTGTGGACTGCAGGTGTCAATGGCCGCCGGGGATGATTTTGATGTGGACGACGAAGGTGACAGGTAACACGAGCGGCGTGTCTCGTCGGTGTCAAGTTGTCAACTTTGTCTACCACCAACATACATGTCCTGCACCGTCAAGTCTGCTCGCAGAGGGCAGAAGCTGCAGACTCGCCTCGTACCGGTAGCGTGACTTCTTCTGGTTCGCACGATTGAATCAAGGACTGCCTGTGCGCAGATGATGGAAGAGAATCAGGCGATGATGGCTTCGGCGATGAAGTTGAATCGGGAGGCCTCGAGGGGGAGAATTGCCCTGTTTGGTCGATTAAATTCGCCCGCTTCGAGCTTTGAACTTGGGGCCTGCAGTCAACACCAACAAGTCTTCGTTGTCTCCGTGTATAACCTTTCTCCCACTCTGCCGCACGACTCTGAGCTGCGCCTGTCACCGGTTGAGACCCTATGCATCAAGTCGTCTTGAATTGATGCCCTGGGAGACAACGACCGGGATTCTGGGATCTATGGCGCCGTGGTTGGGCTCCCGCGCCCTGTCTTGCCCCTCGCCGTTTATTGACACCCCCGGCTTGCAGCGACTTCGACGAACTTGTATTTCTTGTGCGTCTTGCAGGCAAAGGAGCAGTCACAGATTTTAGGACGATGCTTTGTCGGAGGACATTCTGAACATGCACATGGTGGCATCACGGTGATCCGAACCAAACCGACACAAAAGCCCAACCACGTCCTCCTGTTTTCCTCTTCTACCTTTTCAAATTACGCTTTCAAGCGTCCATCTGTGGCTAGCCTCGAGCTCCTGCCTCTTATCACGGCGGATCCCATCACACTCAGGCCTTATTCTATGTCATGGCCAATGTGTATGAGTCGAGGAGCGAGACGGACTCTCCAATGTCCGGCCGCCAGCAACCAGATGCTCGAAGACGCATGGGTGTGCTTTCCAGGACCCTCAATTCCAGCTCCAGTATCAAGTGGATTCTTCCAGCCAGGATTCGTTCCCCTTCGAAGAACGATGTCGTGTTTGTAGGTTCCACATTTGTCCAGCTCCATGAGTTCCAGGACACCGGGCAGCTGGTGAACACGACGGCCAAGCTAGACTTCGGAACACAGATTACAGACGCCAAGGTCATTTCAGCGGAACTGAAGATGGTCCCGATTGTCGATGCGATCCTGAAGCAAGAGCGCGACCAAGAACAATACACCATCCGTGGAAGCCCGGTCAGTCGGACACAGCCGCCACAGATGCTGGTCCTTGCCACTGTCGACAACGAGCTGATTTATGTTTACGCGAGAGAAGACCTCGCAACCGATGTCAAGCTCGTCTTTGCGAAGAGACCCTATCTGAGAGGTGCTGGTCTACCCAGGAGTCAGTGCCGATACTTGGCGGTTGACCATGAGTGAGTCGTTCAAAGGTTGCGAATTGCAGCGCCGACTAACTGGGAGGCTACAGATCTCGTGCCCTTGCCGTGGCCTCCCCGTCGGGTTACTTTGGGATATTCAAGCTGCGGTCAGTTGACGACATTAAAGCAGAGATTGACAATTGGGACCCTCTGAGCCACGGCTCGTTTCGACCATCCGATGAGGTATGTGCTTGCCCGCCGATTCCATATCCTGCTGACCGACCGTGACAGCAACGATTCATCCAGGTCGATGGGGACATTATTATGCTTGATTTTCTGCAAAACCCCGAGTCCGACCCTACAACCGTCCTCCTTCTGCTTCTGGTCCACTCTACCGACGGAACGAACAGCACACTTCAGTACTTGTACAAATGGGATACTCGTGGCCCTCTGCGAGCCATTCAACCCATGTCTTGCAGCGGTCGTCGACTTCAGGATAATGAGTTGCCTCTGATGTTGATTCCATCAACCCGTCCATATTCCTTTATTGTCGTCATGGAAGGTGGGATCAGTTTCTACGAAAACATCCATTCATCACACTCGAAACGGGTCAAATGCCAATTCGTGGGCAAAGCGGCAGGGCCTCTTGAATGGGTGCAATGGGCCAAACCTAGACGTCATAACAAATATCTCGAAAAACGCGACGACCTAGTCATTGTTCGCGAGGACGGCCTCCTTCAGTACTTTCAGATCGAGAAGGCTTCCAGTACCAAGTTCACCATGAACAACACCATTGGAGATCTTGGCTTTGACGTCGACACCGCCTTCTGTATGCTGGCTGGGCCGCCAGACAGAGGGGGCGACATCATCATCGCCGGGGGTAGTATGACCGACGGCGGCGTCTTCCATGTTTCTGCTCGAGGTTCACCGCGGCGCACGCAGATCATTGAGAATATTGCACCGGTGCGGGACATGATTCTTACCACGCACTCTCTGGCCAAGAATAGAGGATTTGAGTCGAGAGAAGTCTCTCATCGACTCTACGCATGCAGCAGTAGGGGTGACGGCCGCGGCGAGCTGTCGGAAATTCGCTATGGCCTGGAGGCCCAGATTGGATGGACCATGGAATGTCCGGATGCCGCCTTCATCGACCAAATATGGTCACTGGAGATCATGGGCCGCAAAGAACTTCTGTTACTGGGCTCATATCCAACACATACGATCATGATCTCATTCGACCTGGAAACTCAAGATATATCTTTCACGGACAGCCAGAGCCATCCTGGCTTTGACTTCGACCACCCAACCTTGGCTGCCGCCGTCGTGGGGAATCAATCAATAGTTCAGGTTACTACCAAAGGCATCAGCATGATTTATCCTCATACCGATGGGCAGTCCCCCAAAACCCATCGCGTCAAGGCCGATCTGCAAGTCGCAGCGTTTTCGGAAGACAACGCAATAGTGGCAACCGCAAGCAAGGCCGTTTCGGGCTCTGAGCTCAGATTGACGCCTGTTGAGACCTTAAGAGGTGGAACGGCGTCATTCGGTCTTGCACCATGTACAAAATTGTCTCAAACCGCTACCAGTATATGCTGTTCCAGGATCAATGGAAGCCAGACAGTGGTCCTAGTGGGCACGGCCGGCTCCGAGTTGGTTGTCTACGCTGTCAGACCTGATGAAACACTGCAGCGTCTGTTCCAGATCCGACCTAGCAACCTTCATCCAGAGGTCGAGGACTCGGCTATTACCTCGCTCGTCGCATTCGGCGCGGACGCGCTTGGGCGTATACTGGTTCTGTGCGGGCTACGTCACGGCGTCCTGCTGTGTCTGGAGGTTTCAATGGAGGGTACGTGGCCACTGATTGAGATCGCCTGTGGAAATATGATTGCTAATTCTGTCGTAGGTATAATATGCATTGACTTCTATAACCTGGGAACCACGCCGGTGCAGGCGTACTCAGAAGACCGGGCGACTGGCCATTCCGAAGCTACATCCGCACTGGTGTTGTGCCACTCCCAAGTGCGCCGAGTGACACTTCATCCAAACAGGACGGCATTGGATTACACCATTTCCAGCGTGTGCGTTACTGATCGAACTGACGTGAGTGTGCACCTCAGTTCTTCTGGCTAAGTACTGACATTTTTTAGCCTTCGACCGGACCCTTGGTAAATGCCGTCCACCGCATTCCGAAGCTGGTCTGTACTTCGGCAGACCCATCAGGGCTGCTCGTCTGTGCAACAAAGGATGCGCTACTATTTTGCTCTTTGGTGACCCAAGAGCAAGGAATCGTGCGAAGGGTTCCAGTCGACGGCGATCCGCGACGCCTGCAATTTTCCCAGTACTTGAACAAATTCGTCGTTGCCTTTGAAAGGTTTATCCACGTCAATCAAGATGTGAAGGAGGTGCACCGCGATGGCAAAGCACGCAAGAGCTCCGCCGTTCCCGTGCAACAAATCGGAGTTCAGTTGATTGATCCTGCGTGGAAGGATGCCAAGGTCAGCAACACTTCGGTGATTGTGGCCGAGGGCACGGATGAGAGGATCAACGCTCTCATCAACTGGGCTCCAACGGATGGCACGAATCATTACGAATGGGTTGTCCTGGCCCTCGAGCACAAGATTCCCGGTCACCCCCAGCGCAGCGGGCGGGTGGTCTGCCTCAACGCGAAAAGCCTCAGCAAAGGCTCCTTCGACAGCATTCAAAAGATCGCGTTCCGGAGTCCAGACAAACCGGTCACCGCCATATGCGCGTACAAGATGTCGTCGCTCTTGATCGCTGCTGGCAGGGAGCTCCACATCCACAACCTGGACTTTGCAACACGCAAATGGAAAACCCTCTCCAAACACGCTCTGCCGTCGCCGGCCAAGGCCATCTCATGTCAAGGGTCGCTCATTTTCGTGGCCACGTCCCAACATTCACTGTTCGTTCTGGTGGATCAGGACGGAAAGCTGTCCCAACACCCCTCCGACACGGAAGCCAGGTCTGCCGTCGACGTGGTGGGCTTGCGCGGCGACGCAGCCGTGTTATCTGCGTGGAATGACAGCGGGACCGATGTCATTGCATTTGGCGGCTTGAACAAGGTCAACAACCCCCCTTTCCCCATGTTCCATGCCAGCTTGCCACTTATGATCCGACGTCTATGCCTTGATCCTCTGTCGGTCTCGTCGACAGCCGCACGCTGTCATTTCTACGGCAGTGCGAGCGACGGCACGATTTTCCATTTTACGCTGCTGAAGCCACAAGAATGGAAACTGCTGCATTTCTTGGAACAGCTCAGCTACATGGAACGCAAGACCGTCAAACCCGTTCCCATCAAGAAGAAGGATGCCAATGATGGTGACATTGTCATCAAGCCTGCTCCAACGAAGCTCAAGGATATGCATGTCCGAGGGGATCGTTTGCTCATGATGATTGAGCCGGGCCCTTATTATTTGCCAGGTCTGCTGAAAGGTTCTGACAGGATGAAGGAGTTCCGGACCCTGGTGCGCGAGGTGTTAGGCGATACGCAAGACCCGGTTGAAACTGCACTTGTATGGATGAGGAGGCTATTGGCATATCCGCCACGGCCATGAGGACTTTGCATTGAAGTTTCAGGAGTTAGACACCCGGGTATCGGGGCCTTCGCTCAGGCTGTGTTAGATAGGATCACGGATATCATGAACAACGACACGCTCCAGTGCGTGCGGTTGCAATGCTCAAGCAGTCGCATAAGTGAGTCTCACCATTACGGGCATTGAAAGCTGTTCTCGGCTACTCCTAGTATACTAGGGACTTGTGTCATTAGGCCATGCCTCCCGCGAGACATGGCTGTGCCACGACAACGTCGAGTAATACATAGTAAAGTAGCCGGCGGCATGTCTTAGTCAGCCAGCAATCGTTCAAGTTGCCAGTGATTGATGCCAAGCCCAAGTGATGAATTTCTACTTCCATCCGAATCTCGAATATGACGCCGCCGAACTGAAGGCGATTTCAATTAACGCCCCACCACGGCCACTTGCAACTGCGTCTTATCCAAACCTTTTGTCTTTCTGAGGACTGTGGCGACAGTGGATAAAGCTTGCACCGACGCAACCCTCCTCAGTCCCCGACTAGCCAATCAGTCATTCAGCCAGCTTGACACTTCCAGGCTTTCTACTGCGCCGGACGGGAATTCTGCTGGACCACTGCACGACTTTATGTCGCCGCCTCTAAACCGTGAACGATTTATTTCCGTACTACTAGGAGCGAACAACAGCACGACCGTGCACACCGACCGACATCACCATGGCTCCTAAGAAGAAGGGAGGCAAGAAGCAAGCCGACGACTGGGAGGCCGATCTGGGGGAATCCATTGATCCTGTCGCTCAGGCTGCCAACAAGGCAGAAGAACAAAATGATGCAGCGGCGGCTGATGACGGCGAGGTGAACGGCGCCGGCGGCGGTGGTCTTTTGGCCGCCCTGCGGAAGAACAAAGACAAGCGTGCAAAGAAGGGCAAGGCTGTCGTGAACGACTTTGTCGAAGGTGAAGACCCCACCACTGATGCCGCGGACGGTGTTTCTACGCCTACCCCGGAGCTCGATGCCAAAGCGCCTGCCGAAGCTACCTTTGACGACGAGGAGGATGATGTCTTTGCCGGTAACAATGCAAAGAAGGGCAAAGGAGGCAAAAAGCAGCAGCAGCAGCAGCATGAGACTCCTGCGGAAGATAGTGGCGATGTGGGCGGCGGAGTGAAGTCCAAGAAGGAAAAGGAGCGAGAAAAGAAAGAGCGTGAAAAGCAAAGAAAAAAGGAACAAGTACGTCCATCCTTGTGCGCGAAGTCATTGTTTGTACTAATTCGATTCTGTGTTCTAGGCAGCGAAAAAGAAGACGACTGCCCCTGCAGCTCCCGCCGCTGCTACGAAAGCTGAAGAGCCGAAACCTGCACCGGTGGAGGAAAAGCCCGTGTCTTCTGCGCCTGCCCCTGAGAAAGAGAGCAAGGAGGACAAAGGTGGCAAGAAGAAGAAGATTCCTGCCCATCTGGCGGCCATTCAGAGGCAGCAAGAGCTCCTAGCTAAACAACGAGAGGAGCAGGCCAGATTAGAGGCCGAAGCTAGGGCGGCGGAGGAAGAGCGTCTCCGAAAAGAAGAAGAAGAGGAGAGAAAGCGGGCCGAAGCCCGACAGCGCAAGAAGGAAAAAGAGCGTGAAAAGAAAGAACAGCTCAAGAAGGAAGGCAAGCTTCTTTCCGAGGCTGATAAGAAGCGCAGAGCACAGCAAGAACTCCGGTTGAAGCAGTTGTTGGAATCTGGTGTCAAGGTCGCGGGCTTGTCCGGTGAGGCCGCCGCCGAGGAGAAGAAGGAGAAGAAGAAACCAACCAACGACAAGAAGCGCAAGGGACCTAAGAAAGAGGACGTTGATCTGGAAGCCGCAGCACAGAAGGCCAAAGCGGAGGCAGTGGCGGCCGAGGCGGAACGCCAGCGCCTTGCCAAAGAGGCTGAGGAAGCGGCGGCGGCTGCAGCAGCTGCACAGGCGGCTGAGGCCAAGGCTGCCCAGGGCGACGATTCTTCTGAAATCGACGACTGGGAGAAGGCTGCTGAAGAAGAACTCAAGGACAGCTGGGATGCTGAGTCAGACGGCGAAGACACTGCTAAGGCTGCCCAACCGGCCGTGAACGGAGATAAAGATAAACCTACTACGAACGGTGCAGAGGGCAAGACCTCGACTTTGCCTGTGCGAGAGAAAGACACCAAGCCATCGTCGAAACAGAACCAAGACGAGTCCGAGTCTGAATCGGAAGAATCCTCTGACGAAGAAGAGCGGAGTGCTACTCAGAAAGCACTGGCCAAGAGGAAAGCTGAAGCGGCCGCCCGGAGGCAAAAGGCCCATGAAGAAGCGCTCGCAGCGCGGTCCAAAGACAATCTCCGGTCACCTATTTGCTGTATCCTGGGTCACGTCGATACCGGTAAAACCAAGTTGCTGGACAAGATCCGACAGACCAATGTGCAGGAAGGCGAAGCTGGTGGTATCACGCAACAGATTGGTGCCACATACTTCCCGGTCGAGGCTCTGCAACAGAAGACTGCCGTCGTCAACAAGGATGGCAAGTTCGAGTTCAAGGTTCCCGGTCTGTTGGTCATCGATACACCTGGACACGAGTCTTTTTCCAATCTTCGTTCTCGTGGTTCGTCTCTTTGCAACATCGCCATTCTCGTGGTCGACATCATGCACGGTCTCGAGCCCCAGACGCTTGAGTCGATGCAGCTGCTTCGAGACCGCAAGACTCCGTTCATCGTCGCCCTCAACAAAATCGATCGTCTCTACGGCTGGAAAAAGATTGACAACAACGGGTTCCAGGAAAGCTTGGCGCTGCAGAACAAGGGGGTGGTGAACGAGTTCAACGACCGTGTCGAGAAGGTGAAGCTCGCGTTTGCCGAAAAGGGCTTCAACGCCGAACTGTACTACCAGAACAAGGACATGAGACGTTATGTCTCGCTCGTTCCAACGTCGGCTCACACTGGTGAAGGTATCCCTGACATGCTGAAGCTTCTGGTGACGCTGGCGCAGGAACGCATGACGTCGAGTCTGATGTACCTGTCTGAGGTGGAGTGTACCGTGCTCGAGGTCAAGGTCATTGAAGGTCTGGGCACAACCATCGATGTGGTGCTTTCCAATGGTGTCCTCCGCGAAGGCGACCGGATTGTGTTGTGCGGTCTCAATGGACCTATCGCGACCAATATTCGAGCGCTTCTGACGCCGGCTCCTCTCAAGGAACTGCGGCTCAAGTCGCAGTACGTGCATAACAAGGAAGTCAAGGCGGCTCTCGGTGTCAAGATTGCCGCCAACGATCTCGAAGGCGCCATTGCCGGTTCCCGTCTGCTCGTTGTTGGGCCAGAAGATGACGAGGAGGATTTGTGCGAAGAGGTCATGGCTGATCTGCAACAGCTTCTCAGTAAGGTGTCGAAAGACAACCGCGGTGTCAGCGTGCAAGCCTCGACCCTGGGGTCTTTGGAGGCTCTGTTGGAGTTCTTGAAGCAGATGAAGATCCCTGTGGCCAACATCTCGATCGGTCCAGTCTACAAACGTGATGTGATGATGGCAGGAACCATGTTGGAAAAGGCCAAGCAATACGCGGTCATGCTGTGTTTCGACGTCAAAGTGGACAAGGAAGCACAGCAGTATGCGGACGAGAACGGCATCAAGATCTTCACCGCCGACATTATCTACCACTTGTTCGACGACTTTACCAAACACATGGCGAAGCTTCAGGAGCAAAAGAAGGAGGAGAGCAAGCTGAACGCCGTCTTCCCATGTGTGCTGAATCCACTGCAAGTGTTCAACAAGAAGGACCCGATCGTCATCGGAGTGGACGTTGTGGAAGGCAGTCTGCGCCCATTGACACCGATTGCGGCGGTCAAGACGAACCCTGTGACTGGAGTCAAGGAAATCATCAGCTTGGGCAGAGTGTAAGTTGACATGAACGAGTTTAATAGTTGTGGCAGTGACTGACATATTTGACATAGGACTTCTATCGAACGAGAACACAAGGCGATTCCGATCTGCAAGAAAGGTTCGCCGTCGGTGGCGGTCAAGATCGAAGGACCGAATCAACCGCTCTACGGACGACAACTCGAAGACAAGGACACGTTATACTCGTTGATTTCGCGTCAATCCATCGACACGCTGAAGGAGTTCTACCGTGACGAGGTGACCAAGGAGGAATGGTCGTTGATCCGGAAGCTCAAACCGCTGTTTGACATCCCATAGATGAGTTGACGACACGAGACATGAAGGGCGGCCATAAAAGTACCGACAGCATTGGAACAAAAGACAGGTGTTTATTATTAGTGTGATCACGCATGGCTGGATGAATGGTCTCTTTCGGGGGGCATGGCTCCTGGCGCAGTATGAATTGTTTTTCTTCTCTCACTATGATTGTACTGTAGCACGATCCGCCCCTCGCACATGTATACAAGTAGAGAGAATCGGACGGTTAAAATTGTACAATATGCCTATCGCAAAACATTGAAGCAGTTGTACCTTGTATAGGACTTCTGCGGGGGAATGAATGAGGAGGCCCAGAGTTCAGGGTCCAGGCTCAAGCTGCCAGTGAGGCTCGTCTCAATATTCAGGGTCCGTGTCTCCTGAAGTCAGTGTCGAAGTGTCGCCATCCGGAGCAGCGACGAGCCGGTGGAAACGACGGCGCCGGCTGATTAATTAGAGCGTCAAACTGTCCAATCGGCGGCCGCAAAACCGGCGCCAGGCACAAGAAAAAGTGCATTGGCTTCGGCGAAGCACAACAACAGGAACAGGCACGAAAATGAAGTCGAACTGCATGCAGTGCACGATGGAATGATACTGGAGCCCTGCGCAACCCACGCCGTCTTTTAGTAAGTAGTCGGGCTTCACCCCAACGAACAGTTCAGTCGTTACCGCCATCTCGTCCCAAGGGTGCTCAGTCCCTCAGTCCTCCATCTCTCCTCTCCCCTAGAGCCCTCCACATCACCCTCCAAGCCAAGCAGGCCGGCGGTGAGCTTGCTGCGCGCAGTTGGAACTTCCTGTCGCTTTCTCTGTTGTGGAGATTTATTTCTGCCACTCTTTTTCCTCCGCGTATTCCGGCTCCAGATCCCTCACCCTCCCTGTGACCAGACCGCCGCTCGCTCTATTGGGATTACAGAGCAGAGTTTGTGAAAAAGACATACATACATACGGGTCTGCATTTTTCGGGACCGCTCGATCGGTGCAGCTTGATTGGCAGTGCGGCCGTCAGGAACCGCGCGCTCATTCGACCCTCGGTAGAATCCGATCGCCATCTGCCGTGAACCAACAAATACTCTCACCATGGACGTCCTTGCCAATGCCACGACCTTCGCCTCGCCCCTGGCTAACGCCGACCTGAAGGTTCAGGCTGCGCGGGCGTCGGGGGTGGTGGCGCGTATACTGGCGTCGTTGAACGGTTGGACTGTCATTTTGACGGTCTTGTTGTTATTGGTGGCCTACGATCAAGGTAGGCATAGACAGAGCGGAAGTTAACTGCTGTGCCATGATGACTGACACGATACTTGTCTGCAGGCAGCTACCAGTGGAAAAAGCATGGCATCGTCGGACCGGCGTGGAAGATGCCCTTCATGGGACCGTTCCTCGAATCAGTGCACCCAGACTTCAACAAGTACAAGCAGAAGTGGGAGAGCGGTGATCTGAGCTGTGTTTCGGTTTTCCACAAGTATGATGCACACGCTTTTCTGGTCGTGTCGTTCAGTGTTGACTGGTGTTCTACAGGTTTGTGATCATTGCATCAACGCGCGAAATGGTCCGCAAAATCTTCACTTCGCCCGCCTACCTCAAGCCGACCGTCGTTGACGTGGCACCCAAACTGTTGCGCAAAACCAACTGGGTCTTTTTGGACGGCAAAGAGCACGTGGATTACCGGAAAGGACTGAACGGGCTCTTCACGCGGCAAGCCCTGGAAATGTATCTCCCAGGCCAAGAGGAGGTCTACAGCAAATACTTCAAGGAGTTTGTGGCCATGTCCAAGGAAAACAACATGAAGCCGACACCCTGGATGCCGGTATTCCGCGAACTCATGACGGCCGTTTCTTGCCGGACGTTTGTCGGCCACTACATGAGCGACGCGGTGGTGAAGAAGATCGCCAAGGATTATTATCTGATTACGGCGGCCATGGAATTGGTCAACTTCCCCATCATCATCCCTTACACCAAGACGTGGTATGGCAAGAAGGCGGCCGACATGGTGCTGGACGAGTTCGCCAAGTGCGCGGCCAAGTGCAAGGTTCGCATGGCGGCCGGCGGCGAGGTCACCTGTATTATGGATGCCTGGGTCAAGCAGATGCAGGATTCGGCCAAATATCGAGAACGCATTGGTCGGGGCGAACAGGTCGACACATCGGAAAAGCCACCGCAGCTGCTTCGCGACTTTACCGACTTCGAGATTTCCCAGACTATCTTTACTCTGTTGTTCGCCTCGCAAGATGCCACCTCGAGCGCGTGCACCTGGTTGTTCCAGATCATGGCCGACCGACCGGAGATTCTGGATGAAGTGCGAGAGGAGAACCTGCAACTGCGCGGAGGCGATCGAAACAAGCCGTTTGACATGGACATGCTCGAGTCCATGGTCTGGACCCGCGCCGTGGTCAAAGAAACTCTTCGATACCGTCCCCCAGTCATTTTCGTGCCGTACGTGGCCAAGAAATCCTTCGCCATTGCCGACAATTACACCGTCCCTAAAGGGTCCATGATCATCCCGGCCCTCTGGCCCATCACCCATGACCCCGAAGCATATCCCAACCCGGACAGTTTCGAGCCCGAGCGATGGATCACAGGTGATGCCGACAAGCAGGTCAAGAACTGGGTCGTTTTCGGCACTGGTCCCCATCACTGTCTGGGCCAGACGTATGCCCAGTTGAACTTGATGGCCATGATCGGCAAGGCTAGTATCTTGCTCGACTGGGTCCATGAGCCGACGGAGAAAAGCGAGGATATTGAGGTGTTTGCAACTCTTTTCCCTCAGGTAAGACTACAACAATTTGAATTGGGTTGGGAATATATTATATGCTGACAGCTCTACCTACAGGATCACTGCAAATTGGCCTTTTCCGAGCGACCATAAACCAAACAGCACAGATTTTCCTCCACTTTTTGTTATGCACCGCACAGCGATAGATCGATTCTTTTATTCTGGTGGAATGGCTTGGCCTCGAGGCTAGGCTCGTATTGCACATACAGTTAATTTTGGTGAAAAGGAAAAGGGAAGTTTGGCCGGTGGACGGAACGGACAGAAATAGGAGGAGGCGCACGATTCAGGATTGATCCCTTGTGCGTAGACGACGGGTCACCGCTGAGTCTTGTACGTCCTGTACGCTGTCGAGTATAGATAGCAGCAGAAGTCAAGTCGGTCGTTGTTGTATATAGATACTAGTACCTTAGATTCACCCGTCCTTGAGTTCGGTCAGCATTATTGCATCGGCGTTTTTGAGTTTGGGTACCAAGTATGCTTCCTAAGGGAATTTCAGTCATGACAATGACAAGAGGCAGTCTCTCGCGTTGGTATAGAATGAAGTGGTATACTACTAGTAGTAGTCCGTTGCCGGCTATTGGCGATACCTCCTAAACCCTCTGGCCGCCTTAGTCATCAGGGGCTCTGTCCTGAACAAGGTGCTCCACCACTTGGAGTTCGGCTGAACTTGACCCGGAGTCTCGTCAATACTATCAACTTGGACTCTTCTTATCCATACGGTGAGGTATCCTGTCCTCAATTTTGATGGACTCGTTGTCCATACGATGATGATAATAATCATCGACGGTCCGCAATCATATTTACGCCTGGTGTGATTGCATTGTTCTGCTATTTATCGTTGCCTTTACAAAGAAAGAACGCAGGTCGGATCGGACTCGCTCCAAGCGAAGCGTGCTGATAACAGCTAGGCCAGAACAGAACGAGTCTGTCAGTCAGTCTGTCTTGCGTTGTGCTGTGTCTGGACTCGTCGATCCGGGTAATCGGTTCAACACCAGGCAAGACGGGCGGGGGCTTCGTCAGTGGAGCGGTGATTGAAGTGAGCAAGCAAGTAGAGTTCAAGAATAAGACGAGGAGGAGATCTCTTCTTCAGCGGCAATCCTTATCGTCACCACGGTTGGGTTATATACGAATAGTCCAATCCAGTCCAGTCCAGTGAAATCCAGATCAGGTTCAAATTCAGGTATTGTCAATCAACGCACAATGGCAATGCACACGATGGGCATGGCCGTGTCTGCTCGGCCTATGGTCTCTCGGGTCCCTTCCACAGCAGCACCTGGTAGACTGCCAGTACGGAGCAGAACCAGAACGCTGTATTCGGCGGCAGCACCTATCTCGAGAACGAGAACGTCGTTGCTGCCTGGCGGTAAAGGGGAAGTACCCGGACCAGCCCTTGAAGCTCGGAGACGGTGCGGTATGTCACTGTCTCCGGCGACGAAGAGAATGTTCGGCACATCCAGATCTTTAAAGGGTGTGGACTTTACGCATGCTGTATGTTCATGCTATGTTTGTCCCGATTTCCTATTCAGTCATTGCTCTTTGCTATCGGACCGCCCTGCTATTTCTCTGTTCACGGTGGTCCTACATCCGAAGGAACTCCTTGATCTGTGATTCTCCAATTGGTGCTGATTCATTCTTCTTCTTGGTCTACAGGTCATCGGAGGCGGTGCCGTCGGACTCGCCATCGCGCGCCAACTGGCTGCCCGTACGGGGACGTCGACCATCTTGATTGAAAGGCATGGGATGGTGGGTTCGGAGACTAGTAGTCGCAATTCAGAGGTACGATTGTCTTCTCCAGTCTTGCGGATTCTCTCCGAGTGATTGGTTTCCGTTCGGCTCTGGCATTGAAATGGGAGCTTGGGGGAAGGATGCGATATACCCGCTCAATGAAGAGTCAAGTCCGGCCAGGAAGTCGAACGTCAAGTCCATGCTTCGTTGATCTGATCACTCCTCCATGGCAATCAAAATACCAGCAAGGTTGCTTGCAGAGACTACCTATCTCCTGTCATATTTCCTTTTCGAGTCCGGCCAGCAGTCTTAAATCCTACTTTTACCCCCTACTACTCTGCGTCTTCCTCTGGCAGACTTACCCTTGACTTTAATCTGTCCTTGATCCTATCTTAACATTCCTGACTCTGACCATATTGATGGCCCAACCATTGGCTGACCATGCTGATATCGTCCGTCCAGGTCATCCACGCAGGCCTCTACTACGGCCCCAACACGCTCAAAACCACCCTCTGCATCCGCGGCAAACAACTCCTCTACGAACTCTGCAACGCCCAGTCCATCCCCCACCGCCGCACCAAGAAATGGATCCTCGCCCAAACAGAACAACAAATGGCCGAATTGGACTATCTGCACGAATGGTCAAAAACCATCGACGTCCCCACTAGGTTCCTAAGTCGTCGCGAAATCGAGACCCAGGAACCCGACGTACGCGCCGACGCTGGCGTTTTGGAATCTCCCACGACAGGAATCGTCGATAGTCACGCGTACATGGCGTATCTGGAGGGGAGTCTAGATGAACGAGGCGGCGAGGAGATTTTGTACAGTGAAGTTACCAACGTACAACCACTAAAAAATGGGAGAGGGTATGAAATCACAGTTTGTTCCAAGGATACGAGAGCCACCAACGTCGAAAATGAAGAAGGGGAGTATGATTCAATCACCGCCGAAACCGTAATCAACAGCGCCGGCCTCGGCGCAATCGCCATCAGCAATATGCTCCTCCCACCAGCCCGCCAACGAACCGCATATTTCGCCAAGGGAAGCTACTTCAGCTACTCTGCCTCCAAGCCCAAAACGTCCACATTACTCTATCCCGCACCGACGCCCGGGTTGGGAGGTCTAGGGACACATTTGACGCTCGACATGGGCGGTCGCGTGCGGTTCGGTCCGGACGTCGAGTGGGTCGATAACCCGCATGATCTGACGCCGAATCCGGATCGACTCCGAGCTGCAATTCCCGTGATTCAGAGTTATTTGCCTGATGTGAAACCTGAGGCGTTGGATTTGGATTATTGTGGGATAAGACCGAAGTTGAGTCGGGGGGCGAGTGGGACGTATGGGAAGGATGGGAAGGGGTTTGAGGACTTTTATATCAAGGAAGAAGAAGGGCTTCCGGGGTTTGTGAACTTGTTGGGCATTGAGAGTCCTGGATTGACGGCGAGTTTGGCGATTGCGGAATATGTGGATGGGTTGCTTTATGGGGAGGGGGCGAGTATTCCCAAGGAAGATGGGGATGTGTGAGTGAGTGGGTTTGAAACATGGAGATGGTGTCTATTTAAGGTTCCTAAGCTTGGTACTGGTATGGTAGCCGTGTAGAGAAGAGCAATGACGACCATTACACGGTGCTGGAAGGTGATGGGGGAACACTGGTAGTGGCAGCAGCACCACTAGTTCGCCATGTTATCCATGTCCGGGGAGAGAGGTATATATAGTACTGTGGTGTCCCTAAAGATCTATCTGTTTCCAACGACATTTCACATTCCAAAACGTCCGGTATATCTGGATATTCGTACAGTCTACTCACAACCTGTTTGCGTGATATTGTCATGAACTTCTATTGCTCAGCTTCAACACCAGCAGCAGCAAGCATGTCAGGGACACGGCCGAATTTCTCTCTCGGCTTGCCTCGTCTTGCACCCTCTGCCTTTTCGACGGCATCGATCTTGTGCCACTGATCCCAGTGGACAGGACGAAGGTTCAACTTCAACGACTGCGCTTCAGCCTGTACACCCTGCCATCCGTCGCGAGGAGGTTTGGACGACGATGAGTCGGTACTGCCGTAATTTCTCTTCCAATCTTCGACGATCGCTTCAGCCGTTTGAAACGCGTCCGTCATAGTACTGGCAATCACGCCCGTAGGGCCACGCTTGACCCAACCGGAACAGTACACGGCGACATTGCCTGCCGTGTCGGCGTCAGTCTGACCAAATGGAACGACTCGCCCGACTCCATCGTGACGAACGGTTCCTTTTCTGTCATCAAATTCGGCGCCTATTTGATCCATTCCTGGAATCGCTTCCGCTTTGTATCCTATAGACCTAAACAACGTAGACGTGGGAATCAGCTGCGTCTCGTCCGTGTTGGTCACTTTGGACTCGGGCGAAACCGGATCTTCCAATTTAGTCTTGGTAAAGATCACGCCCTCCAGTCGATTTGGGTCTGTCGCCGACCACTCTAGAGACTTTGGGGCAAGAAGAAAATCCAGTGACCAGGATTTTGTCGCCTTTTCGTTGACTGGGCTGCCCTTTTTCAGCAGCTCCATCAGCCTTCGTCGCGGTCGAGGCAGTTTCGACAGATCCGGAGGAAACAGGTCGTCCGGTATAGGATGGAAATTGACATCCTCGAGGTGCAAAAGCTCGCGGACTTCTTTGATGGTGAAGGCCGCTTGCATGGGCCCTCGTCGGCCCACAATATGGACATGCTTGATCTTGCTTTTGGCGAGTGTCTTCAGAGCGTAATCCGTTATGTCGGTCTTGCTTAGTACTTCGACCTTGCTGAGCAGCGTCCTGGCCACATCCAACGCGACATTGCCCTGTCCGACGACGACTGCCGTCTCGCCGGCCGTCAAATCCGGATTCAGGTCATGATATTCGGGGAGCCCGTTGTACCAGCCGACGAAGGCGCGGGCTGAGTAGATGTGTCGTTTATCTTCTCCTTCCAGTCCCAGCTTGCGGTCTTTGGATGCACCGTATGCGAAGATGATGGCATCGTAGTGTTTGGCGAGCAGTGGCAGGGGGAGGTCGTGTCCGAGGTTCACGTTGCCAATGAACGTGTAGTCAGGAGATGCGGCGACTTCTTCAAATGTGTCTTGACAGTTCTGTAGGAACCACATTAGTTTACCGGACTGGTGTCTCAAGTATATAATCCAACTCACCTTCACTTCTGGGTGGTCTGGTGCCACTCCGAACCGCACCAGCCCGAACGGGACGGGTAACTGCTCGTACATGTCCACCCGGGTGCCATGGAGTTCTCGCATCAATTTTTGAGCAGTATAGAAGCCCGCGGGTCCCGAACCGATCACGGCCACGGTGGGAGGTGGCCCTGTAAACTCGGGCCCATGATGGCTGTACCTCGCAGCACCGGATTGAAACCACCGGCTGGAGATCTCATTCAGACGCAGGGATTCGGCGCGTATTGTCCTCGCGCATGACCAAAGGCGCAAGCATCGGTTGATCAGCATGGCAGTATGGCTATAAAGGCCGCCATCATACCTCGAACACTGTCCCAAGCATTAAGAGAAATGACTCGATGAGCGCAGCGAGTCATACCGTGCATGCAATTTGTGGAGTATTGCCTTCTAGGAGGCTGCGCTTATCGATAAGGCCGGCTTGTCGGATAAACGTGGTTCCGGTGTTTATGTGGACGTCAAGTTCATCTCTATAGTTTCGCGGCATCTTGTTCACAACGGTCGAAGCAGGACCTTGAGCTCCGTGTTAGCTTGTGCTGAGGAGTCCTTGCATAGGAAATATATGAGCATTGTGATGGGGCAATTGAGCGGCCACAACTGGCACAGGTAGTTGACTGGACTCGTCCTTGGTGTTGCTACCTTGCCCATGAGATATCATGATTGCGAACGATGAAAGGCCAACGCTACTCTACTTCTTTGCATTAGAGAGGCAGCAGATGGACTGCCTGGCATGGATAATCGAAGAATGCCCCCCAGATCCGCCCGTTTGGATGTGCGTTGTGACATGTTCACATTATTTCGACTTGTCTTGTATTCGATGAATCGTGCTTTCACGAAACGTCCATCCTGGCAAGGAGGATAAACTACGCAGTATCCATGGAGAAAGGAAAATGAAGCTCAACCCGCGTGAAATACACCTGGTAGCCAACATAGACCTAAAGTACCGAATAGACCTTGTAGTTCAGCTTACCTACTGGAGACTCTCCATGCCTGAGATCCATAGCCCCTGTGATCCCTCGTAAAGTGAATAGGCAGTGCTGTGTACCTAGGTAGTGAAGCCGGAGTGAAGTGAAGCGGCTGCAAATTGACCCGCTTCCAGAAAAATGCAAGCATATAAGTGTCGGCCGCAAAATTATCTTCCGCAATTGGGGCTGAAGCATCATGAGAGTTGTGCTGGCGCGTGGTGATACACGCTGCCAGTGCACCGTGCTGGCTGTGGTGATACACGCTGCGCTATTCCCCCTCGAAGGAGTAGGCCTCAATTGAAAGCGCGCGGGTTGGCGGGAGGGGGCTTCGGACGATGCGAGGGGAATGCAATCTGTCCAGGATCCAGAAGCTAGTATAGACGACTATTCCCGACCGCTAATCTTTTTTGCTGGTTCAAATCATGGTGTTGTCGCCTTTTCTTTTTTGGTAGTTACTTACCTCCGCAGGTTTGTGCGCCTGCGTGGTGCGACTCGTAATCGTGCGTTGGACATGAAGCTGTGAAGGCCGCCGTGTCTGAGGCGGACTGAGGGTGGGTGGATGAATATTAGCAACCGGGAGCACACCCGGGTTGCAACATTGCAATCAGATGTTTGCGACGCACTATGCATAGTTTCGAAGGGGGCCGAATCTCAACCCAGAGACAGCTAAACAGAGAAGATACTGAAATGGAGACAAAAACTGGAAGAACACAGGTATGTGCAAGCAGGGGGTTTCGTGAAATATATAGGTGTGGAAAATATCCACAATCTTGGGGTGAGCTTATCTCCACGTGCCTGGTTCTTATCTCAATGTATGCCGTCATCGCAAGGCTGTGGCCACAAACCTCTTCAGCCTCGTCACCAATGCCCGCCATTCGAGTCATGGGACAAGATTTGTTCGCCTCACTGCATTGTTCGCAACTGAATCCGTCGAATCTTCGGTCCAGCCACACTCTGCTCGGCCTCTCGATTTCAGTCCTTCTCTTCTCTGTGTCATATTTTCTCTCTCTGTTCTTGTATCCCCTCGTTCAATCTCTCATATTTCTCGAGTACGAGTCTTACTATCCAGTTCCCGCCACAACTTGCAGTGAATCATGCCCAAATCAAAATCCAAAACGCAACAAACCCTCCCTCTCACCACACGGACAACTCGTATCCCATCTACATTCAGCGATGGCCTCCCCTTACCGGCCCTCCTCGTCTTCGACCTCGACTACACACTATGGCCCTTCTGGGTAGACACGCACGTCTCCGCGCCCGTGAAACCCGCCAGCCCAGCAGGCCAGTATAACACACGCATGCTCGACCGGGACGGCGAGTCCTTTTCCTTTTACGACGACGTCCCCGCAATTCTAGCTGCCGCGAAAGAGCGCGGCATCCCCATGTCGCTGGCGAGTCGGACGCATGCGCCCGATCTGGCTAGGGATATGCTGAGGGGGCTGCATGTGCCGAGTAGTACGGAGAAGAACACTTCTCAACAAAATCCACAAGCACTGGACAACAACTCTGATGTCGACGATGTCGATGACAACGACGAACAGCACTTTCCCACACAAGGCGCTCTCCAAAACAATCCCAACAACACCAACATCTCTACTCTCTCCCCCCGTCGCGCCGTCGACTTCTTCATCCACTCCCAGATCTACCCCGGCACCAAAACCACACACTTCCGACGCATCCGGGCCGCGATGCAAAAGGCCGGCACGCCCGTCGATTTCGAGGACATGGTGTTCTTCGACGACGAGAGTCGGAATCGGAATGTCGAGACTGAGTTGGGAGTGACGTTCTGGCTGGTTCGGGATGGTGTTACTAGCGATGAAGTCGATCGTGGGATTTGGGAGTGGCGGAAGCGTAAGGGCTTTGCACAAAAGAAGTGATAATGCTATCGTGATACTATTTCACTGGTGGAACGAAAAGAAAGAAAGAAAAGACAACACTGCTATTGAACTGACCGGATGGCTGGATGTTCATCCACTCACTATCGGGTTTCGATGACATGGATCGATTATTCCTGACGTCTTGATCATATATACGACATTTTTTATCGTTCACGTTCCATGAACTCGGTTGCAAATCGGGTTGGTCGAAAAGAAGGAAGGCACTCTCTTTCCTGTTGCATGTGGCATACTATACCATATTATAGCATGGTGTTGGGGACAGGGGAAAAAAACATGGGACCTCAGGTTGAAGGTGGATTTCAGTCTGGGCCGGGCTCGCCCATAGAAGGCTTGTAGCATCGCGCACCGTTGAGATAGAAAGAGATAGAATCCAAAAAATTCGTCGCCGAGCCATTGTGGGAGTGACGGCGGCTTTCAACCGCCTCCCTCCTGCCGCATACAGTCACAGAAATACACCAACAACAGGCGGCCAATGAAATAACTACAAGAGAAAAGAAAAAAAAAGCGAATCCAAAAACTCAAGGGCATGTTACAATCATGGCGGCTTGTGGTTTCTGTACTCAAAAGCCCTATTGTACACTAACAAATCCTTGCTCGTTCCGGCAGCTTGTAAGCCGGTAGGGTTCAAGGATGCCTCTCCTTTCTCGGATCTTTGCAAACCAGCCATCACTCTTCCGATGGGCATCAAGTCCAATACACTCCTCGTCGGCCTTCACCTTCGTATGTGCCAAGCCAAGTCTCAACCCATTTGTTCCTCGGTCTGCACACTAGGTTAGACTCTGGTCGCGCCGTGCCGCGCCGTGGTGGTGTAGGGGGTATCAAAAGCAGCAGTAGTTGTTGTTGTACAGATTAGTTTTGTCTTCGTCGCGATCTCATTGACAGGGGGTCGTCCAGGTTGTTAGCAAGTGATCCCGGAGGCTCGCCCACATCGCGATTTGCGTGCCGTGGCCCAGGCCAGTTCTTCCGACCGGTCAAAGCCCTAAACTGGTCGTAGGAATCATCCTTTCGATCTTCGTTTCATGCTGGCCGGCATTGCAATCTCGACAAGCTGGTCCGAGTCATCGTCGTCATCATCGTCATCGTCATGGTCGGCTTGACCAGCAAACTCAGAAGCTTGCTCGTCCGTATCGCCCATGCCGAAGGCGCCGCCTAGTTTCTCTTTCTCCATGGGACTGAGAACCTCTTCATCCGAACTGTTGCTCTCATCTTCCTGCGTGGGCGCAACCATCTCACCCATTTCTTCGTCTTCGAAGACTTCTAGTGGGCGCCGCTCGAGACTCGTGCGGGCCTCGAGAGGCGGATTTTCAGGTTCAATGTCTGATCCGGATCCTTCCGAGGATGAATCGTCCAAGGATCCATCGAAGTCGTCTCGTATCGTTCGACCGTGCGTGTCGTCGTTTGCACTAGAGAACAGACTGGTGAGACCGCGACTGACCGTGAAACTGTGATGGTCTCGTGTGGTATCACCAAACCCGCCAGTGTTAGCATTGCTTCGCCTGCCGAAATTGGTAATGTCCTGTTCCTCTTCATCAAGCGAGAACGGATCGGCCGAATCCTGTTCGTCGCCGTTGTCCAAAGCCGCGAATGGATCGTCGGCCTCAGAGCCGAATTCGGAAGCAGCAGCTTCCTGCTCGGCCTCTTGTTTGTGCCTCGCTAAGCGATCAGCCAACCGTCGACGGGCACGTGATGGTTCGACGTTAAGCGGTGCTGGAGGGGGAGGTAGCAATGGGACAGGTTGGTCGGACTGCTTCGCCACTAATTAGCCTAAAATGTAAACAATCGTCGAATGGCACTCGCCGCACTCACATTCTCCGACGACACCCCGGTATTAGTAGTGGAGGTCTGTGTTTCCGACCTGCCACGTTCATCATCATCGGCGTCGTCCATATCCTCGTCATCATCGTCAGATGAACTGCCAAACCCACTGGACAGTGAACCACTGGAATTGTAGCCAGCACTAGTGGCACTTCCATTGTTCGACAAATCAATGCTGTCTAGACCGTGCTGAGCTTGACCTCCGTTGAGACCCGCGGCGGCCAAACCGCTGGAACTGCCAAACCCTTGTCCGGAGTTGACAGCATTTAGCACAGCCTGCCTAGGTCCAAGTCCATTATCTGGTCTGAATCCTCCGAGAATGGCGTTGTCTCGTTCTCTCGTTTCTGCAAGGACCTTTGTGACGTATTCCTCCCAAGCCTGGGAGTAGATACAATCTTGGACAACGGGCGAGAGCAGCTCTCGAGGGTGTCGCTCGCCGAATTTGACCACCTCCTCGGCAACCAAAGTCAGATGTCCCATGTATCCAAGTCGCATGTTCTTGGCTTGTTGGGCCTCGTCACTGCGTCTTTGACCTTCAATAATGGCATCGGTAATCCGACCAGACTCGAACAAGTCAAAGGCCAAATATCGATTGTAGCCTCGGTCCATGGGGCCATTGAAAACCTGTTGGACGACATCATAGACGACGTTGTGTAGAAAATTGTTCCACGGAAAGCGGAAGAAGAAGCTCTGTCTCAGCGATTAGCACCCTGCTTTGATGTGTTCAGACCAAGTAATCACTCACCAGAATCGTCGGCACGACTTTGTTCTCGACAAACTGAATCTTCAAATAGTCACCAACCACCGGGGCCTCTCCTGCTGTCGATGTATCGTGGTCCGTGACTTGCATCGTCTGGTCACGCGAACTCTGAATCGAATCTCCCTCTGCTTGGCTATTCTCCCCATGTACTTCGGAAGTATCTCCTGGGGCGTCAGGACCGCCAGTCGGTTCAGGGCTGTGCGCCGTAGGGGTTCTGTTGGGATCAGAAGACGAGGCAAACAGTGGGGCAGGCTTGTCTTCTGGGTGTGAGGAAGGTTGATCCTCATTATTTCCTTGACTAGAGAAGTGTGTTGTAGTGTCTGGTTCATTCGGGGGTGAGGTCATGTCAGTGTCGTCCACATTCTCCAGACTCAGCCGCCGGACCGTGTCATCCAGATTCCCTGGCGATGTGCCACTTTCTTGAGGGTTCTGCGTAGCCCGAGACTCTCGAGGTGACAGTGGCTCATCCACCAGATCTTGGTCTGATTTTGTCGAGGTCTCTGTGGCGTCCGACACTGCAACCTTTTCGAACCCATCCTCGTCATTTAAATTGGCAATCCGAAGTTCTTCGGTCGAGGTGGAGGCTGATGGGGTGAATGCGGTGTCGAACCGAGAAGAAGTGACAGAGATATCGACGGCAGAATCTTCGGATTGTTTGTTAGACAAAAATGCGCCCTGGGATCGCAGTCGTTCTCTTTCCGCGTCTCTTTCCTTGATGAATTCTTCACTGCCCCTCTCATTTAGCAGTCCCATGTTGCTGCAGTGCAGTAATTCAGCCATTAGTTCGCAAGTCTTGAATCGGTCAAACCCGAGGGGCTCGATTTGGGTACCCCATGCTGACTTGAGCTGACCTCGTTCTACCACGACGGTGGTGTCACCCTGGGTGACGGTATGTTTCGAGCTCAAAATGAGATTCATGAAGGCCGGAACATTCTCGGCGAACAGCCGCAAAAGATTTCCCAGGTAGATAGGGTCATGGTTCGTTGGAGGAGAATCCGGGCTGTGGCCGTGCTCAGGGTCGTAATCGGAGTTGTTCTTACGGATGACTTCGATGACAATACCCACTCCAACTGTAAGGGGATTGCCACCTTTGAGCATGTAAGAGATCAGTTGTCGAATGCACTTCTCCGAAACCAATTGCCGGGTCAAACTGTTGGGACCGATGCACGATTGCTCATTTAGCGCGGCATTAGCGGAAATCGTGATGATGGCTTTCAAGAAGTCGCCGGCAGATGTCTGCGTAGACGAGTTGCACTCTGGTGACAAACTGGACAAAAGCATGGGTATCAGGTCCTGATCGTGCAGCCAGTCCACGATGCCTGCGCCGCCGTCCGACTTTTCCAGGCTAATGATCTTCAACAACAGATCCATCACCATCGGGCAATCGACATGCTGCAGCATTGCGGGTACAATTCCTGGTAGGGATTTGAAAAACTCGACCATTTCTTCGGTTTTCTTTTCGAACAGCGTTTCGTTGACCTTGGTGAAATAGCCCGCCTGCAACGGATCTAGTGGGGCCGGACGCCGCAGAAAGTCCCAAAACTCGACGAGAAATTCCGTACTGGCCATCAAAGATTCGGTGATAGACCAGGTTTCACATGACAATATTTCGCATGCCACGTAAGCGTACTTCAATCGCTTTTTCTCCGCCTTCTCCTGCTCCTCGTCCGGCGGCTTGTCCGCTTCGTCATCGCCAGATGTAGACTCAGTCTCCTTCACATTCTCGCTGGATTCGCCGCTGTCCGAGGAAGGGCCCGGGGCTATGACATATCGCAGAAGAGCATGTAGGTTGTTTTCATCTCGCAGATGTTCGATCAGTTTGGTGTGATGGGACTTCAGTTCTTGAATGAGGTCGGACTCGTCCAGCAAATCTTCCAGTCTGACATCAGGCTTGTCAAGCAGTGTGTCGATTGTGGATGTGTTGGAGTAGCCTCCAAAGCGCCAAAACATCTTGATGGCTGTCTGGCGGTCTCAAGTGACCGATGGTGACGGCGCCGGTCTTTCTAGTAACAATTCCAGTCTGCGAGTAGAAGGGGTGTTAGGTTAGTGGGCCGTTCGCGGTCGTGAGTCGTAGATCGGTGATGACTGCGTAAGACATAGACGGGCGTTCCAGCGCTGCAAAGCCGTCACTGTTAGTTACCAAAGTCCCTGTTGCCGCGCGGACAACCACGAGTGAGTATGCGTGAGTAGGGTCGAGTCTGCACATATGCAGCATCAACCCTTGACGCGTTACTGACCTGTGTGATTAAAGGAGTGACTGGAGAAGAGACCGCAGCAGATGAGGCTCTGGACAAGAGCCTTGGATCGGGCGCAGTTTGTTGTGTACTGTGGTACAAGGTGTGAGAAGTCGATTGGCAACAGGGTCGTGTGGACTGTGGACTGCAGCAGCGGCAGTGGTTCGCGCCCAGGTTGGAGATACGGCGGAGACAGAGAACAGACGCCCGGGACTACTAGGTCGCAGAGGTTGGCGGCTGACTAAGGAACGCACTAAAGCTGCTAGCACACTCTTAGCGGCACTAAGTGGGAATTAAATCACACGGGCTTATGGTAGTAACGGGAACGCTGCTTGCACGTGACTTTATGTTCTCTTCACGTGATTTGCTAGTCTTGGCACAATCCCGCGGCTACAACATCATGCTCCTTCATGAACGGGTTGTCTTCAGCAACGAACGCAACTGTTGACATCTACCAGGTAGTTGTAGCCTGCACGGTGACTCCCTTACCTCAGCTCCTTCAGGTCGTGGCAGGGGATCTATGTCATGAGGTGTAACATTGTGGATCTCCTTTGGGGGCCTTACGAGATGTCGAGGGCGTACAACTGTACAATTTGCGGTGAACCTATCGTTATCATGAGCCTGGAGCACATGTTGAACTGACTGCAGCAGTGATAGACTCCGCGAGCCTCAGCCGGCTACTTGTTCGGCGGCGTCCACTGTCCTGAATTTCCCATTACTCTGTTCACTATAACCATGTCCACCCTCCGCAGCCAGGACAGCCATCAGTGGCAATGCTATGTCCATACAGTGCCCGGCTATATACCCGGGAAAGGACCGCCCCTGTCATGGAGGCGGTCAGTTTCTGTCCGTGGGAGGCCTGCTGTACTCGAAAGATGCAGAGAGGACAATGGGCCGCTATCCTGGCACCACGTCCGCACCAGCTCCTCACCCATTTTGCTAGGCTCTGGACAAGTGGTTCGGCACTTTACCATTTCTGACACACAGTTCGCCAGATCTATGTAGCAGAGCTCTTGCTTGCTGTCATATGTAGGTTGCCTATGTTACCCAATGACTCTTGACGAACCCTTTTTGGTAGGCTAGATGCAGCCCCGGCTTGATGTTGTGTCGGACGGCTTTTGAGACGCTCATGTGACCAACAAATATTTGGGTCAGCAGTCATCCTTCCACCCAAGGGAGGAGGCAAGAAACTCGAGAGAATTGCACGCATCATGCGTTTACACCGCCAAGCTCCAAATGATTATGAGCAGCGTCGAAAACTCCAGAATCGTGCCGCTCAAAGACGGTACCGTGAGCTTGCTTGAAGCCGCCGGGAAGTGCAGAAGCTAAACGCTCAGCAGGCGATCGTATGAGGCAAAGCAACACAATTCGCGTCGACTACCGGGGGTTTAGAAATGATGGCTTCCAGCAATATCAGTTACAGAATTCCCGTCAGGATTTCTCAGGGTCGACCGCTCCAATGGCGTCGTCTCCTGGATTTTGTCCAAGCAACCAAGAGACGGAGTATGAGCGTGGCATTTCTGATATAGACTGGAATCTGGGTGGAAACTCGCCGCCGACCGATCAGCAGCTGAGACAGTACCGCGTTGTTGATCCGGCGTACTTTTCACACTCAGCGGATCTCGCCGACTCCCGCTCAATTCACGACGGCTATGGAGAACCTCAATGGGACAACGCGGTGGTCCATGCTCACCAAGAGCTTCCACAGATAGACTCGCAACCAAGCCAGTTCCGCAAATATGCTGAACCGCCATCTCATTTTCTCGAAGAGCTAACAGATGATCCGATATCTAGCTCAGAAAGACCAATTGACGTGGCGGATCTCAAGTTTGATGTCTCGCTGGGCAGGGAAATGGCACAATCACGCCAACATGCCGATCTCAGGTCGCTTACAGCCCTATCTTCCAGTGAGCAGCTTAGTTCTGAGCTTCCCGAGTTGACGGCCTCTCTGGGGATACAAATGGTAATGCGGCCCTGCCCAGTCACAAGATGCCCTTGCTGATCAATACTACTACTATGCAGGGTAGAGGAGAATGGGAACAGCAGCATATTTGTCAACCGCCACAAACTATTGACGTCGCTTTCCAACAAAAAGTGGAAAATGTCGTGCAGGAGCTTCTCCGCTTTTACTACGTCGGGCTAAACCTCAAGTTGCTGCAAGAGGACCCTGAGCTTCATAGCAAATTAGGTGCCCTCCAGCAACACTTTGTGGCAACCAAGGTCAGACCTCCGCTGACTAGTACTGGGACTTTATCTTCGAAGGGTTGTGGCTTATCACAGCAGACAAACTCCAACGCCTGGAAGGCGGCCGGTTTCCAGGGCGCGGAAGTTGACCGAGGACGCCCTGGCACCGCAGGCCCGACAAGATGTCTTCCCTCCGAGGCGTTTAGGTGAATGGGGATCTTGCGCGCCTTCAAATCCCATCGACTCCTCTCTTTCGGCTTCTCAAAAGGCAAGGGAGAGCTTATAGCTCCATAGACAATAGAATGTCGCGCTTAGGGCCAAGTTCCGCCAACCCCTCTGCTTCGTTGAGCTAGCCGAGCAGCGACACCGAGCGGCTGATACGGTCAAAGGGCTTAGCAATTGCAAGTACAAAATCACTGCAATAAGATAGTTCAGAAAAATGGGGATTGCGCTTGACTCGGTATTGGAAAGGGACAACATCGCACGGATCTGCAAGGTGGGAGCCGAACGGTGTCCAAAACTGCTAGTCCCGTCATAACCACTTTACCACATCAGCGGAGTCAGAGGTGGGAAACATGGTTCCTCCGGACAGATCATCTACTGTGAAAGAGAATCCCATGGCTCGAAAAGGCACGAGGAGAACCATTACGCGACGGTCATCTTGCATTAGCTTCGACAGATACCATAATGGCACAACAGTAACCCACCTTCGGGCAGGCCATACTCTATCGATCGACAGCCGGACTAAAAGACCCGGATTCATCTCCATTTACTTCCGTTATACAATCGACTTGGCCTTCCAATGAGCCTCTGGGGCTGTAAGATTCCGGCTGTGTGGTTCATGGCATTGTCTAAATCAAGGTCTGCCATTCTACCGGGGTCAAGAACTGTTGAATGGGCTGCCATATAGCATTGTGGCAAACTTCGACGTTACTGTTCCACAACGGATTTCAGCGAACCAATTCCCCTGAGACCCCTGATCTCCTTGATCGGATTTGCAGTCCCTTGTCATGAAACATAATGACATGCAAGCCCGCATGCTGGGGGAGATGTTACGCAGCGGTGTCGCTGTCCCATTTTATGGTGTCGGTCAAGTTGGGGTATGTCTATGCGCCCACAGCATGTTTGATATGATCGCACACAATAAGCAGGCCGCAACCCGCGGACATCGTGGATTTCCGATCCATTCACCGGCACAAGTGGAGGTCTTGTGCGAATAAATGGGAGGCATACACAGGCAGGCTTAGGAACTACTGGACGTTGCCAGGCCCGTTCTGAAAACATCTGCCATCATGGAGCCTTTGTCATCAAAGTCCCTTTCGTTGTCCTCCTCCCATTTTATTCCCGGAACGGTACGAGCATCAACGTGTTGTCCTTGACCAGAAATCGTTTGTTGAGCATTATGTCCTCAATGGCTCGTCTCGCCGATGTGCCATCCGTGAACTGTCGGAGTACCTCATGGCAAGTTCCAAGGAGTAATGGGCACTTCTCCAGATGAGAAATATCGAATCTGTAAACTGGTTTACCATTGTCGTCCTCCTTGCCCTCGATGGTTTCCACGGCTTCGCATCTCATCCCTTTTGACAGATCATGTCTACCGCTGGTCTTCCTTGACAGCCAGAACAAGGCGGCTGATATGTTGTACAGGATTGGCGTGGAGATTTCTGCCTTGAAACGAAGAATATCTTCCTCTCGGAAGCCATGACTATTGAACAATCTGCGCCGCATGGTCACCAACTTGGATGCGCCTCGATTGCCGATGTTGTGACACCGGAGTAGTACGCCGGCGAAGTGTTTTTGGCGCCATGCGATGGCCAAGGGAGATTGATACCTGGGCCAAAGTCTGGTTCGGTCATTATTCTCGACAGCACTACGTTGAGGAGTCAGTTTGCATGCCGAGAATCATGGAGAGAACCATCTAGGAGACCTCACCAAGATTGCTTCTCAGTTTTCCCATCATTCGGGGAAGTCTGTACCTCAGATACAGCTTGAAAGCTGTTGACCCTTTGACCAAGCAGCCATTCTCCTCCCTGAAGCAAGGCGTATATGAAAAACGCTGTTAGGACGTGATAGTAAAACATGACAGCGCCAGCCCAGAGTTCATCAAGGAGCAATTCTGGTTTTTGCTATCAACCTTGGATGGCAGACTATTCTCCCTTTGAGAAATACCACACGGTCCACATCCTGAGCAGGTGCTTTTAGCCTTCAGATGCTACGGCATGCTTACAGATTTCCACCGGGGAGTGGTCGCCTACGAACGAAACAATCCCCCAATCTGGGTGCTCGATGACTTTCGCGAGGCATAACGGAAACGGGCTGTTCAGTTCTAACCTTTGACCAGCAAGGTTTGTGCACAGTCCGTAGTGGCCACTAGATAAGCACAAATGTTCCAAAGTGATCGCTTATCATGTGGCAGTCTCATGGTGCATTATGCATGCTTACTCCGTGTCAGCCTTCCCCCAGTGGGAGGATCATACACAGTGGTAACACAGAAACACTTGGAGAGCTCCCTGGTGTTACAAGGCTACCGCCGGTACAGCAAGTTGACAGGGTCCTGTTGCCGGCTCTTCAATACAGATAAAGCTCACCGGTCAAGGGCAGGGGAATCTGGCCCAATCCGCGTATTCAGAGATCCTGTTCCTGGCACTACGGGAGGGTCGTTGCAACGTCAAGAGGCACGAGAATGGCTCGTTTTGACGGAAAGCTCGTTATCATTACCGGGGCTGCCTCTGGAATCGGCCTGGCCACCGCGCAACTGCTACTAAGCGAAGGGGCCTCGGTTTTTGGAATCGACAGGGCTCCTCTACCGAAGGCGAAGATTCTCTCATCAGCGGCGGCCCGATTCAAATTCTACCAGGCGGATCTGACGGCACCGAATGTGATATCAGAAGCTCTCGACAACTGCCAAAGTCAATTTGGCCCCAAAATTGATATCCTGGTCAATGCCGCTGGTGTACTTGATTCTTGGGCAAGTGCTGACACCGTCACCGATGAAGACTGGCACCGCGTCTTGTCCATCAACCTCGATGTCCCAGTCAAGCTGATGAGAGCCGTGTTTCCGATGATGAAGGCCCAAAATGCCGGGGCTATTGTCAATGTTTGTAGCATGGCAAGCTCCAGTGGAGCCACTTCCGGCGTGGCATACACGGCCAGTAAACATGCATTGGTGGGAGTGACGAAGAACACTGCATTTCGGTTTCGGTGGGAAGGCATCCGATGTAATGCAGTGTCTCCCGGGGGTGAGCTTGACTGAGACCCGCTTTCACGGATACTGACCCAAACGTCGCTCAGGTGTTGCAACGAATCTGGAGGCGTCGGTAAACCCGGCGACTGTCGATATGATGGCTTTCCAAGCCTTTCTGTGAGTAACACCAAGGCGCTCCATTCTGGTGACATGTTCAATAACAATCCATGAGACCTGTCATGGGATTACATCTCAGGACCGATGAGATAGGACAGCCGGTTCCTCATATCGGACCGGACGCGGTGGCTGAGGGAATTGCCTTCCTCGCGTCAGATCAGGCAAAGATGATCAATGGGGCCATTTTGCCTATCGATACTGCATGGTCAACCATATGACAACGAGACTCTGGGAGGTTGTTGCGACTGAAGCTCGTCCTGCAAGCTATTGAGCATGACAGACGCAGGGCTCTTTTCGACTGTGCCGTGCCTTGTAAGCACGGTCTCCAGAGTCGGCGAAGTGGCTCCAAAGTCCAGAACCGTCTCATGCAGCAGCGTGAATCTAGCCAGCGCAAATAACACATGTTTGAGTGCAAGCTGCACACGCGGCTGTTTGTGTAGGTCTTTGGAGTATGCCTACTTCATCACCGATGACTTCCCCTGTCCATTTCCTTATCTCATGCAGCATCCGGGTCGCCTCGGACTTCTCGATTGCCTGGAGATGCATCATGCAGCACCACCTGTCTCTACTTTGGGTGCAGTAGTGAGTGACAGAATCCTCGAGCTGGCGTTGTATTGTGTATTTATTTTTGACAGCGACATTGCTTGTACACCAGTGAACAAGACACCAGCAAACATGTCGTGATATGCTCGCTCAAAGCCTCGAAGCCTGTGGAAGCGAACCGGACTGATAAGAGTCGGCTATTCATAGCATGTGTTGTCACGACTTTGTTCAAGTGGTGTCTGCCCCTGACACCCAACGCCTTGCACTAGTGCTGCATGCTGACTTGTGCTCACCAAGCGATTGGACATGGGACGATCGCTACGTCCGGATTGGCACCTCGAGCTGAATGAAGACAGCCCAACGTACAGTTTGTACAACCACATCGCAGTCTCGGAGAACCGAGTATTTGCCAGGGACATCTCACACTGACTTGTCAGCATGTCAGACGAGGCGGCCGAGGCTCAATTGAAAGCACGATGTGAGCCGACATTGGATGCCTAAGAGTGGACGCCTCTGTACAACAAAGGTATCAAGGACCTTATATGCCTCTAGGTAGGTGGTGATCTGATCGTGGTACTACGTTCTTCCGTGCTTCACAACATTGCTGATGATATGATTGTCAAGCAGATCGAGAGCCAGGTATCGGCCGCGCTTGTGACGTTATTCGAGTTGGTGAAGGCTAGACCTTGGGATGTTCTGGTGATTCTTCTAGGTGTCTTGCTCGTGGGCAATATACTTCTTGTCCTCAGAAACAGGTTCTGCCATTTGGCTTCCATCCCAGGTCCATGGTGGGCTGCATACACCCGACTCTGGCTATGCAAGACCATTGCATCCGGTGACTCGGCCAGGCTGTTTACAGAAGTGAACAAGAAATATGGTAAGATCCGATCTTATCTTGAGGAATCTGGTCAGATGTGTGGGAACAATACTCATTAAAATGGAGAACAACAGGTCCCATTGCTCGTATCGGACCGAACCATCTCATCACCGATGACCCCGACGTAACCAAACGCATTCTGGCCGCCAGATCACATTACACGCGTGGCCCGTGGTTCGATGCCATCAAGATCGACCCCCATGTTCCCAACATTGTCTCTGAGCGACACACTGGCAAGCACAACCACCTTCGTCACCGCATGTCCGCAGGTGTAGGTTTGAGTTTTAGTTTTCATCCACAAATTGTAAACACTAACAACAAGAATAGTATACCGGCAAGGAGATCGAGGGCACGGAAGAAATCATCGATGAACGCATCCTGGATTTCTGCCAGAGAATCGAACAAAAATGGTGTTCAGAAAGTTCCGAAACCAAAACGTTCGATATTGGGCGAAGAATCCAATATCTGGCAGTCGACATCATCACCCATCTCTGCTTCGGCGCGCCGCTTGGCTTTATGGACAAGGACTGTGATGTACATGACTTTTTGTACACCATCGAAAGCCAGCTTCCTATCGTACAACACTTTTCCGTCATTACCGAGTTCAACACCATCCTCGAAAGGATCACTCGAATACCCGTGTTCAGGAGTCTACTACTGCCGTCTGCTGCGGACCGGACGGGGGTCGGACGCATCATGGGCGTGCGTGAAAGATTTCCTTGTCAATCATAACCGTATATTCCGTTCTGACTATCTCGCTAGATATCCAAAAAGGTAGTGGACAAGCGGTTTCTACCAACCTCAAAGCCCAGAAACGACATGCTCGGCTCGTTCCTCAGACACGGTCTGAGCGCGAAGGAAGCGGAGGCGGAAATTTCCATTTCACTGTGAGTACTTCTTACTTTCTCTGCATTGACATCTCCGAGCGCCTCACGTTTGAAGTACCACACACTAACTGAAATCTGGTGTAGAGTCGCAGGATCCGACACAACAGCAACATCAATGCGCGCCACCCTTCTAGCAATAATCACCAACCCCACAGTATACGCCAAACTACAGGCCGAGATTGACGAGCACATCGCGGCCAACCACATCTCCAGCCCCATCAAGGACCAGGAGGCTCGGAATCTGCCCTATCTGCAAGCCTGTATCTTAGAAGGTCTCCGCCGGTTCCCACCCATAACGCAGTTGCGGGAGCGCGAAGTCCCGCCCGAAGGCGACGTTATCCACGGCCACGTCATCCCCGGCGGAACATTTATCGGGTTGAATGCCTGGGGCGTGCAATTGAATTCTGTTTATGGCGAAGACGTGGAGATGTTCCGTCCTGAACGATGGTTTGAGGCGGATGAAGCCCGTCTTCGGCGCATGCATGAAGTGCATGAGTTGATTTTCGGGTATGGTAATACTCGCTGTTTGGGGATCCGTATTGCGACTATGAATCTGAACAAGATCTTTGTCGAGGTATGTATATATTTTTGTTTGTTGTCGTTGTCTCTGTTGGTGTTGATGTTTGTGGGGGTTCTCTCCTTTCCCCCTTTTTCTTCTTCTTCTTTTTCTTGAGTTGCTAGCTGATATTTGAATTCCTCTACAGCTTCTACGTCGATTCGACATCTCGGTTGTGCGACCCCACCGTCCCTGGCGGAGTATTTGCTATGGCATCTTTTTTCAGAAAGACTTTGATGTCAGGATTATGAAGAGGCAGCCTAAGGCCAAATGAGTAGAAAATCTGGGACAGTATGGATATAGACTGTGTTTGGTACAGGTGTGTTTGCAATAGAAGATAGACATCTTAGGACCCTAGGTATCTTAGGTATCTATCTATCTATCTATCTAGGTAAATAAGGAGCGAAAATTCCCATCTTGTCGAGGATTTGTTTTGTTTTGTTTTGCTTTGCTCCTTTCTGCCCCAATGACTCTGATCGTGAAACAGACTGCCTGGGAAGCTAAGCCTCATCCATCCATGAGCGGTCGGGCGGACCAGCAGTGCGGTGCATCTCAAATGCATTAAAAATGGTAATGATACAGTACACCGGATGCAAGTTCAACTGCACCCATGCCAGCAGAAGTATGACTCCTTATAACTATGACTTTTGCAGTCTTAGATGGTGTGACACTCGGCTGCAGCGCAAGACAAGACAGCCGCGCATCAGCTCCGAGTCGCGCGGGATACCACCCAGCATGGTCTGTTCTGTCCTCATACATCCTGATATGCATCTCATGGCTTTGCATGTAATCAGGTCCTAAACACTCCCGGGGAGCGGCCAAGAGGTTCAAGTGGTGGATGTGATGTGCCTATCTCGGCTGAATCATCTCATAAGGTTACACGACACGGGACCAGTAGGTAAGCAGAGTTACTGTAAGTACCTACACACATGTCCCAATCGCAGGGACCCATCCATGAACCACATCTATCAGCCGATCCCATCCCGTGCCGTGCCGTGCCGTGTCTTGCCGTGTCTGACAGTCTGGGTTGGCTAGGTAGTGGTGTATCAGACAATCTGGGTTGCAGATACGAGCCTGGGATTTGACCTGCGTTCGACATGCAGACCATGAGTGCAGGGTGAGATACTCGGTGTACCCATATTTCCTATCAGGGGAATTTGAAGCTGCTGGCGGAATCCTGACGATGTGTTGCTGACATATTTGGGTCGTTCGGGAACATCCTAGGTTAGGCCCCCCAAGTGCCCTGAGTTCCGTCAAAAGAACGAAAAGTAAGCTTCGCCCGCCCCCCGTGCTTGGTGTTGTACTTGCATCTGCATCTGGATTCTTATTTTAACAGCACAATCCCTGATCAGTGGACTTTGATCCATTGGTTTGTTCGGCTGATACGCACGACCAAAGCATGTCATGTCTATCCAAGACTGACAGAGTGTACTAGCCAGGTACCAATCAATCGTGCAAAATGGCCTGGTCGAGCGGCAAGTCCACGCACCACCGTCTCCTTCGGGGATGTCAGTGATAGGAATGGCCATTATTTAGGCGGTCAACATTGCTGCATCATGCCAGAGCTAAGCACCTTTCGACACGACCGCGCAACATGCCACCCGCGGAAACCCCACGTCGACAAGTCACAGCGGACTCGGCGGATCATTCGACAGGGTGAAATTCCAGTTATAGCAATCAACGCATTCATCGTCAAACTCGCATGTGGGGGTGGTATTGTACTTCAGCAGAACTTCCTGGATGACAGTGTTGATTCTGTGATTGGCAATACTCACCCGCCATCCCATATCGTTGACCGTATCATAGACACACCTTCTGCCTGTGAAGCATTGACTTTCAAAGGCGTACCCTGCCAGAGCGCAGGATGATGACCACCCAGTACAGGCGCCCATGAATATGGGGTCAGCGGTGTTTCCAAAATGCCATGTTGGAGGCTTGCGCGGAGACAGAAGACCTAGTCGATGAGATGGCAGCTTTTCCGGCGGTGTTTCGAAAGTCACAGCCGGCAGATCGTAAGTCAGTCCTACCAGGCTCGCTATGGCACCCCCCAAAGAATGGCCGATGAGCCAGACGATAGAGTCTGGATAGGTCTTCAACACCTGGTCAACCACGGCCAGAGCAGATGCATAGTAGCGGTCTGTCTGACTCAATTCCTGCGTCAGGCAGGTAGAGTTGCATTGAAAAGTGCCGGAGCGGCAGCCACAGACCGGCCCATACGGATAGGGGTCAGGGCGCTGGTCGGCACAGCAGCAACTGAAAAAGAGGTTGTCGTTGAACCGGTCATTGGCCTGTCCTTCATCTCGGGGATCAGGACTGGTTCCCTTGAAGGAGATGATCACAGTCTCATTGTTCGCATTGCTGAAAATGTGGCCGCGAAGTCCAACTCCGTCCCAGCCAAAACTGGCAGAATGATTGAAGCCGTTGGTCGAGTTCATCCAATCGGGTCCGGAGGGTCCATAGATGTAGGCATCAGAGGTCATCATAGCCAGGTTGATGATGGTGTCACGATCGGTCACGTCGGGAACCAGAGGTTGTGAAGGTCGACCACTGTAAGCTCTGGCCTCGTCGGTCTCGGTCCATGGCCGTGTAACAACGGTGAAGGGTAGAGGGCGAACAGTGTCTGAGGATCCGATATGTCTGGATGATGTCTGTGGAAGCGAGGATACATGTATGAAGGATGGAGGCCCATGGAGTTCTTCCTCATTGTGGAAGAACGCATATTGGAGATTCTAAGAAGAGTCAACCTACAAGAGTCCCATGTTTTTGCCTGACCTGACCCGTACAAAAGAGCATCGTCCTCCAGCTGCCCGCTGAAGTCTATCCCACGCCAATGACTGCAAATGTTCCCCCAGATACCGCTGTGAAGGACCTGTCTGACTGCCGACAAGGACAGAAGTGATAACCGAACTTAGCAACACGAGGAGGGTATACAATTGAGGAGACATCGATTGGTTTCCGGTCTTATAAGGCGGACGACTGGCCCTTCTCACAATGAGTACGTAGTGCCATGTAGAAAGACCTCAAGACTGAGTAGCAGAAGCACCAGATGTGTCACTGAGGATGGCAACTTGGTCATAGCATCCGGTCTGTTCTGTATGAACATGCGCAATGAGAGCTGCCTGATGGTGATGCCAGCCGCATGGCGGGGTACTTCGCTTCAGGAGGCCAAGTTCGGCTGGCGGCAGAGGGCCCTGCGATGCGTCGGACTGATGCTCAACTGGAACAGGCGTGGTATTCTACAATATACCTTATGAATGAGAATACAGATAGAATGGTGGACCTTGGGAATAGTAAGAAGTCCTTAGTCGATCGTAGAATGGAGTCCGGATGATCGCCGGCTGCGGGGGACGATTTGACCGTGGCAGACGATCGATCGAACTTGGATTACATGGCCAGGCTGCGAGGATTCACGCCTTATTCACTTCCACACTTTCACGCGAAGCTCTATCTAGACCTTTAATGATATACTATTCGTCCTGATGATGCTCATACTGGCCTGAGAACCGGTTTCAACCCTTAGCATCAAAGGTACTAGCTTCCGCCCCGACACCCCTCCACAAGCAACAACCACTCGCAATCCATCCTAGAAGACGACAACATGAATCGTCTGTTCGGCACCAAGCCAACAGGCCCAAAGCCTACACTCAACGGTGCCATCCAGAATGTCAGTTGCCTGGCCACTCTTACCCAATTCCAATTCCATGTTGAACTTCGGCGAACCATATACTAACATGATCTCAACACAGGTCGACACACGGATCGAGTCGATCGACGTCAAACTGGCCCAACTCAACGCCGAGCTCACGACGTACCAGCAAAAGATGAGCAAGATGCGCGACGGACCCGGCAAACAAGCGATCAAACAGAAAGCGCTAAAAGTGCTCCAACGGCGCAAGATGTACGAATCGCAACGCGACCAGCTGCAACAGCAATCGTGGAACATGGAACAGGCCGGGATGATGCAGGACAATCTCAAGAACGTGATGACGACGGTGGACGCGATGAAGACGACCAACAAGGCACTCAAACAACAGTATGGCAAGATCAACATTGACAAGATCGAGAAGATGCAGGATGAAATGGCGGATTTGATGGAGATTGGCAACGAGATCAACGAGAGTATTAGTCGTGCCTACGACGTGCCGGAAGATGTGGATGAGGCGGAACTCGATGCTGAACTTGAGGCTTTGGGTGAGGATATGATGTTTGAACAGGAGATGGGGTTGGGAGAGAGCACGCCGGCCTTTTTGCAGGATGAAGTGGCGCCACCGCAGTTTGTGGATGAGCCGCCTGAGACGGCGAAAGTTAAGGAGGCGGCTGGTGGTGTTGGTTAAGCAGGTACGGACAATCCTACGGAGTGTTCGGTTATGGAATAGGTTTTTTATTGTTCTTTTCTTTGGATGTGAGCGTTCGATTGCCAGTAATTCTGGTGGTTATTTATATATATACCTCAACGTATGACTTTCAAAGGGGCCTTTGCTTCCTCCCCCTGTTGGTCGATATTCGGAGCGTGCCGACAGTCTGCTTGTGGCATTTTAGCCTCAAATCAAGCATACCATTCTATCACTCTGCGTGAGTTTTGCAACCCCGACACGGCTTTCACTTCACGTCGTTTTCTTCAGATCCTGCAACCACGCCTTGACGGCTTTCGGCCCTTCATGCGCCGCCTTGAATAGTCTCCGCTCTGTTTCATCCAGGCCCCGAAGGAATTCAGCACCGTCACCCAACGCACCGCGAGGATTGTGCGCTTGATCCGCGATCTCTGCCGCGCGAGTCTTGAAAGTCTGGCCGCGTCTTATATCAGTCTCGTTCCGTGATACGGATCGCACCAAAGCCCGCTTCCAAGGAATTGAATCGTCACCACTCACATCCAATAGCGTATCCAACACAGTTCGATCGTCAAATAATTCCATAATGCGCGCTCCGAGAGCATAGAAATGCGGTGCCTGGGCCCGCAAATCGACCGTCTTCGGGTCCGCTTTCAAGGCATTGATCACCCGCTGTTGTAGGGGAGCCGGGAAGTCCAGTGTCACCAGTTGTGACGATTCGGGGGTGTTTCTGCATGTACGAGAAACAAGGTCGTTCGTTAGATATCTTGTTGGTGGTAGTGGGGCGTGACGATAACAATAAAATCCCCAGTCGGGGTAGGACAGGATTGGAAATGGTTTCTTTTCTTACCCAGTCGACACGGCCAGCATGATCCCTAACCACATTGGCAAATCGATTTTTGTGCCTGCTTTGACCTAGTCCGAGGTATCAGCATCAAGGGTTTGGTTCGCGTCGGTTGTGGTATAAGATAGAACAAATCTGTCAAGTTGAACTCACTGTACCCCCGACATTGCCTTCAAGGTATCCCAGACCAGGCACATCCAGCTCGAATGTACACGGCAGTTTCTGGGAGTCGGTCAAGATGGCGTCGACATCGTAATAGGACATTTCTTTGACGTCTTCTGCATGAACGCTGTTGCTAATGTCCCGGTTGAGACCGTTGTATTTGGTCTAACTCATGCCAGGATCCTCCAACAAGTGCCAAGCACCGATATATCAACAAGGATGGCCAATTGTAGCCGTTACACTCAGTTGAATGCTACTATAGTACTCTCGAAGAATAGTAGCCGTCGTCCGTTGCGGGCCAATCAGACGCGTCGACACCGCGATTTCTCCGACGCGTTCGAGATTGATTACCTTATCCAATGTACTCCCTCTCCTCACGTCCTACTACGATAGTACGAGGGTCATGAACCTGAACCGACCATCTCAGGTCCATTCATGTCGTAGACTCCCGCACATCAACCAATACCCAAAATTAAACTCAATGCAATGAGCGCTCAACCCGCCGCCGCTGCTCCGACTTCTGCTCCTGCTCCATCATCAACCTCAACCTCAACCTCTTCTACCAAACCTCCCGTAACACTAGACCCAACCACCCATCTTGATCCAGGCGCGTACGTCCGCGGCACACACGGGGTCACCATTGGCGAACACACTCTCATCCACCCTTGTGTCCAGCTAGTGGCTGTCCGTGGGCCACTGTCCATCAGCGACAGATGCATCATTGCCGAAAAGTCCATCATCGGTGGTCCAATTGTACAAACGTCGACGACATCAACCACATCAGCAGCAACTCACAGTGGTACTACTCATAAACCCGAGACAACCACTGCTACTGTCGCCAGTTCAGGCAACGAAGAATCCGACCCAGTCAAAACAACTATCGCCTCTAACGTCTACATACACGCCAACGCGAACATTCATGCTGGGGCGACCATTCAAGAAGCCGCCGTTGTCGAGCCCCATGTGACTGTCCTCTCAGGGGTCACTGTTGGGGCCCATTCGAAAATATGTGCCGGCGTCACTGTGGATCGCGACGTGGAGGAATGGACTGTGGTGTATGGCGATGGCTCTATTCAACGGCGGCGACGGAAGGTCACGCAAAATCAACAGCAGCAGCAACAGGAAGGCGAGGCGGTCGACACAGATGTCGTGGAAACGATGAGGCTCAAAGCTATGGATAAGGAGAGGGAGGGAACAGTGGCGATCCTGAGGATGGCGGCCAGAGCGGCAACTCTGGCCAAGAAGAAATGAGAAACTAATCATGGCTTGGATGCCGGAGACTTACGATCCTGGCCTTCCAACACTGTGGAACTACTCAATCCCCAAAAATTCTCACGCCGACACAGGACTCTACGGGCAATATAAACCGTCCCTGAGACAGGCCAGTCATGTCGAACCGGAAACCCCTAATCTGGTGGTACATCTGGTGGGTCCAATTGGTACTCAGGGACCGGTTCATCTGCAGACACTTCTGCGTAAACTGGCAGGACTTCGCTTCCCCGAGTCCATCTGTCGGCAGCCGTGATCTCATCGCCCAGCCGCCACTTTTGGACATCACTGGGTTTTAGGAGACAATCCTCTGCTGGTGCATGGGTGCCCCTATAATTTCCCTCTTTATCTTTGGCGTAATGCTTGCGCCAGATATCGTACGGGATCTGACGCATGACGAATGGAGGCAGGTTATTCACCTCTACCTCTGGCTGGGCGCTCGATTTGCTTTTGAAAGCTAGCTGGAGGTTTCGCCAGACACTCTTCCTGTGGCTGCTCTGTCTGGCTGTGTTCATCGGCGGACTCCTGTCATATGTGGCGGGCCCATGCCTTCCAAACTCTCTGGGTCCAAGTTGCCCGGGAGGTGCCCTTCTTTGGGAGAGTTGTGGTGGAAGGACGGCGCACGAAACCATTTGGACGGACGGGGCTCGGAATCGGACTGAGAACTCACTCGCAAGCGGCCGACAGGTTGGCGTGTGGCCATGTCGAGAGCGCTGTAGGCGTTCCAATGCTGCACACTCCAAACTTGTCATGCTGGGAGGTGAATTGCCGGGCTCATTTTCTCTCCGCCTCCCTGAGGATGGGAAGATCTGCCTGTACTGCTGGGCTTTAGGGCAAAGGAAATAGGTCGAAAGGCTAAGTTAAACTCAGCAGCGCAGGACGGAGACATCTGCCACAAGTCTGCCTGGGACGGATCGTGGCAGGGCCACACTTACAGGAATACTAGAGTAACTGTACGTTGTAATCGTGCAGACGCAGGCGGGGGTGACGGTAACGGCGATGCTGGCAAACTTGGTTCACCGTACCGATTTTGTCCTACGGCGGATCAACTACGCCTGGCTCGGGGAAGGTATGGCGAGTGCCAAGGCTGCGCTGGGTCGAGTTTGCCCCTGCACCTCCGGCTGGGTCTCGCATCAACAATCAACGCGCTGGCTTCGAGTTCCACGCCCACAACCGCGTTAGGGTTATTAACCCTAAAACACTTCTCCAAGCATCCTGTTCATATGTTCATTTCAACCTCATCATGCCTCCGCGTCGGGTTGCTCGCTCGGTGAGCAGGAAAAGCGCGCCTTTGTCGCCTCCGCCGCGTGCATCGTCGCCGGGTTCGGCCCACTTGGTAAGCCGTAACCTACGTGTGACCAGATCCGCAAGCCGAGAAGTCATCATTGCCCAACATCAATTGCCAGTGCAAGACACTACTGAACCTTTGTCCACTCTCAGCGAGGAAGCAAACCCTAGACAGGATGAGGGCCTCAGCGATCAACGATCGTCTTCCCTTGAACCAAGTTCTCAAGGATCTGACTTGATCAGTCTAGCCGAGCGGCTAGACAGAGACGCGATAATCGAAGATCTCGACCTGCTATACAGGGATTCCCAGGACGTGCTCAAGTTTTTTGAGCGACGCAACAATGTCGCATTGCGTCAATTGCTTGCGCAATTGGAGGTGCCTAACTCATCTCAACGGAAACAGTTTGACAAACGCGATAAGAGATTGTTGGCCAGCATGGACTCTTACGGGTCATCTCCATACATTGAGGTTGGCCAAATGCTCTATATCCTAGTTGGAGAGAGCAACCCGCAACTTGTGGATCAAGGACCATGGCGACCGGATCCCATTTTCTATCTGACCAATCTGGCGCAGCAGCTGTGCGCGGTGCTTAGCGAACATTTCGAGGACCCTCTCGACTGTGTACAATACATGTACAACAAGTTCCCAAGCCCTTTTGCAGACAGCGTCTTCTTTCCGATAGGGGAGGGCCTTCTCGAGCGAACAGTCGACATGGATGTTACAATACTTACTCACGCCTTTATCCGCGCGGTGGAGGTCAAAAAGTCAAACGAAGGAGTTCCTGACCTTGACCCGCGTGAAGTCCTTGAGGAGACATTTTTGGAGGATCACACGCCCAGGAGCGTCTTTGAGCACTCTAGTACTCGACGCAAGATTGCAGAGCGCAAAGAGTTGATCAGGTGTTATTTCCGGGGCAATGACCTGGACTCAGTCGACGTCGAAGGTTTGCACAGAGACTTTCCGTGGTCGGAGTTTGTGTTTCAGGTGGCCAAATGGAGCATGGCTCGTAAACAGGAGCTGGATGAACTGATTACTGCTCGTGGTGGCGTTGACACCATTAAGCGGATGCTTTCTGCCATTGGGTCCGAGGACACTGTGGAAGTGGCTGAAGAAGCACGTTCAGAGCCCAAGACTGCTACCAGTCATCAGCGAGACAGGTCCATCTCTGAACTTGGGGTAGTTGAGACAGTCCAGCGGCGAGGAAGTCCGGCCGGTCCTTCAACCGGCAACAAGCTCAGCTCGAGGTACAACAGATTGAAAGCCCTCAGAGCAACCCACGCGGCCGATGTGTCAGGCGCCGACATAAGTCTAGCCATGGTTTCTGAAACGGAGTCCGCTCGAGTGATACCAGAGTCGCCGACCGCTGCGGAAAACGGAGATAGCTTGCCCCAGAACCATGATGAGAGCGATGCACAAAACTGGCGCCCATTGGAAGCTTCACCCGAAGGCAATGACCGCGATGACGATAATAGCATCGATGTTCGGCAGGCCGACCTTATACTGGAGATTGTTGGTCGACATAAAGCTTTGAGCGAGAAAGAAAATAAGAAGGTTACTCCTAAAAAGAGGTCTTTCCTGGATCCACAAGAAGGTGCCGAAAAGATTCCATGGGAGGAAGCCGATGAAGACGACCCACCTCCTCCCCGTCGAGCCCAGAAGCGACCGAGAGCAATGACTGCATCTTCCGAGGACGAGGAAGATGGCTTTCAGACGGATCAGAGGGGTTTGGATAGCGCTTCACTTCCTGATACCCGAGACATCCTTGCCGAGTCTCGTCAGAACCGAAACCGGAGACAATCCAGTACAGCTGGAGATGCCGGTCAAGATGCGGACGAGCAAGCCGACGAGCAAGCCGAAGACGAGATAGTCGAGTTCCCATCGCCTACGCAGCCATCCAACCATCAGGGGTTGCATAGCACTGCACGCGCTCCTGATCGTGTCCCTCCTTCAACCGCACCACAACCACAACGACAGCCACTGGCAGCACAGTCGAGAACACAACGATCCCCCCGTGCTGTGAGTAATCCGCCCGGATTTAGAGAGTTACCGCCCAGTCTTGAAGCTCCACCAAACCCACATCGCCCTCCTCCCTCTACGGCACCTGTTCGTCCCGGACCAGGTATGCCATACTCTAACCAAGAGCCACCTCGGTCGCAGATAGCCCAGGTCAACCAAGAAGCCAAGCTCACAACGCGGCTGGCACGAGAAGTGTACAACCCGCTGGACATACAGATCCGCAGACCATATACTGATGCCGAAGTCGACCGCCTGATGGAGTTGGTAGCATTGTATGGGCCAAAGTGGGCCTTAATACTCAAGAAGGACCGTGACCATCCGGATGGTCCGCTGCTGCAGAACCGGACCCAGGTTCAGTTGAAGGACAAGGCCCGAAACATCAAGTTGGATTTCTTAAAGTACGTGTTGTATACTGTGTGTTCTTTATGCCATGTTTTCTTTTTGGATTTTTGTCTCATTCCATGTCACATTTGTTGTTGTCTTTGGTCTCTTCGACCAGGAGTTCTGACCATACCCATACCCGCCCTGTGTCCATGAGTTCTCAAATTGGCAACTATTTTCCCTTGTCACAATGTACTCGATTGGTTTACAACTCTTTGGCCCCCCAATGGCACGCCTGAGTCTGTTCTTCTTGTTCTTTGTCATACATACTCAACAGCAAGCAACATGCGTGCTTGGATCATTACTAATCGTTCTTTTGTACACGTTTACAGAGCTCGACGCCCTCTTCCTCCCCGCTTTGAACTCGTCAGCATCGGCTCCCGCCAAGTCGCCATGCTGCAACAGCTCGGCATCGACGTCCACGAAAGCCGTCACATTCCAGAAGATGGATAAATAACCATGATCCTGTCATTGAGATTATTGATAAATGATGATGATGATCGCTCTTGAGACTTGGTTGACGGACAGTTGACATGGTTGGTTTTTCGGGGTTTGTGGTTGCTTTGCTTTGCCTTAAATATCACTTTTCCGCGCTTTCGGGATTGGCTTTTTATTAATTAGTCTGCCTGCGTCTTGTCGTGGCGAGTGTGGGCTACTGTATCAAAATGTCAAAAGACGCTGCTGGTCAGCGCATACTGTACCTGAGGCATCATCACTTGTAAGCAATTGTGACGGTGATGGCCTTGGATGGCCTTGATCAAAATCAGACCGTCATGTCTGTCTCATGTCAACACAACATATTCCTTTCGGCACTTTTTGGTACAGTAACGTCTATGCTCTTCAAGAATCAGAATCAGAATCAGAATCGTATATGTTTGATAGCTGCGAGTATCCTTAGGTACTGTACCTAGCAGCCTGCTGAACAAGTCTCGAGCAGACATAAGTTACCTATCCATATCATTAATTAATTGTATATAATACTTGTTACTTGTACTCGTACTCGTACTCGTAGTACTATTACTACGGTTCAGGGACCAAGCCGAAAGCACCACCACCTGCAGGCCCAGCCCCAGCCCCAGCAAAAGTCCCAAGCTGAGGGGATGATTTAACTCGTAATAAGACTGGTAATGTAATGAGGAACTACCGAGTATCATGTACCCGGGCAGAAGAAATTCCAATGGAAAGTCGGAAAAGGGGTTCATTCAGTTCCCCATTTCACTTTTTGCTACCTAGTATAGCCAGCGGCTTTGTGGTAAAACTTGGAATTCGTCCAAAGAAAAAAGGAATGTCGATGCATCATAATCACGCCTCATCCCCCATTATTCACTTCTGCCCGCGCCGCATATCCCCACTGGCAGTAAAAGTAAATTAATGTACAAAAAACAAAAAGCTCCCCGCCCCCCGCAATGCATCAGAGACGGAGATTGTGTGTGAGAGAGAAAATCTCTGCTGCTTTCAAGAGAAAAAAAGATCATTGCAATCATAAATATCTCTCTCTCATAAAGACAGTCCGTTCCGCGCCCCTTTTTTTTTGGCAAAAGCAAAGAATAAAAACTCAAACTCGTGCCACCGAATAACGTAACGCCATGCTTATATATCAGTCACAAAAGCCGCACCCGCGCCCATCCGCCACGCCACGGCTGAGTTGTGCAATCCGAATTGTGTTCAAGCCGTCCCAACGTCTCAACTTGGATCAGATAACTAATCCTAATCGTCCAAGACGAATTCCGCCATTGCCTTTTCCTGCTCGGTCCAGTTCTCGGGATGTTGAATGTCCACGCCTAGATTTCGGAGCTGAGTTTCCCTGATCGACAGTTGCGGTGGTTGTGCCGGTTTCTCAATCGACTCAAAGGGTGATCCGTCCTCGCCCATGACGACATCTTGGTCGCCAATGTTCTCAAATGGAGACGTGTCCTCCAACCCACTGAGATCAAGTCCTTCGATGCCGTCAAGATTGACGATCCAAGAATCATCTTCGCTCCCCTTCTTGGCCGTCGCCGCCGCATTTTTCTTGTCTTCCGCCGTCGTTGCGGATTCTGCTGAACCATCTTTGTCACTGCCATTGCCAGGACTCTTGGACTTTTCGGTCGACGTGTCTGTCAGCGCACCGTTAGGTCCTTCCACGATCTTTCGCCACCTTTCGCTCTGGTTGCGGTATGCTTCGTAGAATCGTGCCTGAAACTCCTCGGTTTTCTCTCGTGATGGAAAAAGTTCCTCCCAGTCATCACCGCCGAATATCGCTCGCAGTTGGTCAAGGCTGGTATTACTGTGTTGCCAAGGATCGTTGTCATCTTCAGTCCCAGTGGCTTTCGCGGCGGTAGTGCCGGGCGCGCCCTGCTGACTGGGGATCTTGGACATGGCTGTCGGAGTTGCTGCGTGGCTTTCACCCTTGACATTCAGAGCCGCCGATGGTTGCTTCTCCGACTTTGGCTTCTTGGTTTGCTTGAGGTTCTCGTCTAGGTTGAAAGCAGATCGCAAAGACTCGTGCAAAAAGGCCACGGGATCGGTGACTGGCTCCATGTCCAATTTGTGCGCTACATTATGATGTTGATCAAGCTCAGCTTGGCTTGGGAACCCTTTGGCTTGGTGCTCACAGCCTGCGACAGGACATTTGAACATGTCCGCTGGCTTAGATGCTTTGGTCGCCTGTGGAGAGGTGGTTGAGGTGGGAGTACCAGATGTACCTTGTGGGCCTGTGGTCTGTTGCTGATTCTTCTTCCGTCTCTTAGGGTCGGCAGGAAGCTTGAGATCCTCTTGTTTGAGGCCCGGAGTCGCATACCGTGGTGTACCTTGCCCACGAGGATCACCAATCTGGAATGGAGGCTGGGTTGCTGTCGGCGCGGGAGGCGGCTGATTCGACTTCAAGGACTTCTTCCGTTCTTGCTCCTGCGCTTCCAACAGGCTCAAATTCTCGGGCGTCAACTGCGCCGGTTGTGGACGTGCTTTGTTCTGAAGAGGGATCTGGGCCGCCGTTTGTTGGAACTTGCTGCTGATGTTGTTGACGATGCTCTCTGCGGTCTCTGGCGAGATACTGAAATTATCCACCACTTCAAAGGTCCGGTTCTGCAGCGACTGTGGTTTATACTGAGCGAACAGCTGTAGTTTTTGTGCCACAAGCTGCTTGATTGCCGAGTCGTTTGGCTCAATGCGGTACAATGCCATCAGGAACGAGTCGAACCTTCCCAACATGTTCTTGACATTGTCAGATGTCAGCAACGATGTAAGCCGCTTGCGACTCCCAGCATCCATGTTCATAATGGGTCTCGGCTTCGGCATGCTGGCCTGGACTTCTTTTCCGATTTCAAAAATCCTACGCACTGTGGCCTGTTGTCTTTGAAGATTAATGTACTGCTGCTTTTTGACAGGGTCCAAAGCGTAGAACTGCTCCTTGGTGAGGACCTGACCATTGGGGAGCTTGATGCCCTCCACTTGATTCTGCATTTGCTTGGGCGCATTGGCTACCTCTTCCTCGTTGGTTCGTTTCACAGGGAGCCCGTTAGGCTGTGAAGGTCGAGCCTGCTCAGAGGCCTGCGCTGACGGTGGCCGCGGAGGCTGTTGTACAGCTGCCGCGTTTGGCTGCATTGGAGCATGAGGTTGCGCCATTGTTTGCACGCCAAACTGCTGTCCAGGACCGCTGCCTTGCGAGGGCATGAATTGCATCGGCTGCGCCATACCCGGTTGCCCGGACTGCTGCTGCATTCCCTTCTGTTGTTGCATTTGTCGCTGGCGGCTCATCCACAACTGTCGTATTTGATCGTCCCCTAGACTGGCCAGCTTCGGGTTGTGAGCTCGCAATCGCTGCAGATCTTGCGCACTAGGTGGTCGAAACTGCATCGGACTGGGAGCCATGCCAGGAACCTGGCCAGGCACGCCCTGTCCCTGACCTTGAGGCATCCGCGGAGTCTGCTGAGGAGGTTGGGTCGGGCCCTGTCCACCCATGGCATTGTTCTGTTGTTGCACATTTTGGCCCCGAGTCTTCATGATGTGGGCAAAATGGGTGGCTTGAATGTCCAGTATTTGCGCGAACGGCAGGTTGGGTGTAGGGTTGGCTGTCAACCATTGCTTCAGTTGACCCCATGACTTGAGCTCTGGGATGGGAGTATGTTGCCTTATATTAGCCAAGAATGTGGGAGGTACTGGTTGCTGGTCCATCACTTTCATCTGCTGGGGATTCAACTGAGGCCGCTGGGACGGCATTTGACCCTGGGCATGGCCAGGCACCTGTTGTTGAGACGACTGCTGCTGCTGCTGCTGTTGTTGTTGCTGCTGCTGCTGCATCTGCATCTGACGCTGCCTCATCAAATCTTGGTTTTGCGGGACTTGTCCTTGAGAGGAAAGCATTGCAGCCATGTCCTGGCCCCCTTGTGATACCGCTCCGGTGGAGAGTGACTGCTGCATGGGCATAGGACCAACGTTCGGGCCACCTACAAATGCACCGTTCTGCATCGGAGCGGCAGCCTGAGGCGGCAGCTGCCCCTGCTGTTGTTGCTGCGGTTGCATACCTGCCGGCTGTTGGGATAGGCTTCTTCTCATGTTTCCACTTTGCTGAAACTGTTGCAAAATTCCGCGCCACTCACTTTGCGGCTTCTGTCGAAGGACTGCTTGCAGAGGAGCAGGGAAATTGGCCAGGGCCTTTTCTCGTTGCTGCATCTCTTGCATGCTCATTTGTGGTTGCTGCCCTTGCTGAGCCGGGCCAGGTGTCTGCATTTGTTGTTGATTCATTACCGGCGTGCTCGAGGGGGCGCGAGGAGCAGTCTGAGGACTTGCCCCGGACACGTTAGGTCCGACCGGTCTGTTAATGGCCGACAGCGGCGTGCTCGATTGCGGAATCCCTTGCACTTGACCACGCTGACCGGCCATTTGGGCCTGTGCAGCAGCTTGAGCACGAGCCTGTGCTTGTGCCTGAGCCTGGGCCTGATTCTGGGCTTGCAGCTGAGCTTGTTGCACCTTGGTAGCCTGCGCCTGTTGCAAACGCTGCTGTTGCGCAATGAAGGCCGGGTTCAACGCATTGCTTTGATGCTGCTGCCCCATCCGTTGGTTCGCCAACATCTGCTGTTGGACACGCATCTGCTCTGGGATCATGTTCTGACTGTTACTGGCGGGGACGACCAGCTGCCCTTCTTCCTGAGACCGCAACCCCTCGGCTTGTAGCCCTTGGAACCGGCCCATATCACCCACGAATGTGTTGCCATTCGCATTTGCGCCTTGAGTCATGGGATTCTGATTGTTTTGATTTTGAGGCTGGCTCATCATGCCGACGTTGTTGTTGACTTGCCCAACATTTGCCCCTCCACCAACGCCCGCCTCCATTTGCTTGCGGCGTCGGAATTCCTTGGTGGCGAGCATGCGGAAATAGTAGATTATGGGATCGATTCCTTTCTGAGCCAGATTCTGCCGCAACTGAAGATTCATCTTCTCCACGATATTCCGCATCTCATCCTTGGGGGTGCTCTTTGCAAGCTCCGCCGCCCGGACGTTGATCGTCTTGTTGTCTTCAGCGGTCAATTCCGGAACCTGAGTAGGCTTCTGTTGGTTGTTGGCTTGCATCATGGGGGTCTGTTGTGCCGGATTCATCTTTGGCGGACCTTGATTCATGACGGGTTGAGCTTGATTGAACATGGGGGAGTTTTGCATGTATTGCTTGATTTGTTGAAGGTTCGGCTGCAGGCCCATATTCGAGTTCATGTTCTGGCCCATCTGTTGCATCTGCTGCATCTGTTGCATGTTCTGATTTTGCATCTGAGCATTGGGCATGCCCATCGACATGTTCTGCATCATCCCAGCCGCGCCTTGATTCATCTGCTGAGCCCTTTGATCTCGGATCCTGCCCAGCTTCTCACTGCATTCGCGAATGTAATCCTCTTTGCTGGCACATTGGGTAAAACACTTGCGTTCGAACTGTAGCGCCACTTCGATTGCGCGTGGCAGTTCAACAGGCGGGCGCACGAGACGTAATGAATCAACCAAGAGTTTGATTTGAGCAGCCCGTTCTTTGATCTGGACATTAGCCTGCCAGCCACTAAAAGGGCCTTGTGCATTGAGCATGTCGAATATGTGCTGCTGCACCGACGGCTGGTTTAGACCCATCTGTCCGGTCATCTGTTGCGGCATACCTCGAGGCATCTGCACTCCCATTTGACCGCCCATCTGTCCCATCTGGCCCATTCCCATCTGCGCCATCTGTGCTGCCATTTGGGCATTCGATTGCGCCGTCATCTGTGGCCCCATCTGATTGACCATGGCCTTCTGTTGCATATTGGGGGGCATGCCCGGTCCCATGCCGGCCATGTTTTGAAACTGTTGAGGATTCATGGCGGCGGGCAGAGGCTGCGAGCGAAGGTTCGCTCAGGCTCAAAGGTGCCTTTCAAGGCATCCGGCACCGACCGAGACTTTGGAAAGCAGGACGAAGTATGGGGGGTAGAGGTCGGTTAAGTGGAGCGTTCGTTGACTGCGACGTGCAATGGGAAAAGTGGTATGCGGTGACAGTGGCCACAAACACGATATCGGGCGAGGTCAGCGGCCGCCTCGGTTTGCAGGCGCTTGAGTGAAGTCCGCAGTGTGTGACAGAGGGAGGTTCGCTGCGACGGACACAGAAACTTTAGTTCCTGCTTCACTGCAAGGAAGAGAGAGGGCGGACTCGGAAATCGAGGACCCCGGAGAGGGAAATAGTCGGTTGGCAGTTTTGAGTGTTGGAGTGCGAGCAGGATCAATCCAGGCCGACACTGAACTGTGGACTGTGAAAGATGTTCGGCGCCTACAAGGCGCGAGGCGAGCAACAGTGGTGGTTCGGGGTGGGCGGCGGACGTGTTCAAAGGAGGTTCTAGGCCAACGCACCGGATGTTGGCGTGTCTGCCTCTTCAGCCCGATCAAGAGGGGCAGCGTTGGCGGTGAAAGAGGAGATGGAGAAACAGGAGGGAGTTCGCGTACGAAATAGGCGGCAGTATACGAGAGGAGAGGCTCAAGTCATCAGTCGTGTCGTTCAGTATGGGATCAAGATGCAAATGCAGCGGGCAGTGAATGGTCGTAGTCAGAGGGTATGAAAATGTTGCTGGTCGCAGGTGATTGATATGCCGGGGGCATGCAGATCGGGGCAACACTACTAGTAGATTGCCGTTAGTGAAGAGTTAGACATGAGTCCGTGGATCGCGGATCTGGCTGAGACGTCTGGGAGCCTGAGCTCCAGGAAGACTGTGCGGGAACTTGATTCTTCAGTGCAAGACAGGCGGCCACACATACAGTACTGTAATAGATGTAGAGATATGATGTTTGCTGAGTAGTGTAGGTATGGATGTTCCCCGTTTCAAGGGTACGAGTATTTGTTATGAGGCAGAAAGAACGAGAAGTACCAAGTAGTGGAGTAGTTGTGGTAGGGGACGATAAAAGTCGCGGTGGGCGGGACTCATGGATCATCGATCTCGACTCATCAAGCGCACGAGTTTGTAGCGGCGGGCGGTGCTGGTGTTGGTGTTGGTTGATGGTGCTGCCAGTCACAGTCGCGGTGGGTGGAGGAGTCCAGTTGGTGCTTCTGTGGTTCAAAGCTTGAAGCTGCGTTGGTTGAGCTGCGACCAGTGGGAGCCGTGAAGCGCAGCCTCCCAAAGTCACTAGTTGTGTCTATAATTGACGCCCCGTTGTCTAGTGCGCTTCACGCCCGGCACCTGGAACTCATGGGACATTTTGACACGCCATTAGCGCCGCTAGGGCCACCTTCAGGGTCGCCTAAGCCTGGCCTGGGTGCTCGCATTGGATTGTTAGCGGTGCCTGTGAATGCTCTCTCACGCCTAAAGAGGCGTCTGCCAGGCACCCACGTCACTCCCGCCGCCCAAACGCATCTCAAAGATACTGCAAGTATCCGGTGCGAATCCATCGCATTCACAATTCGAACACCGTTACCATTGTTGCGGGACCAGGCTGCCTTTTCATCCCGTCAGTCCAGTCACTCTGTTCCTACTCGTATCCCAAAATCCAGTACTGTTCGATGTCTGCAACTGGCCTACCCGGAACTGACCTCATGGCCTCTTTGTGACTGCAACGTTCCGAGATGCCCGCTCTACCGCAACGGTGCTACTATTGATGGCCACAGCAATAGCATTCAAGTTATTCACTTGGACTAATTGACATACATTCACCGAGTCCTCGAACGATGGCCTCTTCGGTCGGCTCCAATGTATTTGCGCTGCTCGCCTTTTGCACGATATCCGTCGCGGTCCTGTTCCTCCTGCGGCACTATCTTCCTCTGCGGACCACGCCGGCCTTCCTTCTTGTCCCAATCTTTCTCTCCCTCGTCCTGCCGGCGAGTGCTATATTGCTGGTTCCCATCGATCTTGCGTCCAGCGCACGAGAAAATGACCATGGAGGGAAAGGTATATGGCTGCCAGAAAGAGCGGTGCTGGTTTCTTGGAGGATCGTGTACTGGTTGACCTTTGTCTTAACCTGGGTTGTGCTGCCGCTCCTGGGAGAATACATGGATGCGGGCTACCGCGATCCAAAAGCACGCATGATCTACTCCTTACGATCCAATGCCAGGTACCAAATGATCGTCCTGGGATGCGCCATGGTCGGTCTGATCTACATGATCTTGTCCCACGGCTTCGACTTTACCGCCATCAGGGCGTTGGTCATGGCCCTGGCGTACGTCTGGGGGCTGATCCTGGCCATCTACCTGATGGGTCATGGCCTGGTCGCCCTACCACGAAAGATGTTTCGAAAAGCAGATATCGCCGGCAGCCTGCGACGAGTGCAGGCCCAGGCGCCTAAGGTCCATGAGAATCTCGAGGATGCCATCCTGGCATTGGAGGAGCTGGAAGCACAAGTGATGCAGCTCAAACAACGCAAGACCGGGACCGCGCGGGACTTCCGAGAATGGATAGACGAATTGGTCGATATGACAGGACAGCCGGAAAATCGAGTTTTTGCCAATCCCACCACTGTCGACGCCTCGGCAAAAGTTCCCGCAGTCATTACAGAGCGGTATCTTGCAGATCTGACCCGAAGGCTCGTTCGAGCGCGCCATCGGAGAGCACGATACACTCGCGAATGGGACAACATTGTCCAGACGGCCTCAGACTTACAGGCCATTCTGGACTCCAAGGCATCAAAGAAACTCGATTTCGGGAGGCCATCCTCGTCCGCGTCCCTGTTCGGACGGATATCATTCATCACCCCATTCATGCGCTACCATCTGTATGTGCATGTGATTCCAGCACTCCGAATCGCCGTAGGAGGCATCCTCTCCCTCGCCTCAGTGGCCATCATCTGGTCAGAGATGATCAAATTCCCAGCTCCCCAACTCTCCGCCGTCAGCCTGACCGTGATACACCACCCGAGCGACAAGAACTACCAAATCGGCCTTGGAGGCCAGCTCCTGGCGTCCATGTGGATCACCTACATGTGTGTCTGCGCCATCAGCAGCGTCAGCGACGTGCCGACCTGGAACCAGCGCGCCCTAGTGAAGAGAAACACGTATCCGGAATCCGCATGCTGGTATTCCGGCCAGATCGCCAAGCTGACGGTCCCGCTGGCCTACAACTTCCTTACATTTCTGCCCCGCGATATCCATCAGACATCGACTTTTTACAATTTCCTCGGTCGACTGATCAATTTAACGCCTTTGGGAACGTGGTTCGACTACCTGTTCCCCATGTTCATTTTAGTGCCCGTCTGTGCCGCCCTGTTCAATCTGTATGGCAAGATTAAAGACATTTTGGGCTTCGGGATTCTCAAAGATGACGATGACGACGATACAAATCCTTCTGGATTCGGTACCGGCGGATGGCGCGAAGGTCGGGACCTCATCGAGCGCGACCTTCACGGTAACCGCTCTACTACCCTAGGTATGGCAGACCCGTTGGACAATATTGCTCCTCGTGAAGGAGTCGGACCAGGAGGAAGAGCAGCGCCCACTAGATGGGTTCCGGGTCCTCCTTCATCGACTGGGGCGACTGGTACGGGCACTACCACAAATGCTAGTAGTGGTCGCACCAGAGGAGCAAACAACAGCAACAACAATCAACTTGATCCGGAGGACGAAGAGGAGAATTTCTTTACGCTGTTCGGCCGCAGGGTCAAAAACACCTTTGACACCATCGACACTCCAAAATGGATGCAGGGCGGCAGTTCTCGAGGAGGTACAGGTACAGGTACAGGAGGCTCACGCTTCAAACGGCCTAAATGGATGGGCGGTGGAGGTGATGCCACCTCCAGCACCAACACCACCTCTGCAGGCGGCACTGGCTCTTCTTCCAGTCCCAGTCCCAATATTCTAGGCTTGTTCGGCGCCCGCTCGTCCAATGATGGAAGGATCATGATATGAGCCTGGTCCTACGAAGCCTAGCAAAGTAGGTAGATATTCAAGTGAGCGTTATCTCGCAATAATCAATACATGTACAACACCCACGGTGGGAATTCGATACCCTAGACCGCAGTGCAGTGGTGGATCTCCTTTAGTACTAATAGAGACCTATAAAAAAGCAAAAAACAGAACATCAAATTAGACCAAGACAATAATACGTTTTGTCGTCTTCTCCTCTCCTTGAACCTGGATGACTATTTTACCTGTGCAGTACTAGTAACTCCCTACTAACCCACCTTATCCAAACTGACCATCTGGGAGCATTGTACTGCACTGCCAGTACATGGCGAGAATCTAACAATCGCAGCCTGAGGTGGCCTGCAGTGAAGACACCGATACAAGGGAAAGTACTTTAGGATACCTGCAGGTATCAAGTCCCTAGGTACCTAGGTAGGTATGTTATTGCGCCTTGTATACCTTACCGAGGATATGTACAATAGAACCATTTCATCTACAACATGTACCTACTAGGTAGGTTTGCATGTAGTTGTTCCTTTTAACAAATTACCTGATACACATGGTCCTCCTCAGCGAATCACTCTTCTGTCTTCTGTGGAGAGAAATCCATCCCATGTCCCATGTTCCCATTCGTGATGATTTTCTGTGGAGTGTCGGAGTCCAGATCATTAAAGAGGCGAGCTTAGCATAGCTCCCGAACCAAGTCCAAGGATACCTACCTGCCATTGTAATCCACCAAACCAGACAGAGAAGAAAGTAAAGCTGAAACGAAATTCGTAGCTTTCGTTACTTTTGACGAAGCCACCCGCAAACCAACGAAGCGGGTAATTCATTTTTCTGGGGCCATGAGATCACGTATTCTTTCATATCTCTTTTACTCCACCAGGACCTGACGGGGCACCTGGCGGTGGTGTGGCCATGGGATACCTTCCATCTGAACCTGCTCCAATAGCACTGGCAGGTGGAATCCTCGGAGGACCAGTCATCATCATTGGGCCGCCTCGCATAGGGCCGCCACGTCCTCCGGGTCCGCCTCTTCCTCGAAGGCTGGGTGCGGAAGGAGGGGTCATGCCAGGAATCTCAAAGTCCGGGTTTCCTGCCAACAACACGTCCCGTTTAGCTTGTGGATTTTGCCTCGCTCTCTGCATGGGCCCAAAGGAATTGAACTCTCCCCCATAGCCCGGTCGCCAATTCGGGTTGACTCCTCGTTGGCTGACAGACGTGAAGTTGCTGGTTTCGCTCTCGGCCGGCGATCGAGCCCCAGGGAGATCTTCGTACGAGTTTGTTTGGGGCAGTGGACCAAGTGAATCCAGGGCCTGTTGCCCAGGCGGTCCTGGCGTTAGCAGCGAGGGCATGCGACCACCGGCGTCAGGATGCGACGGCATCGGTGGAATAGGTTCGGGATCGCTCGCAAATCGGGGATCTACGTCCTCGTAATACACATCACTCCCAGAATTCACACGTGGCCTCCGACTTGGCCCACCATAGCCACCCATCTGGCTGCCGCCGGTTGGCAGTTCCACAGGGCCATAACGTCCTCCGGGACCTTGCTGACCATAGTCCTCTTGAGCCATATTGTTCCACTGGGCACGAGGAGGGACATAGCTGCTCAAAATTAGTAATTGCATGCGTTGATATTATAAACCAACTTACGGATCTTGACTTTGGGATCTGTTCGGCTGGAAGTCACGGGTGGAAGTGGTTGCCAGCTCTGCTGCTTGCGCATTTGCTGGTAGTGGAGGCATTTCCGGGGCCGGCGAGGCCTGCCGTTCGCCGCCAGCAGGGGATTGCATACGACTACCGTATGGCGAGGCACGATCCCGCGCGGGTGACTGTGCTCGCGCTCCGTAAGCACCTAGTTGTTCATCCGGTCCAGTGGTGTAAACACAAGGACTTGTTGCATCGAAACGCCTTGGCCCTTCTTCAACATACGGCTGTGAGGTGGCAATAGTCAAAGGCTGTCCGGTTGGATCCGAATATTCTTCTGGTGGAGTGTACCCTGATGACGAGCTGTCACCACCGGTCAGAGGATACCTTGGCGGGGGTCGACCCTGGCCGCCAGCCATCATAGCTCCTGCTGCCATGCCACCACCAGCCGCCGCTCCCATCGGCATCCCTCCTCTACCGCGACCGCCATAGCCTCCTCTCATGTCCGTAGAAAAGCCCCCTCGTCCCGGATAACCTTGGGGTGGCGGAGGTCCACGAGGACCATATCCTCCGCGCGGCGGATAGCCTCCACGAGGTGGATAACCACCCCTGCCCCTAGGAACATATCCTCGTCCGCCCGGCGGTGGCATACTTCCGTCACGGTAGGGACCCGGAGGTGGACGTTGATCCCCAGGTCTTGGACCCTGTCCTGGCATTGGTGGTCCACCCATTCCTGGGGGAAGGGGGTTTCCAAACTGATCGCGCGGGCCATCCTGGCGAGGTCGGCTGCGGGACCTTGAAGGCGGATTGTAGTATCTATCCGAAGCGGCATCCCGGGAATTGACCAGTGTAGGCTCTTCTGACAGGGGTTGCGACCTCAGGGGTTGGCGGTCTTCGTCAGTTTTCTGGGAAGGGTCGAAGGTTGCAAATGTCGGCAGTCTGTCTGCGCCTGGTGCACCATTGACCATGGGAACTGTAGGTTCTGTAGTAGTGAAAGATTGAGCGCCAGCTTTGGCCTCTTCAGCTTGCCTGGCATAATAGTTCTCCCCACTCATTTCGGCATTCTCCGCAATCCTCTTCTTGCGGGCTTTTCGTGAGACCAGAGTCCTCCTCATGGCACAAGTCACCACCCCGGACGCCGTGATTAGAATTGTAGAAGCTAGAACAATCCATCCTGCCCATTGTAGATGTGGTACAAACAGCAGAATATCCACCAAAAATGCAAGAAGAGTGACCAGCAACGTCGGCAATAGGAGTATTAAAAGGCCGAGCAGATATCGGGCAGAATGAGAGGGAGAATGAAGATGAGCGGCGGCTGCCAAAGCGAGGCAAACTAGATTGCAGAAGGCGGCGACAGGGTGAACGATGAGCAAAGATGACAGCGAATGTCGTGTGCTAGAGGGCAGGTTGAAATCCCCATCGCCGGCAGAACCAAACAGGCCATCTGTACACTGGTCAACAACTGTGTATATCCAGGGGACATGGAATTGTCATTACCCGTGTTGTAGCCCACCCGGAAGCCACTACATCCAGAAGTCGTACAATATCCGAAGACACCAAAGTTGACTCCTTGGTAGGTTGCAATCGGGATACTGTGAACGATAGGGGTCGATATTACAGATAAGAGCAGGAGAACGAAGGATATGAACAGCAAAATCGTCAGAGGAGTGGCCGGTCTCAGCATCGTTCGAGGTTGACCAGATGCGATGCGAATGCCAGTGCAGGTGCCGTTTGAAAGGAGGATCTCAGGTCAAGGGCGCAAATGCGCAAAGCTGCCGTAGATGAGAGGTGCGCATGGAGATGACAGAAGCGAGTGAAAGAAACAGCGTGCCGACGTTAGACATCCGACGACAAAACGATGAATGGGCAGATTGCGAACGACAGATAGTTGCGAGATTGACTGGTACGTGGTTCGAAGCGGCCGTGGCGAGTTGGACCTGAAAGTGGTGGTTGCGAGTATGGAGGTCGATGGCGTGGTAGGCCAGAAGCTGTACAACATGCAGATGTTACCGGGCAAGTTTGGGGCGCAGTTGAACGGCTGCAGTTCGCCGGTTCACGTCGAAGTTGCATGCACTTTGGCAGGGACAGAAACTGGGCAGGAGAGCGGGAAGTGGACACGTGGGGGATGGTGGGATTGGCTGGAGCAAGATCGCAGTGGATCATGCTGGCCCCCTCAAGCACTCACTAAGGGAGAGCTTAACGGCAAATGGCCTAGCGCATGTCTTTAGCACCATTAACTCATTTACGACTAACTTCAACTCGGCTGCTGCTACGACCTGGAGGCTGTTTCAAGCGACCTGCAAGAAACTCATCTCGCTGTAGGTTCCTGGTAAGTTCCAGCTGAATTCGCTACCAGTCACATCACAGATTAGCCTTTTGCTTAGAAGTCTGCTCAAGTCCGCAAGTACTTCGACTCGAAAGTATACAGAACGACATTCAGCGGATGGGCATTATTATATTCAGGGCTGGATGCAGTGCCCACAACTCCAGTTTCAGAGGTAACGGGTGATGTAGTGGAACCTCCAGTATCCACGCACCAGCCTCGCTGAGCGCAAAGTCCATGTGCGACTCGGTTCTCTTATCTCTTATCTTTTGCTAGAAACTTGCCAGTGGCATGGACATTCTCCTCAGCTGCTCTGAAACATACATGATGCCTCGCATGATATTTGACCCCCTCGCATAAAGGAGTCTGTTATCACGAAAGATCGGGCCGAACTGTGAGGACTTCTCAATGCCATCCTCAAGGAGAGTTTACATTTTGACATTTGTCGAACTGACATCTTGGTACAGTATACTTATTAGGTATTGACATTCTGACTAGCACCTACAGAGGTACCTAGGTAGGTGTATGGGTACGGCGGCAGAGAATAGGGGTTCTCTGGTTAGTCAGCGGATATAATCTGACATTGTCGCACGTGACTCCCACCTATTTGATCACGTGATGGGCAGGCAATACTGCACCCTACACCTCAGCTAAAGCGGCAACAGAAGATTTTAAGCTTCAATGTCTTAGACTTTGTTTACTGGCGGAAGCCAAAACCGACGTCACGCGACTGGCTCCCGCGTGCAGTTCCTGAGTCCCGCATCCGCATCTGCATCTCATCTGCGCCTGTCATCTGCCATGCTTTTCTCTTGCTTCCCTCGAATCCTGAAAGCCAGATCCCCAATTAAAAGGACTGCAAGGATCCCATACCTAACCCAGCTGACCATGCTTGTGTTCAGTTCCATCTCTCATCATGGCAAGACAATAAACTCAGGCGTTAAAACCGCTCCCTAGCATGAGGCACCGAACTGTGTCAGGCATTGTCCTTTTGTTCGCCTGGGCGACTTCAAGTCCGGCAGTCCAAGGAACAAGATGAATGATCCATCCTTGGATGACAATATCATCCATGCCTCTAATCAGGTCACTGAAAATGTCCCTAAGTCCTACGCGGACGAAGAGGAAGAAGAGAGAAGTTTTTTGACCCCCGCCAGGTGGTGGTATGCCTCGACTGCCTTCCCTCTCATCGCCGGCACGTTCGGTCCGATGGCCAATGCATTCAGTGTTTGCGCCCTCGTGGAGAACTGGCGAGTCAGAATACCTGCAGGAGGCACCGAAGAACATGGCGTTGATATCAGGGATCCTAGCTGGTAAGTACCCGGCGGACTGATATCTGTGTAGTACCGAACCGCTGAGCTGATATGATGCTATGGAAGGTTGATTGCGGTCAATGCCGTATCTCTTGTCTGCGCTCTGGTCGCCAACTTGTCGCTCCTGCTTAATATGGCCCGCCGTGTGCCGTTTCAAATTGCACAGCCCATCACTATTGTTGGCTTCTGGCTGGCTTCGGTTCTGCTCATTGTCCTCATCGCCATTGCATCCACTGACTTCCATGCCCCGGGTGTTCAGAATCAAGCCTTGACCCAGGCCTACTATTACGCCGTCTTTGCTGCCGGATTGTACCAGATTATTTCATACCTTATGTGTGTCACCGTGTATGGAGCCTACAAGGGCCATTATAGCAAGGAATTCAGACTCACCGTTGCCCAACGCACGCTGATGCTCCAAACCATTGCATTCCTTGTCTACCAGCTTTTGGGAGCTCTTGTCTACTCACATGTCGAGGGCTGGAAGTTTCTAGATGCCGTGTACTGGGCCGACTTCACTTCTCTCACCATTGGCGTTGGCGCCGACTACGTGCCCAAAACCGACGTCGGGCGTGGGTTGCTTTTTCCCTTCGCCATGGGAGGAATAATCATCCTAGGTCTGGTGGTGAGCTCTATCCGGTCTCTGATCCTAGACAGAGGGAAGAAAAAGATCGCCGCACGCTTGACCGAGAAGTCACGGGCGAAATTACTCGCAAAAGTTGAAAAGATTGTTAACGAGAAAAGTCGGATAAAAAGACGTCTTATGGGTCTGGACAAGAACATGGCCAAAGCATTGGCCACCGAACCTGGGGATGACAAAATTGCCGAGATTGACAGGAGAGAAGCCGAGTTCGAAGCAATGCGAAGGGTACAGGATAGGGCGACGACGCAGCGGAAATACCTTAGTCTAGGTATTTCGACCTTTGCATTCGCCTTCTTGTGGACGCTAGGCGCTTTCATCTTCTCGAAGGCTGAACAAAATCAGGATTGGTCGTATTTCGAGTGCGTCTATTTTGCATACACCACCCTCCTGACCATCGGCTATGGAGACCTACAGCCAATGAGCAACAGTGGGAAGCCATTTTTTGTCTTTTGGTCATTGCTCGCAGTGCCGACGTTGACCATCTTGATATCAGACTTGGGGGATACAGTGATCAAGACGGTCAAAGATGTGACGATCTGGTTGGGTGAGATCACGGTTCTGCCGAGCGACGAAGCCAGCACGAGGGAGCGACTGAGGCAAGGCCTTTACAAAGCAACACTTGGCAAACTTGACTCGAGGCATACTTATGCCAAAGACGTGGAGCAGGGGTCCAACACTGATGAGGGAGAAAAGGAGCTGCATCCGGGGTTGGCGAAGCTTTTCGGCCGACACGGCAGGAGACGCGAGAATCAGGGTGCACACGAAACTGGTGATCGACTGGCCGCCGATTTTGAGCGGTCCGAGGAAGAGGGTGAATCGCTCGCGAGAGAACACGGTGAAAGAGCAGAAGAAGGTACGTCACATCCATGATCCGCAGTTTCCCGCCGCTAATGCCGATGTGAAAAGATGAGCATCACTACCGGCACGCTCTCCTTTCCCAGATTCGTAAGGTATACGCGGACACAACCGCAGCCACACCCAAGAGATACAGTTATGAAGAGTGGGTGCGGTTCCTCCGGTTGTTAGGCGAGGACGAGCAGGATCCTGCCTTCCACAGGCGGGCGCCTGAGTTAGATCAGGGCTCCGAGGCGCAAGAAGTCCCTCCGGAACACGAACAGGAAGCCACATACACCAAAGAGGAAGGGGAAGGAAAGGAGCACAAGAAAAGATGGAGTTGGATAGGCAACCACAGTCCGTTAATGGGAGATAAAGAGGAGGCAGAATGGCTGTTGGAGAAATTGTTCGCGCGGCTAGAGGAAAGCCTTCGCGGCGAAGGGAGGAAGAAGGAAGAAAGGGTCAAGAAGGAAACTCGCAAAGATCATGCGGGTGGGCAGCAGCCCCCAACTGGAACAAAGGATGACGATACAAGCAGGACAAAGACGGGAGAGGATGAAGAGTGATCGGATGTCGCGTCTATTGGTGTCTTGAGATTCAGCGGTGGAGTTGGGGGACATTGAAAACCTCTGGAATAGCGGATCGGCTCTACAGTACAAATATAGTCGTTTGACGGAGAAATGTTTGCTGAGAGTGTCACGGTGGCATTGATCACCCTGGAAAGAGTCATTGGCGTCGGCAAGGATCACTACTAGTACATGATGCATATCGCCCGCTTCGAGACGTGGTCTTCGGGAATCTCAGATGGTCTCGAATCTCAAATATCTCGAATTATCACCCACCCCTGACCCTTGTCGCCTCCGTAGTCCCAAGTCCTTCTGCTCCTCCAACTCGCTCAAGAACACAAGGCATACGTGGCGTGGAGAGGTCAGAAGGGCAGTGGGAAGAGAGGAGACTGGCTCGGGGGTTGTCAGTCCGAAGTACGAGCTCAGAAAATGCTTATTTTGACCTTGTTCTATGTGGACTTTGACCCGAGGCCAGGGCGCGTCTTCAATTGCCACAGCTCCTGCCCGTTTCTATCTTGTCTCCCTCTATCTTTCGAACCAGCTCGGGACAACGGAAGAGGAGAAACACTGGACTATTAGATTGCCGATGGGTGGATTCAAACATCCGACGGCTACCCCTCTAAGGCCGCCCATTGTTCGGTCTCGCAATCTTGTCCTGCGGATCATCGAGCCCTTCAACAGGCAACGAGCTGTGATTCCGCGACGGGATAGGACACTCTATTCATACCATCGGATCAAGCAGAGCAGCGAGCAATCTGACTGCTTGTGACTACCGCGGCAAGCGCCCAAGAGATGGCGCAGGCGAGATTCTTTCCCGCCACCGGCACCACTCGAGACCATGCATCGTTCACAGTATCTGCCTCGTGTGCCGTGCCATCTACGAGACGGACACCCTTGATATGGTCGCTCGATCGCCTTCGGCTAAACCTTACAGCAGGGGTTTCTCTGGCACAACGGCTTCATTCCGGTCTGATATGGGTGGCACGCCATCCATCTCCATACTCCGCAAGCCACACTCCATCCTTGTCCCCTCCTCCGCATTAAGTTGTATGCATATCTGGGGAACAACACAGCACAGACCCACGCTTCGAAGGCCGAGGTCCACAACATGCCACTCCTCTATCGCAGCACTGCCTAATACCTTAGCCGACGCAGTGCTTGTTTCACTCCTCTATGCCTGGGAGACGCATGTCTATTGGACAGGTAGCGAGTTTTGATGGCATATCACCCCCCGTGCACTCCTTTGGCCCGTTGCCGTACCCCTCATCGCTTGCCACCGGACAGTGAGGGATGATGATCCCCTTTATCAGGACCCTATACTAGGGCCCGTCAAGGACGCGGGGTACGAGACCGGGCCCGAAGAAAAAGGTACAAATCTCGCATATCGACCGACCCTGGCAGCTTGTTTCGTGGATTCCTCTACTATATCTCCCGTCCTTGATATCATTTCGCAAGCCTCGGGATAAACGCCGTAGGCCATAGCAAGGAAAGAGGAAGAAAGGCTTCTGATTTCGCCAACAATGGGGTCGCATCAGATAGAACAGGTAGATGTTCTGCTCGTCGGGGCCGGATTTGCCTCGTTTACGTTACTAAACCGGTAAGTTTCTTTTCAACTGCCCGGCCTTGCTAGACGCGACCATTCTCTGACTTTGACTTCGGTACCCTGCAGCCTCCGCAAGCTGGGATTCTCTGTGCGAATCTTTGAGAAAGGAGGAGCGAGTGGCGGCATCTGGTATTGGAACTGCTACCCTGGGGCGCGGGTGGACACAGACTCGCCTATCTACCAACTGTTCGACAAGGAACTCTGGGAAGACTTCACGTTCACGGAACGGTACCCGGGCTGGCAAGAACTACGTCGGTACTTCGACCACGTGGAGAAGAAGTGGAATGTCCGGGACTACACGTCGTTCAACAAGCATGTGGACAGCGCGGTGTTCGACGAGAAGCGACAGCAATGGTTAGTTGAATGCGCGGACGGCACCGAGATCTACGCCAACTGGTTCATCCCGTGCATCGGGTTCGCCAGTAAGAGATACACGCCGCCGTTCCCTGGGCTGGGCAACTTCCGCGGCGACATCTACCACACTGCGGTATGGCCTCAACACGGGGTCAACCTCAAAGGCAAGCGCGTGGCCGAAGTAGGCACCGGAGCGTCCGGGATCCAAGTGATCCAAGAGATTGGCGACAAGGTCAAAGAACTGACAGTCTTCCTACGCACGCCCAACATGTGTCTGCCGATGAACCAGCGGAAGCTAGACCCGGCGGAGGAAGAGAAGAAGAAGAAGGACGGCACATACGAGAAAGAGATGGAGAAGACACGGCACACATTTGCGGGCTTCACATACGACTTTGTGGACCGCAACACGTTCGACGACACGCCCGAGGAGCGCGAGAAGTTCTACCACAAGCTCATGATCGAGGAAGGCGGTTTCATGTTCTGGCTGGCCAACTACAAGGACATGCTGTTCGACCTCAAGGCCAACGAGGAGGCATACAAGTTTTGGCGCAAGCAGGTCCTGAAGCGCATCAAGGATCCCGAAAAGCAAAAGCTGCTGGCTCCCGAGGTGCCGCCTCACCCATGGGGCACGAAGCGGCCGTCGCTCGAGCAGCGATTCTATGAAGTCGTCGACCAGCCGCACGTCAAGATCATCGACGTCAACAAGTCGCCCATCGAGGAGGTCACGCCCACGGGCCTGCGCACCAAGGAAGGTCTGGTTGAGGTCGATGTGATTGTGTTGGCTACTGGCTTCGACTCGGTCACCGGCTCGCTGGCCCAACTCAACATCCAGGGCACCGACGGCGGTACCATTGCTGACCACTGGAAGGATGGCACAAAGACCTCTATGGGTATCGCCATGCCCAATTTCCCCAACATGTTCTTCCTTTATGGTCCTCAGGCGCCGACGGCGTTTAGCTCTGGTCCCAGCTGTACCCAGTTCCAGGCCGAGTGGGTCGAAAAGACTTTCCAGCTCATTAAAGAAAGGGGTATTACTCGTCTTGAAGCTACTCAGGAATCAGAGGACGACTGGTGCAAGAGAATGCATGAGGCGTGGAATGCCTCTTTGTTCCCTATGGCAAAGAGTTGGTACCAGGGTGCGAATATCCCTGGTCGGAAGGTCGAGCCTTTGAATTGGTGAGTCTAAACTGCTTTCTGTTTTCCCCCTTTGCTTTTACTGTCCAGTGTCGTTGCCGACTCGGTCTTCCGAGTGTCATCATCGCTTTTGACTTGATATGTTTTATTCGAACGGAAGAAGAGAAAGACTGACTGATTGTTCGTTACAGGGCTGGCGGAATGGTCGAATACGTCAACACCCTCGACCGCAGTCTGGACAATGATCTGCAGGGCTGGCACTACGCTACGGCCGAGGCCAAAGCGTGAAAGAGGGAAGACACACAAGCCAAGCCGCATCAGAGGAACCTGAGCAGGAGCTGCTTTAGTAGTGCTTAGCTCTTATTCTCAAGACACGATTGGTTACACTAGTCACGGGCGAGAGAGGCGGAGGCGGAATGACTTGATTGTCTACTGGATGTATAGCTGTATATAGATGATATACCCGGTATTTATTGTCACGAATTGATTACATCTACTCATCAAGTCGATAGTCTTTATGGCAGCGAATTAATGTAGTAGTTGAGTATCGCTCGTCAATGACGACTGAAGGTAAGAGACGCGTCCCGGGAGTCTTTTCGAGAATCGTTTTTTCCGAGCCGATCGAAGACTTTCAGACGACACGACTTTGTTTGTCATTGTGCCAGCCTTTCCATTCTGTCGAGGCCACGCTGTCGCCGTAGATGGGTTGCTGTGGCTGTGGCTACTAGCTCGTGTTGGTGTTCCGAGCTTGACGGATGGGTGCTCATCTGATGCGCGGATAGGGAGGCATGAGATGGCTCACAGGGCCTGTTTAATATAACTTTCGAAGAGGACCCACGACGACGACTCATGCATGCGGCCTCGTCCTCGTCATTCCTGATTCTGTCTCCCGCACGCCGCGCCGAGGAATGGCTCATAACTGTTTTCGACGGAATCGGTCGGTCTTGACTCCAAAGAGTGAACCCTAGGGATCCGGAGCAAAGAGTCTCTTTGCTCACCTTGCTTCCAAATGCTTCCGAATGGGAGCCAGAGAGGCTTGCTGAAGCTCATGCCTCAACAAGGTCGATCGGATGGCGAGCGAGTGTGGTAAGTCCGACAAACCAATTCTGCCGCTGCTGTCGGGTTGCCTGTGTGCATTAAAGTATGGTATGGCGCACCAATTTTGGCGAATAATGGAACCTGCCCATGCTGTCCAGTATTTCACTCTTTCTGATCATAGCAATCTCGTCGCGTCAGGGTAGTCACTTCAGCTTTTCTTCCCCAGCTTTTCCATTAAACCCCCTCTCAAGCCCATCAACCCCAGCCAAACAGCTTCCTCGGTCCTGATGGTACGACTGCCCTGTCCAGGCAAGACATTGACCCAATAATCGAACAAATCCTTCACATTTTTTGGAGTGATACCCATCTCCTGCAACTGCGGGTCATTTTTCGCAGCAGTCTCTAGGCCCGCGACACCGCCAAAGACGATCAAGACATGTTGGAACGGAAGTGGCTTGCTGTCCGCGTCCGCAAACTCCGGTCTGGCAAATACTTCGGACAACGGAACCCCCCTTTCCGAAGTCCCTATTGAAATGTCGTAGCCGCCATCAAAGGGACATTCTGTAAAAACGTTGGAAAGACTGCTGCATTGTCGAACAGCATAGCCCCAGTAATACCCCTTTGCTTCCCTGGGCGTGTCTGGTGAAACGGCCGTGGCGAGCTTTGAAGGAGGCTCTTCCAATTCAACAGTCACTCGGGTCCCGCGAGGAATGTCGGAATCCGGAATCTCTCGTGGCTCAGATAGACCTACGTCCACGAGAGTCGCTGTCGATGTGCCCCGGGGAGAAGAAGTAGGGCCAAGAGACACGCCTTCACGATACTCGCACCATTCATTGGCGCGCAAGTGATGCGGCATGTCGAGACTGGGTAGTGTCCCGGCAGTCCGGAGGTTGGGATGCATAGGAAACAGAGTTTTGCGCAAGTGAGGTGGAGTTTCTAGGTAGGACAACAAGTGGGCGAGAAAATGGTCGGGATGTGAAAAGGCAGTGTAGTCGTGTTCTGCGATGGCGGGTCGTCGACGCTGGACGTCGGGGGATTCGTCGTCGAAGATGACGATTTCGTCCACACAGAATACGGCCAGAGCCCGGGCGATTTGGCCTGCTAAGTAGGTCTTTTGCTCGTGCGATTTGGCGTTGGCGATGATGCTGCCCGGCAAGGCGACGCTTAGAGTGAAGGAGCGTCCGCCGGTGGGTTGGAAGACTGCTGTGGGCTTGGATGTGTCCACGTCGGCTTCTTCATAGTCCGGACGAGACGAGGGGCCTCCATTTGTGTTGGTGGTGGTGGACTTGCTGGACCCGGACTCTCTTTTGCGTTTCTATGGATGGCAGTCAGTTTTGAACATAGAATCTTCAGAACGGGAGCAATGACTATCATATACCTTCTCTTTCGCCATCATGAGATGAGTGTCCTTGAGTTAGAAGATATGCGACGAACGAAGAAGTATTTCCTACTGGTTCGAGACGATATAGAAACTTTTTGGATATTAGCAAGGGACTCGATCTGCACCGCCATACTTAGTCAGCAGATACAATCGTTCAGCCACAGAATCAGCCACAAGCTGCACGTGATCTGCCAAGTCCGGCTGCGTCATCACGAGCCCAAATTTAACCCGCCAAAGTTGGGGGCCGAGTGGCTGCGCCGCGTTCAACGAAACGTGACCCTGAGAACCCTGAGAGATCAAAGGGGGATGGAAAAGGAGAAACGCTGCCAGCGAATTGCATCCATGTCAAACCCATAATTCAAGACACAAGACAGGCTTCAATCCCAAAGTCTGTCTGTCTTGCAGTCGATTGATTGTACTACATTCTCCTCTTCAGACCTTTTAATTCTTGTATTTTAATAATTCCTCTACTTCGCCCTTCTGCTTACGACCACTCCTCATCGCGGTCTTCCTACATAATCTCACTCCCAGGGGCCATTCAGCCCTAGTCGCCAACGCCTCGTCGATCCCCCGTCCCACCACCCTCACCCTCACCCTCACGCGACACCATGAAGATCGGACGCCGGCGCATATCACTTCTTTTGTTGTTGGTCTCTTCTATTGTATACACCGAAGCCTCGGTGGGCAGGCTGCCGCGAGCGCTGTCTCCGGCCAAAAATCTCCAGGCTGCGGGCACACTGGGCGAAGTTGTCGCGTCGGCGGGAGGATCAACCGGTGCCGGAGTCGGGAGTGCAAGCGGAAGTGGAAGCGGAAAACATTTGGGCACAGAACATGCACCCGTCGACGGCAAAGATGGGATGCCACACGAAGGACCCTTTGTCGAGACGACGGCAGAGCGCACTCGAAAGAAGACGCACGGGTCAGGACTAGATGACGACGACTCGGCGTATCAAAAGACATATTCGGACCAATACTCAGACACAAACATACCGCAGTCCAACGACGCAGTCATGGACGACCGACTCCGGTCGAATCCTGTCGAGGGCACTCGGGGCGTGGAAGGCGGCATCTCAGAAAAGTCGAGGGAGGGCAAAATCACAGACAAGAAACCCGACCCGCCTAAGGACGCCCGACCCATCCCGCACAGCGAGGTCGAACATCTCAAAGAGGCAGACAGCTCGCACGGCTCGGAGCCCAAAGGCGCGGCGGTTCTGGAAGAGGACCCTAAGAAGATCCTTGCGGTAAGTTACAACAGATACAAAACGACCACCGGAGACCATCTGACTTTGACTTGTGTTACAGGCTCCGACAGATCTTCCAGAAAAGCCCTACGACATTCCTCCTCCAGAAAACCCCTCGTCGCCCAAGGACACGAAGCTGTCATCAGAGACGGGCAGCAAGACCCTCAAATCGGCAGAAGATGAAAGTGCCGTCATCCGACCCATGCACTCCCTAATCCTCTCATTTGCCATGATTATCTTTTCCGAAATAGGCGACAAGACCTTTCTCGTAGCCGCGCTCATGGCCATGCGCCATCCTAGAGTGGTGGTGTTCACCGCCGCGTTTTCCGCGCTCGTTACCATGACGGTCCTCTCAGCCGTGCTAGGCCACGCGGTCCCGACATTGATCCCGAAATGGCTGACCAATTTCGCCGCGGCAGGCTTGTTTTTGGTTTTTGGCGTCAAAATGCTTCTGGAGGCCCGCGCAATGAGCCCCGACGAGGGTGTCAGCGAGGAAATGAAAGAAGTCGAGATGGAACTGGAAGAAAAAGAACATCAACAACAGCGCCGAATGTCGAGACGTCGATCGTCGATTTCTCCTTATGCCCTGGAAGCAGGTCGTCTTTCTATCGGTTCCAAGAAACATACAAGCAACGGTCGTCTCCCGTCCCCGCCCGAAAGTCCCGCCAGCTCGAGAGAAAGCTCTCCGGCTCGTGGTGTTGGTCCGTCTATCAGCAATGCCCTGGCCGGTATTAACAACTTGTGCTCGTTACTGCTTAGTCCTGCCTGGGTCCAGACTTTTGTCATGACCTTTTTGGGCGAGTGGGGTGATCGCTCGCAAATCGCTACTATTGCCATGGCCGCCGGTCAGGATTACTGGTGGGTTACGGTTGGTGCTCTCGGCGGCCATGCCATTTGTACCGCTGCTGCGGTGTTGGGAGGAAAAGCCATTGCTGGAAAAGTCAGTTTGAAAACAGGTGAGTTTGGTCTCTATCTCTACCCAAAACATTTGCAAGACTTTTGCATCCCATCCTATCATTTTTGTTTCGCTCAATCTCTAACATTCTGCTCTGTACAGTTACCATGGGCGGCGCAATTGCCTTTTTGGTCTTTGGGGTTCTTTACCTCCTCGAGGCCGTGTACTAGTCTGCTAGAAAACCACCTAGTCGGAGCCACACGGGGCCTCTTTGCTTTTTCGCTTTTTGCGTTCCAATGCTGGGATGAATGGATGGGGAGAATCGATCAAGAAAGACGTCTTCAAGTCAGAGTCAATTAGCCGAATCAGGCGCGAATGGAGTTGGTGGTCGGTGGGCGGCCGTGGTAGCGTGGTAGCTGCTACTTTAAAATGTAATACAGCTGGCTGATGCTAAGGATACTCAAAATTCAGTGCTCGACGAGGTTAAAGTGCACCTCGATTTCAATTCGGCGCAGAACAGGGGGCGAGGCGGCAAGGGCAGACATACACACTTTGTAGTAGGTAGCCACTCGGAGTCGGACGAAATGAGATCTTCAACTGATCAATCACATGGACCTGGACGTGGAGGTAAATTGCACTGGCAGCGGCCAATCCTGTAATGTGAAAAACTTTTTCCATCATGATAACTCGTAATACCTACATACAGGTCCTGTACGTAGTAATCGGCAGTAGCAGCAGCAGTAGCAGAAGTAGCCACCTCACAGGCCAAATGCCAGTAGAAGTAGCAGTGCCATCGCCAGAGCGGTGGGCAGAGCAGAACACCAACGAAAGCCGTAAAACCGAATTTCAAACGCCAGAAAACTCACACATCCAACAGAATAAACGCCAGACCGAACCGTCCATAACCCCGGAAATACACACCATCTCTGAGGTAGGTATGTTTGTGCTGTTTGTCCTTCCCCTTTGCGCAGCGCCCCTTTGCGGCAAACTCGATCCCACCAGATGTGACTGTCCGACACCAAGTTCCACCATTATGCGCCGAGTCGTGAGAAGAAAATACAAACAAAAACAAAAACTCCGTTCAAACTGATCCCAATTTCCCTAGACAATCTCACAATACGCCAACAATCAAGAAAAAAAAATCATCCGTTCATCGAGCCAACCAGCCTACCTGCTTGTCGAGATCAAGATCCAAGATCAAACGGTAGCCACTGCTGGATCCAATATGTCTTCGCTCGTCCGTACTTGGAGGAAAACATTGAAGCTGCCATGGTGTACCATCCTTGCCCCAGATGACCTCTTGTTGTAGGTAGTAGGCAGTGCCGGTTGTCTAGCTTCTCTGCTTCGGGCGCGCCAACATGTTCAAGCGGCTGAGACTCAAAATGCCTCCGGTCTTGCGCTCTTTGGCATTATTCTTGGCCAGTTCTCGAGCCGAACTCTGTCTAGGCTTTTTGGTTGTTGCTGTTTTCTTTGCCGGGGAGTGCGCCGCCTCCTCGAACTTGGATGTGTCGACTCTCATACGCTTGCCACCGCGCTTGTCGCCTTCGTCTTGTTCCTGACTGTCAAGGGAAGGGGTGTCTCGCCACCCACCGGGAACAGACGGCATGACCGAGATACGACGGTTCTCTTTCGAAGTCTCCTCATTGCTCTCGGTGCCTACAGAGACGGTGGACTCGCGACGACGTTTCTTGCCCGGTAGCCCATGCGGAACAGTCTGGACTTCGGTGTCTTCGAATGGTTGCACAAATTCGGTCACACCCGATGTGCGCACGCGACGGATAGTCGAAGGCGAGGGCTGCGAGAAGTTCGGGTTGCTGGGAGATCGCATGACTCTATTGGCGTGGATTGTTGGATCGGTCTTATTCATCATGGTGTTGACTGACGTCAGTGTAGACGGCTCGGCCGGACGCGATGGGTGATGCAAAGTGGTGAAGATCGATTTGAATTCTTTCGATTCGCGACGATTATGGTTCTTTGCCTTTGAGGAGAACGTTCCTTCATCCATGGCCTTCGGGCGAGCCGGGCTTGAGAGGTCATCTGGCAAGGTCGGATAGTCGATCTCGCTTTCCGCGTCCTCCCAGTTGTCATCGTCACCATCATCCTCATCCTGAAGCACGTAGGCGGCTGGGTCATATAGTTCAGCAGCAGAAGGGAGCGCTTTTCCAGGGGTAAGGTGCGGCAATTTAGCAGGACTGGGACTTGCAGCCGCCAGCTTGACGGCATATCTGGACTTGACGCTGGGAGTGAAATCGACCTTCTTCACTGAGCCTGTTCCGGGAGTTGCGGAGTGCGTCTCGTGTCGTATGGGTGTCGGTTGCTTTTCATCGGCTGGAGTCGCGGTATCTATCTTCCGCCCAGGACGCAGAATCGACTTCAAGCCGGCAAATTTTGGCAATCTTGATGCAAATCCATGGTTAACCGGGGGTTGAGGTACCTCTGCGTTGAATTGTAGTCGCTGAGGCGAGGCAGATTTGTTTTCAGCTGCAGTGAAGCGCTCGGATGGCAGAGATGGAAGAGACATATTCAGACGGAATGTTTCAGCCTGTGGCAACTTGCTGGGACTTTGCATAGTCACAGCCCCATGAGAGGTGGCCGGTCTAGCTGCTTGTACTGTAGACACCGTCTTCAACGATCTGACAGAAGCGGTGCGTTTCGGCGCTTGGGCTTTGTTAGGCGACGCCACCGGGATCTGACTCGCTGCACTTCTGGCTAGCGAAGCTTTTGTAGGCGAAAGTAACCTGCTCGACACTGGCCTCGGCACCGTGGTCTTGCCAGGAGACTGCTGCACTTCTGCCGGTCGGCAGGCGGACACATCTTGTAGGACCGAATGGCGGGCACGTTTGGCTGGGGCTGTGTTTTCGAGTCGTTCTGGTTGAGCAGGAATAGATTTGAAAGGACTGACCGAGGTTGGTCGACCGAGGAAAGGCGGGCGAGCTCGACCAGGTGTTCCTTTTCCAGAAGTTCGTGGACGATCAACATCGTCGAGCCCTGCCTTGGAGGGACTTCTCTTGAGCGACTGTGCTGTCGGCTGGGCATATCCAGGTCTGGCACGGTATGCCGACGGATGATTTGCAATAGAGTCCATTTTCTTGAACTGCGCCATGTGAATATCGCTGAACCGTCCTGCCTTGCTCTTGGGTTTGGCAATCTTTCTGCCGGAAGCATTGATTCCATTGAAACTAGCCTCAGCGTCTTCGTCTTTCTTCAATTGCGCCTCCTTTTCCGCCTGCATCTGTGTCTTTATCCGTGCGGCTTCCTCCCGAACAGTCTCCATGAGCTGCTGTGCCTCCGTACTCAGTTGAGACTCGGAATTGAACTTGAAGTCAAACGCGGTTGTCGACAAATTGGCTGGACTACTGGTGCGGGCCTTCGTCGGAGTATGCTGTGTGCGGGCTTTCGTGGGAGTATTTTGCGCGCTTTCGATAGAATGAAGAGGCTCGGGCGGGATATCGACGAAACCTAGCTTCAGACCGGAGTCCGGGGCTTTGGCGGTGCTATGGTGAACCAGTTCTGGGTGCATCTCGGCCGGATCTGGTCTGGGCTCGGTTCTAGGAGTTTTCAAGCCGGACAGCTTTGAAAGCTGCGACTTGATTGTCTCAGCAGAGGCGGGCGTCGCGAGGACATTGTCAATCGATTGCGACTCTGTAACGTCTGGGGTCTCGTCCCGTTCTACCAAAGATTCGAGATGTACGGTCGAGGCAGCTTTACGATTCGATGTTCGCTGTAACCGGTTAGCATTGAGGTGTAGATTGAGGGCGGTGTGCGGGCGGATATTCCAAGACTTACTTGTTTCTGGGGTGTTTTGCTCAATCGTGCAGAGCGGCGACGAGGGGCGGCCATGATGGATGAGCATGCAGAGCCCTGATGACCACGCACAGGACAGACGGCACGATGGAGTAGTAGTTGGGATGTGATGGCTTGTATGAAGGTACTTCAGGTGGTCCGTGGAGCACCGGGTGGAGGAGGACGGGCCACAAGAGACTTGTTGATTCTAGCTAGCCGGATGGAATCGCTACACCACTGACAGCGTGTAATAGAAGGAGCAGAGATAGAAGAGTCCTCTTTGGGACATCCACAACAAGCCTTGGTAGCGACAACAGCGTGTATCTGGATCGTGCAGTGTGTCTTTGTTTGGTGCGCTGCTGTGATTTTGTCCGCCGTGTTACGTCAGGCGATAAACAAGCCAAACAACTCCCAATTGGGATCTTGCGCAGACTTGGCGTGACCAGCAACGCGGTGTCACATGACTGAAGTCCACGTGATGGGATTCCTTCGTGGTGGACTTAACCGACTGCTGGACTTGGAGTCTTCCGCTTCTCCGGCCTCTCACGTTGAAGTCAAGACATTGTATGGTAGATTAGGTAATTATGTTACAAGGACGCCACCTAGTGCGAGTCATCCTTCTTCACGCACCACTTGTGCACTCCGCATACAATCCCCTCACAAATTATCCTAGCTTAATAAGCAGATATACAGAGGAAGAGAGACTATTCTCGTAATTACTTGAAGGGACTACTAGCTTAAGCTATTAGATTCTGAATATTGATTATAGAAGGGGACTACTATCTGCTAATATAAATTTTAATTAACTTTTCTACTCTAGGGTAGAGTAGGAGGTGTAAAACTATCTGTTTACGCCTAAACTTTACCCCCCTGCGTGAAGAAGGATGACTCGCACTAGGTGGACGCGGTTGGGTCGGCTACCATCAATGATCCAAGAGGGGCGTGATGTACAGTGTGAAATGTCCGTTGACGGGATACAAGCACACCTCCCCCATCTCTGCAGTACATGTATTGCCCTCTCTCTTCCTCTTGTGGCGACATCGAGACATCTCAAATGAATAGCTCATCCAATCCTACACTAGTACTGCGTCCGTCAAGTGTATCAGGTCTGATGCCGTGTCCATGGATATCTACGTTCGTGCAGCTATCCGGCAACCTGAATCCCATCAAGCAAGACCGAACAATGCACCTAGACCGTTGGATGCATGTTATCATAGATCTACAGCGCTAGTTATGGGTTCTTTGCGGGGGAGTGTTGGACCACGAATAGTGCAGAGCAGTAGTATCAGCGGCATAGATACTGCCGACCGAGTAGTGGTATATGACTGTCGAAGGAAGGGCCCTGCATAGCACTAATTATGTAGGCGGTACCTAGCACGAGTATCACGCGCCCCTTGACCACGAGCAGCATAGTTCAGCACAGCAGATTGATGCCATATCAGGGCCACGATCAAGGCCACCAATACCGCAGCACATCATTGCCCTCTCCAGCGCAGTCTTCCCGCCGTCGAACGAGGTTTCATAGTATATGATTGGAGTCGAGGTGTGGCGGCGATGCTGTTTCCAGTGCAAGGCTGGCGGAGAACCTCGAGCCTCCCCCCTTCGCATCGCTGATGACGTCGGTGGAGCCAGGGACCCAACATGAAAACCGCTCGGGACCAAAATCCCACGTTGTTCATGGCATCATCATACATCCGGTTGCACAGTCTGGCCATTGCTCGGTGAGAACGGAAACGAGTTGTAATAGCTGTCGCAAGTGAAATAGTCCCTCATTCCTGTATAATTCCTCTGCATCCGACCGTGGGTAGATGCGCCTACAATTGTACGTCTCCCAGCGGCCGTGATCGTAGACAGATTTTTTCTGCCGTTTGTGCGATAAATGACACCGTGCGCTGGGATTTAATGCCCACAATGGCCTCGGGCTCTCGATCACCCACGCTCCGTGCCTCGTCTGACCCGTTGGGCGCAGACGCTGAAAAGAATGCTCCTGGCCTCGATCAGGACCAGACCCTCAACCAACAGAGCCCAGTTCGCCCTGGCGTCGAGCCTCTGGGAGAAAAGCGACGCTCCTCTCGAGGCTCGGCCTTCCGCCGTCTGAGCGCCCATCAAACCGCAGACCCCTTCTGCGACGATGACACCGAGGATGGCGTCAAGTATCGAACCATGGCATGGTGGTAAGTATGGCACTTATTCTCTGCCATCTTGCGGGTATGGAGGAGTTCGAGGCTGACTGATGCTCAAATAGGCAGTGTACCATGATTATGATTGCCGAGACCATCTCTCTCGGAATCCTATCATTGCCTTCCGTGCTGGCCACTATTGGGATGCTGCCTGGTGCCATCCTCATTATCGGTCTCGGTATCGTGGCAACCTATTCGGGATACGTGATCGGCCAGTTCAAAATGGCTCATCCCTGGGTAAGAAAGCCTACAGTCCCCAAATCTTCTCGGTCGGTACGGACATGATCTGACTTGGTTGATGACTAGGTCCACAACATGGCTGATGCCGGATACGTTCTGTTCAGACCGCTGGGACCGCGTTGCGGCGCCGTCGCGCGTGAGTTTTTCGGCGCCGCCCAGACGATATTTTTGATCTTCAGCATGGCCAGCCATATCCTGACTTGGACCATCTGTCTGAATACTTTGACCGATGGAGCTGCTTGCACCATAGTTTGGGGCATTATTGGACTCATTCTCTTCTGGCTGTTCGATATCCCGCGAACACTGCTCAAGGTGTCTTGGCTCTCTTGTGCGAGTTTTCTTAGCATCACCACGGCTGTCATTGTTACCATGGCAGGTGTTGGCGCCAAAAATCCTGCCCACGGCGATTTTAAAGCCACGCACACCACGCCATTCGTCACTGGATTTCTCAGTGTTGCCAATATCGTCTTCGCCTACGCCGGCCATGTGGCATTCTTCAGTTTCATCTCCGAAATGAAGAATCCCGCTGACTTCCCCAAGGCCTTGGTTGCATTGCAAATCACCGATACAGGCATGTATTTTCTGGTGGCGATGGTCATATACGCCTATGGAGGAGACGATGTTGACTCGCCCGCGCTGGGAACAGCAGGGCATATCGTGGGAAAGGTGGCCTGGGGTCTCGCAATACCTACTATCATCATTGCTGGCGTGATCTATGGCCATGTCGCCTCCAAGTATGTCTACGTCCGACTGTTCCGAGGCACCAGGCATATGTCGCAGCGAACGTGGCTTTCGGTGGGCACTTGGCTCGCCATCACCCTTACAATGTGGTTGCTGGCCTGGATCATTGCCGAGTCCATCCCGAACTTCAACGACCTGCTGGCGCTCATTTCGAGCTTGTTTGCCGCATGGTTCACGTACGGAATTTCTGGGGTATTCTGGCTCTTCATCAACAAGGGCCAATATACCAGGAATTGGCGGAAGATTTGCCTGACCGTTGCAAATGTGCTGTTGTTTGCCATGGGCGCGGCCATCTGTGGAATGGGTCTTTATGCCAGTGGAACTGCAATCAGCAAGGAGCCGACTGGAAGCAGCTGGACCTGCAAGAGTAATGCAGAGTAAGTCGGTGGAGATATGTTTGCCATGTCTTATGAGCCTGTCGATGGCAACATTTGTACTATATCTTTTGTATGAAATGAGGATCATTGTTGGAATCAATCAGTCGGCTTCTGAACTTGTAGACTTGAGTGTAGGGTATCACCGATGGGCTCGTACTCTTCGTGGATCTTGAACCCTTCACCGACCGTTTTGCGTTTGGACGGGAGGGCTCCTGGGATCCATCAGCAGAACAGGACTCTTTGTTAGTATTCGAGAGCAACATAGTATTACCTGCCTGCGCCATGTCTCTCGCGACTTTGCAGTTTGCATTCACCTCACTTCACAATTTCAGCTCACAGACAGCGCCAGACTCGCACAGTGGTTTCAGCCCCAGACACCGCGCCCTGCTCACTGGCCTCTTCCTCTCTAATGCCTAAAAGAAAAGGATTCCCTAGGTCTAGTGACCATTCTTCCAGTGACCGCGAAGACGCAAACAAGCCAACAGGTGCAGGCGCGAAGCGACAAGCGACGGCAACCCAAAATACTTCTCTTGAAAGCGTTGAAACAATGGGCTTCATGAAGTCAGTCAAGACTCGCAGGGCGTCAAAGAGGAAAAAGCCACAGGACGAGGAAACAGAGGATACCAGCGCGGCTGCCGATCTGGCCCCAGACCGCGTAGACGCCGCCCAGCAGCGCAGCCCAGGCGGCAGAGAGACTGAGACTGCGGCTAAAGACACCAAGTGCTCGCCTAATTCGAGAATTTTCGAGGGGGGCAACAACCTGAACCAGAATGCCAGTAACTTGGACGATGACAATAACCCTCATCCTAGTATCGAACAGCAACAACAACAGGAGCCGCAGACCAGAAGTTTCAACGTCATACCGAGAACCCAAGTCAGAGCAAAGTCCAGAACACGCAGTGCTTCTCTCAAGAGCGGCCTGAGAGCAGCAATCGAAAAGCTGCACCGTCCACTGCGCACGCCTTCCTACACAGAACCGCTGCCCTTGTTTGGGGAGAATCCGAGACCAAATAACACGGGAACGACGGCGTCTACACAGGTGCCTCTTACGGAGGAAAACCTTCGTCGGCTGCTACACTCGCTGGAGAACGAGAGTGGCGTTGTTGACTTTGACTTTGTTGCTAGCCGTGGTGCCAGCCGCCGCAGAACGCCTCCGAATCCCTTGGCCGCTCAGCCTGAGCCCAAGCCTCTGCTTCAGCTTGAACCGCCGCCTGGGCCCGATTACTCTCCCACGGCTGCCCGTGTCAGTGTCACGGAACCAGCCCCACCCACATCCACAGCGACTGGTCGAAAACCATCGGCGATATCATTCATGCGGAAGTCAAAATCCCCCAAAAAGCACGACAAGGACAAGAACAAGAAAAAGACAAAACTTCAATCCGACACACACCCTCTGAATCTGCCTCCTGACGAACTGCGCAAACTCACAGTCCAGATGGCTCGACAAGAGGCTGAGGCTGAAGCAAATCAGCAAGCCGAAGCAACTGCCAGTGCCAACTCCGGCAAGCAACCGGAATCTGCAGACACTGGCAAAGATGTACCAGAGACAAATAACAGAGAATTCACCCTTCCCCAGGGTTCCTCGCCGCCGGTCAAAGATGCATCAGAAGAATCTACCGACACACCCGCTGACGGAACGTCGAACGGTGTGAATGGCCATGAAGAACGAAGTCCAACCCCTCCGCCGCACCGAAGTTCGCCGCCGCCCAAGGTTGACCCAGAAGCCTGCAAAGCCGCAGGTAACAAGTTCTTCAAGGCAAAAGACTACGACAAGGCAATTGAGGAATACACCAAAGGTATGTTTGTTCAAGTCGCGTGCTGAGATTCTTGAGAATAACAAACTCGTCCTGTAGCCGTCGAAGCCGATCCTTCCAACCCAACCTACTTGTCGAACCGAGCCGCAGCCTATATTTCCGCAAACAAATACAACCAAGCACTTGGGGACATATTACAGGCGAGCAGATTGGACCCGAACAACGACAAAATTCTTCATCGTCTTGCCCGCGTCTACACTTCCCTCGGCCGACCACAAGATGCGTTGGACACTTATGCAAGAATCCCCAATGTTTCCCCCACAGACACGGCTGCGGCCCGGAAGGCATTGCAGGCCATCGAGGTCGCAGAAAAGCAGATTTACTCTGAAGATGGAAACGGCAATATGGCTCTTTGGAGCATTGAACAGGCCAAACAGACCCTTGGGCCCGGCACACCTACACCACGACGATGGCAGATACTGAGAGCCCTTGCCAACTTGAAGATCGGGTCAGCAAACGCGCTGGGCGAGGTCCAAGCCATCGCTCAGAGTTTGTTGAGGGAAAATCCCATGGATGCCGAAGCGATGGTGCTCGCTGGTCGAGCATTTTACTTGAGGGACGAAAGACCGCAGCAGGGTAAGAGTGACTATGACCGCGCGGAAGAATATTTCAGACAAGCATTGGCGCTCGACCCTGACAATGCCGATGCGCGAAAATACCTTCGGATAATGAAAAAGCTCGACCGTGCGAGGACGGAAGCCAACAATCTTTTCAAGCAAGGCAAATATCCCGAGGCCATCGCCGCTTACACCGAGGCCCTGACAATCGATCCCACCAATAAGGTCACCAACGCCAAACTGTTGGGCAATCGTGCCACCGCGCGGACCAAGATCAAGGAGTTTGACGAGGCCAAAACCGATTGTGACCAAGCACTGAAACTGGATCCGTCGTATCTCAAGGCTCGTAAGATCCGTGCCAAAGCCACGGGCGAATCAGGTGACTGGGAACAAGCCGTCAAAGACTACAAGGCGTTGGTGGATGATAACCCGTCGGACCCGGAACTGAACAAAGAACTGCGCAATGCCGAGCTGGAACTGAAGAAGTCCAAACGCAAGGATTACTACAAGATCCTCGGTATTGACAAGGATGCCGGAGACAAGGAGATTGAACGTGCATACAAGCGCAAGGCAGCCGTGCTGCATCCCGATAAGACCATGGGAGATAAAGCCAAAGAAGAGGAATTCAAAGACTGTCTCGAGGCCAAGGAGACGTTGCTGGATCCTCAAAAGCGTCACATCTATGATTCTGGTGCGGATCTCATGGACCCCAGTGAGGGTTACGGAGGAATGGGTGGAGGATTCCCCGGCGGCATGGGAGGCTTTGGCGGAATGGGCGGTGGAGGCGGTGTCCAGATCGACCCTGAGATGTTGTTCAATATGATGAACGGTGGCATGGGTGGCGGGGGCGGTGGATTCAGATTCAGCACCGGTGGTGGCCGAGGTGGTTACTCGCCTTTTGGTTGATTGTCCGAAGCTGTTTCTGTTTCCCGGCTGCATCATATGCGCACTGCATTGCAACAAACAGCTGGTCCACCGTGTCTGTGCGGTGCATGACCCACAAGAAGAAGGAGGTGTCCAACAACCAGAGACATCACCGGCGCCAACAGCATCTCAAACTCGGTCGAAGCACACATGGATAGCAAGCCTTGGTCAATTGCCACTCCGTGTTTTGGTGTTCCATCGCCAAGAAGCCCTGCAGCTGGAGTGGGAGCTAGAATGTCGCGAAGGAAAGACACATTGATCTTTTGGGCCATTGCTGCTGCGAAAGGTATGCTCTTGGGCTTTTCTTTGTCATGGCCATCTCGCCGGGACAACGATGCCGCCAGACGGAAACACAGGAAATGGCTTGTCTAGGGGCCTTTGGTCGGAACCACAATGGTCATGGCTCCTACCGCGCAGCTGTCCCCCATACCTCGGTGGGCTGCAACGGGATCCAAACTTGTACTGTAACGAGTAGAACAGGGTCCATAGAGCAGAGCAGAGAGCACTGCAGTGAGTGGACACAGGGGAAAGAAAAGAAAAGAAAAGCATAATACTGTATGTCCATCAAGTTTTCTAGTTCATCGCTCATCAATGTTACTAGTATCTTGAACATGCGAATTCAACCACTGGCAGGTCCCTGGAATCAATTGACTTGGAACCAAGCGTCAAGCGCCCTCTTTCTCATTACCCCAAGGATCAGCATCAAATCAGCACAGCTCAGTCCAGCTCACCGCCTAATCCTCGTGCTCTGCCGGACTCTTGCCCTCGAGGGTCCGGCAGGAGCGGACTCCTCTTCCTCACCCAAGTCATCTTGACCCGGGTTGCCGTCGTCGTCATCCTCTTCACCACCCTCCGCATCGTCCCCATCTCCGCCGCGGTGATGATGAGATCTGTCAATCTTGCCAATTTTGATGCCCAGACTGCGCGACAATCTAGCATCAAGTTCCTCCTCTTCCATCTTGACCAATTTAGTCACTCGGCTGGAACCATTGGCCTCGCCCTCACCACCTTCATCACCATTCTGATCGCGAGCTCTCGTGGTATTCGTAGATCCCAATCCCACAGCCCCATACCCATAAACACTCCTAACCAACCCCAATACACCATCCGTCCCAACCTCAACTTTCCCCCTCGGCCCAGGAACATACTCGACCACCTCTTCACCCGAACTCGTATCCCTCCGTCGATCAATATACCCCTCCCTGATCATCCTTGCGAGCAACTTATCAAGGCTTCCAAACGGAGTATACGTATCGGCGTTCACGCGTTTCAGATACCGCTCCAACTTCTGTTCCGTGAGACACTTGTTGTTCAAGTAAATCAGACTGAGGATAAAAGTGTACAATGCTGTATAGGACGCTTCGGTCTCGACAGAGGGTGCTCGTGCAGGTTGGGCAATTGCCGGGTTCTGTTTTAGTGCTTCAGGCAGGATAGAAACCAAAATCCAGGATTTTGATGATGTTGACGATGACGACTGTGTCTGTTGAGTTGCTTCTTTCCGGCGATCTTTGAGAGTGGTTTTCTCCCGTGTGGGAAGTTCGACGAGATACATTCCGAATGTGGACTTGAGGATCTCTTGGGCGCCGTCGAATACGGCGCGGAAGGATCGGCCTGCGGAGGAGGTGCCGGTGTTATTGGTGTCTTTGAAGATCTTGGTCGAGATGTCGGACCGTCGGAGGGGTGTGCGTGAGTACTCGGTTGCGAGGGCGAGGCAGACGAGCTTTTTGATTAGGGTGTGTTGGGTTTGGGTGTGGGTTTGGGTTTGGGCTTGGTGATCGGAGGTGGTTGACGAGGTGCTTGAGGCAGAGGAGGAGGATCGGCGACGACGCTGTTGTTGGTGTCGTTGAGTTTGTGTCGCGGAGGCAGAGGCAGAGGCATCGGAGTCGGAATTGGATTCGTGTCCGCCACCGTCGCGAGATATCGCGTCTGCTCGACGCTTGAGGGATGGCATGGTTTGGTTGTGGGAGATTGTGCGCTGATGTGTTGTTATGCGTTGTTGACGCAGACGCTGGAATAGATACTGCTGGTTTCGAAAGACTCGGACCTTAGGCTAGGTACTGCAGTGGTGTTGATATGTGTCCGGCCTGGACAAGCACGACCGTCGAGGCAATACGATCGGTCTGTGGATGGGATGAACAGAGAACTAAGGTATCCTGCAATGCAGTGTGTTTCCCTAGGTAAGCTGAGGTATATCGCTCTGCCTGGAGGCAGGCTCCTGATGGTTTGCGGACTACGCGTTCGACGATGGTCTCCAGACGCGTCGGCGGTTAATTGGCGTTGGCGTTCTTAAGATCGGATTACTAATCACACAAGTTGATACGATGACTAAGCTACACGATGTTGCTGCACAGCTGTTGCAGGTTGTCAATTAATAACTACGACCAAGTCACAACCCTACTCGAACCGAATGATAGAGCGTCTTCCGTGTACGACTGTACAGTGTACTCCGAGATACACTCTTCCGTGTACGACTGTACAGTGTACTCCGAGATACACGGCAATGAGAAAGAGGGACTAATATCTCAATTGTAGATCCTGCAGAGTGGTGTGTAGTATAATCCTTTCATCGCCAGTGCGCCAACACAATCGATTGCCAAAGTCTAGTATCTAAAATAACACGCCATCCTGTATCGATCCCATCCCGGGTATGTACGTCCTGTGAAACCCATTTTCAAAACACCTCGTCGCTAGCGCCATGTGACTGTTGATAATCATCGTATAGTCGTAAAGTCCGGTCTCGGTATCACCTTGAGTGAACCCTGCCCGGGTGTGTGGGGAGTATGTATGTATTAGTATGTATGTGCACATGTGCAGTAGTGACATGACAAGTCGTCATGGTGACGATCTCGGACCTCTTTGTGGACACCAAGTAAAGAATTTGGCTACCACGTAAGGATTCTATGCGTAAGTATATACATCGAGGAAAGAGACGAGGATAGTCTTGAGCTGAGTGGAGTTGACCCGGCTCGTGCCGAGCCGACGAAGGAATAGCGGTGAAAGGCCCGTATAAGGGTCGTCACGTCGTTCGACGTAAGAACGTTGTTAGGTGTGACCTTGGTGCCTATCTTTGATAGAGCGACTGGTCACCGTGCAGGCAACCACGAGGAAATGTTGAAGGTTGGCGGTAGTCTCGACTCGGTGGCTCTAGGGGTTTCGAGAGAAATATTTGCTGGCCTGTCAACTTCCTTTGGTCGTCTTCCGCCATGATATCGGTGCTGATTTGCATTTGTTGACTTGTGATCTTGTAATGTGGCATCCAGTTGAATCTCAAAATGGCATGCGGTGCAGAAAATCTCTGGGTCCTGGGTTTTCGGGATCCGAGCCAGTCAAAGATCTGTCGGCAGTTGCAAAGGTTGACTGGCATTCTTGGTAACATTGCGCCGACCTGCATCACGCTCCTTGGGCCTGAGCTGGTGTGGCTGACAAGCTTCCCATCGCTCCACATGATAACGATGAAAGTGGATCTTCCATCCCTGGCTCTGCACGGAGCAACTGCTCGATCCACGAGTCGTTGTTGAAGGACTGCGTGTATTCGAGCTGTGCCGTACCGTCTGACTCGAGAGGAGCAAGGGCGGTGGGCGGTGTGCTATCGAAGCATGTGGTCGGTGCGGTCAAGACTTCGCGTGCAAATTTGGCCACCTGGCTTCTGGCCACTATTGCACGAGGCCAAATGTGGCCAAATGACCCTAGGGCCGAAAGAATCAAATGCAGGCGCTCCTTGATTGCCAACGCCTGATCAGACCGGTCCACCACGGCATAAGCAGGCAGCAGGACTGTCGCGCCAGCGGTCAATGCACACACAAGCCACGGGGTTGCGTAGCTTAGCGGGCGTTGAACGGAGGCCAGGTCTGTGAGATTATTGGCAGAGCGCAGCGCTTTGGCCGTATGCGATGCGTATGTAAGGGCAGGCAGACCAGCCGCCTCGGCTTTGGTACACGTAGTCCGGTAGTGATTGCGGATGAACGTGAGTGTCGAACGCGGTCGGTGTAGACTAATGGCAGCCCAATTGATGATGAGATGTGTGACAACAAGGGCTTCGTCGACAGTCCCGTCATATCGGATGACTTCTCGTTTCGAGGGTGGTAGCGACAAGAAGAAATTGGATATGCTTGCATCGATCGCCTCGACTTGCGGATCTGTCACGGCGAATGTGTCTGCACCCAAGGCCAACACCGATCCGAGGATATAAGTGGCTTCAACGGTGTAAGCTAACGTGGAGTATTCGAACGTGTCTTCGGCGACGGCCCGATTGCGCAGATCCGCGAACGTCCGGAGCAAGGGGGACGGTCGCAGTTCGTTATAGTCTTCATCGTGTCCCGGCAGTGGCACGTCTGCCGGTGTCGAGTATGTCCTGAATGGCAAGTGGCCGCCAATGACCGCGACGACCCCTTCGATAGTCATCAATGTCCACCACGTGCGGCGCCAGGACTCTTCCAGGACGGGATTGCCTTTTCCGTGCTGGATAGCAAAAGTCGCGTGCTGCATGCCAAGTCGTATTGCGGTCTCGATCGCCTTGTTCAAGGCGGCCGATCCTCCTTCTTGATCAAAGCGGGCGTAGTTGACAAAGGCAGAGAGGATAAGACCCTGGACCTTGTAACCATCATCAGGGATTTCGTCTGAGAAGATGACCCTCGCGGCATTAGACAATGCAGAACGGTTCGCCTGAGGAAGATAGTGACTGGCCAGATATCGGATGACTGCCCGTAGGGCGTGAGGCATGCATGACGGGTCTTGAAGAAACATCTTCCTGGGAATTGTAAAGGGATGAGCAGGGTAAAAATGCTTGTAGAAAAGTTCGATGAGGTCGGTGCCCTCAGCCTCCTCAGCCTTGCCTACCATCGCTAGATCGTGATCTCTGGGTATCGATGTGGTGGAGGTGCTGTGATTGCTCGGGCTGGACTTCTGAATTTGCTCCAGACTCATTACTTGGGTTTCATAACTCAAGGGCTCCGCCGTTAGTGCTGGTTCCACGGCGCAGAGCTCCTGGTACGCAAGAGCACCTGCCTGGGTAAAGGCAGCGTCTTCGAAGAGCTGAGGGCCATTTTCAGCAGGTGTGGAAATGGACCGCTGTCGTTGAGCGGTTTCGCCAGAATTGACGCGTTGCTCGGCTTTGTCCTCAGCGGCGTTGTGCGATTTGCGAAACTCGCGATAGCCGCGACGAGATTCAACCCAGAAGCAGTGTCCCTTCCGGTCAGCACATCTGCTACACAGCGGCTTCTGGCCGTCACATTTTAAGTGGCTTTTTCGGCATGGAATGCATGCCAGTAAACTCGGCGGCTTCGATCGGGGTTTAACAGGCGCCGGGCTGGAGACTGAAGTTTCGGTGTTTGACATTGTCTGGATCTTTTATGAATAATAAGAGGTTGACCTCATCTCTGCCGCATCATACACAGGATATGGCCCTGGTTGTCCGGAGGAAATTGCGGAGGAGAGCCACTTGAGGTTGAGACCGGATCAACGGCAAAGGGTGGAGAAAGACCAGATGGGCCGACTCGAACAACGTGGTGCTGCGGGTCTATGTATCTTTCTGGAAGGACCTTGCAGCGCCGGGGAATCAAGTATGATGTGCTTCTCACGGAGTCGGATACGATACGAAATGAGTAACGCTAGATTGGCGATTCAAAAAGGTCCCCGGCTCAAGGAGCGACGAAGTGGAAGTTGAGTCGCGGCGACTTTTGGCTGCACGTGACGTCGGGGATTACGCGGGGCGCAAAATGTTCCGCCGCTAGACCTAGAATGGCATAGCGGCGGCAAACATCGATGCTTCTGTCGACGTCGCTGCTCAACCACTGAACAGACCCTCGAAATAAATATCTCACGCTGTCTCTACACTGCACAAGTCTCCACTAGAAGGCGGCAGTACTACTGGCCCTTGACTGGTGTACTGGGCCGTGAAAGGCTTACTCTTCGAGGTAGGCTTGCATGCTACGGGTAAGCGATCAGAGCCGGCATCGTGTGAGGGGCCGGTACAGACCTCCACTCTTTTGCAGCCTTGCCTGGAAGATGGTTGGCCGCCCTGCATCCCCTGGACGACTGACTTCATGACCGCTACATGTCTTTTGCCTCTGACGGAGGCCATGGTATACCGTCCTACATGTTGTATTGTTAAGCGCCCGGCCAAGCAATTGAAAATCTAGGGTTGTTATGGAGCACGGCCTGGTTCCCAACCGATCAGACATCGGTCAGCATTCATGAATGAAGAAGCCGGTGTGCCTGATGCGGCCGCTGATGCTGCAGCATATCTTGCACCGCTTCTAGAAAAGCCTCCTGCTGCTATTGAATCCGAGTATAACAAACTGCATAGGAATGTACAAGTCGTTCTCAGGCGTCAGATCGGGACACAGTCACAAGGAGGTGCCAGATCGGGCAGGCTGCCACTTTGTTCCGTTCAAGGAGAGGGAGCCTTGCTTCGGTCACTCAAATCCACAAGTTTGACCGACATACTGTTCCTCCTTGCCCGGATATACGATGCAGGCCACATAGTAATATGCAGGAATTTGGGTTTTGCCAAACGAGGGTGGCCTCACCAAGCAGGACTTTTACAGGATCCTTGTATGGATGTGAGTCTACTCACGGAGGAAATCGTCAAGAACGAATACAAACGCAACGAGGATATTGTCCTAGTATCCGACGATGAACATCCGAATGTCCTAAAAGCAACTTGGACCCCGATTTGTCCTATGAGTTTTGATCATCTCCCTACGATCGACTCACTGTCCAAGCTCCTTCCCGGCGAACGCTCACCAGGTAGAAATTACGCGGGTATCGGAGGAGGTGGTGGCTCTGATGTCATCAGCGCAAGCCTGCTGGGCCATCTTCTCCGGCGCAACGGCAAGGAAATGAATCTCCTTGTCTCCACCCGCACCTGGAGGACCGGATCGCAAGGGAAAGAAGGCTCGAGACTAGGGATCAAGCGCGAAGTGCATCAACACGGCGGACCCGCTGTGTTGGACGGTAAACCCGTGGCAGGGACATACCGCATCACCCCGGCGACATACACTGAGGGCCGGGATCTTGAAACCGTACCTATTCGCCACCATGAGCATGTGTTTCTCGTCCTTGACCAGGGAGAAGAGAAAGAGACACAAGACATCCCGCAAGATGAAAGGGCCGACCTTGCAACCCAGTTCCGGGCCGTTCTCTCACAGTGTCCGGATCTGGACACCGTCGTCGTGGTTGACACGGGCGGAGATGTGTTTGGTGGTGAAAAAGATGGACTCGCAGGATTCAGCACGCCTGACCAGGACCTCCGCGTCCAACGGGCAGTGGCAGGACTCCAGCACACTTATCCAAACCTCGTGACCACCGTGTTTGCTCCTGGCGTGGATGCCCCGGCCGATACTCCGGACAAAGCTAAGCGAGCGGGAGGAAAAGTCTACAGATTGGCGCCTGAAGAACAAACTCTCATCCTCGATATCCTTGCCAAAGACTACGGGATGGACGGGTCAAATCCCAACCGATTCGGCAAGACGAAACTGTGTCTCCAGGCCGCCTTGAAAGGTCAGCGAGGATGGACCTGTCTGGACCTGCCCGCCCATGTCGTCGATACCTGGGATAACCCCTGGAGTTGCTTCACTTACATCAGGGAGTGTATGAGTGACGTTTTGTTCGTTCCGCTGCTGGACCTCTTGCCGCTGATCGATCCTGGGCATGACTTGGAAGAGTCTACTTCCGCAAATCATACATGGCCACCGTCCACCACATAAAATGGACTACACCACATCTTTCTTGGTTTAGTTTGCCGTGACGATCAGCCATGGCTTCCTGCATGACCTGTTCAATACTGCATTCTTGCTTCAGCAGCTGGAATAAATAGACTCGGAGATGAAACCACTCTATTAGCTGCGATGGATTACACAACGTGATTCTGGCCCTTGGTCCTGTTAAAGTCCAGTACTGTACAATAGTACAATAGTACAGACTGTACTGTCCAACAATATATATTTAGATACCAGCAAACAAACGTCCGATTTGAAAAGTCAGCCTTAGCCTTATTGACATACCTACACAGTACCTAGGTATATGGACGTGTCAATATTTCAAGAATATACCACAGGCATACCACATCATACCTCATCATCCTTATACCGCCACTAAATGCAAGGCGTCGGAGACGAAGAAATGACACTGACTTGACATAAAACAAACCATTTGCCTTGTTCTCAACGACGACATGGCATGCGCTTGGCCTAGCTGGACACATTCCTATGAACAAGCCATACGCATATATACTCCAAAAGCAAGTCACATATCCGCTGGCACTGCCACAATCTGTCTCTGTCCCTGACAACCTGCCTACAAACCACAAGACCAAGACAAAAACCCAACTCCCGCAGTGCAGTGCCTGTGCTTCAATATACTATTTTCAATGTCCATATCCACGTCCATTTGGCCCAACACACATGCCGAGTCCCCTGCTCAGTGTACAATCTTCTCTTCATGCATCACACTCTCCGACCTCTTCTCCGCCGCAATCTCACTAACCCGATTCTCCAAATCATGAGAGATATACGACTCCTTGCTCGTGCCCACCACGATCCACGGCGCATGCGTAAACAAGTAATTCATCTCTTCGAGAGGGCGACGCGCAGTCTCGGGCAACAACAGCCAAAAGAATAAAGCGTTGGTGAAGTTGCAAATAATAAAAAGGTAGTAGTATTTGTAGCCGATGTTTTCCATCGCGATCGGTGTGACTTGGCCCTGTAAAACACACACAATCAGAACTTCATTCCCACACATCCACTCCAGTTGTTGTTACTTACAATCATGGTATTAAACGCAAAGCTCGTCATGGTCGCAATACTGACACCCTTGCTTCGGGTGCGGGTGTCAAAGACTTCGGACGGGATGATCCAGCTCAGGGGACCACAGGTACAACTGAAACTGAAATTGTACAACCAGGTCATGATGATGAATCCCCATTGAGCCCCCGTATTGGTGGATATTCCGGGTGGGAACAATGCCAAAAGAATAGTGGCAATGATAAATGTCACCATGTTGCCCAGGTTTCCTAGGATCAAAGGCCACCGACGGCCGGTGCGGTCGATGAACAGAATCGTGCAGAATTGCGCTACGAGCGCGATGATGCTGTTGATGCCTTGGTATTTGAGCGTGTCGTCGCCGGTGATACCTAGAAGACAGAGACAAAAGTCAGTCAGCAACGAACACTGGAGGCAAATTATCAAAACGCAGTTATCGTACCAATCTGTCCATAAATTGTTACCGAGTAGTATTGAATAGCAGAGACACCAGTCATCTGGACCGAAGCCTGAAGTGCACAACACAAAAACAGTCGGCGGAACGTGGCACGCGACCGGAATAGTTCGAGGTACGATTTGGCCTCGTGCTCGTGTTCGTACGCAATCGAAGTTTGGATCTGTTCGTATTCGGCCACGACCCATGGATCTTTCTCGTCGCCGTGGGAGTGCAGCTGTGCTAGTGTTTGGAGTGCTTTTTCGGGCTTGCCGTGGTCCATGAGCCATCTAAAACACACCAAAGTGTCAGTATATCACTCCGGACTTGCGTTGCGGACAGGTATAGTCTTACCTAGGCGACTCTGGAAAGAAGAAAATCAAAGCCCCCAGAAAGATGGCAGGCAGCATCTGCAGACCCAAAGGAACTCTCCACTGGGCGCTGCTGGTCTTGATATGAACATAAGTACCCCACGAGATCCAGGCGGCCACTAGAGCGCCAACACCCAGCATGAACTGCTGCAAGGCTGTGACACGGCCACGGATGCTCGGGTGGGCCAGTTCGGCCTGGTACAGAGGGATGACCATGACGAGGAACCCAACGCCCAATCCTGCCAGGAACCGACCGGCGTAGAGGTAATGGATGTTTTCGGCGCCCGTCTGCAATCCGCCGCCGAGACAGAAGATGATGGCTCCCAATGTGATTGTCATTCGACGACCCAGGTAGTCACCGCTAGGTCCGCCCAGACCGGCGCCGAAGAAGGCACCCGTGGTGAACATGGACACGACGAGACCTGATGATGTGGAGTCTGGATTGAATTTGGCGACGAAGGTGTTGCTCGCCACGACTTCGGCGATGACTCCGAGATCGTAGCCGTAGAGGTAGGACCCCAGTGAGGCGAAGACGCTGACGAGGAACTGGTACCATTTTGGAGGGAGGGCCATGATGGCAGACAGAACAGATAACAAAAAGAAATATGGTATGTCTGGTAGGAGAGATATGGTCCTCTCGTGTAATTGTACCTTGGACACAAGAACACGAACTCCACGAGGAAATCGTCCAAGTAGATATAGAAGTAAGTGATTGATCAAAGGAGCGGAGGCTAGCAGGAGTAAGTATCCCCGGTTCACGTTCCTTTAAGCATCAATACCGGTCGAAGCACCCCTTGCTAGTTAGTTGTTCCTTGTTCGCCCTCGTGATGCCGCGCTAGATTCCCGCAGTTTTTCCCACACCAGTCAAGTCACATCCCCGCAACAACGAGGAGCGAGCGCCACGAGACCGGAGCGAATGTGTGGGCAATGCTGGAGGCCCGCTTGAGGCATGCCCGTCACTCCATGCCATCCCTGGGAGGCGGCGAAAGCGTGATCCTGTTACATGGCATGGTTGTTGCGTGGAAAATGGTATAGGCGAGGAGAATCTCCGGTGGGGGAGAATCGTCGCCCAAACAGGAAGTCTCCCGGCGTTGGTCCAAAGCATCTCCATTATTCCCCGGCTCCTGGCCGGAGGAGAGGCAGAAGGGTAGAATCTCCTGACTTGAGTCAAGTGGATGTATGAGAAGCCATCATTCAATTGTCTGCTATGGCTGGCGCCGGCGCGCCAGTTCCGCCACAGCGCAAATCGGGATATATTTTGAGATATTGGACCGCACGTGTCGTAAACTTCAATCGGGGTTCCTTCGGAGACCACTGTCATTGACCGGAGCTTCGCCAAAAGAAGAAAATCCACATGGCTGGATACTTGACGGGGTCCCGTGGACCACCATACCATCATTGAAAGAATCAACTGTTGACTGTGATTAGCGAGAATTCAAGGGTACATGTACTTCAATACTTGGTGAATAGACTTGGAAAACACGACGCGAACTAACATATAGGACGAGATCGATTGTTTGTGCACGCAGGACAGTGACAGGTACAGTGTAACTGGCAGTCACAACTCATCGGTCCAATTTGACGTGGTCGCATCCGATAAGAAGTCTATCACCGCAGTATTCGTTATATCGCACAAGGCTGGCCATCCAGCACTCCTGAAAGCCAAGTGCCAGTGCGTCAAGGCAATACAGTGCAAGGCTACCGGCCCCTGAACACAAATCCAAAATGACGACCATCACAAGCAATTCAACTTCATCACCATCCATCACCATCTTCCCATCCCACAAAGTGTCGCGGATAAACCGCAACATCTATGCCGGATTCACAGAACACATGGGCCGGTGCATATACGGCGGGATCTACGACCCAGGGAACACCAACACGAACCTAATTGACTCACACGGGTTCCGAAAGGATGTTCTTGAGGCATTGGCACCGCTCGAGATTCCCGTCTTTCGCTACCCAGGGGGCAATTTCTGCGCCACATATCACTGGCAAGACGGGATAGGACCAGTCAAATCTCGCCCAGCAAGACCAGAACTAGCATGGGGCAACATCGAGACCAACCACTTCGGCACCGACGAGTTCATGCAGTGGTGCAAAGCGGCCAACACAGAACCATATCTCTGCCTAAATTTCGGAACAGGCACGCTCGACGAGGCCATGGCCTGGGTCGAATACTGCAACGGCACCAAAGACACGTACTATGCGAATCTGCGGCGGCAAAACGGTCATCCAGAGCCCTACAATGTCAAGTACTGGGCTTTGGGCAACGAGATGTGGGGGCCCTGGCAGATCGAGCAAATGACCCAAGAGGCGTACGCCGAGAAAGCACTGCAGTGGGCGAAAGCCCTCAAGCTCCTGGACCCGTCCATCGAGCTCATTTTGTGCGGTAAAGAAGGCGCCACCTCCTGGGACTATTATACACTGAAGCACTGTCTGCAGCCTGCTGGACTCAGTGATCTGGGTGAAGAGCGTCTGCCTCTGATTGACATGCATAGCATTCATCTGTACACTGCCAGTGAAGACCATTACGAGAACGTCACGGCGCCGCTGGCCGCGGAACGCAGCATTGAGGTCTGTTCAGGTCTGATTGATCTTGCGATCGTGGAGAACAAGATCCCAGCTTCACAGAAAAGACCTACCATCTGCTTTGATGAATGGAATGTGTGGTCGCCGCCCCGTGCTCCTGGCAGCAAAGGCGCCGAAGAAAAGTATACTCTCTCAGATGCGCTTGCCGTGGCGGTGTGGCTGAACGTGTTGGTCCGCAAGTCTCGCGATGTTGGAATGGCTTGTATTGCGCAGAGCGTCAATGTTATCAGTCCCCTCATGACAACCGAGACGGGAATCATCAGGCAGACAATCTGGTGGCCATATGAGCTGTTTTGCAGGTTCATGAAAGGACACACTGTCGCCGTCCATCTGGCTTGTGATTCCTATACTGGTTCCACAAAGCCTGATTGGGTCAGGGCCGTCAAGGAGACCCCATGGCTTGATGTTAGTGCTACGGTTGATGATGACGGCTGGGTGAGCGTGTGCGTTGTTAATATGCACCTTGAAGTCGACTTCAAGACCGCCATCGGAGGACCCAACGGCCAGAAGGTCACCGTGTACACTGTTACAGGCTCAAATCCTCAAGCAACCAATATGGCTGGGAAAGAAGAAGTCGGATTGAAACGGTCAGAGTGGGATTCGGAAAAGGACCAAAGTTTTGTATTTCCCAAATGTTCCATAACCATGCTGAGGTGGAAAAGTCAATAGTGTAACATTATATATGCTCCGCGGACATCAATGAAAAAAGAATAGACAAAATTTGTACCAGTTTGTGCACCAACCCGGTTTCAGCCTGTGAACCGCAGGGCAAAAGTCTGAAGTATCGGAATCCATGAGGAACATCCGAATTTGTCGGACTGCATTCGTCAACGAGATGCTTGCCTTCGCAAAGAGGCTGAGCCCAGCAACGCCACGGATTGAGGCGTGTTCGAAATTATCCCGCCTTTCTGAGCTCTGCCAACTTTGTCAAAATATTGTGATATTCTCTGCTCACGCCCCAACACGCCAGTCTTGTTCGTAATAACTTGGCTCCCTCCAGTAAAACCTTCTGTGGCGTCTTGCAAATATCTCCCACGTTGCTCATGTGGCCAGACATGTTGTGACCATTGCGAACAAAGTGCTGTATCATTTCATCGTCACAAGGCCGGTCAAGATGAATAAACTCTGGTTGTTCATCCGACGACGAGGTTCCATCATCGCTATCTGAGTCAGAACTCCGGGGTGGAGAAGAGGCCGGGGCATCGAAATCGCCAACAGCGGGGTTCAAAGGAGCCGAAGGTCCCTGTTTCCCAACGCCAGGCCTCGATAAGGTTGGGTTTTGTGGTGTTGTTGGACCAGAGTGGTTTCCAGGCTGGGTGGAAGCCTTGTGGATGAATTTTGCTGGATGCTCCTTTCTTTCCACGCGAGAGGGCTGGATAGCCGCGCCTGCATCAGGCCCGCTCGGCCCTCCTTCGGGTCGCTGATTGGCAGCGGCAGCATCACGTTCCAGAGCAGCAGATTTGTATGAACCATAAGTCCACAGCACAAGAGCGGCAAGATACACGGCCACCGGTTCGAAGAAGCTGGTCGCAGAATACCGTCGAACGTACCAGAACACCGAGCCGGCGTGGACCATGGCTAGCCGGGCCTTGTGTTGCTCCTCCCGTAGCCAGCGCCATGTTATTTTGCGGATCTGTGTCAACTTTGCGCTATTGCGTGGCTGGTAGCTGCCATCATGCACATAGAATGACGCTCTGGATGAGTTTCCGACCTTACCTATGAGCGAAAACAGCAAATCTTGTATCTCCTGGAATGGGGTGAGAAGAACGATCCGGGCTAGGTGGAGGTGGAGAACCACGGGATGTTCAATCCCGGAGGCTTTGGCAACGACGCTGGATGCCTGCCATTGAAGCACATCAAGACAGTCACAAGCGCTGTTGCGCCAATTCGCATAGAGGGGGTACAGAGGAAGCCAGAAGTTGTCTTTCGATGGAGTGTTCAAGAATCCTCGGGCTTTACCGGTAGGAACCCACTCGCTTAGTGGTTGCTTAATATGGGTGCCGACTTCCCATGTGCGTAGATAAAGAGCATGAATCAACAGAGTTTGTGATAGTTCACTGTAGGTGGGGTCGACTGTCTTTGTGTTGTAGAGGGTTTCAAGTGCCGCACACAGTGAGGGTGTCTTGGGCAATTTCTGTCTGGCTTCGGCACATGCCTCCGGAGAAGCTGCATCCCAGGCAGATTCAGCGCAGGGCAACGGCGTTCTCGCATCGTCCATATTACACAGCGGTCGAGCATTTGACATGTAGCCGAGACAACAGTCCAACAACCAGGCCGTGTACCCAATCCGACGCAATGACTCTGACCTGATCCATTGCTGCCAAGATTGTACATGATCGATGGTTGCTTCACCATGGGCGTCTAGCTCGGGTCCGGTCTCTGGTAGCTGAAGTACGCCGGACTCTAGACACCAACGCGACAAGTCTGCATGATACCGTGGGGCCATCGACCGCAATTGCTCACGGTCCGCCTGGACCATCCCGATAAGATTCAAGATCCGGGCTTGAGCCAGCGGTATATCTAGAGTGACATCAGGAGCACCATCTGCATACTGTTGGATAGCACGTCTTAGAAATTCCTGAAACGCGTCCTGCATGTCAAGAGCGTTGGGGATTTTCGAGAAAGTGCTGCCTATGGTTGCGGTGGCCAGCACCACAAGCCAATGGGATTGGGGTCCGAAAGACGCTCGGTGAATGATAGGGTGTGTCGGATGGAAGTTGTCAAAATAGAGACCGATAGAATGATTCAGGGCTTGCAGACTTGGGAATGAAGTACTTTCGAAAGGGTGCGACAATGCATTCTCCCCGCACAATCTCCGGAACAACCTCGAAATGGTATCGTAAGAGGACTGAGAACAATACTCTAGGGCACCGCTAGTTGATAATGCGTCTGGAAGATCGCAAGAGTCTGAGAATGAATAGCCCGATTTATATTCCCTTGGCCGACTAAAGGCTTCGAGGGGAAAGGATGCTTTGCGTTTCTTGCGTCTAAGGTCAGACGGGATGGTTGAGTTGCTGTTTGCTTTCGTTCCATTCAGGCCGTCGCTTGTAGATGACGCAGGACTTCCCATTGTCATTAAAGAGGTCGGGACTGCCTGGTTCCCAGACAATTCCGGAGGGGCATTGCTTGTCACCTGGAATATTCCAGCATCTGGATCGAGCGGAATCGCCACGCCATAATCCGTTCCAAGATTGGTGGTATCGGACAAGGGAGGCAGAATGAATGAGAAATCCTGCTCAAGTTCGGCATCGTAAGGCGAGGGATAGATGCTTGGTGGTATCCAATTCAGAGGCTCATCGAACGCTGTGTAATCGTAAGATGGGGCAGATCCGCCAAAGTCGGCTTGAAAATGAGGATTGACTGTCGTGGTCGCATAGTTGTCAGGTTGCAGCAATTGACCCGAAACTGGATTTATCGCGCCGGAGTCCAGAGGTTGTTGCTCGCTATGAGACGAGGGCATGTTGTTTGCGTTATAGCTCGCAAAGCCTGGCTGTATAAAAGAAGACGGCACGGGATTGGGGCCAGGAACAGTGTCCGCGAGGATTGTCGAAACGGGTGACCTCCTGTCATGGCTGTTGGACGTATATGAATTAGATTCATTGTCTGAAAAGACCAGTTGACTGAAATGCCCTAGAAGCTGCTGCTTCGATCCTTCGCCCTCCACTTTGGCATACTCGACTGGAGAGGAACCCTTCCGCCGCTTGTTGGGATAAGTGCACTCGATGTTGCGGACATTGCATCGCCCGCATGGTACTCCGCCGGAGCATCTCGACCTTGCTGTCGCACAAGCAAGACAAGCCCGAAAGGTGCCATGTGTGACACGATGGACTGGGCCTCTATCCTCGGTGGCTTGGTGGCTCTTCTCATGGCGGAGAAGAGTGTCAGAACGGGCAAACGTCTTTCCACAAGTGGCACATGCCGTAGACCGCTCGGAAGGTTTTTCTTGCCCCCTTTCATTCATGCCTACACAAGACCACGAACTTGGGTGCAAAGCATCACCAAGCTTCCGTCATGACCGTTGGCGTTGATTATAGCTTACAGCCGCATTCTCAGGAACAAGACAATCGAAGCTTGGAATCGCTTCATCATGTTGCACTCTCATGTTGCGCTCACGAGACGCTTCTTGATGCAGGAAATGCGGGGACTTGGCTCAGCACGTGATCGACTTTGAGCACGTGACATAAAATTGTCTAGCCTTGCTTATGTAAGATACAGAATGTCCGCGGCATGACCATTCGAGTGCCGATCAGTGCCGGAAAGATAACAACCTTGGGGTGTACACGCATTGTCCTGAGTTAAAAGGGACTCGCGTTGGTTTGAATTTCCGTCCTTCAAAGACCCTTTGAGGACAAGGGTATCAAACACCGCGGGCAGGACAGCTTAATCCATTTGCTTGCGTTCAGTTTATGTTCTCGCTTCAACCACACTGCAGTTCCTTGACAATTCCCCTGGCTGAAGCCGGCTCCCTGGTAATCCTCATTCAGAATTGATCTCTTCCCACAGCTCCATACCACGCTAGACCAAGCACGCCACCGAGGACGATGGCGGGTGCTGGAGCAACATTGAACCAAGCAGACTCGGCATAAGTCAACACCGCGACGACAACCCACCACGGCTCCTTCGCCAGGCTCTGACCCTGATTAGCCTGCGGTGTCAAGTAGCCAATCTCCCAAAGACGATATACTGCCGTAAACACCAGTCCGACAGCAGTCGCATTGATGCCTCTGAGCAAGCTCACAAACATAGGTTTGGTACGCAACACTCGCCACAGGCTCTGAACCCCGATCGCCAGCGTGATGCCCGGCAAGAAGATGGCAATATATCCCACCAGCGCTCCAAGTATCGTAGGCTGACCTGTTCCCAAGACCGCCAAAGCACCCAGATAGACGGCGAAATTGAAGTTTGGGCCTGGGAGAGCCTGGATGATAGCCAGGCCGATTAGGAAATCCCTGGACGATACCCAACCTGGCTGAACCACATATTCGCGAAGCAAGGGAATCACCACCGGCCCTCCGCCAAAGATAATTGTGCCGGCAAGATACATGTTGGCGAACAGATCAAGCGGCCGGGGCACCCGGTGTAAGAGGCCTCGGGTAGCTAGGATTGCGGCGAATGATGCTACAGCAAAAATCACTCTAGTCAGAAATGGAGTCTCTTTGCGCGAGGCTCTGGCCAACTTACCGAAAAACAGAGATATTATAATCACACCTGCACGAATGGAAATCCCGTGCGACCGCATGTCGGTGGAGGCTGTTGCCACGAGGGGACCGGGTTCGTTTGCCGCGGGCACTCTCGCCGGGATATTCTGCTGCTGCTGGTGCAGATTTGTTTCCGCCGTAGGCGCAACCGCGGCCCCGACTCTTCTCTGCAAACCATTTGATGAGCCGCCGGCAGCGGCGCCATCCTGCCTCTGGCCACCAAGCTCAATGCTCTGGGAATCATCGGTGCCAGCAGCCTCTTCCGGCGAAGTTGGAGATTCTCTACTTCTCTTCCATTTCCTCACCATCCGAGCCACCGCTTGTCGAAGCCACACATCCCAAACCGCGGTCAGGATTCCTCCCACAGCAATGAGCATCGGAAAATACCATAGAGCATTGTAACAGAGGCCTGCACATGCACCGAAGATCACTAGGATTCTCGACAGTCTGTCTTTGATGGCCTTGTCCGCGAGCTATGGAAGAAAGTCAGCTAGCCTTCAAGAATTCTCGTGGGTTCTTCTTGTACCTGGACTGCCGCAAGAGCCACGATTCCCACCGTAGAGGCATTCAATCCTGATAACAAGGCGTATACGGCACTTGGCAAGACGGTGCTAAGGCGTTGTACTCCCAGCGACAGACCAAACATTCCAATAGCCCCCGGTAAGCTGTAGAATCAAACAACATCAGCCTACCGAGCGAACAGAAGAGTCGGGCCATTTGTTTCACCTCCACAGCAAGAACACAGCAATCGCCGGGATGAAGCCCGCATGGATCATGGCCATGCAAAAGACCATCTTTGTACTGGCCGGGCCTGGAAGAGCTTGACATAATGCGAACAGTTCTTGATACTAAGTAAACCAACGAGCTATAGTGTTAGCTAGAAACACCGGATGCACGCATCGCCGGAAATCAAACACACGTACCGTCTGCTCGTCAATCCAGGGCGTCAAACCACCCCGCCCTTCCACGAACCGTCGGTGCAAAATCTGAAAGTGGACAGGAGGTCCGCCAAAGGCTGTGAATCCCAGATCCCACGTGCGGGCGAACACATCACCAAGTCGGATGGCCAGCTTTTCATTATTCGCGTGATACGCGTTATCCCGGTCCCGGGTCAGGGCGTGGATTGCCCTTATGGTTTCGACCAGAGGCATGGCTACCGACTGGCCCTCAAAGGTTTATCTACTTACATGTTCAGTCTGGTTCGAGAGCATGAAAGCAAACTTGAACTTGGGATATAGTTATAGCTCCCATGCAGCGCCGAGACCCTTCAGCCGCTTTACCAAGACGTCTGTTGGCCAATCACCGAATGGCCAAGATACACGCCATCCAAGTTACTTGAAGGAGAATAATAATCAGCAGGAACAACATGACCGTGCGGTAAGCCTTGCGATGCTTTTCACATTGCTTCCATTAAGGAGTGATGTGTCGGCCTTAAATAAAAATCCTAGGACGCGGCGAAGACCACAGCTACATCGCCACCAATTCTTGTAATGCGGCGGTTCACTCCTGAGCGGACGATGAGGCCGAGGATCCATCAAAGGAAATACTGGTAGGAGCAACAGGTGTTGTGACCAAATTGCAGAAAAGGAAGACTAGTTCAATTCGTGCAAGGAACGGGTTGTCATATATTTCGAGACGAATATTTATATAGTACAGTACGGTCCTCCACCCAGCAACGCCCGCCTGGCCAAGAAAGGTGAATTCCGTCAAAATTTGCCAGGGCCGCTGGTCAAAGAACTCTGATCCTGACTGTCAGGGAAGAAGTATGCTCCGACGCTATTTCCGAATTCATGCCGTTAGCAACGCAAACTGAATGGCGGAGATGAGAGAATGAATAAGGGAGGACGAGACCACTTACGCAACAATAACGTAGCATGCACAAAGCAATGCGCCCTCTAGATAATTACTCCTCCCATCAAGCACCAGGAAATTGACAATAAAGGTCGAAACGAACAGCGACCCGGTCTCGAACAGGCTGAAGTATAAAGACATGTCCTTGTTTAGGATCCAGCCTAGGATGACAACCACGGGTGTAACGAACAAAGCGATCTGAATCGAGCTGCCTAAGGACACACCTAAGGCCAAGTCGAGTTTGTTTTTCGCTGCGACGGTCACGGCAGTCACATGCTCGGCGGCATTGCCGACAATGGGCAAGATGATCAACCCGACAAAAGCCTCGGATAGTGGCGAGTTTTCCACCAAGTGTTCAATGCTGCCGACGAGAAATTCTGCGCACAGGGCTACAAGCCCGGTCGAAATAAGTAGGAGAATAATCGAGGCGGTCTGGCCCATGGGTGGTGCATCTTCATCATCGGCCGGAATGCTGGGCGCCATGGCACGCCGCGCAAGAGGACCCGAGCCGCGGCGTGAGTCTGCACCGTGATCAGGGTCTGAGCGGTATCGACGGAGGTTGCCGTTATATTGGTGCTCGGGTGGCTTGTTTCCTCCCGGCGGAAGTGTTGAAGAACGGAATACCGGTGGCGTGCGGATGGAAATACCGCGAGGTCCGAGGACCGGCTTTTTACCCTTGGTAGCAGGATTTGCCGTTGTCCCCGTCGGAGCAGCGGGTGTAGATGTATTCGTGGGTGGTAGTGATATCGTCGGGTCTGACCCTGTCTCCATTTCTGCAGGCTCCTCAGTCTTTTCTGCCAGGATATCTCCCGGAGTTATTGCATTGCTTTGCTCAGTTCCGCCGATGTCAGCTTCGTCTTCGATCTCGATTTTCTCGTGTCTTTTTCTGCCCAGCTGCATCTTCAGTCTCTTGCGGACACGGCGCTGCGAGCCCGAACTGGCTGTTGAAACCCGCGAAGAGCTTGCTGATGAGGAGCTCGTTGAATCAAAGCGTGACAAAAAGCCCGGTACCGCTTCCTCATCGATGACATGTTGAGGTGTCCCTTGATAGAGGTATGCGTGAGACTTGAGTTGAAAGAGGAGATACAGAAAATAAATAATAAGCAGTATTACTGAAGTGCCCCGACTGAGTTTGATCACGGCTTTGTCGGCAACATCAAGATCGTTGAAGGACGCATGGAAGGCTGTCTAGATTCGTTGTCAGCTTACCCAACGTGAAATGTCTTGGTGATAACCCTACCGGAATAAGCAGGCTGAGGACCGCAAGAGCTAACAAACATGCCGACATTTGAGTGACAGTGCTGTCGTATATTTGTTCCTGAAACTCCAGACCGCCAATCAAAAACGCCATTCCCAGGATCAGAAGCAAATTCGCCAACAGGGACCCAATGAGGGAGGCTTGCACGATTCGGATTTCATTTTTGACCAGAGCAATGATAAAAATAATCAATTCGACCGCATTTCCGAAACTGACATTTAGCAAGGCGCCCAATGTAGGACCAAGTCGATGCGCGACACTTTCCGTGGCAAAGGTCAAAAGCCCGGCCAAGGGGATGATGGCGACCGCATTCAAGGCGAAGACAACATTAGGGTCGACACCAGCAAAATGGACGGCAATGCCGACTGGCACAAATACCAACAGCACATTTACCCAGCTATGGAATAATGCCGTTTTGGTATTCGCAAGGACTCGCTTGGCGACAGAGGGTTTCGGTTGCTGTTCACCTTGACCGCCGGTTCGGGCATTGGTGTGCGGACTCCGAGCCTTACCCTTTGGCTGGATAGAACTATCGACCTGGGACCATGGATTGAACTTGTTTTTGTGGGCGGCAGAATGTGCCCATGCCCGGAATCGATCTATCGAGAAGTCAGTGCCATGACTCTGGCGGGCTGGTTGAAAGCAAGCGAACGTACGCATTGTTGTTATTGGTTAGTGGTCTTGAATACCGACATTACTCTAGGGAATAATGTTGAGGAATGCGAGGAGAAAAGCTAGAAACAGTCATTGCATTGCAAGGATCGTCGGCTGAAAACGAGCAGAAGAGTCTGAAAATGAAAATGAGGTTCGACGACGCTGAGACCGATGATGATGTTTCATCCAGGAACATTCAAGTTCTTAACGCGAAGCAGGAAACAAGGCCAACTTGGCAAGGCCACGCTTGACCCGATTGGTGCTTGGCGCCAACTGTAACTTGGAATAGCAGAGAGGCGTATGATGTCATTGTGTACGTACTCGTTCACTAGTACAGATAGGGTAATAGGTACGATATCAGCAGAAAAGACCTAATTTGAGCACCTGGTCAAGCCTGCGCCTTCGAGTCTGATGGAACAAATGGTGCCTCAACCCTTCGTTCTTAGTATACCCTCTTTCTATCTCTTCTGAGGACCGCACCATGCATCTCTATCGTATAACCTCATAATATTGAGCGACAACCAGCAGAAGCTGCTGCTTCAACATCCTCGACTTTCGTCGTAACAGGATAAGAGCAAGGTTTGATAACAGCCGCCTAATGAACAAAATCAATATGGGTACGCGCATCAAGTAGACTCGCTTGCAGATGGGGTGGACTCAGATGGCACCCCTGCTCGTCTCCAGATAGTGCGACCATTGCCTGGATTCTCCATGCCAGGTAGAATCTCCCTCAACAAATCGTTCATCGTCAGACCTCTGTCCTTCGCCGCCTGCCATTGTCGGGGATACCCCATGCTCACCTCTTCAAACCTCACCCCGTCAATCCAATCGGTCCTCCGCACATGCAGATGCCCCGTAACCACGACTTTAGCGTTGAAGCGCGTATGCCAATCGTCGGTTTGCTTCGTACCACACCAAATACTGAATCTTGGTATACTCGGAATGGTAATCAGATCTTGCCGAAGAGGCCAGTGATTGATGATGACGAGTGGAAAGCCCCTCGCAGCTGCGGCTTCTAATCGCTCTTCAGTCTTTTTCACAAGTTGCTCACACCAGGCGTCTCGCGTTTCGTACGGGTCGGAATGTAGCAATGCTTCGTCAGTTGCATAGACGTTTTCTTCCATGGCCCAATCAACAGCCTGTTCCCTGGTCACATCGGCTGGTCTGAAGCTGTAGTCATATAGGGTGAAGATTGGGCAGATGATACAAGGCCCGCCCTCTCCCTCCCACTTGACATACTCGTCCTCCGGAGTAATGACGCCATACTCGTTCGCAACTCTTAGGCACTCCTGGTATTTGAACTCTCCTCGAAGCTCTTTGTCCAGGTCATCCTCCGTCGTGATCCCTGGCAATGTATACAGTTCATGGTTCCCAGGCACCCAAAACACTTGTTTGAAGAGTTTCGTGGTGACCTCGAAGGCTTCCTGTAAATGCTCAAGACGTTCACCGACGTCGCCACATATGATCAAGCTGTCATCAGGATGAGGTTTGAGGTCATCTAACGCCTCTCTGTTGTGTTTGTAGCTCAGGTGGATGTCGGATATGGCGTAGAGCCGCATGGTTAACGGGAGACGACAGAATGACCCTAACGCTACCTGGTAGCCTTGTGGAACCCAAGATGTTGTCTTGCTTCGCTAGTGAAATTACTCGTTTATCACCTTGACTGGCTTGTCATATGAGGAACGTATAGGTCTGCGTCTTGGAATTTTGTCCTTCTGACTTGATTCATTTGCGGTTATGCTGAAATCACTCAGTCTCGTTGGAGGGAAAGGCGGTGAGCGACAGGCCGGATTGAAATCACCAACTGTAGGTATGTTACCACGATGTCGTCAAGGAAGGGAATATGATCACTGGCACCACTCGAAGCAGACGAATTCCGGTATCTTTGACAGGCTGAACAAACGGACACGCATGATAACAAATGTCCTGAAACGAACTCGAAGCCTGACGTTGAAATCACGGAATAAGGGGAATGTTTCTTCCGGTAGATCATGGCGCAGATCCGATCTTATCTTATCGGCGGCCATACTGACACCTGCACTTTCTCCCTCAACCTGCTGCTGTCACTGCCAGTGCTAGCAAGGTAGGTAGGCATGGCCTTCGTATTCCTCCTTACACCTCCAACAGCTCGCTATGAATTGCTCTCTTCACGCTTGGTCAGCTCTTCTCAAGCAACTGCACTTACCATCATGAGGCGGCCCGAGACTGCAGCCCAGATGCCCCAGTACAACCGGTGAAACACAGCATATTCTTGGAGGTTTCTTCGGGACCATATGGGAGCTCCCTCCTCACATATTTGCTAACGGTCGATCTCGCGACTGACTGCTCGTAGTGCCCTACGGACTTCAGAGAAGAGCTGGGAAAGCCCGGCACTAATGCAGAGTCCTTCAGCCGCCCATCGCCTGACCAAACCTCACAGCCAGCCCTGTCATAAGAACGTCACCAGCTGCAATGTCTACCATAGTACTAGTAGCACAAATGAAGCCCGAGCCACAAGAAGAGCAATGACAGTAATATGGTACACAACGCTTCTACCATTTTCGGTAGCCTTTTTACACTCAAGAGCACATCACACAGCGAAGACGAGGAAGAAGCTCACCACATGCGTGCAGCAGTGAGCTACACCAGTCCTACAATAGCTCCGAGCACGAGGATAGCTACTGTTCCTGAGCAAGCGATGACCACCATGGCCACAATGACCGCATTCCAGTACCTACCTAGGTACTCTTTAGACGATATGCATATCGCCGAGGCTCTTATTTTCGTGAACCCTGCAAGCCTGCAATGCCGATCGAATTTGGCGAGGTTGTACGAATTGTCACAAACAAGGCCTGTCAAAAGGTGGCGATGCTAGTAATGGAAAGCAGCCGATGCGTGGATGCCTTTGGATTCGAGATCGCTCCATGGTCAATTCTACCAAAGTCGTCATCAAGCAGCATCCGTGGTCGAGCCCCTGGCCTACATGGCTAAGTCAACGTCGACACTGGCAGTCATTGTCGAGGGACACTTGTAACGAGTAGTTGCTGTCCAACGTCCGGTTCAACGTCTAATCTTCGGCGAATTCAATGCTGGAAATGCTCGCAGTAATGGACAACTAGGCTAGACACTAGCAGCTGGATTCGGGGCTTTTACTATGGTACCAGATTGACTCCAACTCAAAACATATCTCAGAGCATCATACACCCTGGACCATGTCTTTTTATAACGTTATTGATTGCCGTGGACGGATACTTTTCGAAGAACACCCTCCAGTGGCTGGGAAGGCGGCTAGATCAAAATGACTCTTGCTGACTCTTGTTCTGGATACTTTAACCGGGATCATGGTCGACAACTTCAAGTGGCCAGACTTCTTGTTTTTTGTCCTCCTCGCAAAATGCGGAGAATCCGAAACATTCCAGCCCCGAAAGATCCGCCGGCTGTTGGTCCGCGTTTTGTTGATCACACACCCTGCCGCACTCCAATGTACAACTACGTTCTGAGCCATTTCGAACAACTGGACCCTCATCCAACTGGTTGGGAGGTGGACCTCTGTTGTACGTTCTTTAGTTCCGTACATGTCCATCCACCCACGCCCACTCTCATGGAAGTTCAACGACACATGGAACTGGACAACGTATGCAGCACTATGTCCGCATATACCTAAGGTACCTAAGTAAGGAATTTTTGCCCAGATGTCCAGTTATCATGGTGTCTGACAGGCCTCAGAGCCGGGATGCGCATTTGTGTGAAGGTTCACATTGTAAGTGGTGACAACTCGACTTTCCGACAAGGATCATCATGCCTGTCTTTAGCTGATGCACTAATGCAACGTCAGCTGTTCGAATGATGGAAGCCCGGCATCTTTTGTGAGGGGCGGAATGGCCGACCGAGAGCAGTTCAATGGCTTCTCCAATGTTGCTATGCATGATTCTTTCATGCACGCCTTGAAGCTCGGCCCCCCATGCTGCCCTTGAAAATGGTGGTTGGCTCAACCTTCTTGCTTCTGCAACGTTGGCGCCTTGTTCACGACTAAGCTACTACGATCGATGCTCGATGAGTGGAGCATGGTGGGCTTAAGAGCTCGGGCCACTAACGCTGTACAACGTACTGTATTTCTCGAGCCCTTCTCCAGAAATCGGAGGATCAATGGATGCTAATGCTGCAAGGGTGGTGCAGGTGGTGGGGAGAGCTTGTCGAAGTCTCTTTCCACCACCACATCCATCCACAGGATGCCATCCACTTGCCTGCCTTTGCAGACCACCACCATGGTTCATTCGCAGAAAGACACACCTTGCCTACCAACCATTTTGACTGCTGTCAGCGGAGACTTGGTGCTGTCATAGACCCTCCGTGTGTGGCGTCAACCACCTGGGTCCCTCGCTCGAACACATCCCGCCTGTCCTCAACTGCTACGGTCAAAGTGACTTCTCCTCGGGCCATTTTGTGAGTTGCTGATCCCGGCGTTGAGTACCACTCATCTGGTTCTGAGAGAGCTACCTTGAATGAAGCTCTGTGCTCCCGTTCCCAAAAGGCTAGCACCGTCTTCCATGTCGTTCCACCAGCCAATTGCTCCTCGAGACGAGCTGGAATGAACCGTCCATTGGACAACTAGGTTGGAATGTCGACCTCACCACGTCCATCCCACACCTCTCTGAGACATGCATGCATGCATACCCGGCAATCTACGCAAGAAATGGCTAGATTCGGGTAAGATGCTCTTCATTGAGTGGACTGACTGAGAAGCTAGTCGAGCTGCATGTGAATGAACGGACTCTGATATGATGTCTACCCCGACGAGAATTCACCGTCAAAAGACAATTTACAATACGAACAGGCCAGCGGCGTTACGAGCTGATTTCTTACAAGCTAGTAATAATTATTTCCACAGCCTCGTCCATTACACCCGCGGACTATCATTCATAAAGCAGCCACAAGATTTTACCATCGACGTCATTCCTCTTGTCAAAATGTCTCAGCTCCCATGGAAGTTGAGGGCAGTCCCAGCCGCATGATTCCTCGGTTTCCAGAACTCGGACCCAATGCTGCACTGGTCAAGTCCGAGTCTCAGAGATTGAGTTGCTTGCCGTTTGGACTCGCTGCTTGCAACGCTGTTTGACCCCGACGCAATCGACTAGGTGCGTACCACCTGCTACCTACCTTAGGCACTACGATCACCTCGTACTTCCCATAGTTCCATGACCTCTCAGCCAGCATTAATGCTTCATGCTTTTTATTTGAAACCTTACAAAACCACCTTCCTACCACCTGGTATACTACATCATGCAATAAACTTGGAAAGAATGTGAAACAGTGTGCACTGATCTGATTACTACCTGAATTCGGTAATATCGATTAATTATGCTCCCATAGCTCAAGGTGGACAATAATCACACCCGTCAGGAGTGAGTCAGCGGTCCAGGATGTGACCTAAGCTGACTGTTGACAGCAGTGGGAAATGCAATGCAGCAGCATTGCAAAACTATTTACATGACTTTGCTTCGAAAAGGCCCGTTTTTCTGTCCAATCTTCTCGTGGCAAACGACCTGGCTGACTGGCTGGCCGAGGGTTTTTCGGGTTGCAGCAGAAAGAAAACTATGTCATGAACCCACTCCATGCAAGCTTAGGTAGCCAAGCCAAGGTATTTCCTCCGAGTTGAGTACCTTGGTAACAAGAGAAAGGGACAATTGAAACCAGAAACCCATGCCGCAATGCAATGCAATCTGAACGCAACACTTTTTCCAAGGGAGTGTGATTAGTCGAAAGGAATGGTGGTGCTGTATGCCGGAAACCCATGAGGTCGAGAAAAAGGCAAGACGACGACGAAGAAGCTAAGCCGCATGGTAGGCTGCAGTGTGGAACTTCTCAGAGAAGTACAATGGCGCCGGCAATACCAGCGACTACTGCCAGACTTCCGGAGAAACCGTCGCGATTGGCGGCACCAGTGTATGGGGCGACCGCGGCGGAAGTGGTACCGCTGGCTGCTGCGACGGTGGCGGTGCCTGCCTGTGGCTGACCGTCTGAGATCTGGGTGACTGGAGCGCCTGTAGCAGCTTGGGGCTGGCCGTCAGAAATCTGGGTGACTGGAGCACCGGTCGCTGCCTGTGGTTGGCCGTCGGAAATCTGGGTTACTGGTGCACCAGTGGCAGCTTGAGGCTGGCCATCAGAAATCTGAGAAACAGGGGCGCCGGTTGGAGCCTGCGGTTGACCGTCCCAGATTTGCGAGACGGGGGCGCCGGTTGGGGCTTGAGGTTGACCGTCCGAGATTTGCGATACTGGAGTACCAGTAGCCTTAGGTGCCTGGGGCTGGCCATCAGAGATCTGAGAAACCGGAGTACCTGTAGCCGCTTGCGGTTGCCCATCCGAAATCTGTGAGACAGGGGCGCCGGTTGGGGCTTGAGGTTGACCGTCCGAGATCTGAGAAACTGGGGTGCCTGTTGCCTTGGGGGCCTGCGGCTGACCATCTGAGATTTGCGAGACTGGAGTGCCTGTGGCAGCTTGTGGTTGACCGTCCGAAATCTGCGAGACAGGGGCACCAGTAGTAGCCTTGGGGGCCTGAGGCTGGCCATCAGAGATTTGAGAGACAGGAGTGCCGGTAGCAGCTTGAGGCTGGCCGTCGGAAATCTGCGTAACAGGAGCTCCAGTGGCAGCTTGAGGTTGACCGTCAGAGATCTGGGTGACCGGAGCTCCAGTGGCGGCTTGGGGTTGGCCATCGCTGATCCTGCAAGGAGAGAAGAGAGGTTAGTATATCTGCAATAACAGCAAGAACTTGGTACCGGTGCTTCTCCATCTTAATCCGAATCGCATCTAGTCAAGCCGGCCTTGTAGTTTGTCACGAATCTCCCAACAGATCAAAGACCGTACTGCGTGATAACAAACTCAACGGTACGACGGACAGCGACGGTGGTGAGGGAAGGGGGCGAAGGTAGGATATGAGGACGGTGACGGGTGATGTAAAGGTCGGTGAAACTTACTGAGTCACAGGGGCAGCGGTGTTGCCTTGAGGTTGGCCATCACTGATTCTGTTCAGGAGTTAGCTTTGGCCCTGAATAGCTAGACATTTTGAGCAACAGTAGAACTTACTGGGTAACCTTGGCAGATGTAGCCTGGGGTTGGCCATCAGATTTCCTGCAAATGCACGAGTTAGCATGTGACGCATACATGGGTTTCAACCCGAAGGTAGGCCCTCGTTTTTTCCTGGAGAGAAAAAGGACAAGACGTACTGAGTAACCGAGGCAACGACAGTGCCGGCAGGTTGGCCATCGCTAGCTTGGGTTTGTGCGGGCGCAGAAGATCCGATCAGAGCTTCGATGTAGATGGCGTAGCAGTGGTCAGCCCACTTCCGGTCCTGGATATGCCAAAAAAGGATAAATTAGTTTCTCTTGAGCCTTTCCTTTTGGCAATTGGGCACTGATAGGGTGAATGATGGGTGGAGTCGATGGCCATGTGGTTGATGCCATCATGAAAGGTCGGCGAGGAGCTGTGCCTTCCAAAGTCGTGTTGTCCAAAGGTATAGGGAAGAGAAGGGGGACTTTGGTGACATTGACTTACATAGAGGTTGTTGAAGTCGCCACTGTTGCATGCGTACCTGTGCAACAAACTGATTAGAATGTTATACGAACTGTGTCGTGGGGCAAGAAAACATACCAGATAGCAGAGCCTCCATGCGCAAGAGAGTTATTCGAGCACAAAGAGAACCCAGAGGTGTAGAGTGCACCAGCTTGAGGAGGGTTGTCGAACTGGAATTGGTAGTTACTAGCGACGTAACCAGTACGGCCGTCTTGGTCGATAAGCTTGCTGTCGGTGAGGGTGAGTGTCAAGTCTTGACGCTGTAATGCGAGTGTCAGTCCTCTTGTCCCTGATACCGAAGTGGGAGAAGGCAGCAAGGTTTGGTGGCGTAATGTACAATGGGATGATGATGGAAGATGAGCCAGGCCTCGTGTGGCTCGTGGAAGGGTCTGAGGAGAATTGCAGTAATGATCCAGCGGCAGGGCCGCAGAGTGGATGTAGGGGTTTGGGTTGGATGAAATGAGCAGTGGTCGTCGACCAGCATGAATCGGTTGCTTACCTTCCCAAGATCTCGCTTCGAGGTCGTCGAGCTACTAACGTTGACGGTGGTGATGGTGAAGCTTCCATCGTGCGAGGTCTGGCAGCCATCAGGCGGGCCGTCCGACGGAGCAACAGCTGAAGTGACTGCTTGAGGCAAAGCCGAAGCCAATGCCACGGCCGAAGCCAGGACGAGGGCAACAGAGCGAAGCATCTTCGGTTAAGCCTTGGTGGTTCGTTGAGCTTCTTGTCTCTGAGATGGTGAAATTGTAACGAGTCTGTGGATGTGGACTTGGATGATGTTGAGATACTACCTAGGTAGAAGGTAGAAGTCTGTGACAGACGGAGGCGAGGTGACAGATTATGTTGTGCTGGTCTTGCCAAGCTTGACAATGTCGTCGCCGCGGTGAGGAACGATGTCACACGGGCACAGATGCTGCGGTTGACTTAACAACAAACGGATCAACGATAGTAGAGGTCGCAGGCAGAGGTGACGGGGCACGATTATGAAAGCGAGGGGATCAAATAAATATTGCTGCTGCCGTGCCGACCAACGGGTTTGACCAGGAAAACGCACGCAGGCTTGTTCTTCGCTCGCTTCTTTGCTTTCGTGGAGGAAGAAGAGGGAGGAGGAGGAGGAACGAACAGGCCGCCTTACATCTTTTGTCTTTTTTAAATGGCCGAGTTCGGGAGCCTTACCGGTGGGCAGACATACTCTCGGTGTCTCTCCTTCCCGCCGCCAGCCATCGCCATCATCTGTGGCTGTCTCTCTTGCATATGTCCTCCATTTAGGACGTCTCCATTCTGTCGCTTGCTTGCTCGGGAAAGAGGATCTCTACTCCAGACAGGGACACCTGTGATTCGGTGTGTATAGGGCAAAAAGAAGCTGCATGTCGTTCGTCGCGCCCCATCGCGTCACATCATACCGTGGTTGGTATGGGGCGGAGGCATCAAGCATCCTGGTTGCATGAAAGGTGGGAAACTTGAATGTCGTTGAGTGTGTCAATGACGGTGACATTTGATGTGTAACGGCAGAACCACGCTATTCTTTCCTGGGTCTAGCGGTATATTTTCCAGTTATTACAGTATCAGGGGCTGTCGCTGCTTTGGGGAAAGTCTCGCTGCTTTGGGGAAAGTCTCGCTGCTTTGGGGAAAGTCTCGCTGCTTTGGGAAAGTCTCGCTGCTTTACTGACCCAGGAGCCTTATCCTCAGCCTTGCCGGTGCCTTTGCCAGTTCTTTGCCATTGCGGCGATCTCATGCAGCAGACGAAGGCTGCTCACCGATCTTACTAGGCAAATCACGAGGGTGACCATTCTCTAGATTGGTGTGTCTAGACAATGCAATGCTCACAATGCTTTCATGCAGGAGGCCGAGCCCAAAAGGTTTCATGCCATCAGACCAACTATACTGTCAGGTAAGAACGGCCTGCTGCTCAGTTTACTCATCAACAAATATTCACAAACACCCTTTGCCACTCTGTCACCAGTCTTGCTGCTGTTTCCTAATGCTCTGGATGATACGTGTTTGACCTGAACCCTCTGAAAGATCCCCGCCGCAGTGTAGCGAAAACATTGTCTTCGGTCGCCTTCTAGAGAGACAGCATTGGAAAGAGATCCTTAACATAGCACCATGGCTGCACTCGAAATTTTTGGGTTGGTTTGCTGCACAATCGTTTGAAATTGAAGACTCATGCACCGGATAGAGTGCTGGCAACTGGCATCCCTATCAACCAATGGTACATCGGCCTTTGGAATGCGTTACCCAACATAACAACGGCCGTGGAATGTCAAGCCAATCTTACGATTTGACGAAGACCACGACTAAAAAGAACAATTGAGACTCTGCTCAGGCCGCAGGAGAGCCACGAACTCTTACAGCTTGCGCCCCGTCACCACTGTCACCACTCGGAATCGTGCAGCAATAGTGAACAAATCGAGTCTGGGGGAGACCATGCCGACAATGGGTTCGTCTTCTGCTGCCATGAGAGACCGAGGTAGTCCTCGCCCACGAAAGCCAAGGCTTTCCCTCGACGCCGTCAGCAAGTATTTCTCTGTAAGCTACAAGACAGACAACCCCAATTACCGAGATATAAAATGGGAGCCGCGCGATACGCGGTTCGTGTTCTGGTACTATCTCACAACGAATCTGCCATTTGCCAGTATCGCTATTGCGTTCAATAGCACGTACCCGGACAACGTGGTGGAAATGTCGGCCGAAGATGCGCAAGGAATAGTCAGCTCAATCAATGTGAACTTTGTATTTTTCAGGGACGGTTTGAAGCGTGGCGGGCACTGGACTAGACCAGATCTCGTTGGCTGGGCACCTTGCGATCACGAAATGTGCTGTTCAAAGCTGGCAGCTCTGGAAAATGCTGTGTCCGTGAACAGGAGCCCCAACCCCAGGACCAGGCAGGACCAGGAGATTGCCGAGAAGGCAACAGCACTGTGGCAAGGTACATGGGCTGAGCTTTTGACATGCCCCAGGGACCATGGGGATGATTCCCATGCTTCGAGGCCACGAGCGCGTTCACCCTCCTTCGACATCTATGTGGACCCCTCCGAGCGCAGTTCGCGATCGGCTAGTAAAGCATCGAGCGGGACTGCTGGAAAGTCGCGTGCATCTGCCGGAAACAATGCGCTCCAATCTATTGAAGAAAAGGCTCCGCTGGACATCTGGGTCGACCCTGATTGTAGGAGTCCTCAGGCTTCGGGTCATGTACCAGCGGGCTCCGCCAGAAGATCACGTTCGGCTATGCGTCTTTCAAGTGCACCGCCTGAGACCGGACGGTCCAGCTCCGACAGGCGGACGCGGTCGAGTTATCATTCCTCAAAGTCACGGCAGTCAGATAGAGTCTCCGTCGCGGGGTCTAGAGCTTCGAATGCGCCATCTCAGAGATCAGAGACACAGGGTACGAATATTGAACAAGGAAATCGCAGGGTGGAAGGCCGATTCCAAGAATTGTTAGCATTTGCAAGAGAGGCAGATGCCTTATGGTTTCTGCTCGAGAACACCCTCGTCTTTGGCGCATGTATTTTCGCTCTGGATACCCTAGCGAAGCTCATCATGCGCAGTTTCGGTCGCTCCACCAGTGTGCTTTCTAAAATCATACCTATCGTGCCTGCCTTGGTACTCATTCTTGTGTGGGCATGCATCGGAGCACGTCAGTCCATACGGACGCAACTCAATTTCATACGACGAACACTGTTGTTTCGCCATGAGATCGTACCGGTCCCCACAGGCCCATCAGGGCTGTCCCTTGGTGCATCTGTGCTCTTATTGGCACTGGCAATGTGTCTGGCGGCGGGAATCAGCTTCACTCGCGGTGAGTTGGACCATGTCGTGCAGCTGCTGAACAAGATTGCTGCGCAATTCGAGTCTCGGGAACATCGGGCCAGGTAGTCCAGCTCATAGCCTTTGGTTGATTACTTCTGTCAAAGTCGGTGCACCTCGTTAACCCCACCAACGGGACTTTCCTCTCACCACTCCTCCACTCTCATATCCGGATTCTTCTTCCTCAAACTTGAGCCTTTCCACCACCTGCCGGGCACGGAAGCTCTTGACGAATTTCCAAGCCTCGGTGTCTGCCAGATTCCATGCCTCAGCCACACTCCGAATCCTCGCGAAGGCGGGATCCTTGCTGTCGATGGCTTCCCTCGCCTTTCGCAAAAGCTCAACCTCTACTGCCGCCTGCTCCTCTGTAGGCGGGTCAGGGTCCGAGCTCTTCTTCCGCTCGGCAGGGAGACCAGCAGGAGATTTGGCCCACCGCTCAGGCCCAGGGATTGGAGGAAGAGACTCACCGTGAGAGACTGCCGTCCTAGGAACAGGAAACCCAAAGTGCCAATCAAGGTTCTCCAGCCAGTCTTCGGGGAAAGGTGAGACCTTTTCCTCGACTGGATGCGCGTCATTGGTAGGAGACTTTGGTGGAGGTGGGTCGGGCCAGAACGAAGCTGGAAAGTGTTCGGTTGTAAACCACAGGGATCGACTGCTGCCATATTCGGAGGCGACCGCGTCTTTCAACGCCACTACACGGCTCGCGCCCCCTCGAGCATCTCCCAGAAGATCGCGCGTAACGGCAGTAATCCAGGGATCTCGGTCGGTGTGACGTCGTATGTGGGCGACGGTGATTGTGTCGGAGCGGTTGGCGAGGGTGATCATAGTATAAGGATGCGGGACCACCGAGATTGTGAACAAGGAAGACGCGTTCCGGAATGAACGGGCGGTGTTAATGGGCATCTTTGAACCAACACAGGGACTGCACTTAGGCCGGTTCGGTGGACAAGATGACTGTAAAATTGAGCTGGGGCATTCGGCGAGCAGGCGGGCAAGGTCTTTTGCAGGTTTGACCAGGGTGAACGTATGAGCAGGAAGCGGCTGCAAGACAGTGATTCCTGAGCTAAAGCTGTTTTGCCAGATTGTGTGCAGATGTGCTATCATCAATTGGTTCAGGGCAAGTCGACCTTTGTGCGGATCTTTGACGATCAATTCTGCCAACACCGGATATTTGGAGGTAATCACCTGCGAATCGTAGTGTGCAATGGAGCTGGGCTGTTCAACTTTGAAGCGTTCTGCACTGATAGCGTCGGTAATGGTTTTGAAAGCGCTTAACTTGACATTGTCCAGTGCTGATCTGACGGCATCGTTGATTTGACTGGCCTCTCCAGCAAACAGACCTGATCCCAGACCTTCGAATTTGATCAGCTGCGGATACTGACCGCGTCGCAGATGTGCCAGGAGCAAGTCATCGTATGCGCCCATTGGCAGACAGTATGGGCTGGAGAGCAGGCCCGTCCCCATATGTGCCCACGCCAGCCACTGTCTGAAATCCGCCTCTAATGCCGCAGGCATTCCTTTTGCTTGGAGAGTCTGGTAAAGCGGATGGCTCATCGCTTCTGCCTCTGTCAAAACAACAGGACGGAAACCGTGAGCCCACCATGCACGTCGCCATGTCAAGAGCAATTCCTTGTCCACACTTTTTGTCTCTTCATCTCGCTTGACTGTCGTATCATAGTACGTGTAGACGGGAGGCTGCTCGGCGAGAGGTGGGAGGACGACACGCTCTTCGTCGAGGGTTACAGAGGAGGAGAATGGGTTCATCCATTTCCAGTCACTGTACCACGAACTGTCGCCATGGGTGCTGTTCTTCTGCTGCGGCGGTTTGTGCGCCGAGCTCTGGAAGGAGAACCGAAAACTCGGGATGTCAAACTTTGGTATCGACTCTCGTAAGGCACCCGTGTATGCGGTAGGGTTGGTGATTGGGTTAGAGGGTGCGTTGGAGGTGGTGGAAAAGATGACGACGCCGAGAAGAAAGACCGCAACAACAAAGATGTACCTGGTAAAGTGCCGAGGCGGCATCTTGAGGAAATGAGCGACAGACAGACCGATGAAAGAAGAAACAGCAGACCGTCCGCCAGTACGCCAATGTAAGACTATTGTGAAGGGGTGAACATCTTTCCCCTATGTTGGACGCAGGGTACGAAAGCAAAGAAAGTTACTAGTTAATCAAAGTGCGTCGCTTGCGTTTCGCGATGGTTGCATTGCGCGGCCCGTCGCAGTAGAGGACTCAGTACGGCATAATGCTTTAGGTCCAGGTATTGGCCCCTACTACGCCGCATCGCCTCACCATGGTGGCACGGCATCGATGTAATCCTACAGGCTCTACTCGTGTTATCCTGACCTGCTTCCCCGTCCCTCTTCACAGCGCATAATCTCTACACTGAATCAATCCTCGCAAACCCGCCCGATCCTGCTTAGCAAAGGCATCACGATCGGGGAGTCGACATGACTCGCGGTAGAAACTTAACGCCAAGACCAACTGACTCGCGCCGCCGGACCGATGATTTTCCGGTATCGGCGGCCAAAATGAAATTTGTCTGGGGCTTCAATGCCAACGACATTGGCCAAGTCAGTGACTCAGTCACCATTCGCTGCTCAGTCTACATACCTGGTGTTCTACATTCTATCTGCCCTTATATGTAGGCTTCGAACAAATTTGTCCACCATGGCGCCTGATGCGGGCGAAGACGCCCATCTGAACTGGTGGGCCGAGCATCTAAAAGACCAGACAATATCACCGTTGACCAGGGACTATCCCGAAGCTACCTCGGAGAATGTCGCGAAGAGACCCATTGAGGCCATCGAGTCACTACCTGCTCCCAGCAGTACCTCAGAGGCTTTGAAGAAACTTTCCAGTCTTGGTTCACTCACAACCGTTTTGCAGACTGTTCTTCTTGTGCTGGTGAGCAGGTTAACGGGAGACGAAGACATCAGCATTGGAACCAACGCCCAGCAAGATGGCCCAGCGTTCGTCCTCAGGACGTCAATCAGTCCCTCAGAATCATTTTCGAGCTTGTTCAAGAGGGTACAGGAGCTGTCCACCGAGGCTTCAGCCAAGGCTGTGCCACTTGACACGATTCAAGCCCGTCTCAAAACACAAGCTCTTTTCCGGTTCGCTGCCTTCAACAGTAGCCGTCCAGAGGATACCAGCCTAGCTGGTGGCGTCGAGTCCATTGATCTACAGTTGGCCTACTCTCTTTCTGGGGCTCACAACCTCCGACTAACAGCACGGTACAACCAGCGTCTGTTTTCGAGTGCAAGGATAGCAGGAATTCTAGCCCAGATCACCAGATTTCTGGAGAACCTCGCCGTGGACGTCAACAATGAAGTCGGAAAAATTGTTTTCATGACACCAGAGGAGGAGAAGCTTGTCCCTGACCCAACCAGCGACCTTGAATGGTCCTGTTTCCGAGGCGCCATTCACGACATTTTTTCCGCCAATGCCGAGCGCCACCCTGAGCGGACTTGTGTGGTTGAGACAAAGTCTGAAGAGGGCCCCGAACGGAAGTTCACATATCAACAAATCCACGAGTCTTCGAACATCCTGGCACATCATCTAGTCCAATCGGGATTGGAGAGGGGAGACGTTGTCATGATCTACTCCTACCGCGGAGTGGACCTGGTCGTGGCGGTCATGGGCACGCTCAAGGCGGGTGGCACTTTCTCCGTCTTGGACCCTGCATATCCACCGGACCGGCAAAATATCTACCTCGATGTGTCGAGGCCGCGAGCGCTGGTGGTGATTGAAAAGGCCACCCAAGACGCCGGCGAGCTATCGGACAAGGTTCGGGGCTTCATCAACGAGCACTTGGATCTGAAGACGGAGGTCCCTGCCCTGCGACTGAAAGACGACGGTAGTCTGCAAGGAGGCAACGTTAATGGCAAGGACATATTCGAACCTATTCGAGGCCTCAAGAGCAAGAGCCCGGGCGTCGTGGTCGGGCCCGATTCCACGCCAACCTTGTCCTTCACATCAGGATCCGAGGGGAAACCCAAAGGTGTGCGAGGCCGCCACTTCTCTTTGGCATTTTACTTTGACTGGATGGCCCAGACTTTCAACCTGTCCGAGAAGGACAAGTTCACCATGCTCAGCGGAATAGCACACGACCCGATCCAGCGAGACATGTTCACACCGCTATTCTTGGGTGCGCAACTGCTGGTGCCGTCGAAGAACGACATCCAGAACGAACGACTGGCTGAATGGATGAACCAACACGGCGCCACCGTGACTCACCTGACGCCGGCAATGGGACAAATCCTGGTCGGCGGCGCCGTGGCACGGTTTGAGCAACTGCACCATGCCTTCTTCGTGGGCGACATTTTGATCAAACGCGACTGCAAATCGTTACAAAATCTGGCCCCCAATGTGCGCATTGTGAACATGTATGGCACAACTGAAACACAACGGGCCGTGAGTTACTACGAGATCCCGAGTCGGAATGAGCGAGAAGGGTTCCTGGACGGCATGAAGGACGTGATCCCGGCCGGACGCGGCATGTACAATGTGCAGATGCTGGTGGTTAACCGGCACGACCGGAGCAAGCTCTGCGCGGTTGGGGAGATTGGTGAAATCTACGTGCGAGCATCAGGACTTGCCGAAGGATACCTGGGCAACCCGGAGCTCACCAAGCAAAAGTTTGTGGACAACTGGTTCCCCGGCCACGAAAAGGGAGTGGAGATTGACCGGGCGCGGTTCGAGGCCAAATACAAAAATGAGCCATGGGCACAATTCTACCTTGGACCCCGCGACCGCCTTTACCGCAGCGGCGATCTGGGCCGGTACACACCGACCGGCGATGTCGAATGCTCCGGGCGGGCGGACGACCAGGTCAAAATCCGAGGGTTCCGGATCGAACTTGGCGAGATTGACACGCATCTGTCGCAGCATCCATTGGTACGGGAGAACGTGACGCTCGTGCGCCGAGACAAGTTCGAAGAGCAGACTCTAGTCAGCTACATCGTGCCGCAGATGAAGGCATGGACGCAGTTCCTGGCCGAGAAGGGCCTGAAGGACGAACCGGACGACGGATCGCTGGTAGGCCGGTTCGAGCGATTCCGACTCCTGCAGCAAGAGGTACAAGAATACCTACGCACCAAGCTGCCGGCCTATGCGGTGCCGTCCATCATCGTGCCGATGCGTGCGATGCCCCTGAACCCGAACGGCAAAATCGACAAACCCAAGTTGCCATTCCCAGACACGGCAATGCTCTCAGCCAGCCGACGCCGCAAGTCATCGACAGCGCATCAACTCAGCGAAACGGAACTGGCTCTAGCCCACATCTGGGCCAAGCTGGTGCCGGGACTCGCGCCACGCACCATCAAGCCAAGCGAATCTTTTTTCCATATCGGCGGCGAAAGCATGAAGGCGCAACAACTCGCGTACCACGTGCGGAGGACACTTGGGGTCGACCTGCCCATTAGCAAGATCTACCATCGCCCGACGCTCAAGGAAATGGCCGCCGTCATCGACCACATGAAAGCGGCCAATTCGCTGGAAGGCGGAGATGTGGACGATGATGCGGATCAACGCAACGAAGCCAACGGACAAAACGACGGCACCCACGCAGCAGAAGACGACTACGGCGCCGACGCATTCCGGCTGGCGGAACAAGCACTCCCCAAGTCATTCCCTACAGCAAAGGCCAACACAAACACCGCAGTTCCCACCTCTGCACCCGTGGTCTTTTTGACGGGCGCCACGGGATTTCTAGGATCATATATCCTCAAAGACCTCCTCGACCGGCAAGGACCCGCAGTATCAAAAGTGATTGCCCTAGTGCGAGCCAAGGATTCCGCAACAGCCATGTCGCGCGTCAAAGTAACATGTCAAGCCTACGGAGTATGGAACTCTTCATGGGAAACAGAAGACCGCATCCAATGCATGGCAGGAAGTCTGGGCCCAGCGCGGTTTGGACTATCTGACGCAGAATGGAAACAACTAGTAAACGAGGTTGACGTGGTGATCCACAACGGGGCCCAAGTACACTGGATCAACACGTACGAGATGCTGAAACCCGCAAACGTAATGGGCACCCTTGAAGCACTCAAAATCTGCGCGGAAGCACTGGCCACAAAACCAAAACTATTTGCATTCGTCTCGTCGACCAGCGTGCTCGACCACGACCACTACGTCGCCGAGTCGGAGCGGATCATAGCCGCGGGCGGCGAAGGTATCAGCGAGGATGACGACCTGATGGCCAGCAAGACAGGACTGGGGACGGGCTACGGCCAAAGTAAATGGGTCGCCGAGTACTTGAGCCGCGAGGCCGGTCGCCGCGGACTGCGCGGCTGCGTCGTGCGACCAGGTTATGTCCTCGGTTCGTCGCAGACCGGAGTGACCAACACAGACGACTTTTTGGTCCGTATGCTCAAGGGCTGTATTCAGCTGGGCACGCGGCCAAATATCAACAATACCGTCAACATGGTCCCCGTCGACCATGTCGCTCGTACTGTTGTTGCATGTGCGTTCCACCCTCCCGGCGGGACCACCACAGACGGCAGCGTCTTCTCCGGCTCCTCCGTCGTCGTCGCCCACGTCACAGGCCACCCCCGTCTGCGCTTCAACCAATTCCTCGCCACGCTCCAGACCTACGGCTACAAGGCCGACCTAGTCGACTATGTCCCCTGGGCGTCATCACTCGAACATTTCGTCAGCACGCAGCGCGACTTTGCACTAATGCCACTATTCACGTTCGTCGCGAACGATTTGCCTTCCAACACGCGGGCTCCGGAACTGGACGACCGCAATGCCGAAGCTGCGCTATATGCCGATTCGCAGTGGACCAAAGTCGATGCCAGTGAGGGCGCCGGTGTAACCAAGAACACTATTGGGTTATATTTGGCCTATTTGGTCGAGATTGGTTTCTTGCCTCCTCCACCAACAGCCAGCGGTAACGGAGATGCCGAAGCAAATGGTGCTGGTGCTGGGCCCGGTGCTGGTGCCGGTGCCGGTGCCGTCAAACGTCTTCCCAAGGTCACCATCAGCGATGAGCAACGCAAGGCTTTGGCCAGCGTCGGTGGTCGAGGTGGAACGAGCTGAACAGCCTGAGCTTATTTGGGACCGACTGCTACTGTACCTGGATGTTTTTCCCTGTTCAAAATCAAAACCAGCAAAAGGATAAGGCCGCTGTCAGACACAGGATTCGGGTCATGTCAAGTTAGATGCTAGTACTGTCCTGTAGGTCCCTTTTGTATTTATCTCTGATAACCCGGACGGACCTCAAAAAGCTCTCAGCGAGCACAATCAAATAGATCAATCTTCGCATCATGCTTACCCCAGCGTGGAACTTTCCCTCGAAAAAAACCACAGAAGATTAAACTCTCCTCCGCCACTGGCTCCGTATTGTCCTACAGGTACCAGTTCATGCAGTACAAGGAAAAGAGGCCTCTCGCGACCAAAAAGAACAACACACACTCACACACTCCTCTTATTGTCTATAACCTATAATAAGTAATAAAAACCCTGGGTCATTCGCTGCCCTGCTCTGGACTTTCAATCCACCTCCACCCACTAGTACCAGTCACAGTCCCGACTCCAGTCTGCTGTTCGCTCACTGTACTGCATTCGAGTTGACCAAAAACATAAACCAACCCCAACCGGACAGACCAAAATAATTTCTTTATATCACTGACTGACCTAACCAACCTGACCAGACAGATAACAATGTATAAAAAAAAGTTTCCCCCTCCTTCGCTGAGCCAACCACTTAGTACTGGCTCGGTACACATGAGTCTAGCCACAAACCATGCCTCCCATTCGTTGTCTTTTCGATATCCCGAGGCCTATGCCTCGGCGCGAACAAGCAGCTGAACATTGCAACAGGAAAAACAAAAACAAAAAGAACACCCAACCCCGTGGTATCGTGCCAAAAGATACGCAGCGTAACAGACATGGAAACAATCAATCGTAACTCATTCCACCCAGGCGAGGACGAACATCAAACATACATCCTCCAGCCTGGCTATCTTTCTGCCCTGTGCCAACGTTATGAGCGTGGATAGTGTAATTTCCTTTCAGCCATAAAAATCAAGCCGATAGTATTGGTCTTCCAGAAGAAGAAAAATCAAATCCACTCATGCGCTGGTCGAACGCGGTCATCGCACCCAATCTTCAGCTTCTTGGGCATCGTCCAAAGACAGTTCCGGATTCGACATGTCCGGAGCTACAGACCACGCCGGGTCATCTACCATTGCGACAGGCTGCGGGAGATTGGGTTTGGTGTCGATCAGGGACATATTTGATAGGGAATCCATATGAGCGTACCGCTGTGCCTCGCGGATGGTGTACGGGTGCTCACCATTCAAGGCCGTAGTGCTGCCCGGCGTCGAGACACTCGGGGTGATTCCGCGACTCACGCTGGATAACCGGGATGATGATTGTGCATCCTGTGGTTGGTGCTGGCTCATCTGCATCTGAGCAAGTTGTTGCTGCATTTGCATTCGTTTCGTTTCGGCTTCCGCTTGCTTGATGTACTCGTCAATGTCAAGAGCCCCCAAGTTGTCGCTGGCCAACATGCTGGCTTGGGGAGTTCCGTAATACGACGATGCGGAGCTCAAGCGTTGAGGGTCGGAAAGATCATCCCCAGCGAGGGTGTTAAAGTCACGCCTCAAAGGTTGCGCACTCATTGGCAGATGGGACGGAGGCGACTGATCGTCCACCTCCGACACGTCCCCGCTCGAAGGGGTGATACCCACATTGTTGATCCGAGAAGACAGGTCAAAGGGCTGGAATTGAGGCTGTTGCTGTTGGGCCAGATACGGAGAATTGCTCTGACTACTATTGTTGTACGCTTGTGTATTCGGGTCGAGATTGAACGTCGACCAGTCCACTGCCGAGAAGTCGGTATATCGCGACCCCGGTGGAGGTTCATAATCGTGAGCTTGTTCGTAGGTCATGAACCAACTTTCCGGAAAGCGCTCGGGTAGTGTCAAATCCTGCTGGCTAGTGTTCTGGCTGCTTTGCAAGCTATTCGCCTGGGTCGGAGGTGTCTGAGTGGCAAAGGGAGAATACGAGTAGGCATTTGGATCAAAACTCGGGATTGCCAGATCCTGTATTGACGGATCCACGTTTGCTAGTCTGGTCGGCCCAAGGGAGGGCGAGTTATGTTCGGATTTAACCTGGCGTTGCATAATGCTCATGGCCTCTGTCATGGAATTGTGCAAGGGTGACTCATGGAAAGGTTTGGAGGATTTTTGAAGCGGAAGACTGTCGGTTGATCTATGAGCCATCTCACGATGGCCATGGAGCGAATTCGAGCGAGAGGGGATCTTGTAAGGAGTTCCGAGCTGGTTGTGCGCATCATTGAACTTATGCACAGGCTTGTGATGGCCATTAGTGAAGATTGTAGGCTTTGGTTCATGCGAGTTCATGTTCGGACGCGGCTTATGGTGTTCCTTCGGTTGGATCAATTGAGGCGTATCTTCAAGCACGGGATCGAGTTCTTTCTTCAGCGAACAGGTGCATCGCTGTCCATGCTGGCAACAACAAGTATGCGGCTCTATAAGATTGTCAGTATCATGAGGGCGCGCAACAGGAGTTGAGGTGGACCAACCCGCTTTGCCCTCGTTTTTCAGGTGCGGGCAGTCTTCTTTGGCATGTGCCTTATCATGGCATTCGCACTTGACATGCTGCGATCGCGCCTTGCGCAGTCCTCGACAATGTTGGCATTGTGACACCGGCCGGCCTTTTTTGTTGACGTGAACCAAGGGGCGATCTACTCTCGCCGAGGATCGTCAGCATGTGTCTTCTTGAAAAGGTTTGCGGGAATATGCGCCGCGGACAGAGGGCCTTCCTTACCTTGGTGATGGCAAGAACTAACACGATGACCCCGCACACAAGCCTCGCAGGCGAACTTCTCGCCGTTGATGAGCATGATGATTGTTTTTATTGCGCTTGTTCAAAAAATAAAGTGTCTCGCATTGGACATCCACCCTGGAGACGCACGCCCAAGTACTTGGGATCGATGGAGCGGTGGGAACCGAGGCCAGCAAAGTGTTCACCCTCCGCGGAAGGGCAGAATGACGAAAAGGCAGCAAATGCGCCTACGGTCGCGTGGATCGAGAAAGCAAGAAAGAAAGGCAGACAATCCGAGGTGGATATTGATCGAAGTGGTTTCGGTGCGTGCGGAAGCGCTGGTGGAAGTAATTCGGAAAAAGTTCGAGGAAGGACCGCCAGACGCCAGGGAGGAGATGTACAGAGAGGAATGGAAGCCTGTCGAGGACTATGGATCTGGATCAGCCATTATGTTGGATTGATGTCTCGGCGACGACGATGGTAGGATGTGAAGGCGGCGACTCGGACAGTGGTGACAGTAGTGATGCTGATGGTGATGGAGATGGAGATGGATGAGCGGAAGTATTCGAGTATAGTCCAACATGAGGGTGGTGAAGAGAAACCGGGTCAGAAAGTGGCCGCAGGCTTGGACAGGCACCGCACAGGGACCGCGGTGGGTGCCACTGCCCTGCAAACCCGGGACAGCACGTTATGGTGTCTAGTGTTCTGTTTGTCGGGTGCTAGTGCAGCTAGCGCCACTATATCTGGAGGTTAAGGCCCTGTCCCTCGGCAAATCAACGTTCACTAGCGCTGTCCTTCATTGGCACTAGCAACTAGCGGGCTCTAAACTCGCCAAGGACAATTATTAAGATGTGACAGGCGCGAAGGATCGGAGTGTGAATAATCAGCCGGTGCCGGCGTAGACATTTTGTCGAAACTGAGGGGCACGTGCACTAGAAAAGGTCCGAGTTTGACCAGGAATCGCAGCCTTGCCATTGCTCAAGTACTAGTAGTACCTACCTGTTGCCCGATTCACGCAATCAATATTTCACGATCTGACGTCTCTGCTACATCCTAGGTTGCGGCCAGCCCTTCGACATCATCTCGAAATATTCTTCTGTGCAGGCAAAGCAAGGAATCGCCAATTCGAAGTTTAATCCGACCTGCCATTCGAGCAGTCAATGAAACTCTCCGAACAGCGAAATAAAATTACCCGGCGAATCGCTCAAGGATAGAACATAATTCAGGTAAATTTGCTTTTAAATTTCATGATATGTACTATATATCCAAGTCTCATAGCACAATAAAAGTAGCAGGCATATTTCTGAGGCCTTAGCACACTCTCGACGTGTCAGCCACCATTCTGTAGTCGGCTAGACACGAAAAGTCGGCGGCCATCATCGGATTGTCCGTTCGTAGCATTCGTGATGCCTCTCGCGTCTCGCGTTCGTGTTGTTGCGGTTCAATCAACCGAACGCTATTCTCCCAAAAGCAAAACGCCGGAATCAACGCCCTTCAAAGTTGCACAAGGTGGTTTTCTTTCTGCTGTACAAATTATCCGGAACGAAGCTTACACAACAGGACCAGCCTTGATGACTTCCTCAGTGGCTTCGTCGGCATATTTCTTGAAGTTCTCGTTGAAAAGCTTGCCCAGCTTGGTGACCTCATCCTTGAAGTCGGCCGAACCGGTCCAGCTCTTCTTCGGGTTGAGCAGTTCATCTGGGACACCCGGACAAGACTTGGGCACACTGAGGTTGAACACATCGTAGGTCTCGTACTCAGCCTTGGCAAGTTCTCCCGAGTGGATGGCATCCAAGATGGCACGGGTGTATTTCAATGGGCAACGCTTACCTCCGGTGGTGGCGCCTGCGCCGACCCAGCCGGTGTTGAGGAGCCAGGCGTTGGTCTTGTGTTGCGAGATCTTGTCTGCCAGCATCTTCGCGTAGCGCATGGGGTGCAAAGCCAAGAATGGTTGAGCGAAGCAGGAAGAGAAGGTGGCTTGAGGTTCGGTGACACCATCCTCAGTGCCGGCCATCTTGGAAGTGTATCCGGAGATGAAGTGGAACATGGTCTGGGCGGTGTTCAGCTTGGAGATGGGGGGCAGCACACCGCGAGCGTCGCAGGTAAGCAGGATGATGTTGCTGGGGTGGTTGTTGCTCAAGCACGGGATCTTGGCGTTGCTGATGTACTCAATGGGGTAAGCACAGCGGGTGTTCTCGGTCAAGGTGGCATCATCGTAGTCGACCTCTCGAGTCTCTGGGTCAAAGACGACATTCTCCAAGACGGAGCCGAATCGGATGGCGTTGAAAATATCGGGTTCTTTCTCGGCAGAAAGGCCAATGCACTTGGCATAGCATCCTCCCTCAATGTTGAAGATACCCTTGTCAGACCAGCAGTGTTCGTCGTCACCGATCAGCTTACGCTTAGGATCAGCGGACAGAGTGGTCTTGCCAGTGCCAGACAAGCCAAAGAAGACCGTGACATCGCCATTCTCGCCCTCGTTGGCCGACGAGTGGAGGGTCAGCACGTTGTGCTTGACCGGCATCTCATAGAACAGCACAGTGAAGATACCCTTCTTCATCTCTCCCGCGTACTCGGTGCCCAGGATGACCATCTCTTTCTCAGCAAAGTTGATAGCAACGCTGGTAGCGCTGGTCATGCCGGCGGTGTATCTGTTGGCCGGGAAGGAGCCGGCATTGTAGATGACATAGTCGGGATGGAAGTTCTTCAGCTCTTCTCGCGTTGGGCGGATAAGCATGTTGCGCATGAAGAGTGCATGGTAGGCACGGGCGCAGACGACCCGGACGTTGATGCGGTAACGTTCGTCCCAACCGGCATAGCCATCGATCACGTAGATGCGGTTTCGGGTGTTGAGGTAGTCGACGGCACGTTCACGGTTGATCTTCCACACCTGTTCGAGCACAATGGCATCACGTTAGCATATCTTGCATCTTCCTAAATGTTCCGTAGTGTACACGCGTAGTGGCAGGGAATGTATTGTGTAGTGCAGATCATGTGGGAAGACCCAGTGCAGTGCCGGTGGTGGGGTTGACGAGTCAGACCCGGCGCAGTTGCCGAAGGGGGAATTGCAGTCGCGGTTAGTGGCGGTGCGGAATTCGACCTCGAACCCGATTTGCACCCGCAGCCAAGAAATTTCTAGCCGCGGCTGAACCAGCCCACTGCGTCATGCACTGCAAAACGTCCATGAAGCACAACGCGGGGTTGGCTTGCATGGAGATGGCCTCTCCTGATGCCCGTCCACCATCCACCATGTCATAATACAGCTCCCCCTGTTATTGCGGGGGAGGGGGAGTTCATCGTGTGCAAAGGGCTTAATAATGACAATGGGATACGGGCGCCATCTGAGTGGCAGAGACAGAACAAGCTGGGTTAATCACAAACACAAGAGACTGGGATGGCGGTGGAATTGAAGCATAATCGAATCGGTGAATGATCACTGGACTAACCTCTGGAGTCATGGGCTTGTTCACAGGTCCCCACCAAATGTCGTTCTCTGAGCTAGGTTCCTTAACCACCCGCTTGTCGAGCGGCGACCGCCCAGTCTTGGAGCCCGAGTAGGCCGTCAAAGCCCCGGACGAAGTAATGGCTGTGCCAGTCTCATAGACAAGAGCATCTTCGTAAAGAGCAGAAACAGACGGGTTGGCAACAATGGCCACGCGGTCGTAGTCGATGTGAGCAGTCGAATGAAGTTCTTCTTCCAGCTCTGTGTGCTCGCGCGAGGGCCTAGACGATATCTGTGAGAAACGTGCCACGACAGCAATGTGTAACCGTGCAAATACTTACTCGACACCACCCGGGTGAAGAGCGGTCTTGTTGACCGATTGAGAAACCATTCTGGAACTGAAGGAACGCAATTGGGTTTTGGCGAGTTCGGTACGTGCTTTTCCTGTTGCTGGAGAAGGCGAGAGAGGACGGATTTGATGGGTGGATTGAAGACGAGCAGCGTAATCTGAAGCCATGGGGGAGAAAGGTGCTTGATATTGTATCTTTTGAAAGCTGGGGCCAACCCGATATGAAGTGCAATTCCCGAAAGGTGGACGGGAAAGTTCGGAGTGCGATGAAGCGGTTCTCGTGGTTTGGCTGGGAGACACTGTCCGATTCTTTCCGAGCGAAGCTGATTGGCGAAGACGGTTGGCCGTGGATATGCAATACTGTGCTAATTGGAGTCTGATGCGGAGCATGCGAAAACGATCGCAGGGCCGGTCCTTATATTCTCGTGCCAGTGGGCGAGAACAGAGGAGAGGATGCGAAGGGATGAAACTGGACGTAACGTTTGGTGACGAAAGTGTCAAGACTGCAACGCGCTGCAGGCAAAGGTGGAGAGAAAGTATTGCTTGTGGTTTGCTCTTGTCCTATGAAAACTGCGCTCTCATCGCCTGCGCTCACCCCGCCATCCTTGCTACCGCCGCCACCACCTGAGCGCTTCCTTTGCACGGTTCGCCTCGATGCAGGTCTCAAGGTCTCGACTAACTGTTCACCCGCATAGTTTGGTGGAAGGGCCTGGTCTAGGCCGGATGAGGAACGGTAGTTGTCACGGCTTACGTTAAGAGGTGTCATTAGTTGGGTCCGAGAGAACCGACCAGACGTCCAGGAAACGAGTAAACTCCGCAGGAAAATCGAACGACCAGAACGGGATAGTTTGCTGAGAACGACCAACTGTGGGAATTGACTACCAAAATGATTGTCCATAGAGACTACCAGCTTCGAACAGAGATCATCTACACCACCACCTCAGCCAACTCGAGCATAAACAGACGACACAACCATATCTCGCCAGCTAGTCGAAGGACCTACGCCTGAGGGATTGCTTTGACCCATAAGTCTTGCTCCGTCCGTCCGGGGCCCCAGGAAACGGGGAATGCTAATTGGTCACGAGTATACAAAAAATAACCTTGCCTATCCTATGAATCGAGATCAGGCAGTCTTCTGCCAGGCACTGTACACTCCAAGCAAACTGCTGGTAGTGCCAGCCAGACCAACAATGCCGTCGTCGAAGTTGGCATATCCTAGAGCAGTGCTGGGCACCGTGAGATCGCAGAGGTCCGAGAGCAGTTGAATGTTGACCGCCCGTTGTTGCCTAATCGTATCAATCGTCAGCCTCGTTGTCTCGTCACCACTTGTTTTGTTGTCTCACGTACCTTGCAATCTTGACCTTTTCCACCTTGGCTTCTGCATCCTTTTCGTCTACAACCTTGGCTCTCTGGCGCAACTTGTAGCCGTTGTAAATGCCCGCCAGCACGCTGGCCACCAGACCAGTCAGCCAAAAGCGGTAGGCATTGACCTGATATTTCTTTGCTTTGGGGTCCTTCTTCACCCCCATCGCGTCCAAGACGGTCATGGTGTCGAACACCATGTAGCCGGCGTAGCCAATTTGGCGCAGGATCTGCAGGTACTGCGTGACCTTATCCCCACTGCCCGACTTCACCGCGGCATCATAGAGCTCGGAGGCGGCGCGGATGTGTTCGACGAACTTGCCCACCCGCAGAATCTTCCTCGTCAGGCCGAATTGATTCTTGATGGCCACCCATGGCAGGATGGAACTTGTCGGGTTGTTGGTCCGATACAGATACCAGGCATAGAACCGAGCGAAGTATTGGATGGTACGAAGCACCTTGTCACGGCCGACTACACGATAATGACAATGAATTCAGCGTTTTGCACGCGCTTGTACCAAGCGGACAGTCCTTGCTTACCGGTCGTCGCGACATATCGGAGGTAATGGGTCACCGCAGGGTGATAGACTAGGGCGTCTGCGACCATGTTTGCCGTGCGGGATATCCGAGACCCGCAGTAACGAAATCAGACCGGAGAAGCAGAGAGGCTGTGCGGAATGAAATGCACTGCAGTGGCGCAAAGGAGAGTCGAAAAGGAGATGAATTAGATGGCGTGGTGAGATGAGACGCGAAACAGCTTTGTATTATTCGCAATTCTGGCCAGAGCCGGACACAAGCCCGTGAAGTCTGTCGCCGAGTCGTAATTTGGGGAAGCGAAGATGTCGGGGGCCTCTCCAGCCAACTTTGGCGAGGGCTGAGCGGCCGCTTGACGCATTCAGGAAACAAACTCCTGCGCATGTGCTGCATTGCCTCGGTATTTTCCTGCGCAGTAGCCGTGAGGTCACGAGATATCGCCTGCATCAGCCACTGCACTGCACATGATTCCAAAGGCAGCCATTTCCTTAGTCAGCAGCTGAAAAATCACGTGAGGGAACGCGTCACGTGCGCCCTCATTGCGCCCTCATTGCGCCCTCATTGCTGCTGACTCAGGGCCCTGAAATCTGGGCCGCAGCCTTTGCCGAAACGTCGGAGCCTCGCGCGGGGGATGATGCCATCGCACCCATGGCCCTGATTGGCCATCCCTCAACATGGGGAAGTTGTACCTAGGTACAGGATTAGTAGGGATTGAGAGCGGGTGTCCAGGAGTTGTCCCGTGGATCCTAGCTAAAAGATCTCCGTCTTCTAAATTTCTGCATGAGAAGACGGCGACCCCGTTCGTTGTCACATCTGAAAAGTGTCATTCCCACTGCCTCACACGCCGTCGCAATAACCTGGCACTCCGCCGCCCAAACGCCGGGCTGAGCCAGCAGGCATCGAAGGTACGGTAGCTAGGAGAAGCCCAAACCTGGGGAAAAGAAAAGAAATCCTGCCATCATGCCTACCAAGTCACCGTTTCCGGACATCCAAATCCCGAACGTCGACCTATGGGGTCTGATGTTTGAGGAGCCTCGAGACTTTGCCAATTCACAAGGTGAACGATTCTCCCTTTTCTATCTTCTTCTCATCCCTTGGACTCAAAAAGTTGTCATTGAGAAAAACACCATACCATTTCTCTACTAACTCATTTTCCAACATCAGTAATCTACCGAACAGTAGACTCGTCACGACACTACACATGGCAACAAGTCAAAGAAGCAGCAAAGGGATTCGGAGAAGGGCTCCGCAACCTATGGGACTGGCAGAAAGGAGATGTGCTCAACATCTTCGCCAGCAACGACGTCGACTACGGCGCCATTGTATACGGGACATTCTACGCCGGAGGAATAGTCTCGCCCGCCAACCCAGGCTACTCCGCGGAAGAGCTATCATTCCAACTGTCGAACTCGGGATCCAAAGCGATTGTAACAACAATTGAATCTCTCCCCATAGCATGCAAAGCAGCGCGACAATGCAACATCCCCGAAGAGCGCATCATATTGCTCGGGGCCGGACGGGACCCAACGCACCGATTCAAACACTGGACCAGCATCCGCAAAACAAGCGGATCAACGCGCTACCTACGCCGCAAAATGGATCCGGACAAAGACCTTGCTTTTCTAGTCTACAGTTCCGGAACAACAGGTCTACCCAAGGGCGTCATGCTAAGCCACCGCAACGTGGTATCTGATCTCCTCATGATCCGGGGCGCTGTGGGCGGCAAATGGTATTCTAGCGGCCAGGACAAAATCCTCGGTGTATTGCCATTCTTCCACATTTACGGACTTGTCGGACTGGTCCAACAGTCGCTACATCGGGGAATTGAGATGGTGGTCATGCCAGCGTTTGACTTGAAAGTGTTTTTGCAGGCCATCCAGGACCATAAAATCACTTTTATTTATGTCGCGCCGCCCATCATTGTCCGTCTCGCCCGCGACAAGGTCGTTGACAACTATGATTTGAGCTCTATTCGCATGATCACTAGTGGTGCTGCACCGTTGACTCGCGAGCTGGTCGATGCCGTCCATAAGAGGTTGGGGATCAAAATTAATCAGGCTTATGGGTTGAGTGAGACTAGTCCCATGACGCATACTCAGGTAAGAAAGATAAAGTTTGAGTTACACTTACGATTGTTTGGCTGACTCTGTCTCTTGTGTTGTACAGCCCTGGGACGAATGGTACACCTCAGTAGGCAGCGTGGGCAAAATGTTCCCCAACATAACAGCCAAATACATGTCTCCCGACGGCAAAGAACTGGGACCAGGAGAGACCGGCGAACTCTACCTGTCCGGCCCCAACGTTTTCAAGGGCTACTGGAAGAACGAGGTCGCGACCAAAGAAGCCATCACCGACGACGGATACTTCAAGACCGGCGATGTCGGGTATCAGGACGAAAACCACAATTTTTATATTACGGACCGGGTCAAGGAACTTATAAAATACAAAGGGTTCCAAGTCGCTCCCGCAGAGTTGGAGGGAAAACTGTTGGATCACCCGGCTATCAATGATGTCGCTGTCATTGGTGTTTATGATGAGGTGCAGCATACTGAGGTGCCTAGGGCGTATGTGGTGACTGCCACTGCCACTACGAGTGGTAGTGGTAGTGGTGCGGATTCTCTAGCAGACGAGATCGTCAATTGGCTATCCGGCAAAGTCGCCAACCACAAGAAATTAAGAGGAGGAGTCCGGTTCGTCGATGAAATCCCCAAAAGTGCCGCTGGCAAGATCTTGAGGAGGGTGTTGAAAGATAAAGCGAAGCAAGAAGATGCGGCCAAGGGTGGGAAAGCGAAGTTGTGAGAAAGACACAAACAAAAAGTCACTTGGATCATCACACGACTTGCGACCATGCACGTCCATCTTGTTCAGTCTGTCTAGTGTATACTTGGATATATGTGTTAGCCGTCTGGTGGCTGCAGATTTGGTTAGGCTGTACATCTACATATATGATATACTACTGTATCTGTATATGCTCCTATCTATGCCCGTGTATATGTTACAGCTACACCTAGGTACGTATATTTATTTGGGTTGACGGTGTGCTCCTGATCCTGACTCAGTTCTGCTGATCGCATGGTCTTGATTGGTACCTAGGTGAGCTGTTGCATCTTCCTCCCTTCTACTCCTTGTAAATACCCTTGCACAAATACTACCAGATATCTCCCCGTTTTTAAGTCCGATATAATGTACCTTACTCCAGTGTCATAGTCGGATTCTTTTCCCCCCTTAGATTTCATTCCAATTCAGACCGAGGCGAGTATCAAACATGACGTTCTTGGGACGATCAAATCACTTTGAATCTTTGATTTATCTGGTCTCTCCTGTCATTAAAATATTCTTTAAATAATTTGATCTCCATATCATTTCGATGACCGATTTAAAATCTCCCCCAACCACCTCATTTCAACGGCACTCACGCCCCTGGCATATGCCTTGGTGCCAGTGTACACGAACTCGTTGTACACGATACCTTCGAATTTCTTTGGTCCTCCTCCCCCTCCACCACCAGCCGAAAACAAGACACTGCTAGGATGTATCGCCACAGGCTGATTCGTCAAAACAGTACGGTATGAGCCGTCGGGACTCAGACGGGCGACATTGGCATGAAACCCAGTGAGGATGCATTTGAGAATCCGAGCTGGCAAAGTCGTAGGATCGCGGGACGAGACATCAACATCTGACGGAGACACAGTGCCATTTTCCTTTCCATCTCCGCTCGTCTCTCCTTTACCTTCACGTTTCCCCTTCTTATTTCTGTTCTTTTTCATCCTCTGCGCCATCAACGCAGTCAACTGCTTCCTTACGTCCATGGCACTGCTCATGGCGCGATGAGAAATAAATCTTTCCTCACACCAGCGGCGGCGATCACTCTGTTCCGCGGCGTACGCTTGCATGGTGGCAAGGAGAGTCAAATGGTCGCCTTCGCGCCGGAACAGGACGCGACGGTATCGCTCGGCGCGGGCTTCGCGGGTTTCGTTTTCGGCGTCTGCATCCACATCACCATCCCCATCCCCTTCTCCTCGTCTGGTGTTATCGTTCTGCAACCCATCCGATTGATTTCTGTGAATGTTTAAAAACACATTCTCCACACTCAGCGCCGACACAATATCCACAATCTCATCGACACAATCAAATTCTGGCTCGGCACTAGCTAGCAAAACACGCGCTAGACTCGCCGGGAGCGGCAATCCACTCATGTCCCTCCCCAGTGGTGTAATTTTCCCAGTCGTTGTGTCTAGCGCAGTCAACTGAACTAGATGAATCATTGCGCGCTCCAATGCCCGTCGCGGCGGAGACGTTAAGAACGGAAACCCCAACAAATCATCAATTCCATGTGCCTTGAGCGTCAAGACCAATTGGCTCAAATCACACCTCAGGATCTCGGGCTCAGTGTCCTGCGGCAATCGATAAAAGTCCGACTCGGTATATAATCTGTACGCTGTTCCTGGGGCGTCTCGACCGGCTCGGCCGGCTCGCTGGTTCGCCGAACTACGCGAGATAGGCACGGTGAGCAATGTGTCCAAATTCAACGAGGGACGAAATAGTCGTTGTTTAGCTTTTCCTGTGTCAATGACGTATCGGATCCCGGGAACCGTGATGCTGGTTTCCGCAATGTTGGTGGCGAGAATGATTTTGCGTGTGAATTTCGGTGTGGGCTGGAATACCCGTTGTTGCATGTGTGATGGGAGTGCCGCGTAAAGTGGCAAGATCAGAAGTTTGGGTAGTTGGCGTGATAGTTTGGGGTCTTTTTGAATGCTGGTCGCCCAGTTCGTCACCAGACTCATTAGAGATTCGACTGTTTCTTGGCCCGTCAGGAAGACCAGTATGTCGCCTGGCAAGGGTGAGTGAGAGTGGATGTGCATGATGCGCTCATATGCTGCGTCCAGAATGTCTGGGACTGGAGAGGGCGTGTAGTTGATTGTCACGGGGTGTTGGCGTCCTTTGATGAAGAGGGACGTGGCTGTGCTAGTATTCTTCTGCTTTTCCGGTTTCGCTCCATTGATAGGAGGAGCTCCAGACAAGGCTGCGGTGTTGGAAGACGTCGACTGCTCTTCGATAGACTTGCCCACCCCTGGCTCTGCCTGCTGCTGCTGCTGGCCGTTAAAAAAGCCACTAATCTTCTCCATATCCGCCGTCGCACTCATGACCACAACCTTCATGGGAACCCCACCCCGTCCATCATCTTTACTTCTCAAATCATGCATGCGCCTTAAAAACCCCAGCACAAGATCAACATTAACACCGCGCTCATGGACCTCATCGACCACGACGGCCGAATACTCCTTCAACCAAGGGTCGCGCAACATCTCCTGCAACAACATGCCCTCAGTCAAGAACTTTATCCGCGTGGACGGACTCGTGCTATTCTCAAAGCGCACCGAATAGCCCACCTGCGACGCGGGGCTCGAGTTGCCCAACGGTGTGCCCATTTCTTCGGCGACCCGGCGGGCCAGCGAGATGGCCGCAACCCTCCGCGGCTGCGTGATGGCGATACAACCGCCTACTGAACCTTTGTTTGTCGTCTTTCGCTTTCGACACCACGACTCGTTGACGAGGAACTGTGGGATCTGTGTCGATTTGCCGGATCCAGTCTCTCCGACTAGTAACAAAACATCGTGCTCTCGGAGTTTCTGTCGTATGTGATCTGCGTGGCTGTAGATTGGCAACTGTTGGCGGGTAGAAAGTAATTGTCGTGCTCGTTCTCTGAGGTTGGAATGTCGATTATTGATTTGAACCGTAGCCTCGAGATTGTTTCCATCCCGATCATTATCGTCATTACCATCATGGTTGGTGTCTGAGAAATTCACCACTTTACTTTGCGCAACCCCGGAGCCGCCAGTCTTCGCGGTGCTCAATCGGTGATGTTTGAGTGTGTCGCTGACCGTTTTGGTTTGTGGCTTGTCTTTGGCGTTTAACGTGTCTTTGGTTTGTGACTTGAATGCTTCGGCGGCGGATCGCTTTTTCCCTTTTTGACGTGCGGTCTCTGTCGACTCCGACTGCGTATTAGTAGGAGGCGCCGCCTCATCCTCATCAAACTTGATATGCAGCTTCGCCATGATGCCAAGTTTGACAAAACACCTTGCCTCTGATGTTGTTTCGAAACTTTTCAACGAATAGAATTACACATGATGAAAACTGCATAAAGCCGAGTAGAGCCCTGTTAACGTTGAATGGATCGTCACAAAATGTCGTTGCAAAATCTCTTAGGCACAGCCTTGCGCCACTCATCATGTCTTGGCAAGGCTGCCACCATTCAACCTCCACTTCACTTGTTATACATGGTAGATTCAGAGGAGTGTATGTAAGGAATACAAGCGTATAATTACTTCAGTGTCGCTATAGCCGTGGCTCGACTTATATGCATCATACAATCAAGAGACGGAAACTTTTCCCCACGGACATCTCGGTCTACAAAGTTCAAGTGTATGATATGAAGAGCTTGCTGTAGGAGTATATTTCATGCTCACGGCTCTAATGTCTCAAGTTATCAACTCTCACCAGTTTTGTGTGTAGCTTCTTTTGTAAAGCCAGAGTCTCAACTCTCAACCAAGCTTTCGGACTTTTACCACAGTATCCATGACCCAAAGACTTTTGTGAATTCTCCACTCCCGTCCGTTGATTTGCACCCGCTCATGAACCGCCTTCAGCCTTCTTGATTTCTTCAAGTATCAAGTCACGAGCTGCCTCCACGCCCTCTTTCGAGCCAACAATAGTAATGGCATCACCGTCGTCTCCCTTATTGGCCTTCTTGTTCGGAACCTGGATATCGCAACCAGAAGCCTTGCGGATGTGGTTGATGGTGCGTCCACCCGGGCCAATGATGTGACGGTGCACTCGGGAGTCCGGCAAGATCAGGTATCCTGTGTATTGAGGTTCCTTGGCCTTCTCAATCAATGACAGGATCTTCTGTGTGGCTTTCGCGACCGTCTCCTCGGGCACACCTTCATCAGCCACAATTACCCATGGAATCTCTCCCGACTCGCCTTCCTGTGCATGTTGGTTGGACACAATATTCCAGGAATAGGGCTCCTCGCCCGGCTGATCAGTGATCAGAGGCAAGTCCCCATTGGACGGACGTGGCCGAGAACCGTGACCCCTGTCTCTGGGTTTCGAGGGCGGCTTGTGTCCCTTATGGTCGACGCGAATGCCTTGTGATGACAGTTCCCGGAACAAGCCCCCGTTCTTCCCAACAACGTGATGCAAAGGCCGCGGCACCATAATTGTCTGGCCTTCTGACTGCTGGGTGATTTTCTGAATGTGTTCCTTGGCCTTCTTGACATTTTCGGCCGGTCCTTTGATCTCGACGCCAGTGGCAGAACTATCTTGCCGCGGTATGTTCAGCGCAACACCAAACTCCTTTTCAAGCTTCTTTCGGTTGGCGCCACCAGGACCAACCAGCTGCCTATGCTGGTTGCGAGGGACGTCAACTGTCTCGGTGACTTCGTTTTCCTTTTCGTCCACGAAGCTTTGGATGGCTGCCACAATCTTGTCTACCACATCGGCAGTGCCCTTGACAGTAAGAGTGTCTGATTCCACGCCGGGCCGAGGGAAGCGGACATATTCTGCACTGTTGCCTTTGCCGCCGGCTTTGGTCACGATACTCTGGATGTTGGAACCTGAAAATGAAGAGTCAGTGGGGTTCGCCCCAAAAAAGCAAAAGCAGTACTTACCACCAGGACCAATCAGAGCACGGTGATGTTTGCGGTTGACATCGATTTCCCGGGTGACAATGTCGTCGAACTCCTTGGATCGCTTCTCCAACTCCTGCTTCGCCTTTTCAACCTGCTGCTTGGTACCCTTGATTTGGATGGTGACACGATCGGACCCATTGGGCTTCGGAATGTCGATTTGAGCCCCAGTCTCGGCTCTTAGCTTCTCCATCTCCTGGCCGCGTTTGCCAATGAGGGAAGCGATTTGTCCCTGAGCAACAGACACCGTCGCCGTATGGGAGTTGTCAACTAAATACTGGTACAGACTCAATAGCTCCTCGCGCACTTTTTCAGCCTTTGCACGTGGTCCTCGGATCCGCACTTCATCATGGGGTTGACCTTTGTTACCACCAGCTTCGCTGGCATTGTCACCCACAGAAGCGTCATCACTAACTCGAGACGTCTTGGGGAAGTCAATGCGCACCACGTTGTCCACCTTGTTCTGAATCTTTTGAAGATTCTCTCCATTTCGTCCCACCAACATACCGTGATACTTGGGGTCGATCTTGATGGCAAAGTTGACCTCGTCTTCCCACTGCTTGGCAAGCTTTTGGATTTCGGCCTTGGCTGCCTCGGCCTTTTTCTGTGGTCCTTGGATCGTGATTTTACCGGGTTCTCGAGTATCAATTTCAACGTCATGCTTTTCACGGAGCGCTTTGATGTTTTGTCCCTGCTTTCCGATCAAGTTCTTGTTGAACTGGGCCGGGAATGGCAGGGTGGTGGTGTAGCCGCGCTCCTTTTCATCCTGCTCAGCCTCCTTCAAGAAGGTCTCGATCTTCTTGCGCAGTTCAGCGATGTCCGCCTCGCTCGGTCCTCTCAGGTAGACTGTCTCGGAAGGCGAGCCCTTTGAGGTACCATTGGCTTGCTTTTGTCTGCTGGGGCCGCCAAATTCAACCTGCACAGGGAAGCCTTCCGGAGGCGACGGTCTCGGTTCGTTATTCACAAACCTCCGAACCTTATCCTGGAATTTCTTAGGCACATGAATATCCTGCGCCGAGATTCCTTGGTGGGGGATGTTGCTCAACAATTGCGCCTGAGCCTCTTGAAGAGCCTTTTCGAAATCCGCGATCTCGGCCTTGGTAGGCTTCGTCCGCGGAATGGAAGATTGCTCACTCTGGGCCGGGCCTTCATACACAAGGATGACTGGCTCCGAACCATCCTGAGGAACGATCATGTGCACACCAAGGTCATTCTTCAAACGAGATGCGTGCATTTGTTGAAGATGGGGGTGGAAAAATGGATCAACCTCCACGAGTTGCAGTCTCGCCGAGGGGTATGCCTGCGCAATCTTGGAGAGCTCGTTGCGGGCGGAGAGTGCCTTCTGTGGATCGTTGCTAATAACACTCCAGCTGGGAGAGGCGCTCGAGCTCTGCGGGAACACAATTTCTGCACCGTGGGAGTTCATAAACTCCCTCTCGATGGCCTTTTGTTGCAGATATTGCGCAAGCGCCCTTGAATGGCGTTCGGGACCCTGCGGCGCATCTTGGAAGTGTTTGTGCATATCCACTGCTCGGTTGTGCTTCCGAGACATAAGCTCTTCTGCAAGGTTTCGGCCAGCATTGAGCTTGTCCTTGGGCCCAATAATGTGAATGTCCTCGGTCTCCTGATGGGGAGGAGGAAGAATCACAGCACAGCCCGTCTCTTCCAAGAACTTCAGAGGATCCATACCACGGTCACCCACGATGTAAGGATGCAGGATCTGTTCTGCCGCGATTTCTTCCAACAGGAGTTCCTTCTGAAGCTCTTGGGCCAACTGCTCGAGAAAAGCACGAGCTTCCAGTACAGCGGCTTGTTCACCCGAAATGACAATAGGAGTGTCTTCGTGGGGAACGAAAGTGGGAGCCTGGTCATGCTCGGCAGGTCGAGGCGGGGGCTGCTGTTGCCACATATGATACTGCGGCACATTGATGCGGAGGTCCCGCTCCTGCTCCAGTTGTCGGAGACGGTCCGCATGTTGTCCTGCGATGAAAGGATAGAACTCAGGAGGTATGCCACGAACAGGCAGGTCGACCTTGGGCTGAAGTGCTTTGACCTGGTTCGAGATCTGCTCATACACTTGCCGAACTTGGGCTGCATTGCCACGGATCTCGACAACATCAGTCCTCACGTCCTCTGGGCTCGCAGTTGGTCGTGCGTCTCGCTCGATGCGGATCCTGACATTGAATTGGTTCTCAAGTTTCCGGATGTTTGCGCCGCCTTTGCCGATGATCTGAGCGGAAACCGCAGACGGAATCTCAAGCTTGACTTGCTTCTCCAGCGTCAATTCTTTCGAAACATACATCAAAGCTTCAGTGACACGAGCCTTGGGGCCTTCTGCGATGAACTCGGTGCGGGTTCCGAAATTGGTCGACTTGGGCGTGACAATGACATTGAACTTCTTCTTCACATCGTCCAGGACCCGCTTAATAGGCTTGGTCTTGTCAAGGTCCGCATTATCGATCTCGAACGAGTCACGATATCTGCCTGGCAACAGCACGTTTCCTCGGGCACCAGCACCGGGAATGACGGTGACCGGGGTTCGGGCTCCTGCCGCGGAGGTAGGAGTGCCAGCGCCGGATGAGCCAGGTCGAGACCCAAGAGCCGGTGAGCTGTTGGTCGGAGCAGCCTTCGCAGAAGCACTGGCTACCCAGCCTGGAGCCCGCGTGACTGGAATCACCGCTGGTTTACTCGCAGCTCCGAGGGCGGGGAAGGCCTCGTCGGACTGCGTGTCCAAAACGCTGGGCTGATCCGTGGCCTTCTGCTTGCCAGCAGCCTTCTCCGACAAAGGTGGATTGTCTCCGCCATTGGTTGTTGCAGTCTCTTTTGTCTCTTCAACGTGCGTGTGGGGTGGAGGAGGGTGCTGGATGTCATCTTCATCAGGGACATCCTCAACCGTGACCTTGTGCACTTCCGTAGCGTCATGTCGTTCTTTCAGCTGTTGGGCGAGAAGTTGTCCAGTGCTGGAGCTGCCATCAGCAGTGGAGTCGGCTGTGACGGAGGCCATGTTCGTGGTGGCTTCGACGAAGCCTCGAGGTAACCGGTGGGGTGAAACCGTAGGAAGGGGACGACGACCGGGGGCTTTTGACAGGTTAAACTGTCAGTCTCATCAATCTGACGCGACAGACAAATACAAAAGATATGCTCAGTTCAAAAAGGTCGCGACTCTGTTAAAAATTCAGAGTTAGGGCTGACAAGGTGCTATGTGTCTGTTGCGTGATGCAGTGGTGAAGTGAGATGAAAGTGAGCTGCGGCCAGTTCAGTTCGTGGGATTCTTTGTGGAGAGACGACGTCGAGTCAAGTCAAGTTGGCCGTAGAAGCAGCGGAGGGCAGCGTGCCTCCGGAACGGATCATCGTAAGGCCGGTGCCGCTCGCCCCTGAACCGTCTGAGTCTGTCTATCCGCATCCATCCATTTCTACAACATCAACTGTATCGCAGCCATGCTCAGTGCATATTTGCTTTGTCGTCACAGTCTGAATGTAACGTGGACCACTAGTAAGTGAAAGGTCAGGTGTGCAGCTTCTCAAAATTTTATATATAGAGGAAGACCTTATGACCCAAGAGATCCTTCCGCTTCGTGCCACCAATGCTTGCTGTGAGGACGGCGTGACATGTCTGTGAATCCAAAGAGAACTACTGATCTGATATCATAAGTACAAGGTAACCTCCCTCATTGTTGTCGTTTGTCCCGCTTGACAAACCCAACCTTGACGCCTTCAGCGGGCGTCAAAACAATTTCAGCATGCAAAATACGTGGACTTCCATAATCGACAATATGGTCAAACTCCTGCAGAATCCTGACAACAGTATATGCCATCTCGACCATTGCGAACTGTTGTCCAATACAGATCCTCGGACCGCCATTGAAAGGGATGAAATGCCAGGGCTTGGGAGTCCACGTTGCCCATCGATCAGGCACCCAGTCGGCCGGGTCGTATGGGAAGGACTCTGATATAGGCGGATACAAGTCTCTTCGGCGTTGCATTCCAATGGTGCTATAACCGACGACTGTGCCGCGGGGACAGCCCACTGGACTCATGCCGTCAGGTCCAGCACCGTGCGGGAGAATTGTATCGGTGAGGGCAGAGCGGACGTTGAACGGCACCACGGGGTACAACCTCAGGGTCTCGTTGATCGTGTAAGTCAAATATTTCATATCCTTGATCTCCTGGTAAGTCGGTGGCCGGCCGTCTTTGCCTAGATACTCAAATATCTCTGCGCGAAGCGTTTCGACCACTTGTGGGTTCTTTGCCAGCTCCAGAAACAGCCAAGACAATGTCGAGGCTGTCGTATCTCGTCCAGCAAGAAGTAGTGCCACCAGTTGGTCACGCACAACCTTGCGATCCCGGGTATACCGGGCGAGCGCATGAATAAAAGTGTCGGAGCCGGACAATTTGGACTCGGTCATTGACAATGCCTCTGTGATGAATGGTTCGATGAATCGCTCCATGGTCTTGATTCCTGCTCGGTACGAGTGCATGGGATAAAAGAGTTTGAGGGGTCTGGATTGAGGAGACAGTTCAGTCTATACTACACCTAAACGCAAAGGGGTGGGGGTTGGCCGGGTTGGGGCGATGGGAGATTGGGAGGTGATGAGGGCGGCGGATGTGTGAAGAGAGAGAAAGCGAGAGAGAGCCTTACCCTAATCGCTCTTGCAAAGTTTGAAGCCTCTGCACCTCATCAAACGCCATCGCAAACTCCGACTGCTCCTTATCCAGACTCCCAACACTGTGGCCGAACAAGAAATCCGTCGACGCATCAAGACTGAACCGAGACAGCAACTTATTCATCATGACCATTTGGCCATCGCCGGCCCCCATCAACGAAATCAGTTTGCGCACATGTTTCTCAATCAGCGGCAAATCAGCGACTCTCTCTCGCACAAACATCGGTCTGATGAGTTGCCGCGAATCATGCCACTGTTGCCCATCCGTGGTGAAAATGCCGTCACCCAGAAACGGTTTCCACTCTTCGTGAAATGCCTCCCCTTTGCCGAAATCGTGGAATTGTGTCGCCAGTATCGCTTTGATATTCTCGGGATCCGATGTGAACACAACGCGACTGTCGGCCATGATATGAAGCTCGGCCGTATACGAGCGTGTTCCACTATCACCGGTTCCAGTGTCCTGATACATCCATTCCCAGAATTCTACGGCCTGGTTTTTCAGCATGGCCCGTGTCGAATGGATGAGGAAGTCAAGACCTAGTGTGGATTTCTCGTCAGCTCCAGTCCTCAAGATTCGAACTGCCTTTGGGGCGTCGTACCAAAGATGAATCTCGTAGTGATTCGGGGGCATTCGCCGCCTAGTTTGAGAACCTCTTTTCGCTTGTTGTATCTCCTGATATATACATATGCGACAAATGCGAGATACAAAAAGAGTAAAAGGTATTGCCATGATAGGAATTGCAGAATCATCTTGCAAAAAATAGACTGGAACCGTAATGAATGTGCCAACAGGCGACAATGCAATGTACACTCAGGATCAGGAACAAGCGATTGGGCGGTGTAGACACTTGCAGTTGGGGTCTGCTTCTCTGCCTAGGTATGTACCGGAGAAGAGTAACATCTGCACCCAACCTCGAACCTGGAAGCGAAAGACCGGCGACGAGGACATCAATGTAGTGCTGCCAGCGTGTTGGTTCTTTTATATTATGCCCGAAAGATCATCAATGCAATACCGGGCACACCCTCGCATCATCCTCGGCCCACTCCTATGCGCTAGAAATACGATGTACGAATATATCTTCTGTAAGTTGGTCTTGGAGGGTTGCCCCATGTTTTGATTGGGATACCGGGTAAACAATGTGGCAACCAAGCAAGGGTCTTTCGCTTGGCCCATTAATTGCTCGAATTGAACGCATAGAAACAAATGACAGTTTCATTTCAGGCGTCCACTATAAGTTGCATCCGCCCTCCATCAGGCACCAAGTCATTTGCACCGGCGACATGCCCATGTCGAAATCCGTCACCTCTCGTTCCCTCCATTCTCCCAGTCTGCGGGACGCGTCTTCGAGCATTGTCTCATTTCTCACGCCGGTCCAGAGCACCTCTGCAGCGGCCGCCACGCGAGGCCATAATTTGAAGTCAAGGTCAACCAAATCAGTCTGCTCGCTCCACATGAGAACCTCTCCGCCTTCAATGTTAGCCAGTAGGTCGGCGGTGATGTTCTCCAGAGGATTGTAGGTGTAAATTTGACGCCAATTGTGAAAAGGACTACAATAATCAAGATATGGCTTCTTCAACCGCGTCGGATATCCTCCTGATGTGTTGTATGGCACGCCGTGTGGTGACTTGCCTGACGGATAGGGGTTGAGGAACCCACCGAAGCCACCTACAACTACTTTTGAGAAGAGTCTTTGACCGACAGGGGAGATACTCACAATCAAGGTACCAGTGATGGTAGTCTCCAAATATTGCTCGATGGCCTTTCTTCAACACTTCCTCAATTCGTTCACTGTTGCGCCACACTTGGATCAGTGTGTCTACGGATCCGTCGACCGTGGCTGAAGGTAAGGTTAGATTCCAGTCCAAGAGCATTTCTTCCCACACAACTGGTTGAAGGCTATGTTGGACGGCAAGACCGACCACAGTGTCGATGAAACTCTGCAACAATGGCTGGAGCACCTCTGGATCATCACTGTTTACCGTCTCATCTAGGAGGTAGGCAGCGCGGTTGACCTCGTCGCCACCGATATGGTACAAAGAAGTATACCGACTGGTTCGAGGCAGAATATCGTTGAGTAAATCAGTTACAAAGGCAGATACTTTGGAAGAATTGAGTTTGAGCTGGCCACTGAGTGGCTCCGCGGCAAATGTCGACCAATCCAGCTGGTTGTAGGCTGCTACCAGTTCGGGATATGCATGAGCAACAGACGCTGTATGGCCCGGCATATCTATCTCAACAAAAACAGAGACTCCCTTCGAAGCGCCGTAAAGTTGTATCCCCTCGAGACTGGAAGTTGTCCAGACCAAATGTGGCTGATAGGCTCCCTTTCTGGCCAGGTCAGGAAGTGATGGGATCTCGAGTGGCCAGCTCTGTGAATCTGTGGCGTGGATATGTAATCGATTCATCTTCGTCCTTGCCATGGCATCAATTGTCCGCCTCAGGTCTTGAGGTTGGATAGGGTTGCGAGCTATATCGACACTCAATCCTCGGTAGCGCCATCTCGGTCCATCGATCACACTGAAAGGTGCGTTCGCCATATATGATCCGGAACGGCTGGAATGCGCATAGAACAGCTGCTTCAAGGTCTGGAGTCCCCATAGTGTGCCAATGGTGTCATTAGACCGAATGGTCGCTGTTCCATTGTCAATGATGATCTGGTAAGATTCATCCCCAGTAAAATACGGTTTCGATTCGAATCCCCGTGTGCTTGGACAGTGCCGCTGTTGTATCTGCAGGCTGGACAGGTAATGGCGGGGTGCTGTTGCGTCAGGTTCAAAGGTAGAGTGCCGTGAATGAAGTTTCCAGGGGACAAATCTGGTATCTCGCATCGATCTGAGTGTCTCTTGTACAGCATTTTGTGCGATCAATGCTTCTGTTAGGGTGTGCTTGGTTTCTTCGGAGCTCGTGTCCTTGTCGAATGCGTGAAACTGGGCAAAGAGTGTTTGCGCGGATTGAAACGCATAATTCGCGAGACCCAGCAACGACGTGTCACCCAGGCCATGATAGTGATCATATACCACAAACTCTTCTCCGTCGCAGCGTAATGTAGCCTTGATGGCTGGATCTAGCCACAAGACCTTGTCGCCTGTGGAGATTCGGGCTGGCTGCGGCCAGATCGCGCTCACAACGGGGATGCAGAAGGGGGCGAGGAAAAAATAGGGATGCATGACTGGTGGAAGAACTAGTGCGAGTCTGAACACTACCTATGCGATCAGGGAAGGGCCATCAACTGATGGACATGTTCAGCCAAACTTGAAGTGCATGATACTTGGTTACCTCGAAGGATGCACCGCACAGCCGGTATTTCACTCACTTTTCTGAAATGACTGGACACGAGCGAGCAGATACCTCCCTAGACCACAGAGTGACAGCAGTAGATCATGATTTAAACCAAGGCAAACAGGAACAGATAGGCCGGGATGTTGTTTGTCATGTTGTGGTCCAGAAAGACATCAATGAATGCGAGTTTGACCTTGATTGAAGACATCATATGACTAATGCTTGGCACGTGATTTCTTACTAATGCTTGGCACCATTTCCCGCCACCTCGCGCCGCTTTTGCAGCGTGATTCGAGTTACAGTGCAAAGAAGCAGAATCATCCAGCCAGTCGCCTGCGCAGCCTGAGCGAGCGCAGTCTCCATCTCCAGCCAACTTCGCCTACTAGTAATTCTACCGTAGACATTCGAGCTTTGTCTTCCCTACTTCAATACAAAGTTACCACGCGTATCACTCTCGGCCTGAAGACTCTCTGCGCCCATCGCATAGTCATCGGCTCGTTGATTTCATCGGAATCACGGAAAAAGGACGATTAGGCCTTGTCACTCATTGTCTACCACAAGCAACGAACGAAGGCGCGACCTTCGACTTATCCTTTCCACGAGGCGAATTTTGCCTTTCGCCTAACCTCAACCCTCACCGTTTTCGAATCTCTGTCTGATCATGTCGACCATCGCTCTCGAGACGCCCTTGGCTGAGACTCTCAGCAATGCTGTTCATTCCAAGATTGTCGAGGAAGGCTGGACGCAGGAGGACGACACTTCGTTAGCCGAATACATCGTGTTGATGCTGGCAAATGGAAAAACTCAGGATCAGATCGCATCCGAACTTGCGGGCGAGTTGTTGCAAGATGCGAAGGGCACGACGGAGTTTGCGCAGTGGCTGTTCGATCAAGTCAATTCTCTCTCCGGCGGTACCACAGGCTCCGCCCCTGCAGAAACATCAGAATCCACTGCGCAGCAAAATCAAACAGTCGCATCAGAGTCTGCGCCCGCGGAATCGACAGAAAATACCACCTCCGCAATTCCCGCGGCTTACGACCAAGATATGGCTGACAACGCCCCTGAAAATGCGTATGTTCTTTCAGTCCCAAATACTACACGATATGATTTGCTAACTTTTGCCAATAGTCCTCGAGGGCCCAAGAACTTACACGGAGGCCGGCCATCGGGCAGAGGTGGACGTGGCGGTGCAAACAACAAGACTGGCGACTCCGTGCTACATAGAGTGCGCGGCAATGATCGAATAAATACACACTCCCGCGGCACACCGAAAGGACCTCGCAACGTGCAGAACCGTGACATTCGGCCAGGCATGCAAAAAGCCTTGAATAACATGGCCATGGGAGGTCCTCCACAGGGAATGCAGAACCCCATGTTGATGAACGGTGGCCAACCCGGACAACCAGTCATGCAGATGACCCCACAACAGCAGATGGAATTTATGGCAATGATGGAACAGCAGACCAGAATGCTCGCACAAATGACAGGCATGATGCCCGGATCGGTCAATACTTTCCCACAAGGCGGCAACCAGCAAAATGGCCAGGGTCGGTCATTATTTGACAGGGTCGAGCCAGGGCGCGGTCGCGGCGGTATGCGAGGGCGAGGGCGAGGACGCGGCGGACATGATCAGAATGGGCATATTAAGGGTGCTTCCAAGTCAAATGATCAGGAGAGCCCGGCAATGGAAGTCGATGCCTCGAATTCCGAGGCCGGAGCTTCCTCCGCCATGGACGTCGAAAATGCTCCTTCTACAGAACGAAAGCCTCACGACCCTTCAAACACCATGTGTCACTTCAACCTTCGCTGTACCAACAAGGACTGCCCCTATGTGCATCAATCGCCGGCCGCACCCGAAGGCACAGTGGTTGACATGAATGACACGTGCTCCTTTGGGGCTGCTTGCAAGAATGTCAAGTGCGCGGGCAAGCATCCATCGCCAGCTCAAGTGAGGGCCTTTCAGGGACAAGAGCTCTGCAAGTTCTTCCCCAACTGCACCAAACCGAATTGTCCGTTCAAACATCCAACCATGCCTGTGTGCAAGTTTGGCGCCAACTGCAAGACCTCAAATTGCCAGTACACCCATCTCCAGACTCCCTGCCGTTACAACCCGTGCACCAATCTGCGATGCCCGTTCAAGCATGAACCTGGTCAGCAGAAGGTCAACAATTTTGCCGATTATACCTGGACCCCGGACAAACAGGCCGATGCAAATGCGGGCAAGGAGCATGTCAGCGATCGGAAATTTGTTGATGACCAGGCCGGGGAGGAGGAGCTTATCAGGCCAGGAGAGGCCACTGCCGATACCAACGGTGCGGGTATGAGACACGAGGTCAGTACTTGATGTGGCCGGCGCAGGAGGCCGAGCAGAAGAGAATTGGAGAAACGGCAGAGAAGCAAGATTCTCAACGAGGATGTCGGATGGACGGGATAGGATTGTACATTATGTGGCATGAGAAAGGTGTGCTCTGAGCTGGAGCTGCGAGCGGGAATAAGGTATACCCCCTAAGGGCGAGGCTTGATGTCAACGGCGGCGTTGTGCCGTTTTGAACTTCTGTGGATGGGGTTCTGGGATGAATCAGCAATGGTCTTCTTGGAATGAACCGGCCATAACATGAATGAATAGATTGGATGACTGTGCGCTCAGTCCTGTGCGTCATTTGTGTAAGATATTTGGGTTAGGGTGAAGGTGATGTTTATGCTCTGGACTACTAATACCTGCTGGATGTAGGCGTAAAGAGGGTCGTAATACAACAACACTTACTAGGTACTACAGGTCCGTCTGCTCATGCTGTAGCCCCCTTTCAGAATGCAGCATTATAGTACTCTATGTTGGCGTCCGCCCGCTGGCATGGATCTGATAGCGACAATTTGGGGAGTAGGTGTGCAGGCTACTCAAGGCTCGAGACTGAACCTACATTTCAGTACTACCTGTATTACAGAAGTAGACCAGAACCTCACGTCGCAAAGGCTACTACTACCACCAAGGGAAATATAATAAATCCTCGACACTGACGCTGACACTGACACGGCATCCACAACCGAGGTAAGGCATCGAAGAACTAGAACAATGCCGGTATCCACCTTTCCATCTTTCTGCCCGTCTGTCTCCCGGACCATTGGACTCTATGTATACCGATAGAGACTCATACAGTACATTTGAACGGACTTGATAACTGGTCATTGGTCTCATGGAATCGATGTGCAGTACCTAAACTGTACCGCCCACACCACAACGACTGCTAGACTCACTGAAAAGAAATCCGAGCTCTGAGTCATAAGATGAACTTGAAGAAGCAGCATTATTAATTAATAATAATAAACAACTCTCTCACGTCCACGCTGCTATCGCCATCGCCATCGACATCATGGACAACAGCAATCTCGCCACCATCATCTCGACACTCCAAACCATCCTAGCCACGACTCCGCTTCTAGACCGTGACGGTGACCATGACCGTGACCGGCGGGATCTACGAGTCCTTCCTGTGGGAGGTATTCCTGACCTGGAGACGCTTGAAGTACAATCACGAGCACAGGCACACGCCATCAGAACAGCTGCTATCACAACTACTACGAGACAATCGAACAACGAAACCGACATCAGAAACGGGAATGATACCAAGTTCGACTCTCGTCTTCGGACGGAGTTCGATCCGCTCACTCAGTTAGCAACCCATCTCTCAACCGACATCATCCCGTTCCTAAACCTATCATCCCTCTCGCCAAACTATTATGGTTTCGTGACCGGTGGAGCCACACCAGCCGCGCTGCTCGGCGATTTTTTGGCCTCTGTCTTCGACCAGTCTGTCCAGGTTCATTTGCCGCAAGAAACGATCGCGACGACGTTGGAAGTCGTCGCATTGAATCAGTTGGTCAGGTTGTTTCGGTTGCCTGAGGAGGAGTGGGGGATCGGAGGGCGGCGAAGGTCGGAGACCGAGCCGGACACCAAGTCGAAGACCAAGACCGAGGCCGAGGCTGAGACTGACCAACAACGTGGTTTTACTACTACTCCTTCCACCACCACCACCACCACCAGAAGAAATTTAGGCGGCGGTGGCACATTCACAACAGGCGCCACAGCAAGTAACGTGCTCGGACTAGCCTTGGGTCGAGAATACGTGCTTCGAAGGGCAGTCGAACTGAAGGGAGCACTCCCAGACGATCCTGCTGTCGAAACTAACTACAGCTGTGGCGAACACGGCATCGCCGAACTCATGACCCAAGCGGGCGTGCGCAAGATCCAAGTCCTCACCACACTGCCACACTCGAGTATTGCCAAAGCAGCCAGCATTGTGGGGATCGGTAGGAAGAATGTGGTTTCTATAAATAATCCCAAGGATCCGTTGCAGATTGATTTGGAGTTGCTCGAGAGCGAAGCTCGAAAGATTCGTGACGAAAGTGGTGCAGGGGCAGTGCTGTCTATTCTGGTGGTTTCGGCCGGAGAAGTCAATACAGGTCGCTTCGCTACAGATTCGCGGGAGACGATGGTGCGTGTTCGCAGGATCTGTGATGAGTACGGGGTTTGGGTTCATGTCGATGGGGCGTTTGGGTTGTTTGGGCGGGTTTTGAAGGGTGACGAAGGCGAAGCCGAAGCCGAAGCTGCAGGAGCCGCCGCAACAGCAACAACCACCGCCGCCGCCGTCGACGACAACAGTGATGCTGCTGATAAAATCGGATATTCTGACATCATCCGCGGAGTTGACGGTTTAGAACTCGCCGACTCCATCACCTCCGACTGTCACAAATTGCTCAATGTCCCCTATGACTGTGGAGTGTTTTTCACCCGCCACAAAACGCTCAGTGAGGCTGTCTTTGGCAACGGCAATGCAGCCTACTTGACGAGCATGGCCTCCGCCTCCTCCGATCAAATCCAGTCACCACTTAATATTGGAATCGAAAATTCAAGACGGTTCCGCGCCCTGCCTGTCTATTGTACCCTTATGGCGTATGGAGTAGAAGGATATCGAGACATATTGAAGCGGCAGATTGGGTTGGCGAGACGAGTGACGAGATGGTTGCTTCAAGACGAAAGGTTCGAGGTTTTGCCCACCAGTGGCGAGGGTGAGAATGACACTGCTGGACGAGAAAAAGAACTTCTGCGCAAGACATTCATGGTGGTCTTGTTTAGAGTCAGAGACAGGAACAAAAACAAAGACTTTGTGAAGAATGTCAATAAGACGGGGAAAATATATTTGACTGGGACGGTGTGGGAGGGTGAACCTGCTGCTCGGATCGCAGTGAGTAACTGGCAGGTCGATGTCGAGAAAGATACGAAGAAGATTGTGGACACTTTTGATCAAGTGCTGAAACAGATCTGATGAATAACAAAAAAGTCGTCAAGACATGAGTAATATAGCTTCATTTGATTGCAATGCCTGAAGAATTCATGGTCGTGAAGAACGCTTCTGTACAAACAGAGCCGCTAGGTAAAGAATCCATCGTGACTGGAACACTCCTCTCGCCCGGCTTCCATGAGAGGACTTGATTAAAATACAGCCCCGCCTATGATAAATATTCGCTCCTCTTCTCTCTGAACCCATTGTAACACCTTGTTGGCACTCTGAGCAAGAGCATTCCTCGATGTTGAAGGACTAGCTACGCAGTAGAGCTCAAACATTGGCGTCACCCAAGCCAGGGCGGTCGCGGATGTACTGACGCTGTGGTGTACCTTGACTGCTGCATGTTTCGCGTGGACACTGGCGTGTAGCTTGTGGTATAACGACATCAGACGTCTTCGCTGCTTCAAGGTCTCGAAGTTCGGCGAGTACGAGGGCATGAAGAACTGAACATTCCCCTTAGACTTGTACAGAAAATGGCGGAGCACAGTTCCGGCAATAATATCCGTGGGCGTCGGTCGACCTGCTTGAACTGCAGTATGGATGATATGCATGCTCTGGTTCCGGCGGAACTCATGGACAAGATAATTCTTCATGCTGTGGAGATCCTCAAAGCTCTCCTTGTTCGCGCTCAGCAAAATAATGGCGACTGAGTCCTCCTTGGCTATGCGTTCGTTCTCGGCCATTTCTCGCGCGTGGTCACCCCCCATGTCTAGGAAGCTCACATACATGTAAAGGTAGCCGGTCTTGTTGAAGCCTGGAAGGCAGATTGGAACCCAGGAGTCTCCACCCCCAGCTTTGATCCCTTCAGCCTCGAATATCATGTTGAAGATCAATTGGAGATCGCTCGGATGGAGAGAATGCTTTTTGGGACGGATGACACTGACCAGCCTCCCTCCGGCCACAATGAGGCCATACAGAAGGTCGTCCACTCGAGCTCTGATCATGGTTTGGTTGATCACATTCCGATGCGACTTTCTGATCTTCAAGCATTCGAGCGCGGATAGCAAGGCTGAGGGTGACCCCTTTGTAAAAGTGTCGGCCAGCGAAGACAGCAGTACCTCTGTGCCTTGCAATGGACGTCTGAGATCAGTGGAAGGACGCACGGAAAACAAATGTGTTAAGGTGGGCAATGTCAGAGTAGACAGAATTTGCATGTACAACGCCTCCAGTTGAACACGCAGCTGGGCCTCGCTCTCAGGAAGACTTGTAATGCCCACGAGGAACAAATTTGACTGTGAAAGTACGGCAAACAGAACTTCGTCAGCACGGAAGCTGCGTAATTGGTCGTCCCATTCTTGGTACGTGGATATGATCGTCTGAATAATGCCCACGTAAGACGAGATGACAGCATCCGAGCCATGGCGGGTGTAGATGGGCTTGCCAGCAGCAGAAAGAATAATGAAGTGCTTTCGCTTGGACTTCCAGAGAGAATGGGCAAGTTCTTCCCCGACAGCCTTCTCATCGAGATCCTCAAATTCCTTGTCAAAATCAACGTCCTCTTCATCGTTTAATCCTTCCGCGCCTTCTTCGAACAAGCCCTCGCCAAATGAGGAGGAAAGCCCCTGGTCTGCTTGCAGCTCGCCATCGAATATGCTTTCAGTATCCTGTATGTAGCGGCCGAAAGGAGCGTAACTCCTAACGCTGGAACTATCCTCGCCGACATCGCTTGTTCGGTTACTTGTGGTCGCTCGGATTGAGGGAGTTGATGGCACGCGAGACGGCGTGACTCGCAGTTCTTTGGACCCATCGGGTCGAGTATAGCTGTTGACATCGGTCATCGACACCGCGGTTGTCGCTCCTCCAACAAGGGCCGCTCGTGTCGGAGGACGAGAAGCATTGCCCGTGGGCGCCGAGGATCGCATTATATTCCACTCACTCGGCCTTGGGGGCAGAGGGGGTCGTTCTGCATCTCCATTTGACGATTGAGTACCGGGGCTCGTGTTTCCAGTGCTCTCTTCCATGTTTCTCAACGTAAAAAATCAGGACTTTCGGGCGTCGTTGTCCGTGAAGGACAAAGGTGCGGTTGGTGAGCGGGCTTTGAATTAGTCTCCATCATCATCAATGACGGTGTAGATGTTTATATCAGTGCACACAGCATGGACACTACCAAGCGATCACAAGCGATCACAAGCGTTCCATGAGGCATATGACAGCGATGTTGCTGGCATAGACAACACCGCAGCCTCTCAGTCGTGGTGGGAAACTCTACAGCGTTGTACTGCACATGCTTCGCAACTTGAAGTTGTATCCACGGGCATTCTGGATTAATGTCTGCTCGCTCCTTAAACGTTGAGACTAAAACAACATAGCTTCAGATAAGTTGATGTTATTTGCACTATGGGCAAGCGATTAAACGCACTAAAGAAATTAGAAGGCTGCTAGTGCTTAAGTTGTCTACATCTAAAACGGCGTCAAAATGCGCCTAGAGTGGATTCACTGACTTCCGCCTGTCGCGTCGTGTGTACAATTGTATGGCCGCACCACCGTGTCTTTAATGTCAGCCTTGGGCATATTATAGAGACCACGAGGCTCTGGTGAAAGAGTCATTCGCATGTTGGACATATAACCCCAAGAACAAGATACGGGGAGAATTGCCCACTTTGGGAGCCTCAGTCCTTAGCGGCGTGTCCACATCCCTCTGGAATGAATCCCTAATGATTAAGGGAGCCGCTGCCAAACTGTCTGGCTATGGCCGCTGATCCCAAAGCAATTCGCCGCTATCATGCGGGCGTCGAAAGGGCACTCGCCCTGTTTGACGCCACGAACGAATGGGCGGACTACATAGCCTTCCTCAGCCGCCTTGCAAAGACGCTACAGGCATCCCCCCCAGCGGCCGACATCCCGATGAAGCCGGCATTGGCGAAGTACCTTGCTTTGTGTATGAAACCGTCTTTGCCTTCCGGGGTGCACCAAAAGGCTCTTGAAGTGTACAGCCTTGTCTTCACTTTGCTTGGACAGGAGGGTTTGTCCCACGACTTGCCGATATGGCTGCCTGGTTTCTCCCACACTCTGACATTTGCCTCGTTGAGTACGAGACCATTGTTTCTGTCTTTGTACGATGAACATATCCTCAAGCTGCCGAGTCACGTCTTGAGGCCTGCATTAAGGGCCCTCATTCTGTCTTTGCTTCCTGGCATCGAGGAAGAGAATAGCGAAGACTTTGAGCATACTTTGGGAACATTCAACCGCCTTCGACAACTCTTCGTTGAGGACGATTCCGAGGAGTTGTTCTGGCAGAGTTTATTTCTTGCCTCTGTTACCAGCAAGAGCAGACGACCGGGTGCGCTTGTATACTTGACGCGACAACTCCCCAAGTTAGGCCCAAGCACAACCCCCAGCTCGGGTCTAAATGGGACGGATGGAGATGTTTCGGGCTCTCTGGAGAGGGCGATCAAAGCAGTCACAACCCCAGAACCAGGTCTTCTGGTGCGATGTTTTGCTACAGGGCTCCAGGACGAGCAGGCATTAATTCAACGCGGTTTCCTTGACTTATTGGTTTCACACCTCCCGCTCAGCGCCTCAATCCTCCAGACTCACATCCCCAAGAAAGACTTGGATGTTCTGGTTACATCTGCGCTGTCTGTTGTTCTGAGGAGGGACATGAGTCTAAACAGGCGCTTGTGGACCTGGTTTATCGACAAGGAAGATAATCGAGACGGAGCAGCCGACGTGTCAAGTGTCGAGCCATTATCACCGTCCGTCCCTGGCGGCGAAGCTCACACTTCTGCCGCACACAGCTATTTTGAGAAGTACGGCCTACAATCTGTGATCCGCAGTCTTGAGAAGATGTTGCGAAAGGAGTCTGCTTCTCCAATAGACAGGGCTCGCCCGTTCCGCATAATGCTTTCCTTGATGGACCGCTGGGTCATTGGCAAGCTACCAATCCAGGCTTTGTTCATTGTAGCCATGCAAGATTTGCGGAGATACCAAACATTGGCACCATCGCAAGCCTCGTTCGATGAAGTCTTCCGGAGCGCCAATGTATTTTTTGATGCCATCGAGCCTCAGCTCATAACCAGTCAACTCTTTCAACTTCTTGAGATGAAACAGCTGGATTTGCTTGACTTTATCATGTCCAACTTCAATTTACAGGATGACGAAATGACTGCTGTTCATTTGCCACTTCTGTGCCTAGCAGTGTCCGAGATGACTCTGCAAAGCAAGGTCTCAGATTCTGATGAGGCGGGTGAAGAAGCAGAAGCACTATCCAAGCTACTAGAAGGGCTCCTCGCCCTGCTCCCGCCACACCCAGTATCACCGCCGTCCACAAGAAAGGAAGGCCTGCCACACGATGGTTGGCTGACGAGAATCAAGGCATTGTACCAGAAGTCTTCCTACGTCAGAAAGGCTTTGACCGACATTATATCTCCTGGAGAGGCAGCCGAACTGTTACTTCGGAATGTCGCGCTGGTCTTTCTGGACTGTCTGACCAATCCATCCCGTCGGAATTCTCTAACACCCTTGACCAATGCTCTTGTTAGAGCTATATCGAGGTGCAGCACGTTCCAACCCCTGCGACAGCTTGAATTTGGCGAGCAGCTTCATACAGTTCTCCAGAACATACCCTCGCAGACTTGGGTGAGGTATGAAGTAGCTAGGAGCATTGCTGTCATAGTCGATACGCTCCACACTTTTGATCCTCATGGCGAGACACTCACAAAACGCGACTTGTATACCATAATACCGGCACTTGTGTCTCAATTTTGGTCAGTTCTTCTGCCGCGCACACCTCAATACCACGTCGAAGCTGTTGAACAGATATGGAAACTTCGCATCATCTCTCAGCCCCTACTTCTAGTGGACAGCAAGATCATGGAATTAATGTGTGAAGGGCCATCCTCATTAGAGGATGAGCAACGACGAATTGCACACTTCTCAACTTTCTGGCTCCACACACGATTCCCAGAAATCAACGTTGAAATATTCTCAACAAGTCATGGTTTCGAGGACGACGACGTACCGTGGGCTTTGCTACGGCAGCCAGTGCTAAGCATCATCGATGGCGTGGATCCCCATCAGCCAGATGATCCACGACGAGTCTGGCTTAACAACCTCCCATCGATGCTCCCTGTTTTCACAATAATTTATACTGAAAACAACGCCGCCACGAATCCTCAACTGTCCATTCTTGGTTTGTGCCGACTGCACAAAGTTATTGTTCTTGCGCGACAATCGACTGTGCAACGCAACGAGATTTTTGCATCTGATGGAGTTTCCAGCATGATATTGGACCTATGCACCGAGAAACTGTCCTCTAGCGAAAGTGAAGCATCCGTCAAGCTGGTGCTTTCGATTTTGAATGTCATTATTGAGGAAACAGATGTGCGGGCTCTCGAAGAACTGGTTGTCCTGCTCATGCAGCGCTTAATCAACCTGAGCGAGGATAACTTCATGCAAGAGAGTGTGTTGGACACTTTACAGACGATATTTGCAAAGCCGAATTCCAGACCTCCTCCCGGCGGCCTTTTGGCCATTCTGATGACAGGTATAACATCCGACGCAGTGGACTCGACAATCGATAAATGGATCACGGTCCTGTGCAACACGATCTCTCTCTACACCACCCAAACGCTTTTCTCCAACATGCTCAAGTTGACAGCCTGCTTTTGTCGGCGGATCAAAACATATTTTGCCCACATGAAGCTCCTATACCAGAAATCAGAAGCCAGCGGCAATGATGAGATTTTCATGACTGCCAAAACCCCCGAACGATCATTGGGCAATCTTCTCGCAGGACTCGAGTACATCCTGGCCAGGGCTCATACACATCTGGTGGATCAATCCACAGGGTCTGAAACGGCCAGTATTACCAATACCTCAGAAAAGTCCCAGGCACGATCCATCGCCAATCACCGTCTAACGGTCATCCTCTGCATGCAAGACACGATCAAGCTGTGCGGCGAGATTTGGGCCTGGAGGATATCGAAGAGGTCATCTGACACCGTTCCTGACACCAAGTCTTTTGCCTACATATCGGCACGACTCCGTACACGAACGCGAAGGATTTTGGAACATCTCACAGACGCAGAGCCGCAAGAATGTCTGGAAACCTTAATGGGGATGTGGGTCGAGACAGCTCGACGAGGTTCGGGCGAGCATAATGTCGCGCTGAACTTGATGCAGAGTCTGGACGGAGCGCGGCCCAAGTTCATGATGCCCGCGACATTCAATGCCATCTACAACCGAACCAATCCATCTGCCCTGGACCAATCCCAGAAATCAAGTTTATCAGTCGATGTCAGTGCGCCCGAGCTCATGGCGTTTTTGATAGCGTACACAAAGGCGCTCGAGGACGATTTGCTCGAGGAGATCTGGACGGACTGTACGACTTTTCTCCGAGAAGTTCTCGCCAACCCAATGCCCCATCGGCAGATTTTACTCAGACTGCTAGAATTTGTCGCCGTCATATGCCAAAAGATGGAGAACACCAACTTTGGAGAAGTTGTCCGGATGCGTCGAGAACTGGCCGACCTGTGCGCTAGGCTCTTTACCGCCATCTTTACCATCAAACCGGCCGGTCTTGATGGGACAGCATCCTCACAGACGACTACAAGTCAACATCGCACCAGCACCAGCGCCGACCCTCTGGACTCCCGTAGTCCTATCCGAATCATCTGCGAAGCCATGCCGATAATCGGCAACGCACTGGGCGATTTGGAAAGGTTGAACACGACCATGTCAGGAATAGCAATGCACATCACCGGCCCGGCCCTACGGTCACGCCAGTTTCCTGAATCAGTCACTATCGAAACACTACACCTCGTGCAGCTAATGGCCAAATCCCAACCGAACAACAACAAGACATGGAAAAAGGACGTGTTGGACGCATTCAACGATGCCAAATTCTTCCAATCACCACCCTCACTCGCCGGATCAGGCTGGATGCCCCTTTTGAAACAAGTCTGGCAACTCGATAAAGGCGGACTCATCGCTGAACTTCTGTCCAGATTGACTCCGCCCGCCACGGCAGGAATAATGTTTGGCGTCGGAGCCACGGCTGCGCGCACCGAGGCCGACAGAAAGACACAATTGACTTTACGACGCATAGCGTTGCTGTTGCTTTCCGTGGACATCGATGCTTTGGTGGCCGAGTTGAGTTCGATACTGCTCAAGATGGAAGAACTTTTGACAGCTACGGTGTCGTCCTCGCCGTCCTCGGCTACCAGGGCAGACGTCTATTTGGTCTTTCGGGCTATAGCGCTAACTTTTTCTCATGTCCATTTGGTCTCGGTGTGGCCTATTGTGGATGCTGAATTACGTGACATTTTCACGAATATACGCCACGGCCAACGCAGCCAGGGCGAACATGAGTCCGAGGAGGCCGAGTCCAAGTTGGCTTTTACCCCTTCCTCCCAGTTACAGGGTGCCAAGCTGTTGGATCTGCTGTTGCTTTTGAAACCGGAGGAGTTTCAATTGCACGAGTGGCTGTTTGTCACGGACACGGTCGATGCCGTGTATCCTCCTCCGCCCTCTTCGGGTTTCGAGCCGACGGCGCTGGCTGATCAGATCGTGTCCGTGTCCAAGAGCCCGAACTTGAAGACCGAGGTGGAGCTTCCTACGTTGAAAGAGGACGAACCCCGAAAACCGTGGTTGTGCACGGATCTGACTCGGACAAGTCAAAATCCTCAGGCTGTCTTGATACCGTTTTTGAGACAGTTGAGCATTCATGCCTTTGAGGATACGTACAGTCTGCAACCGGTGGATGTTGCCGCTTGTCGTCAAGATCTGTTGGCGGACTTATTTGTTGACTGAGCAACGGAGTTGGAGGATAGACCTAAATCAGCTTTTGCAACGCATGGCCTTGATGTTCAAGTTGCCACGAACTACTAGTAGTTAGTCATGGTTCAGCGGCGGTCCACGACATGTAGAATGGTGTTCGTGTTGTTCTGCTATTGACAGTGTCCCTGAAATCCGAATAAGACGGGACAGGGAAGAAGCAAATCTGCTTTGACAGTCAAGTGGCCCTGCGTGTTCTCAAGTGTTAGAACAGCTGGATTCTCGATTAGGCTGCTGCTATACCGCTGCCCTTGCAGTATTCGACCAAATGAAGGTGTGCAAAACCAAAAAGAGAAACACAGGTGGTCAACAAGACTGAGTATAGATGACTGCACCGACACAGGAATTTTTTTTTGTTTGTACTTTTACACGACGCTCCAAGTTGGCAGAAAGTCATCCCCGAGTGTGTGCGAACCATGCGAAACACCGCGCACTGCGCTTTCATTGGAGGAGGAGAAGATTCGATCCATCATTCCAGGCATGCCCACATTGTCCCTTAAAAAGCCCATGCGATCTGGCAGCTTATTTTTTGATCTGTGACATTCTGTTCTCGAGTTCTGTTACGTAGGAGTGGATCCGTTGCACGGCCGCTTGAAGTGCCTGTGTTCGCGGTTAGCAATTCATCCGGCCACGGCTGGATAAAAGCTGAGAGCTATCCAACATTGCTCGTGGGTGAGAGCATGGCAGGACCTGAATCTCAGAGTGGCAAAGGCGTGGGCGGCATACATAGATATCTTCTGTCAAGAGCTCGTTGGAGATCTTGTATTCCTCGAGGATATAGTAGTAAACCGATGCTCCGGCGAGAGTTGAGCCGAGAAGGAATCCGAAAAGCCTGGTCAAGACAAGTATCAGCCGATGTTCCCGAGCCAGTTGTCTCCTGCCCGTCTGTCCAAGCCTCCTCCCATTTTTGGGCTGAATCGAGCTTACCCTCCTCGGAAAGCTCCAATGGGCTTCTTCACCGGCGGCGCTGCAACAGCCTCCTGGAAACGTCTGCTAGATGTCTGAAACGATCTTGACAGGGAGAGCGCGGAGGGTCTGAGGGTTCTGGCGGCGGGCGCGAAGCGCCGGACAGCGAGGCGTGAAGCCATGGTAGCGGTGGGTGATGGATCGACGTCTCAGTACCAGGTACTGGAGCTTTCTCGTGGATGTTGGTGATTTGGTTTGGCGCAGGTTTTACAGACAGAACCGGACCGAGGGTCGGAAAAGGTAATGGCAAGTCGGGCGGAATCGCAGTGCTAACGGCACTACAGGAGCAGTAGTGGCAGTCTTGCGATGGAGGAAATTGGGATCGTGAGTTGGTCGGCTGGGGTTGTTGTAGTGGTAGTAGTAGTAGGCTGCTGTGCTCCACCCGGAGCGGAAAGAGCTGCGGCGATGGTCACGGCCACAAGTCACAAGTCACGGGAGGATCGAACGGGGAAGCCGCGGCCCAGGCGGAAAAGGTGCCTGCCACTGTCGGACGAGACACGGAATGAACGCGGATTACTCAGCGGCTCTAGAAACACGTGCAAGGCTGGCACTTGGCTGGCAAGGCTTCACAATACAGTGCACTCGCATCCGAGTCGACCTTCAAGTTTCCCCAGACCCATACTGTTCACCCTACACGACCTCAACACGAGTCCTTATGAGTACCTGATGTCGATCTCACTCGGAGTTCCTTCTCATCGTCGTCATCTGCCCTCCCTTCTACTCCGGTGATGCCTCTAATCGAAGAACTCCCGGTCGCATCCACGACCGGCCGTCCCTCTCACGGCTGGGCATACGTCCCCGCCGACGGCAGCAACAACCCCCTTCCCGCGGCACCTCTAGGATCGCGTAAACGAGGCCGAGATGCACTTGGGACAGCAACAGCGACGGCCAGCCTCAGTGTCAGCGCAAGAAACAAATTGTCCGCGAAACAAGAGAAAGCCATCCAGCAGCGGTTGAACGATCTGGGGAAAGAAAATTATCGAGATGGTGCACACATTCCGGTGCCGAAGAGAGATGGCGGCAACAGAACCAAAACAACGTCGAATGTCCGTCGTATCCTGGCGTATAGTCGGACGTTTCAGCATTATCTGGCAGACGAGGAGGCCGGTGTGAATGTCTACGGAAGTGCGGGAATTGGTATTGGACTGCCAGCAGATGGTGGTGCTCCTGGTTCCGCCCGGGCCTCCCAGCAACAACGGAAAAGTACACCAACGGTTACCCCTACAACAGAGTCGAAAAGGCGAGGAGGAGCAACCTTGACCTCGGCAGCAGCCGAACGGGAAAAAGACAAGCCTACGCCGCGTGGTGGGAGACCATCCACATTGAGAAGACAACAGGCAGCCGCCGCAAAAGAGGCCAATGCATCGCCTGTCAAGAAAGAGGATGACACTAAAGACAGTGTGGATGTGGAAATGGTCGATGCTCCGGCACCAACTTTGTCAGAGAAACAAGAGTTACCATCTTCATCAACCACTGGTGATCATTCCCAACCCCAACCGCAACCACCGCAAGAAGTGCTATCGGTAGCATCAGCAGCAGCGGAAACAGAACCGTCAACATATGATCCTGCTTTGGATTGCGATCCTCTTCTTCGCACCCGGGACGTCCCTAAAATGCCCTCGGAGCGCGTGATGCAGGCCCTGCTCGCTGAGCCACCGCTCAGCTATACGGCCGCACGGGCAAAGCCACTGGAAGATGGGGGAGGTTCTGCTGGCTCTGGCCTCTTATTGCCCAAACCGCCGCGCTGGTTCTGTGCCATCTGTGGGTACTGGGGTAAATCGAGGTGTAAGTACGGATGTGGCGAGAGGGTGTGTGGATTGTTGGAGTGCTGGAGGGCTCATGAGGGCGTCTGTCCTCTCAACGCCTACTGAGTGGATGGAAGTGGAAATTAAAATAGAAGAGCGGTATGATGAGGGCACTTACTGGCTGTGCATTGGCCGGAGTAAACATTTTGATATGAATTACCATGTTTTCTTGAAGCATTGATACCCCAAAGCAAAGTCTTGTTACTTCTGGTTCATGTTCGGCAGGACGAACAGATATGAGATACTGCTACTCGAATGAAATCGACACAATAATTAATTTATAAATACATCAAATTCTCCCTCTTTGGAGGTAGCTGCATTGTTTTCACAATCCTGTTCTCGCTTATCTTTAATTCTAGGTTCAAGTTTGGCTCTGGCTCCGGCTCTGGCTTTGGTCCTGTTTTTCAGTCTTTCAAGCATTAAACTATGTAGGTATCTATCATTCCTCATGCTTATCATCAACTAACATTATCATCTGCTAGCCCGTTCAGCTTTGTCTGCTTCCTGTTTTCCTCTTCTCAGTGCCTAAACGGCAAGTCACTATAGGCCGTAGAGCATACCGGATTCAAATCTCCCATCCATCCAATACCCATCACACTGGCACGTATTGATTACTGTTATTATCACCTTCTCCTCTCACCACAAATTCCACAAAGACCCGCATCTCCGGCATTGAGGTAGCCACTATTTCGGCACGACTCGCTCCGACACACCCAATGCCGCGGGTCTTTATGGGGATCCAGAACGTGCGAACATGCCATGCAGATGGCGTTGAGGCGGGGGTTGTCGAGAGAGCAGATTGGACAGGATATCGTAGTAGTAGCACTACTACAGAGAACGGATGAAGTAGAAGTAGGGCAGGCGCTGGAAATGCCGGTGGTAGTGGCAGTAGGGATGGTCGGTGAGGGTGATACGCTTGCTGGTGCTGGTGCTGGTGCTGGTGCTGGTGCTGGTGCTGGTGCAGATTGAGTCTGCGTCGTTTGCTCCGCTTGGTCTTCCTGTTTAGGTACTGTTCGTTGTGTTTCTGGTTTCGGACCAGGTATATCAAGACTCTCTGTCCCTGTCACTGTTCTTGTTCGCCTTGAGGTGGAAGTCGACGATCCAGGCGAGACGACTCGTGGCGTCGTCCTGTTGTCGAGTCGAAGTCTGGATGAGGCATCATGTTCAGGCGTTGTGCCTAAGGTGGTTTGTTCAAGTTGCACGCTTGTATCCCTTGATATTCCAGACGAGTCCTGTTCGTTTCTCGACTGGTCATCTAAATCTGGGGATGTAGGTCGCTCCGCAGCATCGTTTGACAGTAAGCCATTCTTGCCTTTCACGTAGTCGTCGCCATTAGACCTTGTTTGATCCGAGGCGGGTCGTTTCTGCTGCTGTTGCTGTTCCTGTTCCTGTTCCTGCTTCTGCTGTTGCCGCTGAATCACAGGCTTGAAATAGCGATCCAAAAAATTCATCTCCTCCAACTCATGCTTCGCATCGACATCGTGGCCAGCGTCTTCATGATCGCAAACACGAACCATACCCTGTCCCTGACTATCGAGCAATTTGCGACCGTTGGAATCAACAGCATCCTCCTCCAGGTCATCACCCTCTTCCTCGTTGTCGTCCTCCTCCTCATCTCCATCGTTTTTGGTATTTTGTTGCTCCAAAACATCCACCTCCTTCTTATTCGTCTCAAATCTCGCCAAAGCAGCAGCTGCCCTGAGCTCTCTTCCCCTTTTACTCTGCGCGACCCTCGGCTTCGTCAAGCCCAACGACACCCCTTTTGCCACCCCTTTGGTCGTTTTCGTTTTCATTTTCGCATGATTATAATCCAAAGCCAACCTTTCACTCTCATCCTCACCGAGTGCAACACCATTCTTCCCAAATTTCTTCTCAATCCGTCGATCGCGCTTCTCTTTCCACGTCAATTCCTCACCCTGCCCAGCCCCTCGCTTCCTTTTCCTCGTTGTCCGTCGACTACGAAACGTCCCTCCGCAAAGTGGAAGTCTCGCCAACTCCTCACTCGCCAACACATTGTTCCCACTCATCACAAGGGACAAATCACTCAGTGCCCTTCCACTGCCCCAAAATCCCTCTCCCGTATAACCTCTCTGCCAGAGCGATTTCAACTCTTCAACATATAGATTCCTCGTCTTCCAGAAATCCCGCCCGTGATTCATATGTGTGTTATGCGCTAGCTCGTGCATCATGACCATTTGGACCATGTTGAAGGGTAACCAACCACCCCGCTGGCTTCGGAGAACCAGTTGGATTACTTCGCCGTTGTTGAAGTTGCGTCCGATGAATTCGCGGTTGGGCTCGTGTTCTTCGAGTGTGGTTATGGACAGAAAATGGTTCTTCATTATGGGCAGACATTGCGCCGCGATAGCGCGGAGGAATGTGTCGGCTAAATCGTAGGAGGTGCGGTCGGATGAGGGCCGTGGGAGTGGTTTGATGAATACGATGCGGTCGTTGGGGTGGGTTGATTTTTGATGGTTGAGACGGAGGGTATTGAGGGGCATGGTTTTATTGCCAGAATAGAGACGAGAATAGAGACAGAGAGAGTGTGTGTGTGTGTGTCTGTGTTTGTGTTTTTGTCCGAATCGCAGGCGGGGGACAATCTCAAGAGTGTTGTCGCATGATGATTTGATGCTAATTACCGGTGTGTCCTTGATCCCTGGTCGAAATCAGACCGGTTATGAGGTCTCCGTCGTCCACTCGACTCGCGTTGAGGATTATGCCAGCACACAGAGGAGTGGTGGATGTTGTACAAAAGAAATGAAGACGGCCTGGTTGTCGAGAGTCGCCTCCGAGAAGTTGAACGAATCGTGTGGCGAGTCAGGTTCCGCCTTGATGGAGTCCATAACTGACTCGGGGGACACCCAAACCCGGGGCATGTGAGCACGTGCGCTGACCATAACATTAACGAGAATAGCCGAGGTTCAAACCGCTGTTGCTTGGTGGATCTCCTGTGTAGGCGACGATTGGCGAGTAGATGCAGCTGCGCATACAACCACAGGCCCGGTACGAGCAGCGTAGGCCGAACCTGTATCCCATCTGGGTATCCCGGCTGAGCTTTCATTCAACCTTTAGGTAAGATCCGGGACCAGCCGCTTCATTTGTGGGCAGTATATGTGTCGTGACTACAACCTACCTATCCAATCCGCCTCTATAGAGATACGGGAGCCGAGTAAAAGCTCCAACAGAGTTGACTGAGGACCGACCAGAAAAGACAATCACTCTTCCGGAAGGACTCTTACTGTGAGGATTACAGAGAGACAATACACTGCTCCTCACCTACCTATATACTTCTACTATTCACCACCCCTTTTGACGGATTCGGGTCATTCCCGTGTTTATTGTATATACAGGACAGCTTCTCGCTCGTATCCACCCCTCTCCCTTTCACCATGGGGCCCCAGCCACGGAAACCGTCCTCCGCAACCAGCGGTTTCTTCCAGACCCTGCCGGTAGTGCCGCCTCAATATACACAGTCTTCGCCTTCATCCACAAGAAGTCTTCAAGAGCATCAGGACCGCAATCACCATCACAACCACGATCACGTTGACGACGATGGCCCCTCGGACGACATCATTCTCGACCGCATTCTGGCAATCTACCTACCAACCCCAATTCCCCACGAGATCTCACAGCCCCTGCACGACTTTGCACGACAGGTCCTGCATCCCTCGACGCTCGCACACACGGTGGACTGCGAGACGAACCTACCGACAATCCACCCACTCACCACATTCGGAGAAGAAAACAGAACCAACCCTCTCCGGACGAGCGAAGGCTGGCGAGCCCTGAAGCAAATCCAGACACGGGCCGGGGTAGTCGGGTACGGCTATCCGCACCTAGCGATCCGACAGAACTTCAACCGACGGGTTCACCAGTTCGCCACACTGCACCTATGGCACGGGTCGTGTGCAATGGTGACGTGTCCGATGGCCATGACGGACGGGGCGGCAGTGTTGTTGCGCAAGCACTTGGGCGATCCGGACGATGACCAACCGGGCCGGGCAGAAGTGTTCCTCGAGTCGTACAAGAGACTGGTATCCCTAGACCCGAGCTACGCGTGGACCAGCGGGCAATGGATGACGGAGCGGACGGGGGGCAGCGACGTGCGCGAAACAGAAACGGTGGCTCGACGCATGACGGAACAAGAACTTCGAGATGACAGACTGAAAAATCGAGATAGGGACGCCCACGGCCTCCCACTGGGCCCGTGGCTCGTTGACGGGTTCAAATGGTTCTCGTCGGCGACCGATGCCGACATGGCGATTCTTCTTGCGCAGACTGACAACGGATTGAGTGCATTTTATGCGCCCTTGCGCCGACGCCTCGGTGGTAACCCATCGTCATCACGTGCAACGACAGAACATCTCGATGCCACCGAAATGAACGGCGTCCGCATGCAACGGTTGAAAAACAAACTCGGCACAAAAGGCTTGCCCACCGCCGAACTGGAAATCAAACAAATGCGCGCGTTTCTCATCGGCAAGCAGGGCCAGGGCGTCAAGGAAATCAGTGCCATCCTCAACATCACAAGACTCTACACTGCCACCGCGGGTGCCGGATACCTGGCGCGCGGACTGGCCGTGAGTCGCGCATACACCCATGTGCGCAAGGTCCGCGCGGGTCAGTTGCTGCGTGACAACGCGCAGCATCTGGCCTGGATGGCCGGCGAGTCTGTCAAATACCGTGCTCACATGCATTTGGTCTTTTTGGGCGTCGCCCTGCTGGGGGCCAGCGAGCAAGGGTATGAGGCGGTGGCAAACAACAACACTCGTGCGGCCGGTCTGATCCCGCGTGACAAAATGGCTATTGATATGCTCCTCCGCATCTTGACACCTGTCATGAAAGCGCAGGTAACATTGAACAGTGTGTCCGGTCTTCGGGCCTGCATGGAGTCGCTGGGTGGTGTTGGATACTGTGAGAACAATGAAGACGGAGGCGTGCTCAATATCGCCCGACTCTTCCGCGACAGCGTGGTCGGGACCATCTGGGAGGGCACTACTAGTGTCATGGCCGAGGATGTCTTGAGAGTCATCAAGAATCCAAAGACAAAAACTGATATCATCGATACCATCTTCGGAACGTGGACCCGCGCCGTGCTAAAAGTTGTCGGTCCCAAATCCTCGAGAGAGGCCGCCATCGTGCTCAGCCGTTATGAGACCCTCAAGAAAATGGTTGATCAGCTGACCGCCGACCAGCTCCACCGTCGCGGCAGGGACATCCTTGAGCATATCGAGGCCATTGCATGCGCCTGTCTGCTGATGTACGATGCGTTGGTGGATGGAGATGTTGTCGCCACTGAAGTCGCCGTAAGGTGGGTCAACATGATTGCATTGTCTTCGGATAATGAACACGGCCTGGAGAATAATTCTAGGGGCTTGGGCGAAGAAGTCAGCCTTGACAGAAGGATCTTCCTGGGTTTTCACGCTGGTGGTTCGGTGACTGCAAAGTCGAAACTTTAATTCTGATGAATAACAATATATACCGCTCCTTGTGTAGTCCAGAAATGTCGTGCCGAATGATCATGTAAGTCCGATCAAAAGGCGTTGTTTTCTTTTCCGCCGTCAAGTATAAACTTCACATACTCTGCCTACGAAGCCGGCGAGTCCCGATGTGTGGGACACAGCCGGCCCTGACACTGGCCCAGGTGCAACAACCGTCGGAATAACAAGGACTTGGTTGTCTTTCTCCATCCACTCCACGGTGCTGACGAAGCGGAAGGTGAGTTTGATCCCTTTCTGGCCGGGGCTGTTGCCATCCCCACGCATTTGTTTTATATCCTCCATGTCAAAGCGGAAGACTTCGCCCTCGGAAGAAGCTGCGGTTTCTTCCTCGGTAGCTCCTTCATCCAAGGCCATACCGATGACCTTGACAGCAGCACGTATACTATTGATATAGACGGTGGCATGACCGCCCAGGATCAATGGTGGTGAGTCTTGCCGAGCAAAGTCGGGCAATTCAAACGATGCAGAGAACGAACGATAGCCTGCGAGGCTGGTATCGCCTGGATCACCTAGCAAAACCATGCCTTTCCGGGCTCGCTCGAGCGTCGTACCTGCTGTATCATTGTTCAAGAGTTCCACTCCAATCGTTCCAGTATCTCCTTGTTGCATGCCAACAACAGGAAGCCGGAGATTTCGCAATGAAACGATGCGAACAGGCAGAAAAATCGTCTCAAACTCCCTGGTTCTGGACGCTGGAGACCTGGAACACTCGCCTTGATATGACTGCCCAAGTTTAGTCGTCATCCCGGCACTGTCACGACCGACCGTCTCGTTACCATAGGAGCAGGACCGCGCAGCAAGTCGAGCAGGCTGTTTTGAAGACGAATCTTGATCCTTGGAAATCGGCCCGAGGTACATAACACTTCCAACCGACAGCGTGCCACGAGCAACGTAACCACACAACACCACACCTTCCTTGACAACTCGGTTCCCGAAGTCGGAAGAGTACACGCGGGATGGCGGAATGCTGAACACTTCATCAACATGGAATAGAGAGGATGGTGTAAGGACGGATGGTTCAAGCACCTGAGGTCGAACATCTGGAAGGGACCGAAGCAGTGCATGCAACCCGCCTATACCCAGTCCTGTGACCGCACTGGTCATCAGGATGGGAACAGCGGAGAAACCATCCTTGCCCTGCAGTGTGAAAACGACTCGATCGACCTCAGCTTGATGGGCGGTGCTCATACTCTGAAGTGCAGGATGTGACCCAGCAGCGTCAGGTACCAGAGGTTGACTCGGAGGGAAGTTTACCATTAAAGGCTTACGTCCAGCTGCCTTGAGAGCAGAGAGAAGCCTCGCTAATACCACCCGCAACCCCGAGCGAGTGGCAAGGTCAATCTTGGTAATGCAAATTATCAAAGGTGTGCCTAGCCTGAGACATAAGTCGAGATACGAAAGCGAAAGATCCATGTTGTTTGCGGACTCTGGTTGAGCAAGGGGCTCATCTCTTGGGCTTGAAGCCCCGGTGCGCGCTGCGTTAGACCCACCGCTGTCTGCCCCAACGCATAGAATGGTCCAAGCTGGTTTCCAGGAAATCAAACTTCGTAAAGTTGATTTGGCAAACCTAGGAATGCCCGGTGAGTCAGAGAGAAATACCAAACGGTGCGCCAAATTATGGATGTCGATCCAGGATGAGACATTCCCAAAGGCATAGTTGACAATGGCGGGAGAGGCAGTACGGTCGCGTGCATACCCAATGATCTCTTGGGCTACTGAGCTGGTGACGCCAGAAGCAAGCTCGTGTCGGTGCTTGAGCAATGACAAACGGCTCTTCCCACGTCCGTTGTCCAAAGTCGAGGTCGAGAGTGTTCCCAAAAGCGAAGACTTTCCAGCTGCAGTTGCCCCTACTAGGGTCACACGTAGTTGTTCCGTGCAAGACATACCATCATCTATGCCGGCCTCGGGGGCAGAAAGATTGGACGACTGGTGGGGCCTAGATGTGGGTACATCTGCCTCCGTCAAGACGTTTGAGTCCGGATAGACTAGGACCTCGGCGACCCAGAGCTGATCGGTTTGCCAGGCCAGTATATCGCCTTCATTGCCATCCTCGCTCCATTGACAATATCCCACTGCAACTTTCCGCAGGATGCTGGTGGTGCAGCCCAGACTTGCAGCCATGGCTCTGAGGTTCGTCAGGCTTTCCTGCAGTTCATCTTCTACCAAACCAACCAGAGTGCCGTCATCAGCTACTCCGATTTCGTAAAGCGCGCCTTGACTCTCCTCCAGCCCAGGTAACAACTTCGCTGGACGCTCTGGAATACCCAGCCTGGGTGTTGCTTCTGGGAGTATAGGCAAAACTAAATCTGCATTCGACGACGAATGGAAAGGTGATGACTGTTGCAGTCTCCATAACAACTGTGTTGTTAATTGCTGTAGCCTCGTTTGACGAGCATGAGTGGTGGGTTGGACAGAGACGCCGCGGCTTATGGTCGGGTCACTGGTGGAGCGACTTCCCGAGGAGATGGACTGTAAGCCCACATAGTCAGGATGAGGAATCGAAGTACTTGTAGAGATCGAAATGAATCTACGTCTAGGACGTAGAAGTAAGTGGAGTTTGTACTCCGTAGGGCCTTCCTGGTTCTCAGGCGCCAACTTTCTGAGCTCGCTTTTCTGATTCTGCCCGTCAGGGAGAGGTGTCTGGTTCGGCAGGAGAGGCTGAGGAGTAGCAGTACCAGGGGTAGCCCACGGGGAACGGATTCGTGGCGGCTCCTCCTGGTAGGTGAATATGGATGCCATAATGCGAGTAACCTAGTTGCTATATCGTGCTGGTGGCAAAGGTCTGTTCAGATAATCCCTCTTCGACATGCTAGACCCAGCAATGACGGTGCTAAAGAGCGCGTGACAGTGTGAGAGTAGTATAGCAGTTGAGACAGGCGGGAACACATCGTTGCGGTGCAGAGATGAAATGAAAGCCTCAGGAGACCATCATAGACAATATGGGACAGTATATCAATGAGGTGGCGATAGCATCCATTGCAGCGTCTATGTGGGTGGTGGCGCGACAGATTCGAGTCATCTGTTTAGCCCCGTGGGACCGTGGGCCGAGTCATATATGTCTCTTGAACCACGAGGAGGAGTGGAAGGACGACGGACGATGTCCGGATACTTCTAAAGAGTCATGCCAGTGTCCGCGACGAGTCATGGAGCCGGACTTTGATAGAGACAACCCGGCCTTGGCACGGGCGCGTAGAGTGCCAGGTACCCAGGTGTATCCTACCGTCGAGGGAGGTATACAATGTATATATACCTTGGTAAATGTAGTATTATATACTGTGTTCGTGTTCTCCTGCTTCGTGGTCTACTGATGCCCTTGATGCTGGAATTCATTATTCTACAGTGTCCACGGTACAGTAACACAGATCCTGGCGCTGCTGGTTTGCCCAACCGCGGCCATGCCCCTCATTCGTACCTACTTAGTATACCTATTGGTTACCAGTCAAGTATTCCACAATAAATGGGCCATGCTGATCGTGTAAACGACCTTAAACCGACCTCCGTCGGGAAATCCTTCATTGCAGTGGGTATCTTGGGTATATATGGTTCGCTTAAATCAAACAGACGTGAACCGGCACGCGTCACCCCCAGTGTACGAGAGAATGCTCCCCACTCACAAGTCCATGTCTAGCCAGCGCCAGCTGTAGCACTTCCTCTCGAGTGGTGGCTTTGCCCCTTGCAGACCTCCTGAGAAGGAGTAGGCATACCCCTCACTTACTCTTCTCCTCTGTCTCTGAGACTTTCTCCCACTCGCTATCCGTACTGACATAGCCAGAACTTTCCCCAAGGCTGCGGCGCCGCCTGAGTGCTTCGACACTCTCTGCCATCCTCGGCTCCAGCATGGTCGGCGTCGTCTGTTTCGGTATCTCACGACTCTGGCTCGGCACCGGCGCAGAAGACGTGGTCGTTGCAGAGGTGGCTTCCGGTGCCGGGGCAGGAGTCTCTGTCTCCGTATCTGTATCACTCGCATTTTCGGGTTCAGGGCTCTTGTCCTTCTCATTCTTGGCTTTCTGCGTCTGTTGTTCCCTTGCAATTTCGGCGGCAAACCAGTTGATTGCGTACCAAAGGCCGCCACAAAGAGCCGACAGTACCAGGAAGTGGATTGAATATGTCGCAACGAGGAGAATCAGGAGGAGGAATTGAAGGGCGGCGAAAGAGGCATTCGTTGCGACCAAGAGCGTCGGCGTTGGGCCAGGGGTAAAGATGGAATCCCATAGCTCCTGCAGGAAAGAAGCCATCTTGTAGAGTAGTATTGGGACGATCGAAGACAAAACACTGGCAGTCGAAGAACAATCAATGGTTGACGGCGCGAAACAGATGATACCCCGTGCCCTAATCAGGGCTATGCCACAGGGCTAGAAATGTCAATGCCGTTCTGCTGCGCTCAAGTTGAGGACAGGCTGGCAGCCGTTCCAGCTAGTAGAAGAGGTTTCTTTGGAAGATGAAATCGTCGACGTGGCATGGAGGAGAGGGACAGTGATTGAGTGCAGAAAGTCACTTCCACCACTGGCAACCCGCAGCCGACCTCGTCATCAGCCACCAAGTCATGTGTCCTGTTTCGGCGCGAGCCCTGTGCAGCACTACTACTATACAATCTAGTATGTAGTACCGGCTAGTCCCGTACTAGTGATTGATTTGTATGATTGAAAGCACCATAAGTCAACTTAGGACAAGACTAAGGCACTAGGGCTGATTTCAGGGCGAATCAGGTAACTATCCCGATAGGGGATAATTATCGCTTAGTCAGCTCCCACCTATGTCTCTCACCCTCTTTTGATCAGCTTCATGGTCACTTGCCCACCGCGGCCTTCAACTGCCTTGCTCTCCTTTCCATGCATATAACAACTGATGAACACGGAGAGCCTGGTAGATACCAGACCCTCTCGTTTGACATACGATTGCTTACCTGTTCACTTGACCTTCAGCCGTTCAACGGCAGCGCCTGAGCCGGGACTTCGCGTATTGCGACCTTTGGGGCACTGAACAAAAGATACACGAGTCATGATGCCCCAAAAACAGTGGTAATAATTGAACATGGTCAAGATTTGACCAGATTCCGAGTGGCACGGCCGGCAAAACTGAGGCGAGATGTCTTTCTGGCCAGTCTAGAATTCACCGTGGCCCATGCAAGGCATGTGAAGCTCAGCAGATGACTGTGCCATGCGGTTACCTCATCCCACATTCTCCAGCAGGGCGCGTTGGAGATGCAGGACTCGGATCTGCTATCAGGATTACTCTTCTGGTGCGTTCGACCTGACAGCAAGTGGGATATTCTTCAACATTGAAGAGCTCGATGTCAGATCGACCGCTCGATGAACATCGGTTTCAAATTTATTCTGACCAGCTTCGAGCCTTGCGGCAGCCTCTTGCCTCTATACGTCTTCGACCAGCGCCTCCGTGCCTCCGACTGCTTTTGGCAGCATTCACGGCATGCATCATTTGCAGACAAAGGGATGCCCGTGGGTTTGCGATGCACCACTTACAGTATTGCCACTCACAAGGATATCTCATGCAACCAAGGTGACATGTGGCCAAGTACTTGTTCGTGGATGAACATGGTGGTGCAACGGGGTGGTCCGTCGTCCTTGTGGTAGGACTACGCCCCGTCAAATTCCGCCCGAAATAGGTAGGGTTGCCTGAACTGCGGAACTTGAAGTTGATCATATCCTGCCACCAACAGATTTTGCTGTGCTTCATGCTCTGCCACCACTGGCAGAGCATCCAGACTACTGTACTCCGAACAGTATTGGGGGCGGAGGACGGAAGATGAAATCTACAGCGCAGGCTTAGCCATTTCCCAAAACGGACAAGCTTACGAGGATATGTTCGGTTCGTGCACTGGTTGAGTTGCTCCCAATTTGAATGGAGACAAGTAAGGAGTAGCAAGGGTGCTTGACAGCTTGAACTGTTCTAGCTTGCGGTTTGTGCAGAACCACCATAGGCGGAATCAAGTGGGTGTCTGACGGGTAGGGTGTAGACTTACCCGTCCTGGGCGTCTGGTAGTCGCTCGAGAGACTCTGAGTCGAGGCGAGCCACCACGGCCTATTATAGTACCAGGTAGTGATAGTGACGGATGGAGTACCAACAATTTCAGTGGTAGCTGGTAGTATAGCGGAGTAGATGTGACCAAAATAACAAACGCTACGCTGTCAGTGAGCCTCGTTAATCTCAGGTACCTATTTAAAGGTACCACACGAGGCTTATTAAACAGTAGCCAGATGGAGCCTGACGTGAGGTTCCGAGTTCAGGTCCAGTTTAACGTGTGAGGCTGGCCAATCACATCACGTGCCCTGGGCCGGAAGCGGACAAGCGGCAGTCGGCGGGACTTTTGGGGGAAGTTTTGCGGGCGCAGCTGCGGCTACTAGTACGGCAAGAAAAGAAACTGCGCTGCCTGCGCCCTATTATTTTAGCCCCCTTTTTCTGGGGCCGAACTGCTGCCACTGTCGTCCAAGTCATCGTCCTCTCACCATCACTCTGCCCTACCTCTACCTACGCTTAGCCAGTCAGCACGCTATCTTCCCATGCCTCGTGTGGCTCCACGGGCCAGATGTGCAAGTCACCCGTGGAAACGGTGTCACTCAGCCAGTGCCTCTGGTATGTGATCTGTTCACTTGGCCGGCACTGACCGTGAGAAGCCGGGTAGAAAGCTGCTATCCTCAAACGGTGGCAGATTTGTCGACATCACCGCCTTTGCCCAAGCCAGTTACATGCAAATCGAGTGCGGCTGTCTCCTTAAGCGGTGCCCTTCCGGCTTCGAGGCTGACAGGCGTTGGGGCTCGGATGTTTGCTACTGAATGGTAACTGGGCTACCCGTCTGCTTTGACCCGAGCCCTGCCTTCTCCCCGACCTCTCAGAGACTGGGCACCGCGCCCGCCTCTTGCTTACTCCATCGTCCGTCTGATTGCACTTTCTGGGGACGGACCTTTCAGACGCCGTACGCCGGCCATCTACCCAGAGCCACCATGTGACCGCTCGTATTCGGGCTCTGTCAGGTTACTGGGTCATAGAGACACCATGGCAATATCATGGCTGATGATGCAGAGACATATACTGTGCCGTCGTCACAGCATGGCCCCACCGTTGCCGAGCTAGTATACTGTAAGTCAGAATGCTGACTGTGGCTGTGTGCTTTTCGATTTCCTACTAATGGCATTGTGAGTGGAGTGGGTGAGTCGGCCGACGTTGCGTCGTGCCGGTCCACCATTCTGTTGCTTTGCCCTCGTTCCTCATATCCTTGGCTCAACGTGCACCACACTTGGACCTCTTCTAGTCTTCGTCCGTCTTCGTCCCGCTGGGTCATCATGGGGAGTTAAAACACTGCGTGGAGACGTGGGCTTCGTGCCAAATGCCGCTCTAATCCTTGTTAACTGAAGAGCCGGCTTTCCCAATATACTGTTGCGCAAGTATCTTTTTTGGCTGGCATCTCTTGGATCAGCATTGTCATCTTCCATCAGCCATTCATTCTATTTCACGACCAACCTGTTACATCGCAAAGTACCTATATGGTGCCCTAAGTGCATTTCTTACGCTAGACGCCGCTTAGGCCCCCGGACAGGATTGGCATCCCACGCCGATTCAGAGAGCCTACGACGACTGCAGGGCCGCGCCGAGGACAGCAGTTACTCGAAAGAAGCTGCTTGCTCCCTCGAGACTTAGCTGGCCTGTGCCATCAGCAACGGTCCGGTCTGAGTAGTCTGTCCACCAGCACGCCCTTCAGTGCCGTCGACGAGCCGTGCCAAGGTTAAATCACAACGGCTGGTTATTGAATATTGCCGTCACGCGAAATCCGATTTAATCACGACTAGGCACAAAACCAGCAAGCAGTACTCCTTGCCCTCTTTGATGTTGTTTTATTCGGTTGCATTGAGCCATTTGGTGAGGGAGAGCGTTCGCCGCCAGCCTTTTCGCTTATCGACACGGGGGATATCGTCTCGATCCAGGTCTGTTTCCCGATAACCACATCCAAAGTCCCCTCGAGCTTGCAAACAGCAAGCTCGGCCGCCCCTTCGGTCAACATTGCGCATCAAAGGCAGCAGTTGACACCTCACATTTCATCGACTCCCATTTCGAGCGCGTGGTACCCAGTCGGCCACGCCCAAGGCGTGGCTTATAGAGCAAGCCGCGGGTCAAGCGCAACTGGCCAGGAGGGATTTCAGCCAGCAGGATACTGGAGCGGACATGAGCAACCGGCGGCAAGGAGACTGGGGGAGCCGTCTACGCAGTTGCAGCAGATAGGAGAGAGCCGGCCAACACAAAATCCTCTTCTTCCTGCCCATCAATACGCCTGGACGTTAGCTCAACAACAATCACCGCAAGGTGAGCAGCAGCCATCAAACGCGGCTCAACTTGCACTGCAAAAACAAGGGTTCGTGGTCTCTCACGGCGTTCACATTAAGCTCCAGTTTGCTAACAAGGGCTGAAAAGGATGGCTGCTCAAGTTCTAACGACGTCGGCGTTGCAATTTGTCCCTACTCAAGAACAACTCCCCTATGGGCACGATGGGCCTCCCAGTAAGAATGCAAAACTATTATGATAATATGGTCAAGATGTACTGATGACAGGCAGGCTTTGGAAGCGGCCATTCTGGCCACCCATCTTACAGTTCCCATAACGTACAGCAACCACCACTGATGGCGTCGCCTCAAACAGTGCACAGGAACCCATCGATTCGAGGGCAGAGACAAGCGTCACGTTCTCCGCGAGTAAACCCAAGCGCTGCAACCTTTGGTGACCGAACACCTATACGGCATTACAGTTTCCGGGCTGGCGCTGCGCGTGGGCGCAGTCTGAGTCGAAGCGAAGCGTTTCTAGAAGCCTATGCCCAGCAGAGTCAATTACAGTTACAGCAAATGCAGTCTTCAACATTGATACCTACGATACCCTCACAGCCTGATTTGGCAATGCCGTCGCCGATGTACAACGAAATGCCTACAACATATAGCATGCAGCAACCTTTGTCGATGACGGCATTTCCAGCTGGCAATGACATGGTCATCTCCTCTATGTCATCGAACCCCAGAATATCGCAGAGGACGGTTGCAACGATGCAACAGCGGCAGAGGAAAAACGAGGAGGTCGACCTTCAAGGATTCTACGCGTCCGCCGAGGCTTTAACTCCTTCCAGTGGCGTGTCAATGATGGATATACATCAACAACCCCCACCACAACCGACTTCTGATATCGGACCGTCGTATGCCCTTTACAGGTCGACGGGGCGCACTCAGGACGGTGGCACCCTCCATCAACCGCCACCGGCGGCGCGTCTCCCCTCCAACACGTTGGACGATATGCAACAACCGTTCCCTCCGCCGGCCAACTTAACCTTGGAATCCACGCCCACGCCGATCGAGCTCAAGCCGTCACGGCCCAAACCGCAGTGTTGGGACCACGGATGCAACGGCAGGCAATTCAGTACGTTCTCGAACCTGTTGAGGCATCAAAGAGAAAAGAGTGGGAGTGCCGCCAAGGCCGTGTGCCCGCACTGCGGAACAGAATTTACGAGGACAACCGCAAGGAACGGCCACTTGTCTGGTGGCAAGTGCAAGGGGATGGCCGATTTGGGCTCGGAGGCCGCATCGAGCAGCGCCCAAGAATGACTCGAAGGGATCGACAGGTTCTTTCATGTCTGCCTAGTTGTTGTATGTTTTACGTTTTTGGACACCAACTTGGACTTGGACCCGACCAGTATATTATTGTAGGTTCCTGAAACACGCCACTACTAGTATTTTACGATAAAGTACTAAATAAGCAGATCAACTATACCCGACCGAGGTAATAGCCTGTGATTGAGATATTGTACTATAAATACAGTGTATGTATATATGTCGAGAGGTTCGAGTCAAGGTAGTGAGAACACCTCGATTCCAAAGCCTGGCAAGGTCCATGACAAGAGGTACATATATCCACTAAATAACTCAGGTACGCTGTACTACCAGTATCAAGTACCTTACTACCTAGTACTTTACCCATATCCTTGGGTTAGCGAAGTCGATCGCCCATTGCCGTAATAGAAAATCAGGTATACAAGCACGAGTTACCTAAGGAATTACCTAGTAGGTATGTATGTGTACTGCCAGTGTACAAGCAGGAATTATGTAGCTGCAGTGGCATGGACGTGACCATTCTACCTACTCCCGAACTGTTCAGGGGGGTTTTTTTTGCCTTCTCTCATTTGAGAAAATTGCTATCTAGTCGTTCAAGTTGTCGTAGTACATAACGTGAGGTGAGGCAACGAGAGCTCACCAGGTACCTACCTACCTACCTACCTACCTGATGGGTAGGAAGTGGGTACAATACGTAGGTACCGACAATGCACACCACTTCCAGCGTCTCTGGCCTACTCAGACTCCTCGGCAAAAGAAATGCAACATGACCCTTAAAGAGAGAGAGGGAAGAGAAAAGAGGTTTCTCTCGCGCCCTGCGCCTCTCGTTGTCCCTTGGGTACCCGTACCCCACCCGTACCCTACCCTACCAAACACCTAGGTACACTAGAATAGCCCCGTTTCCTATCGCTCGCCAGCCCATCATAACCGACCATGCCTCGCTTTGAAAATGGATATCTTGTCATCGTAAAATAGAATCTCTCGCAGCCGCCAGGTGCGCTTGGTGCGTCGATTGCTGCTGCCACCGCCGCCGCCGCCGCCGTCGCCGTCGGCACCTTGGTCGTCGCTCTCATCGCTGTCCTCGTCGTCACTGATACCCTCACCTGGGTCGGAGAGGGCTTCCAGGTCGCTGGAATTGGCTGATTCGTGGCCGCCCTCGTCGTCACCACCACCACCGTGACCGTCCTCACCACCTTGATCATCCGCATGATGAACATGCTGATGCTGATGCGCATGGCTATGCGGGAGGTTGTGGAGTTGGGTATGATGGTGATGGTCAACAAACCCACCGCCGCCGCCCCCTGCTGGACCGACATGTGCGTCGGTCTCTATATCATCTCCGGAATGCTGGACCATGCCACTGCCAGGAAACCCCCCTGAAGCGACATTTGAGTCCAGCCCGGACCGGGACGCCTTGCGTGGCGGTTCCGCATACTCCAGAATCTCGAAACACTGATTTTCCACGCCTAGGTAACAGAGCTCGAGTTCGGGCCGCAAGGCGACAATGTCGAGCACTTGTAAGGCTGCTTCACGAGGGTGCACTGTGCCATGCACATAGCCGACGATATGTGGGATATGCATCGACCGGAGAGTAGTGGCATAGGGCAACCGCCGCAAGAAGTAATGCCAGTCCTTGTAATCGATCGACATGCTCAACTCGCGCAGCTTCATCTTGCCACTGGTGATGCATGTGATGAGCTCGCGGTTGGCCACCCACCGCCGCCAGTTACTGCGGGGACTAGCGTCTGGACTGCCTGGGTTGTCGAGTCTCAAGGTGCTGTCGATGAGTAACTTCCTCAAACTCGAGCGGTGCCGTCGAATAGCACCCTTGTAGATCATCTCAATCGTGACAGGCGGCTTGTACGCCGGATTCCGTTGCAGAAAGAGCCATTCGAGACTGTCTGGTGCCAGAGTGTCTCTGATAAAGGCAATGAGCGAAGGCGAAACAGTGTCGGTGTGTAGGCGTTTTAGCTTCAATGTGTACTCTGAAGCAGCTGGTGCCGATGTAGGCGTGCTGGCATTCGTCGTTGCATGCCCGTACGCTGACGGGTTGGCAAATATATTGGCGTTGGACGGCGTCTTGAAGTTCGCCGAGGACACTCTCCTACGACTCATTGGGGTGAATCGTTTGCGAAGTGCTCTCCACAACTGCTCGTGATTTCGACAGCCTAGTAGCGTAAGTGTGGTCAACCTCGACCAGTCAATTGCCTGAGACAATACGGGTATGGACAGGAAGACCCGTTCGCATTCAAAGGACTCCAGTTGGAGCTTTCGGGAAGGGGCACTATCTCTGCCGGACGGATGAAGTGGATGCCCAATCCTTTGCGCATGGTGTGGTTTATGGGCTTGTGGCTGAGTGAGAGGAGGACTTCGCTTGGACATAGGGTCTTGATCATGCGTCTGCACATCATCGCTGTTATGTATGCTGTGTGCGGAAAACAGCAGACCGAGTTGGTCAATTTCTGAGGGGTTGACCAAGGTTCCTGCCTCATCTATCCTCTGGTGATGTGGAGTATAGTCTGCTTCAACAGGCATGCCTCCGGTGTGTTTCTGGACTTGGACTGAAATTATGGAGCTCGGTTGTGGAGAGAAGGCATTGCAGAACCGGTGTACGAGCACGCCCAAAATTCCCCCAGGCCGAGGTGCCTGGTCGCTGAGTCCAGACATGATCGATGATAGATCAGGAGCCCTTTCCTCCGATGGCAATGCCCAGATGTCGAACTGTGCATTTGCTGACATTCCTACTCGCAGCTCCTTCAGTCTTCCAAGCGACCTCTCGATCAACACGCTCATCTCCTCGGCATAAGGCAACTCGTCAATGTCGAGAACGCTCAGACTTCTGAGTGGCGGTAGTATTGAAAACGTCGGAAACTCGACCCGAGGATACGGCGGGATTTGGAATAGAGAGTGCATAGAGTTGGCAAGAATGGTAGGTATGTTTGGGGTCTGCGGTCCTGGAGCGATAGCCGGATGAGGTGAAGTCAAGGGTCCATCGTTTTGATTGTCATGCCATCGTACCCATACTCGCTCAAGACGACATTCCTGTCCGTCATCACGGTTCCCAAGAGATGCCAAGGCCAGCCACACATCGCGGAGGACGCCGGTGGGCATGTCCCAGATGAAAGCCTCAAGATTGCGCATCCTGCCAACTGCGAGTGCCACGAGCGTGCCTAGCATCTTCCCGCCTTCTTTTGTTATCAGATACTCCTGGACCCAATCCGCAGGGCCATTTCCGAGACTGAACTTGCGAGTATATTGGGCGAAATAGTTCCCCCGCCGAATCCTGCGAGGCCTATTGGGCTGCGGGTTGGAATGGCCGCAATGTGAACAATGATGCTGGGACTGTTGTTGATATGGAGCCTCGCCAAACACATCATGAGCCATGACAAGAGTTGCCAGACCATATGTCAGGGCATCAACGCCCACCCGATTCTCAAAAGTGGCATTCGCATCGGGCCAAACGATATCGAATCTGGAATAGATATGAGGTATCACGAGCGCATGAAGGGCCGAGTGTGTCAAGGCGAGCGACGTCAGGTCGTTTGTGTGTATTACTTCTTTCAGGATTGCCTGTAGGATATCGACAGGTAGGTCTAGAAGCCGTAGAGGTTCCTTCTGCGCAGTAATAGCGTCCCACTCCGACTTCTTGCCATTCAAATGTTTTGCCAACAGTATCTGGGGTCCATTGTCATTTGCCATTTGAGGGCCGTCCTGATTCAGTACGCCAGATTCCATGATGTAGTTATTCGAGACCGGCCAGGAACCTTGTGTAAAGGGAGAGGGAGAACAATGTTTGATTTGGGCACCAACGGAAGGCTCAGAGCGAATGCTCCGAGCCAGTGATGTCTTTGTTAGCTGAGCATAAGGCGTTACTGGCGAGAGAAGTTGTCAATGGTCGAGGGTCAAACGGGGAGAGAGACAGCAGTGGTTCAGTCAGGACTCAGGTTGGGCAGTGAAGGATCTGTCACTTTTGCAATTGAGGCTATAAGCGCAGGAACCAGGCTTGGTACCGCCAGATGTAATTAGGTAGAGACGTCAAGCATCGTTATACTGCACGATGCCTTACTCGTTGTACTAGTAGTAGAAGTAGATCTGTGGATGCAGTTGTTGCGCGGTTAGAAGCTGGAGGCTGGTTGCAGGTTGGCCGGGAGGTGGAGGGGCGCGGCGTTACTAGTAGTCAAGATGGTACTAGTATGTGGCACGAGTGATAAGCTTGAGTTTCAGGTTGTTTAACTACCGCTAGCATTGAGCTAGGAGCACTTTACTGGCCGGGCACAAAGATAGAGCTTAACTATTGCTGCTATCAAGGGCGCTAGTGCCATTAGGTATACACTGTAGTCCTCTCCATCTTCCGAGCCTGAGCGGCACCTGCAGTGGTGACCCATGATCAGCCCGAAGCCACTTTACGCGCCCACGCGCCGCCGTAGGGTTGCCTGGAACCTTGCCCACCGATTTCAAGGGTCCTCCTATCCCATCGGGCAAGTTGGGCCAAAAGGTCAATAGGCGGTGGCAGGGATGCAGCCCACTGCCAGCCTGAGAGGCAGGTATACACGGTTCCTTGTCCAGTCCCCTCGAATGCTGATGCGCGTGGTATACATTCAAGTAACTCCGGCATTAAAACATTATTGACTTCAAGTTCGTAGACCACTTGTAACAGACAGCTTCCGCTTCACTTCTGCTGTGTTGCGGAATGCCTTGCCTGCTGATTAATGACCCCCAAACTTGAAGGTGCCGGCCAGGTCTGTGTGCCACCACTGCAGCCAGTGGCACTGGCAGTCGAAGGTGAACTCGTGACCTGCCCGTTTGCTGTCTTTCTCTCCATCTGCTGCCACTGCCAGTAGTGACCGCAACTGACTGCGATTGACTGCGCTGCGCCCATTATCCTTGAGCTGCTTGATCCCGACCACAGCCTGAGCTACAGTTCGTCTGCCTTTGTGCCTGGCTCCTTTGCTGCCGCTTGTATCTCTCACCCTGCATCTCCCATCAAAGACTTGCCATATTCCGACGAAAATCATCTCTCGTTTATAAGGGGAGCCACCTGCTGACTTTGAAGCTCCTCTCCTCCCACTTACCCATCCACAATCCTGTTCGCATGGCTTGAGCCGCCACTTCTCTGTTCGCTTCTCTCGCCTGGGAGCCTCAAGGCTCACTAGCTATCTCGACGTGCGTTGACGAAGCTCTCAGTCCGTAGACCGTGGGTCTGCGAAGCTCAGTGCTCCTCTCACCGCTCCCTTCAACCTCCGACCCACCAAGTTACAGAAACCCAACAGCCTTTACTCTCTGCCGTGTAACTCCGATTCGTCATCAGTACACAACGTCAAAATGGAAGAGTGCCCTGACGAGGTGCTCCTGAAGGTCTGCGACCTCCTGGACTTCAAGAGTGTAGCAAGTCTACGACGAGTTAACAAACATCTGGCCGAAGTCGGGGCGGAGGCATTGGTCAAGAGAGTGCGGTTCCACTGCAGTCAAGTCTCGCTCGAACGTCTTGCTGCCATCGCCCAACATGATGTTTTCAACAAGTACGTGGATACTATTGTGTTTGAAGGGAATATCCTGGCAAACGTTGGCTGCATTCACACCTACTCGGCCCATTACGAGCTTGAACACCACAAAAATGAGAGACCGCAATCCCCCGGGAAGAACGCTACTGCTCGAGAGAGGAGACTGTATGAGCGGAACGTGGCCAAATTCAACCGCGACATCATTGCCAAATATGACCGATACCGCGACTTCTACGAGCGACAACAGGGATTGCTCAAGTCAAGTGCCTACAGTGATTTCATCTCCCCTAGTATTCCTCGCTTCCCACGGTTGAACAAGCTTGTCTTGTCTACAGTTGGTCGGTGCAAGCACGTGCTTTCGAAGCGATTTCTTGAAACCTTTGCCGTCGACTGTGCAATGCCCATCGAAACCGACACCAGATACACCAAAGATCAACTCAAACACCTCCTTTTCCCTCAAGGCTGCCCTCTGACCACGCTTCATTCATTAGAAGTGCACGTCATCAGCCCCAAGTTCTTCACTGGATTCATGCCGCGAGATTCGATTTGCGAGGCCTTCAAGAACCTCAAAATCATTGACCTCAATTTTCGGCTCGAAAAAGATGACCGCCACGACCTGGACGTCTCCTCAGCCGAGCGCTGCTATGGAGAACTCGGCAAGGGGTCCCTTCGGGAAGCCCTCGCCGGTGCCCGGGATCTTCAAGAATTGACCATTAACTTTGACGACTTCGGCTTCTTTGGAGCGTGTGTCAACATGGAGCACATCTTGGGCGACCATACGTGGCCCTCGCTCAAGGTGCTGGACGTCGATTGCATGTCGACTACAGAGGACTATCTACTCAACATGTTGAAAAGACAAACCGAACTCGAGAGGTTTAGGTTGGGCTTTATGACCCTTGATGATGGGCGGTGGCCTACGGCAACCTTGCGGATGCGACGAGATTTACACCTCGTCGAGTTTTCGAGTCACGGTCTTTTGGAGGATTCCGAGCAAATGTACCCCATGCACTACATCGACGGAGACGCCTACATGGACGATTTCCACGAGTTCAGTTTGGCCGCCGCTCTTGACCTCTACGTCACCGATGTCCACGATGAAGACGATCAGTATCATCCACTGGAAGATACCCAGTTTGAGGATCCGGAGGAGCTCCGTGAAAGATATGGCCCGTTCAGCGATGACGACTTCTCCGACATGGATTGCAGCGACTGATTAGAGAACAGAATCACAGCAACTGTACTAACCCCGGCGGATAATGTATTCTATGACTTGACGACTTTTCTCCATCATCCAAATATTTTGTACAGTACTAGGAGCGACAGCCTGCACTTTATGAGCGACGGACTACAACAGATACCCCTTGTGAGCTTGATCGATCTTTTACGGTTTCGGATGTTTTCTTTTTTTTTTTTTCAAATGGAGTTTCGGGGATTGTTAATCAGAGGTTAAAAGGCGACTGTGGAGGGAGGGAGCTTCTTTTCGGGAGTCAGCCGGGCAGCAGACACTGAGCTTGTTTGTGTGGAGGTCTTGTTCTATGACAGGCGAAGCACCTGTAAATAGAAAAGCGATTCATTCTCTAGAACCATTGTCCAATGCTAGTTTTTGCAAGGTCCTTCCTTTTTTAAGGGGTCAAGGTTTCCAATGTCCTATGAGAAGACCTTTGCATATCGGAAGGAATAAGGTGTGCCTTGCTGTGGGTGATTTGCGATATGCCCTTTGTTCCAGTCGCCTTCGGGTAGTGGTGGCAGCTGCGGGATGTTCATACGATCCCATGTCATGTTTTCGGGATTCGCCTGCCATGGCGCGAATGCTTGCATATCTCAGCGACCCTGCACTTGCCACCATTTTGTTGCTCTTTCCAAGCTGCGTGAAATGCTAGCAGCATCGGGAAAGCGCTGTCATTTCAGTCCCATGTTGTTCGGGCCAACGCCGTTTATCATGTCTGTCTGGTGAGAGTTGTGTATATTGCAACACATAATATGGTCACGTCTTTGCGCATTCAGTATCGGTCAATCACCATTCAGTATCCCAAGCTCCGATCTCAACATCGACAACCACTCCTTTACCAAAAAGTCACTTGCACCATTAAAGTACCGCATCTTTTAGAGACCAATCTTGTTTGTGCTCAAATTTTGCTCCTCCAAAACATCTAGAGCCGTTGACGTTGACTGACACTGTAAACTAGGTATCGACCGCACGGATTCGAGATAATGTGTGAGCAGGCTCGCCGACGGTACACTTGTGGCTGCATCAGGCCAGAAAAATTCCTGCAGTGCCCAGAACGCCGCAACACCAATGTGAAATGCAGTCCCGTCACACGGAGGGAGCCCAAAGATGCGCCACACATGTGTAGTAGGCATATGGTGACACCAGGCAGAGATGAGATGCGCCGAAGTGCCAACAACGACAACAACGACATTGCCCGCCACCGAGAAGATACGAGCTTATGACGAACAAGCATGATGCAGGACCAAGTTCTCTGCGGGTGGCCCGGAGAATTTTTTCTGTGTCTGGCATTCGTTGGAAGGGAGACCAAAGATCTTCGATTGCCGTGAGGTTGGGATTTCCTTTTTGAATTTCAAGTTTCTCAGTGGTCTTCTTGGCCCGCTAAGCTCGATTGTTGGCCGTCGTCAACTTCGCTTGTTACGCCCACATGTTCGCCGTTGATAACGCCGCCACACTGCCGCATGTGTTGTCTAAAACCAGCAATCAGGAACTGACGTTTCGAATGTCTGACGTTGTCAAAGTAATCGTTACAAGCGTAGCAGCGAAACCCCCAATATGCTCTCCCGGTCCGAGGGTTGAGGTAAGGTATTTCAACAATCGCCATGAACCTCCTAGGGTTTTGCGCTAGAGTATCAATGGGGCCCTTGACACGAGGTGCATCCGGGCGCCGCGACCTCGCTTCTTGCGCTCTTTGGGCTATCAACCTTGAAGAACATGCCGTCAAGCCCTGTTCGGCGGGTAATGTTGTGCCATGTGTCCCTCCGGTAGAGGCGCGGCTCTGACTGACAGTGCTGCTGGTCTGCAGAGCAGTCTGTGTATCAATGAGAACAAGCCGTCGACGGCAGCTCGTTCTGTTGATGGTGTAGTGGCCAGGGACGCTCTTCAAACATGGCAGCAGCTTGATGTCGGTCTTAGAGACACCAAGCCGACGACAAGCCTGAGATTTCAACATCGGCAGATAGTTGGGAAGTTTGGTAAAGCAGCGGAAGCAGACACGAGTACACGTAAGAAGGTATAGGTACCCGCCGAAGTCAATGCAGGACTCACAGGTCGGGGAGGTGAGCTTGTTGAGTAGCTGTTGGTATCCGATAAAGGAAGCCATCTCGGTACCGAGAATCCCACGTAGAACATTTGGGCAGTGTCGGATGACAGCCTGGAGCTGCGGCAGTTCATGTACTGTGTCGTATCCTCGACGGTTGGTCCGTTGCAGTGATGTGCAGGACTGTATATCCAGGTGAAGTAGAATCATGTTGACAATCTCCAAAGGAAGAACATCAAGTCTGCCCAGGCCATACTTTGCTTTCTCGCGACGACCGCCGTAGGGAGTGAGGGGGCATTTTCTGGCTAGGTGTTGATCGCTGAGGGTCAAGGATCGCACAGAATGCATGGGCCACCACGCAACTTCCAACTCTGCCGGTGTTAGCGGCCTGTCATCTTGTTCCATGAGTAGAGCTTGGGAAAGGTGAACGGAAGAGAGCAAAAGTAGGCCCTAACAGTAGGATGAAAACCAAAATAAAACCGTCGGAATGAAGAGGTTTCCGAAGCAAAAAGACTGTGGCGACGAATTTCGGGTATACTTATTAGCTGCCGGCCGCTGCGGTGAATCCAATAATAGAAATCCGGGCCTACTAGTGGTAAGATTGTACAACATTCAAGTTGGCATACCTGTGTGTAAAGATGGGAAAAACGCGGGTTATCACTGCGCGCAACAAAGGTAAAACGCGTCTCTGACGCGTGCCGAGCCTTCGCGCACATTTCTACCGTATCGCTAACCCCTTAGCCCGCAGCTAAGAATCCGGGGTCCTTACACGCCCACGCTTGGCTTTGGAGGAGGGAAATCTGATCCGTCCTGGTTGATCTAGACCTTCTCATTTCAACCGCCGGCGGGGCTGCCGTTCTGGCTCCACGATGTTAGGACAAGCCATAGAACGATGTTGGTCCATGGTATGAGGCAGCCTCTCAAAACTCCCGAATCGGCTAATCGAGTACATTGCTATATTGGAAACTTTTCCGGCGAAAGAGATGATCCAACAAGTCCTGGAGGTACTTGTAACCAGTTTTCTCTTTTTCACCAATCTCACGAATGTAGCTCAGGTTTGGAAACGTGGATGGACTATGGAGAGGTCAAGACTCGATCCGCCGTCGAGTGTACGGGTAGAAATGGAATGCAAGCAAACCACAGCCTTGCTATCAACCCCTCTGCCTTCTGCCGTCTTCTGACGCTCATTGCCTCCCATTCCATCACATCAAGCTACATCCCCCAGGGCCACGTCCAGGTCCATGACTCGGTCGACGACGCCCAGAAGTCCCAGTCCCTCCGCATGCTGTCTGTATGTTGTTGTTGGTGGCAGGACCGTACCCGTGACCATACGGTCGGGAAGGACGTCCAGACGATACGGGCAACACATTTCCATACCCATCCGTCATGGAGTATCCATTCCCCAGTGTGCCTCTGGCGTCAATGTTGTCGGGACCAAGGATCATGCGAGTCTCGTTTGCATCATAGTTTCCCCTCTTGTCGCAGTTTGGACAACCCCCCGCTGCAACCGAGAGGTATTTCGGTTCCAAAAGACCTGTACGTGCTCGTGTGTAGGAGTGGACGGCATTGTCCTTGTTGAATCCTGTTCCAGGGCTGCCGCAGCGCTTGACGATGGTCACCCATTTGTGTCCGCAGGTGGATGATCTATAAGACTCGATCTGGCACATATTTTCTGCGTCTGTCCTGTGCTGCTGTGAGACCAACGGCGTGGCGTTGCCTAGTATCAAACTTGGAGGTATCGCTTGCTGGAAACAAAGGTCCAACCTCTGCTAGTTTTTGATGCGTTCAGTGTCCAAGAGTCGAGCCGGTGGAGGTGTGAACTTGAGCTTGAAGTTGTTTTGAGCTTGGACTGATCGCATCCAAACTCTTCCAGGTCGCAAAAGGTTCTTGGGTGCTTCGGGACCGAGATGGTACACTGAGATTCAGTTGTCCGTTCTTGAAGAAGCGACTTTCAACTCAGACTACCAAGGTCGTCCGTTTACTTACTGAACTCGGGCTGTTCGTCTGTTGGTACCAAACAGCATGACCACTTGGTAGTTAATCAAGCACTGCATTGCTTCACTGTTCAAGCAAACAGCAGGATCCGAGTCGAATCGCTCCATATCACCTCGCTCTCGCGGCAGTAATAACCTCCCCCATACTTGGACAGGCGTTCCAACTTCGTGTGATTTGAACACCCAACTTGAACTCATTTAGGCTTCTCGTCACCTGGCGCAGTCATGGCCTCCTCTTCCTCTTCATCCACACTATCCCGACCCCGTTTCTGAATCGCCTGCATAAGCTCATACAGCTGTCCAACCTGCTGATCACTCATCTTGTCCAGGAGCTCTTTATCAATCTTGCCGCCCTTCCATTCATCCCCTTCCAGCAATTGACCGTACTGTTGCCACTCCGTCAGAAAGCCCACAATGTGCAGTGGGTTCTCGATGTCTCGGTGACGTCGGAACTCGGCTTTGAGGTATGTGTCGCCAAAGATGCGGGCTTCCGGGTCTAGTTTCTTGCGATGGATCCGTAGTAAGCGACGGTACAAGGGGATCGGTGGGAGGAGCGCAAGAGCAGAAGTACGCTGGCCTGGTCGGAATGGCTGGCTGGCCGGCGATGCTAGGAGACGGGAACTCGGTCGCATGGTTGGAGTTTTGGCTGTCTACTGGTAGTTTCCCTTGGACCAAAAGGATTGAAAAGAAAACAACAACTACTAGTAACAAGAGTGGTATACGTCGAGCTCTTGACAACGAAAGAAAGTCCTAAGGTTGTTTCATTAACAAGTGTCGAAATCATCTGCAGGTCCCGAAGCCCGTCATGCCGAGATACAATGGACATTGTTCGAAAGATCGTCAAAATAGAACTATACTATAAGTCCCCTAGCGTTATTTTATTTACCACTACTCTACCTATTTCACGTATTTTACACCTCTCGTCATATAAATATACGAGGAGGGGTACTAATTCTATTACCGTAATTTTATTATACTAGTCCTAATTAGGGTAACTAGACCTGTTCGAGAGCCTTCGGGGCATTGTGTATTTCGCACCCATACGTGCTTATTTCGCAGAACGCCAAGACCAAAATGCTTATAGCGCCTAAATATTACACACAGATTTCACTTAAATTACTCGGTGCCTATAGCACTAACTGCACCACGCCTATAACTTTTTGCTTAGGATGCCTATAAGGTTTGTAACTACACGCCTATTATTGTACCCCTAAACGCCCGTACGGCCTATACCCCTACGCCTACGCTGTACAGTGTATAGTGTATAACGCCTACTACTGTACTACACCCCTACTACTGAGCGCCTATTACTCCATTGTATACTACCGAGCGTGCTGGAGGCCTATAGTAGAGGCGTTGCAGGCGTTGCAGGCGTTGCAGGCGTTGCAGGCGTTGCAGGCGTTGCAGGCGT